TGAAGCCCGCCGTCTGACGCGATTCCTCAATTGGGCGTTAACCGGATAAGCCCCATTCGGCACTGTTGTCCAATCATATGATTGAGGATCATGCGCCACAAGGCGTATGGCTCGATGGTGCCACGAACGCGCATCAAATACCCAAGAAAGTATACTCGCTTTCCCTCAGGTGCAATTGTGGACTCCACACTGTCTCGACTTGAGAAATGATCAATGGCTTGGACCCAGAACATGGAACCAGGCAGTACGGAATCTTGAGACATACGTATGTCGCCGCCACCGCTAAGTCTGCTACTACTACTTGCCGTCTAATGTAAACGACATGCAGTTCACGCCAAGTTGGGCACGAGTTTGCCTACCGTTGACCTTGGCATTCCCACTCCCTCTGATGGCGTGGAGAGTATTGCAGACACCTTGACCCAGCGAGGCTGTCCTGTCTTGATGCTTGAGGGAATCATGATTCGAGAATCATGGACCATGATTGGCCTAATTTAGATGGATGCGACAGAGGAAGGCCACTCAATACCCGCGAGAACGACTGCCAAGAACCGCCTTGTTCCGAGTGCTTTCAGCTTCCTTCCTTCCCCAGCAATTTCTGACCACCACAGGACCCCGTCGTGCACACTGCCAGTGGCGCTCCACAACCGTAACGAGTCAGTAATTTGTGTCGACGAAGACAAGTTTAGAACTCGTTTCCGTCGGTAATTGGTTTTTATTTTTTGAAAATAAATGTTTTACTTTCTGTGCTTTCGTGAACTCCGATATGCGCGTACGGGAGTGCAAGTATGCTAAGCAATACATAGTTGGTTCGCAATAAATTTAAACGTCTGGCCCAAATAACTGAAGCTCGCTTCCGCGACCACCGGGATCACATCAAAATAGAGTTAGCCATTCTCAGTACGCAGTACTCAAACTGCTGGCATCAAGCTCAGAGATACCCCATGATGTGACGAGAACGTTGATCATGGAGATGCATGAGAGGATACCAAATATCGCGCCGAGAGTGCTCTTCCATGCATCATATCCCACCGCTTGTACCGCCAGGGGAAGGGAAGACCAGTCTTGTCCCGGAGATTTCAGAGCCAGAAGATACTAAAAGATGGGACGTATAAGCTTCGCGGATAAAATAAGCGAGCGGGTTAAGATTGCAAAATACCTGATGATCTTGTGGTGGCAAGGTTGTAGACAGCGTGTACGACAGAAGACCTTGCATAACAACTGCCGACAGCGACGCCCCCATGACGCCCCCCAGTGACTTGAACACTAGATGAGGCAGTGAGCATCTGTGATATTCGAAGTTTGAACGCGAAACAAACTCACGAGAGGCATGACTTGTGATATCTGCGATCTCCGTAGAATCACACCCCGCCAACAGCACGACTATCGAGACGGAGCTGATAAGCTGGAACCCGAACGTCGAGGGAAAGCTACAGAGTGCGTAAATAATTTTATGACCTCGACCCTCGCCGTATGAAACAGCCCCCATGAAAGCGAGCGGTCCTAAAATGACGAAGAACGCCCCGACGAGGAGCAGGGATTTGCACCTTCCAGTACGCTTGATACGGTGCCCTGCGACGACGGTGGCGAGCACTGCAGCGAGGGAGATGGGCATAATGTAGATCCCGGCGAGAGAGACCGACGTGCGACCGATGACGACTGCTACGATCGGTGAGAGGCTGAGGATAGAATGATGGACACTTGCGCAAAGAAGCTGCATAAAGCAGGCGGTCCCGACGTTCTTGCGGCGTAGAAGGCGGACAGAAACGATCGGGTTCGTCGAGAGATGTTCATTGAAAGAAAATACGGCTGTTGACGCGATTGCGACGATGATCGAGATTATAACGACAGCCTTGTCGACGTAGGTGGCCTCGGATGCGCCGAAAGACGTGGCCAGAGTCGAGGAGATTAAAATGACAGGAGCAATTATTAGAGGAAGAAGGATGCATCCCATGATGTCGACTTGTTTTTTGGGAGGAGTCCGACTTATTGGGGTAGAAATACCGCCGGACATCGTAGCATGGGATTCGAGACATAGGACAGAGACGAGGAAGGCCACCAATGCCAGGGGAACTTCAAGCATAAAAGCTACTCGCCAATGTAGCTTGTCGGAGACGATTCCACCGACAGGGCCGCCTAGTGCCATCGAGACCTTGGTGGAAGAAGTCAGGAAACGAGGGTATTGGAGGTCGAAATGCACGCTTACACCTGCAACCAGTTTGCCAACACTATGCCATAGCGCTCTCGACTTCAGGGGAACCGTTTCTAGGGTATATCACTTTAATTCTCTGCGCAAAAAGAAGAAATCAGGACAGACATTACCTGATAATACGACAGAACTCAGAATACCGATTCCACCAATTCCTAGACCCGCAAGCGCTCGGCCGCACAATACAACAAGGAGAGTGGGTGCAAATACACACGTCAAAGCTCCTCCAGCAAAAAAGAGCGACGCGATTCCACAAGCAAAGGCAGTACCACAAGCGTTAGATAGTTGTGCAAACATAGGTGCCGCAATAGTGGAGAAGAGAAGAGTTATGGTAGGCAGAAAAAGTGAGCTCGAAGTGTCGCCGAAATATTCCGCTATCGTCGGAGCAGCAGCTGCTGTGATCGTCGCTGTGGAATTTACATCAGTTGGGTAGTAAAAGTAAACTCTAGCGAGCTGCGAGGCTTACGGTCAATTCCTGTAGAAAAAATAAGGTAGGTAACGGATAGAGCAATACGCTTAAATTTTCGACTGCTTTCTTCGGAGGAGCGGTGGCAAATGAGAGGAAGCTGTTCTGGATGACTATACATAGCGATTATTGTGGCCAAGATATGCAGCTAAGGAGTTTGGCGACGAGGTATAATGCGTAAGGGCTTGGAAATCCGAAGCCGCTGCCACACATGTTTATATCTGAAGTAGAAGATGCTAGGAAGATCTGGCTGTACTAGGAAGATGTCTCGCGAGAGTGGAGGACAAGGAAGATCCCGTCAGAGCACTGTCACTGTCACAGTGGCCAGCTCTAATCGGCGGGCACGATCCAATGTCTCCGTTTGCAAGAACATTCCATAAATTCGTGATCTACCGTGCCTCGTCGCACTGTGGCGAAGACGAAACATTCCTTTATGGTAAGGACATTCCGCGAGATCCCGAAACATTGTAACTGTACGCTCCACTGCATTTTCTGATCTAAGTGCAACATAATGGTAGGAAGGTTTACCCATGATACAGCAGTGTGATCATGTCGCGCTAGAGCACATGGCCACATTTCGGAGATCCAGAATTCAATGTGCTGGGCTTCATGTCTCAGCCCCAAGATAGAACCTAATAGAACCTACCGACGTGTATTTATCAGTGAGGGCACCCGAACTCCTTCTGACTGGACGTGTAGAGTACATGTGAGTCCTGGCCTTCGTGATCGTCTTTACTGACGGACTACCGGTTACAGCATAACAACGGCCTCATTCGTGTATCGTGTATAAATAGAATAAGCTCTCATAGCTCCTTTGGAACTTGGGGGCTATGCTCAGCGCTAAATATGGAGTGAATGCAAAATCCGCTTCCTGTGTGCGAGTGTAGATGAATTCTATCTAACGCTTCTCGGTCAAAAAACGGCAAAGAGCGTGTACATGAATAGCACGTAGAGCGATCTATCTTACCTGGTGACATTCTTCTCAGGCAGCGTATGTTAGATCCTATTTAGCTACTAGGATTCTGCGAGTGGGCGCCGATATTCATTAGCGATAGAGAGAAACAGTTGGTGGGTGAGTAGTATTCTCGGCGGAATATGACCTTAGGCCGGATTAGAAGCGATTATAACGCCCGGGATACACATAGTTTCACTTAACACAGTGACACTGATCTAAAGGACATAATATACTGACTGACCAAGAACTTTGGGCCAAGTCGCAAGACACCATTTCAGTTTTGAATCTCTGTCAAGGGGAGCAATCAACAGGAGTGCGGTTCGCCACAGTTAGGACCACATACGCGATCTAGTAGTCGTATCAGCAGGCCATGTATAATGTCACGATACTGCCTCCCTGTGAGATTACGATGTCGACCGCGGCATCAATCATATTTCTCATCGCCTAGATCCGACCGACTTCAAGTGCGGCGGTAGCGTGTTTGGGCTACATTTTTATACGTCGGAGTTCCCATGTTGCCGGTTTATATCTCGCACTCCGCTTAACGTTTTAGGAAGATGTGAATCTTAGGCTTCCGATGTAAAGTACTCCTCTACTTCCATCTACCCTTCTCCTTTCTCACGCCATCATCGGTGTGTTCATTTATATACACCACAAGGCTTTCTCTTCCTTATTGCGAGTCACCCTATTCTGTTTGATCCTCAGCAATGGCTCCGTTAAAATTCAGCATCTCCGTATTATTCATAATCTCTTACCTGGTCCTAGTCCGCTGTCTTCGATGGCGCCGCTATGACAAACTCCATATGAAGTACATGAAGCGAGACATCAATAGCCTTACGATGCGAGAGGCACAGGAAATTCTCCAGCTGTCGCTCTTGTGGGACATGCCAGACCTCGTGATCTACGCCTACTCATTCGCCCTCTTCAAGACGTATGGGATCGTACGTTTGCGTTTATGAGTTGGTATTTTTTAATCAACCTGATAATATTCCCAGCCGACTATATCTGAGTTATTGACCAACACGAATGAATTATCATGCGAGAGCAGTGTATCAAAACGGTACTCAGATGCGAGTGTTTTTCTTTTGTACTTCGGTTTCTGCGGGAATTTTTTTCTGAGGATAACTTTGCACTATGTACAGACCTCAATACTCGTCGGTGAGCTTTTACACAAATATCTCAATCGGCGTGCTGTATACTGATACATATTCGCCTGGAAATTACTTTGTTCGATCTCAAACCTGAAGCAACTTGGTTGAATTGCTGCATCACTGCTATGGTCGGCCAGCCCGGCGACTCACGAACTGAAACTACCATTGGAGCCGACGATCCCAGAGGTGCAATTGCGCTAGCTCGAGTAAACTGGCTTCATAGCAAATATAAAATAGTAAGGGTCACCGCTTACAGAACAGGAGCGGATCCATCGATCTTACCTGCGTTGAATACAGAGCAATGATGACTACCTATACACCCTGGCCCTATTCATTCTCGAACCAATTGTACGTACTCCCTGCGTTCGTAATGTGTTTCCCAGACTAAATCTCGCAAATGGACCGACTACACGTACTTCTTCAGACTTGGTGCTCGAAATGGGGATGGAGGCCTCTTTCTGACCTTGAGGCCCACGCTATGTTCGTCTATTGGCGCAATATAGGAGAGAATATGCATATCAAGGACATTCCGGAAACTCTTGATGAGCTTCGTGAATGGAGTCTAGTATGTTTCACCATGTGATGTCCCGAAGTACCTAGATAACTCACCCGTTCTTTTATCGTACTAAATAAAGAGCTATGAGACGACTGCGATGATTCCTAGACAATCCAATCATGACCTCGCCGAAGCCACTACTAACGAGCTTCTTGGTACAGTTCCGAACGGTCTTGGTTTGCGCACAATACTGCGGCATGTGGTCTGGGCATTATTAGACGAGAGAGTTCGGATAGCAATGATGTTGGTCACTTTTTTGCCGCTTATATTGAGGTGTCGACCACCGATATCCACAACTGATATCTGCACATTCTATCCACAGGTTTCCTCCACAACATCAAATACTTCATGGCACCATATCGATATGCCGCATGGCATTTATTCTCTTCGAGAGATACTGCTGTCTACCGAGATTTGGTCCACGCCTCTTCGTTAATGCACCACACAACATGAATATGACGCCAGACGATGGGTCCTCACTCCCACGCATGCACCCTGCCTGGTGAGCATTACAGTGCAGTATCAGTTCATGGATACATGTTCACCGCTTATACAGGTTCGCAGCTCGACCATGGTATCGGCGAGAGTCGAACGGGCTGCGGTGGATGGTAGAAAGGGTGGCTTTGGCGCTAGGGATGATAACGGTATATAAGATTCCGAGCAAGGAGTTGAAGAGTCAAGGATATAGACTTGAAGAGATGGTGGGTCAACATCCTTTATGTATGATAGAGATTCACTATGCTGATACACTATATATTTTAGGGCCCTGTTCGATTTGAGAAATGTCAGTTTTATCATCTTGGCTCTGCTCGGACTGGTGGCCTACTCATAACTCTTGATTTATAGCGGGGCATAAAGAAGTGTTTCCAGCATGAACACGACACTGCAACACTTTATCGTAGTGTAGGCGCAACATTGGATTGGTGGACACGTTCATTTGTTACAGGGAAACCCGCTGTATCGAGCCAGCGCAATTTAACTTGTGGCGCGAACTTGTAACTTGACTTGCCTGCCAAATCGGGCATGACTTAATGGAACAAACTTGTGGCACTTGCGTACCTCTCACTTGTGGCGCACTTGTGCTCCTATAATCCTCGATAACCATGTAGCTCACCAGCGATGACACCCATAAGTATCACACCTGGTGTGCCCTACATGGTTATTCTCCCTCTTCCCGTGTTGACGCGTATCTCAACTACGAATCTTTGTTACTCCTGCTCCGACTCGCTCGTCGATCACTTAGTCTCGGTTATAGCGGGCTTAAACCTCCACTGCGTACACTCTTGCGTAATGATTTCTCGAGCTAGCGCTGTAGCTGGAACCTACCCTCGGAGATTTGATTTGTCTAGACGGGCTATAGATGTCCAGCATGGCGATACGGGCCATTGCAAAGATGGAATCCTTGGGACCAACTTGGGACTTCCATCGATGATATAACCCTCCCGTTGAGGTCAAACAGAGCGGTAAACTTCACGCGTACGGGTTATATCTGAGTGGAGTCCCGAAGTCATTATGACCTCTTTCGACCATGGCGAAACACTAGCCTTTTGTTATCTCGATCTCTTAACGTTCTCTTCACTCTAGTTTTCCCGGTCAGCATGTGTCTGAAATACCTTTTCCGCTGCTACATTCAGCACACTGATCAACTTATGACATGGTGTATGATTCACTTGCGTGTGCTTGTGTCAAACTTGTATGACTGCAGTAATGCAAACTTGAGCAAACTTGTAGGGCCAAGTTTCTCAAGCGAGCTTGTAAAGCACGCATGCTGACTTGAAAGTTAACTAAGGTAGCCTAGTCTGTCGAAGTAAATGTGATCATCCAGTATATATCTAGTCGCTATGAAAGTCTCGCTGTACTTGGATACTGGGGACGCCCAAGTCATCGCTATTGGCATGCTAAAAGTGATGCTTTAGTGGGCACCAGTAGTGGAAAGCTCAGCATCGGTCAAGGTACTTAGTAGGAGGCAGGCAATACATTGATGAGCTAGCGCTTCTGATAAATACGATGGTCTTTGACTACTGTGTCCGCGGAGGCATCATCTACAGTATCCGAGTCCTTACTTGTGATGCTTGTGGTACAGAGGCAAACGGCCAGCTACCCGTTGGCGATTGTGCACGCGAACTAGTCAAACGCGTGATTACATGTAGGTATGTCCGACAAGGCATGGTAAGTGTTATACCAGTGGTAGAAGGACATATTGATGCCTCATGATCTCAGAGGTTTCACAAGTGTGCCAAGCTATACAAGTTCGTAAACGCAAGTTTGACAGCCAAGTGAGCTTGCAAACTTGCAAGTTAACTGGGACAAATTAACTTGTACACCGACAAGTTTGCGCAAGTTAACTTTTGGGCGTCGCAAGTTCGTATTACAAGTTAAAATGTGAACCCTCCGCTGTATCTCTTTGGACTCAGAAGGGCTAGAGTAAACTGAAGGCCTAGCCCACGGTCCCGAGATGGGACATCCGTATAGCTCTTCCGCGATGTGCATCAGCGGCGCCGTCTGTATTATTTGGTGTGGCACTGTAGATCAGGTAAACAATGGAGTACTAGGCTCGTTGTGATGCATGAGGTTTGTCTGTAGCGTTCTCCCATGAGGCATCTCTTTGTTATCCGCCTAAAAAAACTTGCAGGGTTTTTTTGAGCCCTCTATAGGGTCATTTGCAGCCGTTGTGTGAAGTTGCTCCGTGAAGTTTACGGTCGTGCTAAATGTTAGACGTGCATGCAAATGGAATTTCAGCGGAGTTCTTACTCCGCATGACCTGGTTCGCGTGGGATCTGCGATAACTTGGCGATGGCCCTCCTGTGTGAGATATTAATTCGCTCCTACTACAGGGTATGAAAGTGGTTATGCATACTTCTATATCGAGTTCGTGGAATATTTTGTTAAATATAACTGCTCGGTGATAGAGTATATATACCAATGAATCATTGGTTTCAGGTCAAAATTGGTCTCAGCTGCAATGTCCTCCGGCGCCGTGCAGAGTCACGTTCATAGCTCGTTTGGTCACATTCAGATATTTCTGGGACTATGATGGGCTTTCGGATTCCACCCCGAATGACAGTAGTACTATTCAAAGATGGAAGAGAACCCAATACACGCTCGATTCTTCTGTACTCCGTGTGATATCCTTAGTCCGTTTTGGTGATCGTGGCGGTATTGTGAATCGCTCCCAGCCCAACGATCATCAGAGTTCTGATAGGAATGTGCACAGATGTAGAGAATTCATCAAACGATGATAGTTCGAGCGTTCTGATTCTCTAGCGTAGGAGAGGGCTACTGCCTACATATAACAATTCTCCCGCTTCCGAATATGTATGCTGGCTCAACACGGTTTCTATTTTTACACAGAGCACTCTACGTCGCGAGTTTTGCGCGAGTTCCTCGAAAAATGACTCAGCCATTGAGTCCCTGTCATGTTCGGAAGTCATATCTAATACGACAACTAGCTAGTCGGAGAGTCCACAGCGTAACTCCATCCAGATGCCGAGCGTAGAGCCGATAGCGAGATCAGCTTAAATGGGAGTAGAATACAGCATTTACCTCGGCAGCTAAAGCTTCGCGGACAAGTTATTTTGAGATGCCGTACGCGTCCAATTCTATCACCTTCTGTAGCTTGATATCCGTTGCATACAAGAGCTTTCAGGCCATGCGGTGGCAGCGGCAGCTCACTCGTCCTCTCCCTCTCCTTGACAAAAAAAACTTAAATTGTATCTCCGACCATGTATCCCGAGACGTTCGAAGGATTCTGCGTTCAATCGCATAAGAATTGGTCCGACTTCAAGTCCCTTGAGGTATGTAAAATATCCCTTCGTCTCCTTCAGGTGTTAAGATGCAGCATACTGAATATTAAAAACGGTACAGTTCACACCGAAGCCGTTCGAAGAACATGATGTCGATGTCAGCGTCGAGTGCTGTAGTATATGCGGCAGTACGTGACCCGCCTTTTGATGTGCGGTTTTCTTCCGAAGTATTTCCTGAGCGTTTTCATTTATTCCGCTATAGGCGACATCCATACTCTTACAGGTGGCTGGGGCCCAAAAGGCTTTCCCCTTTGTGTCGGGCACGAGATCGTTGGCGAAGTGATCACAGTGGGGGCACTAGTTACGCTGTGCAAGGTCGGGGACAGGGTTGGTGTCGGTGCTCAAGTCCTCTCCTGCTTTGATTGCAAGGCATGCAAGACCGGGAATGAGAACTATTGCGCAAAACGCATCGGTACCATAACATTTCTCTCTATGAATTTTGTGATTATTTCTAATGCACCTCGTCCGTATGTCTAGGAACTTACGGAGTCAAGTACAGTGACGGCGTCATGTCTCAGGGCGGGTTCGCGAGCCACATTCGTGTACATGAGCACTACACCGTCCCCATCCCCGATGGCCTTCCCTCGTCTGCGGTCGCGCCCCTGATGTGTGCAGGTGTCAGTGTCTTTGGGCCTTTACGCCGGGCCAACATTGGCCCAGGATCGAAGGTCGCGGTGCTTGGCATGTGTGTATTATCTTGTTCTATCAAGTATCTCGGTTGCTGATAATTTAGTACTAGTGGCGGGCTTGGACATCTTGCACTCCAATTTGCACGCGCGCTCGGTGCTGAAGTATTCGCCCTATCACACTCTTCTAATAAGGAGCAGGACGCAATAGCATGCGGTGCACACCATTTCATCTTAACCTCGACGGAGAACTGGCACAAGCCTTTGCAGTACGAGTTCGATTTCATCATGAACACTGTCGATGTCGCACATACCTTCAACCTGCTAGAGTACTTCTCTACTCTTCGTATTCACGGCACATTCCACTTCGTCGGAATTCCAGATGCGCCGTTTCCGGATCTCAAGGCTTTCAATCTCCTTTTCCTTCGGACAGGTGCAAATATCGCTGGCAGCCATATTGGCAGCAGATCGGAGATGGTCAGCATGCTGGAAGTGGCGAAAGAGCATGGCATCCGAGCTTGGGTTGAAGAGATTCAATTGGGAGAGCAGGGGTGTAAAAAGGCAGTGGAAAGGCTCAGCATCAACGACGCACGCTTTCGATTCACGCTCGTTGGGTACGATAGAGCGTTTCCAAAGAGGGTTTCAAAGGCTTCCATCGAGTAAGGGGACACCGCTATTACTTACTATGATAACGAACAGTAGTATGTTTTTGTTGGTATTCACATCGTCCGTGCCTCTACTGTAGCTTCCCAGTGTACGTTACATGGGCTGCGTCTGGCTTTCTGGTTTTGTAGTTTGACTTTCCTGGGATACGACGTTACATTGGACAAGATATATATTGGTCCGTGGTCTTGGATGTGGCGAAGCCAGACATGTGGCCCAACGTGAAACCTTGAGCTACAGTGGAAGGTTTCGGTATCGAGGCCATCATACCCATTTGATCCCACCAAACCTCTACTCGAAAATCGCGTCCAACCACTTCGCGAGCCTGAACCCTTGCTTAGCGAGCTGCAGGTCAATCTTCGAACATAAAGCGAAGGCTTCGCATTAGCATATGCGAACCAGTAAAAGCATACGGCGAAGAGAAAATGCTCACAACAGGGATAGCAGACGTGAAATATGCAGAGTTACAAAGATCTTCGCCGGTCGTGAACGTGAAGACCTCCGACTATGGTCCAAGCAGTCACGACATACCCTCAGTTCCGCGGGCTGCAAGACATATGAGTAAAATAGAGGAAAAGACGTACACAATCGAACGAATTCGCTTCTTTCGCCCATACGAGAGGACAGGCGGTCGAACTGAGCGCAGAGGACGTGATGCAGCTGACCCAGCTGGCGGATAGGGACTTGAAGTCGCCGGTCTAGCAACACATCATCGAAGACCAAAATTCAATGCATATGGCTGGTGTGGCGGAGAGGAGTGCGACGTACGTTGATTCTAGAAACGAGGTCGGCGGCGTATACTTGAGGGTCCCCACCGTGGATGGCGTCGACATTCTTCACTAGCATGCCGGTGTCTGTGATTATATGGAGTCAGTTGCGGATCAGAGTTGGAGCTGTGGACGAAGGGCGCTACGTACCCCAGGCCTAGCATAGAAAGGCGTAAGACGGTGACCGAAAGAAATATCAAGGAGTACGTACAGCATGCAAGTTCGTCTTCGCGCCATCGCAAACTGCACTGATATCGTTGCCACCGAGCTCTAACGCCTGGATGTCTCGGTTAGCCATGCATCTCATCCGCGGCGAGTCGCAACCTCTGAGGAGAGACTGGGGTCGAGTGACCTACCTCGACGTGCAAAGGCTGGCCAATATCGCCGACAAACTACCCGTCCGACACAGGGCTCATTTCAGCTTCGACCAGCGAACAGAACTTGAATACGTACGTGAGCTGTTCAGAAACAATCAGTCACATAGTTTCGTTTCGATGGAGATGATGTTGTTGGGCAACTACTCACTAACGAATTTAAGCGCCTCCTGCCTCTGCTCCGCATCTAACTTCGTGTCGATAAGACGAGTCGTGTAGTTCTGGATGGCTGACACTGTCGATCACGAGCAACCGTCATCATTCATCAATAAGCGGTGTCAAGAAAAGATAGGATCGCTTACGAATGCATCCTTCACTACCACAGTCCCTCGACTGGACTACAGAACACATGTCCTGAAGCGGGGAGTCTATAACATCACAAGGTTCAGCGCATTATCCCTAATCCTCTCAAAAAGCACAATAACTGGAAGAGGAAAGCGTACCCTCAGCATCGATAAAATGAAACGGGGCGCTAAACGCGAACTCCTTCTCCGACCTGACTTCGTCCGCCCACTATCAATAAATCAGTTAGAGTCTATGATAGGTGAGTAAGTAGAGCGAGAGGAGTGGGGTGGGGTGCGTACGGGAGCGGCGGGTCCGAGGGAGAAGTTGTACTGCGATCCAAGGGACGACTTGACGAAAGACAACGTATCTGGTCCGATGAACTATTGTACGTATATCCCAATCGTAGTCAGTTGAGCGATGTATCGCCGGCACGAGTAAGTGTCGAGGAAACATGAGAACTCACAGACATCGCGATATACCTATTAATCATCACACGAAAGGAAACATTAGCTAGCCAGAAACTGGCCCAATAGTAAAGGTGGGGAGGTGAAGAACGAACCCGATAGTCTCATGTCCAACATTTCCCCAAGCCGCCACCGCATTCGGGCCAACACCAACAGCGATCGCAGCAACAGCCTGAATCGAGGTAAACTTCATCTCGTCAATCAGTTCCAACGTGAAAGCGCTCTGTAGTCGCGATGCGATCAGTGACTGGCTACCATTTCTCCCTCCCAGAAGGGGTCGTCTTTATCTACTTATACGATGACCCAGGGAACTCAAGGTACCTACGCCCATGTGGCATGCCGGACAGTGAGAAATATGGCCAAAAATATGTGTTTGCACGTTTGAAGAAGGGACGGATATGCATATGCACGCTGCACGCTGTGGGGGTTTTCTTGGCGCGGTTGGTGGAGGATGAGGAAATGCAGCCGCTGGGGGTGTTGAGGGAGATGGGAGAATAAACCAGGTACGGTCGATCGTGTAGATTGGATTGAGAGGTCTCGGATGACCGAGGGCCGGAATTGGTGTCAGATGCGTCCAGAGAGTTAATGCCAATCAATGAATCTTAGAAAAAACGTTGTGGTGTTAATATAGAGAAATACAGAAAGGTAGAGCACTCACCAGTTCGGAGTTGGCTCAACGCCATAAGCCCACAGCCCAAGGAACGTCCTGGTCCGCTCCGAGCCGACCCAAAATAATTCGCCAGAGTTCAGGAGCATACGCCGAGATAGTGCACTGCCATGACTGATAGACGATAAAGAAATCCACTGTGAGATGTCCCGGCCAAAAATGAAGCAAGTGTCGAAAGGTCGATGAGCAGAGAAGCGCGTGAGACATCCGGGAGCAGTAGGGCCACAAGAGAGCAGAACGATCCAGAAAACAAGGAACAACGTTCTTTGCGATTATTTTAGCAAAGCAGGCATGTAGGAAGATGACCACCGTGCGTGGTAGGTCCATCGCGATGATGAGTTTAAATCAAGTGTCGCGTCTGCACGAGCAGCACTACGAGAAGATAGACCTCCAACTGAAACGGTGTTGATTGCAGCAGACAGAGAGCAACCCACGAGCAAATATACCGAGGCACCGTCCTCAGCACAACACCACACGCCAAACACCGTCCAACACTCCTCTGCACCGATGGTACTCATAATCACCGCTTCCCCCTCCCTCCCGCCTTCCCACCACCACCTCCACCGCCTCTCTTCCTCGAAGCCTTCCCACCCGCCCTCTCCGCCTTCTCGAGCTTCCTCGCCCTCTGCTTCGTCTTATCCGCCTTCCTCGACGCATTCGTTCCATACTTCTTCTTCGTCTCCGTCCGCTTTTTAGGTTTTGATGATGACGGCGCTGAAGTGGATGATGATGGGTCGGTAGGGTTGGCTCTGGATTTGCCTTTTGATGTGATTAAGCGTCCTGAAGGATCGCGTGAAGGAGCGGGAGGAGTGGCGATGGAAGCGGTGGTGAATGGGTCGTTGGTGGTAGAAGAGGAGGGACCGTGGATGAGTGTGTCGGGGTCGAAGTCTTCGACTATTGTTACTGTGGCGAGTTGCTCGTCGTCTGAGAATTCTTCTTCCTGTTCTTTAGGCTTCGAGCTCGAGCCGACGCCGGTCCATTCTTCGTCCTCCTCGTCGCCATCTGCGATTGTATGAGAACGGCTGGGGATGTATATGAGATGAAAGTGCGCACCGAGTGCCATGCCGCCGTAGGCTGCTTCTACTTTTGCTGCGTTCTCTACGGCTTGTTCGGCTAGCATACGACGTTGCTGGTAGGGAGTCAATGAATCAGTTCTTTTCGTGTGCGGTACGGATGGACGGTTGAGAAGAAAGAATAAGATAACATACCTCTCTCCTCGCCTCCAGATGTTCCTGCTTATCCCTCGCAATAGCTTTCTTCTTTCCTTCCTCTTTCTTCGCCAGTTTTCGTTTATGAAACCCGGTCAAGAAGTCTCTGCAAATAAAAAAAAACATAACATGACAATTCATTCAGTCTGATGGTATGTGAGACTTGGATACGAACACACCTCCGAGCATCATCATCGAATAGGATCTCCTTTATCTGTTCCTTCCTCTGCCTCTTCTTCGCAGCGATGATGTTATGCGACTTAGTGAGAGTCGCGAGATTGGAGGACATTGTGGGTTCGTTGGTATCTCGAGCTGATCCTGGCTGTAATTTCGACGAAGAAAAAGGTCGTGAGTTGGAAGTAAGAGACGGAGCCCGAGTTTACAGACGGTCGAAGAGCAAGTTTCAAATCAAATTCGACCGTTGCGTGCAAAATAGGCCGTGCGAACTGTGGCGCAACCTCCTCCTAAATTACAATGCCCCACGCCACATTTTTTAGCTCAGCGACGACTCCTGACTCCACTCTCGAGTCCCACCACGAACGTTTTCAGAATCGGACCCGAATTTCTAACCCATCGTCGCCGACAACTTCTGTGCTGGGTCACACAGTGCCTCTAGCTCTCTAGCATCTTTGCTTCACTCAAGAAATCTCATAGACCTCTGTGCTCGTTCAACATCGGCCGACATCTGCTTCTGTATCGATATCTCTTGGATCTTGTAGCTCTATTTCTTGCATTCTTGCTCTTGCTCTGGTGGCAGCCATGCCTAGAGGTGGTAACAATCGCGGAGGACGTGGGGGAAGAGGAGGAGGAAGAGGATTCTCCAGAGGCCGTGGTGGCGGACGGGGAAGGGCGAGAGGAAGAGGAAGAGGCAGTGGGCTTGGCTTCATGTCCATTGACGACGACGATTTTGATTTTGCGCTCGATGTGCGAGGGAACGGTGCGTATTTTTCCCGATTTTTGTTTGTCTTCGTGATTTGTTGCATTTTCTTTTTGGTTGACTTTTGAGAACGATTGGACGGTTGGGCATTATGTTCGTTCGCCAGTTCGATACTTGCCATCTCTTGGTAGAGCTCTCATTGTATCCCAATAGCTTGTCTTCTGTGACTGATACGTTGTCTTGAGTGCGATCTACATGACTTGCTTTACCCCTGTGGCACCCTCTATCTTCGCCATAGCGGCCTCTTACTCTCATCACAAACGATGATTTCTACACATATCTCCTTCTATTTGTTTCGTATGCTTTGTGTATTCCTAACTCAAAACATCCCTCTCTTTTCACCACAGATTCTCCCCGCTCTCGCGGTCGCGGCCGTGGCTCAAATACACCAAGAGGCCGGGGTGCCCCATCTTCCCCCTCGACTCCCTCACATCAGAATAACCAGAACTCGAATCAAAACCAAAATTTTCCCTCTCGCGGCCGTGGTCGTGGTCGTGGCGACTTTATTCCCAATGACCCCCGAGGCGGTCGCGGTGGTCGTGGCGGTAAATCCACACGCAAGACATTCGGACCCCTCTCTGAGCAGCTGTACCAGGAAAGACCGTTCTTGCGGCCTATCACGTTCATCAAGAGTCAGTTGACGCCGAGATTGTTCATGGATGAGGAAGAGATATTCGAGCCTGTTGTTGAGGCGGCTGGTACGTTCATCTTTGGGCGACTTATCTATACTTTACTATCCATCGATCTACCATCATGTCCTGTCCTGCTTTTCAAGAAAGGTCTCCTTCGATCGCTGCGTGTCGTTTATTGCGCCGTGTCTCTACAAACGATACAGCTCTTTGTGACATCGTGATATAGCTACAACTAGGGTTGATTGGTTGGTTCATTCACTGACTGATTGCGTTTGCGTGTAATCAGGAGAAGAAGAAACATCCCACGTCCCCACCGCAGACCGCGTTTTCCAAGTCTTCCATACTGGTGAGAATGAGCTCGAAGAGATTGATTTTGAGGATATGGGCAAGTTTCAGGAGAAGGTCGAGGCTTTGGCGGCTACTTCGCTCACCACAGCCGCAACCACTACCACGACGACGGCTGTTACCACCTCCGCCCCTCTCCTTAACAACGTCACCACCATCTCCGACAACGTACCACAGCTGACCACCAACTCCGCCCTTGTCTCCGCCGAGGCTGCCGATTCACCTACTGTGCGCCCGGTCTCTCTAGCGGAGGAAGCTGATATCGTGGAAGTATCATTGGAAAGGTTGAGCTTCAGGGAAGAAGTCACAGCGATACACGCGGAAGATTATCGTGAGATGAATTTGGCAGAGAATGCAATGGTTGAGGGACCAGGAACCGCTGAGATTATAGATGTTCGCGAGCCCGAGGATAACGAGGAGGGGAAGGTTAATACGGGTGAGAGGGTTGAGCAGGAAGAGAGTCAGGAAAGGATGGACACTCAAATCCATGTAGAACGACCGGAAGCAGAAAAGGAAGAAGAACAGTTCACAGGCTTTTTCATCGATACCACACCTGCCCCGAACGGTAATACTCAGCAGCGTATACTTGTGGATCGGGTGGAGGGCGACGTCCGACCGTTGGGACAGGGCTCAGAGCGGGAGCAGGATCAGGACGATGAGGTTATTGTATATGTGGCGCCGCACCCGAAGGTTTCGGAGGTGGCGATGGCGGAGGAGGAGGAGAGGGAAGGGAGGGAGAGGGAGAGGGTCGAGGCGACACTGCTTCCACCGTTCAATCCCCTGACGATGTCGTTCCCTACTCTTGCGTCCTCGCTCGCCTCGTCGTCCACTATTTCCCCTCCATCCATCCCTACTCCCTCCACAGCCAGTATCGAAACACCAACCACAAACACGACTCCCCACCGTCCCCCCCGCCAATTCACCTCTACCACATCATCCTCCAGCACTCTCCGCACCCCCCGCTCCCTCCTCAAATCGCACAACCCCCGCTCCGGAAAAATCAAACGGCGAGCCCAAGAGCGGAAAGCGATGTTTGGGACATTCGGGGGTATCAGGAGAGGAGGGTTCGGGAGTTATGGAGCGGCGATGGATGAGAGGAGGGTGAGGAGGGAGGGGAGAGAGGTTGATCCGAGGGAGGGGGAACAGAGGAGGGGGGAGAGTGATGTGGATTGGGGAGATGGTTCCGATTCCGATGAGGACGGTGAGGGGGTGGGAGAGGTTCGGGGCGGGATTGGGGGGCTGGAGATCGATGGTGGTGAGGGGAGGGAGTTGTTGGGCGGTGAGGATGGTGGGATGCAGGTTGATGTGGGTGGAGAGGGGGAGGGTGATTTGCAGGCTATGATGGCGTTCGTGAGGGGGATGGGGGCGGAGGCATCGAGACATGTTACTATGGATGAATTGGAGGATGAGGAGAGGATGAAGAGGGAGGATGCGGAGGAGAGGAGAGGAGGTGGGAGAGGGAGTAGTGGTGAGGAGAGTGGAGAGGATGGGGATGGAATGGATGAGGAGATGGAGAAGGTGTTGCAGGTTGAAGAGAGGCAGTTGATCGCAGAGGCTGGAGATGACGTTGAAGAAGATGATGATGATGACTACGAAGACGACTCGTCAGACGATGAGGACGACGAGGACCTACCCTCCGGCAGCTTCCAAGCTCGCCTCGAACGTCTTCGCGCACGCTCTCGTGGGCGTCCCATCCTCGACATGCTCGAAGAAGAGCTCGACGCTGAATACGACGACTTTGACCCCTCGTTCAAGTGGGAGACAGGTGGTGATGCGGATGAGGACGATCTCGTGGCGCAGGTGCAGGAGTTCTTGGATGAGAACGAGGATATATTGAAGGCAAGGGATAAGAAGCAGCGGAATAAGATCTTCAGGGCGGTTCAGAATGGGGATTTCGATATGGGCGATGCGGAGATGTGGGGTCTCAAACCAGCCAGTGCGTACACCTTATTTCATTCATCCATTCCTCGTTTTTTTTTCTTTCACTCGTACTCACCATTTTCTCTCTCATATCTCATTCTCTTACGGGTCTACAGAGCGCAATAAAGACAAAGACGTCCCTCCAGAGCTCCAAGCTCAATGGGCTAAAGACCGCGCCAAAAAAGCCGAAGCCAAACTCGCCCGCGACCAAGCCCGCCTCGAAGCCGCCGCCGACCCCTTGGCCAAAAAGAAAGGCGGGAAGAAAGGCCGAAAAGCCATGCTCCTCGCCGCCTCGCTCGACCCTACCATCACCACGCTCCCGAACCGGGTCACCGACCTCGCGTCCGTCGAGGCGCAGATCCGTCGATTCTTGGCGGATATTGGGGGGAGTGGGTCGATGGTGCTACCCCCTATGGCGAAGGACTCGAGGAAGGCGGTCCATGAGCTCGCTGCGGCGTTTAATTTGAAGAGTGAGAGCAAAGGGAAGGGAGATGGGCGGTATACGACGCTGAAGAAAACGACGCGGAGTGGATTCAAGGCGAATGAGAAGAAGGTCCGCGGTATCATGAGGAGCAATGGCGTATATGTGAACGTGACGAGGGGAGGTGGCGGCGGAGGAGGAGGAGGCAAGGGGGGTACCATGAAGCCGAAGGAGGGAGAGGAGGTGGGCAAAGCAGCACCGAGGATTGATCGGGGGAATATTGGGTTCAGGATGTTGGCGGCGATGGGGTGGGCGGAGGGGGACAGGGTGGGTGCATCGGGAGGCTTGGATGTGCCGTTGACGGCGATTGTGAAGACGACGAAGTTGGGGTTGGGGGCGGAGTTTGATGATCGGAGAGGCAAGAAATAAATAAAATGGAAGTCAACCTGCCTGTATTTCTTGCGTTTATTTGGAAGTCTATTGCGCGTCTTGTCTCTTCATGCTGTGAACTGTATTCACTGCTGCTGTACCGAGGATTCCGAGAAACCTGAAGTGTGGCCCAAGTATGTTGACGCCAATCTGACGGTTCCACTCAAACATCAACCTGGAGCTCCACGGGTGCTACACCCACTACAAGCAAGTTTTTCCACCGTTCTCACTCTACTCACACACCTTCCAAACGATGTTGCCCTTAGGAAACAATATTGTTTCGGGTATTGCACTGGGTGTTGGTTCCATGTGCTCATAAATATGTCAACTCCCCGACGCCCGCGGCCAGAGCGATAACGTCGAGCGCAATCAACGCGGTCCTACGCCGACTGCGATAGTCGTGTGTGCCTTACCCCACAGGTGATATCTCCTCCAGATTTGTCTCTTACATTTGTTGAAGATTGGCTCAGACGGGTTCAACAAAACAGACGGAAATTGGAAACAGGTTTGCGCGCTTTATTATAAAGAGGACCGTAGCGCTAGGTTTGACCTTGTGGGCGCGACTCTTCCCTCCACGCTCACACTCGTCGTACTCCTAGTCACCATCCCCAGCTTAAGTCACAATGAAGAGCGCGTCGTTCTTCTCGGCATTCGGTGCTATTCTTCTGGCTACGGTTTCCACGACGTGCAAGGCGAATGACAATCACGACCATGGCCACACGGATGTTCACGCGTTTAATGTATCGTCTCAGACGCTCACCGACCCCTACCCCTACTACTTCCCCGTCTCTGATGCTCAGAAAGAAGATGAGACTCCGTTTCCGATGCCGCTTTGTTATGGGACGCGGGTAGAGGAGGCGAGTATCGTGCAGTTGCAGGGGTATTTGACGGATGGGACGTTGACGAGTGCGAAGCTGTTGGAGTGTTATTTGAGGAGGATTATGCAGGTGGATACGTTTGTTGAGTGCGTATTTTTCTGTCTTCGTTTTCACTCTGTGTTCTGTGCACAGGTTATATCATCGAATGGTGAGCGTCGAGTGTGTGGAGCGGGCGTTTATCTACGCCACTGTGGCACCAGGCAGATAGGAGTTTGGCGCCCAGCTATTTATAGTTTCCCTGGAGCTCGAGTACACCTGCTGCACAAAGTTCGATATTCGGGCCCAAATGCAGAATTGATACCATATTATGGGCCTCAGCGAAGGCCCTCACATTGCACTCCGTGAGCCTAGGGAGCTGCGACGATCCCTTGGCTTGAATGCAGTAATATAGCCCTCTACGATTATTGTAGATTGAGGATTTCTTTCATGCCTGAGAGATCAATGGCACTGTAACTTTATGTTCTTCCCATTTTCATCCACTTCCAACCGTCCACATATTACTAACACCAACCCCCATCTATAACAGGGGCATAATGGAACTCAACCCCGACGCCTTCGAAATTGCGCACGCCCTCGACCTCCAACGCTCACAAGACAACTTCACCCTCCCCTCACCCGTATACGGCATCCCTTTCCTCGTCAAGGACAACATCGCCACCAAGGACAAAATGCAGACTACTGCAGGATTCTGGGGCCTCATCGGCTCCGTTGTCCCTCGAGATGCGCACGTCGTGAAGCTGTTGAGGGAGGCTGGAGCGTTGTTATTGGGACATGCGACGCTGAGCGAGTGGGCGGATATGAGGAGTAATAGTTATTCGGAGGGGTACTCGCCAAGAGGTGGACAAGCGAGAAGTCCGTATAACCTTACCATGGTCAGTTTCTCTATCCTCTATGCCATCGTTTCCATGTTCAGCTCGTCTTGTTCTCCTCTCGTTGAAATATGCATCGATAATCATTGTGTCGTGTCTCTATTCAGAATGGCGGTGGCTCCTCGACCGGAAGCGCAGGTGCCGTCGCAGCCAACGAAGTCACCTTCGCCCTAGGCACCGAAACCGACGGTTCAGTGATCTCACCCTCCGAGCGTAACGGCCTCGTCGGTCTCAAACCCACCGTCGGTCTTACTAGCCGCAAGGGCGTCATTCCGGAGAGCGAGCATCAGGATACGGTCGGTGTATTGGCGAGAAGCGTGGCGGATGCGGCTGCTGTGTTGGGTGTTATCGCGGGTGTGGATGAGCGGGATAATTATACGTTGGCGCAGGTGGAGGAGCCAGGGAGGACGTTCACTGGTGAGGTTTATTTTTGGTGACAACTCACGTTTGAGTGTCTGCATGCTGACTTTATTTTGTTTTGTTTCTTTTGAAACGTCAGATTACACCCAGTTTCTTGCTAATTCGAGTGCGCTCGAAGGTGCTGTCTTCGGTGTTCCGTGGGAGAGCTTCTGGGTGTATGCAGAGGCTGATAACCTACCTGGCTTATTCGCGGCTATCGAGGCTATCGAATCTGCTGGAGGCACTGTTTTGAATGGAACGGAGATTCCGAACTACGCGACCTTCATCTCGCCTGACGGCTGGGATTGGTTCGTCCATCATCCACACCTTCTTCCATTCACTTCTTAACTTGTGCACTGCGATATCCGTATTCAGGGACTACGGCACCACGCGCGGCTTCCCCAACGAATCCGAATTCACGGTCGTCAAAGTAGACTTCTACAACAACATCAAGACGTACCTCTCCGAGCTCTCGAACACCAACATCCGCTCGCTCGAAGACATCGTGGCGTATAATTATGCGAATGACGGGACGGAGGGAGGCACGGCGGGCGTGCATCCGGCGTTCAAGAGCGGGCAGGACAGCTTTTTGGCGAGTTTGGAGACGAAGGGGGTGAGGAATGAGACGTATTGGCAGGCGGTGGAGTATTGTAAGAGAGGAGCGGGGGTGGAAGGGATTGATGCGTGCGTCCTATTTTTCTTTTCTTTTCTTTTTTGCTTAGTATTTTTTGGGAAATGGATCACTGATTCTCGCTTGTGTTCAGAGCCCTCAAGTATAACAAAACGGATGGTATCATTGGCACCCTCGATGGTCTCCTCGTTCCCTCCAACGTAGGCCAATCGTACCAAGTCGCCGCCCAAGCTGGTTCGTCACATCGTCTCTCCCTCCCTCCTCGTTCCCATTTCCTTGATTATAGGCTTCGGTCGCCCTTACCTGCCTTATTATATCGTGCTACAGGCTACCCGATGATCACTTTCCCCGCCGGCGTCAACAACAACGCGATGCCCTACGGCCTCGGAATCATGAACACCGCCTGGTCAGAACCACTGCTCGTCAAGTGGGGCTCGGCGATTGAAGATCTTCTGAGGACGAAGGGCACGGTGCGACCTACGCCGAAGTGGTGGATGTACACGACGAAGAATATTCCGGTCTTGTATGATTCATGAGACGGATGGTCTTCGTTAACCGTCTTCCCCTTGCGTCCAATTGCAGGCTGTCTTGCAATATTTTTTGTTCCTTGACATGGCTATTGACGGTATCGATATCAGGCACGCCAGGGTCGTTTCATCCGAGTGGAGGTCACCACGCCTTGAACTGTCCTCGAGATCTGATCGCCGAACGACTGATCTGTCGTCATTTGAGGCATTTCACCGATTTGGCATGGATATCCCCTGGTTTCCTAGGGACCGCCAGGCACGATGTTCGCGGCCCGTCTTTTCATTATGGGTGGTTCAATGGCAATTCAATGGACTGAATCAGAGTCCTTTTGGCTCGACGTTCATATGTTGGCTTGTTGAACGCGATGCTGGGTCTTAAAGATGCACTCGCGCGCATAGCTTCATGGCCTGGTCATTTGAGTTGTCTCGTCGCGTTTCCTGATCCTTCTTCAAGCTCCGATCCAGCCCGTTTCTACATACACATTCACAGTATCATAAACACTACCCTGCACGTCGTCGTCTGTTCCGACCTCCGCATACTGCGCACTTACGACCCACATAGTCCTGAACGCTCGGATGTTGCTCCTCGGTATGTTCTCGCAGCGAAAGATCAGAGGTTGCAGATGCGACAGCATACCCTAGAATACCAAGCCAACCGCGCAGCATTCATGGATGCACCTGTCCTTCAACTTTTCCTGGCCTCGTTCTGGAACTTGTCAGTTTGTTTTCGGTCGCTATTTAGTATGTTTCCGTTGACAACCGCGGTTCAAGATGATGGTCCATGATACTAGGTCACACATGGGCACCATTCCATCGCACTGAATCATCACTCTAGACCATGCTCGCTGACAATTGTCGAGGTGCACGACGCCGGAAGTATATAAGGACTGAGGACGCTCGACATTCGATTTTCCTCATCAAATTTTCTGTTTCTCGTTTGTTCGCCTCCGCTGGTCTTATCCTCCGCCACTTTGTTGTGGCTGTTGGCTGTACCTGACGACTTGCTAGTCGAGTCTCCTTACCTTCATTTTCCATTCACATTCATTTTCTGCTCCTGCGTCCGCAACTGCTGTCTGTCTTCGACCCAGCACACCTTGATCAGCCGCATCTGTCACTTCAATTTACACAAGACACTTCTCGATATCAACTATGTTTGTATTCAAGTCTGCGGCTCAGGCTGGCGCTGTTCTGGCTTTCGCACAACTCGTGCGTGGACACGGCTATGTCCAGTGAGTTCTCCCTCCAGGCCGTATTCTTGTGATGGAGGTCTCATACTCACGGGATCTGTTGCGTGAATAAAGGGAGCTTACTGTCGGTGGTACGGATTACACTGGCTACCTTCCTTACAACGACCCTTACACCACCCCGTATGTACCCCCTCCCCTCTACCGTCCGCAGGGAAGCTAAACCAGTTCGCGCGTTCCTTCAGAACTCCCACTCGGATCGTCAGGTCTTTCACCAGCAACGGTAAGACATTTACCTCCTCGTCGTATACTGCAGATACCTGACGGTTGGAATCGTACTACAGGTCCTGTTGCTGACTTCACGACCGACACAATCACATGTAACGACGGTGGAGACACCGCCGCTGGCGCTAGCGCCACTGTAGCCGCTGGTGACCAGGTAGAGTTCTTCTGGACCGCCTGGCCTTCCTCCGTAAGTGCACAATATTGTCGAGTTTGGTGCTTTTCAGCTAATGTATCTCGGACCGTCACGTAGCATGAGGGTCCTACCATGACCTACATGGCCAAGTGTGACTCCGACGACTGCTCAACTTTCTCCGGACAGGATGTAAGCCGTTGACCCATCGACGCACCGTCCTTTCCTAGCTCACCTTTCTTTCGTTCTCAGGGAGACGTCTGGTTTAAGATTGACCACGCTGGTCTCAATGATGACCTCACCTGGGCTTCTGACACCCTCATTGCCAACAACGTAAGTTCGTCACCCTGTGGTTTTTCACGTTAGTCTCAATATTCTCGTCCACAGAACTCCTGGACCGTGACCATCCCCGACGACATCGCACCTGGTGGCTACCTCCTTCGCCACGAGCTTTTGGCACTCCATGGTGCCAGCACTGTTCTTGGTGCTCAATTCTACCCTATGTGCGCCCAGCTCGTCGTCACCGGCAGCGGTACCGCCGAGCCCTCTGGTGTAGCCTTGCCCGGTGCCTACGCCACTGATGACCCTGGTATGTTTTCTTCATTCTTTACCGGAGCTCATCCATTCACGCTATTGTACAGGTATCCTCATCAACATCTACTATCCCACGGTGACCAGCTACGACATCCCTGGTGAGTATCTATTCATGTGAAATTTTGGGTAGACGTTGACCGTGAAGTGTGCTGTAATTAGGTCCTACTGTGTATACCGCAGGTGGATCCACCGGTTCAACCGCTGCCGCTAGCTCATCCACTGCTGCAGCCTCTAGTGCCGCCACATCCGCCGCCGCATCCGCCGCCACATCCGCTGTCACTTCAGCCGCTACATCTGCCAGTGTCACGTCGGTCGCAAGCTCATCTGCCTCTGCCTCCAGTGCTACTGTCACCTCTGCCGCCACCTCATCCAGTGCCGTTGCCGCCGTTTCAAGCTCAGCCTCTGGTGACGCTTCTGCCTGCCCCGTCCCATCTTCATCCGCATCGTCCGCTGCTGCCACCGTTACGTCGGCCTCTTCCGCCGCCGCCATTACGAGCTCTAAGGTAGAAACTAGCGTCAAGGCTTCGTCGAGCGCCGCAGCGACGACTTCTGTCGCCAGCTCCATTATCTCCTCTTCCGCAAGACCCACTGCAGCAGCATCATCCTCTGCTGCGGGTGACGCTGGCTCCTGTCCTGCCCCATCCGCCTCAGCCTCCGCCTCCGCCTCAGCCTCTTCCGTCACTGGTAAGACCAGTGCAGCGACTTCCGCTGCAGCCTCTGCTGTAACCAGCAAAGCCAGCGCATCTGGGTTCACGACCGTCAAGAAGAGCTCCTCTGCCGTCGCAGCCAGTTCTTCTGCTGCAGCAAGCGCAGTTACCAGCGCGAAGACTTCGACGACTGCCGTCGCAGCTTCCGCTACCGCCTCTGCGTCCGCATCCTCAGTCTCAGACGCGTCCGCTTGCTCCGCTTCGACGTCGGCGACTGCTTCAGCGGCCGTCAAGAAGCGGAACCCGGTCAGGGAGAATGCGGCGGCGAAGAAGAGGAAGGCTGTTAGAGAGCTTGATGCGATGGAGCGTCTGAAGAGGAACGGGAAGCTGGGGAGGTCGATTTTGAGGAAGTAGAGTTTTTTGTGGTGGTCTCGCCAATTGTGGCTCTTGATTGGGTCTTCTTCGTTGTCTTCTCCCCCTTTGTCTCACCTCTATTCTTTCCCGTTGTGCAAGGCCACGAGCGTTTTCCATTATTTAAATTTTGTGGCGTAGAAGTAGCATGCTACTCGTTGTACAATGTAGTGTACCCTCGCTGGCAATCGATAGCTGGTCCTCCATAACTGCAACAGAGTACTTATCCGTGAATAAGGCCATAACACGTATCCAAATAAACGCAAGCATTTGAACATCCAGTCCATGAGATGAGAACCATGAGCCCAGACGACAGCGAATAGATCGCGAAAAAGATACAGCAGATATTCATTCTTGCGAAGGTAAAATACATACAATCAAAGCAAGCGCGTGACTTCCAGTTTCCATAACCTGCGATCAAACTAAATCATAATGAAACCGTCCATCATCTACCGTAACGATACGGAAGCCCACCCCCAAACGACCTCTATCACAACGCGAACGAGCCCCACCACGTCACCCGACTCAAGCCTTGATCTGCGGCCCAGCCAACCTCACCTTCTCCTCCACATCCTTCTCATACAGCGCGAACGCCTTCACGAACATCCCCGCCAGCTTCTTCACCTCCTTCTCGAACGCAGCCCTATCGGGCCACGCGAGGCTCGGGTTCAACAGCTCGCGAGGAACGCCCTCGAGGCCGGTCGGGATCGAGAGGTTGAAGGTCTCGAAGGTCTCGAAGTTGGCCTTGGCGAGCTCGCCGGAGTGGACGGCGTCGACGATGGCGCGGGTGTACTTGAGCGGGCAACGCTTGCCTGTGCCGTACTTTCCGCCTGTCCAGCCGGTGTTGATGAGCCAGCAGTCGACGTTGTGCTTGGCCATACGCTCGGCGAGCATCTCGGCGTAGCGGCCGGGCTGGAGTGAGATGTCAGGGAGAGAACTAGGATGGAGATAGAGAAGAGAAGACGTACGTGAAGGACGATGAAGGGAGCGCTGTAGCAGGTAGAGAAGGTGGGGATGGGCTCTAGAACACCGTCCTCGGTACCTGGTGTTTTCCTGAAAAACGATAAGCAAGTGTGGCAGCTCCAAAAAACAGAAGAATAACTCACGAGGTATAACCGGCCAAGAAGTGGTAGCTGGCCTGCTCTGGTGTGAGCTTGCTCACAGGGGGAAGAACACCGAACGCGTCGCATGTCAACATGATGATGTTCTTCGGTTGTGAGTCGACCGAGCAAGGGATCCTAGCGTTGGGGATGTACTCGATCGGGTACGCGCACCGTGTGTTCTCGGTGATGCTGATATCGTCGTAGTCTGGTACCCTGGAGTTCGGGTTGTAGACGACGTTCTCGAGGATGGAGCCGAAGCGGATAGCGTTGAAAATCTCGGGCTCCTTCTCTGCGGAGAGGTTGATACACTTGGCGTAGCAGCCGCCCTCGATGTTGAAGACACCGGTGTCAGACCAGACGTGCTCGTCGTCGCCGATGAGGAGACGGTTAGGGTCGGCAGACAGTGTGGTCTTGCCGGTACCAGAGAGACCGAAGAAGAGAGTAACATCGCCCTTCTCCATACCGACGTTGGCGGACGAGTGAAGGGAGAGCTGGCCAAACTTGACGGGCTGGAGATAATGCTGCAGTGAAGATTGGTGTCAGTTTGAAGACTTGATCAACTCGTGCGGCGAATTTACCATAACGGAGAATACGCCCTTCTTCATCTCACCGGCATACTCGGTTCCGAGAATAACCATCTCCATGCGCTTGAAATTGATCTCAACGGAGGTGGTTGAGCTCATGCCCTTGGTGAACCTATTTGCGGGGAACTGGCCAGCGTTGTAGATGATGAAGTCTGGCTCGCCGAAGGTGGCGAGTTCCTCTTCCGTTGGTCGGATGAGCATGTTGTTCTACACGCCACACTAGTGAGTAAGTACCCTAGAAAGGAAGGAGGAGAAACCTGGTCACGCGGGACGTACCATGAAGAGGGCATGATAGGCACGAGCGCAAATGACGCGGACCTTGATCCTGTACTTTGGGTCCCACTGGTGATAGGAGGTGTTAGCGACAGAATCAGAAGCAAAGTTTTGGAGCGATGTGGAGGATCGATGAAACTCACGCCAGCGTATCCGTCGAAAACGTAAACATTGTCGCGGGTGTTGAGGTAGTCAATAGCACGCTCGCGGTTGATCTCGAAGGTATCTGGAAGGAGAAAGCATTCACATACCCCAGGTTAGCTCTGCTGCCCACAAGGTCCGAGACAGAACAAAACAGTAGACTGACGTTCATCCATTTTGATGTTCACGCTGCCCCACCAGATATCATCCTTACTCGTCTCCTCGAATACGATACGTTTGTCCTTCGGAGACCGTCCGGTCTTCTTTCCAGAAAAGTTGATGAGTGCGCCTGAAGAGGAAATGATGGCACCCTCATTCCGGATGGCGTCCTCGTAAAGCAGAGCCACGGGTGCATTCCTCTTGAGCGTGATCTTGTCCATGTCGAAACCAGCCTGCGAGAAGTACTCGATGTCCTGGCCGATGACTGTAGTGCAAATCGATGAGTTCAACGTTTCGCAAGTCGAATAGGGGAAGCGGATGGAAAAGTGAGACATACGGTTTGACAGTTGCTCATTGTCGAAAGCTTGAGCATAGTTCTTGTGAAGGATGTGTGGGGTAACGTAGGGGGTCATTGAAGGTGGGAACACCATGATGGGCTATGAGATGCAATCCGATGAGTATATTTTCTCGACATGTTTGCTGAAGGTAGATCGCGAGACCAATATTTTGCACGTCGCGAAAAATGTCCTAAAAACAACGATAAATTGACAGATACGAACCTGGACGTATATTTGATAGCGAGTTGGTAGCTGTTTGACTTTTGCAAACGTTGAATGATGGCGGGGAAGAAAGGAGCGCAGTGGGGAACGGAAGAAGGGGGTCTTTCGGCGCGGTAATATAGCCTGCAGCATAGGCTTTCCTATTTCGTCATTCGGTCGGGGCAAATCACGAGCCCAAAGTCCGTCCCGACCTCCCCCGCAAAATACAAACCGCGGGACACCGATAGGCGGAAAAGACACGGAAAATGGAAGGGCGAAGACGACGGCAAGAGCTAGTCAGGAGCGATTCGGGCAGTGTAGACGTTCATGAGGGGAGCGAGGGAGTCCTTTCTCTTACGCGAACCCATGCTCTCCAGCAACGGCGGATGGCCGCACATTCCTCCTTTGGTAATGTTCATCATCATGAAGCGTCACGTGGCGCGCATTCCTGCGAGGATGCGCCATTGCCAGCGCGGTGGGGGAGGCGCTTTCTCTCCTCTAGGATCTGCTTCATTGTCTTCACATTCTCTCGCTGTTTTTCGGGTAGATTTTATTAACTCTGGATTCGCCTCTCCGCAACGGAGGTGTCGGACCTCTGGTGGACCGATCTGGAGATCAACACCCGCTCTGTGAGTAGAGAGTCACCGATTTAGACGTATCAGATCGACATGGTACCCTCAACCCCCCCCGCTCTTAGTACCGTCAGCTTGGGTATGCTTCACAACGACTGATCTGGACCTAATCTATAGCTACCCTTATGGCTGGCCGCAGTAAATTTTAACATATGGGTGTTTTCTGGTACGTCATCTATCTCGCCACATTGAACTTCGCCGCGCCCTCCCGTATCCCTTTCATGCTCCATTTATAGTTGTAGGACATACAGGATCGACCGACGTTTGCACTCAGGTTCTCAAGGTCTATATATAACACATATCCGTAAGATCAAGCTCGAAGTTTACTATCTTACTCCAATTCTCGCCCGCAGAGGATACGATCGCTGTGAGATAACACTAGATCCCCCATCGCAACTCGTCAGGTGAGTCTCTCAATCTGTTATTCCCTCCTGCATCACAAAACGAACCCTCCTTGTTGGTTCTGGGTCGGACACGTTCACACGAGTTTCCACCAGGATAAACGTCGGGCAGCGGTCCGGTTCTATGGCTACTGTAACCAGTACGGTCGCGAGCGATGCTCCGCTGCAGATATTGTTCTACAGGCTAGCCGAGCAACTGCAGTTGATATCTGTTGATATTCAAGTGTCTGCTCTACGTCATTTTGCATGTTTCCAGCCGCGATGAGTAGATCACCCCTGCCGTTGGCTCTTTTTCCTCCACTCACCCACCTGGCCTGGTTATCTCGCAGAAGGAAGCGAGTGTTTGCTTCGTCGTCTGCATCCGAGGCTCAAATGTTCTCGATATTTATAGGGGCCTTCCCGAGCTTCTCTGCGCCGAAAATTTAGGTCCCAGGACGCAAATGCTGAGCTTGATTGGTTGAAGCGCCGCCCATCGATCAACTGCTCATAGTCGATAGATATTCCTCGATGTCAATGACCACTGCTATTTAGTGATATATGCACATGCGATTCCCAAGGCAGTCAGTGCGATGGGTGCCTCTTGTGCCTTGCTCTTCATAATATGGCAACCTTTAGGACCTATGAGTTCCTGTGAGCTACGCCCCGGTGTCGATGGAAGTCCAGATCAGCTTAGTGCTAACTATCACCTCTCAAGAGGCTTTCGAACACTCTCGAAGTGCTCCGACCTCCGCTTCATAATTAGACGTGTAGACCAGATTTGTCGTCCATCGAATTACTGGCCGCAGTGATTGGACGTCTACGTGCTCTTTTCTCATTGATTTTCTTGTCCGAGTCGGTGTGTAGCGCGCCTCAAATAAACCTTCTTCCTGCAACTTCTTGCACTTATAGGCATATCTCAACCTGTGTGCCATGAGTTCCAGCAATATCTATTACTTCACTTTCGGTATCCCTATCGTTTGATTGCACTTTCGTTGTATCGCATTTCAATGACATTCCGTGTGGCGTAGCTGGTGCCACAGCTGTTCATCTGCTAAAAGTCGACCTCCTCGTTTCCTCATTCCAGTGGTATATCCGCCTCCATACTCTCGTGCTATCGACGTCATATGCAAGCGATGGTGCGTCCCTTTCGTGCGCAGGTTTACCTCTCTTGTACCTCTCAGAAGCGGAGAACTAACGGTCCGCAAGGGCCGCCATTTCATTCCGTGTTTTTCCGATTGCTTCCCGACGTGTCCCTTCGGTCTTCCCTTCAGCTCTGGTGGGACTCCGCCACTAATTCGTCAACATCTTTGGGCACAGGTAAGGTACTAGAAGGCTGCATTTGGTCTCTGAAAGCTATAATCTTGAACCCAAAAGGTCCTGTGATCCTTCGGACTACGAAGGCCGAAGGGATTCGAAGAGAGGCTGTTTTACGCACCCAGACATCTTGCACACGACCAGTGGTATGCGTTATTTTACTCTGCGAGGCTCTCAGGAACGCGCGAGCAAAACTCAGGTTTATCGCCTTGATTGCCACACATCCGGGAGTAACCATTCGGCAACCACGCTTCCCCCTAACTTATGCATTTGTGAACCATCCCGAGAGACGCGCACACGACCAAATCTCTGTTTACACATGCGATGACTGACTGTTGTCTTCCTCCTTCAACCCTTTGTCAAGCCTCCTGGTGTCGCGGGACTTTACACGTGAATGCGGCGCTCCGCCTACTTATTGGAGCTAGTTTCGTCTGGTGCTGGTCTAGTTTTTAAGCTTTGCTTGGAGGGACGAGGCTCTGATATATAAGAGATGTGGACGAACACAGAGGTGAGGAAAACCCTGTATCTTTTGCTGCGCGGTTGATCGTCTTCCCCTCCCCACGTCCTTGAAATCCACCCCGAAACGATCTTCACGAGATGTCTTCTCCATTGTCGACTTACTCTACCTTGTCGGATGGCCAGCAAGTCCTGATACGCCATCTTTCATCGAAAGACATCCCTCGCATTCGCGAGATGCACGTACGCAACTGTTCTGATGTCTTATTTTCCTCGTATTCGGACTAATTTTCACCCACAGAGTTCTATCTTGGGTCTCAACCTTCCCAGCTCATTCTACCAGCAACTTCTCCTTCATCCCACCCGTCTCTGCCTCGTTGCCGTTCCCTTCTCCTCCTCCCCATCCCTCCATCACACCGTTGAGAACCACGGCGAGCCAGTCGCTTTCATCACCACTGCCCTCCATGTCCCTACCAACGATCTCTCTCTTTCCCTCCGATCCACGACCACATCCCTCAAGTCTCGTCGCTCAGCATCCGAGAACGCGGTAGAGATGCACGTCCTGACCATCGGCGTCTCGCCCGCTTTCAGGCGCCAACATCTCGCCACTCGTCTCCTTAAAGAAGCAGTCCGTGCTATCCACACACAAGCGCGTGTGGCGGCTCAGATGCCCGTGATCGCACAATGCTCCTTGGACAATGTCGTAGAGGATGACGAATATGCAGAGAGCGAAGTTTGGGGCAAGGAGATGAACGTTACTGTTCATCTTCCCGCTGCGGATGTGGAGGGGAGGAAGTTCTGGGAAGGAATCGGGTTGAAAGAGCAGGGTGGAGTGCGACTTCCTGATGCGAGAGCTGGGCCGTGGAGAGATTCTGTGAGGGTTACTGGGCGCGTCGCTGCTTGATGCGATGACTGACGTTATCTCCAATCCGCGACTAATCATGCATTGTCTTGTTGATGCTTTACTACTGCAGGTTGGTCAGTGATTACAATCCTACGACCTTTGGGGATACTTATTGTTCGTAAATGACTGGTGATGCAGCGCTTGTTTCTTTGCATGATTGTCTGTTCCTTTGCACCTCTGAAGAACGATGTGCTATTTTAGTACAATTCTAAATACGCCTGTTCTCGCACCATGTATTCTGGTCGTCTCTTTCCTTTCCTTTCCTGATCTTGCGGCCCGGAGACTCTAGACTTCGCCTCCTCTTCTTGCTCGTGTTTTTACCGTGCATCCTTTAGGCCTCTCCTTCATTGCTCGGTTTTGTTGATCTGCATATGCTTCTCGTGTGATAATCGTTAAAAACGTGAAGAAGCTGCTCCAGCAGCCCCCGTGTCGCGTTAACTGCACGACGGTGAAGACCACCAATGGAAATTGAACTGCCCGTGGCATTCAAGGCGCCTTGTTAAAGGTATGGCACAAAAAATATCTGCAGGGCTACATACAATAATACATGTATTATCTAGAGCACTTTATACCATAAGCTCGTCTCAACCTATACAGGACGATGCTTAATAGACGAAACGGTACATGAATTATGATGAATATTCATCCCATGATTCGTGGGCCACAAATGAGCGCTCTCGGGAATCGCCGAGATAGTTCAAAGTCAGCCGATAGCGCCAGACACGCGTTCTCCGCGTCGCGTCGCGTTCTCTTTCCATCTTCGCCGTTTTTCCGCAATTCCCATATCGCCCTCTTACTGTATCCTCAACCGCCTGACAGCATTATTAGTCATAGTTTTGCGCTCTCAATCTAACTTGTGCATACTCATCGCTTTAAGCTGCTGTTGGGTAGTCCCCCCTATTGGTGCACGGTGTTCTCTCGTATTCCAGTGGCGCATAGCTCTCAGGCGCAGAACTGACTCTCAACATGGAGGACGAACCTTTGGCATCCGAGGAGGAGACTCAGAATAGGCCTGCTGCAGCAGACCGTACTTATACAGAATCAACGGACCTGTATGAAGTTCTGGGTGTTTCGAAAACTGCGACCACCGCTGAAATCAAGGTGAGCGAAAACTGCTTGAGAAGACGGTATTCGTCTCCTAACACTACGAAACAAAGACAGCGTTCAGGGCCAAAGCTCTCGGGCATCACCCGGACAAGAACATGGGGGCTGACGATGACTATGAGGGTTCCAATGAACGTTTCAGGCGAATCCGAGAAGCTTATGAGGTATGTCATTATCAACATCTTCTCTTTGTAGAAGCTTGCCGGACTGACGTGTTGTAGATACTCACAGACGATAAAGTAAGATAAATGCATATCTGTCCATCACACTAACTAACAAATATTTTATCGCAGGAACGAGAGCAATATGACCGTGATCCAGCTGCTTTTGCGTCTACTGGCAACCGTGCTCAGGGCTCGAACGACGACGACGACAGTGACTGGTTCTCAGGCTGGAGCTTTGGGGGATCAGGTCCCAGACCTGCATCCCAATCGGTATGCTCGACACTCTACCAAGCGCATCCGTCTTATTTATGTGCTTCTCCCTCCTTTTAGTCTGGATGGCGTATGCCTCGACGTGCCCCCAATGAGATAGGTCGTCAGGATTTGTTTGACCTTATCCAACGGTTGGAGCTCAAACTCAAATCTGGAATTTCTTCTGACGTATGTTCATTCTCCTGCGCATTCTCTTTGAACATTCAGCGCGGTCTTTGACTTCTGACATCAATAGGAACGCTACCGTGTCATCGGCGCGTTTTTCGACACGCTCGCCAAAGACGACGCACGACAATCGAAACGGAACCTAAATCACTATCCTTCATATGGCGACGCTCACTCCGTGTGGTCACGCTCTGCCTGCACTAAAGAGGAATTGGCGGCGCTAGACACCCGAGCACCAGAGGTGTGCTACTTTTATGGTTTCTGGAATAAGTTTGTGTCGTCCAAAGGGTTCGAGTGGGTGATGAGATATGACGAGGAGTATTTCCATCAGTTCGGTAATGCACGGCTGGATAGGTATGTTTGCTTCTCCTCCTAAGCGACCTGAACGAACGAGCTTATGGCGTTCGACAGACACATTCGCAAGGAAAACAAAAGGGTTCAGGCAGTCTATCACAAAGAATTCAACGAGATTATCAGGGTACGCATATTTGACCTTCCACTTACTTATTCTCAACAGTTTTGTCGTTCTTTCGGTCTTTAGGTTTACACCATGGTCCTGCGCGACTCTGACTCTCGTTATGACGATCATTTGGCACGTATGGAACGAAGGCGCGCGTCCCCTTCGTACTCTGATGAGCTTGAGCGACAAAAGAAAAGGGAGAAGGAGAAGAAAAAGGAAAGGAAGAAACGCTCCAAGAGTAGCTGGTGATTGCGATGCCGCTGACATCCTTGTCTGTACCATATTGCTGCCGGTGCGCACCTTACATCTGCATTTTCTTGCCCCGTGCCTTGTCTGCGATCAGTTGCTCGCTTGTTCCCGTATTACTCTATGCACTCCTATTGTACCATATTGTATTCCATCTTTTGGTGTTCTTGTCCATCACGGGTTGTGGCACATTTGTTCCACAGCACAGTTGTAGCAATATCTTTCGCTTTTACTGAACCAGTAAGAGCCTGTACTAAGTAGAGGGTACCGAAGGGTATGAAAGGTTCCTAGAAGGACGTTTGACATATTTTTCCCGCGCCATTGCGGAGGACGAAAATGAACAGCGTTGAACTCGATGTCGGTACATTCCGGACGGTGACTTGGACCTCAACCACGTTCCGAGCGCTCTCTAGACTGGATCTATCCCCCTGTGGCCCGTGACTAACCATAGTCGCTGGCTCATTGAGCACTTATTTAAATATCTCTAAACCCCACTAAGCCTCTTTCTCAGAAGACCGCAGCGTTTTGCCTATCTCGTCATCGCCCGAAAGAGCATATTCAAGCCTCGAGGCCGCATTCTACACGTGTGCCAACACACAACTTCTGCGACATCATCTTGGCTTCATCGTCCTCTCATCTCACCACTATCTGGGACGTAACTCTGTTCTGGGTAGCTTGGTCAAGTTATCAGTCCCGGACCATCAACTGCGCTGGGCTGTGATGCTGGGTTGAAGTATCCCTATCTGGACGAACAGCAGCTTATTGTTCGAGGCCGACAACCAGCGCGGACAGTTCTGCGCCGGCGTGCAAACTGTACTCAGGCTGTGAATCTGTAACCCGACCACCTCATCATCCACACGCCCACGACCCTCCCGCACTTTTGTTGACACGCGCTGTCGGCAAAGTCTAGCCTGTAACCCTCGTTTCCGCCACCCTTCCACGTTCTGTCAGCTGTATAGTCCCAGTCGACGGAACAGAAAGGGTCCTGTTCATTCCTTGTTCGAACAAGCTTCCGTACCTGCTTTCATCACTGCGCCACAAAAGTCCCACTTTCTTCTTCCGCCCCTTTCATCCTCTTTCTCGCATGAATCCGAACGTTGTTGTGGAGGAAGTTCTCGACGAAGACGAGTTGCGTGATCCTCGCTTTCTATTTATACGTGTAACCACCTGCTAATTTTGCCGAATGATCCCGTTCCGTGCTCTCTCTACTCCACGCTTCTTCGTGCTCGTCACCAACTTCCATCCCTTCGCCCTCGTCTGTGTTCGCTGGCATCGCGGACTTGCCTGATTGTCCATTCCTCTTGTCGCTTTGTGCCTGCGCTCTACACAGGATGGACCTGATGGCTCAAGTCCGACAGGCCTCAGACACACCCTCTGCCCTCTCCGAGTTTCTACAGCTTCCGGACGCGATCCGGACTCTCACGAAACCTCGACGATCGGCATACACGTCGCGCTCACCATCCTCTTCCCGGGGCCTAACCAGCCCTTCGCCTCCCCCCGAATCAGTATCAACAGCCACACCTATACACAGGCCGAAGGGCAAGGATAGGGAACGGGACAGGGATAAGGACAGGGACAAGGATAGAGGTAGGGACAGGGACAGGGACAGGGACAGGGATCGTCCCAGAGGAAATGGCCGTCGACGAGGTTCGGATGCGACGAACTCAATGTTGAGTATCGTTCTGGCCGAAGAAGAACGACAAGCCAATCACCTGAAAGCTATGCTCCGCATCACAGGCGATCGCCTCCAAAACGAAATACGGAAAGCAGACGATGCCGAAACCCGAGCAACCCTGGCCGAGGTTCGTGCGCGGGATATGACTTCCCGCGCCACATCCGCTGAGCATGCGCAGCACGCTGCCGAGCTCGAGTCCGCGCGTGCGAGAGAGGAGACGAAGAGGTATCAGATGCAGGCTGAGAATGCGGAGAGGGAGGTTAGGAGGTTGACCGGTGAGGTTGCGAAGTTGCAGAGGCAGAAGGAGGAGGCAGAAGAAGAGGCAGCGAGGGCGAGGGATGTGGCGCGTAAGTGGCAGGCTGCGTTGAGGGACTTTCAGTCTAGGGCTGAGGGGAAGGAGGAAGGGATGAGGATGGCGTTGTTCAAGAGGTTCGATGATGGCAGGGCCGAGGGTTTCGAGGATGGGCATTCGGAGGGATGGGAAGCTGGCAGGGCAGAAGGATTTGAAGAGGGTAGAAGAAGGGGTATCGAGCAGGCGAAGACGTTAGCGAGGAATGAGGAGAGGCTTGCGGCTTATACTAAGCCCTCTACTCCTGCTCCTCATCCAAGCCGGTTCTACGAGGAGATGGCGTCGCGGTACGATGATGACGACAGGACGCGATTCTACGACGATGGACGCACTGTGGCGCTCACGGAGAAGGAGTATAATATCGTAGACCCGCCACAGCGATACAATAGTCCTGCAGTAAGGGTTTCGTCATTCCTACTGAACAGTCAAACTGACGTATATCACTCCTACAGCACTTCGAGCGAATCAAAGAATGGGCTGCTGAGTCGACCACGCAGTCAAGCAAATCGACGCCACCCAAGCCGGCCCCTGTCTGGCTCCGTCGTCGAACCAACACACCTGTCCCCTGACGAACGAGATAATACCAAAATAATATGCTATACCCGCTTTCACGGATGCCAATCCTGTCTTCTATGGTACCCAGCCTAAGTCTCCTCGCTTGATGTGGCGCCAATGTGATGCTGTGGCGTGCCCTCTGATCTTGGACTTTCCTCCTGATAATCTGTAACTGATATGTTGTTGAATCCTTGATGGCTTCACGGACCTGGAATATTCCCCACTCATCGATAGCCTCACATTCGGTTTCGTTCTCGTTGTCGATCCACAGGAACTATGTATGAGATAATGTATGTATCCTAGATCTCTCCTGTACTTCGAACTTCTGATACCTTCGCAACGTAGCAGGCTGTTTGTGTTTGGATGTTCATATAACTACATCGTTACATGCATATTATACAATATCAGTCTTATTTTCCATAGCGTCCCAAAATCTCAAGTACTGCTTCGGATGAGGGCTTCAGCAGCTACTGAGCGTGGCTTGATCACACAGTCGAAGTGTTCCGGATGACTGAATCGATTTAAATCATTGAATCAGCGCATTGGTCAAAGGAATAAAAGCGGATAGACGGCACCTGATCGTCTCGCTCGTATATTTCACAGCTGGTGGCACTGGTTTGCCATCCTTCGTAGGTGGCCGTATATCATATACCATGAGGACGGAGGTGCATGCTAGCCATGTCAACGTGTCGGCGAGGTGGAAACCTGTATAAAGAGTGAGCATCCATGCTAGAGACAGTCGATAAAGAAACCATACCTGGACAAGCTCTGCAGTGAAACATGCATTAGTCGAGTATACGTCTCCCGTGAATGGCGAAGCTTGGGAACTAGTACGAACCGTCGCCCAAAGCCAAATGCGTACTCTCTCGGGTCCTTCTGTGTTTCGTTTCCGTCCGAAGCGAGATATCGCTCTGGGAGAAAGCGATCGGGCTCAGGATACACCTTCGGGTCCTTCATGAACTCCCTACGCGACAGACGTTGGACGTCAGCTTAGGTCATACAGAGCAGCTGAAGAACATTCTTGGACTAACCAGATATTCGCTATGACAATTGAGCCTTTCGGAATGAAGTAGCCCCCATGGGTATCGTCCTCTCTTAAGGAATGAGGCAGACCTGGTTGATTTTTCCGATTCTACAGATCAGTCACTAGCCACGTCATATGAGGAGAAACAAGCTACCGAGCATCGCGAAAATGTATCGTCTCCGTACTTCGGTGATCAAAGCGTTCGTATACGGCAAGCTTTCTCGGTCTCGAAGGGTGGGCAGCCTTCCCAGTCCTATGACATTGTCGATCTCAGCTTGCGCCTTCTTTTGTTCTTCGATGTGGATAGTCATGGCGAGGAAGAAACATTCGAGACCGGCTATCGTCTGTCCGAAGCAAATGACAGGCTTCGTTAAAGACCTATAGGGCCGACTCATGAAATTACACTGACAGTATCCGCCCCTCCTGAATATATTGTCTGAGTCCTACTGTAACACAGACGAAGCGTTGAATTAGAGACGAACCGCTATAAATTCCAGACGCCGCCCATTTTGCCTCCCGTGATTGTTCAGGGCTCACCCCTTGATCGTGAAGGTATGTAGACAGAAAGGAAGGGCGGGCAGTTCCAGTGGCCTGTGTTACACATTTTAGCTGTTAGTATTTAGCGGTAGAGCGTAGAACCATCAACATACCATCTGTCTTTTTGCCCATTTGTACGGTTCATGTATCATAAGTTGTAAACTCTTTCTGTACTTGGGGACCTTACGCTTCCATCCTGCGCCGGGAAACCATTCTGGGACATGTCGCACTGATGGTGGACAAGGCGTGAGTTTCCTCCGATGACAGATAAGGAAGTCAGGTGGATGAAAACTTGCGTATAGGAAAGACGTCGACTAGAAACGCGCCACTCATACTCGTCTCAGAAAACTGATCCATTGCTTCGCCGACCAGCCTTACCATTCCCTCCGCGCCGTCATCCGTAGACTTCGCCCCATAGGCCAGCATTAGCATGACGTTGCCCACGAGCCTACCATCCATCAACCGTGGTAAGTCCCAGTGATTTCGGAAAATAGAGCAGGAAAATTTGATGAAAATCTAGACCCACTTGCGCGAATGCTCGACCCACTCCTCCTTCCCCTCTAGAATCCTCCTCAGATACACCTCTGTCTCCTCCGCCAATACCTCACCAAATTCCTCCACCTTTGCCTTTGTACCCATAAACTGAGCGAGCATCTTTCTATGCTCGATCCACCGCTCACTGAAAGGCACCAGACCGATAACATCATCCCAGCCTATGAGGCGCCCGGCCATCATGAGCGTAGGCCTATCGCTGTAAAGGCGACTCTTTTTGTCGAGCATGTCGACGGCATAACTAGGGTCGTTGAGTATTATGATGGACTGGTTAAATACAGTCAAGTGGATGATGGGGCCTTCAACACCGGTACGTTGTGAGCGGGCGTAGGAACACGAAGGAAGACATAAGACATGAACGTACCGTACTGCTCTCCCCACTTAGCGAAAGTCACCCAAGGTTCAGACTTCGGATAATCCAACGCGTTTCCCAGGACCGGAAGCTTTCTTGGTCCAGGAGGGAGAGGTAGAGACTGCCTCGATCCCTTAAAACTCTGGTAAAATGCAAAGCTCATAATCGTTAGGACTCCGGCCACAAACAAGGCTGTAGAGGGGTAAATCTGGGAGCCTGTGGTGGACTCCATCAGGCAGAATCGACGGTTTCACAAGCAGGGGAGAGGAGGGGGGAAAGAACAAGTCTGGAAAAGCTATTTGGTCGTCCCCTCGGCCTTAAGTATTCAAGGAGCACAGCCCACCCACCTGGAGATTCGCCACAACTCGCGAACCAGAAATACACTACCTCCTTCTGGCTGCTGGGGGAAAAGGCGGCCCGGAAAGGATGTATTCCTTTCAAGAACGCTTATCTGAAGGCGGGGAAGCGAAGATAGGTCGGATGCTCAGTGGCGTTGTCGGGCACACCATCATTACCCTGATTAGGTTTGTGAACTGATGAAATAATCCGCATAATGTACATTATCAGTCCTGCTTTGCTCGACTTCTCAAATCCTCAAGCATTGCCCCGGATAAAGGCCTCAGCAGCGGCTGAACGTGGCTTGATCACGCATTCGAAGTGTTCCGGATGACTAGATCAATTCGAGCAATAGCATCAGCGCAGCGGTTAGAGAAACAAAGGGTTGGCATCCCACCTGATCGACTCGCTCGTAAACTTTACGGCTGGTAATACCGGCTGTCCATTCTTCGTAGGTGGCCGTATATCATACACCTGGAGTATGGAGGTGCACGCGATCCACAACGACGCGTCGGCGAAGTGGATACCTATGTCAAGGTACGGAGATTCCTGTCCAGTTGGTATCGAACTAAACACATTTGATCTAGAATCATACCTGGACATGCTCTGTGCAGAACACGATGAGCAGTAGATTGAGCGCCAACATCATTAGTGAAATTGAGACTCGAAAAGGGACGAACCGTCGCCCAAATCCAAATGTATACTCTCGTGGATCTTTCTGTGGTTCAACTCCACCTGAAGCGAGATATCGCTCTGGGGAAAAGCGATCGGGGTCAGGATACACCTTCGGGTCCTTCAGAAATTGCCTGAAAGATAAGTGTAAGTGCCAACCTGATCATGCACGAACATACGGAGCAGTTGACGGAGATTTTAGACTCACCACACATTCGGGATGACAACAGAGCCTTTCGGGATGAAGTATCCCTCGTGGACATCGTCCTCTCTCGAGGCATGAGGGATACCTGGTTTTGTATTTTCATAGTGAAAAGCCAGCCACGCCGTGTAGTAAATGATAAATTACCGAGCATCGCGAAAGGGTATCGTCTCTGTGCCTCGGTGATCAAGGCGTTCGTATACGGCAAGCATTCCCCGTCTCGGAGGGTGGGCAGCCTGCCCAAACCTATAACCTTGTCGATCTCGGCTTGTGCCTTCTTTTGTTCTTCGGTGTGGAGGGCCATCGCGAGAAAAAAGCATTCCAGGCCTGATACGGTCTGTTGTACCAGATGACAAGTGTTAGTAAAGGCCCTGTCATAGCCGCTACATGGAAATACACTGACAGTATCCGCTCCACCTGGAGATATAACATGTTTAAAATGCGGTAGTTTAGCAGACATGAAGCTTTGGATTATAAACGAACCGCTATAAATTCCATTGGCGGCCCATTTCACTGTCTGTGATTGTTCGAGAGTCACCGACTGATCTTGAAGGTATGTAGACAGGAAGGAGGGGCGAGCAGTTCCAGCGGCCTACAACAACTTTGGTCAGTGGTATATAGCGATATCGTGGAACAACTTCACATACCATCTGCTTGTTTGCCCATTCATACGGCTCATTTACCATGAGCTGTAAGCTCTTTCTATACCTGGGGACTTTACGCTTCCAACCCGCACCGGGAAACCAGCTTGGGACATGTCGCACTGATGGGTATGCAAGACATAAATCCCTGGGAATTGAGCCAAATGATGAGGACGTGTGGAGAATGGGGACTTGCGTATAGGAAGTATGTCGACCATGAACGCGCCACTGATACTCGTCTTGGAGAACTGGCACATGGCTTCGTTGACTACTCTTATCATCCCTTCTGCGCCGTCATCCGTAGGCTTGATGCCATACGTCAACATCAGCACGATGCTGCCCGCGAACCTATCCTCCATGAACTATCGTTAGTTTCAATGATAGTTCGCCTGAGTCCACAAAGGAAAGGAAGGTGAAATAGATAGGGACTCGGCCGAGGAAAATATGCTCACTGGCGCGAATGCTCGACCCACTCCTCCCTCACATCTAAAATATTCCTCAAGTACGCCTTCGTCTCGTCCTCCAACAGCTCACCAAATCCCTCCACCTTCGCCTTCGTACCCATGAACCGCGCAAACATCTTTCTATACTCGCTCCACTGCTCACCCATAGGCACCAATCCGGGGATTTCTTCCCAGCCTATAAGACGGCCTGACAGCATCAGCGTGGGTCTATCGCTATAAATGCGGCTCTTCTTGTCTAACATATCGACGGCATAGCTGGGGTCATTGAGTATTATGACGGATTGGTTGACTGCGCTCAAGTGGACGATGGGGCCTACATATATCAGAGCGCCGGTTCATTGTGAGTGTCGGATGTGCGGAAGCCGATGGAAGAGGATATGAACGCACCGTATTGCTCTCCCCACTTGGCGAAAGTCACCCAGGGTTCAGACTTCGGGAAATCAAACGCATTTCCCAGGACCGGAAGCTTCCTAGGCCCAGGGGGGAGAGGCAGCGACTGCTTCGATCCCTTCAAACTTTGGTAAAATACGAAGCTTATAATACCTAGAACTCCGACGAGCAAAGCTGTGGAGAAGTAAGTTTTTGAGCCTGACGTGGACTCCATCTCGCAGTCTCGACGGTCACACAAGAGAGGGGGGGAGAGGGAACGTCTGCCAGGGTAATTTGCTCGTCCCGTCAACTTTAAGCACTCGGGGCAATGGTCATGCTTGATCATGGAGCTGACTCGAACTCAAACGAGAAATGTGCTGCCCCTTTGCAACCGCTAGGAAAGGAAATAGCCCAGAAAGGATATGTTCATGTGAAGAATGTTCATCTGAAAGTGACGCGCGCGAAAGCAGATTAGATACCCAGTACCTATTCGTTCGACTCGACTTCCAAAACCTGCTACGAGTTTGTCTACATTCCGGCGTCCATCAGCGTCAGGCCCACCTCGGCGCAAAAATCTCGGAGCGCGTTGGGGGCAGCCTCGCTCGTGTGGGGAGTACAGTTTCTTTTGCAGCTGCGAGAACGATCTCACCGTTGGGTTTAGCGCACGTAAGTACCATGCCATTCCTTGCTGGTATAGCAGAACAATCAAGATCCCCGAGATAGGACGTGCTGGGCACAAAGAACAGCGAAGACGAAAATATAAGTATGGACGGATGCGTCATGAACAACTCGTACGTACTCACCATTGAAAAGCGCTTGAATAGTGTCACAACCGACTTCGATTCCATGTCAGGAGATTCAGCTACGCCCCGGTCGCTGCAGGATTTGGACATGCATATACCAGTGCGAAAATGATTGGCTAGCTCTCACATTTCGTGATGCATATATATAGGGCCGTATAATGCGCCATTGGAGAAAACGGAGGGGAGGGCTGGATCTCTATGATATGCAGAAGCGCGCCATGCATATATACGCGCGGCAAAGTCTTGTATAAATTCGGGAGCGCCAGGGATGGTAACATCTTCGAGGATGCATCGTCGACATCAACCAGGAGAACTTCAACATGTAGGGAAACACACTCACCTAAAAAGTGAAGCTCGAATGTTGACGGGCCATGATTGCAGTTACGCAGCATCCGACTAACCTGTGTATTTTCCGTCGACAATCGCACGAGAAAAAACAGCAACATGACATGTACATTGATCATGGACTCCTTCCATTTCCGACTCGACATCGAGCGGAGACACCACTACTACTTACAACGCGACATAACGAGTGATACTACATAAAACGAGCGACAGACGGACATGTGGGCATGATGAACCGAAGACAGTGATAGGCGCGGACAGACAACGCTCAGAGACCTCCACGGAGACGCAAGACTAGATGTATGAGAAACAACAATGAGCTGACCAGAACGGCATTGACGGTATATGAGGATGATGAACGTACCCAAGTGAAGAGTGGACTCCTTCTGGATGTTGTAATCCGAGAGAGTGCGTCCGTCCTCCAACTGCTTCCCGGCGAAGATCAAGCGTTGCTGGTCAGGGGGGATGCCCTCCTTGTCCTGGATCTTAGCCTTCACGTTGTCGATGGTGTCGGAAGACTCCACCTCCAACGTGATCGTCTTACCCGTGAGGGTCTTGACGAAGATCTGCATGCCGCCACGGAGACGAAGGACTAAAGTCACCGACGTCAGCCGTTTGATCCAACGACGAGCGACCATGAATCAACTGACCAAGGTGGAGGGTGGACTCCTTCTGGATATTGTAGTCCGAAAGGGTACGCCCGTCCTCCAACTGCTTCCCGGCGAAGATCAAGCGCTGCTGGTCCGGGGGAATGCCCTCCTTGTCCTGGATCTTGGCCTTCACGTTGTCAATCGTGTCCGAAGACTCAACCTCCAACGTGATCGTCTTTCCGGTAAGGGTCTTGACGAAGATCTGCATTCCACCACGGAGACGGAGGACTGGAAGCACAGACATCAGCAACCATCGTGGATATAAGTCACCGAAATCAACCTACCCAAGTGAAGGGTAGACTCCTTCTGAATGTTATAGTCGGACAGAGTACGCCCGTCCTCGAGCTGCTTGCCGGCAAAAATCAAACGCTGCTGGTCAGGGGGGATGCCCTCCTTGTCCTGAATCTTCGCCTTGACGTTGTCGATCGTGTCGGATGACTCGACCTCAAGGGTGATGGTCTTCCCCGTCAAGGTCTTGACGAAGATCTGCATTCCACCACGGAGACGAAGGACTGAAAGCACCGACATCAGCGAATGATCGCAATATTAAAGCAAAATGAAATCAACGCACCAAGGTGGAGAGTCGACTCCTTCTGAATATTGTAGTCGGAGAGAGTACGGCCGTCCTCGAGCTGCTTGCCAGCGAAGATGAGACGCTGCTGATCGGGAGGGATACCCTCCTTGTCCTGGATCTTCGCCTTAACATTGTCGATCGTGTCGGATGACTCGACCTCAAGGGTGATGGTCTTCCCCGTCAAGGTCTTGACGAAGATCTGCATGCCTCCACGAAGACGGAGCACTACAAACAACACCCAGAAACACAATTAGGACGCCACTCCCACGTGTATGAATATGGAACCCAAGACAGGTACGCACCCAAGTGAAGAGTCGACTCCTTCTGGATGTTGTAATCGGAAAGAGTGCGACCATCCTCGAGCTGCTTGCCCGCGAAGATAAGGCGCTGCTGGTCGGGAGGGATACCCTCCTTGTCCTGGATCTTGGCCTTGACGTTGTCGATAGTGTCAGAGGACTCGACCTCGAGGGTGATGGTCTTGCCAGTGAGGGTCTTCACGAAAATCTGCATGGCTACTCGAAAGTAGGGCAACGATCAGTCAGCACCGCTCTATCTCTATCCATCGCGCTCTCCTCGCCTCCTGAGCACCTCAGACAATCTGACCTCAAGGATCCCGCCACGCATGAATCAAATATGAAGACACTCACTTGTAATTATCGAGTACTGTGTGAAAGAGGAGCCTAGATGCGAGTATGGGGAGATGGTGGTGGTAGGAGAACAAGAGCTGCTGAAGCGCTGGGCGCGCAGGTACCCCACAGCCTTATCAATTCGGGAACGCCGGACGGAGTTACAACATATTCTTTGTCCGACTTTATCGGTGTGGCGTCACCGACGTCACCCGATTCCTCATTTCCTTGTCCCAATGGTCCCAGCTTGATTGCACCATCCATGGCCAGCTCCATTCGAAAATCAAAAGGGAAAGAAAATGCTAGTACGAGGGATGACAAAACGAATAATGAAACTCCGAATTTGCGTGGATGAAGGCACCTCGGACCGAAGGATACAGAGCTGTGCATGCCATCCGCGATGGTTGCAGAATTTGCAACCCACTGCCACGAACGACCACGGACAACCGTGGAGGCTCCGAGTGGCCAGCGTAAGTCCAACTTCCCATCAGAACCTATCAGGGCTCAGTTCCTGCTGAGCATCGAGGTCCACCGTATCCGATTCGACCGAGACCTCGGAAGATGGCCACGAGCTCGAAATAATTGGTGTCGCACGGCGTCCTCGCCGTCACTTATCACGAGGTTCTCAGTCAGAACTCAGGACCAAGTCAGGCCAGGACACGACACAGGGGGGCACATACATACTCAGAGGCTAGATATCTAAAACATCCAAGCGATGAGAATGAAAGGCTCGAAACTGAAAACGTACGGTGATGTTCGCTGGAGAGTTACTTACTGCGGGATCAACCGGCGAAGGAAGGCCAAGACCGGCGAATCGATAGCAGGGCAGGTCATGACAGGGGTTCGAAAACGTTCACGGTATAGGTAGGTATGTAGATACAGAATAAAAAGGAAGCCTAGGCTCGAGAAGAGATACATATACAATGGAATATCTACGAGGTATAAGAAAGACGCGTACACAACAAGCGGAGGTGGACAAGGTCAAGGTATACACAAACAGGAATAGGAATAGGAATAAACAAGAACATTGGTGCGGATGTCGATGAGATAGATTCGCGGCTGGATGAATAGATATATGGATGGATGGAACAGAGGTTGGAGGTCGTGGGTGGCTGATTGAGTCGTGAGACGTGATGAGGTCGTGGATATAGCAGTCAAAGGGACGCTGAACGAGGACTAGGAGGAGAACAAGAGACAGAGACAGAGACGGACAGGGAATAGATAGGGAACGGTGCTGAACAACTGACAACGAATAATGACAGAATATACAAATAAACACAAACTCAGAAGCCCAACCACAATTTAGGAAAATAAACGAAAAGGATCGTCCACATCCAAGGTATTCACCGACCTTCTTCCGAATAGCGCGGCCTGTCTAGCCCACTCGGTTTCTCCTCTTCTTATGGCCACTGCGCTCCCGCCACTGATCAAGCCTTCAGCGATCAAACCCTACACAACCACCCCTCCTTGCCCTAGTATCGTTCCCGTCGCCAACACCAGGAATCTCCCCATTCCTCGCCAAATGGTGCCAATAAAGCACATCGCCAGACTTAAGGGGATACGGACCCGGCTTCAACGCGTCGAGAAAGGCAGCACTTGGAACCGGGAAAGGACTTCGCTGCGGCAGCGTCTGCGCCTGAGGCTGGTAATGCGTAGAGGACTCAGACGACGAGGAAGCGGACGAGGAAGAGGAGTGCTGGGAGCTGGGATACGCGTAGGGGTTGTTGGAATTTGAGTGAGGGTATGACGTCGCGTGACTAGACTGCTGTAGGCCGCCGGAATGGTGAGGCGGATAGGCTAAGGGCGGCATCGACGAGTCCGAGCCGAAGGACTCGTCTCCATAGTCATCCATCTCGGGGCTCTCGGGGGGCGAATGCATCGGCGTCTCGAGTGGCGGAGGGGTCGCCTCCCTATTCCTACCGAGTTCGTACTGCGAGAGACCCGAGTCTGCGGAAGGCAAGAACGACAGTCCTGCTTGGGGCGAGACAGAGGTGGGCGGGTCTGTGTAGAGCGGTACGACGCCGGGTTCGCGCGCGATGTAGTGTCGCTCGGAAGCTACGATCTCGGCAGAGTGGAAGACGAAGCGGTGGCCGTTCGTGGCGCGGTTAGAGGCTGAAATGGAGGAGGTACAGCGGGTGCACTGTCGTTGTCGTTGCCGCCGTAAAAAAAGAAGAAATATGACGTTGCCGGAAGAGATCGGTCAGTCGCGTTTTTGGCTTTAAATTAGAGTTTGGTACGTAGGAGGTGGGGAATGGAGAATTTGGAGGAAGCCGTAGGGGGATATGCTTACGGGAATAACGATCATGTATCCTACCCCATTACCACAGCCGTGACAACAGAGCGTCTGCGTCAAACACTCGCAAGTCCGCGGGGGATCAGATGGCGGGCGCGAAGGCAGAAGAGCGACCCGAGATGTTGAATAGGCTGAGCAGTTGACTGGCAATGCATCGGTGGAATAGAGGGGGACATGGGGGCGCAAGAGCAAGACTGCCTGTGAAAAGGTATCCATGCGCGCAAGGAGAAGCAGTTAGTTAACCGAATACAAATGCACAGACTTCGGCTGTGAGAACGGCGGATGGGAAGGCCCGGGCGAACGCACCTTCATACCGCGGTTGGTCAAGAATGAGCCACAACTCTTACAGTCCAATATCCAGACCTTATGGGCGACCTGGGGTGGTGGAGGCGTGATGTTGACGCTTACACTCAACTGAGGTACGGCGGAAGAGCCTACGCGAGTACCGGTGCCAGCGGGCGCAGAATAGTGATGCTGAGGGGGAATAAATTGGTTGTGCACGACAGTTGCGGGGGGAAACTGAGCTGGGAAAGAGAGGCTAAGACTAGATGGTGGATAAACACGATCTGGCATGGGCGGGTAGTATGCAACCTGCTGTGCAGGGTACTGCTGCGAATCGCGAGCGAACTGAGCCTGATACTGAGACGAATATTGAGCCTGCCCGTAGAACGAGTCGGAGAGCGCGGAGAGACGGTGTGTGGAGGACGGCATGGATATGGATGAGTGGTGATGATGATGGTGGTGGTGGTCGAGGTGAAGACCTGCCGAAGCCGCTGCTGGCATGTTATATGAAGGAATTGCAAGACGGTGGATGAGAGTTCCCGGTCTGCGAGGAGGGTGGGTAGAGGGAAGGAGGAAAGTGGAGAAAGGAAGGTGAGCTGTGGAGGGGATCGCAGCGGGAGGAAGGGGAGGCGAATGCAGCTGGCGTCCGCGCTGGACGAGCGAACGCAGAGTCTTGTCGGATATTGAACACGCTGGATCGTCCTCCGCCGTTCCGCTGGGGTGAGCATGCCAATTGGAATCTGTGCCCGATGTCATTTATCTCCATCTCGCCTACGCTCGGGATCGATGCTCAGCTAAGCATGAGCTATATTCCCCGGCGTCGGAAGACGCGATGTTTATGTATTCCGTACGAACCAGGAACTTCTTGCTTTGCCAGTCAGACATCGCCCCAAGCACGCTCTCACAACACCAACGAGGAGCGGGTCAGTATCACGCGAGGTGAGGAGTCGTCCCAGCACAGTTATGCCTCAAGGTAACCGCCCCAAAGCTATCGAGAGCAGACACCAGTACCATGTCCGGCCTAGTCACGTCCAGTCGGTCGGAAGACATGACAGCAATCGTCAGAGAATGCATAAACGGATATAGATTTCCGTAAACTGCGTAATCTGTGACGCAACCCTCGGTCACACGCCGGCCTTCTGCGCGCAATTTCAACGCTTGGAATCTCCCGAAATGTGAAATAACCCAGTTCCTGAACCCCTAACCCGGGTTTATGTCTAGAATATCCCGGCGACCATGGGTATTTACCGACGGAGGCCGGGAAACTACAAGTGAATCGGCCGGCTCGTTCTTCTCGCCTTCATCTTCTGCTATTACGCAGACCTGCATTTGCGCCACTGGACATGTACATATTCCTCGCTTGTGCTAATGCTTCCTGTCGAACAACCTCTGCTTGGTCCATCTGTCCAAAGGCGAAGGTACCACACGGCCCATGTTCTCACAAGAACATCCACATATTATCCCCATCCGACGTTTCGCCTCGCGGTTCTCGACTTCCCCTCGTCCATTTGGTCTTCTTCTTGCCCCTTCTCCTCCTCGGACGACGGAGACAAACGGGAGACTCGCACTGGCTGGCCTATGTACCTTCTGGAAACTGTATGTAGCATACTCTGCGGAGCTGTCCAATGTTGTGTGTCAATTTCTGGCCAATACGCTCTACTCGCTTATGGGTGAATGATCTCGACCTTGCCAGGGCTGCCCGCGTAATCTACTGACTGGAATGACTTTGACACTCCGACTCTCTCGCTCTTTTCTTGTCCACTGGGCGGAGACTACTATCGTTCACTTATTGCCTCCGCTACAAGACAGCGAAGTTCCATGCATCGACATTCACTCTCAGGCTTCAACGCCGTCCCTCGGCATCACCTCGAAAACCCCGACGGCGAACAGTTCCAACTCAGTAGTGGTGCATCCTAGTGCAACCAACTATCATACCCATCCCTACCCATCCCCGCCCGTCCGTTTCCTTCGCCCCGTCAGACGTCATCCTGCTTGGAAGACCTGTCCTGTAGTTCGTCCTTCTCCGACACGCGAGTCTAAACGCAAATCTCGAAGAATCTTCATTCCGTCACTTCTGACCAACCACGCTCTCTAGCTCTAGCTCATCCCCTTCCATCTTCAGACCTACTTACGCAAACTGCAAACGACGTCGACGCGGTGATCCTCTGCAAGTCTAACGTGTATGCCAATTCCATAAACGCACGACCCCCCAGTCGAAGCCGAACGACGATCACTCCTCCAATTTGAAAGCGTCGTGGGACACGCGTCGGACTCTCCAAGGCACCTCGAATTATCAGCCACATTTTCACTCACGCCTGTATGTGAGTACGTACAGATACCAGTTACTCCAGCGATGCGTTACTGAATCCTGCGACCTGTCAATTAGATTCTATTAGATTGCGCTCGAGCCACAACGATTAAGGTTGCGTCGCGTAAGTGGCGCCAGGTAAGTTACAGCTCAGCTCATCCACTACGTATTGAATGGTCTGGAGATGATTTGCAGCCAAGACTAGTAGCAGAGAAGACATCACCTTTATTTGAATACGGAATTTTAGGGTAGAGGACACACCATTGAGTCGTAGGTCGACCCCTTTCCTAAATTCATCAGCGTACATATGTTCATGAACGCTAGCACTGACTAACCCCGACGTCAGACCTTCCGCTTGTTGCTCTCGCCGTGGCACACTTATACATGCAAGTTAAGTTGGACACAGACCCTCGTATCTCATCTTCATCTGCAGCTCCCAAATGATGTATGAGTATTTACCCTGGATCCACCAGTCGAATACATACACCCATACGACATCCCTGATCAGTATCAGCGGCGATTGTAATGTCCCACCGTCCAACACAAGTAATACCGGGTGTGTTTATCCTTACTCGTTATACGGTCTCTTGGGAACCGCACCCCGGCGTGAGTACTACTAAGTATACGTCTGTCCTCTTTCTGCTCCAGCGCTCAGCGCTCAGCTTTTCGGTCAACGAGGACATGTGGGACCTCGGATTCAGCACGATCGGTTCGGCCTTCGTACATACCTTCAAGCTTATGTGCATGGCTCAACCCACGTTTCCAGCCACCCTCGTCATAATTATGCTACTGACTCCGACTCGCATCTTTGTTGGACCCATTCCGTGAACCTATTCGGGAGTTGAGGACAAGGATCTTCGAGAATCGAGCGCACCGATTGGACGTGCAGACTCCACCACAACGCCTCACTACTGAGCCACTCGAACGCCCGAACGCCAGACGAGTTTGTCTACGCACACCGAATGAACGTCTACGATCACTCTTCGGCCGACCATAACAATGCACAATCGTGAACAACAACCCCCGACGAACCGACTTCGAATGTCGTTCGGGTTCTGAATATAGACGCCCGCTCCACGCCACACCGCACGCACGACCGGACGCGCCACATCTCATTTCTTTTGGCGATATGGAGGTGTTCCTGCGTAGCACCCAGGATAATTCACCCCTCGCTACGATCTTGCTACGCCTGCATAGCATCGATGATGCCCCTGACCTATCCTCCATGAGTTTTACCGCCTCTGTCCATCCACAAGTCCGATGTTCTCTCGCAGCAATCAAAGGATGACTCGATGAGTAGGGTATGGGCACGGAGCTTTGCATGCCGGGGCGCAGAGCTTGCTGTTCGACGATTATTGCTCTCACTGTGCGCGAGGGATCCAGATAATTCGTACTGGCTTAGGTACCCGCACCAACGTCATGATTAAAAAGCCTACTTGCAGAATGGCCGTGTCTTGCGCAGCCGCTGTAGAGAATGCGTACCATCCCCTCAAAATGTAACACATCCTACAAGCGAGGGTTAGGAGGACCTACTCGTCAGTACGTCTGACGCCCAATGAGCTCGCACCTGCCCACCCTCTTCGCTGCATTCGCGTTTATCATTGGCAGCAGCCACAAACGCCGGTCGACTCGTCGGAATCGACGCAGCGTAGCTCAACCTTCTCGTTCACCATCACACATGTCATCCATGCTCGAGCTCGTGTTCAACCAATCAGTGCCCTCTGCTTTGTTCCTTCTGCATTCTGCCTTCTGACGCTGAAGCCTCACCTCCACACTGTGTCTTGCCATCATACCCTAAAGCTAGTAGTTCACCTCGTAGCAGCTTCATTTCCTCATTCCCGCTTTACGCCCGCTCCAACACCACAGACAACATTCGCTCTCTTCTCTTCCTCGGAGTCGAGTTTTGGTTTTTACGGTCTCTGTACTTGCCCATGTTCTGCACCAGGACTTGCTTGTTCTGTTGGCGCTTTTGCTGGTCATAAACGCGAGCGTCACGGCTGTTTGACTCGTCGCTGATCTTCATTCTGCGACGTGCGTACTTACTTCGCATACTCACCACTTCTCTACGCCGACCCACAGAGGACTCGGAGAGAAAGGCGTTTAAAATTACCGGCGCAGCACTGGTGCCAGTTCTGCATACGTCGCATGACTTGTCTGTCTGTTGCTCCTCGGACCTTCCTTTCTCTGCCAATACGCTTCGTCGTATCATCAAATAAATAAAAATAAAAAAACAAACTTCGTCCGATTCAAAAGGGTACTACTCTACTACCTGGGTCAGCGCGATCGCTCCTTGAGACTCACACTCTTCAGCCGTATAATCGTCCTCCTCACAAATACCACCCCCCCTCCGGTTCGATGCGTAATAATCGCCACAACCGCTCCCGATCACCCTTCCTCGTACACCTCCTTGCCACTCCTCTTCGCATCCCAGCCTCCCAACTCGCCAACCCCACCCCCCATCTCTCAATCTCCCAACATAAAATCAATTCTTCTCCAACGGCCACTTAACCCTGCCAACCTCCCATCTCCTCCCAACGGCGGCATAACTAACCCCACCCAACCGACTCACAGCTCTCAATTTCTCAGGATCGACTTGAAGGCCGTCCGGTGAGAGCACAGAGTTGCGGATGTGGACGTGTTTGATGAGACCGAGGAGGAGGGTCGTGGATGGTTGAGGTTGAAGGGGCGTTGGTGAGGGAGTGGAGGGAGATGGGGTGGTGGAGGTGGACGATGATGTGGATGGGAGGAAGTCGTGGTAGGAATGGAGCTGTGGTGACGAAGGGAGAGTTGAGGTGAGTGAGATGTCCGGTCCATACGGGTACAGAGAATACGGAATTCTTTGTTTAATGGCAACTAATGTGGATGGGTCTCGACTGTCATTATGTCACTGTGAACACACAGTGATGGGTTGAAGGATCTTTGCCCCGGCATATAAATCAGATCTACCGGTCGAACCATCCGGGTCTAGTTTGTGGTCCTGTGAGATTCAGACTCTGCCCGAAACCACCAAGATTTGCGCGAACAACACAAAACCGTACGTCTCCACGCGTCCACAATATTTCGCCATGTCGCGCAAAACATAGGTATCTCGCCAGCAGGTCTGACCAGAATGGTGACCTCCCGGCAAATAATTATATGATGCGAGAATATAGGAAGCCCGACGAACGCGCGGCTTCCAAACGCTATTTACCGTAACAGACCGCAAACTATAGTCTATGAGATCCAGGGCGGGCAGGGTCACATCTGAAGCTTCAGAGCCCTCCGCAAGCGACGCGAAGTCGTTCGAAGTCTTTTGGACGATTCGAAGATTCCAAAAGGCTCGAAGCGATGTGAAGCGTGTGGTCATATATCAAGAGCCCGGTATGAAGACCGACCGGTTACGAGGACAGAAGACGGAAGACGAAAGAGGATGGACCTGTGCGCGGAGGGGCGAGGCCGACGTAAACGACCGGGTGTGCATAGCGATAGTAAGAAGATCATGATGGGAGACAAAAAGATCTCGAATTTCTGGGAGGAGGATCTGCGGAGAAGGACAAAAGGGATGTAAAGTTTACTGTGAAGCTAGTGCTCACCTCGCATTCGAAACTGATGGCGCTCTCTTTCACTCTTGATGGTTTCACGTATACCTAGATGCGATAACCGTCGAGACAGGAAGTGAGTTTTCTATCCGAATGTACGACCCTATCCCCCCAAGGAGGTCTTAGTGAAATAAATAAGACGAGGAGTAGACTTACGCTCTCCTCTTTCTCCAACCCCGCCACCTCCCACTCATCGTGCTCTGCCGGCGACTCGACACACGTAGCATTCGCAGCCTCGACGAACGGCTCCGAGATAATATTCACGACGAACTGCTTTGTGGCGAGAATATTTTCACGGGTATCCTTTGGTCTGCGAGGTGAGAGGGCGAAAGAGATAGAGAGAAGGGGTGGATTGTGCGAGACCTGTGGTTGGTGAACAGGACGTTGTGGTTAGTCGGCGCCAACCTATCGTGGCGACGAATAGGATGTACCATTGAGAAATAGCTGAGAAGTTATACTGTGAGTTCTCAGAAGATGTTAAGTATGATAGTCCTACACACCTGAACGGAGCCAAATTCGGCACACCATCCCTCGAAAGAGTCGACACGAACGCAATCGGACGAGGAACAATCGCGCTCGTCAACATCTTGTACGCGTCCCTATCACAAGAGACACCGTCGTCAACCTCAATATCTTTGTCCGTAACAATTGACTCGCACAGGACGACCTTGAAGAGACACGAAGCATGTGAGCCGTAAAAGACGACTTACAACGGCCCCAGCTTCTCCAGATTCCAAGACTTCCACCCATGCTCTTCATCCTCTTTCCATTTCTTCGTCAACTCTGTATCATTCTTCAATCCATCACCAAGTTTCCAGGATGGATTGGGACGTTGAGTGAGTGGGTAGGGCTCAGGATCGAATGGTGGCAGGCTATTGGGATTTGGTTTTCTTGTCGAATAGGCCGCCCTTCTCAACGAAAATACCGATACCGGACGATGAGGTAGCGAGCAGAGTATCCCAGGGCGGATGAGGAGCAGCATGATACAAAAGCGGGTGAAAGATGTATAGCATGTTCGGAGGCTGTTGCGTTGCGATATGTACTGTGCGAGGACTTGTGACTTTTCGGAGGAACGATGATGTGGAGTTTACGGCGCGCCACACGTTCTCAGGAGCCCCTGAAGGGTGGCCCAACTTCCCTGTCCGAATATTTTATCTCAATTGTCGGTCCTGAGTGTGTGTCAGAGCCCTTCTACGCAGTATCAGATAGTTTTTAGCTGGCTTTCAGTATACACCACGGTCTACCGCCCTCGCACAACCTTCGCACTGATTGAAGGAAAGTACCCAGCAATTCCTGCCCTACACCCTCACCGCCGACTCAAACTCAAATGCACATCGTTCTTCTGTCCCACCAATACCATGATTTCAGACATTTTCTGTACCCTCTTCGTGTCATGAAAATGTCAGACGGGGTCGTACGTAGGTTGGGTTTATGATTGGTGTTGGGTCTGCGGTCGAGATGGGCTTGACTTCCCAGACAGAATGTGTACTAGATGATCAGGAGTCGTGAGGGGTGAGGAGGATAGGATGTGATTGTTCCAGGGAAGACAGCGTAGACGATGCAACGCAAATATCGGAGCTCCTTAAACCGCTTTATTCACCAATCCTTCTTCATAGCCGAAAAAGTCGTCGGAAGACCCGCCGGGGAACCCGAGTCCAGGATCGCCATCTCCGCACGCTACAAAGTCATCCACTCGGTTGTCTGCCATCGAGGGACGTGGTAGGTGCGTAGAGCAATAGGGGAGTCCACGATGGCCGTTTAAGTGTGCGTTTAAGACCGCGTTTAAGACCGCGGCCCGGCTTTGGGGCTTAAACGCACGCTTAAACTTGGCTTAAACGTCCGTTTAAACGCTATCGTGGACTCCCCTAATGACTGCATTCGTAATAGGTAGTGCTCTGGATGCCATTCACGATCTGTTCGGACGACTCGGACGGAAATGGCGATATTCCGAGTTTCTATGCCGTGCGGATCTTCAGCGAGTGTTGGGGGAAAATGAGAGGATTTTTATCAGTGCTCGTGGAAAGCTATTATACATGAGCCCTACAGTGTTTACCTCCGGACTCGCCTTTCTAAAAGGGGGCCCGAAATCTCCCTCGGGGTGAAATCAGGCGAGAGGCGCACCATGGTCTGCCAGTTGAAAGACGCTGACAGTCGTACATAGAGGACTCGAGGGTCGAGGATGTCGCCTCACGTTGGACACGAGGGAGATAAGCATTCCATGAGATGTGAGATGAAAGTAAGTTAACAGCCAGCAAGCTAGCAAAGACAAAACAAAGCCAACGTTGTTGATAATAAGTAGATGAGGCTCAAGTTAGGAGAACAAATGACTGACAGTCCACGGTAATTGAGGTCGTAGACATCATTAGCGCATCTTCATGATGCGTCGATTATAGCTTGTTACAGATCTCAAGCAGAAAAGCTAAACAGACCCGCCACAGACGAAAGTACAACTGAGGATGATGGGTGGCGTAAGCAAGAAAAGCCGCTGACACAGCGCGCTGAGGCGCCGCCAAGACCTGCCGGATTCGGCAATAACATAGCCCAATTCGGCAGTTGGTTCGCTGGTCGGCGCGCCTGCGTTGCTCGCGACAGCCATCATCCGCTCTTGTGCTGTCCCTTCATGACCTGATTTTCTTTCGTATTTCGCCTTCGCCAGTTTTAAACGTCTTGTTAGCCTCTCAATCTTATAATTCCTATTTCTATGCTCTCATTGCTCTCGAGCTTGGTACGCCGTCAAGACGAAGATGACCCGTCCAATGCGCTACCACCGCCCGATGACTATGTCCCAGCACATCATGCTAGTCCTGTCGTCGCGTTCATCATCGGTCTTGCCATAGTCACGCTTGCGTCCGTTCTGAATGCTGCCGGGCTGAACTTGACAAAGTTGGACCACGTACGCGCTCTAAATCCTCTTTCGGACGACAGACAGGGTTAATTTACACACGTCTTGTTACTATGAATAGGTTCGGACGAGTGCAATCCCGAAGAGCTCGAGAAGGAAGGATTGGTTGAGGCCGCTTTGGTTGCTTGGGATGTTGCTTTATATGTGCGTTCTTTAGTTTGTAATGCGGTCGTGTGCTGGCACTTATGACGTGGGGGCGACTTGTAGTTTGTCGCAACTTATAGGATCGACTTTAGCGCTGCAATATATGAGAGCAGGTGTGTTCCGTTTCTCTATCCTGCAGCTATCATGTCTTGTCGAAAGCCGTGAACACAATCGTATGGCGTTTATAGCAAAGGAGCCCAGAGTTTAAGCATCTCACGGTGGGAGACCTCGTCAGAGCCACTTTTGCTCGGTAGCAGGAGACCAACTATCAACGTCAGTCAGTCTATGGGCCTAGGAGCATACGTGGAGGTGGTAACCGATACGAGAGTGACGTTGCACAGGAGCCCATTTGGGAGGCAACTGACTTCTACCAACGAAGGGCTTCGTACATCTTCAGTAGTCCGCTATGCCCAGGGCTATTGGGTATGAGAGTAGGCTGATAATCGGGTCTCTCATCCACTGTGCAGCCCTATCTGTTTGGGTAACGGCTATGACACAATATCTTCAATGCGGTGTCACATGTACGGTGGGCACAGGCATCACTTATTCTGTGGTGACCATTACCCTTGCACGATAGTCGCACACGCAATCTGAATGAGTTCACCGTTACCTGACAAAATTCATGTCGTCAGTTTCGAAGCCCTCTTAGCTCTCAAAAATACACAGAGCTTACCGAGCACTTTGAAAGGGTTGTACCAGGGCTCCTTACTGGCCAGCCCCATCTCTGTATCTGGGCACTACACTGACTCCTTCTCTGTCTTCAGAATACGTCGCCCCCCTTGGTTCAACATCCCTCATCTTCAACTTCATGTTCGCCCGTTTCCTCATTGGCACCCCCGTCCACATGAACGACATCTACGGCACAATAGTCATCATCCTCGGCGTAATAGGCATCGTTGCCTTCGGTTCCATCAACTCCGGCCTCTCCAACGAAACCGACGCCACGCACCTCACGCACCTCTGGGCCCGCGGCCCCTGGATCGGTTTCTTCATCTTCATGACTCTCGCCCTCCTCCTCCTCTTCGTCTTCACGGCTCAGCTCGACCTCGTATTGGCTTCGCGGTCGGACCTTTCCTCTGTTCCGTTCGCGGCGATGTCGGCGAGGATGGCGAGCGCGCAGGGACAGAGGCAGGAGGGCGGGCTTGTGAAGAGGGTGAAGCAGAGATGGGCGTGGGGCTTGGTGTGGATTGCGGAGAGGTTGGAGATGTGGACGGCGGGGAAGGATGATAAGGTCGTTGCGTGGACTTTGGGTATCGGCTGGGCTTGTTGCGGAGGCGGTATGGCGGGAGAGTGTCTCGTGTTTGCGAAGGCTGCGTGTGTACTTTCACTTTCACTGCCTGTCATCGAAAAGTCGGGAGATGCTGATATAGCATTAATTTACAGTGTGAAACTCATCTCTGGGTCGCTTTCGCATGAGAATCCCGGAAATCAAGTCGGTCATGCGGCCCCCATCTTCACGTTCATATTCCTCGCCAGCACCGCCGTCCTCCAGATCGTATGTCTCAACCGTGGACTCAAAGCATACGACTCTACGCTTGTCGTTCCCGTCTTTTACGGCGTATACACCGCCACGGGATGGCTCGATTCCCTCGTACGTCTCCCCTTCTCTTCTCCAATATATGACCGGAAGTGCTAACAGATGTACCGGATACACCATACGCAGATCTTCAACGCCTCAGTAGACGCCTACGCCTCCTGGACGCTTTTCCTCATCTTTGTCTCCATCCTCATCCTCATCTCCGGCGTCGTCCTCCTCACACACAAAAAACCGGACGTTCCTACTCATCCTCCCAACGCCGACGATATCACCCTGTCCTCTGTACCGAGACCAAATGGAAAAGGAAAGGGGAGGAGAAGGAAGGTGAAGAAAGGAGATGCAGAGGAGGGGGCGGACGATGAGAGGGAGGGTTTGAGAGCTGGGGAGGACGGTGGTGTAGAGGGGAGGGATGGGGAGGTGATGTGGGATGTCGGGGAGGCGAGCGACGATGATGAGGACGACGAGACAGAAGGCCACGACGAAGATGATCCTGCGGGTGACCGTACCCCTCGCGCCGCTCGATCAAGTTCACCGTCCACAGCCAAACCGGTCTCAAACCTGGGCACAGGAGGGAACGAAACAGAAGAAGGCATGCATCTCATGCGGAAATCGCACGATGAGGAACATGAGGAGGAGGTGGCGGCGAGTACGTCGACGCATACGCTGGGGCCAATGCCGCAGCAGACGAGAAGGAGGTCGACGTCTTCGGTCTCGTTGATTGATGCGGACGAGGACGAGATGGAGGCGGAGTTCGGGGAGTTCAAGAGTTCTAAAGCGAGGGCGGGGACGGTGGCGGGGCAGTCCAGTTCACGGTAGACCAGTTGCGAGCTACTGGTGACCAGTCGTGGTGAGGCGTGAGTTTGAGCGTGGGCTCTAGATTGCATTGCGTTGGTCTCGTTGGATATTTTGCTATTTGCTATATACTTTTACACTTACTTATGCTGTCTATTTCTTTTTGCACGATGCGGCGCTCAGGCTGGCTGGGATTGAAGATGGATGCATTTACATACAGTCGATCATGGTCATACATACATACGACTCACAAGAAACATACATGGACGTAGTGTACTATTGCGGCGTGCTGAGCTGGCGCCATTCTAATGCTTGCTGAATACATAATCGTGTACAGTCTTCGGCCGTGGTTCAGATATTGTGCAGCTTGACGACTTGAGGGTGGCACGACGCCACACTCGACTCTAGATCTGCAGCCGAGTCTCCGGGAACGCCCGGATGCTGCCAGTGCCGGTTTCAATTTGTGCCACACGAGTTGGTTGGCTTCCTCCCTTTTGCTCCTCGACCGTAACACTCATGACTGAGCGTTCAATTGACCAATAACAAAGGTACGTGTGGCCTCATATATCTCCCATAAGTTACCATAATGAACATGTGTCATAATTTACCATAGTATAAACCATATGTCTGCATACATCTCGAATCCTGTCGTGAAATTGCCGTTATACTGTCATACGTCGTGAAGGGAAGGTCCAAACGTCACCTATAAAAACGATGATACTTTCTATCGAGAGAGAAAGGTTATCTGTTGATATCGTCGAGGAGGACCGACCTGATATCAGCGTCAACGCCACTCCTGCGAAAAAATATGTACTCACCATCGTTTAGGTTTAGTCCGATCAACTACAGAATTTTCCGACTCCAACAGCCCGTTCAAACACCTAACCACCACGCCAACCCCGTATTCTACCACAGCCCAGTCATCCGGCGTAATTCTCGATATCAACCTTCCAAACCTATCCGGATGCCATCTCCTTAGCGCATCTCTTACCCTTTCCTTCCTAGGTATCCCCTCCGAGTGAAGGCCCGAGAGAATGAAGGCGGAGACGGCCTCGGGTGTAATGTCACGAACACTACGAGGTGGGTGAAGGACAGGCCAAGGGATATTCCAAACCGTCAATGGCTCCCCACCGCCAAGGAGGAGCGCAGCCCATCTCTGCTCGTAGACCGCCCACGCACCCCTCACGCGCTGTGCCTCCAGTCTCTTTATCTCTTCTGCTCCAAAATTTCGTTGCTTGTCCTTGGCCCTCTTCTCCTCCTCCCGCCTACACTCTGCCTTCCTCCGCCTCTCTTCCTGCATCTCGCGTTCTCTCCAACCTTTTGCTTCTTGCATCTCGCGTTCTCGCCATCGAGCTTCCATGCGCTTGAATTCTTGTTGAAGTTCGAGACGACGTTCGCGACGCTGTCGCTCTTCTTCGGGGTCTTTACCACGTGCACGCGATCGTTTCTTCTCGTCCGGTTGGCCAGGTATGTGAGGATGTGTGGTGGTATGTGCATGGAGACCCGCTGGTGTGGCTGGGCGAGGAGGCTGAACGGTGGTGCGAGTGTGATGAGAGACATGAGGTTGGTTGGCGGGATGAGTCTGGGAAGCAATATGCGGATGTGTCGCGGATTCAGTGGTTGTTGCAGGATACACAGGCTGTGCGGGCTGAGATGTGGAGGACCGTTGTTGCTGTTCGACCCAACGGCGAGTGGCCCTATTCCTCTTCTCTATCGCCGCACGTTCTTGATCGGCCAACCAGGCGTATGTGGCGGCCATCTGCGGGTCCTGGGGTCGTGGCGCACCTAAACGCCGGTGTCATCAAATGATTCCCTCTGACTTGTACGACGCAAAGGACACGTACCTGCCGCGTACTTTGGACTCGTGGTGTGATAGTAAGGCATCTCGCCTGCATTTGATGCAGATGGCTTTCTTGTTCCGGATTTGGTCTGCGGATGTGGACGCTGTTGGGCGTATTGATGGTGGAGGTAGGAGGATGGGATAGCGAAGATGACGCTGCTGCGTTCCATCTTTGAGTCGGAGTCTTCCCGTGCTTGGGCGTAAGTACGGCTCCTTGGAGAAAGGGTTTATGAGTGTACATGCCACGCGTACGACAGATGGGATGCAGTGGACGAGCCTGTTACAATCGTGTTGAAGTGGTGCGGAACAGACGTGCCTGTGCAGTGATATTCGCAGTCGATCCCGATTATAATGAGATATAAGAGGAGACTGCGGTGTACGTTAGGGCAGAGGAGGACATCTTCCCTTTGCGGGGAAGATCGGGATGAAGGGTAGCTCCCTACTAAGAAGAGCGAGCGGGGATGTAGGGGTCAAGGGATATATACTAACACGGCAACGCTCCTACACCGCTATTATGTCGCCTTTCGGACCCGCCTCCTCGTCTTGGGACGTGTCTCGTCATGCCGGCCCTTTGACGGTGTAGAATAGGGGCCCATCCTCGGAGCCCAAAAGTCCACAGGCTACGCTATCCTGTCTCCGAAGTTAGAGCCAGAGGAAGAGTATGCATTCAAGTACCGCCCTCCTAATCTCCTTTTACATCTGATGCAGCTCCCATCACTTGAAGGGAAGATACGTGAAAAGTTCTCTTCACCAAGCCCGCCCATGAAGAGGACCATATAGAGTCTACAAAGTTTACACGCTGCTTCTCCGTTTTCGAGGCACCGAGGACCGAATTCCCATTCAACTTACCGATTTTGGGTTGCGCGTATTGTCCACGAGTCCTCCTCAAATTCCAGACTCGGGAGTACGAAATCTCCAAGTGTCGGCAGGAGGCGGCAATCTATGCTGAAATCATGTCCCGAATCGTACAGTCGCATAGATGTGGTAGGGTAGCGGGCTGTTACGACACTTACAGTCCAAAGTAGGATAGTTCAGTCAATGGGGCGTGCGCGTCTTCGCGACAACAAGACAATAAGCTCCCCCTCTCCTTCTCACCATTTCTTCTTTCACGGCGGTAGACCTCCGGCCCGAGGCACATCTCGTCCTCTTTGCCCGACAAAGTCACTGAGGTGGCGTCGACGGCATCGGTATATTGACTTCAACGCAGGCCCCGATAGCCCTACTCCACATTCCCTGCGCGCCATTCCCGGTCATCGTTCTTCGATCGCCCACAACGATTAACGCGAGCTTCGCGCGTGTCCAAGCCACATTGAGCCTGCGCGCATCCTCGACAAAGCCCACATCGTTGTCCACATTAGAACGCACGGTCGAGAAGATAATAATGTCGCTCTCGCGGCCTTGAAATGAGTCGATCGTGTAGCTATGCGTGTTGCTCGAGGAGAGTGCATCGCGTAAAGCCTTGGCTTGTTTGGTATATGGAGAGAGGGCAGTGATGTCCGGGTGCTCGAAGTCTACTCTCTCTTTCGGTCGCTCGCGATCTTTTCCTTTGGAGCTGGTAGCTGTATTATTGGGAGATGATATCGACTCTGGGGATGGCTTGGGGCTGGCGAGGAGCTTCACGGTGTGCTTGATGAGCTCAACCTGTCCTGTATTACCCTTCGACATTCCACCGTAGTCTTCTTCTGCCGAACACGGGACGAATACGACCGGCACAACGACGTTTTCAGCTGTAGGCCAGGGAAATTGAGAGTTGAGAAGGGCGCGAAGCTTTGATCCGACATCGATTTCGCTGACTCCAGTCCTCAGTTCTCCGTTGTAGAACTCTGAGGAAGGAAAGCGGGCTATGGCTTCGGGGAAACGATACTGGACCTATTTCAAGCAAGGTTCAGTAACTGAAATACGACTAGCGGAGATTACGGATGAGGATCTCGCGCAATTTCACGTACATCGAGCATGGTTCTACTTAGCCCTGGCTGACTTTCTCCCGTGTACAGACGTTCAAATAATGAGACATCGTGCATAAGGGTACGGCCGAGAGGTCGAACCATAGGTCTCAATTGAACACTGATAGTACGACGAAGTTCCATATCAGTAATGACTTACTTCCCTCCTTGAATGGTAGAGATAGCTAAATACGTACTGATCTCCGACCAGAATCGCCTTCTTGCATCCTTTCACCAAAGGAATTAAAGCGACGGACTCCGTGACCTGAGAGGCCTCGTCGATCAAGGCAATGTCGAAGTCTATGCCTCTTAGGACACCTAAACCTGCCCCAGCGCATGTGGTAAACACTATCGTCGCCTTCTTGATGAGCTTTTCCGCCTTATCACGGCGATTCGAGTTGCGATTGATTTCGCCGCCCACTCTGCTTTCCACAGTGAAACTCTTTACGGACTTGTTGACTCTGGACGAATCGGTAGCAACGCGGAGAACCTGCTCTATGGGCACAATATGTTCTTCGTTCACGACCCTCTCGAAACGTTCGAGCACATTGTCGACGGCTGTATACACTGATCAATGAGATATGTAGCATATGAGGGAGATAAAATAAACGCAACCATTGTGTGTAGACGCCGTCATGAGGATTTTTCCACCGTCGTCAAGAGTTTGAACCAGTCGCTTCAGAATCTGCACGACCACTGTTGTCTTTCCAGTACCTATAGTACACTCGCAACAGTCAGTGAGAACACATATAATTAGAGATACCTCGCGGTAAACTTACCGGGAGGGCCCCAAATAAGTGTGACTTGGGAGGTCCGGCTCGCCCGCACGGCAACTCGCTGGCTGTGGTTCAACTCATCTTGAATTTCTTCATCGGGATCCGATACATCTGCATGCGTTTCATCCACATTTCGAGACGCTTCCGAGAGTTCCTGCGAGGCTTCCTCGGTGAGCGAATCACCGGTTATAGCACGATGAAATCGACAACATTCTGCACTTTCTGTGGCGAGACGATGTATAGCGTCCATCTGGGCCTTGAACGTTGCTTTGAAAGAGATCATTCAGAGTGCGACTGTAGAACTGGACCGTGATGGTAAGCTCACCTATACTGCCTGCGTTGTATAAGTACCACTGAATTTGGAGAACTTCCGGAGGAGCTGTGTGCATCAACGAAATCCTTGCCTGTCCCGGACTCATTTCCAGCACCAATCCATCCAAAACGATAGGCGCTACCCAGCCCCTCTCTGGCTTGGATCCAGCTCGCAGACGAACATGTGAATGCAGTTGGATGGCAGCGGGCGCATCGACACGGATATGAGCCAAGATCTCTGCCGGCTTATCCTCCACAGGACGAAGATCGACTAGTAGGGGCGCCTTAGACTGCCTCCTCGGGTGTCCCTCGTCGTCACAGGGACATTCGTCATTAGCCTCCTCCGCGCGATCGCATGAGACAGCTAACGAGTGTTTGTGGATATAGGTGCTAGCGGGAGACCGAGAATAGATGGGCTCCCTACATTCGTGGAGGGTGAGGAGGACCTCTTGTATCAGCTGTGGCGCACGAACGCACAAAGAAGCCAGCTGGAGAAGGTCTAGGTAATGTGTGATGGAGAGAGATGCAATGGACGACCTGATCCTCTCCAGCGCAGAAAGGGAAGCTATACCGACCACGTTGACAGAGCGAAGTATTTGTCTAACAATGAAGAGGGTATCGATAGAGGCCATATCTTCGTGCAGAAGGCCTTCCGACGGAACGAAGGATTTGAGAAGTGAGAAGACCAGCAATGGCTGGCGATCCATCCATTTCTCAAGGTAATGGCGGTTCAACGGCCTACGAGATAGGATGGTGTCGAAGGTCATGAAGAGAGCGTTCTCGGCGTGGTACTTCCAGGCGAGTTCAGCCACTTTATCGAGAACTTCGGGAAGAAGAGTCGAGAGATGTTCCCTCAGGCTGTCTAACGGCTTGTGGAATATCCTGCGTTGTTCGGCCGGAAGGGCAGTTAACTCCTCTTCGGTGATCTGGTTGAGGACATACGGAGACGGTCGCTGAGACGCGAACCGGCTGACGAACTCCTCGGTAGCCACACTGTACCATCTTGTTAGTGTCCTGGGCTCGACCAACCAGACTGTTAACTCACTGTTCGAAACGAAGGTCGAACAATTGGTGAGCAACCCCGTCGCGATTTGAAACGACGTGAATTTCGATTGCTACAACCGGAGCTCGATTGAGGCGTCCAATTTGCTTCGCGAATGTGTGAAAAGTGACTATCAGCATAGCAAGGATCTCGCGAGTACATAAAGAACATACGCGTTGAACTGGTCCCGATATCTGCTGTAAAGCGATACTCGTCACAATCTCCTCGCCGGAGTTTGCTGGAGGGCGAGCGATAAATATGAATGTGTTGGCACGCTGGCGATTGAAGAGCTGCATGTTTCCATAGCCACAATACAAGCGGAAACCTTCGACGCAGGATTTATATGTTGGTATATGAGCGGCAGTCCCCTTCATGAATGCGGCCACGACGACATTTTCGCCGTTCACAGGCACGTCCTCGTCCCATGGGATGCTACCGCGCAAGAAGATAGCGACCGTGAAGCGACCGTCGAACTGCAACCAAGAATGAAGGCAGTTATCGTCCTGGTCTTATGAAGTATAGTATTTGGAGGACAACATGCCTTCATGATAACGAGCTTTCTAGTGTAGTCTTGCGCAGCACGTTGCATGTACTCGAAGAAAGCATAAAGACCGTTGACCCTGGAGGAATACAGGCGCTGAACTCTCAGAGGGCCACCCAGCTTCTTCTCTGTCAATTCGGAAGACGTGAGTATGTCGGACCGCAGGAGACTGTTCCAGATGTACGGTTCCGCTGCCGGTATGAAGCCCATGGACATCGAGAGTTCTTGCTTTTCGTGTGCACCTAGAGCTCCAAAATTGACTTGGGTCAAGAACGGGTGGAAGTCGATGTTATACTTTCGTGCGACACGACGGGCAAGTTCTACAAGGCGGTACTCCGAGAGGGTGGGTTCCTCAGTAGAGAGAAGGCGTCGAACAAGCGTCACGGCGCCCTCTCTGTCCAGATCAACCGTGGTAATATTGGTGGCGGCCGTTTGATCGATTCGTTCACTAAATGCTCTCGCCTCCTGTGAGAGGACGTCGAGTATGAAGTCTGGCCTGGATTCTGGTACTTCTGTCAATCGAGCGGGAATCGAAACGCGAGCGCCATCGACGGCTTGGGAGTAGAGTGCATTGAGCTCTTGACACTCTTTGCTGAGAGCACCGTCGGGCGGATATCGAGCCCACTTATTATGGTACTTTGCGGCTTTGGCCATTCCTGAGCTATGGTTCAACAATGAGAAAGTTGTAATTCATGATTGGAGAGACACTTACTTGTTGTAGGACGCAAAGTGCCTGGCAAGATCTTGACGAGTGATCTTATTTTGAGTAAACTCTTTGTTGGGTGGATACGTATAAGACTGCGGAGGGTACTATTTAAGCATGATGGCACAGAGAGAGGCAGAATTCTGACCTCTGAGATCTTCTTAGGCACCAATCGAGGATCCCAGCATACAAAGTACTCGTCACCTAAGAGCATGCTCAAATGAGTGAGATCCACGACTTGCGATTGATGGCAGCTAGGTGTCGACATACCGTCTAAGTCACCTCCAGAGCTCATAGAAGGGGCGGCTCTTTTACCAACTGAGGGGAATACGACACAGTCCACAAGGTGGGAGAGTTGAGGGTGATCGACAGCACGGAGCTTGAGGATGTCACCTTAGTGCCCGATAACCACAGAAATTTCAATTTTGTTCCGTGACATCGTGCATACCGCTTGCAAGACGTACCAGGGTGTAAGCAAGGGTTTCGTACGACAATCACGTCCAAATGGTTGATGGTTGAAGCGCCGGCTCTCGACACCGTGATGCGAACGTGGACTTGACCTTCCTTTAGAACCCCGAAAGGATCGCACACCCCGAACAAGCGACGAGACTTGCGAATCAGCATTCGCACTCGCTCCTTTGTAGCATCACCCTCCTTGTGAAAGGCCTGGATCTCGGCTGCCTGTGCCGAGCGAATCTGTTTCACGATGGTAGGGGAGTCCAACCCATCGAGGAGAACGCGCTCGGCAATGTCGTGCTTTCCCAAGGTAGAGAAAAGCTCAAAGGCATGGACAGGATCGGACGATGCTCTCTGGACCCAGTCAAAGTACTCCTGCTGTAAAGCCACAAAGTCGTCGTTCGTAACGCCAAGGCTCGAAAGCAGGATGGTGATTTCGTTGTTGAGACGGCCGAAGGTGTGGGGTTTTGAATAATCGACGATGGAGAAAATCATGTCGTCTGTAGCGGTAAATTTCTTCTGGCTCTTGCGGAACTCGGCCTGGTGGATCTTCGCCGCATCTAGCGGAGGATGCAGCATCTGGACGCCCTAACGTTTTACTCAGCACAATCCGCATTCTCTAGGAACTACGGACCAACCTTGTACCCACGATATCTAAGATATATGTAATTGTCAGCTGAAGTGAAGACGGCCCCGTAACGGTACAAGATGCGAACCTGATCTGGAAGACACAGGGTGTGTAGCGTCGTCTATTGTGCACAATTCCTTTCTTTTTGCTGATTTGAACGCTGATCGGGCCTCCGTTAGACAAGAATAAAGGCGGATATTCTGAAGCTAGGGTCATACCTGAGCCATCTTGAAATGAGGCCACAACCGTCCGAAAATACCTCGTCTCCAATCTTGAGGTCGTCGATATCGCCTGTGTACTGAGGGTCGAGCATATAATCCACTTCCGCGCCGGAGAAGAGTAAACCGATACGCTTTGCACCTGAAGACCTGTTACATCAGTATTTCTCAGTGTGAAATAAAAGATTCGGAAGTCATCACACGTTTTGCGACGTTCATGATTTTCCCAAAGTCGCCCTTAGCGTACACGACCTGATCCAGCTCTTCGTCCGAATTCGCTCGGCGTAGAAAGCAACCACCACTGCGCTGCGCTCAGTAAGGTCTCGTGAGTTAGAACACGAAAGCATTGAATAGCTCAGATGCGTACCAGCTGACTATTGCTATGTCCATAAAATCGATACTGGACACCATTCAGGAACAATCCAGCCTGGAAGAAACGTAACTTGTAGTCTGTCGCCACTGAAGGCCTCGTATCCGGAAAACGCAGTCCGCCAAACGATGCCAAGATAAGATCATTCGAATCATCATAATATACCATACGATTGCTAGGGAATTGTGCCATCTCAATGGTGATCTTTTCGTAAGAGAAGATGACGAGTTTTCCCATGGGTCTGGTACGAGATTGAGACTGGCGAGGCGTGAGGACATTATGAGGGACATTGGTGAAGACCCAGCTATCGTCTGAAACCGAGACACTCTCTCTGAGAGTGAACTTGTTCTGAACCATGCTGGATGAAGAACAACGGACGGCACGCTAAGAGGACACTACGTGCGGGAGATGTTATGGCACTCCATAATTTGTGTGGCGTGGTGAGGGAGTGGAACAGACCGAGTTGGAACGCCCAATCCTGATATGCCTTCAGCGTCAACAAGGACTATATCAGGCTATCTAGCGCTCAAAGAGCGAAAGCGAATTCAACATGGACTCACCAACACCATCCCATTCCGCGAGACTGATCACCGCCATATACCTCGTTGGCCCATCTTCCGCGGGTAAAACAACTCTGTGCAATGCATTAGCTAGAACCCTGGGACTTCCCAACGAGGTTCACATCTCAGAGGTGGCCCGAACAGTTATGCGTGAGCGCGGATTCACTCGAGATGATGTAGGGAAGCTGGAGATGCAGAAGGCAATCATGGAGGCGCAATTGAAGGAGGATAGGTCAGCGCGTCACTATGCGACTAAAACTAGGGAGGTTTGTGCAGGAATAGTTCTGAGTGATAGGTCAGTTACTGTTCCCTCCTTGAACGTGGAAAATGATTGTGTTCTGAGATATTATGGTGGCGATTGTGGTGGTACAGGTCAGGCATCGATCCACTCGTGTACGCGCTGTTGAAAAACGACGCGGCTGTGGCGGAGTCGCTCGCCACATCGCCCGATTTTCAGGCTGCACTACCTGACTATCGCAAATCTACCTTCATCTTGTTGCACGCAATACCAGATTGGATGGAAGACGATGGGGTTCGAAGCGTGGATGATGGCTCAGACTGTTTCCATGTTTTCAAGCGCGTGTTATCCGAGCTGGACATCCAGTTTCAGGAGCTGGGCGAGAGTTGTCGATGGTTGGAAGAGAGGGTAGGGTTTGTTCGGAGGTGTGCACGCATGTGATCATTTATGAGATGTATATCATGCTTCGGTGATATACACAGTACTATTTAATCCCGCTCCGTAGATGCTTTTCAACCCATGGCATAATGAGATGTTTTGGGGCACCCAATGCTGTATGTGTCTACGCGTAATCTAGAGCGAAGGCCATGCTACAGTCAAGTAAGAATATACTCTTTAAACCTTCTGTCTCCACGCAGGCTTCACGTTCTTCAACCACATCGTCAAGGCAAACGCCACGGACGCGGTCTGTCAAGCGCCACATCAACAAATCAGCACCTGGCACCACACAAGATATATAAACGACAGAGATGGAGAACGTACGGCGACGAGAACGACATGGACCAGTTGACCGCTGAGAAGGTTCTTGTCTACAGATAATGCAAAGAGTGTGGTGGAACCTACAGGACCGAAGGCCCGTGCGAGAGAGCCGCATGCGGTAGCCATGCCCTGGAGAAACAACGGAGTGTCCGTCAGTGCGCGATCGCAATATAAGTTTGATACGATTGCATGACGAAGAAAATAATCCTACATTCATGGCGCCAAGTGAATCTCTACTTGGAGCGCTGTTAGTGATCAAGACATTGTTACACACTACGATTTTATTGGCCAGCAAATCCGATCAGCCTTCATGAACCTTGCCTTGGGGTGGTGGCAAGATGTCGACGCACCGAGACCCATATTACTGATCGTCTTTGAGATGATCATTCCTCCGATTGCAGCCCATATAACAGCGGTTCCGAAAGGATAGACGACGTGAGCCATGGGGAGCAACATGAATGAGAGGGGAAGGAAGAGCATGGCCATGCGGTAGGTCTTGACGGGGCCGAGATGTCTTTCGACCGGCTTCAGGAAACGGCATAATGGATGTCAGAGTTGCTCAAAGACGGTTTGATTTTCGACATACCGGGAACACTATCGTCTGTGAGAAGAGGGCAGCCATGCCGTTGATAGAGAGCAGTAGCTGTGGGAGACAATGAGGTGTGAGCGGGCTCAGGCTGGGCGAAATGATATAAGATTACTAACACCAATCTGTAACGAAGGAGTGTCTGGTGAATACGCTAATATCAAGAAGAGGATTGAGCGATATATACAAACCTGTCTTGGAGAAAAGCCTATTCCACCATGCTCGTACGTCGAATCTAAGGCATCGTCAAGATCATCAACGCGTGCACGACTTACAAAAGGATGGACGTACAGCAAAAGAGCGGTATAATCGCCCTAACAATGGCATGTCAGTTTCTGTCACGTCACTAGGGAAGCAGAACTGACTGGTAACACGAGTTAAGAAGGCCTAGGAAGAACCATGACAGGAGAACCTGAGCGATTTGTGGGTTGCGAATCAAGCTTAAAAAACTAGGTCTCTTCGGCTTGACTGGTTGTGCTTCACTATCGTCATTGACGTCAGCAAGTTGCCCAACCATCGTATCCGCATTGGAGGCGATAGAATCGGCTTCTTCTGTCGTGGCGGTCTTGTGAGAGTGAGTGGGTAAAGTCTGGACGAACTATACAGTGAGTAGGACTGGTAAAAGAGCGTTTGGTGGTACGTACTTCAGGAAGATACAACTGTGGGTAAATTGATGATAAGCAACGACACTGGTAAGCCTGAACTGAGCAGCGAAGCATACAAAACCGATGACAATAGCCAGCAGGTTAAAGGTTGAGCCCACAATACCTACCAAAGGGTCATGCATAAAGTGAGCGGAATCAATCTTCGAACCTATGGGTACTTACAAGGTAAGAAGTAAGGGTAGTTTTTCAGGAACTCAAATCCAAATATGGCCGGGAAACGTTCAGCGGGATGTGAGAAGTATCCGCCAATGAGAGGGCCAACTGTAGCACCGATGGCCCAGGTGGCGGGCAGAAATGCGAAGGCTCGTGCCTGATTAGTGTCGTCGGTGATTTCTGCCAGCATACTCTGCATCTTCCCGTGAGCACATGCAGAAATCCAGTGAAACGACAGTGAGGACGTACTTTGATTACCTAGACCGTAGGAGTGGCATCAGCGATTTGAGAAGGGCGGCAAGAAAGTGTATATCATACAGCGACATTTCCGTTCATCGCCCCTGCTATGCACCGTGCCAGCACCCTGTTAGTCGTTAGTATCTCGCTAGATGATGCTAAAGTTTGGAAGTAACCACACTCACATAGAAGTAAAACTACGTGCAAGACCGAACGATGTGACTGATATCATTACCCCCGTGAGTCCAGTAAGAACAACAGTCTTCCGTCCGATCCGATCGCTAACCATGCCCCAGAAGTAAACCGTGCAGAATTGGACAAAGGCGAAACAGCCTTCCACAACCTTCAGACCAGAATTGATCAGATGAAGAGAAGTTATAGTAATGAACAGCTTACTCACTCCGGCATAGTATCCCACTTGACTGGGTGGGATCCCTGCAATCTCCTCCATCATCTTTTGTGACCCAGAATAAAAATCACTGTGACTGAAGAAAAAACACGCAATACGTTGACTTACTTTATTGACGAACGGGAATATGAGGGTATATGAGACCGGTTCAGTGACTCTCATTACCAGCAAAATAATGATCTGCATGCGAGGCAGAGGTGTGACCGCCGGCCCCTTTTTAGGAAGTAGAGTCGACTGCTCGTCGAGCACAGATCTTGAACCATCGCGAGCCATAGCTTGCTATCTACCGTCGGCGGTGACGATGTTGAGACTGCAGAGACGACCCGCAGTGATTCTCACCACAGAAAACGCCAAAGTAATCAAACAGAGAGAGCACATCATTGTGCATCGCAGACTCTTTATACCCACAGAGCACTTGTCCACGAATGAGAGATAGCTGAGAACCTCGGAAGCGGAACGGAGCTGATGGCGAGCTCGAGCGCCACGGGGAAGTGTTCGAAAATTACATTTTGACCTAGATTGTTGTGATATGGTCTGAGCAGGTAGTACCATGTATTTCAGACTACTAGAGCTATGAGAGCAAAGTATAGACTGCCTCAATCGACCTGTGGCCCTGGGCCGAAGGAGTGGTGAAGGGAATAGGAAGGAGGGAATATTAATTTGAAATATATTTGAGTGGCACTGGCCATCTTATCTTATCTTTAATTACGCAATGGATTATCACGATATATTGTTTTATTGGCTTTTTTCAGTTCGTCTTCGCACCTTCATCATGATGACGCCGTGCTCGAACTCTAGTATGATATTCCTTGCCCTTACATCCTCTACTGGCAGCTGGTTCCAACGACAACGAATTTAACTTGCAACTCTTCGTTGGATACTCCGCTGAGCAGATCAGCCTAAGCATCGGTAGAGGACAAGGACGAAGACTTTCCAGGCGGGAAGCCTTGCTGGCACTTCGACCACTCCATGGTTTAGTACAGCTCTCTTGCAACTTATGTCCGAATTTTATCATCTACGTCCCTGCTCTCGATCATACCCACTTTGGCTGAGATCACCGTCGAGCTCGCGGGTCAGAATTTTGAGCTCTATATTGCCACTCGACGTCCTCGGGCGACTCGTGGGGAGAGCACACCGGTGGAGGACCTTGTCTTTGAATTAGTGAGCAATATTGCTCGACTAACGAACACCCGGCAGGTACTGGGAACCGGTTTAAGAAGGTTACATTGTTGGTAGAGGATAAACCAAAAGAATGGCATGTGCCCCAAGCGTCGATGGATGAGACGGTAAAAGCAGCGGACGAATAGTCGCCATGTGGATGGCAGAGTATGGCGAAGATAATCATGTAACTAATAGTATTAGTTGATGGAAGCGCTAGTATGACGCGCTGGGAAGGGAATATTTACTCCATTCATCCACTGTAAGTCGTAGATCATGATGCTCTTCAACGCTGTCCGAACTCACGTACATTCTAGTCACTTATGCATATAGGTGTCGTTTCCCAACCATGTTCTGTCATGTGTGATGCGTGTGCTATGCGAAGTAACGTTGCCTCCTTGACGATCTCACCGTTGCGCTGCCATCAAGAAGTTAATAGAGTCTGATTCGCGCAGGTACATATAGACTCTATGCGACGAGCCTTGTGCTGTAAAACCCCAAGCATCAGCTTTCCCCACCAGTCAGTATGACAAAGTCGAGCGAGCTGTCTTCACTTCGTTTCCTCGATTTCCCACTCGACGTTCGCGAGCGGATTTATGAAGCTCTTCTACACTCGACCGCCTCGCATCCAAGCGACCATGAATTAAGCAGCCTCCTTGCAAGCACCCAAACGGGCTTCTTTACCACCTTGCTCCCACCCACCACTACCACAAACCTTCTTCTCGCCAACCGTCAGCTCCATTCCGAGCTCCTTTCGACCATCGAACGCCATTCTCGTGCACGCAAAATCGTCTATACACTCCATCTCTTCGCATCCAATGGCCGGATCTATCCTACATGGATATCTCTCCCCAGTCCACCACAATATATATCTCGCGTCCACGTCTACTTCCAGATGGATCCCAATGGCGAAGCGTGGCGGCAGAGTTTCTGGGCAGATGGTGGACCTGGAGCTTTGACAAGTGGCCTTTTGAAGATACTCTCCGAATTCCTCGTTTATGGGCCTGCACTTCGCCCCTACGACTCTTCAAATCCTAAACCTATACACCCGCCCATTGTCCTTGACGAGCTTATCGTCGAGTTCGTGCGTCAGGATCCCGACTCAAGATTTCCCTCGCTCGAACTTCCGGTGATGTTGCGACAGGGAAGGAAGACGAGGGAGGAGGCTTATGTGTTTGATTTGGTGATGATTCTAACGCGGTCGGTGAAAAGTGGACAGCTATGGGGAAGGGTCAAGGAGGTCGGACTGGTGGTGGAGAATGTGGCGAAGGAATGGGACGTGCGTGAAGAGTCGAGAGAGAATATTTTGAAGACGGCGAGAAGATGGGCACCGTATGGATGGCAGAGTATGGAGAGTGTTATGAAGGGGGAACTGTAGGATAATCACGCACTATATGTGGTCGTATAGAATTGCGCTCTCTGAGGTGCGCAACAATACCTGCCTTCGATCATTTATCAGCTTTCTAACAGCATGCCATCTTCCAGAACAGCACAGCAACACGCGTAAGTATGTTACATACATGGGAGCGACGCCGACAACCTGATGGCCATTTCGAGATGCCTAGTATCGAGTGAGTCGGACGCAGCGAGTAAGTAACGGTCGAGAGCGCGAAACTCAGGCTTGCGGATGCAGTCAAATTCCAAGGAATTCTGGGGAAGAGTGTCCTTATGACCGTAGTGAGCCCATTAGGACTTGTAGATCGTAGAGGTCTAGGATTGAAAAAAACAAAAAAATCGATCGCCGCAACGCCACAATGATTCAACAACTTGAAGGGCTTGTTCGACGGCAAACGCCGACAAGCCTTCTGCAGGAACCACGACTTTCAGACAAACGACCACCCTCCTTTGACCCTCGTCTCCGGTCCCTGGCCAGACTCTCTAAGCTTGGACTGTTCTATGCATTACAAGCTTGGTATGAATACTGTTTAAGTTAGGCATTGTGGTCCACAGGCTTCCTCCAAATCTCGAGCCCAGGACTCTTCATGTCAATGTGCGAGTCGATGTCGACCACGAGTATCAAACGCATCTTGAACAATCTCTCTATGTATATACATCAGGAATAAGTGAATGACAAGCACCTGTGCTATGAAACTACCTCCACACCTGACAGAACACTCCTCGTCAAAAGCCAGCGCAACGACGATAAACAAACAGGAGAGCGGAAGCAATATCGTACCCATTCTACACACAACCATTCTATACCATCACTCTATGGAGCATACCGTTCAAATACCTGACAAAAGAACCTGCCCTTTCTTCGATAGTCCGACCACCGACCTCTTCGATCTTCCCGGCGCTCTCCCGAAATCGCTCCGGCTGTAGTCTCTGCAGAACGCTCCGTATCTTCTCCTTCCTGGGCACTCCTGGTAATGGCTTCATACTACCCGTGAAGCCCACCCCCGCAGATCCATCAATCTTCGTCGAGGCGATATGCGGTCCACCTATAGGCCACTGAAACTCTGTGAACGGCGTCAGAGGTACTCCATCGCCAATTCTACCCAGTCTCTCCTCCTTCCCTTGATCCTTCTTCGGCTCGACGCCAACCTTTGCTTTAGGCCCATCCTTCATCGTCCTGAGCATGGTCCTCCTCAACGTCTCGTCCGACTTCCTCTTCTCCTCGATCTTCCTTCTCTCTTCGCGTCTCCTCTCCTCCGCCATCTTTCTACGCTCTGCGATCATCTTCCTAACCTCGACTCTCTTCTGTGCTTCCCTCTCCCTCTCCTCGACAGTACGTACAACTGTTTGGCCCATCGCTCCGAAAAGAATATGCGTCTGCTTCTCTCCCGCGTCTGCCAGAGTGTCTGTCCCGAACCCTTTCCCGGTACCGAACCCGTCACTCATATCCGTGCTCGCGTACGCCTTCATCCACTCCTCGAACGCACTAGGGTCCGGACTCGACTCGACTCTAATCCTCTCACCCGCGGTACTATGGCCTACATGCACCCCAGCCCCACGACCACGGCCGACCCTCCCCGTAGTACTGACGCTCGCGCCCCTCGGCCTTCCCTTCGCCGTTCCCCCGACCGTAAGCGACGACTTCGTATCCGAGCGCCTGAGAGTATGCTGGACAGGTAACGGAGCGCTGGACTTCTTCGGCGCGGGAACGGGAGTGTATTTCGTCGGCATTGGCGTTCGAGGAGATGCGCTGGGGCTCCAGAATGATGTGGATGACCGGGGCTGGGATGAGGGGATGTGGTTTGCGGTCCGAGCGCTGCGCCAGGCAGACTTGGATTTGGAAGCTGTGGAAGGGGTGACTGTGGACCGTGACATGGCTGAGGACATCATGATAGTAGTGGGTAGGCGACAGCGGTCAACAGTAGCGGAGTAGTAGCGGAGTAGTAGCGGTGCAGGAGCAGTTTCACAGCGCAAGACGAAAGAACAAGAAGAGGAATAGTGAGCGGCACTGAGGATCCGTAGCGATAATGAAGAGAAAGGCCTGCGTTAGATGACCGTGATCTTGCGCTGGCAGTAGAGAGCCGCCCCTTCACATCGATACCCTCCTCGACGTCCCTTCCTTCCCTTATCAATGCTATGCGTGCGCGCGACCTCCCCTTCCGAGACTGTCATAAACCGTGCCTCATGAACTTCATGTTGGACTCTCGGCGGTCGATATTTCACCTTGAGGTGAATACACGAGAAGGTGCTGTGGCCAGGCGGAACGCACGAGGCTCGGCGCCGGGCGAGCGAGCGATGTTCCTTTCCTTTTGGACCATTTCTGACTGTCCGATTCGCCTCGTTTGCTCACTTCGCCGTCGTATGTTTGTTCCCGAACGCCTGTTGGACCCGTTCGAGGCTTGTGTAATTTCGTTATCTGATCCGAGCTCGTCAATGTGTGCGTTCAAACGACATTGTATTACGAGTCGGATGATTAAGCTTTTAGACTTCGCCCTGCATCTGAACTTGAACTTACTTTTTGGATGGACGGCGGGAAGAGGAATGGTGTCAAGAGGCTGGCAGGAAGCGGGGCGCTGGACGTGTGGTCAATCGAGTTTGGCATGTGTCTGTGTCTGTGTGCACCTTCAATGTCCATGTCACTTCCCCAGTCGTGTTTAGTCCTTCAGATCTTAGAACCGACGGCTCTCCGCCGCCGCTCTGTCCATCGCTCGACGCGTTCGAGAAGACTTCATAGTATAAGCACATGAATTGTCTCTTCCATATGCTGTACGATAATTTCCGCCACTTCTTCACGTCTGTTCCATAATGTAGTAACGACTCGGACCATGAACACGTACTTGCTACTGATCGATTTGATCCTCAACATCGAACATCGAACAATCGCATCACATCCACACGTATGAGCCAACATCCACACGCTATGAGCCAACATCCCCACCTCACCGTGACATCGGGAGTGTCGACGAGTCGTGGGCGTCGTGTCGTTTCCATACGATCACAGGCTCACAGCCAGTTATAATCACCGGCAAGTGTAGGCGAGTAGGCACTACGATATTGACACAGTGCGCCCACTGCAACCTGCATCGAACTTTTGAGCTGATAGAACACAAGGCAACCGGCAGCTGTGTGATAAGTAGCTTGCCCTCGCGCAGGACTCGGAGCACCCCTGTCCTTGCGCGTGAGTACTCACAGGCTTCAAGTTCGTCGATAAACGGCACTACGTAGTCCCAGTGAGTGAAAGAGAGCCTGAGCATCTGAACCAGGACGACCAAGTGAGATTAAAGTCGTACTCGCTGTGATCTGGACACCAGACGATGCATGGGATGCGCGTGCTCTTGTGTAGTAGAGTGTTATCGGCGACGGAATAAGTTGGTACACAAAGCCTGTGTACATTGAAATGGCCCACAGAGATCCAGTCGAGGCACTTGGGGTCGAAAGCAGGCAGGCCGATATTCAGTCTATCATAGAACGACAATCAAAAGAATCCGGCACACCAGGAAAAAAAACAGCTCGTCGACGAGGCGAACATCGACCTCGAAAGCGCTGAGAACGTACCATGTTATAATAAATAATGCGCCACTGTGGCGCCGCCCACGAACAAGTCTGTCAGACATCGGAATCGGATGCATCAGACCTCAGGGAAATAACCAGGGGAACGAAAATACGCTCAGTATCCAGATACTCTCGTATAACGCCCAGAATGAGATTTAAGTTAGCTAAAGTACACCATCCACAGAAGGGTAAAAACGAAAGAAAGAGTGAAAGAAAAGGAAAAGGTCGTAAACCCGACGTCGGTCTAAGAAGGATGAAGGATGAAGGGGATGTAGTTTGTGTAAGAAGCTCCGAAGGGCTGCAAGAGGAAGAAAGGATAAAAAAAAAGATGAAGCAGAAGACCCAAGATGTATATGACTCCAAATGCCCAATGCTCATTGCAGTATATATGTAGCATGATCTAGCTACATACCATACTAACTTACGGAAGTACAGAGCGGTCGAGCACGGGGACGCTGACGGGAGAACGGAGACGAAAGCACAACAGCAGCGGTATGTATGTAGTAACGTTGACAGACAACAGAGCACAGAGCACACAACACCAGACGGAGAAGTGTCAGCAGTGGTAGGAGCAGTGGAAACGTGTCCGGACTGCGAGCCCAGTATGTGCGGCATGAAGACGGATGAAAGCGGAGTATATGAACGAATGAAGTGAGCGCAGGTGAGTGGTTACAACAAAGAATGGTGTTGCGGGAGAGAATGAAGAGAGCGATAAATGAAGCGAAGTAGGCGTGATATGTACTGCGTGGGAAAGGTGAACAAAACGACTGATGGGTTACTACGCACAAGCAAGCAAAAAAAAGGCAGAATTGGAGACCGAAAGAACGAACCCATTCCATCCGATCCCAAACTCAGGCGCTTCCTGCCATCCGTGTGTATAGCCCATCATTTTCCATCCTACGTGACTTCACCCGCCCTTTACGCGACGCCCCTCATCCCTCCATAACCCATCGCCGCCCCCTGCTCCGCCAACTTCTTCTGCCTAAACGCCTTCCTGTACTTCGTCCTCTCATACGTCACCAACCCAACCACAATCAACGCAATCACACTGATACCCCCAAACACGCCCAATCCGATCGGCAGCACCTGCAGCGACTTGCCAGGGACGACGAACGCGGAGGCTGAGGCTGAAGCGGCTGCGTTGTCTGCCGCGCTGGAGGCGGAGGGTGCGGTGTCTGCTGCGCTGGTGGCGGCGGCGGCACCGGCGACTGAGGAGGCGCTGGCGGCGGCTGTGGAGGTGGCGAGACCTGAGGAGATGGCTGAGAGAGGGATCGAGGAGAATGTGCCGACTATGGGTGTACCGGATGCGGCGGCGGCGGCGGCGGAGGTGCTGCTGGCTGCTGTGGTGTCGGTCGAGGATGCAGCAGCTGATGAAGACACGGCCGCGGATGAGGCGGCAGCTGCGCTAGTGGACGTTGCGGCGGTCTACGAACAATGGGGTGAAAAATAGAGAATAAAACATGAATATTTAAACGATCCTCTGTCTGGCCTTCATCAAACATTCGAACACGAATATATGCTCACCGTGTCCGTGCTGCTCGCAGCAGCAGCTGAAGACGACGCTGCAGTTGTAGCAGCCGCAGAAGAGGCAGCAGCGGCGCTGGTGGACGTTGCAGCCGCCGCAGTCGACGACGAAGCGGCGGCTACCGACGTCGCGTCGACGGGAGTGGTAACACACGACGTGACCTCCTCCATCTCCACCGTTCCATCTGCGCCCGTAACCGGCGTGAGCGTGATCGTGCAAGTCTCGAGCATCTTTCCACTTGCACTGAAATCACGCGTTCGTCGTCGAGACAGTGAGTAAAGAAATTCTGGTGGATGCAGATTTAAATGGGGACGTACGTGTCAATGGTCTGCTGCGACTCGACCGTCACTGGGTTTTGTCTCCGGCTGATGGCTGCTGGTGCTGCAGAGACATTCGAGCCGAAGAGGGCCAGGGCGAGGAGAAAACAATGATATAAAGCGAGCATTTCCGGGTATGTATCCTGTTTCGAATCCTCTACGAAAGCGCCCAAGGAGGAACAGAGAAAAAATGCACAAAAATAAAAGCAAGTCAAGCACTGGGCCTGTAGAGCTGTTAAAAGTCGATAAGTTACGTTTAAATGGCTGGGAGTTCCTGCTCCGGGTCCTAGAGGCGGCTGGTGAGGCTTGTGCTGGCCGTCGACGAAGATGAAGAGAAGGAAAAGATCGGAAGGGCCTCCAGGGCGAAGCGGGAAGAAGAAAGAGAAGGGAGAGGAGAACAAGGAGAGAGGGATGGAGACAATCGTCGACAACGTCCTGCAGCGCAACCGTCCTCGCGCGACGGCCATATCCATCCCCTTTTGAGGCTCCGCGCAGATGCGGCAACGGCCCGCAGCCAGCGTAACTGAGTCGTTCTCCGTCTCCTTCACGACCGTAAACGCCTGGACCCATCACGCGAGAAAATCAGGATGCATGTCTGCCGTTCGTCGGTAAAATCTACAAACATGAGGTGGGACAAATAAACATATATTCAAGAATCACGCTCTATCCTATCCACGTCCATCCACGACCTTGTACGTCTTCCCATCCCTCACCCTTCGCCGCTTCTCCACCAACACCAGATCCAATATCCCGACCACGCCCTGGACGCCCCACCGCTCAAACGCCAGCGACGCCACCACGTTGATGGCAACCGCGAACAGCAGCACCCATCTCGCGCCCGATGGGATGGGCATCAACTCGAGAATCATCGAGATGACATGAGGAGGGGCGAGCAGGACGAGTGCGTTGAAGGCCGACAGCGCGACGAGTGATAGCATCAGCCAACCTGTGTGAATGATAAATGTGTGGCGATGAGGTGTGGGATGATGTAGCGGCGGTCAGTACGGATATGTGCGAACGACTCGGGACGGTGGGATGAGAAGGGACGTTGTATACTGACCGTTCGTCCACATCGGCTTGCGATATGGTGGCCCGATGCTAAATACAGCCGCAACGAGGATGTACTGGAAGCACGAAACCAAGAATAACGACGTGTTCTCGTAGTTCGTCGCCTGCAAATGATCATCGTCCGAATCCGGATCTGTCGACGGCGGAAAGTACCTAGCAAACGGCACAACGAGTCAGTGACCTCAATCGAGCGTGTCAGTCGGAAACTCACCATGGTTGCCGCCTGACCCAGAAGAATGCCCAAAACTGCACGACACTCGTGATGATAATCTGTCCGACGATGCTCGTCAACACGCCCTTCGAGACCAAACTCGCAGTAGGTCTCTTCGGATGTATCTGAGGGAATGGAAGCGTGCGACCCACTACAGTCGTGAGGAGGACAAAAGGAGCCGAAAGTTAGAAGACAAACGCGTAACCAAAACATACCGGTTATGGAAAGGAAGCAAACGTACTGGTGACGGCGACGGGAATGATAATGAACAGATCGATGTACAAGAACTGCGGCCAAGGAATGAGGAACTTCAATCAGCTTTCCGGGGCACGAGGACAGACAGAACTGCGCAAGCAAGACAAAGGCATTCGAGCGCACCTGGAAGTCACCCAACGACGAGGCGAAGGAATACAACAATGTGATGGTCGTGAACTGAATCAAAGAGTACAGCGCCCTATAAAGTAGCATCCAATTAGTACAAAAGCGCATCTGTACGAAGAAGTGGAAGAAAAAGGGAAATAGTGTCATCCTCACATGTACTTGAAGCAGCTAAAGCTCGTCACCAGCGCCGCCCTCCCTTCCCTGATCACCTCCAGCACACAACTCACATCTGGCGTCCGACTCGTGAACGGAGCAGCCACACTCGCCTCTGCCTCGCTCAATGATAATCCTACGTCCGCGGCTTTGAGTGCCGCACAGTCGTTGGCACCGTCTCCGCACATGAGGACGGTGTAGCCTAGTGATTGAAGCCGTTCTACGACTTCGTTCTTTTCGTCGGGCGACATACGTGCGAATATCTGGGCTCGAGCGAACATCTACACCAAGCCATGATCAGCACGATTATCTGAATGAAAGACTGAAGGAAGATGTCGAGCAAGATTGTAGGAAGACGCACCCGCTGTAAAGTCTCCAATGGAGCATTGTTGATCATCCACCTGAACACATCTCCAGTCACAGCCAACGCATAGTCCTGATGATCCAACATATCCTCATCTATCCCATGATGCGCAGGTGCCTCCTTCGGCCTCAAGCTGTAGTCGTCCAACTCCCATTCAGGGTCATCCATGCACGTCCATTCCAGTTTCGCGAGTGGCGTAGTCGAGTTCCCTGGACGAGCCAACACAATAATGATATCAGAACACGGACTGTATCGGTGAATACACCGTTGGTCATGAAAGACACACCTCTTACGAATGCAGGCGCAAACACCTGTGTCGTCTGTGTGATGAGATTACACTCCCTCGCCACACTAACAGCCGTGAGCGCATTATCACCCGTGATCATCCTACACGGAAGATGCGCTTGTCGAAGTGCTTGAATGGCGGGCGCTGTACCTGGCTTGAGCTTGTTTTCGAAGATGACGAGGCCGAGGAAGCGGAGGCCTGATTCGGCCTGTTCACTGTGGCGCGCCACAACATATATCAGAACGAAGGGCTGGGGTACCGTGCCAGAAATTGTACATACCGTTTCAGCCGTTGGGCTTTCAGCCATGACAGCCCCTCAATGCTTTTTCCAGCTATAGCGATGACACGGTAGCCGCGCTTGGTGTAGTACGATAGCAGGTCATCGTAATCATCCGGGACTAAACACAACATCAGCACCGACAAGGAAAAGCGATGGATCAGACAACGTACATGACTCCTTCATGCAGATATCTGCCATGACCTCCGGAGCTCCCTTGACGTAGACTTCCATAGATGTGCTCTTGAGCCTCTTGACCACGACGCTCATCCGTCTAAGCTGAGAAACAAACTCGAACGTTCGAATGACACCCAATTCCAAGAAATGAGCATGCTAAGCGACGAAGTCGAAGTGATCATCATGAGATCATTATCGCTCTCTTCATTAGGAATAGAAATGAAAAACGAACCTTCGCCGCACCCTTCAACGCATCTTCAACCCTGAACTGCGCGCTGCCCGGCGGCCTCACAATCGTCTGCACCAACGCCGCTGGCCTTCCACTATCACTCGCACCATCTCCAGTCGCACCACTCTTCTTTCCTTTGATGACCGCAGTCCCAGCGACATGTCCCTCCTCGATCGCCCACTTCGTAAACATGAACATCTTCACATCCAACGGATCCCCAATAACCTCCCCGTCCACCACCTTCAACTGATGACACGTTGCCAACGCCTGCAAAAAGCTCTCCTTCCCCCTCCCACCACCACCACCACTCAATGGTAAATCATCCACGTCCTCAATGAGCTCCCCGAACCGGTGTACGTTGCGTTCTAGACCCCTGACGCCGAGGATATCGAGTCCGTCTTCGGTGAGCGTCCCGGTCTTGTCAAAGCAGCAGACATTGATTTTTCCGGCGACGTTGATGCGGCTGGGGGCGATGCAGAATATTCCGGATTGGCGGAGACGGCTGAGGGCGAAGCTGGTTCCGATGGAGAGCGTGGCGGGAAGTGCGGGTGGGACGACGACGGTGATGAGATCGAGTGCTCGGAGGAGGATAGTATGCCATCGGACCTGTATAGCACAACACATCAGCTATGTACGCGAAAGAAAGGTGGAGAAACACTCACACCGAGCCTGACGAACTGCACGGCACTGGCCAAGAATCCTACCCCCGCGATCCCCGCAAGCACCATGATGAACCGTATAGAATCCCTATAGAACTTGAACCCCATCGGCTTCGGAAACAACATCGACCTCACGAGTGCCCCTTTCGTCGTACTGAACCCTGTCCGAACCACGATCCCCAGCGCCGGCCTCTCATTGACCTCATCTATCGCCCCCACGCCCTTCCGTATCCTCACCACCTTGGTACCGGCATAGAGGAAAGACTTAGACATGTCGCTGGAAACGTCGCGCGATTCACGCCAGCGGGAGAGATCTTCGTCTGAGACGGAGACTTTGGAGACGGGGACGGATTCTCCGGTTAGCATGGATTCATTTACTATTCCGTCGCCGGAGAGGAGGAAGAGGTCTGCGGGGAGAATAGGGAGAGGGGGGGAGAGGAGGTTGATGATGTCGCCGGGGACGAGGTCGGAAGACTCGCGAGAGAGCCCTAGGATATTGTGAGTCGAAGGTTGTGATAATTGAGATGCGGGAGAAAGCTTACAAGCTCCATCTACGAAGACGCTAACGGGACATGAGAATCGTGACATCTCGCGCATCCGTGCTATGGTCTACCAACTACATTTAGCATGCGTCTTGCTGTAGAAGAGATAAATTCTAACCTTTTTCGTGTCGATGAGGGTCGTGGCGACGCTCAAAGTCGAAATCAACGCAATGCAGAAGGCATAATAATAGTAATCATCGATGGACCAGAGAATAATGCTCGCAATTTGGAAGACATAAAACGGATGTATGATCTTGGAAGCGATTGATTAATTTTTAGAAATGCAGGGGGAGGAATGACCCACCTCGTCAATCATGAGCGTTATAGTCGACTTGGCCGCGATTTCAATCAGGTTTGGTCCGAACAGTTTCAGCCTCTGTGCCCTAGTTCCATCGTCGAGGCCATTCTTTACGGATTGTACACCCGTCCAGGAAGGGTCTCGCCAGTCCCTATGCCAACTTGAGTCTCCAGCATATGTGAACACATAAGAAAGAATACATACTTAGTCATCTTGAACAACCCATCGCGTTCATCCAACGCAAACCTCGCATATCGATAATCGACCACCAGCAACGTCTCCAGCATCTCGCCATCTAGCGTGCCGAGCGCACCGACGCCATTCGTGTGTCCGTTTGCGGTCCCATTTACTTTAGTAAGACCAGCCACTCCGACTAAAGGACCCGCAAACACCGTCGAGGCGGGATACGGATACTCGAGCCTTTGTACTGGAAACAGCGCTATATCCCTGTAGGCAGTCTAGTTGCATCCTTGGGACCTTTCGTGTAGACTCAAATTAATCGAAAAGGCTTACCTCGACCACTACGAGTCCATCCTTCAACTCTCTGAAGGCCCTCTCCTTCGCGACCCAGCGTAGCCACAACTTCGGAAACCAGTGACCCAAGAGGCCCAAGAGGCCGAAGGAGAGTATGCAAAGTGCTCGCCAGACCCACTTACGAAAGAACATTGTCTCGTAACCGACGAAACGGATGGAGGTGTCTTCTTCCGTGATGTAGATGATTTGGCGGCTGGGTGGGCCGGGCGGTGGTGGGTCGAGGGGTTCGAGGTCGATTTCGATACGGGCTTCGTCACCGAAGAATTGATCAGCAGAGAGGAGTGGGAGGTGAGCGGAGTGAGTGGGTGAGGGTGGGTTGGATCCGTAATCCATGCTGGCGGCCGGTGAAGGAGATCTCGCAACGTCCTCGTCTCCCGAAGCTTCTGCTTCATCCTCCTCTCCTGACGAATACCCCCAGCGGTCGTCCCCATCCTCCTCTTCGTCACTATCCACTGCGACCGAGCCAGCGTCAGAACGAGTCCCCCACCGCCTTCTTGACGATGCTGTCGACCGCTGGGAGAACGAAGGCCGTCGCGAGTGCTCACGCCCCGCTGTACTCTTATCCCGTCCAAACAGATGCGCAATATTCTCAAAAACACCATTCCGATGTGGCGACGGTGATTTCCTTCCTCTCCTCATCAACGGTCTCTCCCCCGTGATGTCCTCCTCTTCATCTTCTCCGGACGTAGCGCCCACGCTGTCGGCTCTACTGTGTGAGCTCCCTCGCCTCCTTGGTCCTCTTCCCTGTGACGCCTGGCTATCTTCGCTTCGATGACGACTAAGTGAGCGCGTATGGGTCATGCGCGAGACGCTGGACGGGATGACGGAGTGACCTGGGCCAGAAAACATAGAGCCTGCGGCATCGTCGTAGGCGATGCTGTATTGCGAGTCGCGACGTCCACGGCGGGAGTTAGAGACTGCATTGGAGATGTCGATGGCGGAGGCGCCTTCAGTGTAGTCATGATTTGATGGTCCAGCAATGTTAGACATCCCTATTTTATATCATGCGATTTAAAGGTTTTTTGTAAACAGTGAATGGGTGGGTAGACGTACCTGCTCAGGGCGGCTAGAGCTATCGGTGATGTTTCACTCTAGCTATGAGGGACAGTCGTCTTTCAGGAACATGAGTTTGATATATTCTCGAGAAATAGGACCAATACCAACCTTTATCGAACTGGTGCTCATGAACTGTCGCTCGGTAAGTCGGATGTTCAGCGCTCAACCACCAATTTTGATGGCGGTCAATACAAAGCTAAGGAAACCACATAAGATATAAACACAAAGAGATACTGACGAATCATCTCACCTATACAGGCTATTAGTTCACAGCAAAGATGAAGGTCGTGAACAAGTAAAGGTCGTGAACAAGTCGAGGACGTCTTCCGCGTTCGGTTTACTGCACGGAAAGCTAGGGCTCGGGCGGAACCGAAGCTGCTGCTGTGGCGTGAATAGTTGGGTGGCGAAAGTATCTTCAACCTTTTTACAGCTTCCTCTCGAGCACAGTTTAGATGAAGGTAGAATCTGTATTTATATATCTCTACACAGAGCCACAGTCGTAAATCAGAGTAAAATATTGCACCTTTTCAACGCGGTGTTTGTGCCACCGCCACACCCGCTTCCTGCCGAGCGCCTATTTCCAATTTTACTGCCGAATCTTCGTCATCCAAAAGTCAGTCCGCTCTTGAACTCTTCGTCATCCTCATCGTTTCATTCGCTGTCGTCGTTGTCGATAATCTCCAGAAAAAATGTTTCGTAACGTCGCACGGACATCATTACGCAGAGCTTTGCATACCTCTGTGCCGCGCGCGAACGCGACCGTTTCGCGACGCGGAATTGCTCTTGCGCTCGCGACGACCTCTGCCACGGCTTACTTTGGCTGGCGGATAGCTTCAGGCAGCCAGGGTATTGCTCTTGATATGGAGAATCCAGGTGGGTGGTATACATATTTTGTTGTTGACCCTATACTGAAATACCCCATCGCGTTTATAGCGTCCGAAAAGCCCTCTTCATCTCCAAAACTCTCTGAACCCACCACTTCCACCACTCCCTCCACGTCCAGTCCACCCTCCTCAACACCAGATGCAGAGACTACCGTCGAAGCTATTGCTACCGAAGCTGAATCGGAAGAGGGAGAATCCCAAGGAGCCTTCGACCCCGTCACTGGCAAGATTAACTGGGACTGTCCGTGTTTAGGAGGAATGGCCTATGGTCCGTGTGGGATGCAGTTCAGGGAGGCATTCTCGTGTTTCGTGTTCTCTGAGGATGAACCGAAAGGAATAAATTGTGTGGATAAGTTCAAGGCGATGCAGAACTGCTTCAGGGAGAATCCGGAAGTTTATGGTGAAGGTGCGTACAAATCCTCTGCCTTCACGTGTTCACGTTGCTCGACTTCCCTCTTTTTTATGCTTAATACTCTGCGATGCTCTACTCTGCCTCCAACCCCTTTAATTAACGCGTTTATGTACAGAAATCATGAACGACGATGATGATGACGAACAAGACGCCACCACCCCATCCTCAGCCGACACTCCTACTTCCGCCGACACCACGCCTGCATCCCTCGCCGCTCAGGTGGACTCACCATCGGCCGCTACCGCTGAAAAGGCTACCGCCATCAGCTCGACAGCTACCTCCTCATAGACATCATACATTCGCATACTATGTCATCGTGGTCGACGGCCTTCGGCCTCATCACTACATTTGCTCCGCCCGCTCATATATCTTATATTCGACTATCATCACCACTCAGTGCATATGCATATCTTCGAACACGAAGGTATCTCGACAGGTCGGACGGAACGTAAACGATGAATACCTTCATAACCTCGCTTGCACAGTCTCAGAAGCACCTTTTCTTGCCGGATGTGATTCCAACCTGATTCTTACTGGCTCCTCAGAGAAGATCTGCGACTCATATGTGAGTCTCTGAAGTATCGTTGGTGTATCCTGCCTTGATGTATCCTCTGTCCGAGTAAAACTGCGAGACTTGTGCATCTGGAAATATGCCTTCGCCTACCCTTCCTCTTTTTCGATTGGATCGATTTCTGCAAAGGTCCCGGTCATCTTCAATGAATACTGTGTTGTCAGGCCCACCATTCTCTCCACTATCTATGCTCCCGCATTTGAAAGACCATGATATTTGACAGACTGTGGCACCGTCAAAGAGCTCGCACATCCCACATTTCTTGGCGCAGTTTACTGCAGCACGATCCAGCCCGTTTCTCCATACGCCCGTCTAAGTCAACACATTCTACAGCTTGACAGGTGCTCATGAATATTTCCAGCATTTTCGGGGTATGTATACGTCGGGGAGCGCGGGTTCCTGCAGTGGCACACACTAATGCTTAAACGCCGATTTACCGGCAATCTCCGGATGCGTTCACCTTGTGCCTGCGCTTCGATCGGGACGATCGACAATTTGATTATCCTCCCGCTCGTCCGACCTCGACGCCATGCTCGACGCTCGTTGCTCTAGATCTTAGGGCTCCATGCTCTCCTCAATGTTCAGCCTTTCTGTAGAGAGCGGGTACCGCAACCAGACGGTTTTTTTCATTCTGTCCGCCCTGCTATTATATGTAGGTCGACTATGTTCATTACTCAGAACCGAACATGACTTATCTTCGCGGCGCGAGTGGATAGGAGTGGATGTCTCGGGAACCTATCGAGGAAAAAGCTATTTCTGGCTTCATAATAACAACCGCGAATTGGTTCCACTACGACAGCCGCGGTTTCTATATACGTACGCTGAAAGCATTCGCAATCGTTGGGCTCGTTCGTGCCCGATGCCGAAGCGCGCGTCCACCCACATCCGCTCCTTGCTCGCTCATATTTTCGCTCATTATTGTTAGTAATATGTCTAGCGGCCCACATCTGGTGCTCTCTACAAATATTCTACTATTTTTTTTTATCTCGTGGAGTGCAAATTTACAGTGTAGAACCTTGTAGAACCTGGCTCATCGCGTGTGGATGACGAAGTCAAGCCAGCCTCAGCCTGGCCATGGCGTAAATTTCACCCACTGTGTCCCCCCTTTCTCCACGTTCCTTCGGGGAATACATGGTGACGACGTTTTAAATTCTATTTCAACACACCGTCGATCTACTCCCTCTGAGACGCCCTTTACGACGCGTGTATCCCCGATGGCCAGGTTAGACAGTTGCTATCCACTGGCAGCGAGTCGCTCATTACTTACTCAGCATTAATTTTTGAAGCGTCGTCAGGAGCTCTTGCGCTTGGGCGTTGGAGCTCGTGCAGACCGGCATACCCACATTGTCCGTGTCCGATGGTATGACTGACTGTGCTTTACGGATTTCCCGGGAATGGGGGCATATCCTGGGGGACATATAAAAGCATCGTGGTGTTGACGACCTGTCGATCCCTCATTCCTCACAACCTCTCTATCCCTCTTCAGTCTCCACACCTACTACCCCTCACATTTCTATACCGCTTCCCCCGTACTCTCCCTCCTCACAAATCATGTCTAAAGGACTCGTTCTCGTCACTGGAGTCAGTGGGTGCGTCGTCCTCGCTATCGCGTACATCGATCGTTACCGACAACTTTACGCTTTGTTCTACCTAACAGATTTGTCGGTACCGGCGTCGCTCTTGCTTACCTCGAAGCTGGATATGCTGTCCGTGGTACAACCCGTTCGAAATCCAAGGCTGAGGACTGGATCGCCATGTTCCCCCAACACAAAGCCAACTTCGAGTACGCTGTCGTTGAGGACATCGTCACCCCACACTGTTTCGACGAGTCGGTCAAGGGCGTAGATTTCATTGCCCACACTGCCTCGCCATTCCATTACAATGTCAAGGTTCGTCATCCACTTTTTTAAGGTCTCCCGGCGTCCTTCGTGCCACTTGAGTAGGCGGTTGGCTAACCTGTAAATCTCCGGTCACGTCATACAGGACAACGAGAAAGACCTCCTCCAACCCGCCATCGCCGGCACGAAGAACCTCGTCGCAGCCACCAAACTCGAGCCCAAAATCAAACGCGTCGTCCTCACCGCCTCCTTCGCCTCCATCATCAACTTCAACAACATCCCCGGCATCGGCAAGACCTACACCGACGAGGACTGGAACCCCGCCACGTACGAGGAGGCCAAGGTCCACGCACACCCCGGATACGTGTACTGTGCTTCGAAAGTGTTGGCTGAGAAGGCGTTCTGGGAGTTCATCGAGACGGAGAAGCCTACTTGGGCTGGATCGGTCATTTGCCCTCCGTACGTCCTGCTTTTTGATACATTTTTGTCCTTGTTCTGATTATCTTCTCGTTGTTCAGTATGGTCTTCGGCCCCCCTCAGCAAAAGATCACCTCCCTTTCCGCGCTCAACACTTCCACCCAGGATACCTGGAACGTCGTCAACGGCTCCTACAAGGACGGCATTCCACCAACCGCTTTCCCCGCTTTCGTCGACATCCGCGATGTTTCGCTTGCCCATGTCAGGGCGACTGAGAGGGAGGAGGCTAAGGGGCAGAGATATTTGTTGATTGGTGACGCATACGTGAGTATACAATCTCGTCTTTGCTTAGCATCCTCTGTCGTCAATAACATACTGACCGTGGTCCTGTGACATTCGTCCAGAAAAACGAAGAAATCGTCGACATCGTCAGCCGTACCCACCCCGAGCTCGCCGACCGCCTTCCCAAAGTCGACGTCTCGAAGGTCACGCACGAGGATCACTTCTCGTTCGACTGCTCCAAGGCGAAGAAGCAGCTCGGCATTGAGTTCATCACTCTGGAGAAGAGCATCAAGGATACGGCGGACAAGTTAGTTCAGATCGAGAAAGAGTTGGCCTAGTTTGGTCTTTAGAAGCGTGGAATAGATATAGAGCGCTGTTGTAATTGGTTTGTAAAATACTCTGTGGATTGCTGAGGTTATAATTGCTTTTACATGGAACATACCGCTGTCTATCACACCTCAGTGCTCACAATAATCGTGATACGTTGTCTGCAACCCGGCGTCCCTGTAGCACAAAGCTCACAACTTTTGACGCTATCTATACCGACGGAGTATATTCTCATACATTTACATCTACAGCTCCGAGCGTATACATTCTTTGGAATTCTTCCATGCCTCCGGAATTCAACATACATCACGCTGGGTACAGCCCCAAGAGCAACTTGACCACATCGTCGTAGTTCTCCGAACTCTTTCCGCCCAAAGCCAACTCCGCAATTTGCCCCGCATCCTCTTTCGGCACGTTGTAATGCGCCAGGTCGGTCTTCAAACCCAAGTCGTCCACAAGCCTGTCATACAATATGCAGGCCGTCAGTCGTCACGTCCTCTGGTGCAGATGATTGGAAGGATGGAAGAGGTGTCGCAAACGTACCCCTCAATCAAGCCAGCAAGCTTCGTGATATCTCCCTCTGGGGTGCCCGTTGGCGCTTGCCTGAGGTAGAAGAGACAGTTGGCGAGCCATTCTTTTTCCTCGGCGTTGGCGATTCGGGCTTGTAAACGCACAACGGGAGCGAGGGTGAGACACTGTGAGATATGATGCGTTATATGGACACGATCAGTCTCCTTGTCCCTGAGCAGGCGTGGTTTGAAACACATACAGAAGTCATTCCGTGCGGGATGTGGTACGCAGCACCCAGCTTGTGTCCTAGGGCATGCGAGATACCTAGTGCGCTGTTGGGAAAGTAGATATATCCGTATCCATCGGTCGAGGTTATTTGATACGAGGAGAATAGTAGACAAACCTGTATTTCTCGGTCATGAACGGCCACAAGCTCATCCAACTCGCCAACTGCAACTTCATCCTATACTCCAGATTGTTCGGGTCGGCCTTCGACTTGGGAAGGTATGTGAAGAGATCGAAGAGGGCTTGATAATACAAAGGCTTGAGTGTAGGAGGCATTTGGGGACGAATCAGGTTCTCGACGGCGTGGTCTACGGCGCGCATGCCAGTGGAAAGCCTGGATGAGGGTGAAAATTATAGTAATGAGTAGGTGCATCAGAAATAATGAGTGATAGAAGGACGAAAGAAAGGGTTCATACCACAGGCGTTCGGGGGTCGGAAGTGTGAGTTCGGCGTCGAGGATGATGCCTGACGGTGCAAGGTACGGCGACGATACGCTCACTTTCTTTCCTTCGTCATTCGTATACCCTGCACCAAACTAGTATGCACCATAAATAAACTGTGACGGACAATGGCCCATATCCTCCCGCCAAACAATCACTCACCGTGTACTCCGCCGCGCTCAATGTCGTCGGCACCGCGATCTGTTTCACTACACTCTCCCACTTATCCCCTCCTTGTCCTTCCTCCAAATGCAGGTTATATATGATAGCTTTGGATGCATCGACGGGTGAACCACCACCGACTGCAACGATGAAGTCGCAGCCTGCGTCTCTGAAAGCTTTGATCCCAGCGCGAATACCGGCTATGGGTGAGTGTTCGCCGATCTCGTAAAATGTGGCACCGTAAGAGTTGGAGTCAGAACGGAGGATGGATTCGACTTTCTTGACGACATCGGTCTGGTGAAGGATAAGGGTTGAGAGAAAGTGTCAGTGCTGGATATGAAGGTAGGAGGTGACGAGAAATCATAAGCAAGAACCAGCGCGAGGATCATCACCCGCCACCTCTCTTCATTGACCGCCTTCAAATCTCCTTTCGTGGCTGTCTCGTCTTCGCGACAACTCAACGATACTTGAACTCACGTTGTTGTACAAACTCTTCCCAGTAACAATTAATGCTTTCGTTCCTCCGATCTTCGCGCGCAGCTTCGGAAGAGCGGTGGCCAGCGATCCAGCACCGTAGTACACGCCTTTGAGGGTGTTGGTGTACGAGTAGTTACCTTCCAGGGTGCTAGACCCGTGTTTGTCGTTCGAAAGGGCAGACATACGTTAGGTTATGAAGTTCAAAGGCTCAGGCAAGGGTGTGTGTGGAGAAGACAAGATGCTTTGTCACGGTCCGACTCGAGAAGGCCTCCCGACGGTATTATCTCTCAGGAGAGCCAATATTCAAATCAATGATTATCGATGCAAGTCCCCGTTGACAAGTCTTCCCTGGGCGAAAGGTCTCAAGAATAGAGACATTCTCATGATCGTAATGCAGAGAAAGTAATGGGCAGGGCAATGTCGAGCATTCATGGTCCAATCGTGGTGGTGGCATAAACGCAACCTGCGTTGTGGCGTGGGCTTCCCCTGCTGGCGCCAGAGCTCTCGCCACCCCCTGACCGCGAACAGGACCTTCGCCCGGGACGAAGCCGGTACACGCATCTCAAAAGATGGAACAGCACGCTCAATGTCTCCACCATATGAGGAAACAGTCTCTCCCATATGTCTAGTCGAGTCTCTACACAAAGAACGAAAGTTGAGAGCTAGGAGGCATTATGACAGACACGACACGATCGTAAGCAAGCCAGTATTGGAGGACATGTGCACAATCCCGGTTGGCGAGCACTCAGAAATCTGGACCATAATCCAGAGACAGGCTGCACAAAAAGTCACAGGCCGACGACCCGCAGTTGCCCTACACACTAGTCAGCTCGACCGATTGAGACGAACATGAGAGGCTAGGTCGAGGCTTACCGAAGGCGTCACAATTCGCATCACAAATACGCCGGAAAGACAGCGTAGTCCCAAGGCTCCCCCTCCCGAATGAGCTTGTAGTCCAGTCCCTCTCCAGCTGTCCCAACAAAGATCTTGGTGTACTTCACATCGCTCCAGTACGTGAAGGGCGTCCCCGCCGGGATGAACACGACATCGCCCGTACTCATTTTCTCGTCGAAGCCAGCAATCCCGATACTAAGCTGCCCCTCCAAAACCTGGAATGTCTGATGAACGTCGAAAGTCTGCTCCGCGATCGTCTCGTTACTGAGTTTCTTGCGCATGACGATGGTCGAAATGGTAAAGTTTCCATCCGTTTCGTTGGCGGTGGAGCGAGGGGCGATGACTTGACCCAAAGCGCGGTGAAGGTACTTTGGACCGTAGTTCGATGCAAGGAAGTAGGGCGTCGAGCTATTCCCCGGGAGGGTGTTGTTACCCGTACGCCACACACCGCCCCGACTCGTCCCATTGATCATATCGTAGGACAGGTTTGCGGTAGGCTCGAGATTGACATCGAAGTGAGGGGCGGAGGAAATAAACTGGTTTATGGGGAAGTCGAGAGGCTGGTCAGGTGGGTAGGGAGCCCCAGAAGCGCTGGAGTAGGGTGTGGTGATGTTGACGAAAAACTCTTCGAAGCCGCCAGGTTGAATAAAGCCAGTCAGTTGAGCGTCGGGGTCGATGATCTGGTATGAGTGGTTTTGAGAAGGTGGTACGGCGCCAAAGTCGTGAGCAGTGAGTTGACGTTGCTCGTTATTGACCCAGAGATTGATGCGGCCTTTGAAAGAAAAGAAGTTCTCATAGAAGGTCCTATGGCTGACGAGGAGAGAGTGAACAAGCGATCGAAGTGTGGACTCGAGAGTAGAATGAATAGACATACTTGTGAGGGTTTACTTGGATGCCAGTTTGACCATTCGTGCCCAGAAGGGTGAAGGCCCCACCCGAGGCATTGCTCGAAACAAGTACGCGGAAAACGTCGTCCGCGAGCTGAAGCTCCAGACCGTCGAGATTGGCAAGCATATAGGGTCGTACATAGCTCGGAGGAGTGGTGACCCAAAGCGATGTCATATTTATGGTGTTGTTTGTGGCGAAAGCATTAGAGGAGTCGGAGACGGCGTACGCGTCTGAAGTGACGAACGCGAAGAGGAACAGATACAAACAGTGCATTGCCTGACAAAAGGGAGAAGATGGTGCGCCCTGAAGCCTACTAGTGAGGTGGGTGCCATACTTATACACTGTGGATGAGTCGTGTTCGATTTTCTAATGGCCACTGTTGGAACAAGTCGGGGGCCACGCCAATTTGCAGGTCGAGCACGGCGCCCTTCAAGTTGCCGCCAAGTGTGCCAGATAGATGAGATAGGTTCCCAGGCGGGGCCCGCCAGCGCCACAACGAACCTGAAAGTACCACGAGGAAGGCAAAGGAGAAGAGCAAGATAAGTAACCCCGAGTCACTTGAGACAAACAAGCCCGTTTTCTGCAGAAATAGAACATGTGATGCCATGGGAAGGTGTGGCAGGTGTCTGTCTCGATTTCTAGTTCCTGTTCTCCACCTTTCATCAACATCGATATACAAGTCCGTTCAAGACCACGGCTCTGTTTGAGGGCAACTTTTGAACCATGACGACACCTCTCGAGCAGGACGCGCTTTCAGAGAAGATGGTGGAAGGAGATAAGCCGAAATTAACCGAACGGGCCCCGTCTTTGTCGCCGGCACTTCCCGGTCGAACCGCCAATGACCAAGCGGGGCTCATCTTCGCCTCTGCTGCACTCGCCAGTGAGTCACTACTTCCCGAGGACCATGTAGTAGGGAGATATAATCAAAACTCATCTCGCATGCGAAGATATGCTGGCCTCGGCGGTCAGCAACCCGCTAGACATGTCAGTTTTCCCGGTAAACCTAGTGGTCACCAATCCCGATTTTTCTGACTGAACCTTGTCCACAATTCAACCACCCAAAAAACTGCCGGTTTTGCGACACTGACTATGTCTCAGAATTAAGGTAAGCTGCTTTTTGATCATGTGTTTTCACGGTAGAGTAGGTTGACTGAATATCCGCAATGTCAGGTCCGCCAGCAGCTCCGAACACAGTGTATGGCGACTTGAATGGTTCTGACAGTAAGAGCAGGCTCATAACCATCATTAATATTTTCACAGCCGCGCAGCTGTCTTCATCTAATGCTTTCTGGACCGTCGGTGCTCAAATGGCCAAGTCAGAAGGTGTCCTCAGTCTCATGAACGGCCTGACAGCGAGCATGATGCGCGAGATCGTCTACTCAGGTATCCGCATGGGGACGTATGAGTATTTCAAGGACGCGTAAGTTCATATCACCATGGAGGAGTAGATCGACTTCATTGATTGCAATAACAGCATCCTCGATGTATCGGCTGGGTCACTCTCCAAGGATGGGCTAACCTTGAAAGTTTTCGCTGCCACTGTCGCGGCTACTTTGGGCTCGTGAGCGTCGTTGCTTAACGTTTTATCTTGACATTCATATGTTGAGAGTTTATGTGACCTTCGTGTAGGGCGGTTGCAAACCCCACTGATCTCGTCAAAGGTAGTTGTGTCTCTCCGTTCGTTTGCACCTGCTGAACGCTTCCTAGTTCGCATGCAGGCGCACTACCCCGAAGGAAGCCCCTATCGCAACACCCGGCACGCTTTCGCCACCGTATGGCGAGAGGGTGCAACATCTACTGGAACGTCAACGCCTGCAGGAGGTCTTCGGTCCATCTATCGCGGTGTAGATGCTACAACGGCCCGCGGAGTCGTTCTCTCGGTATCGCAGATATGCTCATATGATCAGATCAAGCAGACGTTGAAGCAGAAGCGACTCATGGAGGAAGGTTTTCCATTACACTTCACCGCGAGCATGTTTGCCGGTTTCATCTGCTCCGTAACGTCCAACCCGGTCGGTGAGTTCGTCAGCCACATTTTGAGATGGGGCATCTACATGCTAATAAACTACACTGTCGCATTTACAGACGTCGTCAAAGTTCGCGTTATGAATGACAAAGAGAGACGGTACCAGGGCGTCTCGGACTGCGTCAAGCAGATGCTTCAGAAAGAAGGGCCTAAGGCATTCTACAAAGGATTTGGCATGTGCTGGGCAAGAGTGCGTGCCCGGATTCCGCTGCTCTCTCTTTTTCAAACCATAGAGTTACTGACATTTTGACGATCGGCGCAGCTCGGAACTCACACAATTCTGAGTTTCGTAGCGTTCGAACGCTTGAGATCGCTCTTCGGCATAGCACCTATGTAGACTGATCGCTAGTTCAGCAATACTCGACCGCGTTCTCTCACTTTATGCATGGCTCACCAGGTACGGAAAAAAAAGGTCAAGCATCCCTCCCGATATTTCTTCCGGGGTGCGGGTATATGTCTCGGGATTGCCGCCAGGACGACGACGACGCTGTTTGGTAGGCTGTGTACTCGTGTGTCTAGCGACAGCCTTGGCACATCAGTATTTATTGGAAACATGTGGTTTAGGCTTTGAGTAGCACTGGATGGCTACACGTAGGGCATCTAGAACGGTCCCAAACAGACAACAAAGCTTCGGCAGCTCCGTGATGGAGATTTTCGCGGCCAAGTGAGCCCTGGACCTGTGTGTATACGTTAGGTTCAGGGTGCCTAAATTTCTACGGACTGTCACCCACTGCATTCACGACGGACATGGCTGGCCAGCTTCCTGCTTATGGATACCCATTGCAGCCCTCGAAGTCCGCCGATCCCGTCGGTGCGGGGCATGTGGCACTTGGGTGTGTCACGGCCAACGTCAGCCGTCGCCACACCGCGTCCCTTTCCTATAACTACGGCGGACCATCCGCGTCAATTACCACGAGCACTTTTAGTCCACATCACTCACCAGACTCGTTCCACCTTTGAAAACTCGTCGTTATGTTCGCCCGTCCTTCATCCTTTGCGACCACAGTCCTGGGTTTCTCCCTGTTCGCTACCACTTCTGCTCTCAGCGTCGCAAGACAATCCAATGTCGATTCTTGTTCTGTGTTCCCGGGCACCGGTTCACTCAATGTGCTAAACTTCACATTAGCGGCGTTGAACACGACACAGCCCAACTCCAACACGACGGGTGCTCCCATCATCCTGGGTTAGTGCTGCACTCATCGATTACATGTTGTAGGTGAACAATGTCACTGAGTTTGTTTTACAACAATAATAGGAAGCGCAGGAGCAATCGATGGCGCCTCTTTCTATGACCTCAAGGTAAGTCGAGGAAGACTACCAGCGGACGCATCTCGCTGATTATGTCCAAATTTCTCGAAACGGTTTACTAGACTCAAGCCACCTACCAATATCCATCCGCTGTCCCAGCATTGAACATGACAAACGGAGGTCTCACTTCAGGTCAATACGTGGTGGGCGGAACTGTCCCGTCCAACGCGAACCCAGGGTTCATCGCGACCTCGCTGAACACACCGGCTCCAGCTGAGATCTACTGTTCTGTCGTACGTATAAATTTTGTTTCTAAAGAAATGTTAATATACGGGCTGACTTTTTGACTCGTTTATAGGTGACCGATGGTTACGACTATCCACTTCTTGCGGTCAATGGGCATACGGACCTATTCAGTATCTGCAGGGAGTATCCTTGCGAGGACACGCCTTGGGAGGGCGTCTATTACAACGCCACGGAGGGCACGTCCTCATGTGGCGGACCTGCGTCTTGCTACCCGGTCGTACTGTCTATTGTTACTGCTGGACTGGATTGATAGTTTAGAGGGAGTGGAGAAAGGACACACTATTTACTTCAGCTCTTGATAAGATCATACACCTACTACAAGTTTATCTGTTTACATAAATAAAACAGCCCAAGTAACGTGGAAGAATGGGTATACGAAGGAATTGAAGGGGTGAAAGATTCACGAAGACGCACGCGCGCTATAAACTGTACCCGTGCTCAAACAGTGGCTCTGCGGATAGATTGTAGTCCGAAACATATACGTTCCCTGCGTCATGTCAAGACGTTCGAAACTAGCTCAGGAAACATGTCCATCATCGAGGTTTCTCCCATCAAATTTGCCATACTCCCCCATCCAATCTCCGCCATTTCCTCCGCCACCTTCCTCACTTCCTCCGGTTCACGCTCCACCACGTCCCACTCCTTCTCCCAATCTTCGAACCTGAACTTGAACTTCTTCACCCGACCCCACAATAGCCCACTTTCCGCGAACCTCGAAAGGATCCCATCGACATCTGCGATTGCATGATCTAGTCCATCATTCCTGTCTAGTCCTTCCATTGCGTGGCTCTGCTTGCACTCTACGTTTGGTTCGGCTGAATCGAGTAATCGTGCCATGCTGAAACGACTCCCTCCGACAGGTATTTCTCGTAAGAATTCGATTGACAGGTCATCAAGAACTCTGGGCGATTGAGCGAGTCGGAAGTCGAAAGGTTTGACAGGAATGAATGAAGGACCGTAGACGAGGAACTCCGACAGGAGCTGCACGAGTGACTCGAGGAGACTGAACGCCTTGTCATTTCCGAATCCAAGAGGCGAAGGTCTACCGGTCCAACAATCCATCCGAAAGATGATGTCGACGTGAGATAGATATCGTAGCGGAGCGGGGAATGCTACCCAGGTGGGGTAGATAGAGGTTTCAGACGCGAAGATGTCTAGCGTATACGAGATACCGCCCGAGGAGGGTCGTGAGCATCTCTCGACGACGGAGATGAGTTCAGCATGTATTTGGCGGTTCGCGAGTAGGAGGTTGGCAATCCTGGGCTGAGGGTGTGCAAGAAGGGCGTATATAAATGGCTTGTTGCGGCTGTTGACCGCGGGGATGCCGTAGCGGGGCTGCACTTTCGGATCTGACGGTGCAGGATCGTGAAGGGCAAGCAGAGTGAAGTAGACGGATTCCCGGATATCAAAAGGTAGGTCAAGAAAGCGAAAGGGAGCAGCTTGAGGTGTAAGGGTAGCCATTGTACATAGCTTGTTCTCACACCAGCGTAAACTCGAGGTATACATAGGCGGCGTCAGACCGTGAGCAATCACTGACAGCGCCAGTGATCTATCTGTAACAACTTCGATGAAACTTTCCATCAGATGTTTGTGATCAGTTGATTCGGACGCCGTATCAGCCCAGCGAGATGTACGGGGTACTGAGTGGTGATTGAGAGCGAAAGAGCTTGGAAGAAGCCGTAGTCGTGAGAGCTGAAGTTTGTGTTTCAAGCTGAAGATACTGTCCTCGGCTTTCGGAGTCTGAATAAACGTTGAGTGGCGATCATGTGGCGCAGCGCCCCGGGCGGCGAGCTATCTCAGAATGAAGTGCACCTACCGAATCACTGCAATCATGGCCTGTAGGAGTATGATTCAGCAACAAATATCTAGTACAGAAGTACTGTCACTGACCTCATAGCCATCCTGGAGCGGGAGACGTATATGACCGAAATGGGATGACCCAGAAAGACAACAGTCGTACGAACTCGAGTAGCGCTTTGCATTGAAAACGTCGTCAATCCCCTGAGTTCTATTGTCCAAACTAATGTATAGGTCTCCAACCCAAGTGTGAAAAATCCTTCTCCATATCCCTCACGAGTTCCTCATCCCAGTCGTCTGGCACCTCCCAGTACTTCGCCCATCCCTCGCACATTACTTTTACCTTCTTTACTCTCCCATAAAGCAAACCCATGTTAATATGGTCATCGATCTGCTCGACAAGTGTCTTTCCATCTTCGTCCTCGGGACTGCCCTTGGGTTCGACCCATGTTGCCGACCCGAGAGGACCTCTGCTTCTATCCGGACCCTCCCGAACGTATCCAACGACGAGCTCATGGAGAACTATGGACGGTTGTACAGGGAGGGGATGTTCCAAGTTCGCGGGATGGAATGTAGGGCCGTAATAGAGAAAGCCGGATAGAATCTGAAGGAGGCCAACAATGAGGTTCAAGCCCGCGGAATGCATCGGCTGCCGGCGGGGCACAGGTTCGCCCCATCTGTCGGCTCTATAATTGACAAAAACACGGGATATGTATCGACGAGGGGCGGGAAAGGAGATCCATGTAGGATAGATGGAGTGACCTGTCGCGAGGATGTCTAGTGTGTATGTGAGGGTTGAGCGGCGTGTCTCGACGGTGGAGGAGAACTCTGAGTAGAGCTGCCGGTTTGCGAGAAGCAGGTGGGTAGTCGACGGAGTGGGAGACGTGAGAAGGGCGTAGACGATGGGTGTGCTGGTTCCGTTGTTCCGCATGACTGGCCGACGCCTCTCGGGAGTGTGATCCTCTGGGACTCTGGATGAATCTCCAAGAGATAAGAAGGCGATGTAAATGTGCTCCCGAATGTCAAAGGGGAGGTGGAGAAAACGGAAAGGCGTATCTTGATGGGAGGAGTTGGACATAGTTACTGCTACCAATTACATTCGGTCGTCCACTTTATATGTCGGCGTCAGAAGCAGTGTTGCCGGATACAAGTCACTTCGCCTCACAGCTCTGCGAGTTCGACTATTTGATGGCGTCAAATGGTTTGACGCGATTTTCGGCATGGCATGCAGAGCAGAGAAAGACAAAGTGAGAGAGATTCTGGGGACGCTCTCCTGGGCGGGGCTCCACAGCACCATGAGCATCAAAGGTAAGTGGAACAGCTTAGATAGAGAAACGAGCCACGTCGAACAAAAACTGAGAATATTCTTGGCTTGGGGATACCAGTACCTGCAAATAAATAGCCCATACCAACCAGGCCTCTAGTTTTGAGCTGGGATGAGTGGGGAAGGCGGACAGATTTGTAGTGTAGAATCAGCTACAAATCGAGTTCTATCGGAGCCAGTCGGAGTTTAGATTGGTGTCTGTGGCGCTGTGGCTCCTTTCCTTTAATAATAAGAAAGGTGAAGAATTGGAAAACCCAATTGCTACTTGGCTAACTGCGAGTATTGGCCAGCCGTCTTCATTAATCATTCTGTGAAGCCAAGTCAGTCAGGAGAAATGATGCGATGAATACATCGTTGAGCCGCACTCAAAAACAACGATCAGTTTGAATAAAATGTATTGTACTATTCTACGTAGAAGGTGGCGGCTAGCGGGGGTTAAATGCATTCCTAAGGGAAGTGGCTACTGCGTTTGTCCTCCAAGGTGCCACAGTTCAGGATGAACAACCGGGGCACTACGGTTTAACTGCTCGTTACTCCTCGAATACCTGTAGGTGAACGGTTTATGCCAGGAGATGATTCTGTTTTATGGCTCGTAAGAACAAGGGGAAATACGACAGGTCATCGTTCAGACGATCGCACTATCCTTCTGTTTGGCGAGCAGATGACGAGAAACGAGCAGGATACACGTTCCGCTGAGGATTGTGACCTTATGGTATTGATGCCTTGTGTCAGCACCGACAGCAATCAGTGTCGTCCCAACGAATACATACCGCACTGAATATGAGGGCTCTCGACCATGGGAATGTAGGTCCAAGAAGAGCGCCGTCGACTGGGTTGCCTACGAGGGCTCCGAATGAAGCAAGGCTATAGGTCATACCCATACGCAACCTATGGAAAAGATCATAAATAAATCGGGGCGGCGCGAATATATCCCGACGGCTTTGCAGACGTAAGGACAGATAATCATACTGACCCTACTTCTCCCTCATTCCGAGAGAACGATGCAGCGGCCAAATTCAGAACTGACAGGACTTCCATCAAAAAATATCAGCATGACTGCTCGCTTGAATGCAAGGACAAGCACGCGGACACTCACACGCGCCAGAGAAGAAACCATAGAGGATCGCGAAGACTATGACGCTACCGATGTCTCTGATTCCAAACAGCGCAAGAATCAGGATGCCGCACGCAAAGCACACAGAGATCAAAATGTTCATGATGCCCAGCCGCTGAGAGAACATGCTTGGAATTATTCGCCCAAAAAGCGCGGCGGCGTTGATGACTGGAAGCTGTCAATAGTATAAACGAATGGTAGCCTCAGGCGAAATTTATTATACTAGTGGTACTGGGTGATATGGCGGGACATACCGAATAAAATGCAGCGGTGGAGTCGACTCCATGAAGGATAGAGAAGAGCTGAAGATAAAAGTCTAGAAGCCGACCATAAATATAAGCAGCGCTATAAGGTAATTTAACGGAGCGTGAAGCCATACACGGGAAGAACACTCCAGCTATGATGGGCAGTGCTCTGAAAAAACACAATATTAGTCAGGACATGATGAGACCTAACGAAGATCACGAGAGGCGCACGCAGCAATGTATAACATGTAAGGAATATCGACGAATAATGCCTTGACATCCTGTTTCCGTCCTCGTGTGATAGCAGTGATCGCTGGGTTGTCCTTCATCAGCAGGTTCGCTGCCAACAGCATACCCAGGACAAGGAATGCACTGGCACGAACTCCCCATGCAAAACCTACGGATCCGTTTAGCAACTGGTTCAACATGATCGGAAAGACGATGCCCCCAATTGAGGCGCCTTTTGACGCGATATCAGTATATTGAGCTTGCGAAAACGAAGTCGAAAAACCTGTACCTGCGGTAACGACACCAATGGCCAATGAGCGTCGCCGTCTCCAGTGATGAGCCTGTATTGCCATGGCCGGAACGAAGAGAATTCCAGCGCCAATACCCATACCAATGCCTTGAGAGAGAAAGATTTGGTAGTATCTGTCCTGGTGGACGAGAGATACCATAAATAGCCTAAAGAAAAACTGATCAGCACTGGCCTTCATTCAAGACGCCATCATTTGCGACTCACGAAAATGTATAAATAATGGACCCCAGAGGCATGGCATAGCGGAAGTAACCCATATCGAGGAGTCTTCCTGCAGGAAGTCCTAGCACGATGAGCAGGAAGAGTTGCGTGGATCCTACCCAGCTCACCGCCGAGGTACTGGCGGCGTGTGATCTCGTATAATGATCCTACGACCATAATCAGGTTGAAGTGACCCCGATCTTGTATGCGACATATAATGTGCTGACCTGGAAAACACCGAAAGCAGTGGTATACCCAAAGGTTGATATGAACACGAGACAGCTGTATCGGCCAATCCAATGCATCAAAGTCAGAGACTCAAAGCCGACCAAGACGGAGACACACGCACCCTCCTAGCATTGTGGCCCAAGCACGTGCTCCTTCGTCCAATACTTGCGGTGGAGAGGCAGGCTGCGAAGTTTGTCGTATGGCATCATTGGACTGAAATTTTTGCGAATTTAAGGCAGAGGGTCCATTTTCTTTCGAGTTTTGGTGGTATGAACTCATGGAGGACGGGAGACAGTTGTGGAGGGAGAGGAAGAGGGGCTGGAAAGCGCCCTTCAAACACGCAGGAAGAAGGCCTGAGAATGAAGCGACCTCCAACACGCCGATCGACCCGAATTAGCTCCTGTCAGATCAAGAATTCATACTCCCCTTTTGAAACCTCTCCGAGGAGAGTCAGCATCTCAGCGCAAGCAGCACTCCAACTTGAATGTGGTAGGGAATGGTCCTGCCGTCGTAGCCCCTTGATAAGGACAGGGAATTGTGGCCACGGCAAGCCATCGTGTCTGCGATCATGATTCTCTGCTCTGGGATATATTTGTCGGCTTTCTTCTTTTTCATTCCATATCGCTCGATTGTTCCGTCTTGGGGTGTAGCACGTATCCCTTGATTGGTCCGTGCTGAGGTAGGGGCGGTGAAGTCGATGACTTGAACGCCGTTGTAGTAGTGAAAACTGGGAAAGCAATGCATCAAAGTTTGGATGTCGGTCCGCACAAAGGATCATATACGGGTCAGGAATAACTCAACATGAAGTACTCGGGGGCTAAAATGTCTTTGTACCTTGCACACAGGCCGCAGTGAACCACGACTTGGTAAGTGCACAGAAATAAAACTAAACAAGTGAGCTGGACGTACGATTCCGTGACTTCGTGAGAGATGAACAGATTGCCACAGGGGCGCGTCAAAGTGCTACCCACAGAAATAAACACGTCAACGCTCTCACTCCACAAGTAAAGCAGAAAATCACTATACGCTTGCACCCTATGTTTCCTCTTAAATTCCGTTAGTCGCACCGAATCGCCACGTTCAGTGTGACGATTCAATTGCATGATCTGTTCGGGATGTCTTTGAAAATGTACCAAGGGGGCCCATCACCATGCACCATCCTAGCATCACACGGACGTCACAGTCCTGTCAATCCTTTCGTTTCAACACATAAATAAGCTGACACCATCCGCGATGTAATGGAGTCGGTAAAATGGGCCCTGGTAGCTGTCAGACCACAAAGTTCCTCCGACTGGTCTTAGGTGAATAACTAGCTCCGTGCGTTCGGGGGACACGGCGAGTACGAACCATAAGGTTTTACTTTGTGATCGAATTTTGATAGAACCACCCGTCTGGCTTCGTCCAGCACGCAAATAAAACTCGTACACATCAGCGTATGCCACCGCCACACGTAGCCCCCAGAGTTATTCGAGGAAGCGTCAGACAGGATGGGATCCTCGGAGTAGTGGTGTAGTCGTTGTGCAGAGTATACATCGCTAGAAAAAAAGGCATGTTCAGTCGCGTCACACTCAGCACAGTGAAGAAACACAATACCCTGGTCCGAACATTCGCTTTCACATCCAGAAAGTCCCTCGCGAGCTCGCCGATTCAATAGAGGGTGGGCCTAAATTTGTTGGGCAGATGAACTTGATTGTAGAGGATAGAGAAACAGCTGGGATGGGAAGACAGAAGAGAGATAATATATAGGTGAATATAGGTACAATGTGGGAGAGGACACTCAAAATCCGCAGGTCTCAACGACAGCATCGGCCCAAGACGAAGACGACAGTAGCATGAAATCGCCATGACTCCCTGAATACCAGTACGGAGCCTTGATGGACTTAGATTCTAAATCAATCATGTCTCGAAGACTTCGTGTTGGGTTTATCGGGATACAGCTGTTGAGGAACAAAATTTTTTGCTCAGTTTGTAAGTACAAGCGAGGAGGACTTTCGAGTAAAAAGTAAGACGAAGACGGACCTTCCCAGGGTTGAATAGACCCAAAGGATCTATCGCCCGCTTGATCGTCTTCATGAGCTCGACTGTCCCCTCTCCAAGTTCATCATATAAGAATTCCTTCTTGCTTATCCCAACGCCGTGTTCACCAGTACCTACAGCGAGTAAGGAATTATCAGTTCCAGTTCCAAGAAAGATGAAACAGTAAGTGAATATTTCGGAGAGTGCTGAACGTAGATATTGCAGTGTAAGATGCATGAATTCGGAGAGCATACTTACAGGTACCATCCAATGCAATCGCACGGCGTACTAGATTATGCACGAGTTTTTGAACTGCTTCGCGTTCTTCGTCGTTTTTGAAGGCAATCAGAGCGTGGAAATTTCCTGAAAAAGATCAAACTCATGGTTCACTGCTGCCCTCATAAACGTACATAGAAAGAGAGTTCCTACCGTCGCCTGCATGACCGACTATGATGCTCTTGAGACCACTGCATTTGATGTCGTCCTGTGTTTCTTGGATCAACTGTGGGAGCTTTGATATGGGCACACTGCAGTGAAGACGTTTGTCAATAGTGAACATGCCGAGCCAAGCTCCGGCCCTCCACTCCACGGACTTTCCTGCCGCAACCCATAACACAAACAAGCAGAAGAAAGCTCACCATACGTCCGTCGGCCACCCCTTCGACCCCGGTCCACCATACGCCAACCCCGTAGGGTATGCATGTCTCCTGTCCAACCACATGTCCTCTCCTTCCAGGTCGTTCTTCGCCAATTTCCAGTTCTTCCCGCCGTGCTTCTCCGCTACCTGTTTTACTATCCTCGCTGTCTCTTCGATAGAGCTTGCGGAAGGTCCTTGAAGTTTGAAGAATATGTGCTCGGTAGGTGGATATTGACGCGTGGCGGCGTTTGGTCCGAGTTGGTTGGTGGCTTTGATGAACTCCGTGTCTACTAGCTCGATGCACTCTGAAACGAGTAACGAAACAGCGAGAAGGGGTTATTAGTCCGTTGTCCGTGGAAAATAGACAAGGAGATGGGCTGTACGAATTCCGACACCCTTGTTCAACACCTCAACGACGGCATCCGTTGCACTGCGTACATTCGGAAACTGGACGGTGGCCACCTTGTAAGGCAAGACGGGAGCGAGCCTCACCGTAACTTTGTGACAGCGAAGAGCGAAAACACTATGAAGATCAACGTTTTCGAGTGGACGAAAAGGATAGACTGACCTTCCGTGATTATGCCTAGGGTGCCTTCAGCGCCTATGAACAACTTAGTCAGGTCGAAGCCAGCCGACGATTTTCGAGCTCTGCGACGAGTCTTGATGACTTCTCCAGAGGGTAGAACGACCGTCTATGTGCATGCATTGAGACATAATTCAACAACCCGCTACCACAATGAAGACATAAGAAAAAACCTACCGCGTTGATGAACCATTCCGACCTGGCTGTGCCATACCTGACGGCGTTTGCTAATTATATTGATCAGAATGAGTGAATGCTACATGAATTCGACGCAGAAACAGATCGGGCCAAACGGGTCAGGACTCACTTCCGGAACAACCAGTGCTGAGCATACCACCCAGTGTGGCCGAAGGTCCTGGGTCGAGCTATAGATGGTCGGGGTTAAAAATTGTCGTGTAGAGTGTACCGTGTTGCTCCCAACTCACCGGGAAAAACAAAGGGATGCCCTTATCCTTCAAAATATCATTGAGGTCCATCCAGCCAAGACCAGGTTGACAGACGACATCCGAATCGGCCTCTATCGAAAGATACCAGCAGTCAGTGGAAGTGATGCCTCAGTCTGGTGAATAGGAGATCTCCCGAGCATCACGGGGGGCGGAAGCATACCATTTATCTCCAAGATTTTATCCATACCAGAAACATCGACACAGATACCACCGTATTCATTCTACCTCGATTACGCATGAGACACAATAGTCATCGTATCAGGTCCAGTAGAGGAACGTACGCCCAAGAACTGGCCTTCAATGCTAGTAGCGCCACTGTAAGGTATTACTGGCATACGATACTTGTTCGCAATCTTGACAACCTTGACGACATCTTCCGTACAGGCAGGGTATACGACAACTGTATGTGGAAGTCCTACAGAGCAGAAAAAGATTCCAGAGTCAGAACGCGGTTCTAACAGATATAACTGAAGCTCAGTTCCTCGACGCTGGAAACGTACTGACCGGCGTGCCACACATTTGCCGATATCCCATGCGAAAGAAGGTCGTCCGGATTGGTGGATACCATGCCGTCCGCGAAAGACGCTCGCAGTTCTTCTACCCCAATCTTGAAGTCATCTGAGCTCCCGTACTGAGATATTGTCGACGTTGCCCTGTTGGCATTGCTTGCGCCGACTCCTACAAAGATCGGTATGTTGCCTGTCGCATACACAAATCCGCCGATACCACTGACAGCCGCCGTAGCAAAGATTGCTGTGAGCAAAGCGCTGGAGGAATAGGAGCCTGTAGCGCTACGCGTTTCTGTGCTCAGTAAACGAGGAGAACCCAGGCGGCCAAGACCGCCCATACGCGTGCGAGGCATCCAGAGATGCAGAGGTGCGGACCCACGCGTATACTGTCGTAATATGTTGCAACCTTCTCGATGGGCCCATTTGGACAGACGAGCCGACGGGGACCACATCTCGTTGCCGCAATTGAGAGTGGTGAGCTGGCCCGAATCAGGATGTATAGGTGACCAGAGGCGACGCTGAACATCCCAGGTGGCACGGTTTAAATAAGGCTTGATCAATGTGCACTTACGGCTCAACATGCGGCATACCGTGTGAGCGAACGCTTTTTTGGAAGTCGAGTTAAACGGCGTTTCCGCGGACGTGATGCAGATGATCGTGAGACAGATAATAAGCAGATAATATGTCTATTTATTATTGCCCAAATGCCTGACGAAGGCAGCTTTTTATGTAGCGGGAGGCGAATCCTTGTCACAAGAAGTTTAGAGGGCACGTTTACATGACTTCGGAACAGCCGCAGTTGTCGCTCGAGACTCGGACGGCCATGACCATGACTCTGGTCGTTTGTAGCAGCTGGATCCTGGTCGATCTGTTGGAGTTGCGCCAGATATTCAGCTAGCAGTGACGCAGAAGCACTACCCAGAGGTTTGTAGAGAAGTCAGACATTCGAGAAGCAAGAGAAAGTGTGTAGAGTCTCCAGTGGGCGCACCATTTCGTGTCTGAGCGAGACTGCAATTTTCGGAGGTCAAAATCCCGGTATTGTCCGGTATGAAATGATGATTTGTGGCGTCATCGCCACCTGGTCGTCAGTCGAATAAACCAAGAAAATCATGCTAGCGTAGGCTTTACTCGTAAAAATAAACATGGATTGCATATATCATAGCATTACACACATCAATGGGGCCACAACTGACACAGACAAGGCATACGAGACACGTCGCTGAATCGTCGAGGGGCAGTCGAATGCAGAAAGGAATAAAAGTAGCTCAAAGATAATGTCCGCACATAAAGACGTGCTCTTCCCCACCAAAGATTCCCATATATACATCTGACCTGCATCAATCATCTTCGAAGTAGTTCGTCACGGTGTCCGACCCAAAGTTCTCCGTAACGGTCGTCGTTTGGATCTTGATCTGCCTCTGATTGAACTCTGAGAGTGGGATTCCGTTTTGTGTGCGTTCGAAGACGTTGGTGGGGCCCATGAACTCCGTACGAATGTTGAGCGTGATTCTACAGATGAGGGTGACACCAATGCTGTGGAATGAATAGGATTGAGCTGGATTGGACAAACCAGATGGGCGTGAAGGGTCACTTACGCAGAGGCAGGCCTACACAAAGGAAGACATCGAAATTGAGAAAGTCATAGTGAGTAGAAGGTCTCTGAATCTCTGTAAAATAACATCCCGACGTACATGGATGTCATACCCCGAAGCCCAGTGGGTCCACGCAAGATCAAAACTGCCCAAACGAGGTTCAAGCAAAAGATGGCACTGATGTGCAGACAAGTCAGTGGCAATTTACGACTCAATATGATCGACGTTCGACCATCAATCGTCAAGCCGGATCAACTTACGAGTAGTATATCGCGCCACCCTTGATGAAACATTCCATCAAGCTTCGTCTGCTCGAACTCATCACGGGATAAAACTTGTATAGGTACACCGTTCGACCCATTGTAAGGATGAAAATGAGGCTTTCGTAGGCGAGCTCGAAGAGCATGTAGAGTGGAGCAAGTGATCCACTGTAAGTTGCATCGTGAATTAGAGGACACTGAACTATTATCCTGAGTGTATGACTCACGCGCTCTTAGGAGTCAAGAACATACAGACTGTAAAGAGCCAGTGAGCGACGTGGCGTGTTACAGGAAGGAATTAGCTCACAATGAAAGGTAGGATTGTTGATAGGATCTGGCGCAGCTGAGATCCACGAGACTACTGGTTAGTTTCTCGCTATCCAGTCGAGCGCAATATTACATACCTCCACTTCCTTTCAGAGTCCATATCCATAATCCCAGGGAGATCTGCGTGGCCAGCGAGGCAGATAGAAAGCATAAGATAAATCTATTACGATTGAAAAGAGCGTAGGTTCTGCAAAGGGAAGCAAGTCAGTCGTTGATCTACCAATGGCTGTGCATTCACGTACCGTATAAGAAGGATGAGATCCGACACACCGCTGAGCGGCATGACGACACCGAAAGGAAGGATAAAGGACCATTTATTACACCTACCACGTCCAATTGCATTAGATTTCGTGGATGTTCTTGTGTTCAACGCTTTGCAAGCTCACCGTTCAGGTGTTATGGTCGGAGAGAAGAAACCTGTCGAAGAGAAACTGGATTAATAAAAAGCTGAGCCGAGCATGTCCGAAGAGCTTACCATATGCAACAGCAACCATAACGAGAAGAGCATAGTATCGAAGCTGACAAAGACAACATTATTTTGCTGCCATCGCTGGTAGGTCGACAAGTGACTCACGAATATGAACAGGTAAATAGCTATATAAAAACAGAGGGTCAACTCGAATGGCTTACGATCAAATAACACAGAACGTACGGATGCTTTTCTTCTTCTTCCAGATTGTGTTCACCTACGAGACAGATTATTAATCTAGGCCTGTCATGGATGATACAGACTGATCTACCTCATCCGGGAAGGTAACCAAATGATCGAGAATCAGAATAGATAGACCAGCTACGAAAAAGTACTTTGAGAGCTATCAGCTAACAAAGTCATTGAGACCGAGCAGTATACTGACTTTCGAGGCGACTCTATGAATACCGAAGCGTTAGTTGTGTCCTTAGGTGCTGATGATTGTGGCTGAAAGACGTACATATCCGCTAGATCTTGGAGAACTTCTGGAGTAAGTTCAACGGGGCTGGTCATAGTAGCTGTCGCTATAGACGAAGGGAGTGCCCTTACTACACCAACTGGGGCTATCAGCGCGAGTGTAGGTGGCGTTAGCCGCTCACCCCGTGAATTATATCATGTCGCCTCTTTTCTTCGCACGAGAACCAATCAGACGCCCAGCATGCAGAGGAAGCAAATATAGCAGAATCACTCCTTGTGATGCACTCCGTACTGGCAAGAGTTCCACACCTTGGCGTTTCCATCAAACCTAGAAAACTGCACTCTCAAGCATTCAGTGGAGACAGAATCTAACTCGTTCTACGAACTGCCGGGTCTGAACCTCTTTCAGACAGACAAAGTTGCAATCTTTGCTCATTGGTTCCATCTATGAATTCCAGCCATGATCATCAGGGAGGGAGCATACAGCATCGGCAAGGATAGAATCGGAGTGCTTGATGGAGATGATGGGCGTCCTGGCGATCTACCAAGATTCGCAGGGTCTAAGCATACCATTTCTTCGGCGTCTCCCAAGACGAGTATCACTTGGCTCTCCCATCGTTTACGACGATGAAACTGCCGGCTTCACCACTGCACAGCACATACCAACAAGAGTGGAAGGCATATTGCGCGGACGCGTTTTGGAGAGACCCAATGTGTCCCGGAAACGACGGAATGACCTTCTGAAAACGCTCGTATAATATAAGCACAGCGGATAACGTTTTTACGCAGCCCCAAAGTGTGAAAGAGCTGCCTCAAGTTGCCTTCAGTTTTTCCTTTTCGCTCAGCATGCTCCACCGATCCTTGCTCATCATCAGTTCTTCTTATACACCTGCTGTCATCGATAGAGCCCGCGCTCATCGTCCACTCAACGACGCCCGCTGAGACTGACACCCCACTGACTCGAATCTATCAGGATCGATACAACTTTGTGGGTCGCAAACATGACTGTGGTCAGCATCAAACATCAGAACGCGATGGATCGCCTAAACCTTCCTTCCTTCCTTCCTAGTTCACGAGTACTCAGGAGCGCGCTGCGCCTTGGGGAAACGAAACCGATGGATAGATGGAGACAAGTTTCTCTGATCACTACTCCCAGCACACCATGGTGCTGCAGGGGTCGTGGTAGAAAAAGAATGGTGGGGCAGGTCATGACAAACCCCGAGAGGGTAACGAAGGTAGGTCTTGCCCGCGGAGGCGGGGTAACAAAGTGCGGGTGCAGATGACCGTTGCAGAACCATTGGCAAGCACCGGACCCGATCGGGTAGTTCTGAGGGCTCTGAGCCCCTTTCTGACAGACCCACTTCCGCTTCTCACAAAGCAAAGCGCTCTGCTGTGCAAAACGATTTTCGTTGGTGCATGTGAGTTCAAGCACTATCGATGAGGGATCTGCTCTTCCTCCGGCGGTCCATTCTCGCATAAAGAACAATTGGCGACGACGTCCACATTCGGAGAATGAGGGCTCATCCGTTCTGAGTCTTCACTACGGGCGATGAGAAATATCGACTGCGAGACGAACTCCAAGAAAAGAACGAAGGAAGAGATTGATCGGCAAAGCGTACAGCGACTGCTTCGCTCTATACATGCAGTCAGGGTGTACCCGCGTCGGAAACTCAGTTACCACAGGTTACCACTCTGCCGTGGACTTCCTCCGTAGTAAGACGTCACGAGGTACCAACTTCGTACAGCACGGCCGCCCGCTCTCAGATCAAGAAAGTGATTCAGAGCACAATCTGGTCGCACACTGGACAGAGCCAGGCAAGACCGTATCGCCATTGGTCTGAGTGGGAATAATATCGGATGCGATTGTGTATTTTGAGGACGCACCAAACAAATACACAGCGGCGTTACTGTGCTTGATGGTTTCCTCGAGGGGCTATTACAATGAAGGACCATTGGTAACGAGAGTTCAACGAGAGCGGTCATCGCGAGAAACGCAGAACCCGGGTAGCTCCGGCCGGGACGTCTGAGTTCGTAGAGCCGGACTGCCGGACGTGCCAGCTCTTCCAGGTGGCGTGAAACGGGCGCGACTGCTCGTATATGTTCTCTCAAGTCCCGTCGTCGTCGTGCAAGTTCATTCAAGCAATGGGACATAAATGTATGCACATGTATATGAGTACAGGGTCGCATATGCCTAAGGTGCGCTAAATCCAGCTCTATCCCATACATCCTCATCCTCATCTGCTGAGCCGTTCCCCTCCGAGTCCTCCCTATCCGGTCCCTCGTAGATGTTCTCCTCGTATACTCTCTCCAGCGGCTCCTCTTGATCACTATCCCCAGCTCCACCTACTTCTTTGTCAATACCGCGCTCATCATCGTCTCCTTCCACGCCCCCTGTAGTTACCGCGCCCTCTGCGCCACCCGTCACTGTGCCGCCCTCAGCCACACTGCGCTCATTCTCAGGATCGCCTTCGATCGCCTCATCGTCGTCGTCGTCCCCCTCTAAGTTACGTCCGCTGTCATCGCTCTCTTCGTCGCCTGCTCCGTCCGCTACTTCTTGGTCTTGTAACAAACTCTCGTCTTCGGACTCCAGGTCAACTTGTACGGTATCCTGCCGGAGGACCACATCACACGCACGGGTACTGCGATGCCCAACACCACCTCCACGGTACCTCATAACCATGTCCCTGTCAACAAAACTATTCAATGTAAGTAATTATCCAACAGAAAACTTGAAGCCTTAAGATACTCACATATTAACATACATAGAGTTCCAGTCGTCGCACTCGTCCTCAGAGTCTCCCCCATGGAACCGCGCAAGCGACGGGCTGCTCAGAAGGTCCTCCCCAACACCCCCGTAAATAAATGCAGGAATCAGGTGAGCACCCCGGATGATATCAGCCGGGTTAATGAATCCGAATGCGTTGGGGTCGTCCTGCGCAAGAAAGCTAACACGAGGTAGGCGCTTAGCTGCCCAACCACACCGGCTGAGGGGCTCACTGTACCACCGTACCCAAATAAAGTCCATACGCGTGAACTTTCCTGCGTCACCAGGTGCGTTGCGCTGTCGAACGTAGGTGTGGAACACGGTGATGACCCTTGCATACCAGTATGGATGGGCACCGTGGTCTGTACTGTCAGAGAGGACCATGAGATCACGACGGGTGCGAGGATTTATAGAGTCTTGGGCTCTCCGAATATCGTAGGTTGTGTAGTTGACTCGAACTCGATGGTGACGATATATTTTGTTGTCTCGGATTTCGAGCGTAGTCAGTTCTGAATTCGAAAAATTGCGGCTTGACTCGACACCTTGCAGGCGAGCTAGGCAGTGTTGGCGTAGTTTGGGAGAGAAGTCCTGATTGAAGAGCATAAGTCAAAACTCCAAGAAAGCCAAGGAACCGTGAGATATATATACCTTGATAGCAGGATCATTGCAATGTTCATGAAGCCAGACCTTGAGGTTGAAGTGGTCGCGTTCGGAGTCAGCGATATAGTGGTGAGCGCGCGGATCGGTTGTGATGTTATCGTCTGAGTGTCGACTGCGATTCATTTGCCCGTCTTTCCTCCTCCGAGCTTTGCGTCCAAGCTTCCCAAGGCGTGGATAGACTTCGACGAGTCGTCCGAACATTCGTCTGAGAAATCGGACACGTGCCTCACGGCGGGCTAGCTGTGGGACGAAGTTGTTCTTGCTGCCCCTTCGGTACGAGTCCTTAGGTTCTCGGTGTGCGGCTTCGAACTATTAATGCCGGGGAACGAAGAGAGAATACATGAGTTTTGAGTCCAAGGAGAAGAAGTCAATTGAAAGTCTAATGAGAACTCTCGTACCCGCTGTGCACTAAATAGTTCGTAGGTTCCAATGTGACGAATTGTGCGAGGGTAGTCTGGGAGGCGGTGTAGCTTGTATGTAGAGTCGTTGAAAGGCTTAGGTTTAGATTGGGTGGCACCGGTAGTTGGAACTATATTCGACGAGTCCTTTTCTGTGTTAGTGGCGGCCTTTTGAGCTTGTCGATGTTCGCGTCTTGCTCGTGCACGGGCCTCTCGAGGAAGCTCAAATGTCTTCCATTCGGCACAAGTCCGCTTCTTGAACAGCCGAACGGATGAGCCTAACTGTGTAGTGATATTTTCCAGGTCGTCTAAGGTAGAGTCGGTGTGCAGGCGCATCTTTGCGAAAGCAAGCCACGAGTTCAGATCAAACAATAAATCAAGAATAACCTTATTGTGCTCGCTGGGAAAGAGACCTTCAAAGACCGGGATAGCGCACTGAGAGAGGCGGATGTGAATTTAGTGCATGTGCTTCATTGACCGCACTGGTAACATTTAAGGTTATTCCTCTCACCTGAAGAAGGTCTTCGAAGTCCCTAGCGGCAAGCTTTTTCATCTCCGAGGCATTTGTGCTGAATTTTCTGATAGTATCGTCTCCAAAGGTAGGGACACGTCGATAACTGAATACTTTTAGTCAGCACGCAAGGTGTAAGCGGCAGGCGAAGGAGAAAGTATGCAAGGCCTAAGTCATTGATGAACAAGGAGACTCACCGTTCGTTAAGTTCGTCCAAGGCAGTTCCTTTGATAGCAATGAGTAAACGGACCAGGTGAGCAAAGATGGCCCTCCAAACACCGGCCTCAAATTCGTGTAGGAGGTCAACGAGGAGTATAGCAAAAATGTTGAATTCGTTAACCAATGCAAGCTTTGAGAAAGCATTCTGTGTGGATGGCGGTCCGAGCGTTAGTAGGTAACAAGTAGTGTTGAACACAGATAATGAACATACCCGTGTAGGTACTCCTGATCCGCCGAGAACCGTGTCAATTCTTTCAGAGTTGATGCGAACTCCGCTCTCGAAGATGAGACGCCGTGCAGTCTCTATGTCAAATCGCCGGTCCTCATCGTCGACACGAAGATCCTTCTCACGCGTCTTCATATCGGGCTTTGTTCCCATCTTGTGGATGTTGGCTTTTTCGACAAAGCAGGACGGACACGGACATCGCCCAAGGTTCTTGATCGTCGCAATGAGTACCCTGCAGCAAATCCAACTTTGTCAGCTCATGAGAGGCGATGCACCGAAGGGAGAAACAGATAACATGACATACTTCTCCGGATAATCAGCTGTATAGGAGAAAAACCGAGGAAAGATACGACGTCGTCGACCATCGCCACAATCCACCAAGATTCCGTTTCTGTACGCGTCCATAAACTTCTCGTCAAGGAGTAGGTTCCATATTTCATGGAACAAGTCCCTCTTGCAGTGGGTAAGAACTTCGGGTCGGGCTTTGTCCCCAAAAATGTGGCGGTATTCATCTTGGAAGTCGTCGGGAAGCTGTGAGGTAAGCAAGTGTTAGCATAGTCAGATGATGGTAACCGACAGTTATAACTGCGTACCGATGGAACATAAGCAAGATGATAGCATGCATGCGCAGACGGTCGAGCTAAGGTGTACTTTGATTGGGCGCCGAGCATCATGTAGAACGGCCAAAGCGAAGCATCACCAAACTGAGCAAGATGTGTTGCATCTGATCCGAGTAAGATTGGCGCCACAATGCGCTCAAATCCGTCATCAGGAATGTCGGGCAAATGTTGGATAGCAGCATGTTCCTCGAGGAGAGCGGGAGAGGTGAAAAGCTCCCCATAAATACGCTCCGAAGACGAACCATCCACCGACTTGCAGCGAAGTTCGAAGGGAGTCGTATGGAGGGTGGGAGCGATCTCCTTGTTACTGTAAACATCGGTCACGATGTCGATGATAGAGCGGTGAACCACTTTATCGACCGTGAGTGTGGGTGCAGCGTCCTCCTGACTACAGTCAGCTGGAACATTGGCCGGTGGAAGACGTATCTTGACGGAGGATGTGGTCCAACCGCAGTCGGCCTCGATGTGTTTGTCAAGGCGTCTAGTCTCGTGCTGAGCTCGGAAAGCCTTAACATCTGTCGCTGGAAAATGCTGCTGGAAGGCTGTGAGACGGTCCATCTCAGCATTGGACTTGGTCGAAGATCCCGTCTGCTGCCAGTAAGTTGTCAAAGCAGTTCCGACGTTAGGGAAAGGCGCAAACGCGGCTCTTCGCTCAGCTTCGATGTCTGCTGACTTGGAAGCTTTGGTGGTGGCAGCAGAAGAGATGCCTGCCAACTTTGCATATCGAGCAAGGGTGGGAGAATCGCACAGGCCAGCAAGGGAGGTATCGAGAACAGGAATAGCGCTGGGTCGATTGGGGTAAATACGATATAGGCCAAACTCATCTGGTTCGGTGACGAACGGTGAGCGTGATTGAGGAGGAGCAGTACACGGGGATGATGGTGGAGTTATCGACGGCGGAGTCGGTGGTGGAGGCAATGGTGCAACTGCTGGGGTGGCGGGATACTGTGACATGCTTTTGATCTGTGTGCCTGGTACGAAGTCCTTTAGACGGTTTGGGACACGGACTGCACGCCCAGATCGAGAGAGCTGAACGGGTACAGGGTCGGGTAGCAAGGCAGGTATATCGTCAATGGGGGCGGGGAGGTTCTACAGGTGGTAGAGATAGTGTGTCAGTGATACCTCCTACCGTTAGAATAACTGTGGCGGAGACAAACGGGTTGGTCTTCGGAATTTGTGACCCTTGGGGACAGTGTCGTCGCACGCTGCTTGCAAGAATGTTCAACACCAAATCTCGAATAAACAGTTACAATGCAACACTTACTTGCACACTTGCGCTACCTGATGCTTCAGGCTGTTCATCTGCGCGTTGACGTTTTGCTGGTTCGTCCGCCGCCCGAGGTGCAAGTCGTTTTGGTACGCGCCGTGAAGTCTTCTTACTCTCATAATATTCCTGGTAACCTTGACATTTCTGCTGGTGGTGTTTGAGTGCGTTCGATGTCGAAAAAGAGTTCTTGCTGTTACAGCCAGGGCAGGAGAGGGAGGGCATGGTGGTGGTGAGAACAAAGAATAGGACTCCGTGTCGTGACCCCAATAAATTTTCGGCGAGGATGGGCATCTGCTATACAAGCTCATAAGGTGTCCAAGGTCCCATTCTTTTTATGGGATCAGATATGCCCAAGTAGGAGAGAAATACTTGTGAGCAACACTCGGGCCATATTACACCGGAGGCTAAACCCCTCCAAGTGACGTCACACATTAGAAGCATGATATTCGAGCATTATGATACCATTCAAGTTATGAGAGACATGGGCATAACATACACTGATATTGGAGCCAAAGAATGCGGTCTCGACAACAGTATGGAGTGGGTTCATAAGACCTGCTGTCTAGCTTCGAGTCCCTGCCACTCCTAGCCTCAAAAGAACATGGCAAGCTAGATGGATACAAGAAGCATCTCCAAGTGATGACGCTGAAGATGCCTAGCTGGTCGAGATTGATGCGAGAACAAAGATGTGAACAGGGTCACCAATTGCGGCGAAACATAGAGAAGCCCAGGCGCCGCTCCCAAGCCATCAGGTCAAGTGGACAAGAGATGCAAACATAAGCAGTCATAGGAGCACGGAAAAGAGCACACTATAACTCGTCAATGTGATGACGCAGAATAAAAATCAAGAGTTGATTGTTCGGAAAGCGAACAGGATGGATACAGGAAGGGAGTGATGAATGCGACTTCAATACCTAGAGTGGTGGTTGGATAGTGCACCACAGTTGTGCATGAGCCTTCAATCCCCCTTTTCATGTGCTCGAGCTTGAAACAAGGAAAAGAATGTGTATCAATACGAAGGACGTGGCCGAAGAGAAGGGGAGAGGGAAGCTTGAAGCTTGAAGCTTGAGAATGTCCATCCGAAACCGGGTCAACACGGTCACGTGTCGTGAGGACGGAGCGCGCCGCATTGATTCAATAAAGCCTCGCCACTCTCTTTCCTTCCACTACCATGGCTGGCTCTTCCTCTCGTCGCTCACGCAAGCGGTCACCCACACCACCCTCGTCATCCTCTGAAGACTCAGAATCCTCCCAGAGTGAAGACTCTTCCCAAGAGTCTGAAGACGAGCAGGAACCAGCTGCAAATTCGAAGAGGGGCAAAAAGGAGAAAAACAGAGGCAAGAAAGGTAACGGGCGGGGTAGGAAAAAGAAACGATGCATCGACAACGGGTGCGTATATACTCAATTTATCTGTCCCTTTTCTTCAATATCCGTCTTGTGGCTTCTTTGTAGCAATGCAAAGATCCTCGAACGTGCCAAGTGGTTTCGCCGAGGAATCGACCTCTACGCTAACTACCAGGAAGTCTTCAACGTCGGAATGTCGCTGGATGGCCTTCTCGCTACCGACGACGATGTGGACTCAGAGGGATATCTTGATACGACTAAGGTGATGACTTCACTCTGCGCTGAGTATAACGTGTGCGTACGCCTCTCACGATTGTCTCTCCATTTTTCTTCACTGAGTACTCGACAGGGAAGACACGGTTATACTGCGAATGCAGAACTCTTACAATTCTATGTTGTCTCATGCCCCCGGCCTCAAGAAACGTATCCAACAGTATATTGATAAAGACGATTTTGATCTCTTGTGGCAGTTGGTCAACGAGGTAAGTATTCTCCTATTGAAATTGGGCTCTATATATGTTTGGTTGCGCTCGTCTCGCCTGAACCTGCTCTGTCAGTGAATGAAAGGCCGCATATATGCACTGTTTCTTATAGGGAAAGTGCATATATGCGGCTGTATGCATGCTCGACATTTGTGCCACTCACATTAACCCACCTGTGGGCTGTGGGCCACAGTGGCACCGGCTGGTATCCGAGTTCCCGGACACCACGTCCGTGCAGCTCACGCGTGAGCTGCACGGCCTGTTGAGCAAACACCTCTGATTGTCAAGCCATCGACGGGCACTGAAGCAACAACATAACACAACTAACTTTACTGCCAAGTTGAGCCTCATAATGCTCACTTGCTCAACTCTTCCACTCTGGATACTTACTCTGTTCGACTCACACAACTTTTTATTATTACAGATTACATCGGCAGCGAACGCTGGCAAGAACGAAGACACCGAAAAAGCCAAGTCCGGAATTGCGAGTTGGATCGCACACGCAAAGTCGATATCAGCCAATAGTACTGCATCAAGTGGATTGATGCCGTTCACCTCGAACGACAAGGCGGACCGAGGCTTTAACGATCTCGAATATGCTCGCTTACTAACTCCGCCATCTTTACTCGCTGACTTTGATGCCGATCCTACAAAGTACGTGTCTCACCCTCGATCTTGAAGCTCACTATTCATACTGCTCTAGATTCTCTGAGCGTTACGGTCCGAATGGGGAAGAAGCACTCACGACGGAAGAATACCCTTCAGTGTGCTATGCTCCAAGCTCCTATTCTCCCGGTGACCTCCTCAACGGGTTTGCCCAGTCGCCCATCATGGCTTGTGTGAGTACTCTCCTCCGACTTTTGTACTGTAACAGTATGGTGATACCGCATATCAGTTTGCTCGTACCGTCCTGCTCGGGAAGTCAGCGACGTTCAATGGAAGCCGTTCGAAGAATGCACGGCCGTGTATTGCGGATATCCACGGAGTCACCAAACTAACTGCGCCATTCATCTCGTACCTCAGCATTCAGGTATGTCTGCCACTCCTTATCTCATTATGAACCGTGACATCTACTGAGCATCTGGCTTTTGAGACTCGGATTGCCATCAGCTCGAGGAAGTTCTGCGAGAAAGACGACCTCTTTGATTACCCCGAGATGTACTACGATGTCATAGAGCTCTTCCAGACAAAAGAGCCTGTGATCGAGAGGTGGTCCGGTCTGACTTACGAGTGGTGGAATGTGTGAGTGTTGAGCATTGGAATAGTTTACCCTCGACGTAATGATTGCTTCTACAGAGAAGTCTTCAAGAACAAGGATGGCCGGGTTGTTGCAAAGCCAAAGTCGAAGCCTAGTGGAGTTCTGACCATGCGCGAGCGGATTTTGGTCCAAGCAGAGGCAGAGAAATTAGCGACTAGTAAGTGCTTGATTATCTATAGCGCGGAATAACCCGCTGTACTACTTATCCCCTAGCAGCACGGACAGATCCCACTGTGCCGACAGGCTCAACGACTGGCTCTTCGACCCACGCTGGTCCACCCGCCTCATCTGGTACTAGTTCGTCAGGTGCCACACCGCCACTGCTTGCCGCTCCGGCTAACGCTACTCATCTACCACTTGGAGTCACGTCCGCGTCTTCAGAATCAAACCCTTCTGCTGCAGCTGCGCCCATCCTCTCGTCGCAAGTGTCTCGTGTTTCTTGCTCTTCTAATCCTTCTATGCTGGGTCCACCTTTGATGACTTCTGTTTCTACTCGCGCATCTGGTGCTTTGATTTCTTTTCCTTCGTCAACTCGTTCTTCGGCTCCGACAACACCATTCTCTCCAGCTCCGTCATCGGCTCCCTCCTCTTCGGCTCCGCCTTCATCAACCTCTTTGACAGCCGTAAATACCTCGGAAACTCGCACTATGAGACCTCCCACCGTACTCACTGACCGCCATCCTCAAACCTCTACTACCATCTCAGATACCAGCTCGTCATCTCTTCGCCGCTCGTCTCCCGAATTTCCCCCTTCTACTTTAACTTCACCCTCACGCAAGTCTTCGCCATTAACAGATGCCACCTCAAGCGACAGAGGCTCACCTGGACCATCTCGTTCTTCTGTGGATCTCGCTAGTGGCCGTGACGGGCGGGATGAAGAGGAACATCCGGAAGATGAGAGAGTGCAAAGACGGAAGCGACGGAAGGTAGCCGTGGATGTCAGGGAGGGCAAGGATAGGGACGAGGAAGGTGGTGTCAAGAAGCATGCGAAGCGTGCAGAGATAGAGGATGTGGAGCGGAGCCCTACGAAGACGAGGAAGCGGAAGAGTAGATCAGATGAGGGTGAAGGGGAAGATGACGACGACGATGGTCAGGCGGCAGCGAAGAAGACTAAGAATAAGACGACGAAGAACTCGAAGGCAGTTAGCTCGAGGCCACGTCTGAAACAGAAGAAGGCTTGATGTTCCTTCGTTTACTTCCTCGTTCTATTTTGTCAATGTGCGCTGTCTTCGTTCGTATTGTCTCTCTTCTTGTGCACGGACCCATTGTAATCGCTGTGGCCTCTTATCGTGACGTGTTCCTCTGCTCAATCCTTTCTGCCCGGCTCCTATGGTTTCGTTTCATGTGCATACTAGCCTTCCGTCTAAATACAATATGTGTGGCAGTCACCTCTCCATTTGCACGCTGTATGACCATGGATGTGAATACATGTCACGGCACATTCTATATATGCGTGCACCTGAATACTGTGGCCTGTATGAACCTGCAAGTGCATACATGCTCGAAATGACTTGCAACAAACCTCCAGTCTTACAACAGAAGACCTTTGTTGTATCTTTATGCAGCCTGTTTGGGCCCGAGGTTCCCGTGCGGGTCTTACATGTGCATACATCTTTGTACAGCTATTCTATATGTTCCCGTAAGCCTTTGTAGTTTCCCGCGATGGTAAACGAAGAACGGTGATGTCGTCAACAAACCGGCTAACTGGCTCGGCAAGTTTTGCCGACTTCACGTACAACAATTTTCTAACCCCGACCCTCCGGTATGGTCGGTCATCGAGATCTTCAACGTTGACACCACTTGTGAGTATCGGCGCTCACCCTTTGCGAGCTGGTTCAAAGTCCGCCGTGCCGCGTCTCGTTTACTCCCGTTGCCGAGCTGCCGAGTGGCTGCAGGCCCGTCACTTATGAACACGCAAAACAAAATGCTGCGATGATGCGCATAGTTACATCCAAGGTGGCCACATATAAAATCATCTAAATTATGTTTCTTTCATTTGGTTGCGACAGAATTCCTTAATTTCAGCGTGAACGAGCTACACGACAGACCTTACCCTCATATCAAATCACTCAAGGAGAGCGCAGGAATTCCGTCGCAACCAAATGAAGTTAATACATGTAAAACAATATTACAGATTTTATGAGATTTACTGTGTCGGCGTACCCTGAGCAAAACACGCAATGGTCTCGCACATAGGTGCCACCCAGCCAACTCGGTGAGTTTTCCGGTGGCCCGCGTCGAAATGACATGCGGCTTGCCCGGCAGCTTTCGAAGTCCGACAATTTGCAATGGACATCGCGCTTGGTGGGAACGCCGGTACTCACCACTTGCAACGATGACCACGCCTTGCCAGGGCCCGGGACACTCCTATGAGGGTTTCCCGAAGGGCGACCCCGAAAACAGGTAAAAATACGCAATTTCGGCCTGGCGAGGGCTTAAAATACGCAAATTCCGGGAAGGGTAGGGCGCCTATTGGCGGGTGTTGTGTGGCGATGCAAGCTCGATCTTACCCTTATAGCCCCACATAACCTCAACTTATCCTAACCTAGCCTAATCAGAACCAACTTCTGTCACATCTATGGTACTGCTAGTGTAGGTTAGGGGAAGTTGAGGTTAGGTTAGGTCAAAGTTGAGGTTATGTGGGGGTCCACACCAATAATACGCAATTTTTCGGGAGACCTCAGTGCTCCTGAGCTTTAAATACGCAATTTTTCGGGAGGGCTTCGCCCTCAGATTGCGTAAAAATACGCAACTTAACCGGGAAACCCTCATAGGAGTGTCCCGGGCCCTGCCTTGCCACTTGCTCAACGCGAACGAGGTGCGTTTTGTTTTATTTTCATATCATTGACTTTCATTCCCGCATAACGAATCAATCAATTATCTATATATTCGACTTTGTAAGTCCCGTCGAAAAATCACTAGCAAGCTGAGCTACTGAGTTCCGTTATGCGCTTTGTGCGGCAGTTGGCCCTCTTCCTCGGCAATCGCACATCTATATGTCTGACCCTATGTGCAGATCAAATGGGTACTTACCCCGAGTGAGATGGCATAGGAGGCGGCTGGACCTCTCTGGATCTAGTACGCAGGCACAAGGGTCTTGACAAGGGTCATTACGAGTGTGTGAAGGAAGGACATAGCTGCCTTATTGGAGCTGAAGATGCACCATACGTGACGAAGAAAAGACACGCTGCGCTACGAACTTACGCGGACCAATTATCATCCGAGGCGTTTGTCGTAAACTTGAACGTACGAAGTTCGTTGTTCCACCATGCGCCAAGTCTTCCTGTTCAGTCAGAGAAAGCTCTCACCGTTCGTTCCAGTTTCTCGGAGTAATCGGAGGAGAGGCGCTGCGAATTAACTCATGACCTGTGTCCCTTGCGATGTAATTTTACATTGAGTCGTTACACTATCCCGGCGTCTCATCTGATCGACGATGTGAGACTCAGGCCTTCGAGAGCTTCCGATGTCTAGCTCTCTCTTTAATTTGACCTATTGTGTACTTGAACAGGCGATACACACCGAGATCGCGACTCGGTGTCTCAGCAGCTCACTGAGTGCTGCATCACAAAGAGCACCTTTAGGGGAAGACGTTCGAGTTATTCTCGAACCTTGTGCTATCAAGCCTAGTTACTCCATCATGAATCCACCTGATCGTGAATCACTTTCTATTTCGGAGCGTATCAACTGCTTCGGAGTGCGGCCGTGCAGCTCCTTCTCGTTTAGTATTTTGAGCCAGAAGCGAAGCGAACTTCTCTTTCCGTCCCACCATTGGCATCTCCCATCATCATCAAGTCCTGCTCACTGAAGATGGCGACCTCAGGCGAATCGCTTCCAGTTCGTGGAGACAAAGAGAGTCATACCCCGGACCTCAAAGAGGTTGACTCACATTCAACATCTCTTGATCTGCGGCATGTTGAGCGTGCAGCTACTTGGAAGATAGATTTCGTTGTGGTCCCTATCGTAGGGTTGTTCTGTCAGTAATCTCTTCAGTTGTACCGGCTCTCTTGCGACGCTGACATACACGTCCAGATCTCTTGTCGTTCTTGGTACGTCATTACTCGTGCATGCGGCTGATGTTAGCTCACTATTCTATTTTATAGGATCGCGCGTAAGTTTTTGGCGTCAGACCTGCGAGGCAGACTATACACAGAACTAACATTTTCCTCTGTAGAAATGTAGGAAATGCGCGCGTTGCTGGACTACAAACGGATCTCAAGATGACTGACCATCAGTACTCAACGGCCTTGACTGTTACATAGTAAATCAAGTCACCTTCACCTCTCTGCCAACATTCCACATGACTCTTAGCTGACCTCATTATTTTTAGCGTACCCTACATCGTCATGGAGCTCCCTATGAATCTACTTATGAAACGTCTTGGGGCGAATATCACTCTTCCGCTAATGGTCACTCTGTGGGGCATGGTCACAGCCTGTCAAGGTGCGTGTGTACATCTATCTATCTATTTTATAGACATACTGACTCTCGAACAGGAGCTGTGAAGACTTACGGTGGTCTCTTGGCCTGCCGATTTTTCCTGGGAGCCTTGGAAGGTATTTGGATCAAATCAGGATTCCTTCTCTGATCTTACTGGGATTGGAATGCAGGCGGTCTTTTCCCTGGTATTGTACTGTATCTTTCGACATTCTACAAGAGGCATGCCATGCAACTACGGTTTTCATGCATGTATTCCATGACGTCTCTCGCTGGTGCTTTTTCTGGCCTGCTTGCGGCTGCTATAGAGAACATGGACGGGCTGCGTGGTCTTCGAGGATGGGCTTGGATTTTCGTTCTGGTGGGCGTCTCTTTACAATTCTTGGTCATATTTTGCGACATTTGTGGAACTTTTTAACTGACTAAACTCATATTCATAGGAGGGCCTTTTTACTGCCTGCGTTGGTGTCGTCGGATTCTTCATAATGCCAGCAACTCCCGCCGACATGCCTTTCCTCAGTGAGGTCGAGAAGAGTACGTATATCGAGAGTTTGGCAGCAGATTGGAGTGGCGATGCGTACGAGGAGGAATTCAGTTGGTCAGAAGTGTGGAGCGTCTTCGTCGATGCGCCGCAGATATTGCTAGGTTGTCTTCCTCTTTTCTTCAACGGTGTAACGGTGAGTACACATTTCTGGGGAAAATCTTACCATGCAATTTCTGATGTTGTGTCAGCTCTTTGGTCTCGCAAACTTGTGAGAACCAACTTATAACAGATCTTGACCACGGCTCCGTACTGAAGTTATTCTCTCTAGTACTCCGACGATCGTCAGTGCGCTCGGATTCTCTACGACTCGCACCCAACTTTTGACTGTTCGTATCTGCGAACCATTTGTATCACCTTGATGATACTCAGGATCATCTTCGCAGGTGCCGCCTTATGCATGCGCTTTCGTCACCATGGTCATATGCTCCTACTTTTCAGACAAGTACAAGACACGCGGCCTCATGGCCGTCTTCGTTAGTCTCGTTGGTACCGTCGGCTTTGCGATATTCCTGGGTAAGCAGCAGCTCTACCTACGTACTCCGGTAATGAATTGTTCACTGACCGCGCCGCCTACGTGCAGGTACACCGAACAAACATGCGAACTACGGTGCCCTGTTCCTGCAGATAGTGGGAATATACTCGGCAGCGCCGTGTCTCAGCACTTGGCTCACGAACAACGCCCAACCTCATTACAGAAGGGCGACGGCTGTAGCCCTAGCATTCATGAGCACGAACGTCGGAGGTGAACATATTTCTAGGTTCAGCAATGTATACTCTGCAATGACATTACTGATGCTCGACTTGAATAGGCATTCTCTCTACATGGATCTTTATCGACCCGCCTCGATTCCACATTGCCACCTCCATCAATCTCGCCTTTGCGCTGGGCATGGCCGTTGTGTCCGCTTCCCTCGTCTTATACCTGACGAGGAAGAATCATATGAAGCGCGCAATGGTCACGACGCTCATGAACGAGAAAGGTTTAGGTAGAGGGGAAGGAGAGTGGGATAGTGACCAGGAGAGGCGCCGTCTTGGGGATCGTCATCCGAGGTTTGAGTACACGTTGTGAGGATGTTACTCTAGTGTCTTACACTTTCTATATTTCCTCTCTATCTCACGATTCTTCTACGCATAGTCCTTTTTGTGTGTCTGTATGAAGCCTCTGTGGGCGTAATGATAAACAATTAGACACTGAGAATCTCGCAAGACCGTATACCGACATACACACGTCGCACTCATCCAGTCGACTACTGTATTGAAATAGGTTCTCTTACGCATCCCAATTGCAGCATCGCGCGAAGAACCGACCATGCTTTGTCAGGATGATGTGGTGGGGTAAGTACGTTGTTTTTTCAAGAACGTCGAAATTACTAGTTGAATTCAATAGATGTTATCTGCAGCCTGAAAACCGAGAGGTTCTATGAGCTTCAAATTGGCTGCTTGAGAGCTCGTAAACTTCAATTTTTTTTTCATAGTGCGCTTCGAACCCTCGGTAAGTGCCAGACGCAGGCCAAATGGAGTCGATCAGCCAATCACGGCTGGCCTGCACTTTCCCCTTCGAACTGAAATTTTAGTTAAAATTCTCACTTTTACAGTTCGCTTGCGTGGCCTTGCAACTCAAAAGTCTACTTTTCAGGCTGCAGATAACGTCTAATGCTGCGACGATTCAATTAAAACCTCTTAAAACCTCTATCTATTAATTGTTCACATCTCATAATTTTTGTTAGTGGTGTGAGCAACTCCCTAGCACTATTAAATAAAGAATGCGCGACAGGTGAAAGGCGTTGAAATCAGAAAGGCCCGTAAATATGGACCGTGCGGGTGCGCCACATGCTGACGTAACGTATTCCCCCGAGTGCCACACCTCCCTTTCTCTAGGCCAGCTCCCACTTTTCTCCTTCGTCCATCATCTTCCTGCGAATCCTCTCCTTGGTCTCTTCTTCTCTGCTTCCAATTCTTTTCAGTTTACTTAGGACCGCAACTGAGTCGCATCAGTACGGTGGCGTAGTGCTTAAGAGGGTTTTGGGCTTTTCTTAGCGACACCTGTGACCCCTTGAAGCATCTCCACGACCCCGAAAGGTCCAACCGTTTCTCTTACCCACCATCTCAAGCGATAGTACCCGGATACCCGCATGTACCATTACTCGTGACTGTCGCAAGCTTCCCATGATGCCATCGTTCTCAGATCTATGATATCTCTTGAAAGTTTCTCGCTTCCGTGCTCCTCTTACCTTCAATCTCAGCTCTGTACTCCCGCTGGCAGCGTTGGAAGTGCTTCCATTGATTGTGACTCTGGAGAATATATCACCTGCTCGGGATACCCCATAGTACTGAGCTGGTTCTCAGCCCTCCAACAGCCCTTACTTCCCGTGAGTCATGCTCTTAGTACAGGCTGGCTGTCTGATAATCTATGGTAGACTGCACCATGACGGTCGGACAGACCAAGTTTATCTCAGCATCCATATCCGAGAAGAAAATGTTGACCAACTTTAGAACAAAAGGCGCTGGGAATGGCGCTGGCCGTGCGCCCGTATCATAGAAGAACTTTCAGTTTCGAGATCTTGAGTTAGGGTGGTCACAGACGCAGCCGCTGGACCACCCTGACCGTGTTTGATGAATTATTAAAACCATACTTATAAGTGTTCTTGCCTCAGAGCTCGAACCCAACAGTGTTTCTCGTACCTCCTACCGTACCCATCAGCCATGCCTGCACTAGCTTTCCCGCCATTTCCAGACGATGTACCTACCGTGCCACTGCTCATCATCGACTACAGCCTTATCAAGGTCAAAGACGCGAATGAGATCGACAGGCTCTGGGAGGCTGCCACTAAGCTTGGTTTCTGGTACCTCAAGAACCATGGCGTGGAGGACGAGGTCAACGGCATGTTTGACATGTGCGCAGAGACCATGAGCCTGCCACTCGAGGAGAAGATGAAATACGAACAAGGAGACGAAGGGAACTCCTACGGGTAAGCATTCACGGTTTCCAGTTCTTACCGAAGAGCCTGCTCATGACTCTCCTTTTCGCTATAGGTACAAGTATGCTGGTGCTAACGCGACTGATGAGAAAGGCACTCTCGACCGTGTCGAATTCATCATCGTAGCAGAAGACGACGCGTTATCCTATCCTACTCCTGTTCATCGCACGTATCCATCGACCGTCAATGCGCGCATGGAGAGCACGATCAGACCATTCACCCAGAAGTCTATGGAGGTCAACCTCACTCTTATCGATGTTCTCAACGACAAGTTGGGGCTGCCACAGGGCGAACTCGCGAAGAGGCATATTAATCAGGAGGTGAAAGGAGGCGAATCACGATGCACAAAAAGCCCTAAACATCAAGTGATCTCTGAGGAAAGCGCTGTCCTCGGTGCGCACACCGACTTCGGTTCTTTGGTGAGTGCGTCTCTGTCTTAATATTCCCCTCGTACCAATAGCATACCCGCTCACGGAGGATTTATAGACTTTCTTGCACAATCGTCTCGGTGGTCTTCAGGTTCTCCCTCCTGGAGCCAACGAATGGAAATACGTCAAGGTAAGCCCCCAGTGCCTCCGACTACTATTACGGATATTTGATATTAAAAGCAACGACGCTAGCCTATCCCGAACCATGCCGTCTGCAATGTCGCCGATGGTTTGACAATCTTCAGTGGTGGTATCCTCCGCTCGAACCTGCACCGCGTCATGCCTCCCCCTGGTGCCCAAGCGGCTTTCGAGCGCTGGTCTTGCGGTTTCTTCACCCGCCCAGGCAGCTCTGTCGTTCTCTCTGCGTTGACGGACGAGAGCGAGATGATCAAAGAGGCGGTGGAAAAGGCTACGCCGGAGGTCAAGGCAACATTCAACACAGGCGTTACCTCCGGGGACTGGTTCAGACGGAGAATCAAGAATCACAGGATTAAAAACAGAAAGGTCAGAATTAGTACATGCTTTCCTTCTGGGATTGTCGACTCCTAAAGTTTACTTTCCGCTGATGTTCTGGCTTGTTAGGGACCGGAGACGTGGGAGGACAGCCGTGGGACCGAGCACCGCGGTGACATCGTTTCTGCTACCGCGTAGTGATCATGATTCTCGAAACTTTTGCACTCGTTGTAGAGCACTAACGAGAGATTTTGTATCTCACGCCATTCCATGTGATCAATGTACTACGTACAATATTGATCCTCATAGCGATATCGCGGACTATCAGTACTTGTGTCATCCAGTCCAAGCTCTTCGATGAATGATTTCCAACACCCGTGAACGAATCTGACTACAATGGTCTTTCTTTGTGTAACCTGAAGGTTATTAGCTCAGCAAATGGTTGTGCAAGTTCCTCGTATGTTTACTCCTATCATTTGCATCAGAAGCGCGGTGACGGTCATCTCCGACTTTATCACGACAAGAAGCTCCCCTCACTCCTCTCATGTTTCACAGCTCATCCTCGATACTACGTATGCCATTGCAGTGAGTGGTAGCTGATCAATCGATCAATGTGCGTCGTCCAGGATGAGAATGGTCCCGGGAGACGGAGCCAGACTTCTCTGTCGACGCGGTGAGCTGCGACCTCACCTCGAGTACCATCAGTGGGTGGTCCGATTTATTCCTGGCCTTTCTTCCGATCTCCACTCAGTTCGAATCTAGGAATCTATGTTGCGGCTGCTGTAACACCCATAATGGCCACATATCCGGCCTAGGATCCGCAGAAAAGCCGTTTCCCCATTCGGATCGCCGTTGTCCCTTGTGGCGTTCATCAAGCGTGCATGCAGGCTTGGAGGTACGTCTATTATTCCAGGAAGTCCTTCCTCTTAGAGCCGAAACGTATCACTGCTGTTCATAACACTTCCCATGAGCGCATTGCGTCTATCCTTGTATGTCGATGTCAACTCACAGCTACGCCGTGGTCTTCGACCACTTTTGATGCGTGAGGGGTCTATCCTCCCCTGGAATGCCATTCGAGCGTATGCTTGAAGATGGCTTCGATTTTCATCTCATGCTATTCTTCTCTTTGGTGTCCCTGCGGTGCCGTTTGGTTGAGTAGTGTAAGTATTATTGCTAGGCACTCTCAGGACTCGGACGAAGCAACCTCTTCCTAGCCGCCTGTGTCCTGGCGTGTGCAAACTGGTGTGATATAATTGAATCCCACATCAGAATTCCATCCACAGTGAGATCATGGGCTTTAGGACAGACTTGGCACTCCGACAAAATTCATTCGCACGTATTGAGCCGCTCGCCACAATGCGACTTGACGAAGGGAGACCAGGACTCGAGCTACCTTTCTATATTTCACTATCTGTGATTCAGCTCTCTCCATTCATTGGTCGAGGAAAGGAGGATTATGAACGTCAAGCCTTCCATTTTGATGACGAATGCACAGTCCAGCACTTGACTAGACATTGTGTTGCCATTCATGCACCATCTTTTACTAACGACATATAGTATCAACTTCTGACGCTGAGCTGGTACCGTGGTATCATATGATCCTTACTGGACAGACGTCTTCATTGCTAGCGTCGCTATTGTTATAAAAATAAAGAGGTGGTGTATACCCCCAATAACGTTGAAGGTTTGACACAAACGTGGTCCGTGAAGCCCGTAAGAAATAATTGGCTGAACAATTACGATCTTCCATGAGAATTGAACAATTTACGTTGCCTTCCATGTCTCTTTCGCGAATTGATATCAGATAGATCTCACCAGATATAGACAGTCGGCGATAGTGGCTGATGCACTATGATTTTATGGTGTCTTGTTCACGAGGAAGAAGATTGGGAAACGTCCACAGTTCACCGTGTAAGGCTTGTTATAGTGATCCCATTCCGTCCAGTGACCGTGCAACCCATTTAAGACCACGTTTATATCAGGTCACCCTCGGGGGCGTGGTGGTTCAGTGCCTCTATGCGGACACCGACAACCATGGAGTATGCGGGCGCTGGGATGCTATAAGAAATATACACGTTCGTGAAGTCTGTTACCCCCGGGAAAGAAGTGATAAGGAAAAGAAGGAACAAAAGCATAGAACTTCTAATTGTAGGCGTCTGCTCCGTTATTCTCATCTACTAGATACCATCAGAACATATTCACTATCACTCCGCGCGTCGTCCCATCTCGTATTGCCTGAAACGTCTCATGAGAAGGATTCCGTGAATGCTATGACGGCTTCTAACATACCTCATGAATCCGAGAAATGTTCTCTCCCGTGCTGACCGCTTGAACGCCCAGTCCTTCAGAGAAGCCTCCTAGATTTTCGATGCCGTGCATCTTGATACCAAGGGTGTTACGCACAAACTCGTAGAGAGGTCGAGTGTTCTTGAGGTATGGACTGGCAGGCGCAGGTCCGCGCCCGTTTCGCAAGAACGCAGAGCGAAGAGAATCAAGGCTCTTAGATGCACGCAAAGCGAATGAATCGCGGAAACCGGTGATAGCTGAAAGGATGTTTCCCGCGGGGGAATTGCTGTGGGTTGAGATGAAGTCGAGGAGAGTATCGACGGAAGAGCTGGCGACTTGTTTCATGCGTGGAACGGCGTCCATCTTCGCCGTTTCGTCCAGAGACTTGCGGATCTTGGGCATGATAGTGGTCAAGAGACAGGTTATGTCGGCGGGGGCCAGGAGGGACGAGAAGTGGCGGTGGAGTTCTTCACGGACGATCCCGCCAACTTCGCTATAAAACTCGAACTGGAGGGCACGAAGGTCGAGAGCTATTTCCAGGCAGCTTAGAATCAATCATGATTATATGCATAAGGAGCACATACCTTGGCATAGAAGATAGATGTAGCTGGCGGTGAGCATGGAGAGGACGTCCAGCGCGTTCACAGTCGCACGGGCTGAGATCAACGCTAGAGAACTGTGATGGCTAATTAGCAGAAGAACGAGACAGGTGGGTAGCTATGGCACGAACTTCACTGCCTGATTGTGCATCTCGGCGGACTGAACATGCGTGGAAACGGGCGATGCGAGGTACCCTAACTCGCTCACATACGACGCCATAGCGATATCTAGTCCCTTCCCGTGGTAGTCAAGAGACGGATCCGTCGCTGCCAGTGATGGCGGTAAACCTCTGTTCATAGCCGGATTACAGAGCTCTGTCGACTGCGAGAAGAGTAACTTCCCAATGTTCTGCAAAGCCATACGAGTCTTCTCCATGGAATTGGTGACAGCCATCGCCTGGAAGTTTCCTCCGTTGTATACCTTCTGCGTATCAGCATCTACAAGGGGGTTGTCTGTCGCTACATGGTATGCCGCGAGTGAATAAAATATTAGAGCGATCGGTAAGACTGGTACGCACTTGAGTTACACTCCACAGACACTGTCTCTACCGCAGCAAGGATATCTTCAATCTGAGGTCCTAAAAACTGGGGTGCGGTCCTCAGGGGGTAGCGATCTTGGCGAAGTTCGCCAGCATCTTCGTAGATGGTATGTTCCGCTTCATCTCCTCGAGCGAATCGGCTGCCTTCTAGCAGACCCCATATCACTCGTGCGGCTTGCACCTGTGCATATCATTAGTCGGATCTTTGAGCTGATGTATGAGGATGCTGAACTTACCTGGCCAGGGTGAGGCCGCGCGACCTCGTGAATGAAGGGGTCGTAGTTCTGTCGCTCACCAAGTAAGGCTTCGGTGCCCATGGCCGTGCAGACTTGGGAGAGTATGGCCAGATGTACCGCATCGTGGAGACATAAAGCGGCGAGGGCGGCTGAGAAAGCGGTTCCGTTCACGATGGAAAGGTGTTCCTTGGGCTGCAACTTGATCGTACCGAGTCCATGCTTATTGAGTGCTTCAGAAGCCGAGACGATATTTCTGTAGCCATGCGTCACAGGACCGTCGAACACGAAGAGAGATGGGTTTCCGGTAAGCGCTCCAGCTATGTACGACAAGGGCGCCAAATCTAGACAATAATGTCTTTCAGTCTATAAATAGACATTGCTTGACTTGACGCAGTCTTACCTCCCGAAGCAGAGATACTCGCCCTGATTGGGACCAAAGGGACGATATTGGCGGTGAGCATTTCCTTCAATTTATCTATCGTTTCCCAGCGCACGCCAGAGTGTCCACGTATCAAGGAGTTGATGCGCACCAAGATGGCTGCACGCACCCATGATTCGGGCATGCACGTCGAAGCGAGAGGATCGACCAGAGGTAGGATGGATTTCAAGGGGGTCGATGTAGGAAGCACACCGGCATTGAGTGTCTGCAACAAAGCATACCCGAGGGCCTCGAAGTTGCTAGTGCGGGTATCAGCTGTTCAAGTCCGAGATTAGTACTGGATTATGCACTGTATACAGTAGGAAACATAATACCACTTCCTCCAAAGCCCGTGCTTACGCCATATACACTTTTCTTATCGTTTATAGACTGGTCTATGATTTCGCGAGAGCGTGCCACGGGGTTGACGACGTCCGGGCTGTCGTCGAGTGACACAGAGATCAGATGGCGGGCTGTTGCCACTATAGCTGCGATAGAGAGATGTTGGCCATCGATGGCAATAGGCCTTTCTTCCCTAAGATTCAGTAAAAACTTATTCAACCTCAGCTGAAGGACTTGGGAGATTTATAAGGACGCACATGTAACCCTCGAACTCTTGATACTGCCTGATGAATGTCGACAACAAGTCATTGTGTCGGTGCTTTGCCATCAACATGTTTGAGTTGCAGTAAGAGAAGTGTGTCGCCAATGAAGAGAAGTCAATGGCGTGGAGGCAATTATGGAGGTGCACGATCGTCACGAATCACCTTGTGGGCCGACTTGAATTATATATGGCATCGCCGATGGCAATCTCGTTCCTCGCATAACATCGGAAACCGTATCATCTCCGTTTCATCAAGTGTTTCCAGCCAATGGGCGAAGATGAACGTCGAAGCGTTCGACCAATCTTTTTCTGTATCACTCTACGCGTGCTTTAACTTGGACGAACAATCATCCTCCATGGGAGTTAACTACAGGGCTCACACACGAAGAGAGTTGACAAGAGTAGCAGCTCACGGCGGAACTGAGTGCATATTTAATATTCTGATCGAACGCACCTGAATGAATAACGGTGTGTCAATTCCAGTTTAGGAGAGATGATATCGGGAGATCGAACGACTGCGCTCACTGCATCATGAACTGATACAACCACTAACATGGTGCGAAGCAAACAGATCAGCCAGAACCTCCGCCGATGTCGTGAATCAGTGGGACTTGTGATATGGAGGTGTCCATCAGAACACAGGTGGACAGCTGAAACAGATATTCGTCAGCCATAGAGAGAAGATTAGCTGAGTGCGCACCCGAATACAGCCACGACAGCATACAACACAGAATGAACCTTATGGAAAACAAACAGTCCACCATCGGAGACTGCTTCGATGCATGTAAGAGTACCTCCCTCCGATGAAAGGAAGGGTCGCCACTTTAGAGTTCGTCATGTTGCGTACTTCTTTTAACGCGTGGCGTGAGGGTAACTCGGACTCATACTACTCATCATAAACCGAGGAGAGAAGACAACCTCTACAATCTATCCTAGGCGCAGGGAACAACAGAAGTTTTGGTCATTCTGATTTACCGGACGCTCGCGTTCAAGACAAAACGATACTAACCCTGGACCCAGGATGAAGAAACGCCAGCTCTGATTGGTGTGAAATTGAAGCTCCAGTCGAAAGCTCAATACTTTCACCCTGATCATGTGCATGAGTACTTGAGCTTGAGTGCTTGCGGGGAGCCGCAGTGAGGTTTGCATGAAGTGTGTAAAGGTGTGGACCGACTAGTTGGCGTCCGAGATTTCGCGGTAACCTCCGAACTGGCAATGGCCGGTGTGGGTAGAGCGTGAGTTTGTGAATCACTTTCTCGTTCATACCTGTACGACAGGGACGATCCACAGCGGAGTCACTCAGAGCTGGCACGTCTAATCTCTCTTGATAGGTAGTCGTATCAGGCGATTCGAGCCGTGGATAGGGTGCTTAAGCTTCATACACCTTCATCCTTGTCAAAGGGCCCGCTGCCTGCCAGTGCCACGGGGAAGACATTCTGAGTATCACTCAACTAAATCGAGCACCCCCGAGTGGACTCGGAAGCCTTTGGGAGCTCATATCCGCGGCATGCCTCCACCTACTGCTTCTTCTCACTGCAGGATCAAGATCCACTGCATTTTATCGGCAAGCGACCCACATATATTTTACTTCGAGGCGCTTTCTCAATCATGTACCACACGAGTGCAACGCCTGCTCTGATACGTGAGCGCTATGGATGCCAGTGAGCAACCAGACCTCAAACATCAGGACTGGAAGCGGGAGAGATTCATCCTCCCTGTGGTGAACGCGAAGGGCTTGCCACTCAGGGTCGAAGTCGCCAGATATCTCCCCGGCACACCTTGTTGCACTCGATATGCAGATTCCACATCTATGAGGTCTAGGATTCTGCTCACTCATGCAGTAGGGTTCTGTGAGTTAGCTCCAATTTCGCCCTTTTCATATTGACTCGCTAACCACGCCCTGCGCAGCGAAGGAGCTATGGGAACCTATCATCACTCGCCTCTTTTCCCTTCAGGACACCGACAAATTCATTCGAAACAAGGGCCCTCGAGTACATATCCATGAGATATGGACCGTCGATTGTCCTAATCAGGGAAGAAGTGCAGCCCTGAACGACAATGTGCTCCTGGACGGCGACCACATACTCAGTACGTTGCCTCGTTGACATCCTTTCGACGCATGTTTTGCTAACCACGACTGTGTCTAGCGTCTAATCACTACGCGGATGCTATTCTTACTCTGATGACATCCGATGTTCTGCACCTCCACTCGAGGTCTTTGAACATACCCTTGATCGCTGTCGGGCACTCGTACGGGTCTACAGCTCTGTGCGGTTCTTGATATTCTTTCGTTTAATAATAAGGATGCTGATTATTTTGAAGCTCCCTTGCATACTCTCGGTCCCCCAGTCACCCCCTGTTTGAAAAACTGGTGATGATAGAGCCGCCGATGCTCAGTCGGGGTCTTCTGGACAAATATCCGGACTATATTCCACAACTCGTTGAGCGTACACGGAGAAGGAGGGACAAATGGATATCTCGGGGAAATGCCTACAGTTCCATGATTACTCGACAACCGTACAAAGGATGGGACGCTCAGGTTGTAAGAATATACGTGGTAAAGGCCCTCACTTCGCCGATCATTGTCTTCATCAACGAACACGATTTATGTAGGATCATTGCCTTCGTGATGCCCCGTCTATGCCCCATTTACCATCCGCGCTCAAGACGGTTACTTTATCCTGTGCTGTACCTCAAGAGATGGCATGCTACTCGCTTTCGGAGGGCTTTCAATGTCTCGACATACTCCCTTCCATTTGCGCCACTATCCCAGTTCATACCATCTTTGGAAGCATACGGGATTTGGCTCAGTGAGTTCATTCTTACTTCACTCGGTGCCGTATTTCTCTCCGACTTCGGTGCTGGATTTATTCACTGCTGTGATGTCCAACAACAGCCCAGAGATCCAAGCAAGCATCGTCGACGCCAAGCAAGGACGACGGATGGTGACCGTTACAAGTGTAGAACAAGGCGGACACTTTGTGCGTAATTTCACTACTTTCAGCAACGGGGATTCGTGCTGAATAAGTTACACGCACAGGTTCCGTTTCAGCGTCCTGAGTCTTGTGCGAAAGCGATATGGAACGCGCTGTGTGATCCCCGCGGTCCAAACAGAGCTCCTAAGTTATGAGCACAAGTCGATAGCTAGCGGTTGCGTTTGATCGATGGACCCAGGAGGAGTGCAAATAAGAGAAATGGAACGATGTAGAGTACAGAACTTTATATGTGGTTGGCAGTCGAGACGCGACGGAGTGGTTGGCAATAGCACGATGCTGTACTCCCCGCAGACTCGCTCAAAGCCTGGAAATATGGCTCTCACGTCTGGAAGAGCTATCCAAAAGCAAACATATAGGGCTGCCCTCTTATGTACTGTTCATTCTCGTGGAGTATGACAGCCCATACTTAGTCGCAATAAGTGCAGTCTCCAGAAACACTCGAAACAGGCAAACCGAGAAATGATATATCACCCATGAGTGGCCATGTACTCCTCGTTCACAACGTGCAGGAGTCTGTATAGCTCCGTCGGATAGACCCCTCTGACAACTCTCCTCGTCCTATCTGCCGCCGTTTGTATGACCCTCTTGTCCTCATAGTGTTTTCCTCCCTTCCCATACCGGATCATGAGCGCCAGCGTTTGTCGGCACTGTTCGTACCAATCTTCCGTCAAATCGAGAGCGCGGATAACGTGTTCCTGGAAATACCACAACGTATTAGTCGGTAACTGACAAGATGCAAAAACAAGAGGAAACGTGACTGACCATCTCGATTTCTTTACTTCCCGACTCGGCCCCCAACGCCTCCGGTGTCCACAACCCTACATACTTCTCCATCTTCCTCTGTACGAACCAGTATATCCTCAACATCTCCACGTTACTCAACAGCTCTTTGGCCTTGTTCTCCTGGAACTCGTCCCAAGTGGCCTCCTCAGTTCCGTCCTTGCGAGACTGTGATGGCTGAGAGGGTTTGTGGCGCTTAAGAATGGGTTTGAGGTAGTTGACGATGGCGGCATGACGGTACGGTGGCGTTGACGGAACTACGGGGAGCACAGGCGGAGGAGGTGGATTCGAGGCAGGAACAGCTGGTGTAACTGTAGATTTAGGCTTGGACACTGGGCGTGGCTTCGGTTTCGAGCGATGTGTTTGTGGCGTAGGTGGCGGTTGCGATTGAGGTGGGTGAGGGGGTTGAGCCTCCATTCTAGAGGAGTATGACTGGGAATGTCTCCGCTCATGCTCCCGCTCGCGTCGATGATGGTCTGGGGGTGGAGGTTGTGGTGGTGCCGGGTTTTCTGGTGTTGAAGGCGCCGGCATTGGCATAGTGTTTGCATATTGCATAGATGTTGATCGAGATGGTAAGTGCTCATGGACCCTCTGCGATGGGCCGTCTGTCTTCGGTTTCTTCGAAGGATGTCCTTTACTCGATCGAGGTTTTTCATAAGCATGGGATGGTGGCTGTGGTTGGGGTTGGGGTTGAGGTTGAGGTTGAGGTTGAGCATAAAACTCTGACGCACGCAACTCCTGAATCTCTACTTCTGGCGAATACCGCGCTGAAGATGAAGCAGGTGAAGCTGAATAGGCCGGAGGGGAGTAATAGGTCGGTGAAGCATGGGAAGATGGAGGTGAAGGATGGCTGGCATATGGAGAGGAGCTCGAGGAAGGCAATAGATGTTGATACGCAGGTGAGACATGAGTAACAGGTTTCGGTTTGTGGCGTGTCGGCGACTTTGAAGGTTGGTCCGGAGACGCATCCGTTTGGGTTGTCGACGAAGAGTCGCCGCTTAACGTACGTTTGCGTTTCTCAGAGGAGTGTGAATCCCGTCTCTCAAAACGGCCACGGTCGTGGTGGTCGTGGCTCTGCTGGGGTCCGGGACTTCCGCGATGGCTAGCGCTAGGCATAGAATAAGGGGTGAGAGGGCGCTGAAAAGTAGTTTGTGGAGACGGAGCGATGGGTGAAGGAGCCGGTGGCAGTTTTTGAGCCTGTGTCGATGGTGCCGCGGCAGCTTGTGGCGGAGGTTCGGGCAAGGACAGCGGAGTTGGCGCGCTGGGCTGCGTGGTTGTACTACTTGCGGTCGGGAGGATCTGGAGCTGTATTAAAAGATAGGGGGGAGGACGGCATATAAGTATAGGAATACTCGAAGCATGAATATGCCTAGTACTAACAGGTTCAACGACAACAGCTAAGGTCTTGTCCTTGTCGACTCTCAAGTTCACACCCTCACCTGCACCCGTCTCTACTCCAGCCTGCGAAATACGCAGGAAAGTTTGTCGGTACTTTCCGCGCATAGTCCATACCTTCGCTGGACCTGCATAATACAACACGAAAACAATTTGAATATCGATAGCTGGTGAGCCTGAAGTCTGATGTGAATTGCGCACCATCGATTCTAGCTGGTCCACCCTGCAACTTTACCACCACATCCTCTGCAGCAGCCCAGTACCCACCTTCGGGATCCTTCTCTCTCTCACCAAACTCTCGCAATGGAATACTGATTTCAGCAAGCTCTTCCACTCCCGTTCTTCGATCTTCAATCAAAACCGTCACTGTACGCAGTTTGGATGCGCGCGGAGCTGGAGAGCCCTCAAGGCGATCTTGGTGCTCGTCGTCATGGTGCTGTTGGTGCGACGTGGCCTGCAATGACGGACGGACGGGACCTACACTGTTCGACGAGGCAGGTTTGTGGCGGGATTCAGACGGAGTAGCAGTAACGGTCTCGGAATGGCGATAAGAAGTTGAGATAGAGCGTGTGGGTGAGTGGTGATCGCCGTTCAACTCTGGTGACGGTGGCGGTGGTGCTTGACCATGTTGTGAATACGATTGAGCCTGTGCCGGGCGGCGAGATTCACTATTCCCCTGTTGCTGCTCGGTCTCAAGCGCCCTCTTCTCCCTCTTCCTTTTCTTCTCCGTACGGGAAGTGTGTGCCTCCCCATACCTACTTGCTTCGCTGCGCTCTCGAGAGCGAGAAGGGCCAGCATGTTGGTGATACTCGTCCACCTGCTCCATCGTCACTTCCATAACCTCCCGCTTCACCCCCTCACCATCCAGTCTCGGCGGCGGCGCTTCCGAAGATGGCAACAATCTGAAGGACCCTCCGGACTCCCCGACAGTAGAACGGGCAGGTGATACTCCGCGCCTTGCCTCACGATCTCGACTTCGTTCCTTCTTTCTGCTACTGTGTGAGTGAGATTGAGACGCAGGTGGAGGCGGAGGAGGCATGGACTGGTGCGTGGCCGGGTGTGGCGTGGCAGGTTCAGAGAACAGGGGACTCGTCGCTTCATTGTCGTCGTAGGCCAAACTATAGTCGATTCCGCCGGCGTCCGGCGACTGCGAAGCGTATTCATGCTCATGCTCGTCTCGCCTTGGTGGTTGGTCTGAAGGCGATGGATAAGACGGGGCCTCCGATGCTAAGCGATCGCCATTCTTCGCATCGGAACTTGCGCTCTGACCGGCAGCACCAGAAAGACGTTTCGTTCCCGGTACAGGCGTTTGTCGTATATAGTCCCAACGATAGTGCGACGCCGAGTCTGAACCCTTTCTCGGAGTCGGAGTAGAAGTTACGTCGGGAGGAGGTGAATGTCGAGAACCAGTGGCAGGTGTTCCCCGACGCTCCATCTCTTTCTTTCCTCGGACCGGATGGCGAGCGTTATACCCATTCGCTTCAACAGGAGCGCGCCAGGCAGCAGTGTACGCGCCCTTGCCAACGTTCACACTCGCATCGGTAGTAGTATGTAAGGAGGTGGAGTTGGACGCGTGCTTGGAAGTAGAAGTGGAAGGACCGGGTGTCGGCGTTTCAGGCGTGATGTAAAACTCAGGGGAAGACGCGGAAATCGTTGCTGGTTGGCTCTCGCCATTGGTGCTCTTGTACCCTTGTACTCGCCACACAGCGTCCCCCGGATTGCCGGCCTTCCCTTTTGTAGACGAGATCGGCGAAGGGGCTTTCGCTTTGCCTTTGCCTTTGCCGTTATCGACAGCCAGTGAAGTGGATGGCGTAGAAGTGACAGCGCCAGGGTTGGCGATTTCGTGGTAGGAATACGAATGAGAGGTGGAAGGGAGGGTTGAAGGGCCGGGCGGGGGCTGAAAACGTGATGGGGGTGGGGGCGGGGCGGATATGTGTGGCGGAGGCGTAGATCGTGATCTCGAAGGAGATCGAGATGATGGACCGGCTGAAGGCTGGGCAGGTGGTGGTGTATGGGGACGGGATTTTGATGGATCTGTGGGTTGCGCATGTGGTGTCTCGGTATGGAGAGGTACAGCAGGAGGCGAACCGTGTTCCGGTTCAGGCGCCGGTTCTGCAGCAGGTTGAGGCTCGTCTGTGGAAGCGGGAGTGGCTTTGGGAGCGGGTTCCGGAGTAGAGCGTATGATCCTCCCATTGGCGTCTATGGCTGTGACGGGCTTGCCGCTCCAAAGGCTGTCCATGGAGACATAGGTGTATTGTCGCTTGGGGAGCAGTTCTTCGGGTATGGGTGCGTTGGCGGCTTTGATGGCGGCTTCTGGGAGAGGCGGAGGAATGGAGTCGTTGTCGGAGTCAGAATTGGTTCCAGATGGAGGTGGTTTCTATGTAGGTGAGAATTCGATGTGGATGATGAGTGACCGACGACATAAGGATAGCTGGAACCAGATATGTAATACGTGTGACGAACCGTAAGGGCTCTATCACCACATCACCACAAATCATCTATCGTAGCTTCTTGAGCATTCGCAAAGACACCAAAGAAGACAATATGATTAAACATAAGAAAACGTTGGAAAGGGTGAAGGTGAAGCTGTATAACCATTACGGACAACATTCACAGAATCTCACGACTCGACCACTGGCCAAAGAATTAACGAGATGAACTCACCCGTACAGGCCTCTTCTTCCTCCGTTCCCTTCATTCGCAAGCGCAGAGCCTTAGCTTCTGCGTCACACGAGAATGTAAACCCAAAATTGCTCACGTCTCGTCGTCCGAATCCGACAAGTTCTGCCTCATCCGTCCAAACTCAGGAATACCATCGTAGTCGCTTTCAGAGTCAGACATGGGGGACTGGTTGTAGAAGCCGTGTTACGGTGCTGTATGAAGACGGATATGAGTTCTGAGTTACACGCATGGTCGCACGGATGAGCTGCATGCCTGCAAGGTATACGGATAGCAGGGTGTCGCCGGCGTAGTCGTAAAATATATTAAGCAGCAAAGCTGGTGCATCACAAAACGTCAGATTGACAAATGAGCATAATTCCTCTCGTTGGAACTCATGCAAAATACGTGACGCACCAATGGAAATCCGAAAGCAATTATGAAAGGCAACGAGGAACAAGTTGAAATATTGGATAAGCAGATGCCACAGACTGATAAGATCCAAATAACAAGCAGATAGAATCTGTGTCAACCTGGTAGCGATGCTATGGCTGCTGCATAGTAAGTCAGACAGTGTGTTGATGTGGACGCGCACGGATGCGTATTTAGTCGAACAATTGGCCGAGACCGGTGTATTACACGCTGAATCACGTGATCAAGATTCATTGTTCGACCGTTTAGTATCTTATCTTATCGCGTCTCAGGCACACGGGACTCGGTAGGACCAGGAGGGGGGCGTATTGGTACGGAAGTCCGATCTCAAAACCCAAAATTCGGGTAGTTCTGTACTCAAGGTTTGGGAGGATTTCTGTACTTTTGTGGATCGGGTAGTCCAAATAAGGGCGCCTTCCGTACTCACGAGGGATTGGACCTTCTCCCAGACGAGCACCTAAAACACCGTCAATTTGACACAAAATGGTCTGTGCAGTGGCGTACAGTGTTGGAGAGTGAAGGTTGGCGACCAAGCCTGAACACATACAACAAAATTGTACGCATAGTGATCAGACCTAGGCAGTCCTGCCAACTTTCCGTACGCACAAGGGCAGTTCAAGGGATCGGACCAAGAGGCAAATCCAGGCCAGTCATGTACGCACAGGATCAGACCTCGCGTCGCATTTGCCACCAAAACTGTACGCATAAGGATCGAACCTCGATACCAATACGCCCCCCTCCTGTAGGACCTTTTACTCAAAGTTCTTTTATAACACTTTCTAATGGTCACGGTCAGGCTACATATTCTGTACCGTGTGGGCATGAAGGATTCGCAGCACTGACACAACTGACTCGGCCTCATTTCGTCCAGAATCCCCTGATCCAAGCCCAATCCAAGCCTGATCAGACTAAGTAATCCCACAAAAGATCACAACAACGACCGTACAGAGCTACTCAAAATTGTCCGTTAGAGCTTGCAAGGTGACTTGAAGCACGAAGCAAACCTGCGAAATTCGACCGATCAAGACGTCAACCTGCTCTAGAAATCAGCTTGTCGTTACACTTTCATGGGATCATAAGCAGAGTCACATACCCACATACAATTTCAACCATCGCGTTTTCCTCGTTAAAACTCCTTCCCCTTCCTAGCCATCTCTAAATGCTCCTCCTTGACCCCGTAAACCTTCCAGAAATGCAAAATCGTGGCCACATCAACCCTATGCCCGATCCCTACCAGGCCCGTATGAAGGTCAAAGTAGCCCCCTCCACCATCTGCATTGACCTTCTCCGTGATCTCATTGACCTGTGTGGTAGCATCGGACGACCAGGAAAGTCGCTCATCTATAACGCTGAGAAAGTAGCCTGTGACATGGTCTTTACCGTATGCGATAGTGATAGAGCCTTGTTCGATTTGGTGACGGCCCATGATTGTTTGCAGTGAGATACTGATATATCCAAATAGTGCGAGAGCTTAAAGACGGGGAGAGTATGAGCGAGTCGCAGAGATAGGGAACGTCGGAACAGAACAGGTGGAGGATAATATACAAACACAAAGATACTGTGGCGTTAGCAGGTCCGATGAGGTCATGGCACCGATATATACACCATCGCTCTGTAAATGTAACCCAGATCTATAATGAAAATGTACACACACGGCAAACGGACGCAAACATGGACAACTCGTTCGGGCTCGGCAGAGCTGACGCAACCACGGAGCGCTCAGTCCCTGTTCTGCGACTCGAATCTCGCCACCTCTCCTTCCATATATTCCCACAGCTTCTTCCCAAGCTTCGGATCCTGAGACTCGGGTGTAGCAGTCCCAAGACGCGCCCAAGGGATCAGGTACTACAGGTGCAGTCATACGCGGTGCCCATGAAACATGAGTATAATGTGAGGAGTAATTCGAGGAGTAATGCATACCTTTCCGTTGAACTTTGCGCCCTCAGGCATGGTACCCGCGTAGAGCTGTGTTAGAGCTCCCAAGGGGGTAGGATAACTGATTATCTTTGACTAAAATATGACCATAAATCAGCTTTCTCGAGGAGATGGGGGTGGGTGGGTGGGTGGGTGAGTAATCAGGATAATATCCGTACGAGAATGAGGGTCCCCAAGTCGAGAGTTCGTTGCAGTTCCGAGTGGAGGTTACCTTGCGCAGACACGAACAGAGGGAGATGTGTCTCAGTATAATTCGCGACCATTGAGATCAGAAGAAGATGACGTTTCAAACGGCTGGGGGCATACCTGGGTTCAGAGACGTAGAGACGATCCCCTTGTCCCCATATCTCCTAGCCAACTCTGTGGCAAATACTACATTCCCCTACGGCAACTATTCAACACTCCTTCCTAGGTGAACGAAAAGACTTGTGCTTACGAGTTTGCTTTGATAATACAGTCCCGCTCTCCCAATTTTTCTCCTGACGTCTCCATCCCTGAAGCTCTCGAAGACAAGTTCGTTTTGTACCTGATGCCCGTACGAGGACGTGTTTACGACACGTGCAGGAGAGGCGGGGGTAGAGGTAGCCATGAGAGTAGGGAGAAGGAGACGAGTGAAGTAAAAATGACCTATAATTGCATATTACAGTTAGCATAGGTAGGTAGAACTGGTTGACGAGGAAGAACGAGCGAGGGGCCACAAACAACGATGGGCGCACCAAGGACATTGGTTCCAAACTGAAGGTCGTAGCCATCGGAGGTTAGTTGGTCGATCGGTGGTTGCATCACTCCTCTGGCATAACACAAACATCACACGAATGAGCAATCGAGACGGGTCCGAGGGATGCAGATGCCTAGCACTCACCCATTGTTAAATAACACATGCAGCTTCGATTCCTTCCTGAAGTTATATAGCATGACAAATAAAATTAGTACAAAGTGAGACGAGACTTTTGAATGATCTATCTGGCACTCACTGCAAAAAAGACTTAGCAGCCCTTCTCACTGAGGCCAGACTCGCCAGATCCAACTCGATAAAATGTGCGTCCTTGCCCGTCTGCTGTCTGAGATCTTTCATCGCTTCTTCCGCTTTCTTAAGGCTCCGACCTGCAATATATACTTTGGCATTTCTCGGCAGAAGGGCCTGTAGGAGCGTAAAAGAAAATGCAAAATACGCGAAGTCAGTTCGGATAGTCCTCACAGCTCGAGGAAGAAGCATGCGATAGAGTGTCGGTGATTGGGCTGACAATGAAAAAAGTAACATACCTTCACGGTTTCTTTACCAATACCAGTGTACCCACCCGTGACGATCATAACCTTCCCCGTGAGGTCCGGGATATCACGCACGGAGAACGTCGGCTTAGGCGGAAAGAACTGGCTAAAGGTGGACATGGTCTCCGAGTAAAGCTGTCAACAGGAGGGTGATGGGGGGGTTATCAACAAAATTCTGAAAAGTAGAAAGAGGGTGCGGCGGACCTTTGTCAAGGGAGGGAGGATGTCCACTTATATACTTACATCGGGTCTGTATGTACCCATTCGCTCTATCACGAGCAGGTGGTGCAGACCGCTCATATTACAGAGGACTCATGATTGATTCGGGCCAGGCTCGACGGCGCTGTAAGCGCACAGCAGTCATCCACCTCGTATCCGCATAGCTACACTCGATCGTGAGCGATAGACATGCATGGTGAGACGGATGGCGCGCACGACCTCGCACGACGCGTCGACGCGGCTCGGTGACACCGCGCGATCGTACACAAGGACAAACAACACGAGGCGCGGAGTGCGTTCGGTGGCCGCTCGATCGTACACATCAGTACACAAACCGAAGCCGAAGAAGGTCGAGATCGGGTCACATCCGTTCCTCAACTCGTGCAAAGCCTTGATTAAAATTGCAGGGTTTCGTTTCGAATGACAACAAACCGGTTCGTATGTCTCGGCACAGTGAATCTGAGGTACGATCATTGTGTGGTGGCACTCGGCTGTCTGGAGCTTGATCTGTCGCCGCTTGGACGTAAACAAGTGCATACTCAATGCTATCGAAAGAAGAAGGCCACTCGACTTGAGATCGTGGAAAGCCCTTAAAAATTGTGTGGACTTTACCGAAGCGGACATCAGAGAGTTTGAAATCGGCAACTTCCGAAACTCGGAGTTTCGATTCTTGAGCTCATAAGTTTCGATCCTTGGTTTATACGCATATCCCTCTCGTATACTGCCACGACAAAAATGCAGAGACACCATTGGAAGCAGATATTTATGTTCAGTCCAAAATATTAAGTTCATTTTTCTCAGTATAACGTGTAAGAATTGCTCGAATATAATCACCGGGTTTCGACTGTCGAAACTCAAGGCTCGAAACTCGCATTGCTGAATTGTCGTCATTGGTTTCGCGGTAATTGTTAGGTGAAATGGCGCTAATCCCATGTTTAGCATCTGCACACTCATCCTGGGTGGTTTTTAAAGTAGCCTTTGGGCTGTCCTCGTTGGCATAGGCAGCGACACTGACATGCGCGAGAGAGCCGTGAATGGGCCACAATTAGGCGCTTGAGAGCCTTGCTGGCGGGGAAAACCACGCGAGCACGGCCAGGGAACCACTATTTAGAGTGCTCTAAAGGTGATTCTAAAGTAACTTCTATATATTATGTATGGGCTCCGCTTTGGAAAGTACTAAAGAGAAACTTTGGAGACCTCCAAAGGCGACTCTATGCATTTTCTTTAGAAATGCCGTACAAACGCTAAAGATAGACTTTGGAGGACGCTAAAGGCTGTCGAGCACCTCGGGCTTGCCTTATGTGGCAACCCCGAATCTCTTTAGCACCCTCTAAAGGTAATTCAGAGAATAATCAATGGAACTCACTATAGAGCTCGCTAAAGCTTTGCTTTAGAGAGCGCTAAATTGGCATCCATATATAATATTTTGACCAATGTTTAGATTCCACTTTAGCTGGCTCTAAATAGTGGTTTCCCCGTCGTGGAGTTTCGATTCTCAGCGGTGGGAGATCCGAATCTTGAGTTTCGCTTCTTGCCGATTTCAAACTCTCTATCAAATAGATGGTGGCGTGAGCGCGTGCGCCGTGTGGCCCAAACCCCACTCGAAGTTCTCGCCACCACCATGACCGCAACGACCAAGACTAACACATCGCTAACGCAACAATATGTATGTACATCGTATCCTTGACGTTATCTTCCAACCACGAGAAATCCTTGCGATATGTAAGTACAACAACGATAGTAACGACGAGGAATAACCGCGCTTATCACAATAACAACAGATTTTCTCTTCCAAAGAACACACACAGTACCATAGCCCAAAGCGATCCATAAACATGAACATACAAATACGGATATACCAAATGACCGTCCCATCAATGTTCCAGAGACGAGAATACCGAATAAATATGGACTCGTGGCTCTCCATGCCTCGTTTCCCTCTTGCTTACCCCCCTAGTCAACGTCGCACGATCTACCTAACTCTCCTTCCCGTAAACCCTGACCGCATTCCCTCCAAACACATTATCCACATCTACCTGTTCTACACCTAACTCCGCGAACGACTCCCTCGCGATCTCGTACCAATCTGCCGCGTTCGAAGATGAGGAAGAAGACGTAGAGGGAGCCGAGCCGAAGATGATACGTTGGAAACCGAAGGCTTCGACGGCTGGGCCCACTGTGTGCGGAAACGAGAAACAATGAGGTTAGTAGTATGTACGGATTAGAGAATGATGCACGAATGCGAGATATCACGCACGATACATCTTGATCCTCCTCTTCCACTCCTTCTTCTCCTTCCCTTCTTCATCCGTCACCTCCTTTCCTGGCGTGGGCGGCGTCGGCGCATTCCATGCCGGGGGAAGAAACTTGAGATGCAAACTTGGAAACAAGGACAGGGTCGCGATCTGGGATTGATAGAACCGGTAGGTCTTGTGTGAGAGGAGTTTGACGATGGCGAGGCTGAGGTCGTGTGGAGGTGGAAGTATGTTCGCTAGATGGAGAATCGAGGACAGATGAACCGTGTAAGGATACATTGGAAGGACGGACATGCGGGCACACACGAAAATAAACATCCAAGCATCAGTATCAGATACGTCTCATCACCATGGTATGATGAAGATGGGGCAGGGTAGATGAAACGTGGGGTACAGAGGGCCGAAAACGTGCAGGGGCAAGCTACATCGAGCAGCAAAAGGACATGAACGCACAGATGATGAGCGTCCCGGCACTGGTTTCGGGATCGGCGGTAGCCTTGGTGAGTAATTCTTCGAACGCTTCCCAGTCTTTCTCGGCTGTCGTCAAGTCGGCTTGAACGTCGATGTCAACGACAGCGCCTGATTTGAGAGCAGCGCTTAGGCCTGCAATGGCAGCCTCAGATAAGGATGACGAGGTGTACGTCACGGAAAGGTATTTGGAGGGAGGAGTAGAGTCGGAAAGGTTGAAGGGGGTCTGGGTGGCCAGAATAGAAATTCCGGATGAGGAGAGTTTTGTGGAAAGACTGAAATGGGTAGGGCATGGGGTTGAAGATATATGGAATCAGTAACGCATATAACAATGTTTCCTAGACTAAAGACAGACCCGTCAACATCCCCAGCATCGGCCTTCACGACGACAGCCTTGACTCTCTTCTTCAAGCCGTCATCCTTGCCGATATCGTTCACCCAAGCGTCTACAGCCGAACTCGCAACGCTAGCATCGACCACACGATCAGGATGAACCGTGCTTGGACTAGCAGGTAGTGGGAAACTATCTGATACTCCAGAGTTAGGAGGACTAAACGCAGACAACGGTAGCTTGGGCAGATTCTTTGGTCCCTTCGTCCTTCGTGCCCCGACGCCAGGAGAAGGAGGGGTGGCGGGAATGGTGCTCATCGTCTGAGATTGTCAAGGAGAATGTGGTGGTAAGAAGAAAGAATTATTTTACGGTTGCCGTTGTCGTCGTCGCTGGTTTTGTTGCCTTGGCTGTGGCGATGAGGGGGAGATGGGATGGGAGACAGAAAGATGCGAGTGATTGGATGATGGATCCTGCAGAAGTCGCCGGGTGGCGTTCATGATGCAACCTCTCTCGGCCCGGCCCATTCCCTCGGTATCCTAAATATAGCTTCTTCTTGGCGGAGGGCCGGAGCACTGGCTCAGTGAATCCTGGCCCGGGTGCCACTCAGGCAAGCGACCCCAAAGCGATCCTTGAGTCTCGACAAAACAATCCAACCACATATTTCATTCCACCCCCCCCACACATAAAGCTGATACAAATTACATGGCAGACTGACCAAAAAACCCACAGAGAAAACCCGTCCTCCTTCGCGAAACGAAACTCAGGAACGCAATGCCACCGTCCATGGCAATCCCCTCGTCTTCCTCATCTTCCATAACGCGCACGCCAACCGAATCGGCACAACCACAGCCACCTACGTTGTCCACGGCACCGGGTGCTCAGAAAGAAAGATTGGCACCAGCAGTACTCGTAACAGAAGCCTTAACGCTATCCGTCTCAATCAAACTGTAGGTGTACGGAGCAGTCGTAAAGTTACCCTGCGGCGCCGTATCTTCTCCACCGCCAAAGTCATTGTTCACAGAGACAGCGTTTCCGGAATCGGTCGAATAGAGCGGGTCTTTCGTATCCTCAAAGACGTTGTTCTCGACTAACACCTGAGCGCCTAAATGCGCAGAAATTCGATGATCGTATGAGTGATTCCCCAGATCTCCGTGTCGGAGGATCGGAAGGAAAGATGTACGTACCATCTCTGGTGTTAATCCCATCATTGTTCGCGTCGAAATAGTTGTTGAAGATGTGACCATGACCAAACCTCAAAGATGGCGTCCTCGAATTCAAGTTCGTCCACCAATTATTCGCAAGCGTGACGGTGATGGCAACGTCCTGTGGTCCGTTATTGTCAGAGTGACCGATGAGGGATGCCTTCCAATGGTCGTGCAATTTCGAGTTGGTGACGGTGACGCCCGTGCAGCCGTGCGTGATGTCTAGGAGACCATCGTAGAAGTCCTACGAGAGAAAGGATCGGTAAGTGCCTTGACCGAAATATGTGGAAAGATGGCTATGAGGTCGGAGGCGGTGGTATGGTGGGAACGAAAGCCGGTGATACCTTGTCGTGATCCATGTCACTGGACAGGTCAACATGATCGACCCAGACCTGTGATGCTTGCTGAATGCCGATGGCGTCTCCAGCAGAGGCCAGAACCTAAACAATGTAACCCCGACAACAAGACAGATATCAGTCCAGTTCTTAACAAGAGAGCGGGAGTCATACCTTCGAGATCGCAATGTTACGAATTATGACGTTGGACTCTTCCAGGACACGGAGTCCAACGCCCTGTAACACTGATAAAGCGGTTTCAAAGTAAAAGATGAAAAATCATATACTCGGATGCGCAGACATGCACTCACAAGCGCCAGATTCCCCCAAGACGGTCGTGTTCGAACCAACCTTCACAACATCATCACCGGTGATAGTACCTGCAACGTCGGAGGAGTCCACATCACTAGTAAGCATAGGCACTATGATTCGGAGAAGAGTAGAGACGAAACGAACCAGATATGACGACGACCTTCTTCGCGTTGCCCGCTACAGCGGATGTGAGTGCATCGAGTGTGGTGACGGTAGTCGTCGCTCCTCCAGATCCACCGGTGGTCCTGTTACAATCACACGCGAGTCAAGCTATAGTCATGGTGAACGAAACTCCTCGCTTACCCTCCATTGAGAGAGGCATAACCCAGGGTAGCGACATCGTTGACCGAGGCACGCTTGACGAATTGCGGTTTCGCCTATGGGGATTATCTTCAGACAACATACAAACATCATTGACTGCAGAAGAACACTAACCGCGATGAACTGGAAAGGAGCCAGGAGTACAGCGAGTGAGAGAAAGCACTTCATGATGAGATCCTTCTGTTGTTGTTTGGGAGGATGTGAGCTCTGCGATGCGACTCTGAGGAAGGACAGCACGAACCTTTCGATGTTTTATAACTCTTGAGAAGACTGACAAAAGATGGGAAGAAAAAACGGGTGCATTTGTTTACTAATGTCGGGAATGGGTCGGAATAAAACGTGAATGGGTGATGCCAAGACAGAGGGCTGGATGCGAGATCATCATGAGACTCAGCTGGAAGTGTATGCAGAGAAGTTGTTCGACCGGGTCCGTGTACAGAGAAGTGATGGATGGTTGGTGGTGCACCTCGGACTTATGCTTCTCGTTGGTCGTGAGATAGAAGGCGATCTCGACTCGGAATAATAAATATAACGAGAACACGAAGATACTTATTTATGGACTGTGACCATGGCAAACTTCGTTGTTGACGCTACCTACATAGGTCGAGAGAACGATCGAAAATCAAGGATGGTCGAGTGTCGCTGTGCAGAACAAATCAGTTCAAAATGACATTCCAGAAATCTCAACGAGCATGACTTACAGCGTGATCCCTCCGGGCCTTCGCCAAGAGCATTCAACCCTCTACTAAACCCTCCACAGCTCACAAGGATGTTAGCATCATACCTTGTTTACTATGTGATGAGACTATCCCTCCGAGAAGGTTACCAGTACGCATCGGGTGTACCCGCAATTCAAGCGAGCTTGAGGCGTAGCGGGGCGGGCGGTTAGGAGCGGACGAGGTCAAACATTGACGGGCAGGTGCTGGAGAGCCTGACACCAGAGATTTGCAGAGCTACATATCCTGTGATAGCATGTCGTATACCAGTCGAGCCACCTCCAACGTGATCCCGTTCGAAGGAGTTCGAAGGGCCAGCAGAAAAGAACTCATTTCGGAGGAATATCGATTCTATATTTCTTAGCAAGTTCTGGAATCCAGCCAGAGTCCTCTGGATACATTTTGATATGCAGTGAGTACAACGAACCATGCACAAAGAAAGGGTTGTACACACAAACGGAATCGATGTTGACAGAAGACGACGGTTCTCTTGCAGGTCTTGTTGTCAATGTTGGGGCGCTCGGAGCTTGCCTGGTTTCAGAAGCGCCGTTTCAACGGAATGTGGCGTCATTGTGGCCCAGCCCAGCGGACCGCCCCTCGTCCAACACGATCACGCCCAACCACTTCGTCTTCGCACAAGATCTTGCATAACTCATCAAGAATATCCGCAGTAAACCCGGCGGCTGTGGTTTCCATTGATGTTGATTCGAAGTGAATAGATGTCGTGGTCTTGGACAAGGAAGTGTGGGCATCATCTGAACCAGCAGAGGCAAATGTAGTGCGCAGCGACGACGAGTCTTTTTTTCGCGGATGTGGCCTGAGGCACGGCGAAGACAGGTAGAGCATTCAAACTGTGTGTTGAATGAAGAGGATATAACGGCGATTACGAAAGGAATCGATATTGATATAGCAGAAGTGAGCTTTGTACAATGCCGCGCATATTGGGCCACACGATCTGTTCACTGGATGGCAGTCAAGAAGATGCAAGTAGACGCATGTTCACCGGAGTTTCTTACCCAATTTCCTTAGTAAAGATGATAGAGTATGAGTTAGTACTGTTCAAAGCGAGTTGCGGACTATACAAGGAAAGCATGTATACTGGTAGAAGGAACAGCTCAAATGGTGATCAAGGGGCTGAAGCAAGGCACTTGAATAAGGAAAGTGTCAGCCAAATTCCCAAGGCTCAGAAAACGCGTGGATTTGGTGGTACCGAAAAACTGAGATTAAGCACGACCCGTGCCTCGTCCTCGTCCTCTTCCTCTTCCCCTCCCTTTTCCTTTGCCAGACGGCCCATCCTGAGCCCGACTCTTCCGTTTTGTTCCTACTGATGGCAACTCATCATCCTCATCTTGGATGGCTTCTAGAATCTCCCAAGCAGTCGCAACGACACGATTGTTCATTCGGATATCTTTATGGCGATCGCGTAGTGTGCGGCGGAAACGGGCAATATATCTTGCGCGGGTGTCGTCGTCGTAATCATCACCGTCAGTGAGATAGAGAAGGACGCCTTATAAGGTTGGATATTCACGAAAGAAGTATACGATAGAAATGAAATGATATTTGAGTTGGCAACTCGACAAGGGATCAGGGAGAACATCTCTGACGTACCAATGAAGACGAATTCAACAGGCGCTACCTTCTTGTTCGGCGACTTGAATGCAATCTGCCCATATTTCACATCCGAGGCAATCTGCAAGAACATCTGCAAGGCATGGTCAATTTTTCTCTTGAATTCCGGTTCGGGACTGGGTGTATCCCTCAAGAACTTCTCTAACGTCGATGCGGTGGGCTGCGAACGGGTAGCAGGAAGCGCGTGGCAACAAAAGACGAGAATAGCGACGTTATAGAAGGTACGAGCTCGGGTTGTTGCAATATCGATATAGTCGACGAGTCCATTTTCGATGGTGACATAGGTCCGATCGAGTCTGAGTACCCATTCAGACCATTCGGATGGGATGGCTTGGAGTCGTTCTAAGCTATGTGTAAGCGAGCCAGGTAGTATGTACGAAGACATGCGGCGTGAAATTTTACCTGGGACAGTTAAAGGCATTCCGAGTTGAACTCGTTGGAAGAGCTCACGTTCTCCATCAGTTGTAAGATGGTGAAATTCGACTGTAGAAGAACTCAGTGAGCAGATCTGGTTTATGCGATATCCAATAACTATGTACCTGCGGTGATGAGCTTATTGTCGAATATTTCCTTCCACTCGTCAGGAATCTCTTTCTTCGAGCCTCTCTGCGACTTCGTGACTGAATAGAACCAAAGCTTCTTCGTCCGTGGATGTTTATCTGGCAGAAAGACACCGGTCACATGAGGAAACCTAAAATCAATGCTCTGACAGTATTGACATACAAGGAATCTATGAAAATCGTGGATGATTCAATAATTGTTGTTATTCGCTGCTAACGCTGATACGTACTTGGCCATCCATGAACTTCTGAACGCTTGTCAAACGCTGCTTTCCATCCACACATTTTCGAATGACAATACCCGTGTCTGGATCTTCGTAAATGGAGAAGACAACTGGGGGGATGTAATAGTGATGGAAGAGAGACTGAATAATCTGCGACTGCTTTGCCGCTGGCCACACGACCTCTGCAACAAGACGAAAGTGAACAACATCTCACCAGAGATTTGGACAGAAACAAACCTCGCTGATATCCAGGATCAAGATCAATATCTCCCTGATGAATCATGGCTAACAACAAGTTAAGAAAGAATCGCCCATAATGCGCGTCAGTACATAACTCACTGTGGAGCGTGTCAGTTGAATAGGAAGTTGCCGTGGGTATTTCGAGCTCGTCTTCGACGAAGAATTGGTTTGGATCGAAGTTGTCTTCAAGAACGTCGTCATCATCATCGAGCTCATCGTATTCCTCTTCTTTGACAGACATGACCTGTGATTATCAGGAGAAAGTGACACGCGGCAAACGATTTAGCTTGGGCACTTCTTTGGGGGGAAACTGAGTGCTTCGAGTTGCGACACTTGTCGGCGGCTGCTACGAGCAAGCTACGAGTGCCGCCTGACAATAGTCGCGCGCGAGTTCAATGAAACAATTCACGTACCAGACAAAGAGAAAATGTTACTAATAGACCTTATATGTTTCAAGTTTACTTGGAACTCGTTGGCGGAAGATCTGTCCGATCCGCCAATGAGCTTTCGCAAAAAGTTCCAAGTTTTTACTAACATATAAGCCCTAATGATTTGCACCAACTTGGCACCAACCCTTCACAACAGCCGGCGAGCTCGTGCGCAGAACGTGAGTTGAAGTTCGGTGAGGAAGCACGTGGCTGACGATCGGTCAATTTCGGAATTGAGAACTTTTAAAACTCCGTCAGTTTACTCAGCCGTGCTCGCTCGCCACACCGATCTTTCTACGCCCAAGCACTCTCACCCCAGCCCAGAAAGGCACATTCTGTCCTCTCACGTATATCTCTGGATACTGAATGGAACGCGTTATTGAAAAACTGGAAGGACTGAAGCTGCGGCACCCAGCCAACAATACCATCGACGGACTACTTTCTCGTCTTCAACGGAGTCCTTCTCCCTCTTGGTCAGCTCTTCAGGATAAATTTGGCTCTCTTGAGCAAGATGGAATTTGGATATCTTCCACGGAGAATACTGCTGCTCTCGAAGCGTTGAAGAAGGAGCTTGATTCTTCCACCAATACGTTTTCACCGAACGGTCAAAGGGACACTGGCATCGTTCAACCTCCTCCACAGATGTCTCCCCATCCTCTCCTTCACTCTCTGTCGAAAGATACTCGCCTTCCGCTGGAACTTTTGGATAGTCTCAATCAGACATACTTTCTGCATCTGCTTGTCAACGATCCTGAGAAGGTCTTGCCACCTGGCAAGTCTCTCCTCTCTGTGCTATCGAAACCGCATGCACGGGAGAGCAGAGATACGGAACTTCCGACGTTACAAGAGAAGGTGGAAGAAGTAATACATAAGGCCTTCTGGGATGAGGTATGTCTGCTCGCAGATTTTGGCCATCTCGTTTTTCGGAATTTTCATCAAAGAATCTATACATGCGGCAGTGTCTGAATTCTGATGACTAAAGCTCCCGAATCATTTACAAACAAGTGTATCTTGCTTGCCTGTTTCTTGGTGTCTGTTGTCGCTAGATGGACGAATGGCCATAGTCTGGGCTTGCTGTGTCTCAACAGATGATTCTACATCTGTCCCTCATTAGCTACTGGTCACACTTCTCCTCTCTGATCTCTCATCTTCTACTTGTCCTATCGATCATCTATCCAACATATACTGACACTCATTTATTCTAGGCACTAGAAGCCGTGTCATCTGCAGAACCTTCCGTTCAACTTCCGCGGCTGAAGCTTCTATACCATGACCTCCACATCGCCCTCAAGCCCCTTCTCCCATCGAACCATATCGTTCTAATCACCCTGTCCTCTCCACTCTCCCCCACGTCTTCACCCCTTCTTTCCGCAATCACACACATCCGTGAAATTCTTCTCGCACTCCGGCAACGCTGTGCACCCATCCGCGATTCCGACATGGATGCGCTCCTCGGCAGGCTAGACGAGTCTTCTTCATCAATAACGTCTTCTACACCACGACTCGTCATCGATACCATCCGGTCTATACTCAAACTCGCGGAAGTCATGAAGGACGACTTGTCACAGTTTGTGCTGGGGACCATGGGAGAAGGACAACTGAAAGCCGCGATACTTGAACAAGCCATAGATAGGGAACGCGAGATGGTATCGGAAGTCTGGAAGAGCGAAGAGATCGAGAAGGAATGGAGCACATGGATGAAGGGATCTAGCCAGGACGCAGCTGTGGACGGAGAGGGCCAAGTAGTGAGGAAGCAATATCTCGAAAGGCTGATGCAGGCACTGCGTGGCCCTACTCCGGTGTTCTGCTCCCTTCCTACCATACCTACCTCGACCCCCACGGACGAGCAGCAACAAGAAACATCGAACGAGCCACATAATCCGACACGTTTACCTCCGATATTCTTCTTCTCCATCCCAGATCTTGTCTTCATACAAAACTTTCTTCAAACGATCGTCATCACCGCCTGCCTCCGGATTCTTCTGCCACACCAATCTACTGACCCGTCTGGCACCACTTCAACTTTCACCTCACGCGTCATCACTCTTCTTCTTGCATCCATCGACGCACCATCTGACGATTCCACCAAACTCATCAACTTAGCAGACGAGCTTGTGCGTGCGGCTGGCCCGTTGGGTCCAGAGGAGGAGAAGAGATTGCGCGATGCTGTGGACAGGACTTTGCGGCTACAAGATCCAGTGTTCTCACTGTTGCAACAACGACTCACACGAGCGATAGTTGATCGTCTCCTCCATCGACCACAGACTCGATTGGGAACGAAACGCGGGATAGAGATGCGGACAGGAAGGGATCTGAAGGGAAAGAGGATGCGTGTTGAGACTGGGTCTGCCGTTGAGAGCTCGAGCAAGGAAGATGACTCTTGGGATGGGGTGGGAGAAGTTGTGAAAGGGTTCGAGGATTTGGAGTTATCGAAGAGAGTGAATGAAGTGACTGGGAGACTAGGGAAGGTCTTGTTGTGGGTGGATGACGTCTGGGGAGAAGTCGCTGGACAGTTGGGCCTCAATGGGTTGGACAAACGGGTGCATGGACATTGACTCGGACTATGAGGACCACGTTTCCATTTAAATAAAGCATGAAAGAAACATGTAGCTGACCAGATATATTGTAATAGTACAAACGGTGTAGGCTTCGATATATGTACCCATCTCCGTGAAGACCGGCGGACGTCTCAAGGATTCCAAGCGTCTCCCACTGATTTTGGCGAGCCTCATTTGAGCCTCGTCCACCAGCGTCTCCGCAAATAACTTTGCCCCACCATGATCATCGGTAAACGCTCAAGGCCTCGAAACTTGCCGCCACTGCCTCCCTCCGCTTTGTTGACTTCTTCTGTGCGCCCGTCGAGCTTGAGTTTGAAGGGTCCTGTCCGCTTTCCGTAGAGGATGACGAGGACTTCGTGACGATGGATGGCGCAGGAGACACTTTCGATGTCTCTCCCCCATTGCCTTGAGACGAGTCATGTTACCGATGGGACATAGCAAGGAGAAGGGAGCAGACCGACCATCGTTGTCTGTTTTCTTATTGAACTGAGGTGAGCTTTTCTGCTCTGGATGGTCATCACTAGTTCCCGGTATCAACTTCGAGACACTCTTGTCTTTATCTGGTTGCGTTGAAGTTGAACCTGTGGGGTCTATATCTATGAAAGAGTACGTGGTATTAGAGTTGGCAATTCCATTGCGAGCTTCGGGCGACGCACCTCGATTCTTCTTGAACGGAAAAAGCTTCTGAAACTTCCCGCGAGAAGAACTTGAGTGCGGTAGCAAGGAGATGGTGGACGAGGATGGTGACGAGGACGGTGACATCGTGTGGCGTTGTGAGGGAATGCGGCGGGCGGCGTTGCGGGGAACAAGGTGGGGAGAGCGCGGATGGTGCAAAATAAACAGCAAGCTGTAGCAGAGGCAGAACGGAGACCTGATTTTTAGGTCTGGTTGAAGTGCTTAACGAGTTGCTCTTACTGTGGCCCATCCTCGCAGGTATATGTACCGTGCTGCTGTGAGTCATTCGTTGACGAGTCATGTCAGCGCAGTGGATGACGGATGTTTCCAAATCCCATTAATATTGACTCCTTGGCGTAGATACTTTCATATGCCGTCAAGCCCGATGGATTGCAACGGTCTTCCTACAATATTCTGACAGCCAAAGGGCAGGCTCAGGCTCACCATCGGTACCGATGGTGACGATACATAGCGTGCGCTGTGGGTATATGCTCACTCATAAGTTACCTACATGCATAAAATAAACTGTGAGGGTACTACAAGTAGCACTGTAACGTTTGAGGTACTTACTTCTGGTGAGAGGGACTGACCACACACGTGTCCGTGCACTGTCGGTTCGAGTCACTTCGATGACGGATGGTTGGAGAAAAGTGGCATGATTGGACAACACCAACGCCGATCGGACCTTGATTTGAGGTATTCAAGATGCTGCGCTTAATCAAAGGCGAAAGTCAGCGCTTAATAGGTCGAGACTTACCGTCATAACTACTGTCACGGTACAGGTCCGATTTAGATAGCGGGTGGGCTGGACGGCCTTGCTCTCCCAAAGGAGCTACGTTGTCGTTCAATGCTCTTTTCTGCTCAAAGATGTCGAAGAATAATTACTGAGCAACCGCCCTTAGGCTAGAGCCCTTGAAGGGCATTTGATGCCTACATATATTGTACAGAGCGCGTACAGAGCCTACGCTGACTTGGAGGACGAAGCAAGTGAAACAAATGCTACCATAGAAGGCAAGTCCTTTGGAGTTTGATGCTTTGTGTGTTTACGGCGCAGCGGGCTCCGCATTGCGGGAAGCACCAGTAGTGACGACGTCCATGATGTAACAACAATCAAAGTTCACACACAGCAAGCTGCGGGCTCGACAGACCTAGATGAAGACGTGTTCCCTAAGCTCAGTATGGTCATGAAAATAAGTAGTATCACACCTGTCATGTAAAGCAGCTTGCGCTTAGTATCGTAGGCGGCAGAAGTAGAGCCTGCGGCGATGGTCCCATTGTCTTCGAAAACCTGCGATACAGGGTCAGGACTTGCGGTGTCTTACGTGGCACCAAGATACAGACGAAATCTGACGGACCTTATCGATTTTGAACTTCTCACCAAAGAACGCACTCCGTCCAGTGTTCAACGTCATTCTGAACGCACTTGACGGAGCCGGATTACTTCCACAACTCTGTACATGATCCACGTATGCGAGTGAGCTGGGGAAGCCGGCCACCCACAAAGCGCCATTTTCGTCGATAGCGACGTTATCCATGATACGATCTTCAAAGCGGTGAAGTTAGCGGGTAAGCGAAGCTTCTTCGAGATGGTGGTACGCACCGGTCGCCAATACATCGGTCACTACAAGTGAATGATCTGCTTGACTTTCGAGGACGCGAAGCTCAGCAACGGTGCTGCTTGCCACGTATACGGTACCGTTCTGCGAGCGCGCAATGCCGTTGCTGCCCGGAAGCTTTGAGATAGAGAGTTTACAGCCTTCGTTGAGATGGCAGTAGCCAACCGACGAGCTTGAGAACCCGTAAGGCTCAAGCTTTCGGTCCTATGAGAACAAAGTGGCTGTTAGTAGTGCAGATACAGATATCATGAAGATCAGGAAGAATGTCACTGACAAAGCCAGTCTTGCTGCCATGATCGTTGGTGAAGTAGAAGCTCTTTCCATCTGGTAAGCCAGCAACATCGTTCGGGGTGATTATAGCGGGGCTCTCCACGGTAGCAAAATGCTTTAAGACGGTTCCACCGAGTGTCGTCTCGAAAATTTCGATGACGGAGTCAGCTCCAACCTGATCTGCTTTCCCGGAGAGCGGACGACGGTGGTTTATGGCCTATACGAAGAGCTCGGCTGGATTAGTGGGCGAAGAAACGACGTCGAAGCCATGAACAGAAATCCCTCGGGGGTCTTCGAAACCGGAGATGTCGAGGTGCGTGATGGTAGAAGTAGATGGGTCGTATGTGGCAAAATAATCCGGAGGTTGGTCGGGTAACATGGTGGCGTTGAGTAAACCCATGGCAGGAGTCCAGTGTTTTCGGGATAAAAGTGATGAGCCAGCGAGATAGACAATTCCTGATGGGTGATGGAGAACGATCTCTGGTAAAGATCCTCTGTATCAGTGCTGCTATACTAGTGAGATGCACCATGGAGGACAGAGCTATACTTTCACAGCCTGCAAGCTCAGGGATCCCCAGACATCTTTCGTTATTCAGAGGTTCTATGACTCTTCCAATGATTCCATGGTCAGAGAAGACCTTCTTCAGGCGAACTTGGTAGAGTCCTCCAAAGAGAGCGGCGAGTACAACCAGAACCGAAAGCCAGGCCTTGGCCATTGTGCGATAGAGAGGCTCCAATCGACGAAGCGACTCGCGGCACACGTATGTGAGGTACCGGAGGTGGGCGCCCGGAGGGCGCCCGTGAAGAAGCCCGGAGGCGTGAGATTCGAGCAGGACGGACGGGACGAGGGCGGGTTACATGAACGAGTAACGAACGATGCGAGACCCAAAGAAAAAGGAAAAGGGGCGACCGACTAGGAACTGAAAGACGAAACACAAAACGGTGAAACTGAGAGTCATAACTTGAAGGACGCGATGAGGCAAAACCGAGGCTCGAAATCTACTTTTATGTGGGAGGTAACGTACGTATGGACAGTGACGCATGGGAAAACCTTCCTTTTGTGGTGGGTCACACGGCCGTGCGACCCGGATTAAGTATGAGTGCCACGACGAAGTTAGAATGGCGCGAAAGAGACCGATACGGAAACAGAATGTTCAGGAAACTCAAATAATAAGTGTTTTTTATGGGATAAAGCGGCAGCGCGACCACGCATGTCGAGGGAGCATTAAAACGGTGAAAAGCAGGGCACAGAGCGTCATTAAAGTAGGAAGAGGAATAGAGAAATCAAACAGAGAAAAGGATGTGGGCGGGCGGGTACCGAAAAAAGAGCTCGTGTGCCTGCGAGAAAGACAAAGAGGTAAGACATGGATCTAGAAAGACGCCGGGGGCGTGTAATAAAAGAAGTACCGACCTGCAGGGACGACGAGGTGACTGAGGAGCAAAAACTGCGTCCAGCGGGCCACATCCCTATACCACAGGTCGGCATTCTCCGTCGCGGGACTCATCTCGGGGGCCGAGGCGCACGCGTCGTGGACGGCGCGGGAAAATCAGATCAGATTGATCTAAAGACTAAGACAGAGCCCAGTCATAACCAGGGTCATCACGTGAGACGCCACAGTCACGCAAGAGCGGCCCAAAGGCCTTTTGGCGGAGCAAAGCGTGACGGAGTCAAAGCTTTTCTATGCCCTCCGGAAAGAGGGGCGAAAAAATTAAACTGCTCGCGCCAGATTGTAATCTGAACATTCATTGAATATCTGGCGCGAGCAGATTTTGCTGCAAGATCACATATGTAGAGGGCATAGAATTTTAACCTCTGAAGGTGGCGAGCGTCTAAATTACATCGACGCGTCGCGTCGCGGTGAACTCTTGTAAAGATGTAAACTACCTTCGTACACAATCAACTCCCTACATTCTATAATGGGCAGACGAAAAAACGCTGCTGCATACAAAGCAAAGATCAAGAACCTTGGGCTATCAATTGAAAAAAAAGGCCGACAGCTGTTATTGAAGAAAAACAGGGACAAGGTGAACGAGGTGAGTACTGCCAGTGAACGGGATACTTTGATTGATACCCACCTGCAATAAACATGACAACAGGCCTCTGGACAGCCCCTGCCCCAGTACACAGAGTCTGTCGAGCAGTATGTCGAGCCACGAACACCTCCAAGCACACCACACCGAGAAAACATGCCGCTCCATGGCAGCCCCATGCAAATTTCGCCAACAACTCATAATGCCGTGCAGACACTACGTACCCCTTTGACTACACCAAGTCGTCTTCGTCGAATCCTAGACCACCTGACTCCCAAGTCGAGGCGCACATCGAGAAGCCCTCACAAGGTGTCCATGAGCCCTTGTCTAGCAAGCACCGTTCCAGCCTCACCGACCCCTTCTCGGATCCTCCATCCCACCAATCTCGATTATATAACACCTAGGACATCAAAAAAGGGGAAGTCAGTGACAGTGGAAGAGGTAGATGATGAAGAAGACGTGGCGAGGCGGCTCAAGTTTGAGGAAATGAACGGGCACGTACTTTTTACAGAAGATGTCGATCCACTGGTGTACGATCCTCTGGATGACCCGACTCTGGAGCATTTTGAGAGTGACGAAGAATCGGAGGGAGGTACGTTGGAGGAGGAAGAGGACGACAACCCGCCACTTCGTCTGTTTCGAGGTCAATCAGAGGTTCGCGAGCTACTCGGTGTTTTGGGAGGCGGTGTTTGGGGAGCACAGGAGCGAGAGCGAAGGGGACTCACTGCAAACCAACGACTCGAGGGGCCTTTGCCTCCACCAGGACCATTCCGGCCGGTGACCCCACCACCATTTATCCCCCATGAACCCACCTCCTCTGGTCGTTTCGTCCCTCCACCTTCCCGTGACGATGCAAGAAACGCTTGCGCGGACCTAACACACATCCTTAACCCGAGACGCACCACAGGTGTCGGCCACAAGCCTTTCCCGTTCCAGAAGGACGACGTACTCCGGGAGAGACTTACGATGATGCGGATGGCTCTGATGTTGTACACGAGTGGAGAGAGCCCGATGACCTGGAGTAAAGCGACGGAAGAGGCAGTTAGATTATCTCCGAGGAAGAAGGGAAAGGCTTCGACCCATTCCGTCGAGCAATTGCGCGTGTGGCTACGCACCTTCATCGATGACCGTGAACAATTACCGTTCAACCTATACGGAACATGGAGCGTCAGCATGTTGGAGGATGGGGATCTCGCACAGGAGCTCTTCAACCACCTACAGTCAATCGGGGCCTACGTTCGCGCTCAGGACATCGTCGATTATCTTGCTCGTCCTGAGGTTCGAGCACGCCACAACCTGAAGGATACAGTCGGACTATCGACAGCGAAGCGTTGGATGCACATAATGGACTATCGCTGGAAGAAAACACCGAGCGGTCAGTACGTCGACGGACACGAGCGCGAAGACGTTGTTCAGTATCGACAGAAAAAGTTTTTACCGACCTTATTCGAGCTCTTGGCGAACGCGCAAATTTGGAAGGAAGGTGTGGCGGAAGCAAGAGGGAATCCACCCGAACGATGGACGATTATATGGTACCACGACGAAAGCACCTTCTACGCACATGATCGACGGATTGTTCGTTGGGTATGGAAGGGAGAGACAGCGAAGCCGAGGGCAAAGGGGCAGGGTTCGTCGTTGATGGTCGCAGATTTTATCTCGGCGGACTACGGTTGGCTATCGTCGCCTGACGGAACCAAAACGGCTCGGGTCTTGTTCAAGGCCGGTGGCTCGCGCGACGGATACTTCACTAATGAAGAGATTCTTGATCAAGTGGAGAAGGCCATGGACGTACTGGAGGAATTCTACCCAAACGAAAACCACATCTTCATCTTCGACAATGCTTCCACTCATCAAAAGCGCGCCGACGATGCACTATCTGCTCGCAAGATGTCCAAAAAACCGAGCAAGCCAGAGACGAACTTCATGGTCGAAAGGACGAAGCGCGATGGGAACAACAAGATCGTTTACGACAGTACCACGAAGAAGCCTGTGAAAGAGAAGATCAAGATGCAAGATGCCGAGTTTCGTGGACTACCACAGCCACTGTACTTCCCATCTGATCATCCGACACACCCGGGTCTCTTCAAGGGAATGGCACAGCTACTTGTCGAACGCGGGCACACGAACGCACCTTCCCTTCGAGCCGAGTGCGCCAAGTTCAAGTGTAAGCCAGGAGCAACGAACTGCTGCTGCCGCCGCCTACTGTACAGCGAGCCTGACTTCGTGAATGTGGAATCCTTGCTCGAGACGCGATGCCGGGAGCGGGGCTTCTCATGTCTGTTTCTCCCGAAATTCCATCCCGAGCTGAACCCGATCGAGCAATGCTGGGGATTCGCCAAGCGTATCTACAGGATGTATCCGAAATCGTCCACAGAGGCCGAGCTCGAGATCAACGTGAAGTCTGCCCTTGCCGAGGTCAAGACAGAGCAGATTCGAAGGTGAGTAGTAGCCCATGTCGGCGTAGAGATCATTGAGCGACACTGGCTGACATGCATTCTTGGACGTCAGGTTTGCTAATCGGTCCATACGATTTGGCAATCTGTATTTGGAAGGCAACCTCAATGGGAAGCAAGCTGCTTGGGCGGCGCGGAAGTACGCCGGACATCGAACCATTCCAGACATGGAGAAGCTTCTCGAGGAGGTTGTGCAAAAGAAAATTTGACAGATTTTATTTCGTGTTTCTTAGTGCGAGCGTATACCGTGTACATTGATCCTATCTACGTCGGACTTTAATTGAGGTGCAATGCTACATGTTCGGAACTCTATCTCGTCGATCTGCAACCATACCTCCGCCGGGTGTTCGCCACAGCACAGGCCGCGAAAGACTCGCCGCGCGTCACAAGCGCGTCACACTGCACGTGATGACCCTGTTTATGACTGGGCTCTGTCTAGTCTTGTCCAATTTGGAGGCCTTTTGCGGGCCGCCTCCGCGCTTGCCTCATATGGAAATGCTGCACGCGGGACAGGACCGTCTGGAGCTCCGTCCCCGCGCGCAACATGTCCATAAGAGGCAGGCGCGGAGGCGGCCCGCAAAAGGCCTCCAAATTGGAACAGCCGTTATATGAGTGAACGATTCCCTTCACGTCAAATATAACGGATGGTCAGAGCCTAGGCTCTGTCTTACTTCGCACGAATTGGACTTGTGAAAACAACCGTCTTAACTCGACAAACTCAAGAGTCAAGACTATAGCCCTTCTAGTGATAGGAGAAAGTAATCAGCTTAGATTCGATGTGCAGTCTAACCTCAGGTCTATGAACGTTTGCCCAGAGATGAGCGTGCAGGACTGAGAAAGTGCAGGAAGACGTTCCTGTTAGTCGAAGTCACGCGCACATGTTGAAGCGGAGCCCGGACCGGACGGCGGATCTGACAATCCGGTGGCGTTTGTATCGTTTTGTTGTTGCTTGTTGTTGCCTTAGCAACTGCCTCCCTTTTCCCTGCTCAATCTGACAGGTGTCACGGTTATTCTACACTCTCGGCTTTCTGTCATGGCGGAGACATTCGTGTGTCACTGCTTATTGTGCTCATACGACATATCCCAGAGAAAGCCTCTTCTCGAACTCCGTCCTCAGACAGCCTGAGGTAAGTACTTTGTAAGTACTGAACCGAGGGCACAGAATGTGTAAACATTCGGCCCCCTATCTTGGAGACGTCGACCGGTCGGAGACCTTGTCAAGTATCAGTGCGCAGCAGCGATGTACTTTCCCTGATTAGATGAGACAATTTTGACACAGTTGCATCATGGTAAAATGTCTTGGAGATCGTTCCCATCATTGCGGGTTGTGTGCTGCGCGCTGTTCTGGGCGTCGGAGGGGTAAATAAGAGGAAGTACGCAGACAGAGTGACAGTTTCAGTATATGCCTCTTCGATGTGAGTCTTTTTGTTTTTGCCCTTCGAAAAGCAAGAGTTCACCGTACCTAACTTTACAGGATCTCCATCGAGTCGCGCTTCTGCAAGATATGCAACCTCTTCACAAGGACGTTCCGGCCTCTCAAGTTGAACGTGGCCTGTTTTCTAGAAAACATATCAGTACCACCAAGGTTCGCTTGTGCATAGAGGATCGAAATCATTATTGCCTGCGGTTGTAAGGCCCTCTGGGCTAGCTCGTCGTTCTAGACGCAGCACCCGGTGGGCGCTTGCCTTGGCATTCCGTTCGTCCGTGCCTCCTCCGAAAAAATATATCTTAAAACATACCACATCAAGTATAAAGCCTATACAGGTATATGCTCGGTCCTCCATTGTCTTCGAGTTTCTTGTCTTTTCTTCGATTTCCTTCCGTTTACCTGCGTCACTTGACTGTTGACTGCCCGACTGACCTTTTCGTTCTCTACATACGCTCCCTGGACTCATATTGAATATGAAGTGGATTACTCCTCTTGTTTTCTTTACTCTCTTCCAACTCGTCTCGGTCAGTCCCCGATCCTCTGCTTGTGGACCACGGTCCGACGCTGATACCGAATTTGCACATCATTAGGCTCGTCCTGCATTCGAGTTCGGAAGACGTGCATCTTCCTCCTCTTCTTCCAGCATCTCTGCATCTAGCACCAAGTCTGTGTCTACATCTGTTCGAGCCACCTCAACCTCATCCACCAAGAGCGTCTCGGCTTCTGCTTCAAAGAGCTCTTCCACAAGCGCTGCAGCCTCTTCCTCCACTGCTTCTTCTTCCAATTCTACCAGCTCTAGCACTGCGGCAGCTGATGATGTGGCCTCGGTCGGTTACGCCACACTGAATGGCGGGTATGTACTTTTCCTTTCTATTCTTGCCCTCCGGTGCATTCGAATTGGACTTACGATGTTGTGTGGCGGCTAAATTCATAGTACCTCTGGCGGCTCCGGCGGTACTAGCACCACTGTCACCACGCTCGATGAGTTGACATCTGCTGTCGAGGGCTCTGACTCCAAGATCGTTATCATCTCCGGTCCGTTCTCTTCCTCCATCCGTTCTCCTCTACCGTGTTTTGACATGATTTGGGCAGGTACCATTACTGGTAATGATGTCGTCCGCGTTGGTTCTAACACCACTGTCCTCGGTGCTGCTGGTGCTTGTGCGTAAACTACCATTTCTGTTCTCCGTGTCAGTACGCTGATGGTTAGGGATCATTGCAGCGCTCGAGGGCGTTGGTCTCCGCGTCTATCAAGAGTCGAATGTCATCATCCGTAACATCGCTATCTCCAAGGTACTCGCGGAGGCCGGAGATGCTATTGGTATACAGGAGGCATCTCAAGTTTGGGTTGACCATGTTGATCTGTCGAGCGACATGGACCACGATAAGGTTCGAGTCTACCCACTACGCGGGTTCAATTATTGTCCTTGCGACCTACCACACATTCTACATCTTTAGGATTACTACGACGGTCTCCTCGACATCACACACGGCTCGAACGGTGTTACTGTCACCAACTCAAAGTTGCATGATCACTGGAAGGCTTCGCTCGTCGGCCACTCTGACAGCAATGGAGATGAGGATGTCGCTATCACCGTCACGTATGCTAACAACTGGTGGACGAACCTGAACTCGAGGACTCCTTCATTCAGGTTTGGCACGGGTACGTTTCAGTCCATTACTTCGTTATATGAGTGACGAGGATACTGACTAGGCGGGCTGTGTGCAGGACATATATACAATAACTATTATGAGTCAAACAGTGACGGGATTAACACTCGTGATGGTATGTTATAATCTTCCAACCCTCCGTCCTCTCACCATTTCTGTGGCCGAAATTATTTCCCTACCCTTGGCATAACAGGTGCACAACTCCTCGTCGAGAATAACGTCTTCGTGAGTGTCGACAAACCTCTCTACTCGGTCGACGAAGAAGGCTACGCCGTCTCCAACGGCAACGACTTCGGTGACGGCGAGGATACCGCTGACGCTGGTACTTTCACCACCGCTCCCTACGATTACGATCTGTTGGACGCGACTGAGGTGGCGGCGTCGGTGATGGCGAGCGCGGGTGCGACGTTGTCCTTCTAAACACACCTTCCATCTCCCATCTCTATTTCGTATTTATTTGGGCCGCCCAAGGAATTGTGCAAGGCTGCCCGGAGGAGAGAAAAGCTTGGTATGAAGCTGTCGTTTGATTGTGGCGAGATTTGTTAGTTTCAGATTTCTTTGAGCTTCATAGGTTTCATAATTCGGTATCAATCTTCATGGGGTGCTGGGGACGTGGCAGGCTCATGTATCATTCACTCCTTTACAATTCACATTCACTTTGCCCTCTATGATGGATACGGGGGTCGTACGGGCACCTGGTGTGGAGTATAAGTTGTACTTCAAGTTCAATTCAGCAACAGGTAGTACTATACGATCTTGGTGGGTCACTGGACGGCGCCACGCGTTATACGCCTCGCATGCCCATCATCTCGCTCTCGCCGTATACCACATCCCATCCTTCTCGCTCATACCCCTTGCATACTTCAAAAGCAATCTATCCCTCTCCTTCCCATCTACCGCCACATCCTGCAAAAATGGAATGATATCGCTGGCCTTCCATTTGGACCGAGTGAGAAAGAGATCGGCGAAGAGAGCTGGTGGGTCCGTGGGAAGCAAAGAGCGGGGGAAGTAGGTTAAGAGGTTCGGCGGTGCTGAACTGGACGTGGCGGCCAGAGGGGAGGGATTGGAGAGGTAGTTCCCCTAAAACATTGGGAATGACAGGTTAGAGACTATCATGGTAGAAGCCGACGAAGGAGCATACCGAGAGTAGGGAGAGGGAGACGTGTGAGGCGAAGGTGTCTCCTACAGCGTTGCGCCACTTGTTCAAGAACGCGTTCTCTTCGATCGAGTCGTCCTATATCAGTAGCACAATATTGTTGGTTCTCTCGCACGAAACATATGAGGCGGAATGATGTACCTTATAATGCCGCAAAGTGCCCAGCCCAACCTCCCCAACAACACTTTCCACGTCCATCCTCCACCTTCCATCCTCCGAGTTCATCTCTCCAAACCAGCCCATGACTTGTTCGGTGACTCGTCTCTGGATCTCATGCTCTTCGAGTGCTCTGGTAAGTTCTACGACTGTGGCTGATTCATGCTTTTGTTGTGTGGAGACGAGGCAAGTGAGAATAAGCTCGAGGACGGTATGGAGATAGGAGGGTGACATGGGTCGAAGGTTGCCTAAGAAGCATGTTTGAGCTTGTAGGATATGGGACAAATATGTTTGGAAACTCGCCATCGATGACGAGTATTCGTTTCTCCCGTATAGAGGCTGCTAGCTCTTGCTCGCTAGCCTGCAGCTCCTCCCTCGCCTGCTCATAGCTGAATCTTGGCCGCTTCCTCTATTCAGTAGATCAGTACTGTCGTGACTCAAAGTTTGCATAAGTATAGAAGATACAGACAAGCCTACCGTCATCGCCCTCATCGTAATCTTCGTCTTCGTGGCCCTCCTCCCACTCCATCCCTCTCAATAGTCCCCTCAACCGATGTAACCGCGGCACGGCAGGTACGAGCTCCAGAATTTCATTCAAACTCTCCTGTATCACAATCGCGTCCGCTTCCTGGGGCTTTCCACCTCCATCAGTGTCCATAGCATCATCGTTCCTATCGTATACGCGTGGCGTTATGACAAGGACTGAGTTGGAAAGGACGACGGATCGGATGGCGTAAGTTTTGTTGGAAGTGCAGAGAACAGCGTCCTCATCTCGTCCGCCTTTGATGGATAATCTGGCAGAACAATCCCGTCAGCGTCCACTTGTTCCAAATGTGACAATGCTAGGACTTACTCTAGTTCATTTCCCGCAGCTGAAGTGGATTCGATCAGCTGAAGCAGCTCTGCAGGGAGCTCTAAGAGACGGTAGGAACCGCTGGCAATCGACTCTGATGAGTACTGCAAGTCAACTGAGACCATATCTAAAAATTTTCAGATTTATACGTGTTTTGCCAAGGTCCTGTCATCTGCAGAGGGACGCGTTCGGATGAGAAGAGACGAGACGCGTTTGACGCGTGACGTCACGCGTTTTCTGGCCGTACATACGGACGTTTCCGGATGTTCAAACTCCGCTGGTCTTTGCTTGCGCCCGCCGCGGTTTCTTCTCTCTTTTGGTCTATCATGATCAGGCACTTTGAAACGCTCATACTTCGTAGGGTTTGGTCTCTGTTCTAGGCGACATGCAATCTCTTTATCGAGAATCTAAGTTGAGTGTCTTTTAGCTTCCAGCCATGGCAACTTCAAGGTCTGGGTCTCTCCAATTCCGAGTCTTACAATCGGCAGTGGGCAGTACTGGCCGCGGTCGGAGTCGTCTGATGTGCTGCATCATTTGGGCTCATGGGAGCACCTTTTACGTTCTTGCTGCTCAGAACAGCGTGTTATCGAAAGAAAGAAAAACGTCGGACCGAGCCTAGCTCAACGACTGAGCCGACGCCTCGTCGCTGTCTAATCGACCATCTGCGCCCCTGCCAGCACACAGGAATTATTGTGCCATCCCAGTTACCGCGTACATCTCTCACACTGCCGAACATTTTTATTGGATTGGCCATTCGAGTTAATGAGTGCGATTGGGCTGAACAGACGGAGCCTTTCAGACCAACATTGATGTTGAATATTGATCATTGATGCTGATCTTAGGACGTGCCTATCCATGCGCCAGCCTGTTTCATGGATTCATGGGCGGTCTAATAGGTAAAGTAAGCCTCGCTGGCATCCCCATTTTGATGTGGTCATGGTCGGATCAAATCCAGCTACGACCGTGTTGATGTCGAGACTTTGACGTTCAACCCTCTCCGACGCCCAGCCCTCGTCAAACACTGTAACATTGGGCATGGTATTCTGGGTACTGATGACAGCCAAATATCCTTATTTGTTTGCAGTTGAGGCCTACGAGCGACTGTGACATCCTTTGACGACGCAGAACGCAGAAAAAGCGTCATAATCAGTCGAAATTCGGAGCGCATTCTGCGATTATTTCGTCTAGATTGGTTGCCAACGGCTCTATGTGTGATGGGACGTAGTTGAGGGCCCATGGGGGCCTATCAAAAGACTTTTTCGAGCAGGACAACTGCTGTTCATCTTGGCACTGTTTCATTCTATGCAAGCCTACGTATGCACATCCCAAACACCGGTCTCATAACGATCATCGGTTTTTCTATCAGTGGTCTTGCACATGTCCCCTGATCCGCATGGCCTAAGCGCGTGTAGCTAGATGCCAAGGCACATCCGCTGGCACAAACGTTCTAGTAGGTGTACATTCACTGATCGGACAAGAGCACGAGCATTGCGGGGAAACTTCCGAAAGCGACGACGGTGAGATCCAGACCGTCGGTGTACATGTTGATAGTCATTCGGTGTTCTGTCTCGCTCTGTTGTTGAATCTCAGGTTGAACCAAGCTCGATTTCTACCACTCCCGAGGGAGATCCAGAAAGTCTCCGCGATTTCTATTACCTATAGGAATACCTTTCATCAACCCCCTAGCTCATCTAATGATTATCTGCGACATTGTCTCATAACCATGCTGTCCACACTTCGTGCCTATCTTTTTGGGCCTGACCGGTGCCTCGTCTTGACAGGTCTTGACACATGTTCATAGGGGAAATCGAGCCACGGATAGATTTATTCGACGATCCACAGACGTCCTTCAGTCCAGAATGCATACAACAGCGGCTAGAGGTAACGAAAGAGCATGCGTCCATTTGTTCGCCCTGGTTTGGTTCCGAAAAAAATTATGTCCAGGCCACAAACTACTCAAAGGACCGATGGTTCGCCATGTGTAGCTTTTTTATGTGGTCTGCGGGTGCAGGTATAAAAGCAGCACGAAAAGTGCTTAAGGACTGCAGCTTACTCCCAAGCCCTTCTGCATCTCCAACGTTAACCATGTTCGCCACACACTTCATCGCTTTCGCCACCATGGCTGCCGTCGCCTTCGTTGGTGTCCGGGCGGAAACACACACGATCAACTTCGTCAACAAGTACGTCAACCCTGATTTCCTTCTGGGCTCATATTGACCTTTGTGTTGGCTCTCTAGCTGTGGATTCGGCACGGTACGTCAGGACAAACTTTTCCTTAGTGTCCATCAACCTAAATGGGTGTCTGCCAGCCGACTCTGGTCTCGCAAAGCGGCCAGATCTTGTCGACCGGAGGAACTTACACGGCGGGCGGGGCTATCGTCGGTGCTATTGCGTGAGTGGTCCTGTCAGTAAAAGGCCGTATGCACAGATAGCTGACGTGAACTAATTCAGGTATTTACAAACCGGTGTGTACAAGCTTGCGGCCGAATTCTTCGATATGAGACTTATTCTAGTACAGGTGGATGCGGCCTGAACGGTGACTACTGCACCACTGTTGAGACGACCCTGAAGAACGGCGTTGGAGCGTCCAGCACGGACATCACATTGATTCCTGAGTACGTTGACCGTCGTTGTCTCCCCCAGATGAGACGCTCATGTTCTGCTTTTTTCTGCTCTCATTAGCCATGCCTTCTCCGTCACCACCGGATTCGGCTATTACAATGGGTGCGATGGAGCTGGCGCCGATTGCACGTACAGCGGCTGTCCTACGGCATTCCATGTGTCTACCGATACATTTGTTCAGGTTGGCTGCAGCACCGACAATGTACGTTTTTGACTTCCTTCTATAGTTGCATACATAGCTGATAGTTTGGTGATGATTGTAAAATATAGGTCGACTTGGCTATCACATTCTGTGACTGAGAACTTTTGGTGTGGCGCGCCTTCGCCGAATCCATGAAGTAAAATGTGTACGAACGAAAATCGGGGGAAATATTTATTTGTGTTGCTACGGCTTTTTTTCTGCGGGGTCTTGGTAGATTACCCATGTACTGTAGTTTCTCCGGTAATGTCTATTTGCCGCATATAAATACTATATGTCTTCATCAGCTCTTCGCAATGGCTCAAGCGCCACATGCAGTTCCTCGCGAAACAAGTAGAGCCCCTTCTGGGGGCACATCGATGAGTAGTTTCTGGATTTCCTGTAGTAAATGTGCTCTCAAATCCGTGGATCTATGGATCTGCGTCTGAAAGATAGCTTCCGTTGAGTCCAAATTGACTCGCCAGTGGGTGACTTTCCGTAGCAATCTAGGAGGCTTCCTGATGCACAGAAACATAAATAAAGGGGTATCATCCAATCAAAAACCGGCGCGAACCTCCTTTCTGTGCATGTAGGCCTCTAGAATCTGTGAAACGCTCTACTGTACGTCCCAGCAGTTAGACGACGCTTACATAACGTGGGAACTCCCATTTGGCGGGAGACTCGCGCAAAATTGGCGGGGGCGATGGGCCCCTTGGGACACCGGACGTCGCCTAACGTCTGGGAGGTACAGTACGGAAAGTCACCCAGTCAACTCGCCACACGTTAAACGTTCGAACCTAGACGCGTGACGTCACGCGTCTTCCGAGTTCTCCCGAATACCAATTCGAATGACTCGTCAAGCATTCCACCAACTTGCCACCAACCACCACAACTTGGATATTGACTGACTGTCGACCATCCCACACTCCTCTTGCTACATCTCAGTACAACTCTCTCTGGTCGATATGGCGCTCACTTTTTAGATCGTGCGGGCATTCCAAGCGCGGTCTAAATACTATCAGCTGCAGATGTCTGCCAGCGGTAACGCGGTCGGGTGTTTCTCTTTCGTGGACAAACCTACCCGGGCACCGACCTACTTCATGAGGGTCTGACGCTCAAGTTGAGGCTGATTGCGGGATGATCAAGCTGCTCGCGCCACGCTGATTTTGTCAATACCTATAATTGCACTCTTTGTTTTCTGGCTTGGCACCTGCCATACCCTCTCGAGCTATCATGATCTGATGAAACTTTGCAACAGCCGTGTTGTTGTCGAACCATCGACCTCGAAATTGCGGGCATTTGGAGCCCGAAAAGGCCCCATTCCATGTCGAAAAGGCCGATGGTTACAATACCTGTCACTTGCAGCGCTAGGGGCGGGTATCGGTGACACGTTTGGATGTTGTCAGACACAAAGAATGCTGCCAGGGATCAGTCGGAGCTCGAAGCGCTCCCTCAATATGTTCAGCGTAAGTACTTCAGGCTGACGCCAGACCGTTTTAGACGTATTTGTGTCTTGTGGCGAACGACGGAGCATCAGAAACGTCTATGCAATGAAGCAGAATCGATGATGTGATGACTTGCCGTTCTGCCAGCGCTTGGGACCGCGTGCCCATTTATTCCACCATACAATATATCGGCACTCTATCAATGCTTGTCATCATTTACATCTACAGGTGGCTTATTGTCCTCATGGTCTGAAGTCCCGTGGGTTGATTCCCAGACAGGTTCAGTCTACTACTGACCCTATTGTACTTTAAGTCCGTTGAACGGGCGATTACGGGCGCCATGACAGACAAAAACAGAGACGGGGAGGTCTAACCTACTCGACTTAGATTGCATGAATGAACCCTCTGCTCCCTACTGTCAACAGTCAGCTTTGGCTCGTTCCAATGAGGGATTTGGAATGCTACTATGAGACTAGGAGGCGTCCACTCTAACCATAGACCTTTGATCGGGGATAGCGTACATAAATCACCTCTGGCGAGCTGTTTGCTTGGCATCATACCATCCGTGGCATTCATGCTATCGGTCTACCCTTCTGGATTTATACCGCGTCCCATAGTGTTACGGTTTCATAGTAGCAATCGTCCTGCAAGGGGGGTTGCTTGACTAAACAGAAATCTCCTTAACGCTCGACGTGGCCTCCATTCCAAAGGTTTGGACCAGGTATGTGTTTGACATGTTCGGCTTGATCTGAATCCAAGAAAGTAATCTAACTTACCGACCACGGCCTTTTTTCAGGCCTCAGGACTCGTCTTCCACTCCCACCGTGTGGCTCCCGAGAAAGGTATAAAGGCAGCTTCATGGGCAGCCGATGACTGCAGCTCACTTACCGAGTTTCTCTCGCGCATCAACAGCCCATCATGTTCACCACTCGCTTCATCGCTTTCGCCACTCTTGCTGCATTCGCCGTCGTCAACGTTCAGGCAGAGTCTCACACCATCACGTTCGCCAACTAGCAAGTAACTCCTCTTATATTCTAACCATGATGCTGACTATGGAACATTGGATGTATAGCTGTGGATACGGGACGGTATGTTAGGCCGAGTAATGCTTCCGTATCCGCTAGCCTAACTTGGCGTCTTTAAGCCTACTCTAGTGTCGCAAAGTGGTCAGATATTGTCGACCGGAGGTGCTTACAATGCGGGTGGGCCTATCATCGGTGCTATCGCGTGAGTGGTCCTGTCAGTAAAGGATCGTATAAACAGTCAATTAACGTCAATTAATGTAGTTACTTGCAAACCGGTGAGTACGAGCTCGCTGCTGAATCCTCGAGTATCAGACTTATTTTACTATAGGTGGATGTGGCCTCAATGGTGATTACTGCACCACTGTTGAGACGACTCTGAAGAATGGTGTTGGAGCGTCAAGCACGGATATCACCTTGATACCTGAGTACGCTGTTGTCCACTTTATGCCCAAAGTCAAGTGATTGAACTAACTCGATATGGATCCTTTCTTTATGATAACAGCCATGAGTTTAACGTTGCCGCCGGTTTTGGCTATTACAATGGCTGCGACAACACTGGCGCCGATTGCACGTACTACGGCTGTCCCACGGCGTTTTATGTGCCTACCGATACCCATGTACAAGTTGGTTGCAGCACCGATAATGTACGTTTCTCGCACACGTCGTTCATACTTGCCTACATTGCTGATCATTCGATGTTCTAGGTTGATTTGACCATCACGTTCTGCCACTAAGAGGTGTCAGCGTGGCGATCTTCACCACAGCGATACCACAGAAGATTTACGTATATGCCCGGGTATTTATTGTTGTCCTTGTATGTATATCGCGGTATTTTCGTCGGCGAGGGTCCGAGTGGTTTTGATATACATGACAATCCTTCCAGTGCTGTCAAGTTCGTACATGCGAATGCCAACGTCTGATCTAAATATGGATATAGTCTTCTGTGACTTCAACGCACAACGACGACGAAAGAGGCGGAGATAGGTTTGTACAGACCTCCACGGCGCATTCTATTACCCATTTCTCAGAGGCTTAAGATACAGTCAATCATAACGAATTCCACTATAAATACCACCGACCAGCGGCCCCTCAACTGTGCGGTGCAACCACCTCCACGTTATGAAACCCAAGTGCATCCCTCCCTCTAGAAATCTCCGTCTCATAACGCGCATGCAGCTCCGTCGCATTCCGCATATCCATGTTCAACGCCCTCTCACCAAGTATACCCCACTCGACCCACCAACTCTCCGCCGCATCCCTGGCATCATATCCCCAAATCTCGAACAGTTCTTGCCACTGCCTCAACAATTCCTGATTCTCCGCTTCCGAGTTCGTATCACCTAGTTCATGCTCGCCTTCTCCGCTACCTCTGGCACTCCCGCTCGTAGAACCAGACCCCTTGCCAATTTCTCGATTCACGTATGCTTTCTTCTGCTCTCTCCATACGTCGTCGCGGGCCTTTCTCTCCGGTCCGGGTGGGAGGGAGAAGATTGTGATATTGTCGAGTTCGGCTGCGTGTAGTGTGTGTGTGCGAGATCTGCGGAGATTTTCGAAGGTGTAGAGGAAGGAGGCGATTTGAGTTCGGCTGCGAAGGTGGGAGAATAGGGTGCCGAGGAAAGAAGCCTCTTCGAGGACTATTGTCGCGCTGGGCATGCCGCAGGGCTATCAAAAATTCCATGTTCGATCAAAAATGTGCGACCGAAAATGAGACGAGAGGACTCACTGGGAATGGATGGGCAGCCTCCCCGATGAGAAGGATTGTTTCGGATTTGTCGACCCAGGAGTTTGCGGAGGGTAGATAGCTAGTCGTGACGCGTTCGAGCGTCGAGATGTTAGCGATCGCAGTTCGTAATCTGAAGGTCATGTAAGAAAGAAGTTAGTCGAGCTTCCGATAACACCCGAAGAATTGAAGGCGTCTTACCGTGGGTCCAGCTTGTCATATTTCAGACAACTCGACGGGACTGGGGTACCCCACCCTACTGGGTCCTCGTCATTCAACTCTTCGTTCTGCCAGAACGTGAACACCCAAGCCTTCTTGCTGCACTACATCACGCATCGTGCAAAAATAGTGAGTTGTCATCTCGCCGCAAGAACTGCCAATAATATTAGACGCACAACGGGATAGGCTAGAATGCCGATGTCCGCGACGACCGAGGCGAGACGATCAACTCGGGTCAGCGAAAGCCCTGAGCGCTGATAGCAGGTAAGAATACCTCACCCATTACACAACACCTATTACCCATCCAGATATTATGGCCAATCTCAGTCACCTCCTTCAGCCCTTCGTCGTCCTGCATCTTCTTGATAGGGATGGTGGCATTATAGACTGCTGTATTTGTGGTGGGTAGTTTGGGCACTTGTTCGATGACTTGTCGGACGAGACTACGGCCACCATCTGCTCCGATGATGATATCAGCCTGGAAGGACTGTCCGGTAGAGAGGACGATGGAGGGCTTTGAAGGATCACATCCTGGCTTCGACGAACTGGGCGATGATTCGACAGGGCTATCTTCAAGAGGAGGAAGAACGGAAGTGACAGCAGCGTCTTTCATGATTTCAGCGCCGGATTTGACAGCAAGATCGTGGACAATATCATGAAGATCGCGGTGCTATAAAATAATCATCACTCCGATGTCCAAGGATCAGGATAAATAAGATGCAGAGGAGATCGTACGAGAATAGTATAGAACTCTCCTCCAAGCTCGCGCAATACTTCCTCTTTCCAGCCAAGATACCCGATGCTCTCACCTGTCTCCACTAAAGTATCATTTATAGTGTATGATGCGATTAGATAATTTCTGTGCTATAAACAATGGATAAGTACTCACTATCGTAATATTCGGTCGATGGCATCTTCCATCCCCGCATCGTGAACTCATCTAAGGCACCCCATTGCTGAAGCACCTTGTACCCGTTGGGTGTGATTCGAAAGCCACCAGCTTGGGAACCGTTCCCCATAGGAGACTTTTCGAACACTCGCACACGGTGTCCCGATGATGCAAGAGCGTGGGCTGTCGCTAATCCTGACAATCCTGCGCATGTCAACACAGAGGAGAGTGAACGTTTGGACGAGAGCGGGATGCAGCGCTCAATTAATCAAGATGTTTTTACGTCGAGGAGGTGAAGAACGTACCGCCTCCTACGATGATGAAGTCCAGCTTCAGCTTCGCCTGTCGATTGTTGTGGCCCATAGCAGTGTTTGCGAAGAAAGAGAAAAACAAACAGTCCAAGATGAGGTGAGAAGAAAGAGTGACGTGACGACCAGGGTAGGAAATGAAGATGCAGTGTGCAGGAGCGCCCGGAGGCCATTAGCGACGGCCTCTCCGCGGAGGATCGTTCCATGTTTAGAGGATGGACTCGAGACCCGTCGCAGACCGGGATTATTGAGAGCTGCGCGCTACACAAGGAGTAAGATAAAATCAATCTGCCATAAGGACGCGTGTCAGATGTGGTCATAAGCGTCTACTCATTATAACAGGGGCTGATGATGTATTAAAATTGATATAACAGGTAAACAAGGTAGAATCGAATATGGAGATCATTTACCGCTCCACAGACGGTGAAGTCGAGAAGTAGAAGGCATACCAAAAAAGTACAATGGAAGGCAAAGCTCACGATTGAGCCTGTGATCTCGATAAGAGAGTACGCATAACCATCATTGTTCTCCGTGATGATCAACAACCAGTTGCGCCCAATGTAGCAGGTGGCAGGCCGGAATGGCCACATCGGCTCAGCTGACTCGACTCTCGAGTTTCTTCCAAGTTGGCGAGACGGCACATCGGCTGGCAGACTGGGATAGCCCAGAGCGATGAATTTTGGTCGCGGTTGAATGATTTTCAAAAGAATGGAAAGAAGAAGTCGAACCTCAACGCGGTGGTCGTGAGCTGGAGCAGCTAGTCTCCCACAGGCAGACCTTGGTGGTGAAGATAGGCGTTCAACGTGTCAAACTCATTGAAGTTCAACGAGAGCGGCGTTTCGCGGTTTCGGGGAATTCCGGCTACCAGTAGTAAAATGGTCCTGTTTACGCCACACTTTGGCCGGGTTCGACAGTGTTCAAATTTTGTCAGGCGCATGAGAACTTGACTGAGCAGTGCAAGTACCATGAAATCCACATAAAACATCAGAAGGACCTCCTACTTTTTTCTTGGAGACCTCAGCTGGTTGGGCTAAGTACACGCTTTATGTGTACTCACTACGATACTCATCGTTGTGATTTTGAGGTCAAATATACTGTCGCTTACAGGCCGGGGCTACCACGATGCCCGCTTCAGTAGTGGGTGAGTTTCCGTAGGAAGTTTGCGCGGGTCTTGGAGGTCTAAGTGCGCCGAAAGGAGGCCTAGGTCAATTCTTGATCGTGTGAGACCCCTGCGTTTATGTTTTTGAGCATCAAGAGACGTTGATACGGAAAGTCAGCCTGTACTGAATTGCGAGCGCTATACCAGTATAGCAGATACAATAGCACGCCGGCTTGGGTCAGTCAGTACGACAGGGTCGCCGTCTTGCTTAAAATCTCGAGTTCACAGCGCAAGTATGTATAGTTGATGTAAGTATAGGGCAGCGGCCATGCTGGGAGTACTTATGCCGTTACGGTGGCGTGTCGGCTGGCGTACTGACAAAACCCGACTCGTGGAAGGCTGCTTGTACAGCATGTCGGCGACACAGGATTTAGTACGGAATAAGCGAGAATTCTTGGCATGCTGCAAGCGTGATGTATCGTCACACCGTATGGACCTTTGCCAAGGGCGGCTTAGTGAGAAGGGCGGTATTCTTTCACTTACAGCAGTCCATCACATCCCACGTTTTATCCTGTACAATAACAGGCACTCTCCACGGACACTACGCATCTCATCGAGGGGGCCAAACAAGGGTCAAACGACGAAAACAGATGTGGCACCTGTGTGGCGCAAGAGGAGGTGACTGAGCCACGTGCGTGTATTTTCTCAGCCACGGCCACCACCCTCCGCAAACTCTGTGACGGAGCCCAGGAATATCTCTCCAGCTCTCTAGCCCCTTCGGCGACGACGACACTGACGACCTGCTCGCCAACATTGATATTGCTATTATAACTCCTGAAATTTGCAGTCCTTTCGATCTTTTGTGACTGAAGCTTGACCTAGGAGGAGCGTGAGGACCACGGCAGACGAGGATCCGGGTTGCCTATTGCGAGTTGAACCTCATCATTGATGACTTCGCTCTCAGTGGGACGTTCGTCCCCACAGCCGTTACCATCTCTGCCACCATCCCCCACGGAAGAAGACCTTGGAAAGAGGAGAGTTTGGGACTCTGAGGATGGACATGACGATGCGGGGAGGACGGAGAATGCGGGGAAGGGAGAGGAGCCAACTGGGACGCTTGGCGGTTACGCAGATGGCGGTACAGACGAGGACTTGAAGAAGCTTAGCCTGGAAAGAAATGGCGACGCTTTGAATGGAGAGAGTTATCCGCCCATGACGGATGAAGAGGCAGAGACGAAGAGAGTAGAAGAGGTGCGCTTCTTTCCCCACATGCGGAAACCCAAACATGAGCATAGCTGACACGACGCTATCCATTTCGGTACCATTATCTCCAATATTGTATCCGTATCGTCCAATCCCGATCATACGCTTCACGCGATGTGAATATATGTAACAGAACCTGCGTCGATGGGAAATAGCCGAACGCCAACGCCGGAAACAAGCCCGTATATCCTCCCTTGCATCCTCATCCGCTTCTACGACCTCTACTCTCGTTGGCTCACCCCCTACGAAGACAGCCACCTCTGCGGCGTTTGCCAGCCCAGAGCCCGGTACCACACGTCGTTCTTCCATTCTAGGTTCGATATGGCCGTCTCGTCGTTCCGACGCTCACCGAGCTTTGAGCACCTCAGAGGAGTTGGCTGGAGCAGTTCGTATGGATGATTTCGAGCAACGGCCAAACAGTCCCGGGGGCTCGAGGTCCCCTACACCAGGACCCGAACGCCGTTCAAAAGTTGCCGATCCATTCGCGGATCCTGACGCTAATGCATCGTCGGCTTCGCTCTTCGTGAACGAGACTGATGGTTCAGGCGATGGGATGACACCTCTAACGCCGACACAAGAGAGTTTCAGGCAGCCACCACGACCAGAGCCCTTGGATCTACCTCGCCCGAGGACACCGCCGCCGAGAGTGTATACGCCGGGTGTCAGTAGACCTCCAGAGCCTACGAGGGCACCTACGATGGAAGCCGGTGGAGGAAGCCAGACGGAGGAGAAGCCGGTCAGGTGGTGGACTGAGTGGTTGTGCGGATGTCGTGAACATGGAGAGGAGCAGGTTTGTCCAGCCCTTTGCTCAAAATCTCTGCTTTCTGAACATGGCTTCATTGGATATCAAACAGGCAGGACGGACCAACCCTCTCGAATAGTTTGCTTCTCTATGAGTTATTTTGTTCGTTTCTCGATGTACAGCAGTCTGTCTTGTTATCGTCGTTTCGTTCTCCGATAGACCAAGCCCTCCCAGCTCTTCCCCGTTGTCCCCCGCATTGCATTCCTTCACGGACCTCATTTTCTCCGCCTTCTGTCTTCGGCCGTTCAGACCATCGGACCTTTACCTCCATTTTTTCCCAATGACTCACCCGATCCACCCTTTTATGTCCATCTGTTTATCATCCCAGGCTTTACGGACTCGTCCGCGTTTTATTTCTTAAGTCATAATGTACTCCACCTCGTCCACGTAGTTTCATGTTGTGAGTTTGACTGGCTGAATGGTTAGCTCCAGATAATTGGGAATCCACCCGTTGCCAGACATATCGCGTGTGTTAGCTCTGTCTGTATTTTATCCCAATCACGACTATGGCACAAAATCCCCCCTTCTTTTCATTGCTTTCCGCGCGACTACGGAATGCTCCTGTACCTTCCTCGAACATGCAACGACTTCCTCAGGCAGCCCTGCCTTCATGTTCGTAAAAAGTGGAGGCAAATCGTCAGAGGCATGATGATGGGCCCCGAGTTTCCTTTTCCGTCGTGTCCGCAAACAGACCGTCGCCTGAACCTCTCAACGGTTCCGGGCACCGCTTCAATCACCCTAGGATGCCAAAATAAATTTGGCTTGCATTTTCACACTCGTGGTTCAAACACTACAGGTTATTGTAAGCTGCCCACTGCCCAAGTCACCCAATAAATCCAGACCGTCGAAGTCCCTACGCAGCGTAAATTCAATATCCGCGACTGCCAGTGGCTGAATGCATCTAACAGCAGTAAACTCACATTCTCTTCTTCACCATCACATATCCCAAAGAAAATCCTCGCTGCACCTCACGCACTGACCCCACAAGCAATATACGTGTCCTGCCCAACCTCCACGAAATTAAAACAAGCCCCCACGTTCTCAGCGTTGTAAAACTCAGCCGTCAAACTTCCCGTGCACGTCTCGTCCGTGCTCGTCCACAGCCCAACGGTGCAGGGGAAGTCGTTCGTGCTGATGTATAACGAGGCTTCGCCATTCTGTTGCTGGAAGCATTCGGAGTGGTTGGGCTGGAGGTTGAAGTCGGCGATGAGATTGCCGCCGCAGTTCGCAGCGCTCTCGAGGGTGATGAAGGCGGCGGAGGTGGTGCAGGCGCAGAGGATGGCGGTGGAAAGCAATGGGAAAATTAACGGCTGCATGTTGTGTCGAGGGTCTGTGAGAGTATTGTTAGATTAATAAGATGTCATTGGGCGAAAAAGAGAAGCCATACCTACTGAAGGATTTGGCGATTGCGCAGGGAGCTCTCAGCGAAGTCCTGGGGAAAGTCGAGCACCATTGCCCTCATATTTGTAGATATCTGGGAGGGTGAAGGTGCGGGGATAATCTCGCCCTCGAAGTATATGCAAGTCCTATACACAGAGCTCCGAGGTGATGTATGGTGAAGAGGCAAGTCATCACGCCAGAGACAACTTTTATGATACAGTGCGGAGATTTGGATGCGTTCTCGTACCAATTTGTCGATGAATGGGCGCATAAAATTCGCAGGTAGGAGTCATTCGGGAGCAGAAGACTTATAGTTTTCTAGAGAATCAGTATGACCGTTCCTATTGAGTGATACAAGTAACCCAGACCTAGGCTCTGACCAACCGTTATATTTGAAATCGTGAAGATAATCGTTCACTGTTATAACACCCAGACCAGCCAGCTTCAATTGTACAGAAAAATGGTCAACGTACCCAGATCAATCAGATATGAGAATCCAGGAACACGCAGTAAAAGTTCGAGAGTGCCGTGTACAATGTTGAGACCCCGGGCAGATGATGGCATGAGCTAGCACCTATTTACCCTCTTTCGCTCTGGCGGCCGCAATCACCGAGCTTTTCGAATCGAATACATGGGCATCGAGGGACCGTGACAGTCGGAGAGTCCGTTGGGCCACAAAGGCCCTGGGAAGCGAAAAGCGGAGATACAATAATCTCGGAGGTTCCCGAACTCTTTGTGTCAATCCACATTGAAAGGACTCGGATGGCCGCTCGTCTGTTTCAACATCCACCATATATGCAAGTGGTCAAGCTGTCCATTCCTAGGTGTGTTGCCGACTCCGGCTTGATACAATTTTTTTTTGGCTTTTTTGCAGTGCAGATGATGATCAAATAAATTGAAAGTGGTTGAGTGCCGAGTTGTAGTATTCGATTCCTGTCATCGTTATGCTTATACGATCTGTGTTCGCCATAAAGATAGTACGTATCTGTCAGCTCTGCGACATCACAATCTGCATCTGCCGAGTCCCGAGCTCACTAAAACCATTCGATAGCTCTAAGTCACGTTGGTCATCCGCTTCTTTCTGCAATTCCATGGCTCTTTCACCAAGCAAGCCCCACTCGATCCACCAACTCTCAGCTGCATCCCGCCCGTCGCATCCCCAGTTCTCGTAAAATGCCTGCCACTGTCTTCGCAGCTCCATGTTCTGCTCCTCAGAGATCATGTCCTCTTCACTGGCACTGCTAGTGCTCCTGACATATCCGACGTTTCGCTCGATATCAGCCTTCTTTTGCTCTGCCCACGTGTGGTCTCTGGCTTTCCGCTCGGGACCGGGAGGTAACTGAAGTATCGTGAGGTTATCAAGTTCGAGTTCGAGTAGCCTGGATGCGCGCGGTTTCCGGATCTGCTCGTAGGCGTGTAGGAAGAGGGAAATTTGGGACGGGTGGCGCAAGTGGGAAAATAGCGTGCCGAGGAAGCTAGCTTCTTCCAGTATGATAGGTGCACCGGGGAAAGAACCAGGCTGTAAAGTACGAATTTAACACGGGAGCGATCACGCGAATTGGGACACAAGCAAGGTGAAGACATACAGGAAACGGATGAGCAGCTTCTCCCGTAATGATGATGCTCTCGGACTCGTCAATCCATGAGTCGGCATGGGGGAGTATGTCTGTCTTGACGCGTTCGAGGGACGAGAGATGCTCAATGACCGACCTGAGTCTGGAGAATATGGAATGCATCAAGACAAAATCTAGCACAGTAGAGACTGTACGCACCGTGGATCAAGCTTGTCCCCGTACTTCAAACAATTGGCAGGGACTGAAGTGCCCCAACCTGCTGAGTCACCGTCACCAAGCTCCTCAACTTGCCAGAAGGTACAGAGCCAAAAGTCGTCGTTGCACTGGCATCGCATATGAATTGTCAGAGGGAGATGTCTTTGCATGCATTCTATCGAACGGAACCTACGATGGGATATGCTGTCGAAACAATAACAATCTCAAATCAGTATGAGTCAGAAGCGCCGGAAAGAATCAGAATATTACACATTGCGTAGTGTTTATTTCCTAGCCACAGCGGATGTCTCATCTCCAACACCTCTCTCAATTGTTCGTCGCCTTGCATTGTCTCGAACGGGATGGTTCCGGTATAAAGGACCTTGCCGGACGTGGTAGGTGTGTCGGGTACTCTTTCGATAGCCTGTCGAACCAGGCTTCGATGACCATCAGCCCCAATGACGATGCCAGCCTGATGAACATCTCCAGTGGCGAGTGTAATGGATGGCTTGTTAGGATCGCATCCTGACTCCGAACAGGAGGCGTCTCCCGTGTCTGAAGTAGGAGGGTGAACGGCGACGACAGTAGCGCCTGTGATTATTTCGACCCCAGACTTCAGGGCGAGGTTTCGCAGCAACTCGTGAAGGTCACGATGCTGAACCATCCCGATGGACCAATTTTCGTCAAGATGTACATGGTCGTATAGTCTAGTTGAAAACGCACGGAAATAGTGTACCAGCCGCCACCCAGCTCCCGCAACACTTCTTCGGGCCACCCCAAGTATCCGATTCTCTCTCCTGTCTCGACTTGATGAGGAATACACATAAAGAAGATTAGGATAATTCGACTGAAAGATTGAGAGCCAAGAGGACATACGATCGATGAACTCAGTTGATGCCACCTTAAATGCTCGCACCGTGAATTCTTCCCAGACGCCCCACTGCTCAAGGACCTTACAGCCATTTGGCGTTACTCGGAATCCACTGGCGGCCGAGTTACTCGTTCCCGAAGACGCGTCAAAGACGCGTACGCGGTGTTTTGACGATGCCAGTGCGTGGGCCGTAGCTAAGCCTGCTAAGCCTGAACATGCCGTTAATACATGCACTCTGGCTCCAACTGTCCAAAACGGCTGACCTCCTCCAACGATCACAAAGTCTAGTTCGAGTACGTCTTGCTTTCTCGAGTCATTCATGGTACCTTGCGTAGTGTTGGCAGTAAGTGCGAAGAGAGCAGGCAGTGGCACGATGTCGGGCGAACCACATACCTGTGTGGTGGGTATTTGTAATGGGGTGTATAACCATGTCTGGACAGAGAAGACCGCATCTAGAAATAAATGAGCGCTCTACGAGGGAATATCAGGAAGAAGATGCCACAAGACAGAGAAGGTGGGTTCGCGGCTATTCGCCTACTGCTCCGAGTCGAGAGTTGCCATTCTCGCGCACCCACCAAGATTTCAGGTGGTATTCGGCGTGCGAGGGGAAGCCCGAAGACGAGGTTCGGAAGCCACGGTGTGGTCTGATGTTGTGTCGGAGAAGCCTTTCCCGATGTGTAGAACCTGTGAGCATGCTTGCGGTGAGTCCCTCCGGATACCCTGTACGCAACCAGGAACGGAACAATGCGGATGAACAAGATGCGAGAGATGAGAACGAGAGCTATGGAAATAGGACATACAGGCTCTTACAGGTATCATGAGCCTACGAAAGAATTCCAGAGCACGGTATTTTTACAACAGGAGTTGGAAGGTTCGAGTTTTTGATTCGCCGATGAACGGACTTATGCATCTCACCGCAGAACCATAAATTTAAACCCCTATGTCTTCAAGAAATGGTCGCGAACCCACAAGCTGCTCGTAACACAGTCGATACAAGCAAGAGCATAAAACGCCACCACTATACACCGTCATCGCCTATGATTGCGATTCCTCTCGGCTGCAAGGACTCCGTCGACGATCAAGGTGTGGGGAAACTTTATTGAGGGAGTAAGCGCAAAGTACGTTGGAGCATCAATCGGATATGTACAGGGCTAAAAGATCTGCATTGCCGTTGACAAGTATCATTGGGGTTAGTGTTGACTTTCCAGAAGCACCCGTAAGGCTCACCATTCACGTCGTCGCTGCGCACACCCACTCCGTCCCATTCCACTCACTCTCAAACTCAGGCCACCTGCAATGCTCCCGCACAGTCCCGTTGCTCGATGTTCCAATGATACTATCAGGCGCCGCACCTCCTTCTACCCAGTCCACGAGCGCCAGAAGAGCATTATGCGCCGAGTCGTTGCTCGCGACCGCAATTGAGTCTCCGCGTTGTCCGAGGTTGAAGCAACCTGGGCCGCCGGTACAGTGCGCCATGCCGGGGACGAAGAAGAGACGATAGAAATCATCGAGGTTCGAGGGGGTTAGAGCGCTGGAGATGAGGTTGTGAAGACGCTTGGATTTTCCTGACGCGATGAGCTATTTCCCTGTCAGCAAATGCATGTAAATCAGGTGCAGTACTACGTACGCCGTCAAACCGTCCATGATACGTTAAGATTTTGCCGCCTCGTTCGCGATATGCGGAGAAGTTACCGTCCCAGGTGGCGACACCACCCGGATTGATCTCATCGGCATACTCTATGTCGCCCATGCCCCAGTCGTTGAAGGTGTAGTTGGTGTTGTTATAGATTACATTCTGCCACCAGTCCTATACAGGCGCTGAAGTCTTCGAATCATCGATAGAGTGCGAAAACAGAACGACACTCACGTGAGTATACGAAAATATCGATCCATTGAAGTACAACGGTCTTTGAGTCGATGCCTCTGCTCCAGGATCGAACCTTGGATAAATTTCTTCATCCGTATTCGTGTCCATCAAGGGACTATAGATGATGCCCAGTGCTTCCACCTGCTCCTCCGTCAAGCACGGACTAGTGTCGTTCCCAGTACCGGTACCACATAACAAAACCTTTGGGTCAAAGTCACAGTCGTCCGGCTCCGTGATGATCCCGTCGGCCACCCCGTCGAGCATATCGCATTGGTCCAAGATAGCGGTAGAAACGACTGGCCAAAGTTGGTCGGGGATAAAGCTCGTATTGGTAGTTCCGTCGGGTGCTCCTACAGCCCTACCACAATGGCCACTGAAGGCAAGAAGGTGATTGAAATCCACCGCTGGCGCACCTGCCAAAATCCCGTCGAAATCGTCCGGAAACTTCAACGCGGACTGCATCCCTTGTCTCCCACCCGTCGAGCAGCCCATATAATAGCTCTTCGAGGCGGAGGTATTGTAATATTTTTGTGCGATGGATTTACCGAGTTCGGCGGAAACGTGAATGGCTCGCCAGGCAAAGTCGTTGATGATCTCGGGTTGGTCGAGGAAGTGAACACCGTTGTCGCCGTCATGGCCATTATCGGAGCCTATTGAGGCGAAGTGGAAGGAGCTGGCGTAGTCGAGATTGCTGTAGTCGATGCCTATACACAATACCGAAAGTGCATCGAGGGGAGATCAGTCTCGGGTCGCGCATAGAGGTAGACACGAGAAGACTTACATCCACCTAGGCCACCGTTACCAACGGTAATAAAGCGGCCGTACCACTCATCAGGGAGCCACATCTCGAACTTCACGGATGAAGTCTCCGTGGTGTTGACTTGAGCGTAGATGCGGCAAATGGAAGACGTGACGTTCGCCGAGAACTGACATGAACCTGCGGTCGTCACGACAGAGTTGGCAGAAACATAGGCAACGTCGAGTATTGTAGTGTTTTCGAGTTGAAGTGAGCTCTGCAAGGCTGAACAGGCGGAGTTGCCGTCAATAATCGCTGAGCGAACGAGATGGACCAGGAGCAGTCCAACGAGCGACAACATTGGAGTCGTTATCATGGTGGCGATTTTGCTTGGTATTGAGCAATAGGAGAGCAACCCCGTCTCTTTTAAACGATAGAATCAACTGACCAATACTGGGGCGATGAACGCTGCTTGTGACTTCGAGGGATAGGTCAGGGATATTCTTCGTGTGGAACATTTGCCGAGAGTCGCACATATGACCCCGCAACCGACCTTGTTGGGTCATTGTACATTATGTCCCTTGCGGATGACCAGAGACATTTATCGCAAACTAGGTAAGGGGTAAAGGAAGGCTGCCGTTAGTAGGTCCTTGCTGGCCACAGGCCAATTACTGGCGTCGCGTTCGAATTCGAAATAGCGTAGACCTGCGTAGACGTCTGAATCCGACTCGGATACATGCAATAAGCCTGTTACAGTGACCTCCTTGAAGGTGCGTACAGTGTGGGTCTGTGTACTGTCTGTGTAGGTCTCAATGACAGGCAAAAAGTACTTGCAGAATCGAAGGGTGATGATGGTCAGGTCCAAGGAGAGAATCGGATCAGATGCCACATCGACGGTCCTACGCCACTTGAGCAGCGAATGTTCCCACGCCTTGTGTCAGCTCGACTCGCTGCTGCAGTCAAGCTGCAGTTTCGCGGACGCCCATAACGCCCATCCGTTCTTTCTTCCGTTACACAGCCTTCTCACTCTCCTTGTTCTTGGGCCATTTATCCAACTAGCTTGTCAAAATATAAGCATATTATTCCGTTACTAGGTAACTCTGGTATCTCGTCGACAAAGCTTCGCCATGGATGCCGGATCCGACTCAGACGCGTCTATATTCGATGACCCCAATCCTGGTCTTCGTTCAAAGAACAAGGGGAAACAAAAGGCTGTGGATGGAAAGAAAGACAAATTAAACGACCGGGCTAAGGAGGTACGTCCCTATCATATTCGTCTTATCTTACAGACATCCTGACACATTCTCTATTCGGACGTCTAGCAAGCCTACGCCTGGGAGGCGACCTATACTCGCTCATGGGATGCTGTCCAAGAAGATGAAGGCGGAAGCCTAACAGGGGCAGTCCAAGAGTTGATGGCAAAAGGTCGAAGACGAAGGTATGTACACTGTGTTAATTGGATAGTTCTTCTCCGCATAGGACATATGTTTTTGACGGTAGACAGGTAGACTCCTCGCGCCCGCCGCTGCTATACGACGTACTATCATCCGACATCTGGTCTTACTATTGGACCTTTCGGCATCGATGATGGATCGTGATTTGAGGCCGACAAGGTTTGACTTGTCGTTGGAGTATGCGAGGGAGTTCGTTACGGAGTGGTTCGACCAGAACCCGTTGGGACAGGTGGGTGTCGTGGGCATGAGGGCAGGGCTGGGCGAGAGGGTTGGCGAGATGTCTGGTCAGTCTTTGCCTTGCGATATTATGGTACGGAGTATTCTGACTTTAAGCCGTGCAGGAAACCCACAGGATGTTCTGAAAGCGCTTTCTGAGCGCCACAAACTGGAACCGACTGGCGAACCGAGTCTCCAGAATGCTATCGAGATGGCCCGTAGTAGCATGAGGTGATTCTTCTTAGCAACTTCCTCTGTTCAGCATCCTAACTATTTCTAGCCACCTTCCAACACATTCATCTCGAGAAATCCTTGTTATTTTCGGCTCTTTGACCACCGTCGATCCCGGAAATATATATGATACATTACAATCGTGCATCAAGGACAAGATCAGGATATCAATTGTTTCTCTCGCAGCTGAGATGAAAATTTGTCGCGAACTATGTGACAAAACTGGAGGTTCGTTTTTACTTGACCACATATGACGCAATCCAATTCTAACATGTTTCATCACACAGGTCAATTCGGCGTCGCGATGAACGAAGGTCACTTCAAAGACCTTCTCTTCGAACTTATCCCTCCACCTGCACAACGCGCTATCGCTCGCACTACCGGAGGTCCAGGCGCAGCCAACCCCGCCGCAGACCTCATGATGATGGGTTTCCCCACCCGCCTGCCCGACACCTCACTCCCAAGCCTCTGCGTCTGTCACGCAGAGCTTCGAAGCGCGGGGTTTTTGTGCCCGAGATGCATGTCGAAGGTGTGCGACGTGCCTACGGATTGTGATGTCTGTGGGTTGATGATCGTGAGCTCGCCACATCTGGCGAGGAGTTATCATCATCTGTTCCCGGTCAAGCCGTATGCTGCCGTGTATGTCGTTCTTATCCATTTTGTTCTCCACACCTGACTCGCACCTCCAATTTTCTCTCCCCCGCATGAACATGGATTTTGATTCGATTTCGATCGATCTCACGACTGACTTCCTTCTTTTGGTCTCTGTCGTAGATTAAACCTCGTGGACAGACCGGACCCAACACCAAGCTGTCATGCTTGTGCTCTTCCATTCAAATCGGGCCCTGGAACTGGAACGACTGGAGTCGTAGCTGACGGTATGAGTCCTCTGGGTCGATATCGCTGTCCGGATTGTGGTAAGGACTTTTGCACGGACTGTGATGTGTTTGTGCACGATGTGGTGCACTGTTGTCCGGGATGCGAGAAGTAGCTCTCTTGTCGCTCGTTCACTTGACTTGAATGCATCGAGGCTACTTATATCTTTGTGGCGCTCGCTTGTTCACTTGGTTCCTTCGGATCTTATAGCGTTGTGGAGAAGTTAGATGGATAATGATCCTCGATTTAAGGCTTTCCACGACTTGCGAGGCTCTACGGAATGAAATCCTCGAATTTGGGAGAATATGCGATGTGAACGTAGATATGGCCTGCTCAGTCGCCATGCCTGTTGGGGCATAGAATACAATATCTGTTCGGGGAAAATTAGGATCCCGCAGGAGATAGTACCCGAACTCAGTGTCATGGCCGTGACCTTCTACGAACACCTCCTCTCCATTTGGTTCGAGGGCAAAGCCGGACATTACTCTGTTGCCTATGGATGGCCCGATAGTACTGTCCGCATCCAAACGTTCAATCCTCTACACCAGATAACAAGGATAACTGACTCTGATATAGTATGGGCGCCTTACGCAAGATCCTATCCAGCAGGTGATTTATTGGCGGTTATGCCAGTCACAACGCCTCGAAAGGGCGCATCAATTACGACACTCTTGGGTGCGGTGCGAACGCTCCTACGAATAGACCAGAGGTGAATGAAGCCGTCGCATTGGACCCTTACTAAACCTCGACAGCGACAGTGGGTGCCCAACAGCGAGGATCGCTAATGTACAAGTGCCGGGAGTTAGTTCAGGGTGGAGCAACTGGTGTTGCTTTGAAGCAAGACAGCACCGAAGCGGCGCAACGACTTACAGCCAGAAAGACAAGCGCATGCCTAAAGACTGGTGACCCATGGCGCAAGATTGTGCTCGGAGAGGGCGAGGGGGAAATGGAACACAATCGTAAATCCGGGGCTGTCCACGCCTTACGGGGTAAGAAACTGTGCGGCTCGCTGGAATGAAATCATCTAAAACGGTTGAGCATGCGATGTGATCAAAGATACTGTGTAGCATGCTTGTTCTTCGTGCGTGGGCAAACCCGGTCATGAGGAAACGGTGAGAGTGGAGAGGTCAAGAGGAGTGCGAGATATCTACTACCTCTGGTGGTCGATACGTACGACCACCGTCATTATTGTTCATTTGTTCTTAGAAGTCGATACTTCTTCAATGTCGATCATGATCATCTACAGCAACAACTTGAAGACATCCCTAGTGTAAAGACTGGTCAATTTGTGGCGCGCCACATAATGCTCGTCAATGAAAAAGGCGTCTAACCCATGAGGCCAACGCGTTGCACTCAAAGCACCAATCTTACTCTGCGACATTAAATTGTCTCAACACGTTCTTGAGAGTTTTCTTACAGAAGGGCAGCTGCCACAGCGGGAAGATGGTTGAGAACGTCGAGGAGAGCTGAGTGAGGGTAAACGCGACATACAGTTGCCTTTTTCGGCGGGCGAAGAAACCACAAGTCCGCTTTTGGGAATTTGTAAGTGCTTGTTCCCGATTTCGCAGCGCCGACGCGTTGTGCCTCTATCCCCTTCTCTCTCTCGACTCTCTCTCCCTCTCTCGTCTAATTTTTGTTTTCCTTTGATTTTTTTTTGCTCCGTTTGGTCTTTGAATTGGTGGGTTTTTTTTTCTGCTTTGAGCTCAAAGCGACAGTCTATCCGCAGTTATACCTGGTTGTACTTCGACTACACCGATATCACAGCACGAAAAGTATTCGAGCCATTCAAAACAGAAATGACTGTCCTGGTCCATCTTCGAGGTGGACACAGCTTCAGAGACCCATAGCGCTGATATCCAGTTCATCTCCTTGACTACTTGTTGAGATAACCCGTGCTAATGCCGTCACATCTGTTTTTGTCTTTTTCAACAGCCCGAGAATTCGCCCAGTCCTTTTCCACCCTTTTCCCCATTTACTTTTTTCAAGAATTTCTTAGGCATCGCACATCCTGCATCCAATCGTTCTGCATCTCGACTCGGGTCGATAATTCAACTTTCGCGCTCATATGGAGCCATCATCGACCGCGGAACAGCGCGCCTTCCTCGTCGCAAAGCTTAAGCGGGCGGCGTCCCTACCTCGTATGAAAGATGGCCGTAGGCCACCGATGCACGTAGAAGCCGTCAGCGAAGGAGAGAGGTCGCAGGGAGAGGATTATGAAGAGGTGGAAGAGCAGCGAGGGAGGCCGGGGAGTAGTGTGAGGATCAGTGTTGTAGAGAGGCCTAGGAGTTTCGAAGATGACGAGGAAGAAGGTGCGGAGGGAGACGGAGGCAGGGAAGTGGATGTGCATACGCTTCGTATGGAAGACGGTGAAACCGAGAGAGTGGAGGAAGAGCGGGTGCAGGTGGAAGATGTCACACAGGATTATCCGGCTCGAGAAGAAGAGGCGGAAGAAGGTCAGATGGAAGAAGAAAGAGAGGTCGTTTCTCCGCCACAGACCCCGCTACCCTCTGAAGATACTTCGACTGCCGCCCAGGGCAAGCGCAAACGTCGTTCACGATCCAGACGGCGGTCTCGAGATTCTAAAGCCAAAGCTCGCGCATCTCCTGCTTTCGTCTCCGCCAATGACTCATCACCCGACGAAGAGTCCATGCCAAATTACCCTGCCAGTCCAAGTCCTATTCCTGCCCATGCTAGTCCTAGCCCTATACCGCCCTTCCCGAACGGTTTCACTGGAACACCACTCATATCGCCAATACCTGCTCATTTCATGGCTCTACAACAGCAGCGGATGTTCATGTCCCCTGAACCAGGCATGATGTACCCCGGTACTTCTCCACCGACACCTTCACCAATGCTCACACTCCAAGATATTCAACGCGAAGCTCTTTCACGTGGCCTCTTTCGCTCGAATAGTGCCGCCGCCCGTTTAATGGCCATGAACCAACTCACACGGAATGAGCAGCCCGACCCATCGCTCTCTTCGCCCTCTCCCACTCCAAGAGGACTAGGACTAGGGCGAAACAACACCGTGGCTGGTGGCGAACGTAATGCGGCTAGAAGATTAATGATGGGAAGGTTGAAGGAGCGGTTGAAGGAGAAGGAAGCCGAAGCCGAGGCTGAGCAGACGAGCGCGGGCGAGGATCAACCTATCCCGCTACCACCGAAAAGAAGATCAAGGAGACGGAGTAGGAGGTCATCAAATCGGTCGACGGTCGTGGACGATAGAGAGCTCTCTTCTACCACTTCTCCTAATACGCCTGTGAACGGCCCAGCACCTCTTCCTCTCGAGCTACCGGATCCACCGCGGCCACCTTCTTCGCTGGCTAGGAGTCCAACACCTGGGAGGAGATCGAGTATTGAACGGGAGAGGGATGAGACACTCATGAAGTTGATGGGTGGTTCACCGACGTATGAGAAGAGTCCGTTAGAGAGACGGGGTGTGGTCGTGGAGGAAGAGGACGACGAGCAGGACCAGGATCAGGATCGGCCACTCACGCCACCACGGCTACCAGTTACGCCACCTCGGGTCAGTAATGTTCGTGGCGTACATGCTTCGGATGCGCAATCGTACATGTCGAGAGAGACGGGCGTTGGCGTTCCCGTGTTCTTGTCGGAAGCAAGTTATAAGCAGCAGGACATCTTCCCTTCGAGTCCTTTCGCCACCCCGTTGAAGGAGCAACCCGAGATCGACGAGAATGATGAGGATATGATGCTGAACCCTAATGGGAGTGGTGAGAAGAGGTGGACGGACGGCTACAATCGGGATATCAGTTGGATGGCTGAACCAGGTTGGTCCGATGTCTTTTTTATTTCTCGGGTACATTTAAATTCTTTTTTCTAGTGCCAGAAGACAATCGGATACCCATCCATGATGAGGACGACTACGACGATGGGCAGCATGAAGCACGCTCTGTTCCCATCGAGGAGCGCGAACCCTATGAAGAGCCTCCATCACCGTATACCGATTCTCACGATGAAGCACCCTCTCACGACGAGGATCCCGAAAATGACCACGACCACCGCGACCTCGATGTAACGTCTCCCGAGCCCCAGTCTCTTGCACCACCGTCTCCTTCCTCAGCCGCTCCCTTACAGAGTGAACGCGTCTACCCCGCTCGTCTCTCCGTTGCCTCTGCGATTCACCCCGAACTCTCGTCGCCACATATCGACTATCTGGAGTGGGAGGAGGCGAAAGCGATGGGATCAGGTTCGGAATCACATTCGAAGAAGAATGGAGAGTCAAGTACTGCTCTCAGCCGGTGGGACAAAGTTAAGAACACGCTTATGCGGACCAACTCGAGTCAGGGCAGGAGGTCGAGGACGAACAGCATACGGGAACGGGAGCGAACCCCAAATACGGACTCGAGCGTTACTAGAGAGAGTGGCGCAAGCCTTACCAGTAGCTCACAAACTGACAAGGGCGACAAGAATGGTGATTACTTTTTTCCGCTATTACTCTAAACTCTATGATTTACGCCAACTTTGATCCTAGTCGTGCTGGATTTGTCGTCACCTCACTTTGCGAGCTCGTCCAATGGGCCGTCCCCTGTACCGCCTGCCTCACCAGAAATGATAGCGAGGTATCAGGACTCGAAGCTATTCCCATTCCCGGGCATCCAGAAGCTCCAAGAGCAGCGCAACAAAGCTCTCGGTCATGCTGCCAATGCGTCATCCCCTGATATCTTCTTGCAAGTCGGGGAAGACGTGCTTGGCTCGAGCTCGAATTCTTCGCACACCCCACAACCTTCACCCGAAGTGCCACGAGAACGCAAACTTTCCCACCAAGCATCGGACAGTCGCCTCATGATGAAATTCAGCGGCGCTCCCCCAATAGCGAATGTCCCTTCATCCGCATCCCAGCCTGAATACGACGCATCCACTGGAGCACACCTCGCCAACGGGCTAGGGAGCGCCAACGGACACGGTAACGGATCGTGGCTGAACACCAAGTTGCCTCACAACCGGGAAGGGGTGAAGAAGTGGCTCACTGCGAAGAAGCTCTTCTCGTCACAGGGTGGTTCGACCGCTTCGCACACCACACCGCTGCAGATCTCCGCGCCTATCTTGCAGTCGACGACGGCGGACAAGAAGCCCTCGCTAACGGATCTCTTCAAGGTTCGAAAAGAGAACGGGCTCATGTCGGACTGGGAGGACGTATCGAAGACGCCGACGAGTACTAGTGGAAGTACGTTACTGGGTAAAGGGTCTGTCAAGGACGGAAGAGAGTCAGCGGTACCGCCAGAGACGCCCGTCACTGTGAACCATAACGAGACGGCATCGATGTCGCTCCCACCACCCTTGACTCCGCAGCCTCGCGATATCATCGAGGACGTGTCTTCTTCTCCCGCTCACTCTCCGAATGGAGATGCCCAGTTTGCGTCTTACCCCATAAGTTCGGATCAAAGGCTGCCCATGCCTTCGCCTCCGGATTTGACGTCGACTACGCCAGATCCCATGTCTTCCCTCGATTCTTTCCACGTTCGGTCAGAATCTTCATCTTCTACGCTTTCGTCACATCGGTCTACCGAGCCTGTTGTCGCACAGTCTCAGGGATCGATCGTGTTGGAGAGATTGGATGAAGTTTTGAGTAGGATGAGTAGCGGGAGTCGTGGCCCCACGTCGAGCGCATCATTCATCGACGATCCTCCGAGGAAACTACTCCTGTCCTCTCCAGTTTTACAGGTGGCGAACTCAAACACGGTCAAGGATCGGTTCTTATTTCTGTTCAACGATATCCTCGTCATTGCGAAGCCCGTATTCCAAGACCCAGAATCGATCCTGGATACTACAAGGCCCTCGCCACTCGACAGAAAATTCATCGTCAAAAGTGTCGTGCAACTTCGCCAACTCCACTTCTCAGCCGATAGGGACGACCTGTCAAGCAGAATTCCCTTCTCGTCACCCATGAACCGGCATCCCGTCATACGGTCTTTCGTCGTTCAATTCCAGAAGGAGCCAGACCATGCTATCTCCTCGTTGTTTGAGAAGACGGGAATGAGGTCGGAACCGATGTTACTTGGACAGTTGCTCATGAAGACGCTCGACCTCGATCGGGCGATGTTGGGCGTTTATTTGTCGACGAGGACGTCGAAGGTCGTGCTCAAAGCGTACATTGATGGATTTGGCTTCGCGGGGATGCGGGTGGACAAGGCGTTGAGGGTCTTTCTTCAGTCTCTCAACATCCCGTCACCGTCCAGGTCGTCGCACTCGTCTCCGTTGGATCACATGGTCGACTCGTTCGCCAGTCGATGGTACGAAGCCAACAAGGGCAATGTGGCGTACGACAAGGATCTCGCAGTCAGGCTTGTGCGCGCTCTTGTACAGCTCAACGAGGCACTCCACGGTGGGATCGTCCAAGAACCGGGAATCCCAAGTCGTATCAAGCGCAACGTCCTCAACCGCGACTTCATCGACGCTTTCCGCCGACTCGACCCAAGAAGTCTCGTACCCGACGAGCTCTTGGACACGATATATATGTCCATCCGACGAACACCGTTGGCACAGGCTCGTAACGCCGCCACATCAGCCCCTCCCGACCTTCTCATCACACTCAAACGCCCCGTACCGCCACGGCTGACATACAAAATGCAATCCGAGCCCATCATCCTGCGCATCCCCTCCACGGATCCGAACCTCGTCATCCAGCTCTACGGCCAAGACCTCATCTGCGACCCACCCGCACTCACCTTCTCCCGTTCTCCCGAAGCTTCCTTCCGCATCACCGGCACCTCGCTCGGTCTTCGAAACCTCATATTCCTCCGAACGGGGTCCAATGCGCTTTCCTACACCGGTGTTCCGCTCAGTTGTCCGATAGTGGTAGAACGGAGCTTCATGAGGAATACGTTCCAGGTGGCGTTCGCGGACCACATGCAGCAGAAGAGGAAGTATATGTTCAGTGTCGAGGACCCGGTGATGCGACATAATTGGATGGCCTCGCTCAAGCGACAGATCGAGCTTGCCTCTTCCGCCGCTTCGACCTCTCAGTCGCAGTCTCAGTCACAGTCGGCGTCACCCGCTCATACGAAGTTCCAACAAGCGACGGAGGATACGGTGTTCAAGATCTTGCAGGATACGTTGATCGCGAGTGTGGAGGAGAGCGATTGGGTGATGAGATCTGTCTCGCCACCGGCTTCGCCTATGCCCTTTTCGCAATCAAGGTTTGCCAGCTCGCCCGTACCTTCGTCAGGTCGTCCAAGCCCCGGACCTGGATACGGATCGATATCTCCCGGACTTGCGTCTTCGTCGTTCGCACAATCTCAGCGCCAGAAGGGAAGCAATCTGTACTCCCACCAGAGGTCAAAATCGAGAAGCCAAGTCTATCATCGTAAGGGTCTAGGCAGCATGGAGCCACCGCAATCGCCACCGCCAATACCGTACAGCGTTAATGGCGAGGATGGTGAGGGTGAAGGTGAAGGCGATATGACGGTACAGGAGGTGCCGATTGAGAATGTGAGGTCGAGGTTGTGGTCGGGGAAGGATTTGGAGATGGTGTGTTTGCAGAATAGCGCGGTGGCAGTGGCGGTGGCGGCGTTGAGGGTGGGCTTGGGGGCTCATGCAAATGGGAATGGGGTGCCGGGACTGCAGAGGCAGGGGTCAGGGAGGAGGTTGCATTCATAACCTAGCCTGAGTTGTTGGGGTGGAAGGGTGTCTTGGTTGTCGTGGTTCGTCGTGAGTTTATTTCTTCTCAGCGGAACTGGAATTGGGCAAGTGCTGATAGCTTTGCGTTGCAGTGCGCGCTCGTCTGCTTCCTGTATCTGTCTCTCTCTTTTGCGTTTGGCCTTCAATCAACTGCACATCTATCCGCATCTCGTTCTCTCTTTGCTCTTATCCTCGCTCCGCTGTAGTATCTGAATCTCGTATATATTTTACGGTTTCCTCGTGCTCTCCGTCCTCCTCTTTCTTTTCCTTTTTCTCTTTTCTTTCCTCTGCTCCTCTTTCCTCTTTCCTCTTTCCCCAGTGAATCTATAGCCTCTCTCTCTCTATGCTCGGCCTCTACACCACTGTTCTGTATTTAATCAATCGCATGGTCTTCGTACTCTCTCCTTACTTCCTCTCTCCACTGCTCCCCAGGTCCCTCAACTCACTAATATTTAATTTGTGCTCTCGGTCTCCCGCTCAGCCTTCTTCTACCCCAACTATTTAGTCTCTAGTCACAGTGGCTATTTCAACGCGCTCGCTCCCTCTCTTCTCAACCGTTCAGTAATGCGGACTCAAGTTTTCAACGTTTCTACACGCTCCACTCGTTCTCGTACCAATCTCTCTGGAACATACGTATACGATAGCGAACTGTCGTCTCTCTCCTCCTCTTCCCTCATTCCGTCCTTTCAATACCCTCATCCATTCCCTCCGCTCTTCACCTCACTCGTCCCGTTTATCCGTCTATCCGTCCGTCCGTCGTTATCGTGACTTTGTGTCCTTGTTGTGCTTATGCTCCGCTATGCCCGCTGGATAATATACATTGTAAGATACATCTCTTGCCTCAGGCTCCCTGAAAGCATCAAGCTTTGTGTAAATCTTCCGCTGAGGCTAGAAACTGCCACTCCCTTCTCTACACTGCGGCCACAGTCACTCGACCGTCCAAACCCTTTTCTTTTTCGTACAGTAGACGTTGCAACATCCGAGCTCTGATTCGTCCCCCTCGCTGCGGGCCACAGCTGCTGCGTTCATGTTGCAATTGCAAGTTCTTGGCGGCTCTCATTGTTCGGAATTCGCACGACGTACGTCGTCATTCGGCATCGTCCCCCGGCGGCAAAGAGCTTATAATGTCTGCCATCGGTCGGGTCGGTTTCGGTTTCGGTTCTGGTGGGGGAGGGTGGAACAAGGGGCGTCCACTGGCGCGCGCGACGACTCCCACCTTCGAGCGGCTGTGCTCTGCTGTGCTGCTTTCCGAGCGTTGACCCCGAGAACTCACTCGTACCCCCTACCTGCTGCTCATCCACAGAGACCATAATGTCAGATTTTGTGTGTTAGAATGGTAACACAATTCATCTCTTACATCTTCTGGGTGTTTGTTGGATAGCTGTGTCACGAGAATATGTGTTCAATGGCATGCAAGAGTCTCATCCGCCACATCGCCACCCATGACCCCGGGCACTTGGTAGGGGGTGCAGCACTCCAGGTCGGAGTCGCGGATGAGCCCGGTGAACGCCCCTTGGGGTGGAATGCTGCGTATCTCAATCTGACATCTTTGCGAATCGCGAGCGAGTGCGTGGGCTTGGAAATGTAATCTGACTTGTAAGACGGCGGTGTGGATTGGATTGGTGCTCGACGTGCACGACGCTCGTGTACCCTTTCCTTCAACTTCATTAAGTTTTGGCGACAGCGACTCGTTCGCCTCTTTTTTGACCCCCTTCAGCTCAGCACGATCCGCGATGTCGATGTTCAATCGACAGGTGACGGCGGCGGCACATACGCTTACGGTTTCTTCGAGTCTGACCTCTTCCTGGACCGAACGGACTTGTCTCGAGTATTGTCTCTCTATTCTTTCTTCGTCTTCTTCTTCGCAACAGAACTCGAACCAATACCGGAATCAGCAACAGCAACAGCAGCGATCATCTCGCAGCAGCTCGCAGTCGCACAGGACCAGGTCGTGTGGACGTTACGGCGGCGTTCTTGGCGGCAGTAGTAGTATTGCCAGTAGGGAAAACACGAGCAGGAGCATCCCCAGTCCGAGTCCGAATTCGAGACGTGGCTATAGGCTCGCTAGGCCCAGTAGGAACCCAATAAGAACTTACACGTATTCTACCGCTGGCGATACTGCTGTTCGGTTTCACACCCATTCAAGCGCACTCCGTTCTTTCGCATCACCCTCACGGTCTCGGTCATCATCATCATCATCGCAGCTGTCCTCTTTCCCGTCGTCGTCCACGTATTCCACGTCGACACATCAGATTCATTCATATTCATATCCTTATACGCATTCGACAGTATCTTTGGTTTCACCAGGACCACCAATACCATTTTCGCCACTACTCCGGTCGCGAGCACGAGGCAGGATGAGTACCGGACAACAAGTCATCACGAGGCGGACATATTCGACAAAACCGCCAGGAAAGGAAAAGGAAAAGGAGAATGGTAATGGTAATGGCATTGACATTGGCAACGGGAAGGAGGGAAACGGAGTCTCGAATGGCCATCATCATGATGAACCTCATACGCATGAACACGAACACGAACACGACCATGGCCACTCGCATTCGCATGGTCTCTTCGGTCATTCGCACGGCGAAGACGAGGCGCACGGTGGAGATGTCGTAGAAGCTCTGCAGAAGGGTACAAGTGCGTGTCTCTCTTCTTCGCTCTCTGTTGCGTCGGACGTGCGCTGAGATTTAGGTTATGGTATGGATGGGGCGCTGGGTACTAAGGCGATCCTGGAAGCAGAATCACGCTCATTGGGCTGGGTGTGAATGTTGTGTTGACGGGTACGAAGGGAATCGCTGGCTGGTACATGAACTCGGCGTCGTTGCTCGCAGATGCAGGTCATTCGCTGAGCGGTACGTTGTCCTACCTACCATTCTATGTACCACAACATGTACTAAGCCATACGTCTTTACCCACATAGACCTCATCGGCGACTTCGTCGTCCTCGCCTCCTGGAAGCTCTCCCGAAATCCACCAAGCACCCGCTACCCCTACGGCTTCGCCAAATTCGAAACCATCGGCACCTGCGTCGTCTCCCTCCTCCTCGTCGGCGGCGCCCTCGGCATAGGCTTCCACTCCATCTCTCTCCTCCTCGAAACACTCCAACACACCGTCCAGGCCGTTCCACCGGGTCCTCTTCAGACAGCCATCACGGGCGTCACATCCGCCGCGCAGAATATCACCGATCTTGCGGGGAATGTGATCGACGGGCATGGGCATGAGCACGGACACGGACATGGACATGGGGTGTTGGATCCGAATGCGGCGTGGTTCGCGGCGGCGAGTGTGCTGGGGAAGGAGTGGATGTTTAGGGCCACGAAGAAGGTCGCGGATCAGGAGAATAGTCCGGTTTTGCTCGCGAATGCGTATCATCATCGGAGCGATGCGTATTCGAGCGTCGTGGCGTTGTTTGCGATTCTGGGGAGCAGTTGGTTCCCTTCGTTGCCGTTGGATCCGATTGGTGGTATGTGATACATTCGTGGTTTTCGTTCGGTGTTATGTTTGAGTCGCTGACGTTGACTTTGACTGTGGTGGTGTGGTGGGGTGGGTTTGCACGAGCAGGTCTTTTGGTGTCGATTGTTATCCTGCGGCAAGGCTTGGGGTTGTTCGCCGGTTCTTTCAACGAACTCACAGACGCGGGCGCATCCCCCGCGACGATGCGTACACTCTCCCGCGCCCTCGACGCCTACGTCGTCCAACAATCCCTCCCATCACCCACCTCCCCCTCATCAACATCAACCTCCTCACCATCACCCGACCATCCCCATCCATACCTTCGCCCCCTCCCAACCCTCAAAATCCACACCGTCCGCGCGAAACGCTCCGGCTCGCAACTCTTCGTTGATCTCGTCGCGGACGTGCCTGGCGATCTGAGCGTGGAAGAGACGGCGGGATTGGAGAGGAGGATCGGGGAGGTGCTAAAGAGGGAGAAGAAGGAGATCGTGGAGGTTAGTGTGAGGTTTAGGCCGATTGGGACGTAGGCATGGGTGGAACAGGCGGTGCGATGTGGGTAGGGGGGATGGGGGGATGGGATGTGGATCATTGGGGTCTTGGGTTTGTTTCTTGTGGTTTTGGTTGTAAAGTTATTGTTTGGAATATTTTATGTTAAAGGCCTTTTACTCAGTTCACTTGTGTCTCCGCGCGAACGTTTATCTCCGCGGACCAGATTTGGTAACTCGAGTTCGAGTTCGACCAATCCGGCGTTTCCTTTGTAGTGTTGCCACGGCTCGGCTCGGCTCAGCTTGGCTCGACTTGTAACGGCTTTTCCCACGCGACGACTCGGCTCGGCTTGGCTGACGGTCTGAGCCGCGACTCAATTCAGCTCGTTGCCTAAGTGGGTTATGCATTCATACATGCATACTCGCCCTCATAGGACATTTTGTAAGCCATGGAGTATGACTGTATGGGTCAATACTGTCCTACCGCTGTGTTTTTTGAGGGGATTGTCGAGTCAGATGCCACAAACAAAGAGTCGTTTGTTGCTCATAATAATGTGGCATAAATGTGGCGTGGTGGGGTCGCGCGTCGGAAAAAGCCGCCACCGATACACAGATATCCATATTTGGAGTGGTCTGTAACTGTTTGCTGTCAAACATGAAGGCGAAAGCCTCAAACACTCTACAAACTACGGCTTTGGAGGTTCTTCGATACATAGGCCCTACTTGCAAGACAAATATTTGCATATAATGTCGTTCTGCAAGTGCATAACGGCTTGAGCCGCTAGCCGCACAAAACCGTTGTAAGCCGTTGACGCGGCTCCGCTCGGCTTGCAAACGGCTCGGCTCGAGCGACTAGCGGTTTCTGAGCCGAGCCGTGGCAACACTATTCCTTTGTCGTCGGATCCTTTGCAATGTTCGCTTCCGAATAAGGCATTCCGAGACCAGTATAAGGAGCGCTTTGAACGGTCAACCGGGCAATTAATGCGTATACTTATGTCGGAGCTGTACGTATACTGTGGAATGGCGCCGCTTGTCTTTTTGGCTTTGACGTTCGTTCAGGCCGGGGTTGTGGTTTGTCGCTTTGAGGTCGGTAGTGTCTCCGAGCATGCTGGGGATGGTATTCCCGATTCCACAGGGCCTTTGACCTATCATATATCGTTCTCTGGGGCGCCGTGACATGTAGACGATCCATACGAGTGCACTGCGATGCCTATACAGTACTGTGCGGACCGATTGAAGTAGACCGTGCCAGTGTCGGTCTCATGGTTTCATTGCTCTCGAGTTCAACCAGACTCAAGCTTCGGCACAATCAGTGAGCCTGTGGTAAGATCTCGGGCTACAAGGGATTTCCACTTGGATTTGGGCTGCGGCGTAACGCCGTTTCTCTCCTGATACGTATTTCTACGAAACAACAGCCAAGAAACCTGCGCCAGATACACAACTGAGAACTGGGTGGCTATCCGTAGCCGTCTAGAAGCGCTTCTTGGTGCGCAGAAGCATCAACACATGGGACCTCATTCAATAAAGACTCGAATTGAGCCTTCTTTCTGTGCATCTGGGCCTCCAGGATCTGCACAAACCCCTTACGGATAGTCATCGACTTGTGCTCAAGCTGTTCATCAGCGCGCAGGACCTACGGATTCCGAGCAGTGTTTCAGAAAGAGCGCCGCAGTTATCTCGTACTTCAAGTGCTCAGGCTGCGCCTTGACATGTACGATGAGTCTCTCGCACAGACCTAGGATGGGCCGCATATGCAGCTCGAAAGACTCAAAGTGACTCGCCACGAGCAGCAGTCCGATAGCGGCGCGATCAGGAGGAAGACCCTCGGTTGATGAAGTTCGAATTATGGCAGCAATTTGGCGTTGTCGGCCTCCTGGCAGTGCTTCGACGCGGTCGTTCTAAGTTCTTGAGCTGCCCCTTGGTTCTATGTAGAAAAAGAAGTGCGCTGAAAAGCTGCTCACACAATTCCTCTAGTCTTTGGTACGCTTGGGTAAGGTCGTACAAGGACGAAGACATAGAAAGAGTTTCAAGAGAGTTTTGTGGCGTCTCGTCGCGGTGGTAGAATATTGAAACACCGCCAAGGGCGCAGCGAATAACCCCGGCCGGCTCATTCCGGGATGGACCTTATTGGGCCCGCATTCTTGCAGAGCTCTGCCAGCGGCAGCGAGTTGAGACCCATTCGAAACCATATAAGCCCCCATCATTCCAATCTCGATTCCGTCTGCATGACCCGAAACAGTACGGGGTAATATTCGGTTTCCAGGTTCTTAGCCTATAAGGAATTTGAGGTACCTTCCATCATAGACGGGTTGACAAAGTTCTGCACCAGATATAGGTGAGTCCCGCGTTTAATGGCGTGCAGGTATATATACCCTGCGCTCGTTTAACAGGTATATGGGGAAACGTTACTGACGACTCGCCAACGTCCCCCTTGTTCGTTCGCAACGATGCTGCAGTGGCTCCCCGGAAACGTCCAGGCACCGGATTTGCTGTCCGTCCTCCAACGGGTTTACGAATATAATCCGTATTCGCTGGTCATGAACGCTCTTGACGCCCCTGACGATCAATATGACAAAGTGGATGCCCTTGTGAGCTGCAATACTCTGGTTGGTGCGGTGTTAGAGGATAGTTCTACTAACCGACATACATTCTTCTGACACAGACGATTTCACTGGAGGAAGTGACCATCGAACCACTCACTAGTGATGTGGCGCAGAGGGTGCCTCCCGAACTTTGGTTGCGCATATTCGAGTTTGCTACATTCGTTCCCGGAATACTAGACGTCCATGTTTACGATCCCTTCGACTCGACTCGCGCCACCCTTCCGCTTTCAGAGTTTGACTGGGTCGAATTAGCTCGCTCGGTCGCGACGCGATGGTCCATCGTCCGCGTCTCGAAGTTGTGGCACTCCTTTGGGCTGCCGTTCTTATACGAGGTAATTGCTCTACACGGCCACGAAGACAGAGTGCTTCATCTACACGAGGCCCTTGTTAATTCCATCGAACGAGGTGACGAACGCCCGTTGGGATCCCTCGTGCGCCACATCGTTCTTGGTGGGCCCGTATCAGACCAATGCTTCGGAAGCCTACGAAACTGCGACCTGATTCCGAGCATCATGGGCCATACCAGCAACCTCGATATCCTGTCGATTCATCATCAATCTCGAATAGACTCACTCTTACCTTCATCTCTCCCTACGATCCTCTCCTCCACGACCATCCCTCTCTCCTTGAAGAAGATCTACATCCATGCAGATATGTACCCCTATCTCGCCAAAGGATTCTCTCTCCCTCCGAGCCTTCACACCTTCGTCACCGGAGTGCACGAGCGCGCAAGCCAAGGCCTATGTCCCGTCGACCTCCTCACACTTCCGAACCTTTCCTTCCTCGCCGTCGGTCCATCTGCCTGTGCGGAGCACCAGCTCCTGTCCAACAGAATCCACGCCGACGATACTCTGGTCGCCCGCCCAGCTCTCACCCAAGCTCTCTTCGTTGGCCACGCGATCACTATGGCTCATTTCCTCAGCGTTCAGGGCGAATATCTTACTACTGTCCATCTCGACGTCCGGGTCATGTACTCCATGGAACTAGAGCGCAGCATGGACCTCCTCGCAGACCATTGCCCTCATCTCACGCATCTCATCGTCTCGCACCTCGCGTATGACAGGCGAGGAATGCCGCCTTGTCTCGATCTTCCGCCTACGATTTCACATCTGGGACTGGAGGGGTACTTTCCGTCGTCAGACGATGGGGTCTTGGAGAGTCCGAGGACAAGAACGAGGGCGAGGAATCAGGCGTCGGAGAAATTGTTTATGTGTCTGGGGAAGTCGATGATGCAGGTTCCGGGCTTGAAGGTCGTGCGGTTCTTCGATGATATGGGTCCGGAGAGGTTGAAGGAGATGGTGGAGATGGGAGGCGGGGTGGCCGAGCTTTGGGGAGAGGGGAGAACGTTCAGGGTTGAAGATAAGGAGGGAAATGAAATGTCGATATATGCTATTTAGATCCGCGAATGTCGTTGCTTTTGATGTGAGTGATGGGCAGCCTTATTCGTTCATGTTGTTTTGCTGACGCTTGGTGTCATAGTCGAATCACTGTGATAATGGACTACTCTCAATTTGTACCATACTGTGAGTTTTTCTCCCGTTAGCCCTCTCCTTGAAGAAATGACCCGCTGACTTCCCATTGACCGATCACAGTCTGCCGTTTCAAAATAATCACGACACGTTTTCTGACTGCTTGGTGCGAGAATGCCTCCCTCAACGTCTCCCCGATGGTAGCTCCCTCGTCGGCTTCGTCATATCACTCGCCACCACTGGTGGTGACTTCTCTATACTTATAAACATCGGAACATCTCGAGAACGCCAGCAATATCTCCATGCCTTACGGACTCCTCCCCGATAGTCCTTGGAGTTACCACCCCAGCCCAACCCTATCGTCGTGACTATTGCATCTACGCACAAATTAGTTATCTATCGAGCTCGAAATACCGCTCCCGGAACTGTGGTATTGTCGGTAAGCAGTGTACTCTTTTTGTCTTATCTTGTGGCTTACTCTAGCCCGCCCAGAAATACTTTCATTCGTCAGGCTCTTCAAACCAAAATCGACTGCGAGAGTCTCGACATTCCCAGTCTATTCCAATTCTTCGTTGCTTTATTCGGAGAATAGATCAGTCGCCGCAGACTCGAAATTGGAACGACCACCGGGGCATCACCTCAATGCTCTCTTGGTCATTAGAGCCGCTAACCATGAATATAGTCCATGTCTCAGATTGTAATAAACCGATCAACACTGTCGTAACGCGACGGCAGCCGAACATTGTACTCGCGTCCGCGAAGCGCTTTCGGAATCGTGTAACTCGCACGACGGGCGAGGGACGGTATTATTATGGGTCGGGATGGACGTTTCTCCGACCAGTATAAGTTGCTGCGGAGGTATGCGAAAGAAAATGATCAGAGAAGGGGTAGGCCAGTTTCGGACCACCTTGACCTGCTGAATGTCCGCCGCGAGAAGCTCTGCCTCCGATTGGGTCTGATGTTGTACATCGGTGAGCTGCTCTCATTTTTTACATAACTATGTTGTGTACGGTCTGACCTTGTTCTCCTCGAGGATATGGCCTACGATCATCAGCGAATTTTTCTACTTCAGGTGTACAAAGGGTGCTGGTTTCTCTGTTCTTCAAGCAGGGGTTAAGGGAGTTGTGAGAGATCCAGTCGATCATTCAGTGAGATTTTGATCCATTCATGAAGGTGAAACGATGTATGTCCAGCTCGCTGTCTCATTTTCCACTTTTCATGCCGATACGTCTTGCTGAAAGAACCAATCACAGGTATCTCGTATTTTGTTTCCTAGCCATTGACCTCGTCTCTTGTGAGAGCAGCTCATGGATCTACGTGTGGTTTGTGTAGCAGAACATGTACGGAGATGATAGCGAGGCGCGATATGTGAGTTCCAGTTTGGCTTTGAGCATGGTCCGCACAGCTGCGCTTGTGGCGAGATGCTGAAGCTCGGTGTTGTTGACTACTGTGATAGTTTTGGATGCAGTGTATTGGTCGCTCGTGAAGACGCGATGCAAGATCCGAAGAGGACTGAGCTTATCGAAGTAAAACGATGTGCACACTGTTACAACGAGGCGCTTCCACTCTATTCTTGTCGTACATACCTAGTGCCTATGCGGTCTATCTTGCTCAACATTCAGCTCTATCTTCAAATGAAACGGACCGATGTGGCGTCACCGACAGTCCTTTGGATAAGCACGACGTCGACCGGATGCTGCCCAGAGTTGTACTCGCTGCCTCAATCATAAATACGGCAATGAAACCCGCCGCTATGCATGCAATTTGTCGCATTCCCATCTTACCTCTTCTAGAATGAACAGGTGCTGGAACTCTGTCATCCTCATAGCGGCCCTGTTGGGAGGTTTTTACAAACTTCACATAAAGGCACTGTTGCTGGGGCATGGCGTCATTGGGCGCGTTAGGAGCCCAGTCCCTAACGATAAATGTCACAAAGTTCCTGAACTCCAAGCCTGACGAAGTGAGTCTGTTCTACATCTGCAAGGTAGACTCGTACACTGATGAGGTTTATGCTTTAACAGAAATTGTTCTCCATCAGCCATCTAGGTTTCTCTATGCAGCGTGCTCAACCCCGTTGAAGCGTAACCTTTGGCTTCCTGCATTCGATTTCTTAAATGAAGAAGACGACTATATCGCCATGTATGACATCTCCTCCTCCACAGTCTCACGTCTCAGCCTGGTCGGCTTCGATGATCCTCGGGGTCTTTTCGTTCACGGATTTGACGTTGTTTCGTCCTCCTCGGATCCCATTTAGCTGTTCGTCTATGCCATCAACCATCGACCACCTATCGACGATGATCCCGCCAAGGTTGGACCAGACTCTGTGATTGAGATCTTTACGACGACGGTCGGAGGGGACATCCTGAGTCACCTTGCGACAGTGCGGCATCCAGTTCTCGAGACACCGAACGATGTACTACCGGCCTTCCCGATGGTCAGAGCTTCTACTTTACCAATGCACATGGATGTAAGACTGGACTTGTGAGTGCCGATGACTTCGCGTCGGATGACATTGCACCATTGATTCCACAAATATAGGCTCGCAAACTAGAGGTCCTCGGAGTGTCCAGGAGTTCCGTCGGTTTCTGTCACGTCGGCTATGGGTGCAAGTGTGCTCTGTCTGGCCTCCCTGGGAGCAACGAAATCGTGTGATCGCATAACGACATGCTCTACGTTACTAGCACGATGAACAGAATTGCACGCACTCGAAAGGCTGCCTGATAAAACGCTCAAAGTTGTGAATCTCATCGCCACGGGTGAGCATGGTCCATTGTTGTTCTATCCTCTTTCATTCTGAGTCTAGAGAAGTCCGTGCTAGATCGCGTACTGGACAACATTTCGGTTGACGAAGATGGCTCGCTTTGGATAGCTGGTATTGTCGATACTCTTGCTATGGTAAAGCACTTTACGAATCCTGGGCATCCCCAAGCGCCCTCATCTGCACTCCGAGTGACAGTGCTCGGATCCGACAGCACAGTGCCGTAGAAGTCATACAAGGTCGAGAAGGTAAGTGAGGTATCTAAAGCCTTGCCTGCTCGCAGAAGCTTATGTGAACCTGGTAGATGTTCGAGGACGATGGCTTTCTTGCGCCAGGTATTACATCTGTGGCCTATGACAGCAGGAGGGGTCTGATGTACATGCACGGTGCGTTGGTGTCCCCTTCATCATGGTCGCATCTGTCAGCTTTGAGATGGGCTCTGAGTGCTGTGATGTTTACAGCTCTAATGACTAGACTATATACCAGTGTCTACACCGGAAACCATGCTTTCGTGGCTCAGTTGGTTAGAGCGCCGGTCTCATACAAGTATGAGTAATCAACTGATTACGTAATCCGGAGATCACCAGTTCAACCCTGGTCGAGAGCACTGTTTTTGCTCCTTTGACCCCAGGCAAACAAGCAGGAAGAGGGGAGAGCTACACGGGGAAACAGAGAAAGGAGGAAAGCTTGAGTGAAACATGCGGCAATGGCCGCGCAGCGCCACAATCAGCTGGGCCAAGTAAGTCAGGATCAACAGTTCAATCCTGAGTGAGGGCACTTTTTGCCCGATTATTCGGGAAACAGGAAGAAGAAGGAGCTACATGAGGGAGAAGGATGTGCTACTACTACTGAGCACACAGATGCACTGATGGTCTATGGAAGAAGGATCCCTTCTGACGACCTTCGATTTGGCGCAACAGCAAGCACAAGCAGAATGACCCAGAACAATGGCAAGGTTGCAAGGCAGACACAATAGTGACAATACTCGACACAGTGGCGGGCTGGAGAGGTATGACCGCACAGTGCCACAACCGACTGAGCCATGTAACGTGTCAGTCAAGAGGTGGCACCAGCTTGACGGCACGGCGCAACGACCAGCTGCGCCATGAGTTGCGAACATTGATTCGATTCTGGGTGCGGGCAATTTCATGGTACGGAAGGTAAGGTAAGGAAAGTATATCGCCGGGATGACTGCATCTAGGTCCCTCGACATGATATTGGAGTTTTTTTGAGGGTACCTGGTATCATATTTAAGTTCTCACTGTTGGCTCAGTGTGATAAACTCTCGAAAACTTTGTTGTCCGAGACGCTTTCGGTGTGTACAATCATTTATTTCGAATTCTTTTTTTTTTATTTTTTATTTTTAAATCGATTGTATTGGTATAGCGCCGACGCGGGTCAGGGGCGCTGGGTGTGTACGGTACTAGTCAACTAACTAAGTATGTAAAGTTGGTAAATACTGTAGATCTCTATGAAAAGAGTGAGGAAGGATTTATTTCGAATTCGGCCACTGGAAACACAAGCCTACCAAACCGGCACACATTCTAGTAGCCTGAGCTCATTCTCTTCCACACTCCCGGACCATCCAGTACGAACTCTCTCATGCGCTCGAGCTGATGATCTACTAATTTTCCCTTCCATTCCTCCAAACCGTTCTTGAGCTTCTCCTTGTCCGAATCCTCCTCAATTACGATGATTAATTCGCTCTTGGCATTCGGAACGTCATTGTTTTTCCCGGATAAGATTCGATATTTGCGTCCGTCAACTTGAGAACCGATAAACATCTCCATTAAGAGACGGCCTTCGGTGGACTTTACATTGTCGTTAGTGCACATCCTCGTTAGCTTCGTGCGACTGATGGCGAAACCCTTCAGGTAGGAAGGTGAAGAAATTGCCGTTACTATCTATAATGGATGTGGTCAGACATTTGGGAATCTTTATTGACGTAACCTGGAGGAACCTGGAGGACGTTGTCGGGAGCAAGTCTGAATAAAGGCATCAATAATTTGGCCAATATGGGGTATACTAGTAAGTAGACAATGTAGTAACTCACATAGGGTATACTGACTCAAAACTTCAAGAAGTTCGATACTGCTCGAAGACAACGAAGACTTGCCATTCACCAGGCCAACATTGTGTGTGCAACTTAAACAGGCAACAGTAGGGTTCGATTTTGTGCTCGCCGCGACACAACCGAGGAGGTGGCGGTGGCCCATGATCTATTTCAAATCAGCCAGATCACCAGTTCGATCCTGCCTCCGAGCATGTCTGAAGCGATAGCGTATCCCGGACAAGTCTGTCGAACCTGGCTGCTGGTCTTGTCTTTCTTATGGCTCTTGCTACTGCTTCAAAAATGTCTTACTTATGGCGAACGGTAATCGTAGGCCGCTGGTCCCTTCGTTTTTGCATCGACGTGCGTTTATGAGGAGAACTTGGCATCAGCGTTGCCTCCGAGTCTCACTGCCTCCAGGATCCAATACAAAGACATTCCTCCAATCGACCCCTCCTGGTCGTTTGGTTTGGCTACAGCGCGGCTGCGTAGTGGGTACATCGCGGTGCTAGAAGTCCGACAATCGTGTGGTCGCCGTCTTGCATGGAGATACTTCATTCAGTGGTCTGCGCTGCACAAACTCACTCTGTTTCGTGGAAACGGTCAACGTTTACTGCGACAGTCTACATCTCTTTCCACATAAATATGGGGCAAGACTCGCTGATAGTCTGCGGCCCTCGTTTCTTCCGATCTCTTCGTGTCATTGCGTTCTCAAACCACCTTGAATCTCTGGCCATGTTTAGTCGTCTCGTTTCCATCCCTACCTTTTTCTCAGCGCTCTCCCTATTCACGGCTACCGCTGCCCTCAACGTTCCTAGACAGTCAAGCACCAATCCATGCTCTGCCTTTCCAGGAGCTGGGTCGCTCAACGCCTTGAACTTCATGTTGGCGGCGTTGAACACCACTCTACCCAACGCAAATACCACCGGAGCTTCGGTCATCTTGGGTTAGTCTCTTCCACTACAAAATTTTCATATCTACTACTAAATCTATAGTACTGAACATAGTTCTTACCACTTACAGCAGGTGCAGGTGCCATCGATGGTGCTGAATTTTATGGGCTCGTCGTAAATGGGATATCAAAAGGCGCGGCGAGGATCCCAAGCTGACTTTGTCCCTCTATGTGCGCGGGTGAGTAGACGCAAGCTAGCTACCCTTACCCGCCAACCTACCCGCTCTTTAATATGACCAACGGTGGCCTCCCAGCTGCTCCCTTGGTCTGGGGTACCGAAGTCTCTTCTGGCGCTGTACCAGGCTTTCTTTCCACGTCTCTTGAAACGCCCAACCCTGCTGAGATCTACTGCTCTGTGGTATGTGCATCAATTGCACCTCATCATCCCGCAGGTTTACTAAAACCCACGATTAACAGACCGTTGATGGTTACGAACATCCTACCCTCGCCGTCAACGGACGTACCGACCCTTTCAGCGTGTGCAGGGAGTATCCTTGCGAGTCCACGCCCTGGGAAGCGGTCTACTATAATGCCACCAATGGCTCTTCTACGTGCGGCGCATCTCCGGCTTGCTACCCCGTCGTCCTTTCCATCGTCTTTGCTTGACCCGACTTGGTAGGCAAGGATGGATATGGAGGTAGTATACGTATCAATGCGGGATCTCTCGGTTGCATGATCTCGTGTCGATTTTCGTGAATTGCGCCATGGAATAATATGGATCGTTCTCGAATTTTTCATCGTGTGGGGTCGACACCTGTTCTCCATCTTCAACGTGTACTCCGTCGGCACGACGAAGGAGCAAGGTGTCACACCCCACCACTTTCATCGCTGGCGCCTCCATGAAATTCACCGTCAGGCTTGAGTGAAGATACGCGTTAACGCGATGCAACGCGAGGTCGAGGGAGGTATTGCAGTAGGGTTGGTGCGAAGACGAGTTCCCGAGGTCATCAGACGACAAGTCAAATCCTCACAAGCGGGACTAAGTAGACGCAAAGGCACATCGTTGACGAGTTCGGGTAAGAATGGCTGGCTGGAATCCTTTGTGGTATCTGATGAGACATCAGGCTGAAGCGATGGAGTAGAAATAAATAAGAGTTTATAAACATTGTGTAATTGTACAGTGAGTATGAATGTGACGTCGTGACGTTTCAATACTTCGGGAACACCCTACACACAGCAGCATACCCGGCCAACTCCTCCGGATACGATCCGACCACCTCATTCCTCGCCTCCAGCCAGCTCTCAGGCAACTCGTTGTAAATGCCCCTATTCCAGCCAATAGCCTCCCACCACTCCGGACACCAGCCCGCATTCTCCCAGTCGATGAGGGCGACTATCTTCCCACTCTTCACCAACACGTTCCTCGGCGCGATATCTCCATGGGTAAACACGGTCCTATACCCTCCCTGGTGCGCACGATGGATGATCTTGTCGAGGAGTGGCCAGTCATTGCGACGGGATTCGACAGCGCGGGCTTGGCCAAAGCCAAGATGATCGTGAAAGGCGTGTATGGAATCGAAGGGACCTATAGCCTTGTTGGAACTAATTCCAACGTCCCTCATCCTCGACCCATCGATCGACTCGACCCTCCCAGGTCTCGGCGGCTCAAGACTCCTCATCTGCCTCACATACCCCTTCAACTCCTCCAACAAGCCCGGCCAATCCTTCTCAGGCGCGTACTGCATCTCGTACCCGTCCACATATTCCATATCCAACGTCATCCCCAACCCGCCCGCGAACTCCGATTGCGTTACCTCGAGCACTTTCGGCACGGGGATGGTCGTGTGACGAGCGACGTACTGCATTGCCGCGACTTCGGACGGTAAGACGCGGTGCTTACGCATGATCGTGTCCCCTATTTTGACCACGCGATCCTCTTGGCGGCCGCTGGAGGATAGACGACGACGGGACTCGGAGACGCGGGCTTTGAAGCGGGTCGCGACGTTCTTGAGACGGGAGGCAGAGGACGACGCACGACGTTTAAAACCGGAGATGGAAGTGGGGGTGCTGGGTTTAGAGGATTCTTCAGAGTCGAGGGCGTCATCGTCGTCGAAGACTGGGTATTCTGTGTTGACCCTTCATGCGAGTCAGTAAGAGCCAGATTTTGAGAATGTGACAACTAACCTAAGAGGGAGTGGGGGGGAGGGCGATCCTGAGGACATTATGGTGACTGTCCTGGAGGATTGACTGCGAGGTGGGAGGAGTGAGTTTCGCATAGACGGATGATGGGCGGACGAGTATTCACAGCAAACAGGGGTACTTGTTCCTTCAGGTCTGATCGAGCTCGGCTTATATACCGAGACAGTAATATTCGATGACCTGTGACCCACAGTTATTTTCGGATTATCAGGCCGTTCCGGTATAAACGGGATGTTGAAACCCTTGGTTTTTATGATAAACCGTTTACGTTGATAAGTAACAGCGTCTGTAAATGCACCGCAGTGTCAACGTCCGGGGTAACTGAGCATTGTATGAAATGCAACGTGCGCATCAGTGATGCTCATCTCCTGAATGACCCGACGGACAACCGCGAAAGTGGTGAGTCTATGAAAAGCACACCTTGATTTTCGCAGTCGATGAGAGGGTTTGCATGGACCGCTAGGCAGGACTGGTCAAGTAAACAAGAACGCCACACAACAGGATGTAGAATCTATGAGGTGGCACAATCACATATGAGCATTATATGTGGCCCAAGTCAGGCTGAAAGATAATGGCAATCGAAATACGACTGCGTTACCTAGATTTCTCCAATCGAGAACCGCAATGCAATTTCGCCAAGAGAGACCGAACGAGAGTCGGATATAAGTACAAGGAACGTGGATAACACACGACCTGCTTAGCAAGAGTGTCCTCAGTACATACGGTAGATCTTAGTTTTGAAAGTAATCTAGGCTTACTTCAAAGTCACTGATCACAACCTTCACCGAGCACGACAATGGCAAGGCGATGATATCGATGGTGGTACAGATGCAAGACGAGTGGCCCCGAATTTCCATTATACATAGCCGCAAGCGCTCGACAAATTACGTAATAAACAGCCCTCATCACTGACGGGCTCTGTTCGCCAGCCCTCCCGCTGACGATAACCACAACGGCGACAGCGACAATCTAGTCATCGTCAGCAACGATGCTCACCTTCCTCTCATTACCCCTTCTTTCTCTCCTCGCTGTCGCGTCCCTTGTCGCCGCTGACGACACTGATACTTGCGATACCGCGAATACCGGTCTCCGTGTCGGCACTTTACAGTACACGTCTGATTGCAATGCTACGACTTGGTGCAACTCTGGAACTTGTCTGAATAAGAAATGTCGCAGAGACGAATATCCCCTTGGATGGCCGAGCACTATCGATATGCCGGATCGGTGCGGTACGGGGACGTTCTGTCCTGACGAGGAGAGCGAGTGTCTGCCACAGTTGGCTGTTGGAAGTGCTTGTCAGTTTAACAGGGATGGTGCGTACTCTTTCATTTTTAGAGCGTGCATGTACTAATATCTAAATTTTCTATGTGTAGATGAGTGTGAGGGTCCGCCCGACTTCGCTGACTTGAGAGACACAAGCTCACGCGGTCTCAATGTCAACGGCTCCATCTGCCTCAACTTCGTCTGCACGTGCGTATAGGTTGTCTATCCTCAGAGGTTGTACTGAAACGAGACAATATTTGATGGTCAGGTATGCGAATGTGACCGTCGGGCAGACATGCCAGGTTGAGAACACTGGATACATCGCATATGGAGCCGACAATGCCGAATTCGTTGACATTGTGTCTCGGTAGGCACTTTCTTCTTAGTCTGACTTTTAGGAGGGCCATCTTCTTAATCACTAAATCCCCACAGCGACAACTGCAAGATTGGGCTCTACTGTGACACGAACTCGAAGGTCTGCATCCAACAGAAGGAACAGGGTGACAGCTGTGATGCCGACAAGGAATGTTTGACGTACAACTGCGACTCCAAGGGCGTCTGTGGCTTGGACCCCTCCCTTCCACTGACCTATCCTGCCTGGCTCTATGTTATTGTTGGGATTGTTTTGTTCGGAGGTATGAACATCGTGACGCAAGGTTATATAGTATCATTTTCACTAATGCGCCATAATTACAGGGATGTTCTTGACGCTCTTCATCCTATTCTTCTTGCATCGCCGTCAGCGTGACGCCGAGCGGGAGAAGCGTCTCCAATACTGGCGTGAACAGGCGCGTTTATCTATTCCCACATTTGCTTTTGACATCACTGACACGACGTCATCCTTAGAATGCCTTCCGACAAAACATCCTGTCTATGCGCGACACTGCTCGTGCCTCCATCTTCTCCATGTCGGGCGCCATGACTCCTCACTCGAACCGTACAACTATCTACTCCCAAGCTGGAGGCGACTCTGAATCTACGGCCCCAATGCTGCACAAGAGCAGTGGATTGAGGCAGGGATACGTCAACGAGGGTGCGAGCAGGGAGGACTCCATGTACGATGATCAGTATGAAGGTGAGGGGGGAGGGCACAGTGGCCAGAGCAGAGAGGGGAGCGAAGCGATGTATGCCGAGAAGAGGTTCTGATTGATGGACTGTGGCGTTAGAGATGTGCGTATGGAGGGTACCGCGGCCAGTTCTTTTCATCGTATGGAACATTTTCTGTTTTTGGCCTCTTTTTCTTGTTCTCGTCTGCGTTCTCCCTGTTCCCTTTGACTTTCGTTGATCTTGCCTCCTCGCGTCTCCCACACCCATTTTAGCAGCTGAAGTTCTCGGTCGGACATTGATAGTGGTCCTGATATTGTGTACTTATCCACGCATGCCGTCGTTTATTTCCTCCCTAATATGATACCTGCGTAATCCATATCATCCGCTCACTTTCCCCTGAAACCCTCTAGTGCAAGCAAGCTAGAAAGCTGATTTTCAGGGGCGATATTGCTCACTAAGTGGTAGCCGATAAAACTAAGTATGTCTTGGGCCACATTGCAGAGACGAGATTCTTCGGTGTGAAGTTGGTGTGAAGCGTGTGTCGCATTGTACAAAAATGTTCGATTTCTCTTAACCTGCTACTGAATACTATCCATAAGTCGTTCGTTATGACAACCCACTCCAGCATTTTTGTTTCTCCAGTTACGCCTTTCCCTCCTCAGTAACCTCAGTCTGCGTCATCTTGAAGGGCATATCTCCGCTGAACCAACATCACAATGATAGTATCCCACGACGCAAGCGACTTTTCTTTCTCTGCGACAAATGGCGCCCTAACGGTACCATCATCCGCGTCCGGAAAAGGTGATATCTGCTCGATGTCCGAGAGACTCACTGGGTGCGTCGTGATGAATATTTTCACGAAGCCAACGTCGATGTCTTGGTTATCCCGCAGAAAAAACTTGTGCGGGGCGCTGCCACCCGTACCGTAACCTATTGCCAACGATCCTCCTGATGGAAGGGGCGCATCTACCTCTCCTGGTCCTGTTGGGGGCTCATAATACGGCACTGTCATAGTGTGATGTCAGCAACGCAATCCTGTCGTAGAAGAGATGATAAACTTGCTGATGCTCAAATCACTCATATCGAAGTAGTACACAGAGCAGTATAGATCAACGTGCCCCTTATTTTTGATATTGACGCCGTAGAGTGCGTCGTCCACGACCATGTCTACAGCATTGGCCACATTGAGGTTCTCTGCACCGTCATCCGGGATGTGCATGAGTGGGGACCCCTCAACCCATTCGTCCGGGGATTCCTGCAACCTGAAAACATCGACTTCAACCATATCACGGAGAGGTTGCTCCTTCAAGGACGCGTTCGAACGACGAAGATGCCAGTAGAAATGCGCGGCGGACTGGAGGATTGGATGGACATCTCCGGCGGTGGGAGGGACGGTGTAGGGCATAACGGTGAGCCCATACTGGACGCACAGGTCGTTGGTTATGTTGAAGACGACCTGGCCAGAGTCGTCAAGTGCGATATCGAGTTCCGCAGTGTCCTTGTCAACTAGGACGATTTGTTTCGTGTTGGCGGCGGTGGAATTCATTCGTTCGTAAATTTCTTCGAATAATGTGACGAGCCTCCTGTCATCCGCAATATGGACACGTAGATCCTCTTCATCTCCAGCGTGAGTCTGCATCGCCCAGGCCGGTTCCTGCAGCTCGAGTCTGGTGCTGTCTTGGGCAGCGACGAGCTCTGTCATGAGCGGGGACACGTTCGTCGCAATCAAGCTCCCGAGAGGGGTAGACTCGTCCTCGGCGGAGCTAGCATCGCGATAGACGTCGTACCGGCTGTGTTTGGTGACGCCCTGAGCAGCCCCCGCCCGCATCAAGTAGCCTCGTCCTCCTAAAAGTTGCCTGACGGGATACATTTTGCGTCCACGGCCAGGTGCCATTCCGTTGAAAACGATCCGACCCTGGTTATTACCTTCGCATTGTGGGTTCTGCCTGTATTGGCGGAATCAATTCATGGTGTTCGACTCGGAAAAAAAGGTTTGACCTACCCTGGCAACTGCGAAAGCGGAATCCTCTTCATAACCTCATAGTATGTGGCCCTCTCAACTCCAAGGCTCCTGAACGTTCTTAGTAACGCATGGGTAAACCGTCCTCTGCCTTGCCTTTCGATAGCCTTCTCCTTTGCTCCACATGCCGCTAATAAAACGTGCGACCGTAAGGCCTTGTGTCGAGATTCAGGTGCAACGGCGATCCCTCGCGGATTGAACTCTGCGTCGACGTCGGGAGGAAGAGGGTTGATTTCGATACCACGGACGAGAAGGGTAGGATCGGGCGGATCCGCTCTCGTGCCAGAGGCCGAGTGACAGCAGTCGAAGATGATGGTCTAAGAACACTGAGCAACGGACTAGCGTTTGAGGACAAGTTCACTCACAATGTTGTCGCCCTTGCTATCGGCTAACTCATTGATGAGGTGGCCTATAGCGCGATCTGTGATAGGCTGCTGGGGTTTGCCATCGGATTGCTTCACCCCATAGTCGTGAGGTATAAGACACTGGATCTTTTCAGCGTTGCTTTCCACCGACCAACCCTCAGGGGCGTCGCTCGAGCCTCCGTGGCCAGAGTAATAAACAAGAATAGGGTCATATTTATGGATGAGGTCGTCCTTTTGTAAGTCGGACCATGCTTTTATGATACCATCGCGCGTGGCTTCCTCGTTGTGGAGGCGTCTGATCTGCTCGAAGGGCACGAAGAGGTCATGTTCTAAGAATGATTGGACTGCTTCGGTATCAGCCACAGCGCCTTTGAGGTCTTTCACTTCTGGATGGGTGTATTTGTCGATGCCGATGAGCAGTGCCCAGAGAGGTGGAGCTTTCCTGGATGAAACGTGTTAGAACTAACATAACACAAGCAAATAACGAGGGTACCCCTTGATGGTGATGGTTTGGTGCGGGTCGCTGCGATGCTCTGAAGGAGAGGAAGCCATATGAAGGAAGGTGGACAGTGCTGCTAGAGGAGGCTGCAGTCAGAGTGTAAGTACAGAAAGTGTGGGGACGAAGACGTCAGAGCGGGATTCTTAAACAACAGGGCTGGATCCAGGGCGTGATGGCGGCGCAAAATAAATCGTGAGAGGCTACCGTGAAACGCCGGACAAAGATGCCCTATATAAAGTATGTCTGTGCTCAAGTGGCAAAGGCGTGAATAAGGCGTGGAGTTTATGATTTTAGCAATCATGCAGGGTCTCGGCTTCTGAAGGTCGAAAGCCCAACACCGGTACATCTGACATGGGGCAGTTCAAAGTGGATGAATCAGCCATAGAAAAAAAAACTGCGCTGATGCCTGCATGTATCACAATTCGATTGAAGCAATGTCGACTGCGTTCCAGGAGAGCATCCGAGCGTCAAGCAGCCACTTTGCATAGCATACCACACATTAACCGCAGATCTGCGGAACTAGTATCCAGTGCATCAGAGTGCGGTCCACCGAGCACGCCAGGAGCCCAATAAGCCACCGCCGATCCTCAGCCGAAATAATCAGAGGTTATCTATATAAAGAGCGACGAGCCCTAAACCCGCCCACATTGTCAAACACTCTGCGCCGCAACACGCATATTCTCCGAATCACATACTTCCCTTAAATAAAGACATGCAGAACGATGAAAAGGCAGTCAGCGTTATGACCGGAGACCAGACCCAGGAAGAGCAGTAAGTTCCATCAAGTCCTCATGCTCACATGAATAGCGAGCTGATAAGACTTCACCAAGGAACCTGGCGGAACACAGAGACGACGACCAGTCTCAAGATATCACGCCGACGGGTGAAATCCACCCTGATGCGTGGGACAGGTAGGTTTTTTTAAAACAGACCTCGGCGTCCTGAGGCACTAACAAAGGCTTCCTGGGCGACAAGCGACGCTGATTCCGAGGAGGAAAGCGAAGCAAAGGTTAAGGGCGACAAAGAAGATGAAAGAGCACAACATGGCTTCACTGTCCCTGTTTCCAAACCATCAGTACCAACCAAGCCTACGAAGCCGAAGCCTTCCGGTTCATGAGGTGGAGGCTCGTCTAGATAGAGTCCCCAAGTTATGGGTTGGAGAAGAGGGAGTGGAAGAAGAGGCTATGGAGGTAGCGGACTCTGCGACCGTTTCAGAAGCTGAAGCTCAAAAACCAGGATGTACTATTTTGCGGTGTTATATGGGTGCATGAAGGTCGATCCGCACGTACCAGTATTGTGTATATGTAGGGCATGTTTATATTGTCACTCTTGACGGACCCTTCAATATTTGTTCAAGTTGGAACTTTTCAGACGTACGACGCATCGCGTCCGAGTCTCTTGGGAACAAATCGCTTTCTGGTCAATGCCGCAGCGCGTAGGGTGCAAGGATAAGAGAGCCCTGTGTTAGCAAAGTCTTCCATAAGACCTAGATCAAGAACGAGGACTAAGGTGTCCAGCGAGTGTTAAGTATTGAGGATAGGGAGGGATAGCCGCGAAGATAAACGTCGTGGCGTGTGGCAGCGTGTGGCGCAACGAAGCGTCGAATCTCGTGAGAATTCCTCGCCAAATACGGTGAAATATTTGTCTCATTTCATTCTGCTTCTGCCACTTGAGAACTAGGACACTGTGATGTTTATCTCTTTATGTTTCACGCTGGAGACCTACGGCCAACGGCATATATTATATACTCTTTGGATCACTGCGCTGATGCCAATGTAATCGAACGGTGAACTGAAGAGTCTCTCGACTCGGAATCTCGATGCGCCGCTGATCGACTTCCGGAGGGTATCACATTCTCAACCATCTTGAATTCTTGTTCATTTGTCTCCCAATTTCTCTCCTGTGGCATGCTTTCATTGTTGGTCCTGCTTCTTCGCGTCGGCGGTGTCTTACTTCTATCGGCCCAGCTGCAGGTCGCCCGCGGTGCGTCTAGTTCTCTCCGACTGTCTGTCCAAACTTCCCTAGTTTCAACAACCACTCATTAGTTGGGAATGACAACTTCTGTACCATGGTACAGGTATTTCGATCGGCTCAAGCCGTAGAGAAGCCTGTCCAGACGGAATTCACTCGACCAACAACGCCGTCTGCTGTCCTCTCTTTGCCCTCCGGGACACACTTCAGACCAGCGTGTTCGAAAATACATGTGGCGCCAACTCCCGCCTAGCACTTCGTCTCACGTTTCACGATGCACTGGGGTATTCAACGACGCGTAACATGGGAGGCGGATCCGATGGTTCTATCATTCAATACGCGGAGATCGAGACAGCATACCCGGCGAATGCGGGGTTGAATGGCATTATTGGACAGTACTTGGACTTTTACAAGAATAATCAGGTCCCGCTCAGCTATGGAGATTTGTGAGTGGGTGTCTTAGCGATGTGCAGTCTCTATCTGTTCTCATACGACTTGTGCGAACTAGTATTCAGTTCGCGGGTGCCGTAGCTATGACCAACTGTCCAGGATCTCCAACGTTACAATTCTTCATGGGTCGCCCCGACGCTAAAGGACCTGCATTGAATGGAGCAATATCTAATGCACCTGGTTATCATTCCGCACCCAGTCCCTTCGTCCGAATTACTCATGGACTACTTGGTTACAGACTCCTCGGATGTGATACTTGCCCGCTTCGCAGATGCAGGCTTCAACAGCGACGAAGTCGTGACTCTGTTGGCGTCGTAAGTTTTTTCACTTGTTTTGCTGTGGCCGTTGACGAACCGATACTCTCAGACACTCTGTTGCCAAACAGTCTTCCCTTTCTAGTGCTCCTCTCGATAGCACGCCTGCTCTTTTCGACACGCAATACTATGCTGAGACCATGCTGAAGGGTACGGTATGGCCTGGGTACGTTGCAATTTATCATGCAGTCTTCGTGGCGCCCCTGAATGACCCTGACCTAGCGCTCCGAATATTACTGGCGAAGTCATGTCTCCGACCCGCTCACAAGTACGACTGGCCTCTGACGTGTTCATCGCACAGGGTACCTGTCACTCTAACCGCCTATGTTCTTCTTCATGCACATATCCTCATCTGTGGCAACACACCTACTTACGCACCTTTCACAGATCCTCGTACCGCTTGCAAGTGGCAAGGCTACGTCAACGATCAGCAAAGGATGCAGTCCGATTTCCAAGCTGCCATGCTCAAAATGTCGCTTCTGGGTCAGGATCAAAGCGCTCTCACTGACTGCTCAGACGTCATCGAGAATGCACCGCCGCTCCCTCAACCGGCGACATATTTTCCGGACAATTTCACGGTGGCGGATGTCAACCAAACAGTACGTCTGTTCGCATTTGGTTCGGCCATCACAACTCCGAGCTGATCTATATTCATGGTCACAGTGTTCTAGCACGCCCTTCCCAAATCTTCCATCCGCCCCAGGTGAGCGAGACGGTTTCTCTCCAAGACTTGGACGACGAGACTGATTGGCTGCTACCACCTAAAGCTCCCATCATTTCCGCCACCGCGGCCGATCGTTGAAGTTCTCGAAGGCTCACATCTAACCTGTTCCTCGTACATGATGACTCCCCGAGGCGGAGGACCTCATCTCTTCCCCATGCTATACCCAAGGACACACCGCCTCGCATTGCTAGCACCGCTCTTTCATTTTGTTGGGTCTTATGTGTCGTGATATTTTCCTGCCAAATGTTTTGCTTTGTTGTATCCTATCTGGTTGTATTCCGGGCTTGCTTATGTAGTTGATCGAAAGGCGTGCTTGATTACACGCACCATTTTGACCTTTCGAGAAGTGTGGCTCGTCCATATGGATCGTACCCAGTGCTGTACTGTGGCTTGGCTCCCTCCACTGAGGTCAAAACTCAAGCTTCCTACCAATAGGCCGAGAATGAAGATCAAACACGAAATACCCACCGAGAACGACTTCACAATAGTCCTATGAAGGTCTCCTATCGACCTCACCGTCGTCACTGTCCGCAGAAAGTAGCTTCTCCTCCCTTCGTATCTCTTCTGCTCTTTTCACTGCTCTAGCGGCCCTTCTTTCCCTTTCCCGATCTACGCCTATGAATTGCTCTCTGGCCTCCGCACGCATCCGTGCCTGATTGATGTTGTCTTTGAACGACTGCTGCCTCGACGAGCTCGATTGCCAAAAGAAAACGCCAACAGACTAATCCACGTATTCCCTCGTCAACATTCCATCACGGAGACAAGGGAGCGAACGCACCATAGCCAGTATAACAACGAATGCCCTGTCCTTCCACCTCTCATCTACCGCACCCACATTCAGCTCTGCATGCGCCTTTCTCCTCTGCCTCACCTTCCACATTTCCGTACTCAGATTATGCCAGTCCCTCACTCTCCCATCGCCACCTTCGCTAGGACCAGAGTGTGGCGAGGAAGCTGGACGACCTCGGAGGACGTTATAGGCTCCTGATATTGCGTGGAAGCGTTCTTGGGAGACATGAGGTGGGTAGGCGCGAGCGACGGGAGAGTCGGGGTGATAGATCCGGACCAGTTCGTAATCTAGGGTTTGTGGTATACGTTATGATTTGTTGATATCGCGAGATAATGGTGTCGAGAAAGAAAGTACGCACATCGGTCCTTGACGTCCGCTTGAGATGCGGATTTGGGTAGATGGAATATTTGGTGTGGTGTAGGACGTGGGTCGGAGGGATAAGGGAACGGATTTGCGCTGCTGGAGGCATGCCGGATGTAAAGGACATGTGGTTTGGGGTGACGAGTCGTGCGGTTACGCGTAGTTGTAGTAGAAGTTCTGGGAAATGTAATGCAAGAGCTTGTGGATCCAGTAAAGAGGAGATTGAGAGACACTCGAGAGCAACTCCTGGACAGTGAGGCATGCATGTTTTGTCGACGCCGACGTCTATGCAATCCGATTAATGGAGCCTGGAAAGGCAGATTCACGGAGTCAACAATAATATTACACGATAGAGCTCAGATCCAACACCTACTGCTCTGTCTATTCTACAGTCAGCGAGTCCAAGGATATAGTGGTCAGAATCAAAGAGGTCTCCGCCAGGTTTCCGCTGCAACCCGGGGTGGCTGTGGCGTTTCCATCTGTTTTTGGGCCACAACGGACGACACAGAATGCAACAGACAACATCGTACGCATAAATTTCAGGTTTTATTGCCTCAAAAGTACGATGAGATAGAAGAGAGACGACATTACAGACAGTCACCGACACGGTCTGGCATACGAGTTATACGTGAAGCCCAACCCAACCGGCCGGACTGTTGATCACAACGGAGTCCCCGCCAGCCTTCTTCCCCACCACGACCTTCCCTCCCTGTTTCGCAAGCGCCCCGCTCACAAGCGTGCTGTCAATCTTCTTCACCTGAACCTGCATCGCCTTCACATTCACCACACCATTAAGCCCTGCCTTTCTATACCTCAAACTCATGGTCTCCCTTCCCGCATCTATCGCATAATGCTCGCTCTTGATCCTCCTATGGGGTTCATGCTCTTGATGCTCGTAGATGATATCCGCACGTCCGGTCCCAGCGACAGTCAAAAGCTCTGCGACATCGTCTTCTGGTGCATCCGAATCGTAGTAGGATGCAGGGAGTGGCTGAACGCGAACGTTAGTGACAGCAGCGCCTCGAGCGAGAATCTCCGTCCTCTTCATGATCGGGATATTCCCCGTAATCCAACCCCCATGCGCCTCTAACGTCATTCTCTTACTCCTGATACTCGTTCCATCCTTCTCTCCGTTATCGTTCATCACCAGTAGATTCCGCTTGTCGAAAGCGAACATGGTAATCTTCATATCCTCCAAATGCAGTTCTTCCTCCCATTCTGGTATCTCCATCGATGAATCAAACAATAGATGCGTCGGTCCATACGTGCTCACATGCAACTTCTTCAGCGTCGAAGGGATACGCAACACGACGTCGAAACGCATGCACTGTGGTACGAAGTCTTCGCCGAGTGGTTCATTGGTCTCGTTCGACGGGGGAGGTTGGATGTAATCTGCATGTGGGGTGAAGAGGACGAAGTGGGAGGCGTCGACAGAGCCGTCGGGGTTGACGGGCGGTTCATAGAAGACAAAGTGTTTGGCGAGGGTGGCGTTGTTGGAGCGCATGATGAGATCCATCTCGACTTCGTTCCTGGTTACTTCGTGAGGGTTTCCGGAGGCGAAGGCAGATTCGAGGCGGGTCAGCGTGAGAGTGCCGACAGCACCTGGGAATCGGATTAATCAGAATTTCGTTCAACTTCACTTCCGGGTTGTATGTACATATGACGGGCGAGAGATACGCACCTCCACGGATATCAAACTGGAGATCAGAACGTTCAGTTCCTATTGGGATACTCTTCGTCTCCGTATGTGTGAAAGGCGCATCCGATTCCGCGAGACAGCCTAGGGAGGTGCTGAAGACGGGCATGGTCGTCAAAACCTTGAGCACCGGCTACATTCAAGGTTAGTCAGCGTCGTATGTCTAGTTCCGAGGTAATGAGAGTGGGACAAACAGCTTCAGACCAATGGACCAATCCCCAGATCTGCCACACTAAGAGGAAGTATGCAACCACGCCGACACCGATCCAGAGGCCTTTCCACCTGAACGATACGCCGAAATCATTAATCTCACCCAGTATGAATCATATAAACAAACGATGCCTACCGTCGTTTGGGAGTAGGTTTAAGAAGCTGCACCGGTGCATGTTGACGGTCGCGGTTTTCTCCACCATAGACGGTCTCCTCCTCATCTCCTTCCCACGACTCGTCTTGATAATGCGAGTGCTCGTCTGGTCCTGCAGCTCGTGCTAGTTCCTCATCCTCGGGTGCGAGAATGTGGGCGTCTGTGAAGTCGCCATTCGTTTGTATGTCCGAGAGGAGATCAACGATAGGGACATACAGTCAGAGTTGGGCGGTCTACGACCCATTGCCAGGAGGGCACGATTCACTAAACTTCGGCCTCGCTCCATCTCGATCGAGTTTGTGATGCAGATAGACGTAGAGAGAGAGCTTAACCAAAACTAGAGAGAGAATCCACTGCGGAGACCGTCAAAGACGATATCGAGAGATGGTGGCGGATCAAGAAAGACGAGGAGACAGCTCCGACTGCCGCTTCATAGCCAGTGGATACGTACGACATGCATTGCTGGCGAGTGCAAGCCTTTCACAGGGCACACTATATGGTTCCTGTGCACCAATAGAGTCAAAAGAGTCAATTTTCCACCGGACATAGGTCGATGAGAAGATTAACCAATGTCAGAGCCGTTTTCGGGATGCTTTTAGACACGGGCCTGGGAAAGACATGACGCAGTGTTTGAGCGGTGGGAATGGTATTCGCTGGATTTAAAACACGGAGGGAATAATCTGTAGAATCGAAAGGGTGGCACAAAGACCTCGCCATTCAGAAATCAGGGGTGGTGGGGAATTTTGTGTCCAGAGGCAGAGTGGCACCGGATGTGGCCCACTTTTTTTGCGCAACAGAGGGGTGTCGGATTCAGATACTTGCACCGCCAAGGTTGGAATGCAGACAAAGACAGGCACCCACAAGAATAACAGAGGAGACGTCAGTCCACTGCTTGGTTCTGGGGATCATGAGCACGAAATTTGGCCTTTTCGAAGTTGCAATGCGTTAGTGATCGCTGACGGAAGGAAAACAGCCACGCTACTGCAAGGACATCGCGAGAAACAGGTGTGGAAGGAAGTATGGAGATGACACTTGATTACTTTGTTTACAAACTTCGTAAAGAGGAATGCCGCTGTGGGGGAGGCGGACATGAAAGTACGGACACCCACAAACACCCACGATGGAACATCATGTCGGCACTGCGGATCGTGTTGAAGGCCCGACGACAGGCAGACGTACTAAGAGCAACCCTACTAGAGCGCGATCAACATTCTAACGGCTTGTCGTGAAGCTTGAATATTGAGTATTCGATAGCGAATTGAACGAAACGGAACAGCAGAACATGACAGTTAGGAGCAAGTGAAGAACTTCAAAATCCGATGGAGACCGAACGAGCTTTGCTCGCGACCACCACCTTTCAGATAATCACTCAACAAATCTTTGTCGATGTTCCTCATGTTCCCGTCTCGTCTGGCCTTGCGGCTATGGGACCCTAGACGCCCATCAGGACACATGTAAAAGCGACACAAACCTGGCTGGATTCCTGACGTTTTCGGCACTTTCACGCTTTGTGCCGTGTCCAGCACCCCGGAAGCGCGAACACCACCAGTCTTGGTCCTGTACTCGATCCTGCCTATATCTATCCGCCCCCAGCTCACTTCGTGAACAACACTTGGAATCTCTAACATCTCTGATCTGCTTGCCGAGTCCGTGAATCCCAACATGCTTTTCCCTGTGGCCGTCTTCGCCGGACTCGCCGTCCTCTACTACCTGACATCCCCAAAGGATTCTGGGACCCCTCGTGAACGATATGAAGCCCTTCGTGCAGAAGCAAATCAAGCTGGAGATGCTATGGCACGCACCTTTGAGGAGAGTCGGCTCGCGTTCGATAAAGGCGAGAAGAAGAAGGCGAAGGAGTTGAGCAATGAGGGGAAGTTGTTGAGGGAGAAGATGGAGAGGTTGAATGTCGAGGCGAGTGAGATGGTGTTTAGAGGTGAGTATTGCTTCGAATGTTGTCTTTGTTACGAGTGGGTCTGACGCATAAGCTTTCCAGAGAATAACATGGTACGTCGGATTTTGAAGTGGGGCGTTCAGAGCGGTGACGATGGCATGCCGTAGAATCGTCCCTCAGGAGAAGTAGACCTGCATGACCTTTACGTGAAGGAGGCCATTGCGTTCACAGATCGAAGTATTCGAAAGGCACGGAGACGGGGAGACACAAAGATCAAGCTTATAGTCGGTGCGTTTATCCTTTGGCCTCTCAGCTCTTTGTTCCTGTACGTGTGTGCTTACAATAGCCTTCTATCAGGCAAGGGGATACATTCCACAGGCGCAGCAAAACTCAAGCCTGCCATCGAAGAACTTATGCAGAAGTACGTGTCCTTCAATTTCTTTTCATCGCTGAAAGATTAATGACGTTCGGTACATAGGAATCGACTAGTGGCTGCTCTGGACGAACAGAATGCGGGCGTTCTCATCGTTCAACTCGACGGCGTCACTCCTTATCAAGGCGACGGGAGACTTTTAGATGCGAATGACATTGCGAGCAAGTTGGATAAGAAAGACGATGGCTGTCATATCATGTAAAATGTATTATGTTGCATTATTGAGGCTCACGGTCACTTACAACTCGGGTCTCTTTAAACCTTTTCCTCATACTAACCGTCAGCATAGAAATGTCGCTCACTTGAGCTAGAATCGTATATATGTCAGACTGGAGATTAGAGGTCTCATTCGATTGAGGATCAAATGGGCCACCGCCACTTGCCCCTTTCTTTTGTCTCCGACTCCGATTCCGAGCTCGGATCAGAGATCGACTCGCCGCACTTCTGTTGGGTTTCGTCGCGCTCCTCGACTTTCTGCTTGGTCGTCTTCAGATGCTCATTGAAACTCTGTGTCTCACTCGCTCACCCATTCTATACGGCCCTCTCGGTTTACTTTCGTACTCTGCAGTTGTCTGAGACTGATCCTATGGCTTATGGCTTCTACGACCATGCCTGGGGCGTAGTAATGTCTGGATGTCTGTCCGCCGCCAGCAGCCTGGACTGGTCTTCACTCGCTTTTCTCCTGTTTGTATGCATATTTGTACAATTCCTTCGTTTCAATCGCACCCACCACGAACAACTACCGCTACTTCAAGAAACCGAAGGTCCGACATTGCCTAACTACATTACGCCATCATTTCGCGATGTCCACCATGCTCTTCCTCCTTCAAGACACTTCCCGGCGCAACTTGTCGTGTCTACGCCGACTATCGAACGTGTTCGCGTAAAGAAAACAGAACTCTCCCCGTCGACGCATTTTCATTCGATCACGGGTTTCAACCGTTCGGCTCCTCCCCCACGTCGAAGTCGAGTTCCCAGACCCCCTAAGGCTTACCGGACCCTGCCATCGACCCCGCCGCCACTCCAACCATCCGCACCACCTTCTTCACCAGCCGACACACCTTCACTTCGTGCATCGACGCCGATCCCCCCTCGATCCATCGTATGGACCTCGCAACCCCTTCATCATATCGAACCGTACTCACCCGCCGACTCACCTCTGCTTCGTACACCCACTGTCGCACTTGTCCCGACGTGGACTACTCGTTCTCTGTCTCAATACGGGGATCAAGCCCAGGGTCAAAGATACCGTGCTCGCGAGCAGGGCGACATTCAGGACTCCCTGTCCGCTGATCTCCAGGCTCATGCACTTCTCCCTGGAGCGGTCATCTTGCCTACCATACACCACGCGCACCCTATTGACCGACAGCAGGCCGAATCCCTCGTCAGCGCGCGAGCCGACAATCAGCAGGCTGCGACCTTGGAGTCCCCTATCCGGCTTCGTGCTGGTAATTTGGCCGTACGTCCTTGGGAGATAGAAATCGACATCCTTCCGGACAGAGGGAAGGCTGGGCGGCGCAATCTGAAGAGACGAGTCATCGGGAACCCTGTCGAGGATGACTTCGCCTCACCAGCCCATCATCCAACTTCGCCCGTCTCCGACGAAAGACAAGGGCCCTTCTTCCGTTCTCCAGACACCCTGAGCCCAAGTCCTCGCCTGATACTCGAATCACCCGATGCAGACTGGTTCGACGATACAGAAGTAGACCGGGACCGCGAACAACGATGTCGTCGACAGAGGCGTTTCGTGGAGATGCAGAGATTGCCGGCGAAGAAACAGCGGTTGCTTGGGGAGGAGGCGATAAAGAGGGGTAAGAAGGCGATGGACGAGGGGAGGACGAGAGAATCGCTTTTCTGGATGTTGCAGGCGGAGATACATCATAAGGAAATGGAGAGGTTGAATCGATTGGCAGCGTTTGCGATATTTCGAGGTGCGCATTCTGTTTAATGCGATGTCCGTATTACTGCTTCCCTTACTGAGGGCTGGGATGTTGGTCTATCTAGAGAAGAATAAGGTCTGCGTATTTTTCTTTCGCGCCCGTGTAGGGGTGATCGTGGCGTCATTCTGACATGTCTGAACAGAATATGACGGGAGGGGAGGTCGATTTGCACGGGTTGTATGTGAAAGAAGCCATTCACTATGCCGCGCGTGGTATCGAGTGTGGTCTGGAACGGGGAGATAGGGAAGTCCGCTTCATTGTCGGTAGGCTGTTCCCTTTGACTCGGAGATGTCTCTTGGCCTAAAGATGTTTGTCTCTCCCGGTGCAGGTAAAGGTAAACATGCGCCGGATGGTATTGCGCGTATAAAACCCGCGATAAAGACGTTCCTGACATAGTTGGTGTTTTGCCTCGATTGTCTACCGCTTTCTGAGTCTGACCATGCTTTTTATCGTAGTCGGGGACTTGTGTGGCGCGTGGCACCCAATAACCAGGGCATGTTGATCGTCAAGTTGCCTACTTTGCATCCAGCGGATTTCTTTGATTTTAGCCCATGATAATCCGACATTACGAAGCCACTGTCCTCCGTATACTGTGTTGTGTATTTGTTGTGTATTGGACTGCTTATGCTGGCTGAGACACGTCTGGGCTCAGGTCCGTTTTTTCGTTGCATTTTATGGTCCCTTGATCTTTTTGTACTATCACCGTGTTTAAACACTCTTGTATTTGATTGGTTGTATATACACTTCATGCGCCGTGGACGAACTTAAGGGACCAGTGGAGTTACATGGACTGGCCGACGGGGCCACATTTCAATATCGTGTGGCACCCGGCTTGAAACTCCGCTCTAATTCTCTGCGCACGGCAAGGGATGTTCAAATTTGATCGTTCCTTGTTCCGCAATGCTTGGACAGTCCACCCTCAGATTCGAGCAGTAGGACCAGCTCTTCTTCTGTTTTTTTCTGCGGTCTTCCACCACCTATTGCTGCTCGTGGCTATCGTTGACCCCCATGCTTAGCAGCTTCAAGTTACGGACTATCAGCCGTGGCCAGTGCAGACTCAGACGACCCGTCGTTCTCGGAGGATGATTCAGAGCGGCATGCAGGCTTGCTAAGTCTTCTTGCGATTCTTGAACTAATTTGGCTGACGCGTCGACATGTTTATACGCCGCGGGTGAAGCTCTCCAACTCATACTTCCGTTCTTTCAGCTCCGTGGTGTGAGCTTGGGCCCGCTTAGCACGGAGCGTGTCTGAACCCTCGGGCTTGGATCGTTCATGCCGTTGAAAACGATACGAAACTCTCCTGCGCGCAGCTCTCTAGTGCTGATCCCTTGTACACTGTCAGTTTTCCCAGAGTACATTTTGGCACTAAGTTAGGCAGAATTGGTAATGCTCAATCGACTACATTCCGTTGAGACCTGACCGGTGACCGGCCGCTACCATCATTTTCTGTCACAGTCTCGGCCGTCTCGTATGAGCGCCCAGCTGACTGTTGCCTTTGTCGTTCTGGAGAAACCCGACCTGATGGTGCAATCTTTGGCGGCGACCCCTGCCTTTTCAGGAAAGCCTTGAGACTCCATTAGCAAGAACATCCAGCATTTATGTCGGGGTCCAGGACATGTACAGCGCTTTTCTGATGAATTAGCACATCGAAGGTTCCTTCCTTCCTTCCTAAACGAGCAAGTCTCAGACCCGTGAAAATACAAATGGGGTCTCCAGTTACGCAGTGCAGGTGCGTCTTATGTTCTGAATGTGAGCTGAGGTTTCTGACGGTCCCAAGACTTTCACAGCTCCCAGCCCACCCGCTTCTTGTTTTTCATTTCATTCATTCGACGACCAGCGATCAAATAGTGAGCTTTAGCTCGGCTCACATACCGCACCACCGACCTTTCGGTGTCCAAACGCGGCCGTACATCGACTCGCCTACTCAAGAATTGTTAGCGATCTCTATTTTCAGTAGATTATAATTCTCCCGGCAGTGTTTCTTTCGATTGCTATCCTCGGCGTTCCCCTTACGGTAGTACTTAGGAGGCACCTCTTTTGGCGCCCCAACGAACGTCACCTGTCCCTCTACCATCACGTCTCAAACTTTCCATATCGCTCTACAGGCATGACTTGACGCTGTCAGTCTATTGACGTGAAGTTGTTTGATTGCTTTGTGAAGGCGCCTCAGTGGTACGTTTCTTTGCAATCATGATAATGTCGCTTAGACTTACACTTACGCAGCTTGTCCAGCTTTCTCCTCTAGGCCACGCCATTGGCGCTCAAAGCTCGGATATCATAGTCCATTGAAAGCCCTGATCTGTTGCCTCAGTTGTACTTCCTGGTCACAACAATCGGTATGTCCTTTTTCGACCTTCATGCCTCGGTCTGAATTGGGGCTAGCATTGTGACGTCATGCCATCGGACTCCAACCCTATTATTACCTTACCGGAAAGTCAGGCTGATTGTGTCCTGTGTTTAGACTCATACATATCTACCAGCAGTCACCAACGACTCCTTCTCTAACAACACCTTAAGCGGTACAAAATATTCGGTAAGTTTTGTTCGTCGCACCTTTTTTGTTGCTGTGGTCCTGACCGGGTATCTTCAGATACCATCATGCACGCGGCACCCTTCGGCCAGAATATCAAAGAATTACCTTCTGAGCTCTGGATACATATCTTCGCACTCGCCACACACGTTCCGAAGATGATGGATGTTAGTCCAGACGACCCTCTCCGTGCCAATACGCCCATGAGTCCACATGGCAACTATAGTCATTCCTCCTTCCTATCCGCACGGAAATCCAATCTCTCCTTAGCCCTCGTTTGCAAGCATTGGTACAACCATGCTATGCCAGTACTATTTGGCATGCTTAATGCGAAGCCAGGGTTTACTTTGCGTACCCTCCGAGACACCATCGTGGAATCACAGCGAAGAGCCGATGCGAGCGGCCCTCAAGTGCGCTCTTTGGGAAGCTTCACACGGCGCCTCGAGCTTCGCCAGGGTGAAGGAGGAATTTACTACGATAACGACGACTTTCGCTGTCTTGCAGATATGCTTCGTTACCTGCCCAACCTCCATATCATTGCACTCGAACTCCACAGGAAGGAGGTTCAATTACCCAACTTCGTCATCGAAACCTTGCTACAGACATCCGGTCATTCTCTTCGCCGAGTCTATATCAACCCGAAGTCGAAAATTCGCCTCCTACCGAACCAGTATGAGTCTATCATAGCGAGATGCCCTCAAATCCGTGCTGTCTACCGAGGAGGCATCGAAGAATCGATGTGCGCCGTTGACCTCCTTCAAGCCTCCAACTTATCCTTTGTCGACGTCACGACGACTCCCTGCACGTTAACCCATTCCAACTTCGGTCACCATTCCTGTTCTTCCACTCAATCCGCGCTCTTCAATGAATGCACTATAGCATCTCCTGCAGGCATTCGCTCAATCCAGCATTTTGTCGCCGTCCAGGGCCGACACCTCCGCGCAATATTCATGGACATCGGCGTGACCGCATTACCTGGTGGCATCCAGGGCGCGCTGAACCTCGTCGAAGAGCATTGCCCCCATCTTGAGCACCTCATTCTTATCATCAAGGGATGGGATGATCTTCTAGCAGCACCGCTTCGCATCCCTCCCGTACACCGCCTGGGTCTGTTCTACGATGAATCGTACGGCAGCTCAGGACTGGGTGGCTTCTCGGATCTGTTCGAGTGGTTCGCGGGATGCGAGGTACCATCGTCGACGAGCGCCGTGCGCTTGCTTGGGGAAACGCAGGTCAAGAAATTACGTGCGTTGTTGGCAGCGGGCTACAATCCTGGAATTGATCGGTTGTCGAATCGGTCGTATAGGCTGGAGGATTACGAGGGGAATCTGTTTGTTGTTCACGATCAGTAAAATACTAGGTTTCAAGTCGTTTTCTGTTGTCTAAGTACATTGTTTTGTTATTTTCTCATCATCTTCAAGGGGTATCGAGGTCCGATCAGTGTTGTCTTCTTAGCGTAATTGCGTGGTTCAACATCTCATTATTATTCCGCGAGCCATGTTATGCACAATACATCCCTTTCGCATCCAAATTGTGTTTGCTGTACTACTTATTTCTTACTTCTTGCAATACTTACCCTCTGAAGCAGGCAAATTCGCTGTTGCGCCACGCGCCACACTACTGGACAATGGCGTCCTCCGTTGTGGCGCGATGAACAAGCAACTCCGTCGGCTAAAATCTTGTTGAACTTCTTCTCGTTCATGGCTTTGAACCACGCATATTTTTTTTTCAACGCATTCGCCTTGGGGAACTTGTATAATATCATGTTCAGAACCACTTCAGAACCCTTCAGGATGGTTGACGGCATGGTTTCGTTCTGGTCGGTTTGACCATGTTACCCGAGCGTAGGTGCTTCTTGATATCTTTCCCATCATCGGATGAATGCTAGGTCTCGTCTTTCCAGCATTCCCTACTCTTCACCAACACCCACGAGCCAGCACTTCAGTGTGTAGTCAACCATGGTACAGCTAACTCCCGGCGTTAGGTTCACAGCTCAGATCTCTGGAACAGTCTTTACACCCTTGCTTGTCGCTCACTTTATTTTGACACTCGCATCCTCACGTCAGTTCCCGATTGCTACATCACCCTGGCTTCACTTTCTGCTATGCGCTTTGGCTCTACCTGTGTGGGTTTACGCACGGTCCTGGTGGTCCTACTTGCGTGAAGAACGAGAGATCGCAGCTCTCGGCGCTGTCCGCGTGCCAGCGGTGCAGGCATCATGGCCGGGGAATCTTGATATCGTCTTCGCCAGGTTGAAGGACGGCAAGGAAGGGTATCCTGGTTCGTCCCTCTCCATCGGTTTATTTGGCAATATTGCTATTGACACCACAGTCTTGTAGCGGATGCTATGCAATCACTTACTCTCAAGTATGGGAAAATTGTGAATATGCGAGTCCTTGGAAAAGACCGCGTGGGTGTACTGTTCATGTCGTAAGAGGACTGCTCTTATTGTCCTTCGTACCAGATTATCACGTCAGACCCAGAGCACATGAAGTGTGTATTGGCGACCAATGTACAGAATTGGGAGAAAGGTGAATTTCTGTCAATCCCTCTTGGCCACGTCTAGCATTGACCATGTCTTGAGGAAGGCCCTTATTTCCGGAACATGGCGTCTTCCGTGTTGGGTTCTGGCGTGTTCAACGCAGATGGGGAAATGTGGCAGTCAGTGATCCCATATTCTCTTCCTTGACAAGTTGTGGACTCTCGTTTTACATTCATAGGTTTCATCGCTCAACGACACGGCCATTCTTCAGCCGAGAACGAGTTACAGACTTTGAGATCTATGAGCGCCATACAAACGAAGCGATTCAGGTTATAGCAAGCCACCTCGAACGAGCCTTCGACTTTCAGGAGCTAGTCCGAAGGTTCACCTTAGATGCCGCCATGGATTTTCTGCTTGGCGCTCGTGTACACTCACTTCAAGAGCTACAGCTTCAATCTGGGATCGAAACTCGGTCTCCAGAAGATAGCGAGTTAAGAACGTTTGATCTTGCTTTCTTTACTCTTCAACATCATTTAGCTCAGCGAAGCCGTCGAGTTCCCATATGGCCCCTTTTCGAAGTCAAACAAGATATCACTAGGTCAGCCTCTCCCTCTCTTCTCATTTACTTGACTCTTCTAGTTAACCTCCGTTTTAGTAAAGACATGCATATCGTTCGAAATTTCCTGCAGCCTTTGATTGCCAATGCTATAGAACGAAAACAGGCAAGAGTAGTCCAGAGCAAGGCGCCTCAATGGGTCGAGAGCGAGGAGAAAGGGACATTGTTGGATCATCTCGTGTCTGAGACTGATGGTACGATTGGCACATCACTCGCCTTCCTTTTCATGGGTAAATTTAACTGTGCTTTAGATCAAGCTCTTATACTGGACGAAACCATCAACATGCTCTTCGCAGGCAGAGACACGGCAAGCTCTCTCGCATCCACGTCTGTCGATATAGGCTGCCCTGCTGACGACACTTAATGCAGTCATCTGCGTTTCTTACCTATATAGCCTACGCCTTGGCCATTCACCCTTCCGTTGTCACACGTCTGCGGGGTGAGATTCTTCGTGAAGTTGGATCCCGCCCGCTTACCGTAGACGATATCCCGAAACTCAAATACTTAAGGGCTGTCTTAAACGGTGCGTAACGCCATTGCCAATAGGACCCTATCGTACATGTATACAGGCGAACGTGTGATCTAGAAACGCTGCGACTATTCCCTCCTGTCCCGGGAAATGCAAGGTAGACTTCAAAGAAATTCATTCTCCCGTCGTTCGCGAACTGACTAGGTACTCGTAGAGTCCCTATCAAGTCTTGTACCTTACCACCAATCAAACCCGGAGCGAAACCCTTTTACATCCCAGCAGGAACCAAGTGCGTCTGTCCCGCCAATCGCCGAAAGAACAAGATGTTTCGACTAATACTCTGACCTTTATTCAGCGTTCCTTTCTCAATCATGTACATGCACAGAAGTAAGGACCTGTGGGGAGATGATGCCGAAGCGGTAGGTCTGCTTAGTCTTTTTTTTTGTATTGTTCCTTGCACTGAACCTCTGGAAGTTCGATCCCGAAAGATGGATCGACGATCGCTTGAAGAAGTCTTATCTCGCCAACCCCTTCATCTTCTTACCTTTCAATGCTGGTTCGTCTCCCCATTCTTTCAACCCCCCATATTTTTAATCAACGCGCCTTTATCTCGCAACCTGCAGGTCCTCGTATCTGTCTCGGACAGCAGGTAAGCTCTACGGTTTCGTGCTCGATACCATCGCGGGCTAAGTTCCATGAACCACAGTTTGTTTTGCACGAAGCTGCATTCTTTACCGCAACTATCCTCCAGAAATTCGAACGCATCGAACTTGCTGAGGATGCGATGCCGCCTGAGGCTAGGCCCCCGGCGGCATGGAAGAAAGGTCCAGGGAGGAAGGCGATAGAGAAGATCAAGCCCAAGTCCGATTTGACGCTGTCTGTAGAGGTGAGCAACCCATGCTGTTTCGCATGCGACAATCGTTTGATCTTTGTCTTTTCGACGTCCATCAGGGAGGTCTCTGGCTACGGTTCAAGAGGGCTGAACATATCGAGATCTCTTGAATCGAAAGTCTCCGCTTGTACTGATTCGCACGACGCGCATTTCGTCGCGTCAGAGTTGACGAATGGGTCACGTCTGCTTCCTGACTGTTATTCAGGCTGGATCTGTAAGGTCATGCACGTTCTTGTTGGATATTTGACTTCTTCTATGTGATTTGCGTGGGACATCGGTATTCCTTGCGGCTGAGCACCAGACCAATCTCACGAGCACTGTGACTCATACTCACGCTCCTCCGCTTGTTTAACTAACGCCCTCGCCCGTCCGCCCAACAAGGCTCCTTACAACTCGTTTCGTTTCGATGTCGGATAACGTTTCTTCTACCACCATTGACGAAAGCTTCTATAAGCTAGACGACGATGAGATTATGTTTTTCAAGGCTCAGACAGGAATCGACGATGAGACCGAACTGAAGAGTCATATACTGAGAGTGGCGGCTGAGGCGCACGCTGTAAGTTACACTCTGCACTCATGTCCACTTTCTTGAAGTAGCTTCAGTCGCCGAGGCTCACTTTACTTCCGTTGCTGAAAGGTCTTCCAATACGGCTGCATTCGGGTCCTGGCATTCACTAAGTACTCCATTTATACCCTACTTGCTATCACAACATGACTATTTCGTTGCACGATTGGAACTGATTATTCATCATAACTTTTAGGTTGACTGTCTCAAAGACAGACGCCTACGCAGCCCTCATGAAGTTAAAAGAAGACAGTCCGGGTGCACTGTTCCTCGACCTTGGCTGCTGTTTCGGAAACGACGTCAGGAAAGTCGTGTCAGATGGGTGGCCAGTAGAACAGTGTGTGGCGTCTGATCTTCGACCAGGTAAGTCGGCTCGTGTCAGTAGTTCCAAGGTAGAAAGAAGGCTCTACCTGGTCCATATCTCACGATTCATCCATCAGAGGTTTGGACCTTGGGACATAAACTGTTCAACTCGACACCCGAAGATTTTCCTGTCAAGTTCATCCCAGGCGATATATTCGATCCATCTCACCTGACCATACGAGACTATGGAGCCGCCATCGAGTCTATAGTATCCAGACCTCGGCCACAGCGCGAAACAGTACACAGTCTCAATGACCTCCATGGACGAGTATCAGCGATACGTGAGTTTCCGCCATAGTCTGCGAGCGATTCCTCAACCCCACCTCTCTTACGAGGGTGTACTGGCTTGATTCTGGTTTTGTTACCTAGACTGCTCAAATGTATTCCACCTCTTCGACGAACCATCCCAGCTGCACCTCGCACGCGCCCTCTCAGGCCTTCTCTCCCCTTTCCCCGGCTCCCTCATCTTCGGAATGCACGTCACGCGAGGACCAGACAAGGGTAACTTTCAATCTATGAACCGACACGGCTTCGGTACGTTCTGTCATTCGCCCGAGAGCTGGGCGGAGATGTGGAGCGATGTTTTCGGGAGTGCGGAAGTGAAGGTGGATGTGCGGCTGGTGGAGATAGATGAAGAATTGGTGAAAAAAGTTTGGGGCGATGTGGATAAGGGAAGGGTGTGGAGGATGATATGGTCTGTGACGGTCATCTGACCACCTCCTCGTGATATCTTCCACGCCCAAGGATTTCACGCATCCCGTCTGCTGGAGGCCGACCGCCGTCTAATTGGACGACAAGGACACCAGAGTTATCGGAGTCGGGGATTGCGACGAGATTTTGCCTGTTGTGATGGACGAAGTCAGAGAGTATAAAGATGGCATGGGGTAGTGAGGTATGGACGTTGTCAGAAAGAGTGCGACAGTGGATGGGGATAACGCACGCCGGAGACAAACAAAGCGATCAATATTCAATATGACACAGCGAAAAGGTTGAGATAAAACGTACTTCAGCATAAGCTTCTCGATAGCAGGCTTCAATCTCGCTTCGTTTTTAGAATGAAGACCTTTCCCTGTACAGCCAGACATCGTCGCATGCTCAGATAGACTCGAAACCAGCTTGAGTGTTGGTGGTTATGTGGAGTGTCACTGGCCGGCTTGGGGGAAAGTAGATGAAGTCAACACGGACCGACGATGAGATGTATGGTAGAGTCTCCACGTTGACGAGCTTCTTGAATGTATTTTTCTGTGAAGGCTATGGCTTCCTTCACGTAGAGGCCGTGCAGGTCGATCTTGCCAGGCTTACTGTCGTATTAAGATCGAACAGCAGAAGAGCAGCATTGGTCACGCATGTGCTCCAGATACAAGAAAGACGAACGTACCAGGTTATTTTCTATACAGAATCCAAAAATAGGATGTCAGCATTCCATCTTCGTACAACCAACTTCGGTCAAATACAGCACCTAAACAAAACCTCACATACCTCTAAAAATCCAGGCGCTCGCATCACTATGCAACCTTTCCATCTCAGCCTTATGATTCTTCCCTTCATTACTCAACTGCTTCGCCCTCGCCCTATCCCCAGTCGCAAACAACTGATGGCTCTCCTCGAAACATCTCGCCATGGCGTCGCCTTCTTCGTTCGCGAGTGCGCGTAAGGAGGCGTAATATGGGCTCTGTTGGTTAATTTGGTTACGGTCCTATATTGTGGAGCAATAGAGTAACCATTCGATAAACAGAGAGACCGAAAGAGTATGATATATTAGGATGCCGTCAGTACAGTATACGGACAGCGCAAAAGCCAGAATAAAACGAAGGGCTGAACGCACAACAAACTTTCCTCTGGACCGCCCGTGTCCACCAGGACTCACAGGCTCCGGAGATGTTGATATTTCATGCCGTGTAACTCCTGCTGCTGCGCTGGACCGCCCTCTTCCAACCACACTCAGAGGTTCCGGAGACGGCGATAACTCATGCATCACAACTGCTGTTCCCGCGCCAGACCGCCCTCGTCCACCCACACTCACAGGTTCTGGAGATGGTGATGGGTCAAGCCAGAAAGCTCCTATTCCTGTGTCAGAACGCTCTCGTCCACACCCACTCAGAGGTTCTGGGGATAGCGACAGTTCGCGCCAAAAAGCTCCTGCGCCTGCGTCAGACCGCCCTGTCATAGGTTCCGGAGACGACGATAGGTCATGCATCCCAAGTGCTGTTCCTATACCGTACGATTCCACCCCTTCACTCTCATGCCGCTTATGCCTCTCATCATGCGACCTCTGCTTCTCCTCCCATTCGTATACAGGCTGCTCGGTCTGGATATGTGTTTGTTTAGAAGGGTTTTCCTGATCAGCCGCGTATCCAGCTGGGTATCGCGCTGGAGGATACGAGTGTTGTTGAGGTGGCGAAGTTTCCTGTCGAAGAGGCCTTGACGGCGACGGCCTGAGTGGGGGGTATCGCAGCCTCTGCTTCTCCTCCCATCCGTATGCAGGCTGCTCGGTCGGAATATGCGTTTGTTGCGTAGGTGGATACTGATGAGCCGACTGTGGAGGAGGAGTTTGTGCCGGAGTATACGAGTGCTGTGGAGGAGGCCGTTGCTTTCGAAGAGGCCTTGAAGTTGGCGGCGGTGGTGGCGGTGACGGTGGAGAAGATCGCTGCTGTTGAGTTACAGTAGGTTTTTGCTGTTGAAGAGGCCTTGGTGGCGGTGGCGGCGGTCCAGTCGGAGACCGTTGCTTTCGGTTGGTAGGTCTCCGGTACGGCACATGCACAGGTCCCTTTTCCGGTACGGGGGGTGGAATCTCATTTTCCGGTACAAGAGGCGGGCCGCCACAGAGGACGCGAGTTATGCTAGTGAGGAAAGGTAAGATACCCATGTTTTACCTCTTTCGCGTTGTGAGATTGATCTGCGCAGCGAAAGGCGAAAAGAAAAGAAAAAGAAAAAGCGGGGCAGGATAGGGGCGAGAGAAAAGAGATCCGAGTCCGGAGGCAGGTATTTCAGTGGCGTGCGACTCGAGCCTGCCCTGATGGTCGTGTTTCGTTTATATATAAACAGCATTCACGTAACTTCTATCCCCGTTTTCTCCCCATCCTGGTCGAAAATAAAAATAAAAAAGGTGTTAGCGCCTCGTATTTACGGCGGAAGGATTGGAAGTCTGTCACTGACCGTAAACTTTGAGTGTGTTTATACGCTCTGGACAACTAGGAAGCTGAATGGCAAGCAGTCGACGGCGTCGATGGAGATTGGGGTGTCAATGTCTTGTCATGCCCGGAACATGATACAAGAATGTTTCCCGTCGGGGAAAATCATCGCCAGACGTAGCCGACCTCACGAAGGCATCGTGCCCATGGCATTCCGTAAACGCGTCTTCAGGCTCTCCGTTCGGTTCGACAGCATCGACGATAGTCCTGTCCGTATAAGAACGTCAACTCCAGTGTCCCGAAGACTGCACACATCGAGAAGGATGTATTTACCGCTAGTGGAGAGGCCGTCTTTTGGGGTGAGGGTCAGGGCGTTGAGGGTGATTAACTCGGCAGACGCGGGATCGTCTGTTGTGGTGGGAGAGGGGAAGTATGGGGCGGGAGGAAGGAAGTATGCGAGGGAGGTATGGAGGGAAAAGGGTGGGGAGGACAAAAGCGGAGAAAGGTGAAGTTGGAGTGGCGCGAGAGGCGGGTCGTTGTCCATCTGGGTACGCTTAACCTCTTCAAATGCTGGCTGTCTTCCAGCGAACCAAAGCGAGCGCGAATTCGAAATAGCACCTATGAGGACTCGCTGCGATGCTGTCGAGCGCTATGCCGCCCTTAGTTTAATCTGCAGACATCAGCAGAAAGCAATGAACCTTGAGATCTCCTAAAACTCCCAGCAAAACCTGACTCCAAATTACGGCGCAGTTAGATCTTGGCCAGAGGCGAATAAAGCCATCCAAACCTGAGGAATCCGAATCGCAGCGTTGAACCCGTCATCAACATGTTAGAAAGAGAAAACCCCTCAAAAAAGCGTAGATTAGTCCGCGCAATTACAAAGAAGCTACAACAAATAAAATTGGCGCAGATACACGTACGAAAGAGAGCGAAGAGTCTCGCACCCAAGCAACGTTCAATAAAAAGTCCAATATCAACCACATCATCCCCAACCAGCTTCCCCATACCGTCCTCCATGAAGGCGGACGCACGCCTCACATAATCAAACACCCGTCATCTTTCCCACCGCCTCTATCCAACCTCCTCGTGATATCATCCACACCGAGGATTTCGCGCGTCCCGCCTGCTGGAGGTCGACCGCCGTCGAGTTGGACGATCAGGACGCCGGCGTTTTCGGCGTCGATGGCGGCGACTAGGTTGTGCCTTTTGTGTTTAGACGAAATGTGGAAAAATGGGATGGTGAGCGGTGGAATGTTGAATGGAGAGAGGAGGCGAAGAGTGAGTGGGTGGCGGTGGCGCGCGGGGGACAAATAAAACAGGTGAACAGTCAGTATTTGATCTCATAGAACATGATACAGCGAAAGAGTTGAGAGAGACATACTTCTGCATAAGCTCCTCGATAGCAGGCTTCAATTTCGCAGCGTGTTGGGGCGAATGAAGTCCCTTTCCTATCAAGGCCACACACACGTTCAGATAGACTCGAAACGACAGGTAACGAAGTCAGCACTGACCGACGATGAGATGAATGGTAGAATCTCCGCGCTGACGAGCTTCTTGGATAGACTTGTCAGTGTAGGTGATGGCTTCTTTCACGTAGAGACCGTGCAGGTCGATTTCGCCGGGTTGACTGTCCTGTGAAGGTCGAAGAATAAAAAAATAAAAGCTAGTAAGTTATGTGCTTCGGGAATACGGACAATGGGTAGATATGCTCGTGTATACGTACCAAATTGTTCTCTGTACAAAGTCCAAAAAATAAAACGAAAAGATCAGCATTCCATCCTCGTATCGCATAACCAACACAAAATCCCAACAAATCGAACACATACCTCTAAATATCCAAGCACTCGCCTCGTCATTTAACCTCTCCATCTCTGCCTTATGCCTCTTCCCCTCATTGCTGAGCTCCTTCGCCCGCGCCCCGTCTCCACCCTCATATGCCTGATGACTCTCCTCGAAACATCTCGACATGGCGTCGCCTTCTTCATTAGCGCGTGCGCGTATGGAGGTATATTGTGGGTTTTGTTGGTTGATGAGGTTGAGGTCCTGGATTCGTAAAGTTGTAGCGTAGCCATTCGATAGAAGGATATGATACAAGATACAAGAGTGTCGTCAACACACGGACATCACAAGAACGCAAAACAAAAAAAAAACGCACAACAGGTTTCCCTCCATGCCTCCCTTGCCCCTGTCCCTGCCCCTGCCCTTGCCCACCACCACTCCCAGGTCCCGTTGACGACGACCCATGTCCGCCCGCCCCTCCACTCCCCTGCTGCTTATGCGGCTTCTTATGCCCCTCATGTTGTTCGCCCGGTGTCGGCCACTCCCCCTGCTGCTGCTGTTGTTGAGGTCTATGCTGAGGCGGCCTCTGGTCCTGCGTAGGCGCAGGTAGCTGTTCCGGTAACGGGAACGGAGTCGGTTTTTCAGGTTCTTGTGGGGGTGGGCCGCCGCAGAGCGCACGGGTCACGTTGACGAGGAACGAGAGGAAACCCATCTTTCACTTCTCTTCCGTTTTGAAAAGTGAAGAATGGGATGGAGAGATGAGGGGATGGTGGAGGACGAAAAGAAAGGTGGAGCGGAGGCAGCAGATGGACGAGCGGGTATATGAATATGAATTATTGAGGGGCGTGGTTCGTTGCGAGCGGAGTTAGCCTTGGCTGTGACCTCATTCATTCATGTTTTTAGCCTTTAGCGTAGTCTCTGATTTATTATTCCGATTGTCCAATTCCTGGGCCACGTACAATATGAGCAAATATATGTATTTTCTTCTCAGGTGCAAGGGAACAGGGATGGTGAGCTCGGGAGGACTCTTGTGGGCCACAAAACGCTACTTACGCTGATAGCTCAGATGTGGCGAGAGGTTAGCAACGACGACGAGAAAGCAGAGCAGTCGACCATGTGATAGACGTATAAGATCACAACATAGATGGAGAGAGACGGATCACGACACGTCAAATGCCCAAAGAAGCAAAGAATCGTTTTGGCTGGATGTTGCGAGTGCAAGTGTGTGTGTGTGTGAGAAATACAGAAATCACAAAAAGCTGAATAGAACGCCGCTCCAACTACATCCGCCAACCGACTCTGAAGAAGAAAGCGAGGAAAGCAACCGTCTAGTACGCCTTCTTGCCGGCGAGCTGGAGATGTGCGGAGTGCTCGTCGTAGGGAACCTTCGACACTGGGATCTCGCGCCACAGGTCTGGGGTGAGGAAGGCGTATGTTTTGGTGATCTGTCGGTTTCCGCGGAAATGAGTACCAAAAACCCATGACGGAAAATGAAGATAAGAAACGTACAGCAGCGAAGGTAGCCTTCAAGAAGTTACCCATCGTCGCGGTCGAACCCTTCGACTGCGTGTATACATCCTGAACACCGGCGAGCTGGAGCAACCTCTTCGATGCCGGAGCAGCGACGATACCCGTTCCTCTTGGTGCGGGGATAAGCCTACACATAACACTCCCAACCTTCCCGCTGACCTTCGACGGCACCGTGTGTGGCTGTTGGAGTGCAGCACCCCAGTAACCCCTACGAACGGGAATGACAGAAAGCTTGGCGAGGATGATAGCACCGCGGATGGCTGTCGCGACTTCCTTCGCGCACTTGACACCGAGACCAACGTGGCCGTCGAAATCACCGATAGCGACGAAGGCCTTGAAACGGGTGCGCTGACCGGCCTGGGTCTGCTTTTGGACGGGCATGATTTTCATCACCTCGTCCTTGAGGTTGGGCAGGAAGAAGTCGACGATCTGGTACTCTTTGACGGGGAGCGAGAAGAGGTAGATTTCCTCCATCGACTTGATCTTTCCGTCCTTCACGAGACGACCGAGTTTGGTGACGGGAACCCTGCATGATATAACACACAAACGAAGAGAACGTCAGATAACTCTGAAGATAAACGTTACGACTGAAGTTGGACGCACCACTCCTTCTCCTCGTCTTTGCGGCCTCCGCGACGGCCACGACCACGACCACGGCCCCTGTCGCCACCACGTCCCCTACCAAATCCACCGCGTCCGCGTCCAGTGTCGGCCATTTTGTTTTATGCCGGGTCGAGAAGAGAGTTAAACTGTGCAGAGCAGAGCAAAGCGAAGCAGAAATCAGTATCAGAGCCAGTCATCCGTCCATCCGTCCTGCCATCCATCCATTCCTGCGCTCGTCTTTGGTCTAAATCTCCCAGTAGCTCTCCAAGAAGCGTATAGCATCCCAGCCTACGGCATAGCAGCAAGAAAAATGGTACTCACGTCTTGAGGAAGGCGGGTAGGGCGAGCTCGTCGTCTTGCGCGTTGTCGAGTCGATTTGGATTGTCAGCCACTACGATGTGGCCAAGCGCGTGGGAGAGACCGGGCCGGTTCCGCACTCGTGGCCTGGTTCGCGCCACAATCGTTTCGCGCTTTCTGGTTTCTTCCACAAGGAATTGTGTCTCGCGTCGTTCCTCTGTTCATTCGTATATTCTCAGACAGTAACGTAAGGGGAAACTTGAGGAGACGTATTACGCTCTCAACGGCTTCGTGCTGCTATGGTTTGGCATCAATGCACACCCTAACGCGCCAATCGTGCTACGACTCGAAATAGGACATCCATTCGCACTTTCTCCATCTCTCAGGCCAGGCCCATTCAATAAGCAATGACGATTACATTCGATTGTTCTCCTCAACGGCGTTGTTCGTGATACAAGTTACGCCCAGTTCTTCTCATGCTCCGTGTGCTGCGACTTGCACGTTGTGAACGCTCTGCACGTCAGGAGTGGTTTTTTACTCCACTCGAACTCATTATCCCCGTCATATGGTTATGTGAAAGCTTCAAATGTCCAAGGAGCTGCTACGATTTTGTGAGACTGATAGCATTCGTGCATGTATCGATAAGGCGTTTACGTTGATGTGTCTTGTGCAGCAGCGCCACATTGCGCCACCAGGGCGCCACCACGTGTCCGGCCGGAGCACTGGCCCGGGTATATAAGGAGCGGCTGCATTTGTCAGAGCTCCCTTGTCCCCGCTCGCATCTCGCCGTCGCTGCTCACTGCTATCGCCGTCGTCTAGCTCAAGTCTCGCTCTTTGTAAGTACCTCGCTCGTCGCCATCACTGATGATGGTGGCGTACATCAGGCTGCTATCCCCTTCATCTCAGTAAACGTCGATGCTAATACATTGCTTTCCCCGTTTGCGCAGAGCACTCCCCATCAAACCCCTGCAATCTTCCCCCAAGTCGCACCCAGAACGAATAGTTGTGGCACCTCATGTCGAATTCAAATATGTCGAATTTAACGAAAATGAAATCTAGTCCTTGCCCCGCGTACGTCTCTTCTCTCTCCAGCCCTCAGCCCAGCAAAAAAACCGATGTTTCACCATTGCTGACGCTATTGCTCCATCTGTGATTTACACAGCAACGGTCGTCAAACCGTTGGGGATGGGGCTTTCTACACCGACGCTACTCCTGATGTACTCGCCGTGTGCCACATGCAAGGCACCGGCGACATGTACTACTACTCTACTACCTTCTCTGGCGGGCCCGGGGTACGTCACTTTTCACCTCCTATTATTAGGCCTCGTAGTTCTTTGTCTCACCAACCCATGCCCTTCTCACCTTCCTGCTCTATCTCGTCGAACCAACAGTGGCGCTTTTGACGCTCCTAAGGCAAAATGCCCTCCTGACCGAGGGTCGTTGGGCTGTGTGACAGACAGCCCGGCGTCAACATACGCTTCCCTCCACTCCAGCTCGCCAACCAATTCACCCACCCTCTCTTCCTCCTCCGACTCTACCAACTCCTCCGTTTCCAGTCTCTCGGACGTATCCTCTCGCAACTCTTCGCTCTACACCAACTCCCGCGAGCCTTCCCTCGTCTATCCTCTCACTCCGCCTCTCACCGCTGCCGACCGGAACAATCAAGCCAACATCCAGTCATTCTTCAACCACAATAACACCCAGAAGGAGCACGAGCAGTTCCCTCGCTCGTCCGTCCTTCCCCAGCCCATCATCAACAAGAACGCGTCCGTCGCTTATGCGCACAACATCGCCACTCCGCCCCTCACTCCGGATGACAGCCCTTTCGATGAATCGAGTCCCATCAAACAGCGCGACCATGCCGATGCGCTCGAGTTCCTCACGAACCTCTTCCCCACTCAGGGCGTCAGCGCGCTCCAGTTTGCGAAGAGCGTCAGCATCGCGAGCCCTGGGATGAACGCGAGCTTCGATGGTGTCGTTCTTTCTCTACCTGGCAAGCCCAAGACGCTTTATGTCGACGGGAAAAGCGCCGAGATCGTCTCTCTTCGTGAGAGGTACGTCGTCTTCTCATTCCCATTCTCATCTCATTTCCCTCCTCGTTTGTTCCGTTTCATTTCAGCTTTGACCTTTTGATTACCGACCGATCAACCGACCGATCAACTGATGCGACCTTGTTTCATTACGTTTATAGCATCGTGGCCCTCCTCGACCTCGCGGACGAACATCTCGGCTGTGAGGCCCTGGTCATCGCGCTGGAGAAGGGCTCGCCCTCGCTGAGCACGTTGTTGCATTCGCTCATGTATGTCGGCGGCACGGTCGTTACCAAGCCTCCGTTCCAGGTCGACCCGGCGTACGTGCTCGTTGGGCTCGAAATTTAGGTGTACGAGTGGTAGAATGGTTAATGGGATGTCGTTGTTGTGTGCGGTCGTGGTGCGTAGGGTGGTGTGTGTGTTATTCACTCGGTTGGTTCGGTGTTGTATGCTCGATATATGAGAGCATCCGCCAATCAGCTTAGTTGGTGGAAGTCGAGTGTGTGTGTGAGCGCTTCAGTTGTTGAAAATACGTGATATGTTCCAAATTCGAGACTGCATCTTCCTCTTTTTCTTCCTCCGTTTATCCTCCCTCTCTTCTCTCCGCCCTGGGTGTTTTGGTTTTCTGCTTGGTACTTGGGATAAGCGTTCGCGTTGACCCTCTTCCTCTCCCCTTACTCCGCTTCATACTTCCTCGATAGTTCTCTCTCCGTTTCTGAGTTTTCGTTTGTTCTTCAACTTTCTCGTCGACCTTTGCCCTTGTCTGGCGTGGTCTTTGTATATAGTTTCATTTCCATTACTTTCTTACACCCTATCATTTTTACCTTCCTCAAGCCTAGTGTCCTACTGCGCTCCATCCTATGAGTCAGGTTCGGTGGCGAATGTTGGACGAAGGGCTCAATGATGCTGGGCTTTTATCTTTCCTTTGATTTCCTTTTGTACTGTGTTTGTTCCCGAATATAATTTGCCATATGATTTCCTGCGTTGCTTTCTGTTCCTGGTCAAGGCTCGCCGTCGTTTGGTGTTTCCAAGTTGTGCGCGCCCTGTGTGATGTTGAAAGCACGCTGTTGTCCAACACCTCAATCTTAGGTCAGTTATTCTGCTTCTTTATATGAACCTTCTCACTTATTATATGCTCTCTGCCACTGGAGGTCAACTACTCCGTCTCGACTGTGGTGGTGTGTAACAGGACTATTCGCGTTCGTGCCAATTCACGCCGCTGGACGCTACAGCCGTTCTCACCAGAGCAAAAGCTTGTCAGACTACACGACTTCTTCCTATACTACAACTTGAACTCTGATGGCTTTGATCCTCGCCCGGTCAAGAGCTCAGAAGCTATCCCCACGACTCGATCCAAGAGTTTTGGTTGTAGCTCAGCCTCTACTGAAACATCACTTTGGTAATATTCCGTCTACCATAGGGAGAACGGCGCTCCGTATGCGTCGTGGGCAACATTCGTTTATCTCAGGGTATGAACTAGACCAAAGAGCGCATAACGCTCAGAATTTGCGGTATGACCTTTACTGTGACAATCAAGTGTATCAGTATCATGCCCACTCAAGCGCCTTAAGGATGAGAATGGGTGTAGATGTACGACAGCCTCATACAATGCATATGAATATAGGACGTACCGCTGACCAACGTAAAATGCGTTGCCGACACTCGGGCTGTTGAACAGTGAGCACGACAGCGGCATTTGTGTGGATGTGATCCTCAAACTGTACAAACCTGTAGACATCGTATGACACCGCTGAGCTCGGCGGTTGTGCGTTATTCTGACCGCAATGCTCGTCCCGCCAGCTTCAAGTTGGTCAAGTTTCCACGTTGGCCGTACTTCGAACCATCCTCATTGCCTGCAGCTCCTACACTTGTAGCTCCCGCATCCCACGCACCAGCACCTCGCTCCCACCCGGTGAAGTAAAACACTTCTTTTGCGCTATCGATAGCAGCCCTGTCCTTCTCTTGCCAATGTTCGCCGACTTCGCCCGCACTTCCTCGAGCGCCTCCTAGTTTGTGCGCCACCTGTCGGAAGGTTGGGTATGAACGTGACCGCGTTCAGCTTCTCCTTACACGATCCATGGGGCTCTAGCTCCGGTTTGTCCTATGTTAGTATTCCGAGCACAGAGATTACTAACCATCTTCTCATCGGTGAGACGATTCTGGTTGGAAGGAGGATCGGATTTACTCCCTTGCTCTGCAGTATCTTTGCTTCTCAGGTCAAGTGTGCTGCACTTACCTTTCACCAACCCTGTCACAGGAAGATAGATGCACCCCGGAAGTACCCTAGCTTATCAGAGATTTTGCTTGGTCACAGCATCGCATATAAGACTGCTGGCATGGTCGACCACCAAAAAACATTCTCCCTCCTCCGTTCCATCCCTACTCAAAAGGCTAAGCGCGGAAACCTCCCACTTAACCGTCCATCTTCAAAATGCCGATCACGCAGTACAAGGCTGCTGCGGTACGACCATCTCTACCTCATCCTACACCTTTTGACTATGCTAAACCCGATTATAGGTCACCTCTGAGCCCTGCGTGCGTTTAACTTTCGTCATACCCTCTCCCCGGGCCCATGCGTACTGACCATATCGAAGTGGTTCGATCTAGAGGCCGGTGTCCAGAAGACGATCAGCTTCATCAATGAAGCCGGCCAAGCGGGAAGCAAGCTCATCGCCTTCCCTGAGGTCTGTGAGTAGAACTACTGAGCTTTACTGTCCCCATCGCACCCATGAATATTGACTGTCTCGCAGGGATTCCCGGATATCCCTACTGGATGTGGAAGGCAAGAGTTGCAGCGTTCGCGAGAGTTCATTGCCCATTACTGACCAAGTAGCATCATGGCAGGTCACATACCAGCAATCTTTGCCTCTGCTCAAGAGCTACCGGGAGAACTCCCTCCCTGTCGACTCCGAGGAAATGCGCCGCATTCGACGCGCCGCCCGGGACAACCACATGTGAGGACTGTCACTCCTTCTTCTATGCTCTCCCATTCCTGCTCACGAGGCCACCAAACGGCACCAGCTATGTCTCCATGGGCTTCTCCGAAATCGACCACGCCACACTATACCTCTCTCAGGTCCTCATCTCGCCCACTGGCGATGTCCTCAACCACCGACGCAAGATCAAGCCCACACACGTTGAGAAGCTCGTCTACGGCGACGGCGACGGCGACACCTTCCTGTCCGTCGTCGACACCGACCTCGGCCGTCTCGGCCAGCTCAACTGCTGGGAGAACATGAATCCCTTCCTCAAGTCGCTCAACATCGCCATGGGAGAGCAGATCCATATCGCGGCGTGGCCTGTCTACCCGGGAAAGGAGACGCTGAAGTACCCGGACCCGGCGACGAACGTCGCGGAGCCTGCGTCGGACATCGTCACCCCTGCGTACGCACTTGAGACGGCGACGTGGACGCTGGCGCCGTTCCAGCGGCTGTCGGTGGAGGGTCTGAAGAAGAATACGCCAGCGGGCATGGAGCCCGAGACGGACCCGAGTACCTACAACGGGCATGCCCGTATTTATAGGCCCGATGGCTCGCTGGTGGTCAAGCCGGACAAGGACTTTGACGGGCTGCTCTACGTCGATGTCAGTGATTGTATCCTCCCCTCCCTATGCTCTCAACCCACCTTTCCGGATGCCCACGAAATGACTTCTATACGCTCATGTAGATCGATCTTAATGAAAGCCACCTCACGAAGGCACTCGGCGATTTTGCCAGCGGCCACTACATGCGCCCGGACCTGATTCGCCTGCTCGTCGACACGCGCCGCAAGGAGCTCGTCACGGAAGCAGACCCCGACGGAGGCGTCGCGACGTACTCGACTCGGGAGCGGCTTGGTCTGAACAGGCCCCTCGACCCGCCTAAGGACGAGAGGCACGGGATCGTTGGTGTGGCTGGTCAGAAGTCGGCTGAGCAAAGGAAGGCAGGTGATCTTTGAGCGCATTGTCTCTCTCGCATGGAGCATCAAAATAAATTGTAAGAGGGACTGGTTGAGGTGGGGAAATCTGTTTGTACGCTACTTGTCGTATTTCATGGTCTGTCGCGATGTTTCAGAGAGTGGGTTTCATTGCGATTATTCTGTGTGTCGATCTTTTTCAACACTTTGTCCATACTGTACCTCCCAGACCTTAGGCGACATCCGGTGTCTCGAGCGGCCTGTCGCGTCGCCTATCCCCCGTAACCCGCACAATGGTCCATTGTGAGCTCCCACGCCCCAAAATCCGTGATCCCGAGCGCAATACTCGGTCAAACGGGGCGCGGAGGGGCTCTATGGGACACCCCAATAGGTGTGGGTATGTAAGTGAAGACCGCACGCGGATTGATAGGGAACTCACCGAGAACGAGCGATTTAGGCTCGCAGCTGCCGTTTTGGGCCTGTAAACCCAAAATCCGCCATAGCGGGCACGGTACGACCCCCAGCGACGTCGATGAGGGATTGCCGGGATACCCTGAATTGGAGGAGTCGGTCAGTGTTAGAAAAACCATAGGTCAAAAGGAGAAAAAAAACTGGGGGAGGGGGCAAAAAGGCTCATGGATGAGGCCACCGGGCCAAAAAGTCGAATTGTTGACGAAGCATGCAATTGCCGGCCCCAACTGCGATTTAGATAGTCTATATGCACCATAAGTAGCCTGGAAAAGCAAAGAAACCGAGTCAAAAAAAAAAAGCGCACAAGGGTCAGAGGCGCACAATGCCCCCCTTTCAGACCCAAGATCATCGTTCACGACCGCGAACCGGTTGCTGTCGGTAATATTCCTCCTGTACCTGTTAGAGAACGTATGTGTGAGCAAATTAAGCCTATCGCTGAGACGGTTGAGTAAGAACTGAGTAAGACAGACCGAAAATTGGGGGGGAGGGCGCGCGGTACCCCTCCCAGCCGATACTGCGCTCGATTCCGACACGACAAATGAGATAGAGGCCTCTACTGAATCTACCCAGCTGTTAGAGCCCAGCTATGTCAAGAAAACCGCGGGTTGAAAGAAAAAAATCGGGGTAAAAAAAAAAAGCAGGGAGCGAGCTCACCAGACCAAAAGCTCGAATTGCGGCCGATGTATGCAAGTGCCGGTCCCAATCGCGAGGTGGATAGGCTATACAGATGATAATTAGCCTTTTCAAGCAAAGAAATCAAGTGAAAAAAAGGAAATTCGAAAAAGCGCACAATGGTCGGAGGGGTGCCGTGAGCGCACCCTCCGCGATTGCGCGCCTGTTACCTCTTCGCCTGGCGAAAGCGAGGGCTTGATAGGACACTCTAATTGAGGGCAGTCACATTCTGGAAAGATCTCAGAGATCATGAGTAAAATACAAGAGAACGACCGATTTTGGCTCGCGGGAGCCCCAAAATTGGCTTTCCACACACCAAATCGAGCCGGATACTCCCTTTTTTCGCCAAGACATTCCACCTGAGCACAGGGGGATAGAACATTCAATCCCAACCCCTACACTGAGTGTGTCGACCCCGTGGCCAGAGACGACGGGGGAAGACAAGAGCAAGACCTAGCAAGACGCGATTAGAACCTTGCTTAGTCATCCGATTCAAATCGGCGGGAGATTTTGAAGTCGAGCCTGGTACTCGCTGGCCGTCGTTCTCAACGGGGACAGGGCCGATTTGCACCAAACTGGATGCTGTGACGCAAGGGTATGTCTGTGAAATTGATATAAGCCAACCAGAACGAAAAAAAAGATCACCAGTTAAACGCATGAGACTAAATGTTCAGAAGGGGAGATTATGAGATGCAACTCACCTCCAAGATCAGCGCCGTTCTTGATGATGAGCGCACCGTTAGACTCCAAACAAAGGGTGGGGATGATAGGTAATTACCACACCATAATTTATATACAATCACACACGGAATTGAAGCTAAACTGACCAAATGTAATGGTATTTACTGTGGGGGAGGTATCCACAGATCACCATGAAATCGGTCTAAGTATCTCGACGGCGAAAACGCCGATGAAAGGAAATGTGTCAGAGACAGTTCACACCCTACGGCCACCCAAGCATACTTATGAATGATACTTCCAGAGTCAGCATCCTGACGCGTTGAAGTCGAACAAGACGAAGGTCCTTTTGTGAAGACACAGGGACACATTCGGTGGCGCGGTGAGCCGGCCCGGTGTCCCGCTTCTGAGATCACGTGGTACCTGCCTTTGAAGCTGACTTGTGGCGTCTGTGGCCACCGCCGCTCTTCCTGCTTCTCCACCACCTTCACCGTCTCGCTAACTCTGATCATGCAATCCAACGCCCTTCTCGAACCGACAGTCCGTATCAGAACTCTGAAAAGAGACAGAGTGAACTTTGTTCTTGAAAATGCAGAGCTAGCGTACGCTGAAACTCCTCGTGAACTCTTGAACGCGCTGACGGACGAATGACCATACTTGACTCAGTTTCGCCAACTCGTTACGGAGAGTGATGATGGCAGATCTTCCAACAATTGGTGCGTGGAATAGCTATAAATCGACGTGTTCAAGCTGACCCGTATGGAATATGTGGCTCGTGTTCAGCTATCGACATGGTGGAGATCGAGACAAACACGACCGTGCTCCCCGATGAATTCATCGCACACCGACTTGGCATGATCCCCCTCGTAAGCGCGAACTGTGACGAAGCTATGCGGTATAACAGGGTGCGTCTTCTCCAGTCTTTGCTCGCGTCTGCTCATCCTGAGCTTGGTTTTCTAATCAGGACTGCACATGTGCAACGAACTGTTCCGCCTGTTCCGTCAAACTCCACTTGAACGTCGCATGCCACGACAACCGAACCATGGACATCACGAGCAATCATCTCGATGTCGTACCGCACGACTACACGGATTATGCGGCGGACGAGCAGCAAGAGGAGTTTCATAAGCGGATCGACACGTTTGGTCATCCTGTGGGGAAAAGTGCGTTATTTCTCGGTGAAGTCTGCGGTGACTTGGAGAACTGATGGGCATTCGGTATTTGTCGTGCGAATCTTGGAGATGACCCAAATGTTCAGCCCGTTCTCATATGCAAAATTCGCAAGGGACAAGAGCTTAAGGTCCGCTGCATAGCCAAAAAGGTGCGTCTGCCCTTCAACTTCATCCACATCTCATTCGCCACCTCTTACAACCACGTACTCAGGGTATCGCAAAAGAGCATGCCAAATGGTCTCCATGTTCCGCCGTGTCTTTCGAGTACGACCCACACAACAAACTTCGCCACACATCTTACTGGTTCGAGGGCGACGCCCGCTCAGAATGGCCACTCAGTGAAAACGCGAAGGAGGAAGAGCCACCTAGAGACGACGAGCCTTTCGATTACAATGCAAAGCCAAACAAGTTCTACTTCGAGGTCGAGACGGACGGAAGTCTTGGTCCACAAGAGGTTGTCATGAAGGTGCGTTCACTCCCTTTTATATCTCTCGTCCGCTTACACTGGTTCATCCTGATTCGCGCCCTCAAACTGCGTACTCACCATCGTTGACAGGGTCTTGGAGAACTCCAAACAAAACTAGCCAACCTCATCCTCGGTCTCAAATCCGACCAACTCCCCTCCACAGACACCGCTCTCCCCGGCACCGGTCCCTCCGCCCCAGGCGCACCCCAAACCAACGGCATCAACGGCACCACCGCCGGCTCTCCCTCAGTACCCAGCTGGGGCACCGGTGCCGCTCACCCATCGCCACCCCCAGGTTGGAATTCATCCCCGAACGGTACCGGAATTCCTGCCTGGGGCGCCTCACCCACCGCTGGAGGTGCATGGGGGGCGAGTCCCGGCGGTGCGGGTTCGCCTGCTGCGGCTCCTCCTGCGTGGGGGAATGTGGCTGCTACGAGAGGGGCTTGGGGCGACGCGGGGGCGTCGACGAGTCCTGCGTGGAATGCGGGAGCTGGGAGTCCTAGACAGCAGGGTGGATGGAACGTTTGATGGTTTTTTGGCATTTGTGGCCTGCGTTCTGTGTCGTCTGTGTCATGTCCGTCATTGACGTGGTGCTTGTACTGCTTTCTCTGAATATATATTTTTGTTTGGGTGCTCGCTGCTCCAACAGTGGTCTATCACGACTCGCAACTGCGCCTGTGCTCTCTATCGTTGCGCCTCGAAAACTGGACGGACCCTACATACGCACGGTGCACTGGCCCAACTCCAGTCCTTATCATTTCGCAAACACGGCATAAGCAAATTTATTCAGGGCCAAACGAGTGCAGGCGAGCCGTAGTGTGTAGATGGCGACTGCGTCGATACCAAAGAACGAAACCGTCAACATACCCCCTGAAAGAAACGACCAGTTGCCCATGAATGCCCTTATGCAAATGTGGCACGAGCTTTCGAAGTCAATCAGGTCGTATTTTCAGTCCGACCGTCGACGAGAGTGATTGCTCAAACGATATCATCCCAAATCACGACAGTGGTCAGGTTCAGAAGAGTGCACGACATAATGTCTCAACGTTCTCTGTATGGACTGGGACACCCCCTTCGATGACGTACGATGTGGCCTATCAACATAAAAGTCCTAAGGCGCCAGGGAAAGTTGATCGGAAGCGGTAGCAGATGGATTAACAGCGGCGTAGACAGTACAGAGTAGTATGGTGAAGAACAGGGTTCCTGGAGAACATAACAACGAGAGCAAGACGAACAATGATACAATGAGATCCTCGACTTTCACTTGCATACTCAACCGCGCGGCACTGGAAGGGTGCAGATATTATCAGGTTCAGCGGCACTAAGCATAGCGTCCATAGCTAACGCTCACCATTGTCACCCATAGGGAATCGAACGTATCCAGCGGGGCAACAAAAGAAGTGCATCCTTTCAGGCTGGAAGGCCCCTTCGGTCATGGCAATGAACTTTTCTCGAGAAGAACGATCGAGGTCCGACTCCGTCAGAATGGCCTTCTTCGTTTCGGGATCACGCCGTACAATACGAGTTTGAAGGCAAGCAACGCGTGTTTGATCCTTTCGGACCATATCTGGACAACGTCTATGAGCATTTCCATCAGACCAGAGGAGTTCGAGCTTACATTGCGGCCAGGGTACCATCCTGTTTCCTTCAACATTGTCGCGAATCTGTGCTACTGCCCACTCGGCAAAGCGTTGGTGCCCTAAGTCGGTAGAGACTTTCGCGTCGGGCTTCACGAGCTCTTCCCGTTTGAGAAAGGCGACGACATCTTCGTGCTCCAGTCTATATCCTGCTACAAATTGACACATAGCAGTAGAAAGGGAGGATAAATGAGAATGTTTGTGTTCAGCAGACGTTAAGGTCGTTGAGCCAAGGTTGAGCGCGAGTGGGACGAGGTGTTGAAAGGAGCCGGCAATCTCCGGCAATGTCCGTTTCTATGTGTCAGAGTGTGGCGGAAGCAAGTTGGTCAATTGGGCCACATCTAATTTGGTGGATAAATAGAATACTTACGATGTCTAACTGTTGGTGGTTCGTTTCAATCGAATTTCTGCTCAAGGTGACGTTATGTAGTGCTCACCAACATTCACAGTACTTTAAGGCGTTAAGGGAGGTTGACGGCAGTAGATAATATCATGGAATGACAAGAACGCAGAGGTAATACGAAAGGTTTTGGTGCAGAACAAAACACTTGAAAAACATGACGCCAAGAGCAAGAAGAAAACATATACGATGGCATCCTTAACGTTTAGTCCTATGTTCACCCGCGCGGCACTGACACGGTTGCAGACATTATTCCTATTAGCTTCAATGTGGCACATCGTATAGTGCCATTTGTACAAAATCACTCACCATCGTCACCCATAGGGAAGCGCACGTATCCAGCCGGGCAACAAAAGAAGTGCATCCTCTCAGGCTGGAAGGCCCCATCGGTCATGGCGACAAACTTTTCTCGGGAGGAACGATCGAGGTCTGACTCCGTAAGAAAGAACTTCTTCGTTTCGGGATCACGCTGTACAATGCGAGTCTGAAGGCAAGCAACGCGTATTTGATCCTTTCGGACCATGTCTGTACAAATTCTATGAGCATTCCATCAGACAAGAGAAGTAAGTTGGGATTCGGGCTCACATTGTGGCCAGGGTACCATCCTGTTTCCCTCATCATTGCGGCGAATGCGCGCTATCGCCCACTCGGCAAAGCGTTGTTGTGCCAAGCTGGTAGAGATCTTCGCGTCGGGCTTCACGCGTTCTTTCCGCTTGAGGAAAGCAACGACATCTTCGTGCTCCAGTCTATATCCTGCTACAAAATAACACATACTAGAAGAACGGGAGGATACGTGAGAACGTTCGAGTGTAGAAGTTGGACGTGACGCGAAAGGAGCCGCGTGTACTCGCGTGTAGGTCGAAAGGAGCCGGCAATACCCGGGTCCGTGTGTCAAGGGGAGGGTGGCGGGCTGTGGCGGGCTGCATCAAGGCCACATCGTCCAACCCAAATTAACGAGGCGGAGCCTATGAGGGTAGTACACCTAGAACATAATAATAGGGGAGTAACAGACAGGAAAGCAACACTGAAATTTGGCAGAAGTACTTTTCACCTTTACAGCAGCAGTGATGATTCGTCAGGCAACGTCGGTATCGATCGAAATGGCAGAAGGATGTAGTCTGAAAAGGCGAAATATGCGCATACAGCAGAAGATGCCTCTGGACAGCCGTAGCGATCAACCCTCGCAGAGTCCCCATCGAGCAGACCCGTCCAGTCTCCGGATTGCAACGTAAGAGTGACCTTCAACGAGTCAGATCAGGCGAGCGCAGAGACGTCCGTGTATATGTAAACGTCCAAGTCAAGTGACGCGTCCATACCGTGCAAACAGAACAGACGAGCGGTATGCTCCCCGCAAAACACATAGATCGAGCAACGAAGACAGCGACAAACAGTAAGAACAAAATATTCACAGCATAAAGATCCACCACCGATACTTATTCCAACGTTTGAATCACCCCTACAACAGCTCTAGCCCTAGATATCCCAGTAACACCTCTAATCTCTCAAACCCTCGACGAGCGCTGCATCTCAATCTCCTCCAGATGTTCAGTGGAGGGAGATGGCATCCGAAGACCTGAAGGCGTACGCGGTCCACTACCAGTCGCAGGCAAACCCGACACTGCTATTGCTGGTGAAGATGGTGTGGATGAGCGCTGCAGCGGTGTCCCTGGCCTCGACCCGGGGCTCGGAGGGAGGCGTTGACGCAGTATGAATTCACTGAGGCCTCGTTGAGGGGCGGGCATTGCGAGCTATTGCAGGAATGATGCGGATAGAACGTTGGTCGTGTTCGTGACGGCCACGGGGCAGAAAGTCAGTAACAGTGCACGCAAGGAAGAGATCAGGATACCGAACTTGCCTCTGAAGCTTCTCCGAAAATATCTGAGCCATCATTCACTGCATCCGAAGCATCAGTACCAGCATATCAGGAGATCCCAAAGTCTAGCACGATGAAATATAACGTACACGACGTTGGATTGTTATCCGTCAGCTTCCATCCATCCGACGGCATATGATGCCCAATAGGCGTTCGCTTCCCCTTCTCATCCTCTCTCGCAAGCTTCGCGTCCTCTTCCTTTACCTCATCCCATGGTACAAGGGTGTACGGCGTCGCTCTGCGATGAGCAGCTGGATCGCCCGTCGGTCCGTGCACGTGGACTTCGGCCATGGCTTGTTTCAGCGCACAAATCCACTTATTGCGACGTTTGGCTGTGAGGGTATCGTGAATAGGTGGGTTTTCCGAAGCTTGACCAGAGCGAGGACGGGAGAGCGTGGCAGACCTTTGAGTGAGCCTTGCTGCCAATTACTCTTATACATGATAGCCGCCTTCAATGTCATCTTCTCCTGCGCAGGAATATCTAGTTTCAGCACCATCCGTGGATCAGCATCGGTCTCACATTGTTGGAAGGAAGGAAGGAAGGAAGGAAGGAAGGAAGGAAGGAAGGAAATATATTTGTGCCAAAAGATATCACGCACCAACAACCTCAATGTCGAACGAAGGCATATAATCTCTTCGCTCAGACTTGACGAACATAAGCATCTTTGACCGTAGGGCCTCTATACGCTCAAAGCTTGTGTTGAAATCAACATCGAAAACAAAATCTTCCGACATCTGATCAAAAAGCACAATCATTACCACGTACCCAGGCCGAAGTAAGACTACTTCGAAAACAAACCTGGGGGCTCCGACGTATGTTTTGAATAAACTGTTCGACAGGGTCAGGGAGGAGAAGCTCAGCTGGTGACACCCTAATGAATAAGCCGGCGTGCGATTGACTTACTAGCGTATCTAAAACGACGTTCGGGGCTTGCACCAGCGTTCCATGCCCATTGAGCATGATGGTGCTCAGTAACCGTATCTCCTTGACCGTGAAAGTCCCTTCATCTCCCAAATCGATGACGTCGCCAACGTCGAATGGATGCTTGATGAAGAGGAATATGATACTCGTAAGGACAGCGGAGAGACTGTCTCCGATAAGCCAACTAAGACCTGTTGGAGACATTATAACAATACTTCAAGAAAGAGAAGATCAGTACGACTCACCAAGAATGATAGTCCCAGCACCAGTGATCAGGGACGTCAGTTCTGCGTCCTGATACGGAGTAGACACGGAATCAGCAATGTGGGGCCCAACCGTAGAGTATCAACGCTTCTCACCAAAGTGACAGCCATAATCAAGATCGCCACAAAGACATAAACACTCATGAGGATATTATCCAACCGTCCGACCGCACTATCCAAGTCCCTCATCGAATGTTCGATAGACAATTGCTCTCGGTGAAACTCCCTATGTGTCCGTTGGATGCATGTCACTATGACGCAGCTGTTTTCGACAAGAAACAAGGAATAACGGTAGAGAAACGCACAAGCAGCTCATCTCAATCTCATCCCTCGATACATCGCCATTTTGATCTTTGTCGAAAAGAGAAAACGCCACCTCCGCGTCTTCGATGTTCGGATAGAAACGAGCGATGTCTTCAATTGTGATCCCATCCATGCCCGGCCTGCGGAAAGAGTAGTACAATCGCCTGGCTAGCTGTTACGGGAGTGAAGCATAGCGCATGAGCATGGACGGTTGGAACTAACAGGACTATCGAGATTGAATGGAGCTAGATGCGCCAACGAATAAAAAGAAGGAAAGAAAATAAGGTTGGATACGCACAAGCCTTGTCTTGTTAGCCGACCTGAGCGCCGTCTGCACCATAGCCGCTGGCGAATTCGGCTGCAGTACCGAACTAATCAAAGGAACGAAGTCTCAGTCCGTCAACCTCAGTTCCGCTATTTAACGTAGTCCAAACACAAAGCGCCACGCCTTGCGAGACGAACCCACCTTCCGGCGATCTCCGACGCCACATTCCCCAGGACCGTAGTAGTCGTCGTGGCAGCGAACCTCACTCCCTTCATCGCGCGCTTGAAGAACCTCTTCGGCGAGTCTCTTCCTTTGTTTGTTCCGCGGGTGTCTCTCAAAGTATCGGACCTGCCGGGAATATCGCTCGAAAACCGGTACAAGAACGTGAGGGTCTTGACGGCGAACTTCTGGTCGGCAATTCGCTCTGAAGAGCGGCTTGTCAGTTTGAATGGACACTATCGATCAGCAGGTCATGTAGAGCCACGAGTTGAACGTACCAGCGTATGATCTTTCGTGGAACTTTGCAGCGATCCATTGAATAGAGAACTTCTCGAACAAGAGGACAGCTGCGCAGAGGTACAATCCGAAGAGGATCTTGGCGATGGTGCTGGCGATGCTTTTACTGCTGTCGCTTGCATCTGACTCTTGCTGATAGTTAATGAGTGGGTTCCACGAAAGCCATATGGCGAATGTCCAGCCGAAAATCGCGACATAGCTGAACGTTTTTTGTTTTGTTAGGATATGTTCAGAAAAAATCTAACGAGATCAAAACAGACCGGTGCAGTACCTCCATCCAGTCGATGTAACGTCGAGTACCCAAGGCAACCACGCCAATTGTGGAACGCAGCACGCGAGGAAATATCATACTAAAGGAAAGAGTCGTGCCATGTTAGCCGCAGTTTGCGAAAGTATATTGCCCATGGGGACATCTGAACATACGCTGCAGCGAGACTCGCCCACCAGCCTGAACGTAAGGCCCTGTAAGCGAGTGATCGGCAATAATGATGATACCGAGCGCTTACCTCCCCAAAGAACAGAAAACCATATGCTCCACCACAACAAGTGGGTTCCCAAGATCTGTGGCCAAGAGCCAGGTACTGTCGTCAGATACGATATAAATACCAAGAGGGGCATCAGAGCCACCTAAGGGAAGGGAAAAGGTCGGAGTCGAAAATGACACGATATGCGTTCCAGAAGGCGGTCGACTTCCGGCATTTGGGAAGCACGATTTCTGCAAACGACCATGTCGATCTGTGCAAGGAACGAAACCTTCGTCCATTCCTTCGCACCAGAAATTTAACTGCCGCGGCTGCAAAATCAAACTCCGTCCGCAACAATTATACCCATTTAAGATTGCGGCGTGGCTCGGAATCACCAGTCAACGTTATTTAGTTCAAGAAAGATGGAAGAATGGAAGCCACGTTATTCGCAGGGAATTGGAACGATTCTTTATTCGCCTAGAGTAACATCATCTACACAAACCGCCGAGACCCGGGCCGCCCGCAGACCACCTCCTGGAGCGATGGTACCAGTAGTGCCACACCAAGCTTGGCCGCAGCAATAAATATAGCCATCTGCCAACGCATCGCCAGGGCTCTTCGCGCATCAGAAACAGACCAAACTGGACTTACCTGAGCATTAGGCAGCGAAGTCAACCCTAGAACGCCAGGGATCCACAGAAGGCCCAAAACAGGTAAGATGAAGAGCGTCCAGCGAGTAACAATCGAAACGTTAAGAAGGTAGTTGTAAAACCGAGAAAACTGGAGAGAAGAACATCAACATGGTTAGCGAAGTACAGAGTACGGTGCGCTCACCCTATCCTTGGGAATGTCTCCTTCGGCAAACGCGAGATGTTTCTGGTTCGCGTTCCTTGAATCAAACTGGTCGTAGCTCTCCTCCCACTTGCGCACACCAGAAAGGAGATCCCAGCTCGAGTTTCTGGAGGAGCTGATAGAGTCTCCTTGACCCTGTCCCCTTAGATGAAATGGTCTGAAAGACCTCCGTGCTTTCGTTCCTCGCTCAGTATCACTATTCGCAGGGCTGCTGGTCCTGCTTGATGGAAGATTGGCCATGTGTACATGTCTGCCACGCTGATTACGAGGTGAGTTTGGAGGATACGTGTTAGAAGTTGTAGCAGGGTCGGCGAATGGTGTATGAGACGAGTAGGAGTATCCATCTTCGTTAGAATGTTCGGGCACGGTGATGCTTGGTCGTGGAATAGCTCCGCCACTGTAGGACGGTTGTTCGTCGGGTGTCGTGAGCTGAACTGGATCGTACTCCGAGCGTCGTGGAGAGCTCATGGGGGTTCAAGGCAACCAGGCAAAAGAGAAACAGAGAAAACAAACAGAAAAAAGAAGATTGATTGGCTGGTTCGGCGCAGTAACCATCCTGTTACGACAAATGAATCATGAATGTGCCCGCTGCCAAGCTGCCCCTAACCCTGCGCCAGGGTAATGTGGGGTTAATCGGGGCTACCTTTGGGTCTCGACGCGGTCCGCCCGTTGCCGTCGTTCTTCTTGTTTATATTTACCGCCACCGCCACCACGGTAACGGCGCGCCCCTAGGACAGTTCATCCTCAGAGACAAGCCTTGCTGCAATTTTTCAGGAACAAAAGTGGGTGTTACTCGAGGTAGAGACCTCACAAGCGTCGGACTCATTCATCCTCGTACTAGTTGACGCTGACCGCATAGTAATGATGCTTATAATCACATGCAAAACATTGCAACTGTCTATCATGATCAGAGAAGTTCAACGGAGGATTATCAGCGATACACGGCTATCGTAGCATTTCTCTTCATGCTCAGGATGTTTGCGAACTTGTTCCATTGCCAGCATGGCACTCCCTCCGTGGCTTGAGTAAATACCCAGAGGCGTTATTTTTTCTTCCCTTTTTTTTCTTCCATGAACGTCCTATGGCCTTGCTCCCGTGCGCTCCATGTGATTACTGACCTTTTCATTACTATACAGCGCGGACATGTTACCCTTCTATCTCGCTTCGACAATCCGTCATGCGTGACTGTGAGTACCAGGTTCGCTTCATGGGCATATTATTTCAACAATCTCCCACGGATGATGATCATGTTCTCCATTTTCCTCCAACGGCCACAAATACACATATACCGTCGTATCTCCTCGGAATATGTATTCTTTCTTGGCGAGTAACGGTATTTTCGTATGTCCAGCCCATACTAGCTCTACCTAGGCTCACAGTAGGTCTTTCCCCTCGAATGTCATTCCCAGCCTCATGTTTAAGCGGCCAACCCCGCCTCATTTCCTACCTCCAAGAGAATCGGCGATCATTCCGTCTCCGGAATGAAAGCGGAAGACCTCAGATTAACTCATGATGGACGTCGAGCATCCCGCGATCCCACAAAGCAATGCAGGAAGCCCACGGCTCGCCTTTCGGACCTTATATGTCATACACACGCCTCGCCCCATCCTCATTGCCCGAACTCTCCACCTCTTCAGTCCACTTGTCGCGGCCTAGCGCGGGATTCCCTTGAAGACTCAGCGTCCCAGCGGTCAGAACGGGAGTAGAGGAGTGTGCCTAAACATATGTTCCCCACGAGGCTCCATTCATCCTACGCGAGGCTGTGCGACTCATCCGGAAGACGTCACAAAGTTGCAGCCTATACTCACACTCGCCACCCGTCGTCGCAAATATCCTCCATTAAGCTTTTCCTCGAGCATCGGCAGCAGCAGCAGAGTTTCTATACGAGTACATAGCACTGACAAGCGCAAGATCATGAGCCTGCGACTAAAACTCCATGTGTACTAGGCCGTCTGTCTAACCCCATTCCGCTTCTACGTTAGTACACACACGTACACTGGAACGTATGTCATGATATGTGAGCTCTCACCTTCGTTCAGCGTCCCAATAATCGATCCTACATCTGAAGATCCTACGCGCTACGCCGCTATGCGACTTTGCCACCAGGCTTCAAGCTTCAGGCTCTGTTATGCGCCGCGCCACCCGTACAGTAGCCAGCTGTAGCCTTCAGCGGCTCGTTTCGAAACCACGATGCACGGGGACCCATCAGCGCACAGAAAGACAATCGAAGGAATCGAGGATCCATAACCACGATTCACCGCCCAACGAGGACTGCAACGCGCCTTTGTCAGGCCAACTATCACGTAGCCTCAACCTTTCCCGCTCCGCCTCAACTCAGCAAACTCTCGTCGATGTACAATGATACTCGGGTTCAAAGTTGAGTGAAAGAATAGGCTAAATTCACGCAATCACCTGATGGGCACTTTGTCCGCCAACTCCGCCCTTCTCATCATCCTGAGTGGATTTGGTGATGTCCTCTTTAAACTTTCGTTTTCTTAAACCTTTCCCAGACATGTGCAAGGTCGGGAACCGGACTGTTGCGCATTTTCGGACCTCGCCGCACGTATCACAACGCCTTTCAAAGCAGGCAATTAATTCTCTCTTCATGATCGCCCCGAGGTAGAAGCCTGAGAGTTCGGTATCTACTAATGTAAGGATGAAGCCGATGAAGCCTGCGGCATTGCAGACTTGGTACTCACACTCTCGGTCAATTCTCTCTCGATGACAATGTTCGCTGCTCATGATCGACCTCGGCATTAACTATCCAGAGCGATTGTTATAATTTCCGACGACCCCAGGCACTCACAGGTTACGAGAGAAAAAGACGAAAGTAGCGGGACAAGGCTGTGGGAAACCGGAACATACAGACAGAGCCTAGTATATATCCTGGTCATGTTATGCTGTCGTTCGTGTAGCAAAGCAGGGTGGGGTAACATCATCGTGGAGCAGAATGGAAGGTGACGCAGAGATGAAGGAATCCGGGAGGTACAATACGTAGATGGCGGACATAGAAGTGGAGGTGATACTGTACGGATTAGCACACAAAGAATAAAGAGAAAAACAAGCAAGGAGCTCGAGCACTAGCGAGAACAAAAACACACAAAATAGGGATATGTCCATACAAAAGACTTCAACTGCTGCTCGTACAACCGTGTGTAGAATGTAGCGCCTATCCAGGGTGAAAAATGTCGGTGGAAATACAGGAAATGGTTGTCATGGTCGGTATATCAAGCAGTTCATCATCGGCAACGTAAAAATGAAGAGCGAAGGCAGTAAAAAGCAAATGGAAAGGAAAGGGGTCGTCACGGACCGTAGGGTCGCCGTCGTCATGATAATTTCGTCTGCCACCCCAACAACCGCGCATCATCAGCGGTCGGAGCTCCAGCCCAGCAGTCCGCCGATCCATCTAACTTTCATCACATCGAGATCGCCCTCCCCTTCCCGATTTCCTGGGACCCTCTTACCGTCGACCGTCCTCTGTGCGGCTCCGGCCCAACATCCTCCTGGATGTCCTCTCTTCCATACGAGTCAGGCTCCGGGTTGAAGACTCTATCCGCGCGGACGTAGGTCACTGCCCGAGGACTCTTGTGTGTGAATCCTGCGAACGCAAGCGCCTTGCGGACGTCGAGGATCTCTTGTCCGTGGATCTTGTCCCGCAGCAGTGGGTCGCGAGTGGCGTCCGGCGGTGCTCCGTTCGCGGGCGCGAGAGGCTATATCGTCGATACAGTGACCCACACCCAGCCCAATCCAACACAGAAAGACCCACGTCAGCAATCGGCTCCGATCGACTCGGAGAATGGTAAATGGGGAGAGAGGACAAAGCAAAGGAATGGAGAGACAGAGGCAAAACAAAAGCTACGCACCTCCGCGGGAATATCGTCGTCGAAGTGCCGGGTGTCCTCAGGGTCTTGGAGATCAGGACAGTATGGTGGCGTGTAACGGTGAATATTCAGCCAGTCAATGCCCCGGAACCAGGGGTGAGCCTATGCGATCCCAAGAAACGGTTGGGCGAAAAGTAAGAGCACCGGAACGCAGATCATTGGAGCAATCGGAGTGAAGAAATTTACGGCCATCGTCAGCCCCAGTCCGCCAACCAAGCTCGACGGAATAAAAAAGGAGTGGAGGCTAGTTCGATCGCACCTTGATCAGCTCGGCCCCGTCCACAGTGCTACCGCCCGCACCAAAACCAGGCGCAAAGCCAGACGGCGGGCCAAAACCGCTCCGCCTCGCCTGCACCACCACCGAGTTCGGTCGATTGACAGACGAGGAGGCTTGTGAGCCGAGGCGGTCCTCAGGCTCGCATAGGAGCTGCTGCATAAGATCGACGCCTTCATGGGATACACGCGGCCGGGAGGGGAAACGCAGCTGCTCTTTCCACTTCAATATTTTCTGCCGGGTGACGTGTCTCTGTTGGTATTATTCGTGATAGCGCAGACGCGGTACACGGTTTGAGATCCAACCGATAATCGGATCAAAAAATGGAGTAATTAGAGCATCGGGGGATAGGGCGAAAGTAGGACAAAGGAAACGGTCGTGTGGGCATGCAGGTTCAGTCAGGGGTCAGATATGGAAGGCGGATTGCATCAGAATGAGGTCAGATCATGTCGGGCAATCGGGACAGCCAAGCAGGATTAAGACTTACGGAGTTGCTGACGAAGGGAGGATACCTAATGAAGTCGACGGCATGAGTACATGGAAGCAAGAGTCGCCGTATTCGGAGTGTTTCTTTGGTATAGCTGTGGTACTCACCCGTAAAGACACTCAAACATGATCACACCAAGACTCCACCAATCGCAGGAGTAGGAATAGCCCTGGCCCCGGATGACTTCGGGTGACACTGAGAGAAAGGGGTAGTCGCGCAACGCGTTAAAAATCGATCAGATTAGATGGCAGCCCGGAGCAGAGCCGAGAAACAAACTTACTGTATGAGTTAGTCCCGCAACTATGTACGATCCGTTTGTCAAAGTGAGCAGGGCACAAGAACGGTAAAACGGGCGGCTGAACTTACACGGAATAGGCCAACTTGGTGCCGCGTCGGTGAAAGAATTTGGGTGATAGTCAATCATGAGTATCAGAGGTCCTACATGCGCAGGACCAGAGACCGACCCACCTTGCGACGATTCTTCTCCCGCCAAGTGAAGATACCGCCTTTGCCATCACCGCCCATCAGTATCTCGACATCCTTCCGGTCCATCCGTTTCGTTCGAGTTCCATCACCGAGGCTGTCTTCGAGATCGATTCCATGCTTCCGAAGGAGGTGAAGCCGCTGCTGTTCGTAGTCTGCGAGATGAGCGGTTGTACGTTAGCCTACGTGCACGCAGTATCAGAACGGATTGCAGGGACGCACAGGACGTATCATGTGCCCAATGGAGGTCGGTCCTAGAAACGTCGAAAGGTATGATTGGAAATTTGGGTTCATGTAAAATTATGGAGGTCGCAGGCTATGAACTCACGCCAATCCAAAGTCGCTTAATTTGATGTGGCCCTGTGGGTCGAACAAGAAGTTCTGTGGTGGGTGAAGTCATTATCGCGACGAGAGATGAAAGACGCGAAGAGGTGCGCACATCAGGTTTAATGTCCCGATGAATGAAGCCGTGCCTATGGCAGGACTCGATAGCGAGTACCATCTGTAAAATTAAAGTTCCTCAGATAATTCGCATGGCTTAGTCGAGGGGCGTGAGACTCAATGAGAACTGACCTCAGCGACATAGAAGCGGGTGAAATCTTCTGGAAACACGTCGCGCTCAATGAGAAGATTAAGGAGGTCCCCGCCCCCCATGTATTCCAGGACCTGATCAGATATGAAATCGCAATCAGTGTGGTGCGCGCCGTTTGCCCATAAAGTAACAATACACTCGAGGTGGTAGATGGGTGATTGAACCTACCAAATAAAGATTATCGCGATCTTGAAAACTGTAGTGCAGTCTAACGATCCATTCGGCGCCTCCAGGGGAGCTGACCAGAGACGCAGACTTGAGAACGTCTCGTTCGGCGCGAACGTGACCTTCCTGGCCTTTACGTAGCATATCTGTCTTCCTCAACTGCGTAGGATTTTCGAAGAAAGGAAGCGAGGTTAGTTTAGCGTTTCGAACTTGTGATGATAGAGTACAGGGCGGGCCACAACGAAGCGAAAGCGACTGACCTGTTTCATGGCGTACAAGCCGCCCGTCGACCGCTCCTTCACGAGGGAAACGACGCCAAACGCGCCTGAGACATGTTGTGAGTCAAGACGGACAATAATAGTATACTTTGGTCCGCGGAACTCACCGTGACCAATTGTCTTGAGTTTAATGAACGCGCTAACGTCTACCTTGCGGCGCTTCTCGCGAAGGTAGTCGGTCTCGTTCTGGAGCCACCGTCGACGAAGTTCCTCCTTACGGTCTTCCGACAGACCCATCGCGACCATATCTCGTTCCATAGCCTTCCGTCTCTGCTCACGAGAAGGAGGATGGCGAAAGAGTGGGAAGTACAGGTTCTCGAAATAGATTCGAGTCGACACCGCCTTCTCCAGAGTGGCTAGGGACGGATTGATATCTCGTTGACGTGGTATCGGGGCGGGAATGGACTCGGTGTCCTCAGGTGCTCCATTCTCGTCCTCGTGGCCTTCGGGGTGCGCCTTCAAACCTCCAGCCCAGCGAATGGTGGAGTTCCCAGGACGTCCAGGAAGACCGTCGTAAGCCCCAGAAGCACGGAAGTTCTCCCGCGCTGCGGTGGTGAGCGTGCTAGACGTCTGCGTACTCATTCCATTGACGACCCGGAGAGTGGCCATGCCGTTCTCAATCCTGCTAGGTGTCGGCTGAAAGGCGTCAACGACCTCATTGACAGCGCGAGCTTGGTTTGTCTCTCGGATACGGTCCTTGATCGGATTGGCCCAACGGGGATCTAATGGCACAAGATTCAACAAACGTGCTCTCGTTCTGCATTCCAGGTGTTACAGCCTCACCACCGAGCTTTCCCATCCCGTCAGGACCCCAACGAGTTAGCAAGGCCTCAGCCTGGTCTGCGTCTGACGCATGGATCAAATGACTAGCAAATTATTTGAGTCAGGATGCGAGGAGGCTGCTTCTGAGGTATGGACATACACAAAGCCCGTCGGTTTCGAGACCATGTCCTTACTGATCCTCTTGTACTGTTTCCGAGAGGAGTCGGGACTCTGAGAAGACAAGATGGGAGCTGGTGGGATAGCTGGGGGAGAACTGTGGGCCGGTCGAATATCTTCGTACCTCGGACCAGCGAGTGGTGTCTCCACCTCAGGTTTCGGTTCACCCCAAAGCAAACGAGATGGTGACGGTGTGGGTATGTAGGAGAGCAGATCGTAAAAGCCTTTGTGGAGAAGAGTTCCTCCTCTGAGCGTGGTAGGGTGCTGATCGTAGGATACGACATTGCTAGGGCCGGTCATCGGAAAGGGTGGGTAGTTCTGAGGATGATGGTACGGGCTATTAGGTGCATAGAGGTCCGAGCGATGATCATCAGGGTATCCAAAATCATTCTGCCGCTGCGTCGGGGGCACGGGCAACGGCCGCGAGGAGATGTTTCTAGCCATCGACGACGTCGTTCACGCCGTTGAGGACGACGGCGGCGACGATGAGGAAAGACAGGGGAAGTGGCGGACAGTACCTAATATTGAATCGACGGACCGAGCTTTAGCGCCCAGTGCGCGGCACCGTCAGAGTTCACTGAAACAGGCAACCAGGCACGTGCTACGCACGCGATCGTTGCCTGTTAAATTTCCCTGATCCATATCGTCCTGTTCCGATGAGCCCCACCTTCATTGTTTTCTGTTATTCCTGACATTTCTCGACGAGCGAAGATCGTTAGCGGAACGGCGTCAGAGACGCTGAGGCCAAAGTATGGATAGACAAGATGCGCCAGCGAGCTGGCGCCAGTCGCCGATCCGACCCGTTATGGAAGAAAGAGCGAGCGGCTAAATGGCGGCAAGTGCCCTCGGGAAGTGCCTCGAGAAAGTTGCCTCCGGTTGTGAAACAACGGTCAGGAAAGAATCCCCCGCCACCCTGATATCTCGATATTGAGCCGAATTCGTCGCATGGGTGGGATTCTTGGCCTCAAAGGGGGCCCTTTCTTGTCGAGCTGGAAGGTTCGTCTCGGACGGAGACCCCGTCCTCATGTTCGTCGGCTTTGAACTTGCAGCCGCGGCATCTGGACGAGCCGCCAACACGCCGCCTTGGTCGAGTCTGAAATCGGGCTGATCCAATATACGTCTTTCCTACGGCACGGGCCACGACGCAGGTCCATCGCCAGTGCCGCGTGGGCAGATGTGACGATGGAGGCCAAATTTGAATTAGCAGGATCTTCCCTCAAACACCGACACAACGTTATATGTCCGCGCTCAGATTGATTCAAATGCTCGCCCGGATGTAATTTAGGCATTCCAGTGGTGGCAGCAGCCTCCCCTCTCACCGGCCCTCACCGTCTCTCTCTCAACGCGCACATCGCTCGCCCGTCATCCTTACAACGATTATTGATCGCCCCCTGCCCAACTCTGTGGTGTTTCACCTTGCGGCCTCCTGCAGAGTGAGCTCCTCCATGCCCTCGGTCTCGGTCGCAGTCCCCAGCCACTTGCCACGCTCGTACTGCAAAAACTACACGCCCTGCATCGCCTGAAGTTGTGACTGGTCGCGTGTCTCCAGGTACTTAATCGTCTCCCGTCCCTTTCACTCTCAAATTAATACTTCATTTCCCCGTCCTTTCACCTTCAATTCGTCTTCTTCTCTTAAACTATGTCTTACCACAAGGATTATTACGCAAATTACTCAAGAATGCCTAATAGCAAGAGTCCTGCTCTCGAGGACATGCCTACCGGTTCGTCTTTGGCCGACCAGGGTAGGCGCACTGTACTGCCCCCTCTCACTTTAGCGTTTCCAACCTCTCACTCCTCAGGTTTGTCTTTCTGAATGTCAAATGCACCGCACATGAACTCAACTCTAAAATATCCCAACATAGGACCCGCGACTGCGACGTACACAAGCGCGCATTACCAACAGTATCCCCAGCAACGGCAACCCCAACAGGCTCATGCCGCTCAGGGGTCGTCTTACGAGCACGGAGTTCCAGCCACTCCGTACGGATACGATGCACACTGTCCGTTCTGCTCCCCTTCGTGATCCGCTCTTACGTTGTAGTAACTTTTTACCTTGCAACTCTTCGCCAGATTCACAACCAATGCATCCGTCGCAGCAGCACCAACAGTATCTCTACCAGGAGCAGCCGTACTCTCAGGGCGGCCACCACCAGTATGCATCCCACCATGCTCGTACTTCTCCACCTTCCACCTCCCAACCTCAGCGCCCTCTCCGTCTTAGCATGCCCAGTACTCAGCAATATCCGCGTGATGAGCAACGTTGGACGACCGACTCGGCTTACTATCAGCAGCAGTCCCCTACTAATCTCACCTCACATAGCGACATTCGTTCTCCACAGGCCGGCTATGGCACGGCTTACCCTCAGTACCAAACACTTCAACACACTCCCTACACAACTACGAGTCCCTCCAGAGGCGTCGCTCCCGCATCCGTCCCTCACCATCATACCGGGTCGACAACTCATCAAGCTCACAACTACCCATATGGTGCTGATCGCATGCAGCGTCAAGCTAGCCATGGGTCCGCCGACCGACATGTTCCCTCCCGAAACGTCCCTCACATGCCGTACGCCCGCGGCGCGCCTACCTTGCCCTCTCCCGTCGATTACGACATGAACGAACATTCCCAAGACCCCGTCATCAAGAAGAAGCGTAAACGCGCCGACGCCCACCAGCTGAAGGTCTTGAATGAAGTGTACGCGCGCACGGCGTTCCCAAGCACGGAGGAGAGAAACGACCTGGCGAAGCAGTTGGACATGTCGGCGCGTAGCGTACAGATTTGGTGAGTTGATTGACTTCTCGTTTTCCTTCATCTCCGCCCGCAATGCACCGTTCATGATGGGATTCAGGTTCCAAAACAAGCGACAGTCGATGCGTCAAGGGACTCGTTCGACAAGTCAAAGTGGGACACACCCTGCTATGACCGCCCCACTTCCTGCTCCTGTTGGTTCATCTCATGATGTTCCGACATCCTCGAGGTCGCCTCCTCCCGGTGCCCAGTATAGCGCCACTTCTTCGTCCTCTGTCGCCGGACCATCACGAGCGGGATATTCTGCGCGCTCGCCTCCACCGATGGCCAGACCTACAGGCCAAGGACCCGTTCGACCTCCCAGCAGTGCTGGACACAGAAGTGGGGAGGTAAAGCCAGGATGGTCTAGTGGCTATGGACGGGGATACTGATGGGTGTTGGGTACGCGTCTCTGGCACGCATGAGGTCTCGGACAAAGGCTTTGTTCGTCTTCACGATTCACGGCAACGGTTTCCATTTCTCCTCTTCATCTCCCTTCTGGTCTTCCATGTTGCTTTCATTTGTCTCCATATCATCACGCACATTCATTGTCACACAAGAAGTCATCTTACTAATTATTCTACATGCTCACGTTCCGATCTCTGATCATTGCATTGCTGTCGACGTCTAATCTTATTCAGCTCGGACTACTTATGTCGCATTCCTACCCGACATTGCATTGATGTTCTCATACACATACTCACGATTCGACTGATATCACTCTGCTTTCTGTATATGTTATATCTATCCGCACGTTCCCGAGTTGCTTTATCGGTCTGTATCATGCTATCCCTGTCTTCCGGTCTTCTTTCATGTTTACTTCATGTTCATTTCATCTTATGTTGATTATGAACCTTCCATTCCGTTTCTCAAATAAACCGTACATCTCTCCTCCTTAGCTACCCGCTCTAAACCCGTATATTACTCTACTAGCTTTCTTCACACTCACATAGCCACGTTCCCTTGTCTTTCTCTAGTTCTCACTGCCAGCCTACATACAATAATAATACTACAAACCCTATTCGTACTATACTTAAAACACTTACACCTACTTCTTCTACGTACTTACACCTCGTTCTCGTATCAGATTCGGACTCGCGCGAAGGCATCTCAGTACATCAGGTCGGACGCCTTCTCGTTACTTAATTTCATCGCTTTCATCTCTACTGCGGGTCATCTGCCATCGATTCATCTTGAGTCGCCTCGTCGCGGGAGACCTTATAAAATGATGAGACAAGCGAACATGTCTTCGACTCGGAGTGGGTCAGCCAGTTAATTTCGGGATGACACAAGGACGCTAGGACAGTCCTCGTCCTGCAAAGCGTAGAATTCTCCCCGACGGAGAACAGTATGTATTAGTGTGTACGAAGATCCCCAATGATGCCGTTGCGTCCTCGAGATGCAGCGGTCGGGACGCTTATGATGTACGTATTCGACGTTTTACTGCGAGCTCATATGCGCCTAAATGCCGCAAAGTTTGGACCATCCAGGCTAAAAGTCTGATTGCCATGATAGGATGAAGTCGGCTTGTGGACTCTTGTGTACTAACACAAATCACCCACGTTTTCGTCGAGGTCTCCGTCATGGCGCGATGGTACAATTCTGCCCCCGTTACATACGCAGAGAACGCCGTCTTCCAACAGAACCACGGGCAAGTCCAGATTCTGTCCCTGCATCTGTATAACCCCACAGTTCTAGCCCGAGACGAAACGAGAAAACGGAGGGTTTCTCTCCGATGTGCCTTATTAGCCCCATCCCGATCGCATTTAATTTTGAATTCATTTACTCGCCAAAAATGAAGCAACGCGATTCGTCCAACAGCGGAACATTATGCTGTCATGTACGGTCAGCGGACACCGAATTCGCTGCTTCGGACTTACGCCCAGCATCTTTCTCGTCTTCCCGTCCGTTCCGTCTCCTCGAGAGAACATCGGCGGCCAGGAGTTGCCATAAATACAGGACCCAGCCAAGGCCAAGCGAATGCCGGAGAGTCGTGACGCAAGAGGGCAATCCTGTTCCAGTTCTCTTGTTACGTCGTTTCATCCAGAAGAGTAGCGCCATATGGCCGAGAAGGCGTCGTACATCGTATCAAGAAGGCGTCGAGCACGGATCACATAGGTTTCGCCCATACGTATAACCTGCATTCTCCGCGTAAAAGCCACGACCGTACGGGTTGAGAAGCCATCAGAACCAGTAGCGATTCGTTATGTCTCCGACGTAGCTCTTCTGCAAAGGATGCTCTGGCCTAGCCTGATGTCGCCGGAAGTTCTCCCATGAAACCTTCGAGAACATGGCGGAGAGTCAGTTTTGTTTGTATTGTACGTTTTCGAATCAGGCGATGCGGTCGAACGCGGGACGTAGAAGAGTCATTCGCACCTCTGTTAGGTGTTAGGGGGGTCGTGTGTCCCTCGACAGACGTACAAACAATCTGCAAGCGCAGGACGACCATCAGCCCGAGGCGTGATATCGCTCGAAGTGAGGCTGTCACGGCGTCCCAGAGCAGAAATCTGGGCAACCACTTCAAAGCAGGACTCTAAACCCAAATGAAGCCTTTTGGACGATAAATGAAATCGTCTTCGGGGATATGAAGGAACAAACAGCTGCGAACGGAAATGAACCCGGGAGATGAATCATTTATCGATATGAAGCGAAATATGAAGAGCTAAACGGTCAAAGTCGTCACTCGAAGAAGCCAGACGTACAGCCTATCGCAGGGGCATCTCCTTCCCCCCAAGCTAGGCAAAAAAAGACGGGAAGTTTCTCACCATTTCGCCGTAAGCGCCCTATGCATTCTCAACCACCAAACTCCAGCTGCGAGGGAAACGACGGGTCGATGAAAGACGTGAGAGGGCCTCGATGCTACGCAGAATGTAGAGACCATTCGGAAATAGTCCTAGACCATGCGGCCAAGACCGTCGACGGAGAAGTGGAGCCACGGTCTGTCGCGCAGAGTCCGATGCGTACGGGGCGTCGTCGTGCTTCACCATACCCAGACACGGATATGCGGATCCACGGACCCCGTTCTCGAGCTGTAGGAAAATTTTAACGGGGATAAGGCAGCGCCGAAAGGGCTGGATGAGCACCGCACCTTGGGTCCCCAACGTCAACCACCGCATTCCAAGTGAACATCTGCACGTACAGTGTCACTTCACTGGCGAGTTAAGAAACATGTCAGCAGCAAAAAGGAAATAGTGTCAAAGGCGCGCGATCTCAACATGCACGAAAGGCCTCTGATGGACGGGGACTTCAGCATCTGGATAGTGACGAACGAAGTTAAGACAGCCTTTCGCCGTCTAGCAGTGCAGTGACGAGGGAATCGAACGTCCAACTGGGGCATCGATGCGTCAAAACGGCCCCACCGTCCAGCTGCAGCAAGTTGTGGGCATTGTGAGCTTGACAGCAATAGCAAATACAACCAAGACCGACAGAATGAACGACGCACCGTTTCAACGCCGCCCACAAGTAGATACATGCCCAGAAAAGGCAGACGTTTGAGCCCTCCCACTGACAAGACAAGAATAGAGTAGACGCATGATCGTAAGTCTCACTATGCTCGGAAGACCAGCACAGTGACGCCCCCCATTGCTACGAAACTGGATCGCAAGTCGACAGAAGAATTTCAAAAATATCGCATGGACCGCCACGGTGCTTCCACTAGTAATAACACGCTGTCAAAGCATGTTCAACTTGCGATGTCAAACAGCGGATGCAAATTGCAGACCTTCCCATTTGTGGCCACTCGTGGGCTCTCGTGTATTGGGGCGGTCTGTACATAGATCCACAGGCACGGCAAAGCGCATAACAAGCTAAGCCAAGGTGACATCACACCCACCCGCAGACAGGAAAAATGGAAGAGACATCAGAGAGAATACCCAGAAACGGACGCAAATAACATATGGTGACGAGAAAGGAAATCTATAGAGGATAAAGAGAAAAAGAAATACAGTAGTCCTCTCTGGGGCAAGAGTATACCAGTAATAGCGACGAACGAATTACGATAGCGGTGCGAAGGCAAAAGATAATGACACTCACAGCCCGGGATGGATCAAAATACGACGAACACGCACAAACCGCACGCAATACAGCGTTCAACCCAAAATCAAAGCTCTGGTCAACATGTGGCACACAGCCCACACCCTACCAATACTGACGCTAGACCCACTCAACCCGAGCGGAACACCCGACGCCTCTATCGTGATAGCAATCACCTCGAACTGACCCTCTAACAACTTAATCCGAATCCGTGTCCTCAGGCTTCGGCCCTCCATGCGTCAACCACGCCAACTTCCTCAACCTCCTCCTCTCCTCCTGAGCCTTCTGCTGGTTCCTCGTCACCTTTTTCTTCTTCTTTATCGGTGGCGTAGATGTTCCTCCGTTCTCCGCGCCACTACCAGCAGGACTGGCGGCGGCCGAAGCGATAGGAGTTTGCACTCTGGATTGTGCTGGAGTGTTCTTAACGCTTGCCTTGGGAGACTTGCCATCCGCGAATGCGTCTTCGACGATAGCCGTCTTGCCCTTATGAGTCATGCGACCACCCTCGACTTGCCAGATCTCGGGACCTACAAAGCGACGCCCACAAACAAACACAGGCACATACAGATGTAGAGAATTCATTTAGTGAATGTCACAAGCGTGGAGAATAGGGGGTAGAGGGCGAGATTAAAAGCCGGATTGGCGACTTACAGAGTGCGGTGACAAACTCCTCGTTGTGAGAGATAATGACCTGCGGGTGTCGATCATGAAGGGGTAAATGAAGGGGGATTTGCAGAGTCACGAAAAGAAGACGTACGACTGCGCCTGCCCAATCCCTAATGGCAACTGCGAGCCCACCAAGTGCCTCTCTGTCCAAGAAATTGCTGGGTTCGTCGAGAACACAAATCTGGATGCAGAAGTCAGTTTATTTGTTCCAGACCGTCGATGCCGACCAAAAGAATCTCACCTGAGGGTTGTTCCAGAGACAAGCAGCAATGACGAGCTTGATCTTTTGGCCTATATCCCGCCAGTTCAGTATCAATAGCCTACACTCAGAAGCTCGAAAGCTTACCACCGGAGAGGCCAGCGATCTCATTGTACTGCGCGATATCTCCATCCAATCCGATATCCTCAAGATGCTTCCTGACGACATGGGCAGCAGTGTCTCGCTGACCGGCGCCCTCTCTCGAAGACTCGAGATCATCGAATTGTCCGACGAACTTGCCGAAGCCCTTGTTCAGGAGCTCCTCACGAGGAATCCACGTGTTGAACTTGTGGTCGAGCCCTTGCCATTTAACCTCGTACTGAAGCGACTTCTTGAGCTTCTGACGGCCCATGATCATCTGCATAAAGGGGAAGGGGGTAAGTCATGGAGCGTCTGTTTATAGGGGTGCGAACGGACGAACCTCCAATCGCCGACGTTCTCCGTTCTTGCCAACGAAGTCGGTGTTCATTAACTCCTTCTCCTCCGGGGTCATCACACGAGTGGCCTTCTCCAAAATTTCACCTGAAGCGGCGATCGATGACGGGTCAGTGCGGCCCAAAAAAAGACCACGGATGGCACTCACGATCATGGCCATCCTGGAAACGCCACTGGATATACTGAATAGGCGTCTTCTCAAGATGGCGTTCTACAAGAAAGGAACAAGGATGTGAATCAGTGATACGGTGACAATTCAAGGATAGAAGGGATTATACCAATATGATGGGTAGCGTGTTGAGATACATATCCGATACGCAATGCAGGGTGTTTATACACTGTTCCCTCCTGGGGTATCGTTTCTCCCTAAGGATCGAGCAAATCGGTAAGCGTATTATCGCACTCAGAAACAAGGAGCAAACATACAGTCAATAACTTGATGAGCGTCGACTTCCCGGCTCCATTAGGCCCGATGACTCCTACACGACTATATCGAGGCGTCCAGATCAGCTTTTCACATCCTCCCAAGACACGGAGCAAGAGAAGTCAAATAGTCACCTCGACAACGTCAACGCACAGCTGACATTGAACAAATTGGGCACCGTCTTTCCTGGATACGTGAATGTACAATTCGTCATCTTCAAGATCGCCCTCGTGTTGCTCCTCACGCCCATGAGCGACCCGGGTGGCGGGAAAGCGAACTTGACGGAGGTAGCGGCGAGGGTATAGTAGGACTTGGCCTCGGGATGGCCCTCGACGAAATGGGAAAGGTTCCCGCGGTAATACACAAGCTTCTTGGTCTCGTAGTGTATGATATCTGTTGTTACATTGTCTAGGAATCTATTGGTGAACAGGTGATGGACGAGTCAATGAATGCTTCGGAAGAAAGGTCGATGATAGGAACGCACCCAGAGTCGTGACTGACGATGAGACACGTTATGTTTTTGTGGGAGATAAGGTATTGTTCGAGCCACTTGACCGAAGCACGATCCAACTGAAACAAATCATTAAGCGCTGGCGAAGCAAAAATGGCCGACGGAAGAAACATACGTGATTGGTAGGCTATCAAACAGAGAACGAAAGGCCATTAATATCAACGGACAATTTTCGACAAACAGTTGACATACCTCATCGAGAAGCAAAAGGTCGGCATTGTACAACATAGCCCTTCCGAGCTCCAACTTCATCTTCCAACCACCAGACAGACCACCGACGAGATCTGCCTGCCTGGCATCGTCAAAGCCGACCTCTAGCAGCTGGTCGCGGATCTTCTCTCTCGGTACATGTTGCAGCTGCTTATCTGCAAGTATGAAGACATCAGTAACATTCGGCGTCATATATTAGAGACGCAAGACTCACCAGAGGCAACGAAATCAAGGACTGAAAGCGAGGTATCCTCTCCCTGAAGGGCGTGTTCTACCATACAGCAGCGAAGCTGGTCCTGGGGAGGGAAGTTCTCGACCTTGCCCGCCGCCAACTGCCTCATAAGGGTCGATTTTCCGGATCCATTAGTACCCAAGATACCGTAACGGCGACCGCGGAAAAGCGTCAAGCTCGTGTGTGAGAGTAAGAGGAGAGCGCCGTAAGCAAGTGAGAAGACGGTGTCACAGAGAAGTTCGCCTTCCGAAGGGTCGTAGGTCGTCGTGGGCGCGTATTTGGCCTAGAGAAAAAATGATCAGTACATACCACACGAACGACCAAATAAAATTCCATACCTTTTCGATTGCGTGGAAGTGCTCCCGAAGCTCCTCCGCGAACGCCGTACCATCCTTGCTCTCCAACCACGGACCAGTATACGCCCCAACACACCTATTCCACGCCTTCGTGTCCGCAAACTTCTTCTGGGCCACCAAATCCGCGACCAAATTCGCCTCGAACTCGACCGTCTGCTTCAACAGCGGCTCCGCTGGTTGCTTTGGCGTGGTCCCGGAAGGCTCCAACAGCTCATCAGGCAACAACGCCACGATCGCCTCCTTCGCCTCTTTCGTCTCGCTCTCTAGATCCCTCTTCTTCGGTGGGGGCGCATCAGTGGAAGCGCCAGCCTTGGAGAGTGTCTGCAATGCTCCTTCACCGAAAGCGCGGACTTCGGGGAAGGCGGCGCCTTTTGCGATTTTTGAAACACCCTCGACGAGGGGGCTGAGGTAGACAGCTGCGATGTTCGGGTCTCGAACAAGTTTGACGAGGTTGTCGATGACGACGACGGTGCGGCGTTGGACCTCCATGCTGCGATCGTTGAGGGCACGCATGAGGAGGGGGACGAGGACGGCGAGGGCGGGAGACGTCACTTCAGCGACGAAGGTGGTGTTGGAGAGAGACTTGATACAGGCCGGGACGGAGGAGGGTTCGGCCATGCACTTGACGAGGGAAGGAATATGAGGTGCGAGATCGGCGTTGGCGAGAGTGGTACAAAGGAGGGTAGCGCATTTGATCGCGGCCGACGAAACCTACACAAGCGGATTAGAGGTCATACTCCAGGACTCGAGAGGACTTAAACATACCTCATTTTTGGTATCGTGCATAGCCTTCTCGACCTTGGGTAAAGTTACGCCCAATTCATTCGCTACCTGCTCCCCAGCGCTCGCCACGAAACCCTTGATCGCATCCAGCGCCCCCACCTTCGTCCTCCACTTTCCGTTCTCCAAAATATCCTCAAGCACCCTGAAGACGACTCTTGTAGCCTCGGGCGGGAACAACTTCAAAATTGCCTTGGTGGCATTGATTGAAGCCTGGCGGACGACGTCGCCCTTGTCCATGTAAAGTTCGAAGAGGATGGGAAGGGAAGGGAGGAGAATGGGACCTGCGGGGGCACCGAGTGTGGTGGCAAGAGCTTGGTAGCCCAATGGAGCTGATTCACGCTCGAAGCCTGATTTTTTGTTGGATGCGAACTTGTCGAGGGTGGTCAAGACTTCGCCATCGCTAATTTTAAATTCATGGTAAGTAATTGTGAGATGCATTCTGTTGGAATCTCATGAGACCAACGTACGTTATGGATTGCAATCCGTGTTTCTGAACTTCACGGGCAAGTTTGTCGGCGGCTGCCTTCGCATCTGCACACTGGCATCAGATATATGAGCTGATGTAAGGGTCAAGGGGACATACCTGGGGCGGTAGGAGCTGTCCTGAGCGACTCGAGGATAGAAGAGAACATGGTCGTCTCTGATGCACTGACAGCGACGGGAGACATGACAACTTGAAACGAGAAAAAAAGTAACAAAAAGATGCGTTACGGCTGGCAACCCAAAAAAATCTATGAGAGGTACAATGCGGCCGGCGATGAAGACGCAAGCAGTTCTAAGCGGTCGTTTACGTTGATTTTCTAGCGAAAAGAAAGACTGAGTGGTGGTTGTTGGTCGTCGCCGTCGTCGTCGTCGAGCCCGCCGCGTTCGTGGGGGTGATGGTGGAAGGAGAGGGACGAACGTTGGATAGCCAGCCCGCTGTCGATTTGGACGGCTGTGCTAACCCCGCTCGTCCGTCAAAATTTGGCCACACGTGGCCCGCGATCTTATCAGTCCCGTTTGATTTTTCAGCTGCCGTTACATCGGCAGTGCCACAGTGGCGAGCTACCCAGTCACAAGTGAGGGATTGGGGATGAGATTCGCAGCAGTGTCTAGTCGTACAACAAGTCTTGAACATTATAGTGACAGATCAGTGATACTTCTCATACTAGGTCTCCGTAGTTTCTCTCCGGTAAGGTGTAATCACTAGCGGAGCCTGACTGCCTTCCTTGAAACTTCCCGCCACAAACGGTCTCGTAAAAACGCTGAACGAAGAAGGAAAGTCAGCGACAAACTGGTGGAAGACAATAATATTTTAATGTACGTACACATTTGCTTTGGTTATTCGCTGGCTTGGGTCTTCCGAGAACACAAAATCCGTGACGAGTATATAGATCAGCATCTTCATTTCTATGTTCGCGACGTGTAATCCAATGCACGCCTATAATTAAGGAAGTGGTGAGATAACATTGATGAAAAATAAGTGAATGTTGCGTACCCGAGGACCAGCAGAAAAAGACAGCAGGTTGTTGTAGATGCCAGGCAATTCCTTGACCGATTCAGGCAGATCATTCCACCTATCAGGCCTTTGTTATGTCGTCAGCGAATGTCCTCTATGGAAGTGGATAAAGAAGAAAATCTGAAGCTCACTTGAACTCTCTCGCATCCTCTCCCCAATATTCCCTATCCAAATTCATCCCCTCGATAGGAATATGGACAACAGTTCCCTTCGGCACTAGAATCTCATTCACAACCGCCCCGTTCCTCAACCGCACAGGATCCTTCATCGGCAACTTATCATCCTTCACCGCTACCCTTATACTCGAATGCACAGGCGGAATCAGCCTCAACGACTCCCGAATCACATTCTGCAAAAAGGGCGCATTGTTCACATTATCCCATAACGAAGCGACTTCGTCTTGAGTGAGAGACGAGTGTGGAGCAAGAGGTCGAAGAGCAAGAAGTTCGTCACGGAGCTGAGACTGGATGTGTGGATTTTTGGCAAGGAGGACGATGGTCCATGTTAGTCCGAGAGATGTAGTGTCTGTGCCAGCAGCCATGAAGGTGTTGATGCTGTTCAGGACGTCTTCATCTGAGATACGCTGTTCGGGGGCAATGGCAGTCGAAGCATTGGATTTCACTGAAGTCGGACTGTTTCAACAAACTGAACAAAAAAAAAGTTGAAGGAGGAAACATACGAAGGAGCGATAGCATATCCTTCCCTCCGTAGGCATTTCCAGTCTGCTCGCCTTCGCGAATCTTCTGCTGCTTCTCCTGGATCAGTTGCATCGCGACTCTTCGAATCGTGGCCTGGCCTGATTGAATTGCATGGCTGGTCTCATCAGGCTATATTCGCAGAAATAAGATACTCAAGCCCACCGTGGGGTAGAAGATATCACGGAATACACGTACGAAGAACCAGTAGATCCAAGGGAACCAGATGGCGAGAATAGACTTCACGGCCTGAGCTTGCGAGAGCGCTAGGTTGAACATGTCCCTGTACGCACAGAACAATTCGTTCGACTCGTCTTGAATAGAGTTGAAGCTGTAATCAAAGCCTATATGAAGCATTCGTCAGTGTCAGCTTAATCTAAATTCGTTTCTCGAGACGGCTCACATGCCAACCCAATCACATCGAACGTCGCCCTGCTGACCCAACGACAAACGTCCACAGCTAATCTCCCTTTTCCTGCTACACTCTTCTCTGCTCCGTCCACAGAGGGAGTGTCCAGCGACTTGCTATCCTTTTCGCTCAGCATCTCCATCCACCTGTCACTCATCTGCTGGCCCTTCATCATTATCATCGGCACGAATACTCTCAGATTCTGAACCGAGAAGCCAGGCGTTATAACCCTCCTCTGACGTTTGTGCTGTACACCCTCAGAGGAGAGAAGTCCACATCCTATGAGACTTGTGATGAGGCGACGGGTCTGCCAGGGCTTCTCGTATATCATAGAGTTCTTCGCGACGTGGTTCACAGAGACTGTGTCCATCGGAAGGAGACGTTCATCAAACTATGATCATACAGGTGAATTTGCGCCACAAAACAAGTAAAACGTAGAGTAAGCGTACCGGATGGATGCCCTTGATCCGTATATTCCTACCATATTGATGTACGAATCGTTCGTGACTTTCAGGTGACCTGCCTGGACTACAAGAGTACATCTCCGTCAACCAACCATGCTCGCGGCGAAGAGCACCAATCTACTCACTCAAGGACAAGGCCCATATGACCCCCGAACCAGTTCTTCGACTCAGGCCCATCCAGCAGCAGAAATGGATTCCTTCTCCTCTGGATCTCGAGGTAAGTCCCATACACGACCACAAGACCCACAAAAAGCCATATTTCCGCGCCTCCGATATTCGAGAACAGCGAGAGCCTCGACATAGCTAAAGCGGCGAGAACGAGAGCGATAGCTTGATAGAGCATTTTTGTCGTGTATTGGACGGCTTATAAGGAGCTACGATCTGAAACAACGAGATAGCCATGGCGCACGGCAGTGTGGCCGCGAACGAACAAGAACAATAGAGCGAAAGGTCGAGGCGTGGACGCGTTCGGATCACGTGGGTTTGCTTTCACTCAAGTTGTTCCGAGAATTTCCACACGCCTGTTTCTTCTTGTTCGTCCACAACTCTCATTGTATTCTCAGTCTGGCAGATCTTGGGCTCGAGCTTGAATATCTTGTTCTAGAGTGTCGTCTAGCCTGCGTATATATTCTTGACCCCGCCAAGTGATTTATACTTTCTTGTCTTGAGGAATGCTTCCTATCTTTCCGACTACAAGGCGTACAGCCAGGAGCGAGCAAGACGGGGAGTAGTGCTCAGAATATCTAGTCTGTGGGTACATATTGGATAGGCTTGGCCCTTAGAACATTATTTGGGTATCTGCGCGAGCATAATTGCCCTTTCGATTCTCGTCCTTATCGATACTTCTCTACGATCTCGGCGAATTCACCTCAGAACTACTGCCACTCCCCCTCATCCTACCCATCACACTCCGCAGTGACCTCTCGATATCCATCTTGAACACGCTCGACGTACTCCTCATCGAATTCAACAGCACCGGGGGCTTCGGGAAATCGTACGGCTCTACTCCCAACGAACGCTGACTGGCCCAAGTCCGCATACTGCTTGTATCCGATTCCGACGAAGCCAGCTCATCTTGCCATATATCGACGGACTCGTATTCTTCGGCTTCTGGATCGAAGAAAGAGCGACTTGATTTGCTGTTGTAGGTGCGATACATATAGGCCAAGTCGGCGTCGGAGGAAGGGCTGGAGGAGATGAGGACGCTCGGTAATGGCGGTGGTTGTTCTTCCTTCGATGTCAACGCGAGGACTACCTTAGCCTTCTCATATTCCATGCTCACCCGTCTCACACCCTGCATCTCCACCACCGTTACGTTCTCCGGCTCGGACTCGCTGACGCCCTCCCCGAACGACGTGACTGACGACCGTATCGACGCCTCCTCGGAAAACTCGTCGCTTTCGTAAATCTCCTCTGGCATGGGACTCGCGTCCGAATCCTTCCTCTGTAGGTATACTGCTTCGTCATAAGCGACCAAGTGACCCGCAGTCATCGAATACACGGAATATGGCCTTGAAAAAGCGAGAGCGTCGGCGGGATTGTCTTTTGGAAACGCGCATTCTGAAGGGTCCGAGACGATGTGCCCGTCGAGTTCATCCAGCGAGTCTGACGGATCGTAGAAAGGGTCTTCTGTTGGTCTCTCGTCGAAAATGTCTGCGATGGCGCCATCTCCCAAGTCATATTCTCGCTCGTCTTCGCCCTCGTCTTCCGTAACTTCGGCAATCGTATCCAGTTCAGAGCGATGATCTGTGAGAAATACAGAATCTGGTGCTGATGCTGTGCGCGTGGAAGCTGAATAGAGCTGGGCGGCTACGAAGTTCACGTCTTCAGGAGTAGAAGATCGCTGGGAGTCCTCTCGGTGTACTGTGCTCTTGGTCTGGCTCTGGATGGTCTGAGCACGAGTTGAATGGACGAGTCCTGGAGCGTGAATCACTCTTCCTTTCCCCGAATCTACGTCCTCCTTCACGATGATAGGCAATTGAGCTCCTGCCTCCGCCATTCTCTGGACTCCCCTGCGGGCCTTCTCCCTCGAATTACCCTTCCCTCTTCGTATCTCCCCTCTCCATCCTTTCGGAACAAATCTCCTTGCTTTCTCTATTCTTCCCTTCTCCGCCTGTGTAATCGCTATACTGAACCTTGAGGGAACTGTCCTGGCCGCCGCACGGCGTCTTGCTAGAGCCGTGTAGGTCACGATCACAAAGATGAAGATTATAACGAGGATGCTGGAGAGAATCGCGGTAAGGTGTTGAGGCGCTGATGCATCTGCGGCTTGAAGAATGGGAGGGATCTGAGGAACAGGTTCGTCTGGTGCGAGAAGACCGGAGCTTCCGGCCGAGTCGTCGACATCTAGCTCGGATTGAGTATCCGGCTGTGTGTACGAGGTCGAAGTCTCGTCTCCTGCCCTTGGAAGGAGTCGAGAAGAGATATGTAGAGGGTTATTGGGTTGGCGGGCGAAGTTGTGAGGATGACCGTGGTGCTCGAGGTTGTGCATACGTCGTTGGTGGACATTCGAGTAGGATGTCGTCCCGAATACCGTAGGAGGGGTCTCCAAGGATTGAGACCGAGGTTGTATCATGTCTGAGGTACTGTCTATGGTGGGATTTTGGCGGCGTTTGGCACCTCTACGCTTAGGCCTGGGCTGAGACTCGATAGTATGTGACGCTGCTAATGAGGCGTAGACGGTCGTTGCAGTTGCCGTTAAAGTCAAAGTTTCTATGGTTGATGATGTGATGCTCGCAATAACATAAGATAGCTCTGTGGGTGCCATGGCGGGATAGTGCTGTTAGGATAAAGTGGTTTGGGGGAGGCAGCGAGTAGTTGTTGGCGGAAATGCTCGAACGATACTGGACCCGGGAAGTATTACGGCTTCTTTCTTGAATCGACTGTTGGATCGAGATCTAAAGATCCAACGACCGACTGATCGTTCATTCAGTCCATAAGTAGCTTCTCATTTCATGTTCCGCTCATTGTCCTTCAACGATCATGATTTACTTCCGTCAGCCGTCGCGGGTTTACGCTGCGCCACACGATGAATACCATGATTTTTTCTTAAGGGCTTGGCGAGGCTCGATGAACAGGTGGCATATAAGTTGTCATGGTCTCGAATGGGGGTATCGATTTCATGGACCTGCCACCTAAAGCGTCGCCAGTCTCGCGAGTAGCCATGCTCGGCAGTCCTGAGAGGCCCGTACTTTATATTTCGTTGCGCCCCGGCGCAGTCGAACCCTGAGCACTTCGGTGAGTCCCTTGAATCAGAAACCGTCGCCGTGACGTAGTGAAGTCCACATATGCTGGAGTATCTCCAGTCCCGTGTATTGAGGCTTGTCGCATAAGTACCGCACGAAAAGCAAAAGACTAATCGTACGCCAATCCCGCCGCCGCCTTATGCGCCCCGTCAAACCCAACCCTCCAAAGTCCCCTCATCCACGCCGCCGTCTTCCTCGCCCACGCCTGCGTATCCAAGAACATCTCCAGGACCGCCAAGCTCCTATAAAGCTTCTCGTATCGCCTATAAACCGCGCCCGCGACCACAGATCGATAATACATCAACGATCCAACAGTCGACGGTGAGAGGAAGAAGCGAAAGCACGTACCACCAGCAGGAGATGTATTCGCCCAGGTTATGGAATGAGAAGAGACCCTGTTCGCGCATGGAGTCGAGGACTCGTCTTCTGTCGTCTCGCCACACGGCGGTGGCGCAGTATTTTGCCATGATTAAGAATACCCGTACCTATAACAATACCCAGTCTTTAGTACAATCCAAACGACGGAAAACTGAAGTCACACAGACTTTTGAATGTGTAGTAGCTAATGCGTGATCAAGACTCCTGCTCGACATTGCGCATCAGCGCTCGTCCCCGATTCGATGGTAGATTCGTATTCTGTTCATTTGGAAGTATGCACGTACCGCGTCAAATCGTTCAACTTGAACACCATGAGCACTCTCCTCGGCACTTTTCGTAGGATGGTAAATACTGAGAGTAAAAGACCTTCTCGAGTCACGACGGCATTCCGAATGGCTTCCATTTCTTCTTCGGATTGTGGCATAAGATCCATTACGCTCGAAGCTCGGTGGAAAGCGGATTCAGGATCTGGCGTTGCATTGGGATCGTCGGACATGGTAGCTCGACCTAAGATGAAGGAATAAGTCAGAAAAACGCGAAGACTCGTTATCACATCCACCTTACCAGTCAGAGCTGCTTCAAATACCGGATACTGTAAGGGGAGTTAACGACAGAGAACAAGAGTTCGAGTAGATAACACTCACGAGTTCAGGCCCAATGTTACCAACCAACTCAGCATACTTTCTTCGATCTGCGTTCGTTTCAGGGGATGCAGGGGCGATAAGAGCTAGCCAGAGCTTGCTATAGTTTATTCGGAGCGGGGTGTCGAGGTCGAAGTAGAGGCCATGGTCTAAGAGTACTATCTCGAAGTTGTAGGGTGACTTCGATACTTCGGGTCGAGGTCGGATGAGGAGATTGCCTGAAAGCACAACGCTGTATCAGCATGAGGCCTTTCAAGAGATGGCGCGTAAAAGTGTACCGGGATGAGGATCCTAAAAGTACTCAACCTTGCTCAGCTACTGCATTATCACCGCAGTGTCCACGCGAAAGAAACTCACAGCATGGAACCATCCATTCAAGTACACCATCTGCGAAAATATCCTCGATAGCTCCAACGAGACCTTATTCCTGTCGATATTATGATCCGCAAGGTACTCCAGATCGTCGACTCGTCCACCTTGGATGAATTCCATGATGAGCACCCGTTTCGTGGCTGCGATGACTTCGGGGATATATAGCGATGTCCGAAATTTCTCGAAGTCCTTCGCGGCACGTTCGGCATTCCTTGCTTCATGCACGAAGTCCATCTCTTTCGGGAGATTTTCGCGCATTTCTTCGCCAAGCCAGGTAAATTCAAAGTCGGGGAACCATCGTTTGATCCAGCCTAACGAACATAAAGGTTGGTGGCCGGGGCGGGTGAGAACAGGCGAAGAGCCTGCGTACCGAGTGTGACCTCGACCATCTCCATGTCAATCTCGCAGAACTCAGCTAGATGAGGATGTTGAAGCTATACGCCAAAGTGTAAGTTGATTCTATTGAGACGACGTTTAAAGTCTGGAACAGGAAGACATACCTTCACAGCGACAGTCTTCCCGCTTTGCCTATGATGCCCCACATGCACCTGTGCCAGACTCGCTACGCCTATCGGTTCAGGTTCAAATGAGTCGAAAATATCAGACAGCGGTTGTCCAATGTCCGACAGGAAGAGTGCTTCCACATCTTCTACTGGTGTCGGCTCGCACTGGTCTTGAAGTGGTCTCATGGTAGCGGTCCATTCTATTGGCAATACGACCCTGTTCGTTTCATTGGTATGAATGTCGGCAGAGTGGGGAGAAGACGGCGAACGTACAGGGATGCCATATGTTGTCCGAGCTTGATAAATACGCCTGCACATAGACAGGGAATGCTCAGCGCCCTGGCCGTCCAACCAATATATGAAATAAAATGGAGGGTGCGTACCTCCATTCGCTAGTAATGCTTTCAGTACCCTCTCCGCACTCCTCTTGTGACACCGCGAATACGCTTGTAATTGCTCCTTCTCATCCGCATACGTCTGCGCGAACGTTCTCTTATAATCAATAGCACCCAACACCGCAGCCTCTAACATCCAGTCATACATATCACATATGAGCTCAACATATCCACAATAACATCCACATCCAAACGTAGCCTACCATAGCTCGAAGAACTCACCAGCGACTCTCGAGCATCGTACAGCAGCCAGCACAGTATGCCTAAACGGCTGATACTTCTCATACGCCACCCATCCCGCTCCACCGACCAATAATAAAGCAGTCACAGTCGCGCCAGCTGCTTTCGCCTGTTTTGTTCGCAATTCGGCGGGTTCCAGTGGTTTCTTGACATGACGAGGTGCGCGGCGTGAAGGCCAACGACTGAAGAATGTTCTTCGGAATTGTGAGCGTCCGTCGCTGAGTATGAATGATGTGGTTGAAGACGACGATGGCGCCGCTGATGAAATATGAGATGTGAGGTGATGTCGATGAGGAGCTCGCCAGGAGAGACAGCGTCGGGAGAGTGACTGCATGGAGGGAGCGCGAGTCTGGCGAGACGCGACTCTGCAACTTCGGCTAAGATTTTGGGTGGTGAGACGTCATGTGGCGTTGTGGGGGAAGTGGGCCACAATACACACTGTGTATACCCTTGCACTCTGTGCACAACCCCCTGGATTGGATTCAGGCTTCAGAAGGAGGCAAAGAAACGAGTTCAAGGCCGTCGTGTATCTGGGGCCCGACCCTACTCACACAACGCATTCTGAGAACGAACATCAGTGTATCAAGAACAAGGACCGCAGCAAATCCACGAACAAATTGAGTGCAAGAAAAGACAACACAGAACAGAAAAAAAGAAGTAGTACGATTTATAACAACCACAACAATAATAACCCCCTGCGCCCGGAATCCTTCGTAATATCATCTCTAAACCTACATGATCATCTGTCACCCCATCGACGCTACTCAGTATTCCCTCTCAAACTGAAGCTCCGTATACTGAAGCTGCTACTCGGTCGACTTGCGCTCACGGATGAGGACATACGGTGAGAAGACTTAGCGTCTTCGGTTTGATGCATTGCTTCGGCGTATCTGAGAAAATACAGTATAGTGCAAGGGGTCAGGCGATTAAGTTACACGGGCGAAGGTGGAAGGTTGATGGGTGAACAGAGGCCGGCTTACAGCAGTTTATATCGGACAAGCTCGCCTTCTAGTTCTTCATTTCGGAGACGAGCCATGACGAGCTGATTCTGCACGTTCAGATTTAGCGATTAGATCATTATAGAGCAGGGCGTCAAGAGTCCAAAGACGCACCAAAACATCGACATGTTCCTTGTTCAACTGCGTCAAACTCGACTCCAGCGCATTCCTAGCAACACTCACTCCATCAGAATCCATCTCCTATCCATTCCCTCCACACAAAAAGAAGAAGGGGAAAAAGGATGATGAAATGTTGAGGACAGAGAAAAACGCACATCTGCTGCGACAAATTCCGATTTGAGCTCCTCAACTCGTCCACCTCCAACGCATGTGCCTCCTTCACCCTCATCATATCGTTATACTCATGCGCATACGAATCGAGCATGAAAGGCGTTATTCGGAGACCGACGGCGTCTTGCACGAACTCGTCGACCTTGTATACAGGTTTTGGTTCCTGGCCGTCTTCTGATTTCTCTGGTACGGGTACGGAGTCATCCTATTTCCCAATGAAAATGGTGGACATGGTCGTGAGAAGAGGTATGGTACAATGGATGTGGTAAGGTGGGCGAAGAGAGGCTTACACGGTACGTCTCGACGATGTGCATATTGAGGAACGCGATAATCTCGTCGAATTTGAGTTTGAGCAGCTTTTCCTCATTTTTTTGCAGGAGCGCCATACTGAAGCCGAATATTGCCTCAATACCGCTCGCGAGGCAGTTGTCGAATATTCGGAAGACGATTTCGAGTGGGAATCTATACCACCACATCACATCCCATAAATCGATCGATCATCCCAAGGAAGGAGGCATGAAGACCTACCGATAACTGAACAGAGTGAGGAACCACTGCGAACAGAACATACTCGACTTGATCCCTTGTCGAAGGAGATGCACATGAAGCACCGGGAGCATCTCTTCTATCAGTCTGTCAAACTGCATACAGAAGACGGTTCAACGTCCAATTTTTACGTCCTCGCGTATAAGCGTAGGAAGACAAAGGGAGAGATTGGGCTACCTGGAACTAGAGTGAGTTGTGTAAGAATACTGTATGGATGAGGAGGACGGGACTCACGAGACGGAGTTGCAGTTTGGGCATGTCGGGGAGGAAGTGGCCGCGGAGGTCGTAGGAGTACATGAGTCGAACAAGAAGACAGAAGGCTTCTTCGTCGGGCATCTGTAGATCCGGTGTTAGTGGAAGGCTAACAGCACATACGTTGTGAGGGTGAAGGTTGATTTACGTTGAGCAGGAGAACGGCGACAACGAAGGGTAGACCCTGGCAGTATCCTACTTGCGGGTCATATCTTTATGAGCACGTCAAGACGTGAATTGTATGACAGGAACGGCGAAGACATACAACGAGTACGCCTTCAACACGTTGAACAGATTTTCCTGGCCGATTCCTTGACCGTCCGTGAAGAACGCATGATGTGGAAAGGTCCTACTTCATGTCAGGATGATCTTCATGTGGATACAAGGAGGAAGACATACCTCCCAAGATCCCGTGTGATAGCTTTCTCGTGTGAACTAGGTTCCTTGATCAGTCTGAGGTAGGTGGCCTCCATCTCCGGATCCTTCGAAGCAGACCTACGACGTGTACATCATGGTTAGCACAGGCAGTAAGCGTTCAGATAAGTACAAATCCGAGTACGCACATGAGCTGCCATATCATCCCTCGAAGGCTGTCTGGTATACCTTGCTCAATTGCTTTGGCAAGTTTGTCCGGATTCTCGGACGCAAACGCTTGGTAATCTGGGCTTTCCCTGAGCACCTGTTCTTATTCATGAGTAAAGGGAAACAGATTTACTAACCTGCCATCACAGAGCCCCAGAACTCTTCACGAGACTGTCAACGACATTTCGAGTGCCGTAACGAATCATAGCAAGACGCACCCCAATCAATTCCTTCTGATACCTCTTCGTCCTTCCCTTCAAGCTGCACCTTGCTGAACTCCTCCTGCAGTTTAATATGCCCATCCCCACTATTCCTCTTCTCATCCGACTCCCTTTGCGTATCAAGCCTATGTAGAATCATAGCAGCTGAACTCCGCTTCTGCCCGCCTTCAGGCCCACTCAATCTCTTCAACTCAGCGAAATCAAACCTAGCCTTCGTAGCCGTCCGCATCCCAAGCTCATCATCCTCATCCTCATCCTCATCCTCATCTTCCCGTCTACCTCCAGGAGCATCCAAGTCAAGTTCGGAGGGAAGATGAGCATCGCCTGAGGGTTGTGACTTGACGGCATGTGTGCTGTTCCGCGCGTTCAGGCTGACTGTAGAGAAATGCGATTCGTCCAGAGGAACATCGCCGAATTCAGAATCTGCCACTGAGTCTCTTGGGTGAAAGCTAAGCTCTCTATGTTCGGTGTGTGTAGGCGAGAGGAGTGCACTGAGATCGGGAGAGGTGTGGGCTTCGGGTGGAGGTGGTGATTGCATCGTCGTGGCATGCTCACTGTCCTCTTCCTCGGCCGGCGAAGACATGCTTCAGACGTGAGCTACGCAATCAAAGACTCAGAAAATAATAAAGCAGAGTTTGTACGAGCGAGTGCAAGTGAGATGAGAGACGCGACGGTTGAGCGCCAAGAACGGCGTGGGAGACAGCGCCAAGCTGGCATCCAAATCGAGTTGTTTGTTTTAGAGGCTTTTGCCAAACAAACGGCGATCCAGATCACGCTGTTTACTCGTGATTATTCTCAAGACCACACGTAGTGGCCTCAATGGGGTAAGGGTCCGTCGTTATCTCTCGCAATCGAGTGAAGGATTTGGAGAATGCAGATGGGTATGCAAAAACTAAGTATGAGTACAGATAACAGATGCGTGGATATTCTGGTAAGGAAAAGCAAGACAAAAGGAAGAGCCTCCACAAATCATTTCGCCTTTGCTATGAGACTATCAATGGTATCTGATGCTTCACGTAGACTTTGCCACTGTATGGAGTTAGGAATTAAGCTTTTTTTGTTGTGCTCATGGTGCAATGTCGCGAACCCACCTGATCGACGGTCAAAGATATGCCCTTCTTGCCTGGCTTCTCGTCGCCTGCTTCGCCGTAGAACTCTCGTATATCCACGAGAACTGCGGCTGATAAATATCGGAAATCAGTACTTAGCAGGTACGGGTGAGCCGGACCATGGACCTACACTTGTATTTTCGAACAGTCGCGCGGCGCTTCTTGCCCAGGTCAATGAACTTCTCGCCTTCATAGTTTGTCTGTACTGCGATTCCCCCCGATGTACTGCTGGAAGTTGCGGCCTGCCATATAAATAAAAGATTGTGAGCAAGTGGCGTCGAGTATACCTCTACCATAGACAAAAGACCGAACCTTCTTCCCTTTCGACTTTGCCAAAGGAGCATCCTCCTCAGACTCGGAATCTTCATCATCAGATTCTTCGTCTTTTTTCTTCTTTTTCTCAGGCGGGAACTTCGGTTTCTACACATCGCTGTCAGTCACGCCTTCGACTTCAAGGTGAAACTCAATAAACACAGACCTTCGCCGTCACAGGCTTCTTCGGCGCGGGAGCACGCTCTTCTCCTTCGCTAGAGTCTTCCTCTACAATCACCTTGCGTTTGACCATGTTGGTGAAAAGACGGTATGGTGGAGTGAGATGGAGACGGAGAGGTCGACGACTCGGATTCCCCTGAGCCGTCGCGTCGCGTCAGACGCGTCCGCCGTTGTTGGAATCTCGCGTCGCTGAGCGTGGGAGCACAGACCGAACCTTCAAGAACGAATGTGCTAGCTCCGTTGTGATGCCCACCGAAGCTCGCTCAAAAATTAGAGTGGGATCGCGAGCACATTATCTCCGTTAATTAACGCTTCTTATCAATTGCCATTTTTGGTCGAATCTTTGTGTAGAAAATGTAACGTTGGGGGGAGCGTGCCACGAATTTACCCCTTTCCTTTTGTGTGGCGTGGGAGGTCCCAGCCTTCCAAAAAAGGGATTGTCACGGTCACCTACGTGCGTCAGCGCGCGTCGAGAGAAAGACAGGTCCGCTCATTCTTTCCTTCACCCCCATCATCCCTTCACATCGCCTCTCTTTTCGTTTCTTGAAGGCATCGATTGTTTTCCTCGACATTTTCGTCGCGGAAAATGAAGATTCTTCAGAAGTCCAAGAGGGCTTTACCTCCGGTGCGTCTTAACGCCATTTTTGCAATTCACTTCTGGAACGCGCCTGACCAAACAATACCGCATACCTCCAGTTACCTCAGGTGGCGGAGCTCATCAACAAGCTTCACAATACGCCAAACGACGAACTTCATGAAGTGCTCAGCGAGATTGACGTCTGGAAATGGCCGCGATCCGACTTGAATGCGTGGATCAAGGTCCTCAATAAGTTTGATGCCATACTCGAAGAGTACATCCGCGACTATGAAGTCGACAAAGTGCAGGTGAACGTTTTCACCCCGATCACGAAGAAGACGATTTGCGAGATCCTCCGATTCGAGAGACTGTTATTGGAGAACTCGACGAACAGGAAGACGTTTAGCTCGTACGACGTGCGTTTGTACCATGCCCTTCACAACGTGGCGCCACAAGTACTGACTCGTCTACGCAGCGAATTAATAGCTTCTTGTCCTCATCGGACCTTGATGTCGTAGTACTGGCGCTCAACCTGCTCTTGCGTCCCGCTCAGCAGTATTCAGCTCAGCCCGCCGTCACGCGTGCACTCAGCATTTCTACTCCCCGCCTCCAATCCCTCGCCAAGCGCTGGTCCAACCTCCGCGAATATGGCGTCAGCCTCGTCGACCTCGTCACAGAGAGCGGCAAACATATTGTCGAAGAGCTTCCGTCCGAGGCCCGTGAAGTACACTTCAGCTTCTACAAGACCGACAGCAGCAAGGACAGCAAACCGAAGGAGATGGACATTGATACCGTCCCCGAGGTCCCAGCCACACCTGTGCGGAGACCATCCGCAACCGCAGCCCCTACATCGGAAAGCGCCAACCCACCACCAACGTCAGGCGCAGTGAACATCCACATCGACGCCCCGACTCTCGAAAGTAAGCCCACGATGGACATTCTCGCGGATGTCATTGAAAAGTACGATGTGCCCGAACCCGAACGCTTCGAGCTTATGTGCCGAATTCGCACGGCACAAGTTCTCTTCCCCGGCCGCGACGAGGACAGGGAAAAGGTCGTCATCGTTCGTCTCCTCGCGAACGCGATCTTCGTCCACACACATCCAGAATCGCAGGCCATGTCCTCGCTCTTCCTTTACGAACCCGACCTCATTCCACATATCGCAGAACTCTTGGGTCTTGACCGTGGCGTCCCCGTCTTCGTACAGACCGCAGCCATCGCCGCGCTCGATGCCATGGTCCGTTATCGGACAAAAGTTCAAGACGTCATTACAGCCGTCAATGCCGGCGTCAACCATGGGACGCTCATGGCTCTCCTGCGCAAGACGGTCAACGACGTCGCTAATCCAGACTCTACGCTTCCACAATCATTCGTGGACTCGCTTCTCTCTTTTGTAACATTCCTGGCTTCGCACGCTGCCGGAGGAAACATGGTCGTTGGAGCTGGCCTTGTTCCCCTGCTTATCCAGATCATCGAGAATAGGCTGCCACAGCGACTTTCCGTCGTCTCAAGGGCCATGCAGCTCGTCGACAATGTCCTCTATAGTTTCGCCAATGCGTTCCAACTCTTCTGCAACAACAAAGGGGTGGATGTGTTGGTGGATAGGATCCAGGTACGTTGCCTTTACGGCGTGTGCATGATATAACTCTAACTCGTATATCGTCCGCAGTATGAGATCGACCTCGACATCAAGGAACACGGGTCGGAAGACCCTGCTCATGAGATCCCGAAGTCGTACGGGCAGCTACCGGTCGTCCGCGCCGCCGTCCTTAAGCACATCCTTCGTTCGATGCATCGGATGATGCAGTCTTCGGGGACGGCAGAAGGTTTGCGTGGTCTCATCGACTCGTCGTTGTTGAAATCAATCCAGAAGGTAATGGAGCATCGATCACTGTTTGGACCGAGTGTCCTGCCCATCGGTATGTGTTATTCTACTTCTTTAAGCTTCCTACCTGTCCACGATACTGATCTCGTTTTGTAGCCATCAACATCATGGCCACGTTCGTCCACAACGAGCCCACCTCCCTCGCCATCATCCAAGAAGCCGGACTTCCCGAGACGTTCTACAAGACCGTCGACGCCGGCCTCGAACCCGTCATCGAAGTAATTCAGTCCATCCCCAACGCCATCGGTGCACTCTGTCTCAATCAAGCCGGGCAAGACCAGTTGACCGCGCGTCCTACAATCATTCCCGGTCTCTTCTCCATCTTCACATCCGAGCGTCACCAGCGTGTCCTCCAGGACAAGGAGAACGCCGTCCTCATCGGGACGACCGTCGACGAACTGATCCGGCATCATCCGATGCTCAAGACTTCGGTCTTTGAGGCGATCAAGTCGACATTGAGCAAGATCGAGGATCTGGGGAATGCGTATGTCGTGCAGGACAATGTGAAGCAGTGGTATAAGCTTTTACCGCCGTCAACGCCTGCGGCTGTTCCGTCGTCGACGGCTGCGACTGCTGCACCGACTCCGATCCCGATAACGAGGCCGACTTCCGCGGCGGGAGATGGTGATGTTGCGATGGAGGAGGCGACGGAGAGTACAGCGGAGCTGGTGGCGTCGACGCCTGCGGAACCTGTGGAACCTGCTGCGGCGACGACTAGCGGAGGGACGAACGGATCTGTGAGCAGCGAGGATACTACGGAGAAGTCGCACGAGAATACGATCATCTCGTACATTGATGTTCTTTGCAGAGTAAGCTTTTTTTCGTTATCTTTTCATATAAAATATAGCTGACAATGACGTTCTCAGTTCTTGGAGGGTCTGTTCCAACACACGTCCCACTGCAAGGATTTCATTTCGAACTCGGACGCTCTTGAACGCCTGGGTCGCCTGACCGCCTTGCCTTGCCTTCCCTACGACTTTGGTAACAGTGTGGCGTCGGATTCGTTGGTCCAGGTCATTCGCACGATGGTGGAGGCCGCTCCGGCTGAGACGATGACTTATTTGGCGAAGTTGGTGCGAACGTCGCTGGACGAGACGAAGGAATTCTGGGCGTCTCAGAACGAGGACTCAAAGCTCATGGCTCTCCTCGAAGAAGCCGGTGAGTTTCAACTAATACTCTTCTTTTGTATCTCTCACTGAGTATCGCTTCTTCAGCCACCTCCGAAGTCTCTGCCAACCAATCCTTCCGCAAGCTCGTCACTCTTCACATCCGCGTCACACTCCTTTCAGACATCTACTCCACCGCCGGTTACGCTCCCTCAAGAGGGGCTAACTCCCTCCTCTCCACGCTCATGGGCAAGAATGCACCAGAGATTATTCCCGATCTCGGCACACTTCACCGCGTCTGTGTCTGGGAGAATGTCGTTCTCAAGAGCAAATTGCCGTCAAAGAACCCGTCGGGGTCATTTGCCGGTTCTCTTGCTCCGCTGCTCCAGTCTCCTACCTCTACTCTGGCCCAGCTAGACGGCGAAGGATCGGCTGCCCAGACGAATGGTGCTCAGCCACAAGGATCTTCGACTACTCCGGCGGCAACTCCGAAAGCGGAAGGCGAGGCTAAGCCGGATAACTCGAGAGAGGAGAACGGGAAGGCGTTGAAGCATCTGGCTAACCAGATTCCCTCGATTTTGTCGCCATTCTTCCAAGGTATGTTCTTATACGTTCGACTCTTACCATTTATTAATCACTAATTCAATTTGAAAGCCGTCGTGAAACTGTTTTCGACGCGTCGAAACCCCGAGCCTTCTCAGAAGCAGCAGATACTGTCGTCCGCTGGCGTTGTCGCGGATATTCTTATCAAGCATCTCACACCGATCGAAGCTGGTCAGTTGGGATTTTTAATATACTGTACCGTGCGATAACTGACTCTGTTGTAGAGGACCGTCTGCTTTCGATGTCCTACCACACGTTCATGCTTGGTCTCGTCACCACTCTCATCGCCGACGGTATGTCTCTAATAACCATCGGTGCATGTACACTCACTAATAATTTAATTCAGAGCGGAATTCTCAATACAGCCTCCATACCGTCCTTCTCGATGCATTCTATCGCAAGTCGGGTCTGGACGGTGTCGTCAACCTTTGCCACCGCTTCATGGCCATCGTCGAGGAGATTTCCAAGATCAAGCCCGAGGACCGTTCGGCCACCGTCACTCAGGAGCTCATCCATGCGTATGGCGGAATCAAGGTCGCACTCCACCTTCTGCACCCTCTCGTTTCCCCCAAGCCTATCTTCGAGTCCAGCCAGACCATCATCCTCCTGAGTCGTGAGAAGAAAGAGACCGACCCGGATTACTTTGAGCCACACAACTTCCTCGTCAAGCTCCGTATCGCCGTCTTGCCCCTCACCCGCGAATTGTGGGAAGCCGAATGGCTCGCCATGGCACCGCACAGCCTCATTCGCTCCGTCGTGCAAGTCATTCTCGAGATCGTCAACGGAGATGGGGAGGAAGGACAGACGGAGGGAGGTGGTGAAACGACGTTCGGTGGTCTCGGAGGCATTGGTGGATCGCTCCTGCGCGCTGCTGCAACCGTCCCGGACGAGAATCGCATTCGCCAGCTGACTGATATGGGTTTCCCCCGCCCCGCGGCCGAGAGTGCTTTGACTCGTACGCACAACAACGTGAACGCCGCCACTGAGTTCTTGTTGGCGAACCCATTCCGATTCCCGCTTGGAGGTGGTGCACCGGCTCCGGCAGAAGACGAGGGTGAAGGAGATGAAGGTCAGGACGAGACTATGGAAGACGATGCCCCGGAGCCACCTGCAGCAGAAGGTCAAGCGGATGCTGCTCCTCCAGCTGAGCCTGCGCCTGAGACCGAGCCCGCGAGCACGGAGACGACGGCTCCAGTCGAAGAGAAGGTAGAGACTGAGGAACAGAAGTCTGAAGCTCCGGTCAAGACCCCGGAGCAATGGCGGACCGAACTGAACACTGCTCGTGAAAGTCTCAAGGCGGACATTGGGCGCTTGTCTCTCAGACTGGTGGACGAACATCCCGCTCTCATTTTCGACATTCACCACGCTTTCATCGGTCGTCCGGACGGGTACCAGAAGCAGTCCATCCGCCTTCTCATCGACGATATCAAGGAGTTTTCTCCCCAAGCTCGCGGGGAGAAAGAACAGGCGCTTGCTGTTCGCTTCCGTTTGCTTGCTCTGGTCCTCAACGATGCACCGGCGTCGTTCAAGGCCGTGCTCTCTGGTTCTACTGGCGAGAGACAATTCATGGGTGTGCTGCTCGAATTGTTGAAGTCCAACCCCGTGGATGGCGAAGGGGACGCGGCCGGCGTGGCCAAGTGGTTGGCGGCTATGTTGCTCGTGTCTGAAGCTATGTTGACTCTTGGAGAAGAGCCTCGAACCATCAGCCTTCCGAAGGAGGGCGAGCCCGTCCCCGAGCATTCGCTTGCCACTGGCCCTCTATATCTCGACGCACGTCCTGCTCTCTTCGACCTCTGCATCAAGCTTCTCTCCGTCCCGAAATTGACTCGCGATGACTTGCTCGCTTCTCTCCGGCTGCTCGTGCTCTTCACTCGCGACCATTACCAAGCGTTGGCCTTCGTTGAACGTGGTGGTATCCCCCTCTTATTCCAAGCCTTGAAGTCATCGAGCGGTGGGGTCGCGGGTAGCCAGTCGTACATCACCATCATTCTTCGCCACATCGTCGAGGACGACGATGAGCTGGCGGTGATTATGCGCAACGAGATCGCACGCTTCCTTTTGCATCCACGGACGCGTGTTATCGACGTACCTAATTACATTCGCCACCTGAATAGCATGGCTTTACGCTTCCCAATTGCGTTCATCAAGATCACTTCGGAGATGTGCAAACTTGACCATCCTTACGGCAGTCCGCATCACGTTTCGTTGAAGGAGGAGGAGAAGACGAAGAGGGAGGAGAAAGAGAAAGAGAAGAAGACCGCAGAGGCGAAGCCGGATGCTAAGGAACCTGGGGGAGACGTTCAGATGCAGGTCGATGTTCCTCTAGTGTCGTCGACTACACCTTCGGCACCTCCTGAGCATTGCGAGACTCTCATCCACTTCCTCCTGGGCGAACTCATTCGTGTCGTCAAAACGCCAGGTGAACAAGGTGCTGATGTTCCCAACACGCAGTCGACGAGTGCTTCCGCCACCACCGACACCTCCACCACCGCTCTTCCGCCTTCGACTCCTCGGGCTCACGCTGCGCCCTCTGCCGCAGAAGAGAAGCCGGCGGGCTCGACTGAGTCTCCCCCAGCGCCTGCCATCGACTACTTCTACTCCGGCTTTTTGATGCAGTGCCTCACTGAGCTCCTGTTTTCTTACGATTTCTGCAAGACCGCTTTCCTGTCCTACTCGCCAAAGAAGCGCGCCGCGGGTGCTTCCAAGGAGGCCACTACCAAGCATCGGACAGCGGCTCTTCATTTCCTGCTGAACGATCTCGTCAGCTACGGCACCGTTGGCTCGGTCACCGAACATCAACCGGAGGAGTACAAGCGCGTCACGCTCTGCAACTGGGCGATGTCGGTGATTGTTGCACTCTGCGTCGATGCGAACGGTGCCCACGATTTGAGAGACTTGACTCCGGAGATCGTGTCGACTCGCAAGTTCGTTCTCGAAGCTGTCAGTCGCGCTATCAAGGACCCGGCGCCTTCCGACTCTGTGGACGCCCGCTATGGTCGAATGCTCGCGTTGGCTGACCTTTGCCAGCGCCTCCTCACCGTTCGTTTCAACTCTACGAGTCGTAAGCCTCAGCCCGTCGACGAGAACCCGACGCACATTGCGAAGATCATGTTGGAGAAGAACTTTGTCGCCACTCTCACGACCGCTTTGGCAGAGGTCGACTTGAATTTCCCTGGCGCTAAGAGCCTGGTGGCCTGTATCCTGAAGCCACTAGAACTTTTGTGAGTATCATTTCGTCTTAGTATCATAGGTCGCTTTTCTGACACTATCTATGCTTCCTCTCACCAGGTCGAAGATCGCCATCAAGATGAGTCGCACCTCGGACAAGGTCAAGGGCTCGGAAGAAGTCAAGGCTGACCTTGAAGATCTCGAGGAGACGGGTCTTTCGGACGAAGAAGATGACATGGATGATCAGGGTGATGAGACTCGGGAAGAGACGCCTGATCTGTATCGTAATTCATCGCTTGGAATGTGAGTCATAATCATTCTGTATTCCCTTTGAGCAGAGTTCACACTGACTGTTTATCATTCAGGTTCGCTGGGGTAAGACTTTTAGGCTTCGGTCTGATTTGGATAACTGATCATGTCTTTATTTCCTGTAGGATATGGAGGACCAGTACGCTGAGGAAGACGGGGATGATGACGAGGAGGACATGGACGAGGACGTCGAGATGGATTTTGGTGAGGATACCGGGAGTGAGGCTACGACCGAAGAGGATGAAGAGGACGAGATCGAGAACGGGACCGGTGAGTCGGAGGCGTGGCAAGATGAGGACGACGAAGATGAAGAAGATCTGGTGGAGAACGAAGAAGCGCATATGGATGAGGTCGACGAAGATGATGAAGACGACGACGAAGGTGACGATGAGGAGGAAGACGAGGGTACTTGGGAGGTCAGTTCATTTAAGATTGGTATGAATGCGGATTAACTCGTTTCCTATAGGATCTTGATCCAGGTCCTCTCGTCGGTGGTGCCGCGGGAGAAGAAGATGACGTCGGTGGTAAGCTGTCCCATTTTCTCTGTATTTAATTTGTACTGAGTGTATCGACAGTCAACATCCCCATTCACTATCAAGGGGGCGAAGAAGAAGACGACGAGGAAGGTGGCATGGGGTCGGAAGAGGATGAGTGAGTTATTTTCTTGATTCTTCTTCTTTTGGGGCTAATTGGGATTACAGTCTCGGTGCGGAGCTGGGCATCATTGATGCGCAAGGCGGAGCAACAGCCGTAGACGATGTGTTCGGCTTGGGAGGTGCGCTCGCTGATGGTAACGCAGACTTCATGGAAGCCACTGGTGGTATGGCGGGCATGATCTTTTCCGGTGCGACTCGAGCAGGACGCCCGCGCGCTGAAGGTAAAGCTCTATCTTATATGTAGATGTGGTTATTATCTAACCTTGTATTCTAGACGATGACATGGAAATCTTTGGCCGAAGCCGACCCGCACCTGCACCCGCACCAGAAGTTGTTACTCACCCACTGCTTCTGGAGTCCGCAGACGCAGCAGCTCGTACACCTTCCGGTCAAGGTCGGACTCGACGAGGGCAACGTAACATCTTCGCTGCGGGAACGCCCAATGATCTTCTTCAGGCCATAGAAGATATCATTGGCGGGGGAGCTGTTCATCTCTTCCAGCACTTCATTACGAACCGAGACCCTAGAGCGCCGGAGGCCATTCGTCTCGATGTTCCGCCAGGAGCCTTGATCAACCTCAACCAAGGCCTCATGGGTCGACGACAACACGCCGTATCTGCTCAGCTACGTATCGAGCGAGCTCCGCGCGCTGGCGAAACTCCTCCCCATGCCCGCGAGTTCGATCCCTTCTCGACGCTGCAACGCTGGGGAGAGGAAGCCAAGGTCCTTCATGGCAAATTCTCTGCAGAACGATTCATGAAGCTCGCCAATCATCTCATTCTATCGATGCTTCCTGACGCTATTGAGAGGCAAAAGGAGGCCAAGGCGAAAGAGGAGAAAGAAGCCGCTGAAAGACGTGAGGCTGAAGCGAAGGCAGAGGCAGAGGCAAAGGAGGAGGCTGAGAAAGCTGCAGCCGCAGCTGCAGAGAAAGCGCGCGAAGAAGAGGAAGCGAAGGCTCGTCAAGAGGCAGAGGCTTCCACTGCCGAAGCCGCCGCCCCCGCGGTCGCCACCGAGGATGTCGACATGACAGACGCTGCTCAAGAGCACCCTGCAGCACCCGAAGATGCTGAGGCACAAGCTGGCCCTTCGGAACCTGCAGTAGTAGAGGCCGAAGGTTCAGGAGAGGCCAGTACCTCCGCTGCTCCCGAGCGCGTTACTGTTATGATACATGGAAGCGCGGTCGACATCACGGACACGGGTATTGATCCTACTTTCCTTGAAGCTCTTCCAGACGACATGCGAGAAGAGGTTGTCAATCAGCACATCCGTGATCAACGCGCTGCTCGTGTCGAACGTCCCCCGGACTCTCAGATCAGCTCCGAATTTCTCGACGCTCTACCACCGGAAATCCGTGCGGAGATTCTACAACAGGAGCGCGTTGAGCAGGCAAGGCGTCGTGCAGAAGAGAGGGCTGCGAACCCAGGAAGTAACACCGCCGCTGAGATCGATCCTGCAAGCTTCATCGCGAGTCTGGATCCTCAGCTACGGCAAGACGTCCTCATGGACCAGGACGACGGCTTCATTTCGAGTCTTCCGGCCCATATGATTGCAGAAGCCGGCACCTATCGCGACAGAGCTCCCCGCCGTACGATCCCTCGACAGGCCTCTGCGCGGTCTCACGATCCTCATCACCCAGCACCTCCTGCTGCTCGTAAACCCCCGGCTCAACGCGACGCCATACAACTCCTCGACAAGAGTGGCATCGCTGTCCTTGTTCGTCTCCTCTTCTTCCCTCAAATCCTCAAGAAGAACACCCTCTTCAAGGTCCTCGTCAATCTCTGCGAAAACTCCAAAACCCGCACGGAGCTGTTCAACCTCTTGTTGAATATCTTGCAGGACGGCGCCACCGATCTCGCGGCCATTGATCGAAGCTTTTCTCAGATGACTGTTCGTGCCTCCAAGCCACCGCAAACGCCTCGTACTCCTGGGAAACAGCGAGCTGGTTCTGATTACTTCAGCTCATTACCCGTCTCACACCTCCCGAGCGAGATCGTACCAGACCTCATCGCACAACGCTGTTTGGAAGCTCTCACATACATCGTCACCTCCAACGAACTCTCCTCCCTCTTCTTCCTAACCGAGCATGAACTTTCCATCGGTCTTAAACGCTCTATCTCTCGAAAGGGCAAGGGCAAGGAAAAGCAGGCTCCCCAGACGCAATACCCCATCGTTCTTCTCCTTGGCCTCCTGGATCGACAATCTCTGCTGAAGACTCCTTCGATGCTTGAGTCCGTCGTCAGCCTTCTGGACACTGTCACTCGTCCGTTGACAAGCCTCAAAGACGCACAAAAGAAGGCAGTAGAACCTCCAAAAGCTGAGTCTACAACGACAGCACCTGAATCGGCAAGCGCCCCTGCATCCTCTGAACCCGCCCCGGTGTCCGCGGCTGAAAGCACAGCGCCTTCAACGGACACGCAAATCGCTGCAGTTGCACCAGGTTTGTTGACTATGTTCTCGACACGTAAAATTTCATTCTGACTTTTTCTTTAGCACCCGTTCAGCCTGCCCAGCCTGCACCGGAGGCACCCAAGGATAGTGCTCTGACAGGAGAGACGATGGAGGAGAAGATTTTGTTGGCCAACCCACCACAAATTCCTCACTCTGTTCTACGGCTCATCGTCAACATCCTCACCGTGGGTGAATGTGGCGCGAAGCCCTTCCATCACAGTCTCTCTCTCATTCAACATCTGTCGTACATTCCGGATGCAAGGGAGGTTATCGCACAGGAGCTTCGGGCGAAGACGCAGGACTTCGGGACTAGTCTGCACCAGGATCTTGAGGAACTTTCTAACGCTCTCAGTGGGTCGCAAGGTGACGTCCTGGCCTCATCCGTGGCGTCGAAGTTCTCGTCTCCGTCTTCAGATCAGGCTAAGCTTCTGCGAGTACTCAAGACCATCGACTACATGTACTCTCCGAAATCAGGAGTTGCTTCGACGAGCGAAACCGACAAGGGTGACGACACAGAGAAGATTCAGGCCATCTACGAATCATTCAGCTTCACTCCCTTGTGGCGACGACTTGGCGATTGTCTCTCCGTCATCGAGCAACGGCCAGAGATTGAGCACATCGCGACGGTTCTTCTTCCTCTCATCGAGTCGCTTATGGTCGTTTGCAAGTACGTTGGCGCTACCACTTCTGCCGCAGCCAGCACCGCTCGTGCTCTTCGCGGTGCATCATCACCGAAATCACCTACGACTCCCCGCGAATCGATGGAGGATCTGTTCGTTACCTTCACCGACGATCACCGCAAGGTCCTGAACGTCATGGTCCGAAATAACCCTTCGTTGATGAGCGGCTCGTTCTCCCTCCTTGTACACAACCCTCGCGTCCTCGACTTCGACAACAAGCGTAACTACTTCAACCAGCAGCTACGTCGGAGACCGCACAGCCGCGAACACCATGGAACACTACAGCTCAACGTTCGCAGACAACGGCTCTTCGAGGACAGTTTCCAGTACCTGCAGCGCAAGACGGGCGACCAGATCAAGTATGGCAAGCTCAGCGTGCGGTTCTACGATGAAGAGGGTGTCGACGCCGGTGGTGTCACGCGTGAATGGTTCCAGATCCTTGCCAGACAGATGTTCGACCCGAACAACGCGCTCTTCGAGCCTTGTGCGGCCGACAAGCTCACATACCAGCCGAACAAGGCGTCATGGGTCAACCCGGAGCATCTGTCATTCTTCAAATTCGTGGGACGCGTGATTGGGAAGGCGATCTATGATGGGCGGTTGTTGGATGCGTACTTTGCGAGGAGCTTGTATAGGCAGATTTTGGGCAAGCCGGTGGATTATAGGGACGTGGAGTGGATTGATCCGGACTATTACAAGTCGTTGTGTTGGATTCTGGAGAACGACCCGACGGCGTTGGACATGACTTTCAGCGTTGAGGGTGACGAGGTACTTTTTTGGTCGTTCTTCTTCCATGCTTTCCTCTCACTGACATCGTGTTTCGTAGTTCGGTGTCATGAAGATCGTGCCGTTGAAGGAGGGTGGCGAGACATTACCGGTGACGTTGGAGAATAGGCGCGAGTTTGTGCAGTTGGCGGCCCAATACCGATTGTACTCGTCCATCAAGGATCAGATAGAGAACCTACTCTCTGGGTTCTACGACATCATTCCGAAGGACCTCGTCTCAATCGTAAGTCGCGGTCGTACTCCTTCTTTCCTCGAACTTCTACTGACAGTTGTCCTCGTCCTTGTAGTTCAACGAACAGGAGCTCGAACTCCTCATCTCCGGAACCCCCGAGATCGACGTTGACGAATGGCGTGCAGCGACAGACTACAACGGGTACAACTCCTCTGACCCAGTCATCGTATGGTGGTGGCGTGCGCTGAAGTCGTTCAATCGTGACGAGCGTGCGAAGGTGTTGAGTTTCGCGACGGGGACGTCGAGGGTGCCGTTAAGTGGGTTTGGAGATTTGCAGGGCGTGCAGGGGACGCAGAGGTTCTCGATTCATAGGGCGTATGGCGACCCGGATAGACTGCCACAGGCTCATACTTGTGAGTTGCTTTGAGTTGTTCGGGTTTTGAATGCGGTTACTGACGTGATTGATCGCGTAGGCTTCAACCAGATCGACTTGCCACAGTACTCGTCGTATGAGAAGCTAAGGCAGCAACTGCTCCTTGCCATCAACGAGGGTGGTGAAGGCTTCGGGTTTGCATGATTGTCGCATCGTTTTCAGTCCTCTTTTCGGTTCCTGCGGTTCGATTCGGTATATAGATGCGGCGAGCGTTGTGGAGGGGGGAGAAGCACGTTGTACGGCGCTATCGGAGTCCGTGAAGTATGTTTTGAAGAGAAGTGTCCTGCATCGATTTTTTTTGTATCCACAGCATTTTCTTCCCATCATGATTGTAATTACACAGACAATTGTTTTCATCCTCTCGTCCATGTTCGTTACTTACTACGTTACAGGCTTATAGCATGTCAATTTTCCCGCTGACTCTCGGAGTGACCACCATTCATGAGTCTCTAACGAACGGCCTAAGGTGATCAGTTTCTTCGATTGATCGAGGGCTTTTACGAGGAACGTTTCAGCAATTCTGTGGAATTTCCCCGGGGCCAAGCTCTCTGCTAGTCCTCTCATCTCCACATCGGTCGATATTGACGTCGACAGCGTGGGCTCCAGAGTCCACAAAGAGCTAGGACATTTTATTTTTGAGTTGTGACAGCGCTATCTTCTGTGGCCGCCTTGTCCGCCTCGACTTCGCCGTTTTCGTGGCGCCACGACCATAATTGTTTCGTGACCGTCTCGTCCTCGGAAATGACATCACCTGGACTGAATCACTGACGTAGCCTTGGCGGGAACGCGTTCTTTTTGGAGCTTTTTCGTCTATGCACACGGAGGCCATGCCGCCGAAACTTTTCAGAGGTATATATACCTCATCTTCTTCGGTGAGAATTTACTCACCGTCTCGTACGACACCCACCGAGATCCCGCCCATATTCTATCCCCAAAAGAAATCGCCGCTGAAATATCGTCATGGTAAGTGGCATGGGCGGTTTCTGAACGGGAATATGTGTTTGACTAATGCTTTGGACTGTATACAGGGATCCATATTCTCAGCTATCGGCAGTGCCATCAACTCCATCATCAGCGCCATCGCGAGCGTGATTGAGACAGTCATTTCAGCCATCGTGACCGTGAGTGTTCCCTCCGAGCTCCAAAACTTCCTTGCAGTTATTCTGTCGCAGTGGTCTCAGTGTCGGATACTAACGTGGTATGATTTATGTGCTTGGACAGGTCCTCGTCGCAATCTGGAACTGCTTCATGGACATCATCTGCTGCCGTTGTGGTTCTCGCAGAGGAGGGGCAGCAACGGTCTAACCCCGACTTTCGACGCTCCGCTCACTCAATTTCCATACTGAGAGAGCGTCGGAGGCCATGACTTCATTCCATATTACCCTTCACCCTTCACCCTTGGCCACCTTAGATCCCCTTTACCCATTGCACGCCCTTGACCACAAGGTTTCCTTATGCCTTCACGAACTCGCACGCTTTATGACCGAGAAGTTTACCTCTTATTTATTATCTCGGATTGTAGCTTCTTCTTCTCCTGCCTCGCCTCCTCTTGTCTCGTCGTTTGTTCCTTGCTATCTGTTCCGAGTCTTCGTACCTTACTTCTGTCCGTACGGGCTACATGACGCAAAAAAAGTATCATCGTCTGAATCTCAATTTTCGTGGGTTTCGTTTCAATGCGGTGACTCTACGTTTCGTGCAATCTGCTCGTGGTTAGACCAGGAGCTATCAGCCATCGGAAAATCAGTGACAGGACATGAACGCAACCCTATCATCAAGCACCACCATCATTGGCATCATTTCACGATCACGGAGTGAAGAACAGTGGCGCGCAGATCCGACTACTAGCGTTGGCTGACACTTGTTTCGAGTAGTTGAACCTACTACGCACGGGCTTGTGGCGTCGATGCCAGTGTGGAAGTTGGCACCCCAGGTCACTCATGATGCATGATGACTCGAACGACGAGTCAATTTTTTAGTAACAATTGCGGAAGCTCAAGGTATTACCACCTATAAACCAACCAAAACGAACGAACGTGGATACATCGAATATACAATATATATACTGTAAATGTAGGTTAGTAGATGGGTAGGTAGGCTGGAAGGCTGAAGCTGAATATGCAGCCTATGTAGTTGAGCTGCAAGCACTGAGATGGATGAATGGTGAATATTGACAATACGGAAGTGTGTATTCTAGAGGTGATGTCAGTCGATGAATGAGTTGTCAATGAATGGGTGAGTCAGACGAGAGCGAGAGAATAAGAGAACAAGAGAACAAAGGGATAGGAATGGTCATGGTAATTGGTCTATGATGCATGCAGGCTAGAGATGAGTACGATGCGACAAATATAGAAGCTGCGTAGGGTAGGTATGTATCGAGAATGTTGAAGGGAAGGGGATCCTTTGGACGGTACGAGGAGGTTGGCCAGGTCCGAGTCAGTGGAAGAGATAAATAAAGGCAGAATTGTTGGTGAGTGGGCGAACGATGGATGGTGAGCACAGATGAATGAATTGGTCAGAATGAGGAAAAAGCATGAGTTAATGAGTGACAACGTACGAACCAGATGGAAACAAAAAGGAAAAGATCGAGTAAAACAAAGAGGTAGAATGAGTGCAATGACGACTAAAGTATAACCGACCAAAAGATGTCCGAATACCATCCATATATGACAGAAGAAGAAGATGGAGGAAAAGCGCGAAACTAAAAACACACCACAATCCCACACCTGTGCCACACTCACCGACCGATCAACCATCCCGATCACAACCTACTTCTTCCGTGCAAACAACCCCGGCTTCTTCTGCAACTTCGCCCCCTTCTCCTTCCCATCCCCCACATGAAAGAAGGACTTCAAATCCGGCTCCGACTTTCCCGCTGCACCCATCTGCATCATTCCACCCGCTGACGGCGGCGACGGTAGCTGAGACATCGCAGACTCCTGCGTTCCGGGCCTCGAACTTCCTCCACGTAGTCCAGCGCCCATAGATGGCCTTCTAGGAATCGTGGCTGATTGCGGAGTCTGAGGTTGGGATGGATGTGGATGCGATCTTCCTGTCTTAAAAAGCACACGACCGAAGCCCATACCCATGGGTGATGCAGCAATACCATACGTCGACACACTGTCAATCGTCGAACCTGTCCCCGGTCTCGCAGACGTCGACGACGACGAAGGGCGACTGTCGTCAGGTAGGTGGAGATGTCTACTACCTTTCGACAATGATGTTGCCGTAGTTGCCTTTGTCGAAGTCGAGTTGGACTGCGAGTTTGAGTCTTGTGAGTTTGACTGACTCGAGCTTCCCTGGGACGAGGGCTCTTCCCTCTTCACTCTGCCGCGATCAGAAGATTTCTTGTTATCTCCGCCACCAACGAGCAAACCATACACCTCCTTCTCCAACTGCTTCATCTCCGCCTTTCGCATTGCCTTCTGTCTCGCTTCCATCTCGGCTGCAGAAGCGGACGTCGATGTTGAACCTTTCAGATTGCTAGTCGACTTCGAAGCCAGTGAGGGTCTAGGTTTGGACGATGACAGTCGACGCAGGAAGCGGGACTCGGCGTCCGTGGCGGGGGCGGAGAGTGGAACTGTAGGGGCTTTGCGTGGGGATTCGAACGCGTGAACGTCCTCAGACCCGAGCCCTTCAAGCCCGGCACCTGTAGGACTAGAAATGCCACCCCGCTGCGAGGGATTCCGCACCAGAACGGGCGCCGAGATGGGTTCCGACAATAGTCCGACTTTCAGCGCACGTCGTGTGGCGTTCCCGAGGTCAGGACTTCCACTGGCATTCGAACCCGTACCGGCCGAATTAGGTGGACGAGAGAAATAATCCGCGCCTTCATTCAGGGACAACATCGGAGGGGGACGGGCTGAAGTCGACTCTCTTCGATCTCGGGCGGTCGCAGGTGAGGCTACGTGCTGGCGGCGAAGGGAAGCATAGGATGCGTCCTGTGGTGTGGCCCAAGGTGCGATCTCGCGAATGGCGGCAGCAGACCCGGTAGAACGGGACGTCGATGCGGCAGAAGATCCTGAAGGATTGCGTTCGATGGCTCCGGAAGCTTGAGGATGAGCGTGGGCAAGGGCTGGTGAGGGTGTGGAAGCGAGTCTGTGTCGAGTAGCGGGTGATGCGGGGCCAGAGTTAATCGTCCAATCCTGGCTCAACCTCGACTTCTTCAACTTGCCATCGTGTTCGGCGACGGTGTGTTTTTGTACAGCGGGTGACGACCAACCACCGAACGCATCTGCAGTCGAGACATACTCGTTCGAACCTTTGCTCGATCCAGGTCTAGACCTCCCCGAGCCTAAGCTACCCTCCCTAGCATCGTCCATCCTGAACTCGCTATACATCCTATTCACGAGATGATTCGAGTCTGCTGCGCCAGAATGAGGAAGTGGAGACTCGTCATCCGACCTGCGTGCCTTTAGATCAGGGTGCATCGGCGGTCCCTTCGATATCTGCGCAAGAGCAAGGTGGGGCGGTTGGTGGGCATAATTTCCTTGGTGCGGGCGAGGCGGTACGAAAGCACGAGAATGCGAGGCGGACATAGACGTAGAAGCCGATTGTGGCTGGTGCGACGCTCTCCTCCCCTCCGGCCGCCCACCCAGCAACTCAGGGGTACTCTTCATCCTCCTCGGCGAAGCCGACTTTGGGCCATCCAGAGCCATTAATGAAGCCGAATAAAATGCGGTGGGACTACCTGCAGGATCGGCCCAGTTACCATCTTCTTCGTCTTCCTCCGGCACAATGTCATCCAGTCTAGCACTGGCGATATCATCCGGTGAAGACCTCGCGGTCAGATCCCTCGACATCAGCTGCGGCGGACTGAGCAACGATGCCTTCGATCCCGTAGGGTTCAACGGACTCGATCTGATCCCTGCCGAAGCCATGCTACTTGGACCAAAGCCAGCACCCTGCATATCATCCATATGGACCGTACAGCTTTCGTTCCGCGCTGTATGAGTGGGGAAGAACGAAGACCTGTCGAAATCTTGGCTCATCCCGCTACTGCTCAAGTCCAGGAAATCGGGGACAAGGTCGCGCAGTGCGTCGGCGTCGGCGTCATAGTCGTCTGCGTGGGTGGAGTTGGTGTATGGGTTGTGAGAAGACGAATCGTAAGGTGGAGAGGTAGGATATTCGTCCTCGGGATATTGGGATGGGATGGGACTCAGTGGTACGAAGGATCCCTGATGGTGCCGATGGTGGGTACGGATTGAAGACGGCGCCGACGACAAAGAAGACGAGGAGGACGAGGACGATGATGGGATGTGGCTCAGAGGACTGAGATGTGATGCAGATTGGGATGAAAGGGCATAGGAAGATGCAGATGGGGAAGGCCCGGAGAGCGAGGAGCGAGGGCTGGGCCTTCGGTCTGGCAAAGGAAGGACAGCTTCTTCCTCATCCTCGTCAATAAAGTCACGAGATGCAGGGAAGGCCGAAGGGACTGGCTGAGAAATGGGTGGAGCGAACGAAGGCGGAGGTCTATGTCTCGGTGGTGGTCTACTGAGTGGTAATAACGACACCTTCCGGTCATCCCTCGACAAGACCTGCTGTCCCTCCTCGTACTCTTCCTCGTCATCACTGTCACGACTGCTCATGTCGAACAGCGATGATTCCCTCTCTTGCAGACCCCTAATCACAGCCGCCACCGCGTTCGGCGTGTCAGGCTCACTCGGCGGCAACGCCCCGCCACCATTCGTATTCGCCACCTGCACCGACCTCCTACTGTCAAACTTCGAGGCGCTGAAACCGGTAGGACCAGGAAGAGGAGCCGTCGCGAGCGCAGGTGATGGTGCGCCATACGCATCCAAATCGAATCCATAGCTGTCCTCTGTATTGGGCGATTCAGGCATGACGACCGCCGACTCCCTCGACTGTCCGAATCCAAAGTCCACGTTGAGCGCATCTCGGGAATGACGTGCCCGTATCCGTTCGCGAGACTCTTGCGACCTCAGGCCTCCTACGAGTGCGGACAATCGGGATGTCGAACGCATTGGATCGAGTGAAGAGTTCGTCGAAATCAAATCTTCTCGGGAGTCCTTCGACCGCAGACCATCCCTCGAATCCTTCGTTCTCAAAAACTCTCTCGATCCCTTCGCCTTCAACCCTCCCAAATTCGAATCAACCTTTGGTGTCGGGCTGGGACTCGACCGCAAATGATCCCTTGAAACCTTCGACCTCAACGCGCTCAAGGCCCTCGCGAGATGACTCTCCGCCTTACTCCTCGTGGTAAAATCTCCCGAGCTCAGACTGCTCACGCTAGCATGTCCGCGACTGTGTAATGATCTGAGGTCGGACGATTGGGATGGCGAAGGCGAGTGCGAGTGTGAAGGAGGTCGTGAATGGGAGTGGGAGTTAGAGCGAGAACGGGAGTTCGAGGTCGAAGTTGAGTGGGAATGTGTGCGGGAGTGCGGTTGCGAGTATGAGTGCGAAGGAGAGTCGTCTGGACGAGAGACAGATATCGCGAGTGATGGTGGTGGATTGACGCTGAGATCAACGGCGTTCGGAGCTGAGGTCGACGACGACGGATGCAGATACGGCTCGGCATAGGGCCCACGCCTTCTCCTCTCATGCTCATCCTGATCCTCAGACCTCGATGCATCGAACCCTCCAAAACCAGAACCATCCGGCGTAGGCGGGAAAGAATCGATCGCATCCTGAAGCGTCAGGGCTCGTGAACTCTCTTCCTCGTCTTCATCGAAAGGTTCACGTTCGTGCCGGAAAGACTCTGCGCGTTGACGGAGAAAAGTCCGGTTTGCCTCAAGTTCTTCGGGGGAGATGGGTGTGGATGGAGGCGGGGATAGGGGCATCGAGCGAGGGTCGGGGATGTGGCGCACTAACATGTGATTTCGAAGTCAGTTTTCGGCGATTTTATTGGTGAAGTAAAATAGTCTACTCACACTGAGATGTAGACGAAGATGCTCGAAGACGTTGCCGGTGCAACAATTCTTCGCTATCGACGTGAGACCTTTCATCCTCCCGGTCTTGTGATGTTAAGGACTCAAAATTGGGTAACCGTCCACGCCTAGAGATCACACTAGCCGGTGGAAGAATACCGGGGGTTTGAGGGAGTGGTGGGGTATGCGGTAGAGCATGGTTTGGTGAATGGGTTTGATGGTGGCCTTTGGAGAGCGTAGAAAACCCGGAGGTATGCGATGTATGTGTGGACGTCGGGGAAAGGATATGGTGTGAGGAAGACGTCGGCGAGGTGCTGCAAAATCACAATACACGGTAAACGGGTTTAGATCAGCAATCCTGCCCGACTCAAGTCATAGCGAGAACGCACCTCCCAGACGTCATCGTATCCTGCGACAACGGACGCTCCAGCCGCGGCCGCGATTGTGAAGAGTGCGAAGACAACGACTTTTGATGTGACTGTGAGCCGGACCGTGAACGCGAGGGATAGGCGATCTTGATGGTGTGCGTGTTGGTCATTGGGTCGTAGTGTTCCGTGACGAGTTCAGGATACCTGTAGTATTGCAAGGTCCAAGAAATCAGATTCGGGTCCAAATCCGGAGGTGTATGGTTACGGAGTCAGGTCGCAAATGCAGGACACAGGAAGATGGTGGTAAGGGAACAAGGAACGAGCAAAGGAGGGAGGGAGGGGGTCGGTCACGGTGAGGCGAGTCGACGAAGGCCGTATCACGAGATTGCCCTAGCGAGCGAAGGGAAGAAGAGAAGAGCTGCTGTTCGGTCGGATGGTAGGAGGCGGACCGCCGAAAAAAAGGGGCGGCGGGATAAACTAAGGATACAGCAAAGTGCCCGTAGCGAAGTACGACGCGTTAGAAGAAAGAAGACACTTTGAAAGTTCAAGCATGATGCGCGAACTTTGCGAGGCGATGCACGTAGATTGTGAGGGGTAAAAAATTTGCGAGACGTTTAGATCGAAAGTAAGAGGTGCGCAAAGATAGAGGGAGGCCAAAGATAGCGTGGTTTGGTATGATGAAGATCATGATGCATGGTGCGGTTTCGCGATATGAAACGAAATCGTGCGTATGATGGATGATCGTGGGATGAACATGGAACATCAATACATCATGCATCAACACTGAAGCTGGTGTAATCCAAGGATTGTCTCCTCCGCTTCCGCAACATGATGCATGATGCACACCAAAAAAAAGACGACAGACAAACGCCACGATATCGAAGTAGAAAAATGAAATAGAAAGGTACGCACTTCTTGATCAACGACAACGGATCCAACGGGGCATCGTCATCCTCTTCTTCTCCTCTCTTCGCCTCGTCTACCCAATCACCTCCTTTTCCACTCTCGCCACGTAACCCCTGTCTTCCCTTCTCGCCACTTAAACCCCCTTTATTACCCTCAACACCCATCTTCTCGTACTTGTCGCCGCCATTCAACCGCTCTTCATCCCTGCCTCCCTCCAAGCGCCTTCTCATTTCCTCTTCCTCTGGTACCATTCCCATGCGCATTTCCATCTCAGTTTCCATCCTCCCCTCTGCTTCCATAGGCGTCACAGGCTCCATAAACGAATCCTTGTTACTGATATCGTTGACAGATGGTGATAGCGAAGGAGATGCCATTGGCATGAGGAAGGATGTCGAGGCTTGCTCCGGCTCCCTGTCATATGCATAGTGGTGCTCGTCCTCGTGCTCCGGTATAAGAGCTACACGCGGAGGGACCGACTTCGTCTGGTTGACCGAATGCGAAAGACGCGAACTCGGATGCGACTGTGTAGATGATTGGACAGGTGCTGCGGCGAACGCGAGTTGGGATAGGTGTGACGAAGGGTGGGGAAGGCCTGTGGTAGTTGGTACATGTGGAAAGTCGTGTAGATTCGCGAGGAGGTCTTCGACGCTCGAGGAAGAACTGTGAACACGTTCAAGTAAAGCAGGCGGTTCAGAATCAAAGGTACGGCGGGCGATAAGGATACTTGTGCACGTTCGCATATGACTTGGCGAGACATCGCATGCAGTGCGACGCTGCCTCAGTCCGGACTCCGTAGTCGGCAAAGAGGTAAAGGCGCCGGTGCGAAGAGGACAGAATCATTGACGTAGAATGGAGGACTCACAAGACAGAATACGTCGACTCCCTGTCTCCCATTCCTGCTCCTGCTCCTGCTCCCGACATGACGGCTGGCTCGGCAGGCCAAGAAGAAGCTTCGGTCGCGTGCTACTGCGTCGCAGCACGACGACAATAATGAATACTTGAAATAAGCAATGAGTACGCGTCGGCGTCCTGCGTACCGGCGTAGAAGTTGTCGTATAGGTGGAGGGCGACGACGACAAGGAAGAGAACGAAACGAGAGAGGGAATAACCGAAGTGCGGACTCGACCCAAAACGGGGCTCGCGTACGAGCGGCGGAGAGATCGAGGACTGGGTAGTACGACGAGCTTTTTTTGGCTCGAGGATCGAGGAATTATGAAAGAAAAGATCGAGGTCGATTGAGTGGGTAAGGTTGACTGACAGATGTTCAGTTATAGCCCATGCCACTTGACGAGTATGGCCAGACAAATCCTGCGATCCGATGCTGTTTTTTACGAGATACTGGGCGCTCCGTCGTGCAAGACCGACTGAGCGAAAGATTCAGAAATACTAAGAGTTGTGGAGACCAAAAAAGGGAGAGACAAAGACAAGGAAAGGGATAAACGAGGACCGAGAAAAGGAAGGTTATGGTTTGGAAGGAAGAGATATTGCCTGCATGAATGCGTTGTTGGCGGCCATGGCATAAACATAAACTGCGCCCGGCTAGGCCCAGCCAAGAAGAACGATGTTCGCCGTCCCTGGACCGTTCGTGGCCGTTCTGTTGTGGGGTCGTTTCTTCCGTCAGCCTGCCTTTCGTAGACCGAACCTGCTCGTCTTGTTCCGTAGTTGCCTAGGTAGCAGGTCCGAACTTCGTCACGGTAAGTAGGCTCCAAACGAGCTCCATATGTCGCAAGTCAGTCTGCATATGGGCCTTCACTGCTTCTCTCGTTTTCTCGGGGCCGCGCGTATCCGTCTGATGATGTTGAATGAACGAAGCTATCGCGAGAAAGTCGAGAAAAATGGGCGACAAACAAGATCTCACACAGTTCGAAGCGAAGCTGAGCGTCAGGCGCTCATAGGCGCTCATGAGCTCATCCTTCTTCGCATCAAAGCGCTTCGGGAATTCACCGCTCGGGATGTCCATATCGAACCACAGATACGGGACGTCCTCATTTCCTGCACAATAAATTCCGACCGACCGACAGCAACTCCCGTTGAGTCGCCGCCGCCGGTATTTCCTTGGCGTCATGGGGGCGGATAAAGCGGATACGTCTGCCTAACGACACACATTGGTACCGACAAAGTTGGTGTGAATTTGTGACATAACTTTCGGATGGAATAAGACGGAGCACTGTATACCGCAGCAAGTACTTACTGCTGGCAGGGAACTATAGGGCACCATTGGTTCCCACCATAGGAATGAAGCTGAAAGTTATATTGCTGGCGCAAGACTGCCGCAGTCGACCAAGTAATCAACGCCTCGCCCTCATGTTTGATTGGCTTAAGTATTACCGCATGCTGATGCTGATGCTTGGCTTCCAATCCATGCTGATCGCAGTAAAGTACTCCGATCGACATGAATTCACATTTGCCGCAGGTTTATAGAGCAATTCGGATTTAACGGCCCCCATAGCAGTGAGTGTGAAGATTTCCCAGAAACATACCGTATCGAACAAACAGGCTTGAGGACACGTAATATTTATTCGCACCTCGTTCTTTCATGCTCAGGCTCAAGGTCGAGGCTCGAGACGGTGAATTTAATCTCGCGAATCCGTGAGTCCGTCGAAGGGTCCAGCACTTCGGCGCCCATTTCCTAGTTAGTGCCACATCGACTTTGCCACCTTCCGTTTCGAGTCAACTTCAAGTCGAAACCATACACTTCGAGGCCCTGAAACGGCACAACTGGACCAACTTGATGCCTCTCGAGCCCCAGAACCGAAAGTACAACAATACAAACGTCTAAATCTCAGTAAACCATACATCGACGTATTAACCCAAGCGAGAGGCCCGGTCCGCCTCACGCCAACGCGCCCCTGTCATAAAGAAAAGTATGCCAGTCAGTGAGGAGCTCAGAGACAGCCATCAGAGTTAACAAGGCGAAGCCAAAAAATCGATGGGACCTGGAGGAGGATGACCAGGGGGAAAAAGATGAAAGCAGACGTACATAGGGTCCCAAGGCGCGAGCACCGTCTTCTCTCCGGACTCGAACACCTTGACGAGGTCCTTGGGCGCCAAAGCCTTCGGCACGACGACCTGGTAGACAAACCTACACACCATCAAATGAGCAACCATTACAACAACAATGCAGATCACAGTATATCATAAAGAAGGGCCAGGGATAAGAACGGAGACGCGCAGGGAAGAAACACGCACTGCTCGAACCACCGATCCGTCATCACGAAGTACCCCTTCTCACCCGCCGTCTCGCCCCACGAATTCTCGACCTTATACCTCACCGGCCTTCCCGTCTTCGAGTCGAGGTGGACGCCGGAGATGACCATCGCGTGCGTCATCTGGGATTCACCGGTCTGGAGCCGTTCGGCTTTGGTCAGGTTGAGGGTGATGTCGAATGCGTTCTGTGGGTCGCGACGCGATTCACATCAGCATTGTAGGGGAAAAAATTAAGGTATATTGTGGAGTTCGGAGAGGAGACGAACGTTGTAGTCGTAGAGATCGGTGTCCATTATTCCCGCAACGCGCTCAGAGAACTGTCCGACGTCACAGCCGAAGAAAACGGGCTGGCCTGCCTTGATCATCTACTCTTATGCAGAGTCCCGATCAGCGTGCTGTAGCAGGTAGCAAAAATCAACAATCGCGAAATTGGACGAACCTTGACGACTGCATCCTTCAGGACTTCCGCTTCAGTGTTCACATCTATAAAAAATGTCGAATGGCACGGGCATTAGTGCTCTCCGCCAAGTGACACGATGGTACCGATGTAAGGGTACGCACAGAGCACGGGACGACCACCCCAGACGTTCCCGAGCTTGTCGACAGTGTAGAGCTTCGAGTATTCGTTTCTCGGGTCGTTGATCAACGAGAACGAATCCACGACCTATCATGTCACACGATCTTAGTTCGCAGTCCGACGGAACGAGACATGCGCAATAACTGACCGGGTACTGTTTGTTCGTGAAGGTCTATTCATAGTAATCGGTTCGTCAGTCAGCTATCAGTTCCGCTCCACTTCTACCTCGCGATACCGCCCTAAAAGCGTTCACGAAAAGACCGAAAACAGAAACGGACCTTGTAGAACTCCCTAGGGGTACCCTCCCAAGTCCCCGCCTTCCCATCCTTATCATAGTAATCCCACACAAACTTCCCATCCGGCGATGGAGGCGCACCCAACGTCGCGCTCATGACCGTATAGATCTCTTTCACAAGCTCTTCCTTCTTCGAGCGCACCGTTGACAGGATGTCTGCTTCCGACAGGTTGGAAGTGGAGCGGAGAGATGAGATGAGACGACGGAGGACGAGGGCGTGTTCGCGGAGTTTGGTTTGGAGGAGGGTGTTGAGCGGGGAGGAGACGGTTGCGTGGGTTGAGTCGGGGTAGTTGACTTGGGGGAGCATGCCGTAGGTCTGTTTGTCCCGCACTGAGTCTATGTATCAACCTTAGATGAAGTTGAAAGTGTGCGAACCTCGAGAAGGTTGACGACCATGTCCCATTGACCACCGTCGCTGATCAAGTCGCCAGCAAGGTGGGTGATGAGACGGTCGTCGAGGGGAAGGTCAGAATGTTGAATGGACAGCTCGAGATAGTAGTTCGATTTGTTCAGTTTGTCCCAGAAAAAGAGATAAGCCTAACAGCAGCGCACATTAGCATATCAGCCATGCTATCTATCCAAAGCTCGCCGTAGATGAAATCAGCAGAGAACTCGCCCACCTGCGACAGCTCAAACTCCTTCAAGTTCAACTTCTTCATAACCTGGTACCTCAACACATTCGTCGTCGCGAACAACCAACACCTCCCACTCGACCTCTGGTTCGTCACCGGGCTCGTCTTGAACTCCAGCTCGGTATTGAACACATGCTGGTCCAGGATCTTCGCGTCACGGTTTATCAGCGCAGATCGGATGTCACTGTGCGCGAGGATAGTGCGCGCGAGCTTCGTCTTGGGATCGGAAGAGGCTGCGTCTTCCCAATCGGCGATGCTCGCGAGTGCGAGTGAACCGTCGGCGGAAATGGGGGCACGAGCAGTAGCCTGTGATTCAGTCGACTTGGTTGAAGCAGTGCCGCTCATCACAGAGCGTTTCTCATCGAGCTGGTCGACAGCTGGGACGGTTGGCTTGGAAGGAGTAGAGCCCATGGTGAAATGGTCAAGTCCCGAGTAACGATGTACGTGGTGGGGGTCAGTCAAGACTGGCTGGCACGACGTGTACCTTGCCCGGCAGTATTTATATGTCACACTCACGGGCAGTATAACGGGTACCCTCTCGGTTCCTGTCGGGGACAGACCGCTCGAAGGGGGTGCATGTGTGGCAAAGTCGTGTGGAGGATCAAGATAAGGCTTATTGCGCCACAAATGGTCTCTTACGCGTGCCACTCGAACCGGAACGGCTCGCATCCGAGAGAGATCAGATTAGATTAGATACAAGTCATGATGGGATCAACTTTGATCAACATTGACTTGAAGAACACCGTCCACAGTGTAATTGAGGATCGCATTGTGCGACGTCGGACGGGTGTACAGTCCTGGAAGGTAGAATTAGGTATGTATTTGTGTTCCGAAGCAGTACTTTGTAACACGGAATCTCTCACGGGTTTCTTCAACATAAGTAATCCAGACTCGACCACCTTGGATCTTCCACCCTGACTCAGGCTGGCAGTCTGTACTATCGACCTTAGATATCAAGAATTATATGTACTGACCCAGCACACGTTATTCATCTTTCTCATGAGTTATTACTGACCAAGTCTTTTTTAAATAGCTACCAATAATGTATCGTACAGGCCTTCTCGATCTTCCTGAAGATCTCTTGATAGAACAGGTCCTAGGACGGTTGGATTTCCGTGATTGTATTCGATGCTCAATGGTGCGTAGTTCGGTCCACTCGTCTTGAGAATTTCTCTCCATGCTTACGAATCCAAGGCATGCAAAGCCCTTCGATGTATGTTAGAAGATTCATCCGCACTCCAGCTCAAAGTCGAGTTTGGCACGGACGGCATTCTCGATACGAGGCTACCAGTCGACAGCTCTATACCGTCCGCCAAGAAACTGCAAACTCATCTTGAGCGCCGCCATGGATGGCGTTCACTGGACTGGAAAGGGACCGAGAGAATCGGCCCCACCGACCCGTGCGCTATGTACGAGTACAGGGCTGGCGTCTACGCTCAGATCGAGAATCATGTGTACCCAAACACAGACCAGTGGTACTCTTCTTCGACCGTCATCCAAACTACCTCTGCGGGTCAAGCAGAACGGGAAATCGTCTTCGAAGACATGGGTATTTGGGTTGCCGCAATGACCTTCGATCCCATGCAGGATGTGCTCGCTCTTATTGAGCGTCACGGGACGGCGGACTCGGAAGGAAGCCGAGGGGATGCACTGGTAATATCAGACGACCATAAGCTCCTGGTTCATCTACGGTCGCTCACGACGGATCGAGCACACACCCTTGCCTCGAAACCCATCCTACACTGTTTTTACACGCCTTCAAACAGGGAAAACGTGGTCGTCAAAAAGTTCGAGATCTTCGATGATATGCTCGCCGTGATTCTAGGTCCTGGGCCCACATACGCTTGTATCTGGAACTGGCAAACTGGACAAGTCGTCTTTGATTTGGTGGGTCTGGTTATTGGCTATATGCTCCATGAAGGCTAAACTAGTCCTTTACAGTGTATCCCTCGAGCTTATCTCAACCCTCAGAGTACCTCCAGCCTCTGTAGTGACTTCTGCTTTGTCTCCTCTCGAGTCATAGCCTCAGTTGCCTTTGACACGGAAAAGGAACCCGGGGAACAAGCGTGGTTCGATGTCTTCTTAATCTCTGACCCCGTTTCTGCTCCCATGGAAGAAACATCTAGCTCGTCTTCAGCGAGAAATCTAACTCATGCATGCTCCCTATATTTTCCACCGATGGTCAAGGAGCTTTGGGATGTCGATATATCCACATCGTCCTCTTCTCTACAAACACCCATTGGCCTTTTGTTTGCCACTATACAATATCGCACTCACCACAGCCATGATGGTGACGATGATGGTGCCAGTGACGGCGACGAGTATATGTACGGTTATCATATCATCACGAGTGGCACTAGTGTGTTGGGGTATGCCGCCCGCCACACGCAGGAGGGTTTCCGAGCGCTCTCGTGGCAGGAATGGGGACCCGACTCGTCCAAGGTCTTTGCAGAGGGTCTGGACGTGGATGATAAAATTCATAATGCGTAAGTTAAAACAAAGGATCTCGTATCCGCGCATGCTGATTCTTTTTGTTGATAGGAACATCCGATCTACTATGGGCAAAAGACTTTTTTTCACTTACATCTACAGCCTCGAAACGAAAGGCGTAGGCCATAGCGCTGTGATCGAGTTTGGTTATCATCTCCTGCGGGACGAGCACTTTCCCCGCTCAGAGGCTTCCTGTCATGACGGCACGGATACTCGAGTTCCGACCATAGTTAGGGAAAGATCGCAGACGCACACTCTGCTGGCCGGAAAGAATAGCCCTTTCGCTATCGACGTGGAGTCCCGACTTCCGTGGCGGAGCGTTTCGATGCTCGCCCATCCTCCTGGTTATAATGCTCGGTATCCGCAATATAAGCTTGACGTGGGCCGGATAGTCGCCATAGAGGTTCGTGGATCTGCAAGTGTGCTCTCTTTATGGCTCACGAGGCTGACATGATATTGGATGACTAGGGTGAGGAGGATCAGACGACTGGAATCGAGCTGTTCCAATACATCTTCTAGCATGTAACCGTAGCCGCGTCTACCTGTGCCTCTCGAAATGTCGGTTGGTTTGAAGTAAGTAGATCGACTGACTCGGCAGAGCTGTGAACGAAGGTGCATTTTTTTCGGTAGTTCGAAGATCGGAGGAGCGTTGGAGGAGTGTGTTTTTGTCATGGCTTTCGGGTAGGGTTCAACAAAATCTATTGATCCTGTCTGGAAAAGATTCAAAGCTCAAACGAGAAATGCAGGCGACCTATATAGTCCATCATGGCATGTCAAGACAGACTGTAGAGAAAACAAAAGAAACTTCGATTTCGAGGTTCTTTTCGTCATTTTGTTCGGCATGGCCGTACGAACCATCCTAAGAGCACGTAGAATATAAGCCTAGTTGTCAACATAGGCAGGCAAGATATAAAATTTATTATCTATGTTACAGTAGAGATGAGCAAGTCTTAAAGCGATACGGAATCATACAAAGCACTATCACTCTTCGAGACGTCATTCATAACCAGTCTCACGAACCCTCTGCTCCTCTGGCCTCAGCTTCTATCATCCCGTTCATCCACATTCGCGCAGGAGCCATCATCTCGAAGAGTGGAAGAACCTGTCCGTGCAACGCGTCGTACAGAGAGGCCTGGTGGTCCTCTAATCTGTCGTGAAGTGTCGCATGTAGGCCTTTAAATGTAGGACGTAGATTGTCCTCGGCTTGTTTCTCAATATGTGGTGTCAGCTGCTCGAGGATCAGGTCTGGAGAGACAGTCGACGGGTGTTGTGGGAGGCGGGCCTGATAGGCGGCGAAGACGGCTTTGAGCTTTTCGAGTTGTTTCTCGTTCTCATTAACAGTCTGCTGAGCTTCTGCTGACTTCTTCTCGAGCTGTACATGCAAAATACTCTCAATCCACAGAGCGCAAACAAAGAGAGCGATGCATTGCATACCTGGACGAGCCTCGGTTCTATCGTAGTAAAGTGTTTGTTCACTTGTTCGTGTCTTCCACCAATCACTTTCTGGTCTTCGTAGAGGCTTGCAATCATGGACGCTTGGTCGTCCAGCTGAGAGTTAACCTTGACTCCTTTCGCAACTACTTCATCTAATGGCCCCATCATCACCTCGTCTTCTGCTGAAAGCTGAGCTCGCGCATAGGGAGTCGCGATGTCCCTTGTTCGGGCATGTATCCGCTCTGAGATGAGGTCTCGTTCGAGGTTCATGAACGCGTGATAGTCGTGCTTCGCTTCACGATCATCCATGGCTTCTGCGAGTCCCTTAATACGGGTGTAAATGGGGGCCAGTTCTTCGGGCATCAGAGGATCGTCAAAGATGTGTGCGTTTCTACAAAATACAAACCACAAAATTTGGTCAACGTCGTTAGATCATCTCCGCCTATTTCCTTCGAACAACGAGATAGATGGCGTAACGTACATCCTTGCTTGTGCCTCCTTTTCCTTTTGCTCCGCTGCTTCCACCAAAGGCCTTAAGCTTTTTACCCAACCCTTTACCTCCTCGAGATACTGCTCTGCCTGCTTCTGTTTCTGCTCCGGTTTGAAGTCCTTCACATAATCGTACATCGTGGTTGGTAGATCTCTCAGTCCCGTCAAAGCCTTGTTCAACTGCTCCTGCCGCCGATTCACCTCATTTTCGTATTTCGAGGTGGTGGCGTCAAGAATAATGCGAGCGGCATGGCCTGGATGTTCGTAGATGGTAGAGTGCCGTGTTTTTGACCACCGCGCACGAGCGACTTGTGCATCGGAGAGTTTGAGTTGAGCAGCGATAGCTCGTTGGACGATTCTGTTCGGAGAGAACGCGTCAGACCAATCTGAATGGACAGGAAGGGTAAAAGAAGAAGAGAAGAACGAAGTGAGGGCTGGCCATACTTGAGATATCGCCTAGAGGCCTGCCTCTTCCCAGGTAAACTTTCGGGGTCATTGGGTTCGCCCATATCATCGTCGTCGTCGGTGTCGCTATCACGTTCAATACCATCATCTTCGTCATTGCCCTTTCGCTCCTCACCCAAAACCTTCGAAAACTCTTGTCTGACAGAGGTCAAGGGGTCCGCAGCTATCCGTCCTGATGGCTGGGACGCACTTCCACCAAGCTGATGAGGTTGTGGAAGGGTTTCGTCAACATCCATCGCGTTACCAGCAGATTCGCCAGCCAAAGGTCCCGTTGCCCAGACGGTCTCCTCACTGGCATTTCCCCAAGCCGGTCCTTCGTCGGTGTTCCCCCATCCAGTCTCTCCACCTCCTGCTGCTGCACCACTAGAGTTATCCCCTGATCCCGCAGCGTCTCCCCACCCTCCACCAGATCCCGCAGCGTCTCCCCACCCGCCACCACCCCACTCGACTTCTCCGCCTCCCGTATCCCACACTGAGTCAGCTCCGCCTCCACTCTCCTCTGCCAATGGGATACCCCATCCGCTCGCATCGACGGCCGGAGCAGGAGCAGGAGCAGGAGCAACTGCGGCATGCGCACCGGTGCTTGCGGTAGCAGCGGTCGGTACGTTCCATCCACCCCATGTGTCGTCAACGTCCTTCGCTTTCTCCTTCCCCTTGTTGTTCGGCGGCACAGGGGCTCCCCAGTCACCACCGCCACCAACACCCCAGGCAGGCGGATCTCCAAAGTTAGCCGCACCCCCGTTTCCCCAGGTGGGAGTGCGAGCATCTGAGCTTCCTGCAGGTGGTCCTCCAAAGTCCCCGCCTCCATTGCCATAATCCCCATGCCCATAGCCATGCCCGTCACCTCTATCTCCGTAAGAGTCTCTGCCTCTGCCTCTTCCCCTTCCCCTTCCTCTCCCCCTTCCTCTTCCTCGCTCACCGTCTCTTCCCCAACCACCTCCCCAGTCTCCACCCTTCTCGCGAAATTGTCCGTCAGGTCGGTACCGACTACGAGGTGGTGGTGCATTTCGCCATGCGGGTTCGCTGGGATGAACAAAACCGCAGTTGTAGCCCTGACCGGGACATCCACCATTTAACGGAGTACCATCGTCCTCGTAATACTGTAGAGCCGATGTTCAGATGGAAAGGTTGGACGGAGTTTTGGTCACGAAGGGTCGAGTGATATGGTAAATTCAATGACTAAGCGAGCACTTACTCGACATCGTATGTTGGGCATCGCAGAGGCACGGAGTACAGCTCAAGTGGGGAAAGTGGGGAAGAGAGCAGTTGTGCGTTTAATTCCTGGGTGGAAGGAATGTTTTCTCTGAAACGTCTCGTAGAAATACACAGACGTCGAGACCACTAGCAGAGAGTTTAGGTCTGAGAGCCGATAAGACAAATTATTAATTCGGATGATTGAAACCAAGTAGTGCGAAGACTGTGTATACGCAGAAATCTTCCGAGCTGAGCGTGTAAGAGGCAACGGAGAAGAGAGATGACGGTGAGGAGATGAAGGGCCACAGCGCTTCTGGCCTACAGTTCGTGGGAAAAAGAGGATACTGTAATTATGTGGCGTGAGTGTGTGACGGTTTACGTTTTTGTCGAGCTTTTACATTTCTTCAAGTTTCGCCAAAGTTTCGCCGTCTTGTATCCGGTAGGAAAAAATAAGATGGCTTGAGATGTGAATGCAGGAAGTCCGCATTTTTGCCAGAGATGCAGCTCATAGAGCTCTCTACGCAGTCACATCTACAGGCGCTGTGACCTAACGCGTTGGTGACTATAGTGTGACTATGTGACACTCGCGTAACTCGCGTCTCGTTCAAGTTGAAGACGCGATCATGCTTGATCCGAGTCATCTTGCTCTGCGCCACCTTGTTGTTGGACTTGCCCCTCATTTGCTGGTATCAAGCCGCAAACCCCTGTGCTAGAAATATAAGGAACTCTTGCAGCTGGCAACTCTACCGACTGAGTAGACTCTACATCAGATTCATTAGATCCAGACCGTGACCGACGACTTCTCCTACTATAATTCAACGTCGCGCGTCAAATAAGGACTTCCGGATCAGTCGAAGAATGATCAAAAATCCAGTGATGAGGTCTCTGTCCGAGTACTCAAGACAAGACGAAGATCAGGCCGGCTCCTCTCAGTCCGTCGTTAAGGCTGAGGCACTGGCCGATTCCAGTTCAAGATCGTTCAAACGAAGGCGCTGTGATGAGGATGAGAGCTCTGACATAGAGTTCATATCCGTACCAAGCACGTCATCTATTTCTTCGAAGCAACTCACGGGCAAGGGTGAAGACAAGCACTGTCGACTCCAGTCTCCCGAAGTGATCAACCTCGTCACAGACGATGAAACCGACCTCAAGGACCATCCCATCGCCGGCCCATCCACTCTTGTACACACCCAACGCCACCCGGTCACATTATCTCTCTCGGACGAAGACCTTCAACTGGCTCGGAAGCTTCAGCAAGAACTGGACGATGAAGACAGGCGTCAGAGGGAAGAGGACGATAAGAAGAGCGCTGAATATATTGCGTGGATGGACAAGACGACAAAGGAGATGGATGCAAAGCGTGCCAGACTAGCCCAAGCATTCGATGGCAGGGATAGCGGGTTGGTTTATCAGGTCGTAATCGATGCTGAGGGAAGGACACTTGAGGGAGACGAAGATGCTGATAACCTTGCACAGTAAGCTCTCTTTCAGGTGCCCTTCATTGTGTCGGTTCTGATGAGCATACTGCTGCAGCCTCGAGATTGTAAAACGGGATTTTGAACAAGCACTCAACGGAGGTTTCAAACTCAAGAAAGGTACGTACTTATCTACACGCAGCAATTTTCCTGATCTGATGGCCGTGCCTACTCGTAGTTCACTGGTTCGTCAACCAAAAGCTTGAAGCTCGTTTCGAAAATGCAAAGGCCCATCTCGCCAGCCTTGGTATCGATGTCACAGAGAGAAACCTCTTCCACGGAACTGCCGAAACCAATATTCAACCTATCCTGGAGGTTTGCGCTTCTTTTGATTAGCATACCTATCGATTTATTCATTCTGGTTTTCAGAACGGTTTCAAGATCGGCGGCGTGCACAAAGACCTACGTGCTGTCAACGGCACGGCATGCGGATATGGCATTTATTTAGCGACGAACTCTTCGACGTCGGTTCCATATACTGCAGGTACTCCCAGAATGTTCATGGTACGCATTGTCATATTCTTGAAACCAGGCATCATGGCGCTTATGATTGTCCATATTAATATTTGTAGTGCCGTGGTAAGCCCGTTTGCAATAGAAATGTCCCCCTACCCAGGCATTTACATTGTTTGTCGTCCACTAGTTGTCGTTGGTCGAACAACCCCAGTCGGTATGCACCTTTTTTGGTCTTCCTTCTACCCATTTGTATCTTTTGGTCTAATCGTGTCCATCTGTAGTCGACAAGAAGAGACCGCCGAAGAAGCTCGGTTTAGGGCCATTCGAGGCGTACGAGAGTGCCGGAGTCGTAGTCCTCAAGCACGCCGAGCTTTGTATCCCGCGATACGTGCGTATCCTTCCCTGCTTGCTTTTCAAGCTAGCAACTGTCGAAATCCACACTATTTCTCAATCACTTCCGCATCGATCTTAGGTCGTAGAATTCGAGCCCGGTGTGGTCGCTCCTCAGTTTGCGCCGTTCGTGTCAGCCCCATGGGCATACGGTAATATGCGTCCCCCAATTGCGGCTGCCAACTTCAACGGAGCCAGTCTCAGGCCTTTAAACAGTCGATTCCGGAGTAATACTGCCTATCTACCTACCTACCCAGTCCCGGCCGCACCGACGGCGGCCATTCTGCGACCACTACCTCCCATTCATACAATACCTGCTGCTGTCGGGAATACGGTGTCTACGAGACATGATTCCGAGAACAAGAGTAAGAGGAAAGGGATGGCCGCAGAACTTCAAGATGTGGCTCGACCTCCTAAACGAGTGAGAAAGGTGGGGACAGGACAACCTACGTCTGACAGAGCACGAAAGGGCTCAACAGCGAAAGGTACGTGACATTCTGTCGTGTTTCGATCGATTATGTCTCGTATTGCTCGAGTGTTGAATCTGTTCGGGTGTACGTAGGGAAGGGACGCGCACAAGAAGAATCGATTGACATCTCGGACTAGTATTCGACGGTCACTAGCCTACTCGTTTATTATCAACAGGCTATGATCACCATGGACGCCTTATCTATGGCTGTCCTTTATAAGTGACTTTTTAATCGACGGGTCCAAACTCTACGAGGGATCGCAGCTTCTCTGCCTCTTCCAGCACCTTTTTGGCCTTCATACCTTCCATGGGAAACTTCACACCTTTGTTCTCCATGAGCCACATCTGTAGCTCCTCTGGAGTCTTCTCTTGTATCTTACGAAGTTCCGCTTCCTCTGTGAGCAAGGAGGGTTCGTTGGGTGAAAGTTCGAGTGCTCTTTGCAGGTCTGTGTATAGACTAGTTAGATGCATCAACTAGAATTTGAATAAGCTCACCATCTTTGGCCTCTGAGAATTTGCTAAGATAACGACGTGCTTGTGCACGGCGATAAAGTGCTTTGACTGCGACTGGTTGAGCTGCATTTCCATCTTCATACGCGTTGGTCGCGTCAGATTCGGCATGCTTATAGCTATCTGAATCATGAACTCGTTGACACAGGGAAAGAGAAAGTGGGAACGTACGCTTTGAGTTTGAGACAAACCACCGCTCTGTTGAGCCAGTAGGTCGCGTCCGGTGCACTGTACAGTTCACACAGACAGGCACTGTAGAGCATGTATGCTCGCTGCATATCACCAGCCTTGAACGCCTTATTTCCCTGATCAACCAGGACATTGTTGATGAGCAGCAATGATGGGCAGACTGCCATACTCATAGAGCCCTTTCAGGACAGGGCTTCGGCGCTATGGGTTCGGAAGTTTCGTGAAGTGAGGTACGATACGCACCGTCTCCTTGATTTTAATGCTCAACTGCACGTCAGCATCCCTCCATCTCTGCTGGCGCATAATAACTGCTTCAGGATCCCCACCAGCTTTCCTGACTTTCTCGACTTCTTCTAAGAACTCGTTCTGGACACGGCGATCCTCCCGTAACTTATCCATTGACGAAATGAATGCTGCCTCTACTGTGGGAGGGTTGTCGACATACGTTTCACTGCTATATTGAGGAGACATGCTAGTGACGAGTAAATTTTGAGCGAGAGGATGTAGGGGAAAAGAAGGTACGTGGATAAGTGTTGCAGAGGCCGACAACGAGGCAACGCGAACCTGTCAATTACATGTAACACAGTGTCGTAAGCCGACCAATAAATTTCCATTTACGATGATCATCGCGTTAGCCCTCAAGTGAAGAGTGGTCCATAAATGAAGGGCGCATGGAAACAAAAGAACTTCAATTGAGACTGTTTAACCTGCATCATCCATGTACGGCGGGTGAAAGCAGCCGGGAAAATGAGCGAGCAGCGAGGTGGACACGGCGTAGTCGGGTGCTCTCGACAAGATTATGGCCCAATTATGCCCAGTGCTCAGGAGTAGTGTTACCTCGGGAATAATAAAGCCCTGTGGACTCGCATGGAGGATCTGTCAGATACATTTGTCACAATATGTCGCAAAGGAGAAATATGGTGTTACCAGAAGCGTATCACTTCAACGAGCAGAAACGATGGGCGCCATTACGTGGGTTCAGCCTAGCAGTTGAGTCGGAGCTTCAAGTTTCGATAGAGTACTGACGTGGCGTGTGGCCCAATCTCCTCAGACGCCATTCGTAAGTATCAGTGGTCGGCATTTCCATCGGTTGACTTCTACGTCGCAGACCTCACCTTGCACCAGCCTGTCAGGATAGGTTGTATGTAATATTCATTGAAGATAAGGATCTACGGGTCGCCTGCCTCGGGGTTTACTTGATATAAGTACTGTACTTTTTCGCGCACAAGTTCGTGTCCCGTGTCCCATGGGTGCCGCGAACGAACTTGTGCCACGGGACAGTCCCACCCCATTGACGTGCACTGAACTTGTAAATGGGACATACCAAAATTTGACGAAAACTTGACAAATATTTGAGAATATATTTTAGGGTCCTAAATTGACCTCAGGAAGGCCCCCAAGACACAATTTGGGCCAGATTTTGCTACTAGGTGAGCTCCCCCATCCAAATGCAGAGCATAAGTGGCTGTTGAGCGGTCATGAAAGGTCGTATCCCTGAAAAAGCGTCCATGTTCACGAACATCGTCCCTTATCCCGATCTGCGTGCGAACCGGGACACGAACGGATTATGTCAGCTCGGCAACGGCCGAGGGGCAGTGGCGCGAACTTGTGCGCGAAAAAGTACAGTATGTCCCCCCACCGTACTTGGCCACGACAGTAGATTCTTACCAGGTACGTTACTCATCGTCACAGAGAGTATCCCCTGGTGGAACTCACTTGCTACCTTTATGTCCGGTCGTCTTCATCAGGATGGACCACTTGGACACGTGTGAGGCAGCTGCCCAGATAGATCCCAAATATAACACTCAGGCTTAGACATCTCCAGGACGTCTGACCATCCATATCAGCGCTATTCGAGCCTAGTATATCATATGCTCATGACAGGACGTTCTTGGAGTTTGATATACGCTTTCAACTCAATCGCTGTCCCGGAAAGGAGACATCTTGACGGGCTCGCACTGTCACTGGGTTGCTCAGAAGGAGTCGTCTCGAAGGAGCTTCCTGGAGGATACCATTTATACTAACGCTTACGATGACACCTGTGGCTAAACATCACCATCACCTGTGTGCACTTGCACGACTTTCTGTAGTGGACCGTTTGACTAAAGATGACCTCTTTGCCGTCGAGTGTGCTTCACATTCGCGTTGATGAATATTATGTTGCGGCTTGGGCTGGAGCGCTCGCACCGGTATTTTCCTACCAGTGCCAAGTTATCGAGAGCGCACTCTAACAGTTGACGACTGCACAGGTTGTTCATCTCGCATGCAACAGGCATGAACCCAACATTCTCCTCGCCATCGCTTCCCTGTTTTTCTCCATACTCTGCCTCTTCGCAGCCCTAATCTACGCAGGTCAATCATTCTGGTACTCCCTTCTCCTGACCAACGTTGCTTCAACATCCTTTGCAATCACACTCTTCACCTCCATTTCCATCTACCGCCTCTTCCTTTCTCCCCTCTGCAACTTTCCAGGTCCGAACTTGGCTGCAATATCCAAGTTATGGTATATCTATCATTCGGTTGGAGGTGGCATGCCGAAGGTCGTACGTGAGTTGCATGAGAAGTACGGCGATATCGTGCGGATTGGGCCAGACGAATTGAGCGTTCGTTCAATGGATGCGGTGGAAGTCATTCTTGGCTCGAAGGGCAGGATGAACAAGGGATCATGGTGGATTTCATCCCTTCAACTCTGATGTTCTTCAAGGCACTCATCCTCTTCGACTATTCGACAGGTATGATGCGATGTGGGCGGACAAAGGTGGACGCTCCGTACATGCATTGAAAAGCGTTGATGAGCACGCGCAGAGGAGAAAGATCTGGGACAAAGCTATGTCTGGTGCGTCTCCTATCATGTTGCTGCTTGTGATCGTTCTATTAACATGATTCGGATTCCAGGATCTGCTGTGAAGGAATATGTGGTTTTTCTCAAGGACTGTCTGACACGTCTTTGTCATCGACTGCAAGAGGATTACAAGAGCAATCCCGTTCAGGATGTGAGACGTGTGATGAGTGAGTCTATGTCCTCTTCTCGTGTTAGGCTGGAGGGAGCTCAGCTATGCCTGTCAGATCATCTCATATTCGACATTATCGGAGAGATTACTTGCTCTCGGTCATTTGGCATGATCGAGAACGGCGAAGACCACACATACATTGATTTCATCGAAAGGGGTATGCGTGCATTAACGTAAGTACGATTTCATCCTTATTCTCAGTGTTTACTATAGTAAAAAAATGTCATTAAAATGTCGTTCATTATGCACCCAGCTGTATCGCCGAAATCCCGTGGATTATTCCTTTGTTGACCCTCCTCCCTGTGGTCAAAGCGCAAACCGAAGCAGAGGAATTTTCGTACGGTGGAGTGGTCATTGTCCTTATCACTGCTGATTAACTGTTATGTTTATATGACAGGATGAAAGCGACGATGGATCGCTACAAGAAGGGCTGGTCACGCCCGGATTTATTCTCGTACTTTGTTCAAGACGATGGGCAGCTTCAACCGGGGATGACAATGAAGGATCTCGATGCTGATGTTCGTGCTGCAATTATGGCAGGTAATTCCTCTTCACTTTACGATACCGCGAAGGGACGCAAACTGAACGTGACGCGTGGCAGGATCTGATACCTCCGCAACGACGCTGACGTTTATCTTCGAGTTCCTCTCTCAACATCCGAAGTGGACACGAGTACGTTTCCCTGGAATAAACGCTCACAGTCCAATGTATGACTTCAATTGCACCGCGACTGATAGCAACTTCGAGAAGAAGTCGATGCAAGACACCTGGGTGATGGAGACTTCGACCTCGACAATGCTCCGATCCTCGATGCTATCGTAAACGAGACACTTCGGGTCCGACCCACTGTTCCAGCACGCTCACAGCGTGTTGTCCCTGCAGGAGGCATCTCTATCTCTGGCCATTGCAAGTCCCTACATCATCTGCTTAGCAAACTTGTCTTTAGGAATCTGACATCAGATCGTGCACCATACAGACATTCCCGGTGGTACCCTCATCGGCATTCCTCCCCCACTCATCATGCAAGACCCACGTAACTTCTCTCCAGACCCAACCATCTGGAGACCCCAACGATGGCTACAACCCGAAAAAGAAGAAACATTTCGTCGTTCGGCGTTCATCCCTTTCTCCTACGGACCGTTCAACTGTTCTGGGAAGGCGCTTGGTTTATTGGTGGTGAGATATTCGGTCGCGAGGCTCGTGCACGAGTTCGATGTGAGCGCTGCGCAGGAGCATGACAGTAAGGTCTTCGAGAGGTCGATCAAAGAGTATCTTTCGGTGCAGAAGGGGCCGTTTTGGGCGGTTGTGAGGCCGAGGAATGTCAACTAATAATGTGGTTTCGCATTCTGGGAGGCGAACTCCCGACTAAGTATGTGCGGAGAGGTCTGATACTGGACGAGTCACGACCTGCGAACAAGTCCGCCGTTGTTGTACCATTACTTTCTTCGATTATTGCAGACAAATGGTTGTATGTGACCCGCAACTCTGCATCGATTCTTCCTCAAGCAGCCAAGGTTGAGACGTCATGCACACCCCATACGAAACCTTCGACATATCTGATCAAGTACGCACCATCGAGCCTGAGCATCCGAGTCGCAGGAAATCATAAACGTCCTATGATCTGCTCGATCAAAACCTCATCTAGGAGCTCAAGAAGTCCAGTACGATGCATTCTCGAGAGCTACTCGAAAACTTCGATGGCTCGGAGTGTCACCGCGGTAAAGGAGTGCCAGTGACGTTTCGGAGGGCGGCGGAAATAAAATAAAATAAAATGCATGAATGGCTGTAGGTTCGGTCGGAGCTTCAATTCGAACCACACAACTCGTGTGGCGTGTGGCGCGAGGTTGAAGCTGCCTCTGCAAACCTGGATAAAGTGGATCAAATATCCACTAATCATACAGTATCATGGGGCAAGTTTTATGTGTGTATCGTGCGTGATTATCGATAACAAAAGTTGGCTGGAGCGATGGCTACATATTGGATGAGAAAGCAGAAGTACGAACGGAACTATGACTAGGGCGGGGACGGGACAAGGGAGAGAACAGCCCGGGGTCTGTTGGGGAGGAGATGCGGGAATGGGTACGTGAGACTGGATGTATGATAATCGTATGGTAAGGTAAACTGACTGTAAGTAGGTGAATGCATTGAGAACGTGAGTGCGAGCGTCTATGGTGGTCAAAGCTGAGAATACAAGCGAGAGAAGGATGCATTTGTCGTGAAGAAGCGAGAAATATAAATCAATGGAGCCACTGCGATCCGCGGCCGCGCGTAAGGGACCACCAACACCAACCCACGAACGCCATATGAATAGGGATATAGGGCGGGGTATCAAAGGGTTGGATGAACCACGCTCTAGACCGTCTCCTTCGTGCCATTCTGCATCTCAGTGGTGTCACCATGTGCAGCGCCCTCCCTCGACATGGGTCCGAGACGCTCGTCATGCTTGTGTGACCTGAAGAGGATGAAGGTGCTGTTGAAGAAAAACAAACAGCGACATGGTCAGCCACGGAATTGGAAAGTGCGGAATGAGAAACGATGACGTACCTGCCGATGGTGGAGACCCAACCTGGCCAGATGAAGATAACGGATGCGAGTGCTCTTGGGTTCTCCCTGTAGATGAGCGCAGGGTTGACCTTTGCTGACGAATTAAGGAGGGCTAATGCTTCTGAAGCATCGGGACCGAATATTGTTGCTCGCCGGGTTGCGACGATGAACTATACAATAACACCAACTGTATCAGAATCCCGCACTGAGCATGAAGAAGAGAGAAAGACGCACTGTAAGAGCGATGGCATCAGCGAGCCCCATTATGCAGGCAAGGATAGCACAGATCTTCCACGCTAGCCGGACGGCATTGCTCTCGTGTCGCTTTGGCCAGAAGAGGTCGAAGAAGAATCCTGCGCCGAATATTGTAGCGACGAAGACGCCAACGAAAATATTGAAAGATGCGATGCCGATGAAGTCGTCGTTGTATTCCGATGAACTTGACGTTCGCGTTACAAATCGTTGTTGGTTCGCATAGTCTGCACGTCATTTGGCTCCATGAGCGTCTGAGGACGGAAGAATAATAATGCCAAAAAAAAACGAACCTGAGAGGGCGGCAGTACCCAAGGACTCGGAGACGACACAGAAAATCATGGCCATTTGGTAGACTATCATCTTCGTGCGGCGGAGATGGTACTCCTGGTTAAACATATACGACCCCTTGAACTTCCAGAACTGAATCTCCTTCAAGTTGAGTCCCCAGATGACGGTCATGGTAGCTTAGTGAAGTGGTAAAGGAGGTGGTGGTTCAGGAGGTGGTTGTCCGAGACAAGTCGCGAGGGAAACTGAGGGTAAAAAGGAGGCGGACGGGCGGCACGATCGAGGTGGTTGGTTGCGGCAAGGCAAGACAGGTCTGAACTGAGCATGTCCGAACGGGAAACCACTTTTTGAAGGAGACCGCGCGTTGACGTCATGATCCCGACGTCATGTGTATTTCCATTCAAGCACCATGATCGCGCGCTGATTGGCTGGACTGCGCCGGCAATCTCCATCTTTGGAGATGCCGCCGTCGCGTGGGATTTTCGGGTCCAGAACGAGGCGTGTTGTGGGGCCTGTCTTGGAGAATTTGGCACTTGCGCTCCTCCTGCGGCTCGATTCATGACCACGGAACAACGTCAGCGATCCGAATACCTTTTCTGAACTCCTCGTTGATCGTCTGTGTTCGCCGTCGGTTCATCTCACTCTGATAACTGACTCGACTCGTCGAAAATATCTTCAATCGAGAACCTGAACGTCGACGAATAACCTCGTGTTTGTTGCCGAGACATATTTGTCTCGTCGCTTGACACCCGAGTCAACTTTAAAATACCCGAGACCAACTTGTCGGTACCTAGAACGCACGTCCACCATGTCAGCTCTTTCGGCCCCCACTGTCTCCGCTATCAAACAAACTATATCCCATCTGTACCGAAAACCAACTTCCAATTCTTTATCATTCGCTCATGCTCCTTCCTTCCTTTCTGCTCCGTCTGCCCCTGCTCCGTCTGCTTCCATCCGATCTTACCTCGCGAGCCTGACGGCGACGGCGAACGAGGTGGCGAATATCAACGCATGCGGAAGCGTGCTGGCAGGGCAAGGAAGCGAGAGTGACGAGTATGGTGATGTTGCGGTTTGGCTGGGGTCTGGTAAGGATGACGGAGGGTTTGCGCAGGGGAAGGAAGGGGAAGTGTTAAAGGCGTTAGGGTTGGATGCGTGGCTTGGCCTCGACGTAGGTTCAAGTTTCGACCACCATTCCCTCCTTTTGTTCCTTCAAAATATATGTCTAACAGTGCCCTTGATATATCTATAGACTCAACCTAAAGACCTTCAATCACCTCTTCACCTTCCGACCACCTTCCAGGCGCCGTCTCCGAGCCCCGAGCTCGACAAGTTAACAGAGCTCCTCGGACAGCTCAATGATCGTCATTATTTTCTGGTGGAAGGAGGCGCAGACAAGGATAATTGTGTCGCGCATTTCTTAGTCGGGCAGTTATCGCAGGCAGATGCCAAGGAGTGGGTAGGACTCGTTGGGATGGGTGTCTGGTCGTGAATGGTCATTTTGGCGAAACTTGAAAGGCCTTTTAAACATCAAACCTACAGTTACACACGGAGTGTCTTGTATCTTTACGGATTGGACGAATCCAAGGTGCCTTGGTAGCGATCGTCATAAGCCGGCGGGTGGCGTGTCCCGTTCTCGCTCCATGATCTGCCCTAAATTTGGCCAGCGGAAGTAAATCACGACCAAGATCCCGGAACACGGAATGAAGTTGGTATAAATAACCGTCCGTGGCCATTCACCAAGTGCACCCATCCATAATTATCAAGTACATCGTAGCATACGAGCCATCTTCTTCAACAACTAGCCTCACGACTCTCGTCATGCCTCCTCACTACATCCCATTCCTCAAATTCTCAAACTTACTCCCCTCATACCCCAACCAATTCGGCGTCCTATCCAACCCACCCATCGCCTCCTTAACAACCCTAACCAAACTCCTCCCCGGCACCTCCTCCTTATACTCTCCCCCTCCCTCCGGGCTCTGCCTCTCCGGCCCCGCCCCCTTATCCCCACTCAACTCCCAAAACATACTCCCTCCCAACCCCACGTCCCTAATCCACTCACCCTTGGCCTTCCCCACACCCTCATCATCAAAGCTAATCATCTCCTTCTTCTCATAATCGTAGCTCCAGCTCGCTACGCTCTCGTTGTCCCGAAGGACGTACGAGTTGCGCAGGGGCAGGGCTCGATAGTCATACACTCCGGCTTCCCAAGATCCGGGGCCGATTCCGGAGAAGGGGGTGCCGGGACCTTGGGTGTTCATGAAGGAACGGCCGTAGAGAGGGACGCCGACGACGATTTTGTGTCGCGGGAGGCCTTGCGAGATGTACCAGTTTATGGCAGTGGAGGCGCTGATGGGACCGTTGTAGAGGTTCGCTTGATGGTTCGCGATGGTGTCCCAAGAGCCGGCTGGTGATGTAGTAAGTACGGTGCAGGGTCAATAGAGGATGGGATTACGGGAGGTGAGACGGGAAGGGGAGGGGAGGGAAACGTACAGAAGTCGTAGGCCATCATGTTCCAGAAATCGAGATACTTGTCCATCTCGCGGACGTATAGCTTCTCGTAGTTCTGTGGGCCACACGGCGCAGCGATCTACAGAAAGAACCCATCTCAGTCACAAGGTTTACAGAAGAAACCGATTTCGCGAAAACAAAAGCTCACGGTCAACGGGAACTTATAATTCGCTCCCTTCCTCCTCGCCAATGCGTCCAATCCCTGCCTAACTTCCTTCAAAAGCTCGACATACCCCCTCGCCTGCGCATCATTCTGCGGATACTCATAATCCACATCCAACCCATCGATCCCATAATCCTCCACCAGCTTCACCGCGCTCTCCACAAACGTACGCCTCTTGCTGAAGTCCACCACTACCGGATGGAACGACGGCGAATATGTCCAGCCGCCGATGGAGAGGAGGACTTTGAGGTGTCGGTGCTGCTTTTTGAGGAGGTAGATGGCTTTGAAGTTGCCGTAGAGGTTGGGGCCGCCGGGGTCGTTCCATGAGTCGGAGGGGTAGTGGATGTCTTGGTCGGCCCAGAGGTCGGAGAGGAAAACTTCGCCGGAGTCGGAGCGGACGTTTGCGAAGGCGTAGAGGATGTGGCTGGAAAGTGCGTCATGATGTTAAGAGCGGTGGGATGATGAAGAGGTGGAACGTACGTGAGGTCGTCTGCGGGTATCAGTTGGGGAGGGTATTTCCGGCCATAGATACCCCTAAAATGGTGTCAGATAATCGTCCACGGTAGGTTAAGCGGGTCAGAAGAAGACCTTTACCAATTTACGAAACTATAAATAGCACAAACGAAGTCAGCACTCGATCTATTTTGGGCGAACTTGAAGTTCAAAGCGTAGGCGTGGCCCAAGAATTAGTTGGCGAAATGACGCCTGCAGTGATTTGCACCGGCAGTAAAACCACATAATTACCACTCGTGCTACCAGATAAGAGCGATACTACGTCCTCGTGCACAGCTAGATACTGAGACGCACTTCCTAGAGCACGAACGTCCCTTGCGCGTCTCCGACCGCACAAAGTTCGTGTACATATGGAAACAATGTGGAGGAAGTCACTCACTATCCAACACTGAGCTTCCCTGAGCTTGTAGCCATATCAGTTTCGTCCGTCACAGGTTCAATTCCAGCACCACTGTCTGAAGGTTTCTCTTCCAAGTCCGTAGGCTCCGTCTGAGTCTGTGCGTCCTTCAAGCCACTCTTGAAAAACTCCCACTGCCCAAGCTTATACGAGCCAAAAGCGATTAAACAAAACGCAAGCGCAAACAACAAAAGCGTCGTCTTCGAGTACTTGGTGCTACCAGATGCCTTGCCAGGGGTTAGGCGAGGTGGATACGAAGCTGAAGCGTGGAGATCGTCTTGGGAGACGGCGAACTCGTCTTGAGATGGTACAGGTTGATATTCTGAAGCTGAGGGCATATACGGCCTGAGTTTTTATAAGGATGCAGGAGAACTGTGTGATGGGTGCAGTACACTGCCAGCTGACAATTGTACTGCGAGAAGCTGTTCAACGGAGAGCAGGTAGCGTCCGCCCATGGAGACGCGTCATATTATGTCAGCCGGCAATGGGCGATAAACGGTTCAACCTTCACTGCATCGGTGCCGTCTGGCAGCCTTTGTGAGTCGAACTTCGTCACGACCAGGAGGTTCGGTCGAAAAATCCCGTACTCGGCTGGGGAATTGATTTTGGTGGGGGCACGTTTTTGACCACGAACATATCTTGTGTGAGGCGACGACTTGACGAACGGCTTCATCCCCAAGGTCATCGACTTGGAACTGTAATCTCAAGCACAATACCCCTGCACCTCCTGTGCTACCTTTGGTTCCTGGCTACTTCAATCCCTGAACAGCGACTCCGTTTCAGTCGGGCTGTCCGAGCACCACCCCTCGATTTCTGACTTGGGTCTTTTACGTTCTTGCTTGACACAGTTCAGAAGAGTTCAGACTTGACAGTCTTGAACCTTTCATCACGCTGACGGACCACTTATCTCGGACCATCTAACTTGAAGTCCAAGCACTATGTATCTACCCATCGCACGCTGTCCACCTTCGTCATGAACCGCTACTGATCAAGGCTTTCGTATAGCTCCCAATAATGCATCGCACCAGTCTTCTCGATCTTCCCGAAGATATTTTGATACAGCAGATCCTACAACGGTTAGATTTCCTTGATTACATTCGACTCAGTGCTCGATGGTGCGTAGTTTGGATCTACTTTCCTCGAACCTATCGCTCAATGTTTACGGATCCAAGGCATGCAAAGCCCTTCATCGTATGCTAGAAGTTTCATCCGCACTTCAGCTCAAAGTCGAGCTTGCCGCGGACGGCATCTTGGACACGATGCTACCAGTAGACGGCTCGATAACGTCTTCCGAGAAACTGCATGCTCATCTTGAGCGTCGTCGTGGATGGCGTTCCCTGGACTGGAAAAGAGTCGAGAGAATCGGGACCACCAAGCCGTGCGCCATGCACGGGTACAGGGGTGGCGTCTACGCTCAGATCGAGAACCATATGTACCCAGACATAGACCAGGGGTACTCTTCATCGACCGTCCTCAAAACGGGCCAAACAGAGCGGGAAATAGTCTTCAAAGATATGGGCGTTTGGGTTGCCGCAATGACCTTCGATCCGATGCAGGACGTGCTCGCACTTATCGAGCGTCACGGGACGGATGTATATGGGAAGGGACTGATAACATCAGAGAATCACAAGCTTCTGGTTCATCTACGGTCGCTCACAACGAATCGAGCACACGCCCTTGCCTCGAAACCCATTTTGCACTGTTTTTACACAAGCACATCGCGAAGCCTCGGTCACCCCGCCGTCAAGAAGTTCGAAATCTTCGATGATATGCTCGCCGTGATTTTGGGCCACGAGTCCGCCTATGTTCGCATTTGGAACTGGAAAAGCGGGCAAGTCGTCTTTGATCTGGTGTGTTGAATTTTTGGGAACATGCTACGTGAACGCTGCTAATGTATACCTTTGCAGAGTCGCTCTGAGGATCTTTGGCCTCATAGAGGTATACCTAGCCTTTGTCATCACTTTGGCTTTATCTCCTCCCGAGTCATCGCTTCGATTGCCCTCGACAGAGAAAACGGCAACGAAGAACAATTGTGCTTCGAGGTCTTTCTGGTCTCCGACCCCGTCTCAGCTCCAACGGGAGAAACATTTGGCTCATCTAACAACGTAATCCATGCATGCTCCCTGTTTTTTCCACCATTGTCCAAAGAGCTCTACGACATCGACATAGGCTCCTCTTTCTGTTCTCTGAACACACCAACCGGTCTCTTATTTGCTACTCTGCCCTATCTTGATCCCCGTAATGATCGTCGCGATAACATGGGCAAGAACGTGTATGCCGAAGAGGACGGCTACGAGGACGGCTATGGCATTAATAAAGGTTACCGTATCATCACCAGTAGCATCAGTGTGCTGGGACATGCTGCCCGGCACGCGAAAGAGGGTTTCCGATCGCTTTCGTGGCGGGAATGGGGACCGGAGTCGTCCAAGATCTTCATAGAGAATTTGGACGTGGATGATAAAATTCATAATTCGTAAGTTCTCCTTCAATTCATGTGTAGCAAAGGACATTGTATTCGCGCATACTGATCCTTGACGTCGACAGGGCCATCCAGTTCGCTATGGGCAAAAGACTCCTTTTCAATTATGCTTACACCTCACCCCGAATGAAAGGCGTAGGTCATGGCGCCTTGATCGAGTTCGGTTATCATATCCTGCGGGACGAGCACTTTCCCCGCTCAGAGGATTCCCGTCATGACGGGACGGATACTCGAGTTCCGATCATGGTTAGGGAAAGGTCGCAGTCGGAAGTCCTGCTGGCCGGGAAGAACAGTCCTTTCTCTATCGACGTGGAGTGCCGACTTCCGTGGCGGAGCATCTCGCTCTTTGCCCATCTTCCTGGTTGTACTACGTATTCGGAATACAGGCTTGACGTGGACCGGATAGTCGCCATAGAGGTTCGAGAATCTACAACTGTGCTCTCTCTGTCTCACGAAGCTGACACGTTGGATGACCAGGGTGTGGATCGACAGGGAATCAAACTGCGCGAGTTTATCTTCTAGTAGATACACCAACACGAATGCCGTGACCTCTTATATATTCTCGCCCACGAAGCTGTTGACGTAATGTCTATATGTGCCTTTGGAAATTTCAGACTGGTTTGAAGCAAGTTGATCGAGTGACTCGGCAGAGCCGGGAATGTAGGTGCGTTTTCTCTCGATACGGTGACCCCAAGCTCGAAGATGTGGAGGAACGGTGCGTTTCTGTAATTGATTTCTGGCAGAGTCGACAAGATTCTAACACACTTTCAGATCCACTAGGTTTTGTCTCGATAAACCTGAAGCCCAAACGAGGAGAAATATGCGAAGAACATACAAGTCATATCAAAACAGCCGTTCTGTCATCGTCCATCCAATCGAACTTCCTCAGCGAAACTTTCCCAGCCACACGATCTGCCAGCCGCCATCAGCCCTCTCTACTCCTGATTATATTCTCGAAGCGGGCTTCTGCCTCTTTCTTCGCCCCTACCATTGCCTCTGCCAGTTCCCTCACTTAAACCGACACCTTCCATCCTTTCCAAGTCATCTCGCCTAACACATCCCACCACTCTTGCGCATATGGGTGGCCCGGTACCCACGCGTCGCCCCATGTTTTCGCCACGTAAGGCTGCACATAGGGATTTTTCGATACTTCTTCCAGCGGCTCCGTGATGTGTACGATGACTGGACCAAAGTCGATCGCTGAGGAATCGCGAGACTGCCGGTCTGGAAAAGGGAATATGCCCAACCCTTGGGTGCTCCAGCGCAAGGAGAGCTCGAGTATGTCATCGGTGGAGGCGAAGAGATCGTTGGCAACATCTTGGTCATCGCAAGGTGTTGTTCCCTTACTGCATGCCCGCTCGATCTCTGCTGACCGAGCTCGAATCTTGATTAGGTCCATGACGAGTACTCCGGCATTAAAGTATCCCTCATCCTTCTCCGCATTGCAGCCCGTAGGAAAGCCGACATCTGAAGCCGCAGCGACCATTTTATTCCTCAGGTCGGTGGCCCAAAGTGACGTGATGTCGCCTCGGACGAGCGTGTCCGCATCGATGTAAAGCACCCTCTCCGCAGGGATTATATCGGCTAACGCCAGCTTTCCCCACAGAGGACCCATTCCCGTCAACTTCGCGAAACTATCCTCCGATGGTTCCAAGAAGAGGATAGTGAGATCGTCACGCTGAAGGACTGAGTTCCGGATCGCTTCCTTGTCCTCCTCCGTGAGCCCAAATGACACGATGTAGACGGTGATCCTTCCAGGCGTATTCTTGGCGAGACTGCGAATGGACACAGCCGCCTGCATGGCATACGTAGGATCGACGCAGTACGCCATGTAAATTTCCCTGCCCATACCTCGACCTAATTCCATCTGAGCCCCTCTGCTTTTCATCTTTTCCGATTCCTTGTCCTTCAGAAGAAACCCAATCCGCATTTCCACCGTCTTTTGCAAGATGATTTGGTGCTGGCCTTCGCACGACAAGAGATTGTACTCGCCGGCATGGAGCGCAAGGAATGCGTCCATTCCCCGCTTTTGATGATACCTCCTCTCGTTCGGCTCAGCGTCCCAATCGTACTCGTCGAAAATGAAGATGGCTCCCTTGCGTGCGAGACGCCAGGCGAGCTCACCGTCCAGGAAAGTGTCATCGACTTCATGAGTCCCGTCAAAGTGCACCCAATCGAAACCCGGCTCCGTTCCAATCGATTCTCTAGATTGTGCTATTTCGTCCTGAAGGAGCAGCATTAATCCAGGAACACTAAAGTCGTCCACGACCCGGAACGTCTTCCTGGTCAACGAGAGGTTATGAGTGAGTTTGCGATACCGCTCGCAGCCTGCCTCTGTGCACTGAAGGTCGAAATGGTCTACGCAGACAATCTCGCCGGAGGTTTTGCATAGCTCAGTGAGAAGGAAGACGGCGGAGCGGCCTTCCCAGGAGCCTATCTCGAGGATACGGGGGGATGGAGAGGTGACGAAAGGGAAAATGGCTTTCCAAGAGTTGATATTGACTGAGAACCAGTCTTCGGTGGGTGTGAAGTCGTAGGCGAAGTTATCGGTGAGAGGGACGGAATCGCCGGACGTGTCGAAAGACATGGCTCTACAGCAGGGAGGTCAGATTATTTAGTAACACTTCGACTGTATACTAGATTCACTCATAGACAATTTGCAGTTTCGGTAGGATGCAGTGGGGGAGCTTGAGTTGTGAGTGGGCCTCTGACTACTTATGCCCATCGTCGTACTCGTCCTCATGCACTTCGAAGAACGCACGCCACAAGAATTCATCATGCCCAATGGGTGCAAGAACCCCGAATGAATCCATCCTTGTGGCTAAACAACGCCACTCGTAGGCAATTCTCTTACCTTGATTTCGGTTTAAGTATTACTGTAAGTTATGGAGTTTCAGTACTAGTGGTAATTAGTGTGGCGTGGTCCGATAGGCACGTGACCCACGGAACCCAACAACTTCGTCGCGTCGCGACTCGCGGGCAAGTTGCGGGCTCTCCCAGGTATCTCAACAGCATTAGTACTCCCACCTCGCTGCACACAATCGATCGCCTCCTTGACAATACAATCATCCGACTGGCTCACTTTCCGCTCGGGGTCGCATCATTCGCTTTTTCCCTTCAAGGGTTTTAACTTGTGCTCTCTTCCGACGGCGACTATTTGCCGTATTACGGCGAGTTGTGTTGCATAGGTGCTGGCCTCAACGTAGTGCTAGCTGTTCAGGCGAACATCGGCTACAACTGTCTCTGTCTCTTGCTACTTGGAGCGAGCTATATCTTGAAGGGAGCCTTATTTTTCACCTCGAAATATGTCGACCGGATTCAGATGCCGGGTACGTCTACAACACACTTCATTCCCTGCATCTTACTTGCATTTGTCTGTCTTTTAACCTTATTTTTATTTCATTCTCGCTACCTGATACTGACATACTTCTTCTGATTGAACACTATTTTCCGTCCATGCCTGTAACCGCCCTCGCCCTCATCTCAATCATTTGCAACTTCACGGTCCGATTGCTCCCCGCGTACACCAGTGGTTCGACCCCTCCGGTCGTCCTATCAAAGGTGGCTGTCAAGTTCGCGTCCCACCACGTTGTCCTTCGATCCACCCCGACGACGAAGAATGGTCCACATCTACCCATCGATACCGACCGAATGTGAAGAACGTAGGCACAGCAAGTTTGGATCCTATTAGGTTGCCAGATACGGAAGATGAGTATGAAGAGGACGAGAACGACGAGGGAGGTGACAGTCGGGAGAAGCCGGAGTATTTTGTGAAGGAAAAAAGCGGCGGAAATGGAAGAGGACAGGGAAACGTCAACGAGAGCGCTAATGCGGGCTGGGGCAGCGGTGGCGCAGCTTGGGGTACCGATGCGAACGCTGAGACGAATCAAGGGGCATGGGGCATGGCCGCTGATGGAGGTGGAGGATGGGGAGGTGGAGATGATTCAGGAGGCGGTCAGAACGAGGCATGGGGAGGCGGAGGATGGGGAGGTGGGGGCGATTTAGAAGGTACTAAGAGTGGAGAGACCAATCGCAACGAGGCATGGGGAGGTGGGGGATGGGGAGGAAGCAACGACTCGGGTGGCGATCACGGTGGCACGAACTCCAGCGGATGGGGCGGAGAAACCAGCACAGGCGTCAGCGCTGGAGAGACAGCTGTAGGAGTTGCCACGATAGCTGGTCAAGGCATGGGAGCACGTGGTGGAGGAGGTGCAGGCAAGGATTCTTTGGTAGAGGCGGAGGGCACGGGAGGGTGGGGATCGAATTTTGAAGATGAGAGACGGAGTTCAGTTGTTGAGGGCGGACGCTCGAATTCAGGGACTGTTAGAGGTGGAAACCGTGGATCGCGTGGCGGAGTCAATGGGCGTGGGCGGGGACGGGGTCGTGGATGGGTTGGTAGGCACGATCGCGCAACAGCTATTACGGGTCCCGCAACTGGAGGTCGATCGAGAGCTTCCAATCCCGCGCCTTCGAAGATAATTCAAGCAGCTTCACCTAGCTCTAGAGACCGGGTAGCTCCAACGACAGCGACGTGGGGCAATGACTGTAGTGGAAGCTGGGGAGCGGCAGAAGCTTCTCACGGAGCATGGGGTGGACTACAAACCGCAGAGACTTCCCCAGAAAGTGGTGGAGGCTGGGGCGGAGGTGGGTGGGGATCGCCCATCGCAAACCCAAACTCAAATCTCGCCCAGGCCGCATCTACTCCACCACACAACACTCACTATGACCCTTCCAACCTTCCCAATATCTCGGGTGCTACGCCACACTCGGTCGATGCAGACAAAAATATGGACGCCGAACACACCCCGCCACTTCGCACTCCACCGCCATCCGCGAACTTACCATCCAAACCGAGGTTCAATGCTTTTACTCCGAGCCCTGTTCAGGACAAGGGCGATTTGCGACCTCCGGTACTGCGGGGAATCTGGAATACCAGCGGTTCTCCGCCTACGCAACCTCGCAGCTTTGCCGGTGTTCCTTCTCATCCTCGCAGTTTCAGTGGCACTCCGACTGGACCACGGTTGAATCGACCTGGTCTACCTCCCAATTCGTTCATGGCGGCTACCGTTGAGAAGACGACTCCGAGAGGAGGAGGCCAAGAGGTCTGGGAGCAGCCTAGGGTCGGAGGTCATATCGTTCAAGCTGGCTTTGGCGGGGGCGGAGGTGAGGGTCTCAGTGGCACAGGTAGTGTTGCAGGAACTGGAGTCAACGCGGGGATTCAAGATGATGGTTGGGGTTCTCGACGCCGTAGTGCACTTCAGGGCGGTATGATTCAGGAGAAACCTACCCATCCAGACTCACCGATCGACGATGCACCTTGGAGCGGCCAACGAGGGCTTCCGTATGATGCCACACAGAATGTCGACTTCACGGACACTGGTGTCTCAATTCAGATGGATGCGGAAGGCGGGTTTGGCGAGATTGATCCAGGACAGCGCCCGATCCCCATAGCCTACTCTCCAGATCTTTGTAGGGAAGGGAGTCAAAGTGGTTCACAGGACGTTGAGATGGACGAATCTGGTGTGGCGTCATCTCGCCACGGTAGGGGGAGCTCTATGGACTCAATAATGGAGGTTGTCGAGCTGTTGGAACCGGAAGTTGATGATACGAATAAAACTGCAAGCGTGAAGAGCTTCCTTGGCTCGATGCTTGTAGATGCGCTCTCTGGCGAGGAGAAAATGGTTGCGTATGGTGAAGGGATGAGGTAGGTCTTTACTTTTCATATGTGATGGAATTGCTCTCTTCCTCAATGTCTAATCTTTATTCACTCTCAACAGTCACTTTGCCTGTGCTATCTCCTGCCACCTTGCCCTTCGGTCCGCTGAAGGCAAACTCTCACAACACCACCAATTTCTTGACCTTCAATCCGACACAGATGATTATACTATTAGTAATGAGGAGCGAGCCTCCAGGATGATAACACTCAACGCAGAGGTTCAGCGCTTGAGGCGCAGCCTGGATGGCTGTATATTTGATTTGGCTCACCGTGCTTTGATCACAGAGGGATTGGTAGATGGAGAGGCAGATAAGGATATGGATGTTATTCATGAATTTTTGGAGTGCATAGGGAAAGACATCGGCGGCCTACGGGATAATGTTCACAATGCAATCGAGCTTCATGAATCACGGTCGGTCACGTCCCTTATGTCTGTTTGATGGCGCGGTGACTTCATTCACTCATACCATTCCGCAGCGCCCAAAAGGCACCCAAGCCCAAGATTACCCTCTCCGACAACGCGGCAAACCACTTGGATGACCTCATCGTCTCCAAAGTGACATCTAGGCTTGACGGGATCAAGTCTGCCACTTTTAACATCATTTCCTCCAGCCAAGAATCCAGTGATGCCCAACTTGTGCTCGATGAGCTGCGAGCTAGGTTAGGAGTCATGAAGCAGTCACAGTCGGTGATGAAGATGAAGAAGGCACTGCTCTCCGAACAGCTCACAGCGTTGAAGCAGAATAGGAAGTTGGAGGCTGAGAACGCGAAACTTCAGCAACGGATTTCTGAGCTTGAGGTTCGTCCGGTGTGTTCTCTGGTTTTATCTATTCACCTATGTCCATGCTGGCATGGTTTACAGTCAGGGACTACGGAGATTCTGCAACCTTCTGCTGAAACAGCAAGCCTTCTATACCATACTCAACAGAAGATGGACGCACTCTCACCTCCGTCATCGACATCACAACCTGAGCTTTCTGCCGACCTTCAGATCTCCATCGAGAACCATATCACACAGATCGTCCGCAGGCAACACTCTAGCATTCTAAAAATGCTAGAGGATGATGTTGATGCACAACATATTTCAGTAAGGAAAGATCTGTGGTCGATGATCCAACCTATGGTACAATTGGGACAACGCTTCCGACCCTGGTTGAAGATGAGTATTGAGAAGACTGAGGAGCCGTTTTGGAATGAAGGATTCAAGGATAAAATAATGTCGATGCTGGAATGAGCAAATTGTTTTTTAGGTGGTCATTTCTTGGGTATTTGTTTCTTGGTTCGTCGTCGTGCTCCGTTTATATCGAGTTGTTGTCTCATTTTGTTTAGCGCTATCTTGCTACATCGTTTGTTTTGAGCCTGCTATCTTACAGTAATGGTCCTCACACTAAGTACCGTATACACTCATCGCTAGTATCGTACAAGAGTATCATACAAAATTGGTATTTACTTATTCAACGGCCATTCTATGCATCAAAATATCAAAACCGAACGTGAGTCTGCATTCCATGAGCTGCCCTTCATATCTCGCTTCAGACTACAGTTTATATTTCCACGGGCCTCGTGAACTAGTCATACAACCACGTCGCAACTCGCCGCTTATCCTTCTCCCACTCCTGCACGCTTCTTCCCACACTGTGCACACCCATACCTGCATAACCAGCCAACAAACTCTTCCCCCTCTTGAGATATTTCCCATCCCTGACTTTCCCTAGGAGCTGACCGTTCGCCCACATGAGTTTTCCTCGGGCGATAGTATAGCGGGGCCAGTTCGTGAAGCGCATGTGCTGATATGGCGTATCTACGATGATAGGCCACGAGTGAGCTCATTTGAATTGACGATAAAGGTACTAGTCTTGCCATCAGAGGAAGAAACTGGGGACGTACAGTCAACGTTGTGGTGCAACTGGCTATTGTCGAGGTGGAAAGGGTTCATAGCGCTTTTAGGGAACCACTAAATACCGAACAATAGCCAAACATTCAGATTACCTCAAGCCCGATTCTCCACAGAGGAGGATAAATAAATGAATAAAAACCTACAACAACGATGTCTGCGTCTGAGCCTGGGACCAACGTGCCTTTCTGCGGATACAGGCCATACTACAACAGCGCGCGTTGTCAGCGGCACGGTCCTTTGTCGGGCTGAGAGGAAGATCCGGGTCAAGACGCTCACCAGTTTTGCAGGATTTGTGGCCGTGAGCTCCACGAACTTCATCGGACTGATCCTTCCTTCTTCCACACCCCTCGTAAACAACAACGGCAACCTGGTCTCCACACCCGGAATCCCGTTTGGGATCAACCTGAATGAGCCAATCTTGTCTTTAGCAAATTCGGACCAGTCAACCTTCATCTCTGTCTCTAGACGGCCGTCTGGGTATGAATGCGAATGTTGGGCCATGGTCGGTTCGTGCTCTAGTATTCCACTCATTTTGCCGTAAGGCGAGGTACCATAGGTAAACGGGCAGTTGTGTTCCCGCCACAGACAGCAGAGCGAGAGCCAGTCTCGAAGTCATCGGCGCAGGTGCCTCCGAGGCCGTGTGGACCTAAGCGCATTTGAATGGTAAAAACACGTTCATGGTCAATAGAAGGTTTCAGCCTTCACGAATTTAGCTATCAGGCACACCTGTCTTCATATCCTGGCAAAGATGAACGTGAGCATCAATCCCGCCTGGCATGACCATCCCCCCTCTGACATACGCCACGAAGGTCAAGGTCAGCGCCTCATTATATTTACGGGGCTCTTTGTTAGGCAGGGCTTACTCGGCATCTATCACTTGGGCTCCCTGAATGTCCTCCTCCGTGAAAAATGGAGCGACTGTGTGTATCTTCTCATCCTTTATGCCGATAGCGTAGGGGCTCCATGAAGCATGGACGAAAACACGTCAACTTGAGTTTATCAAAATTGCAGTGACCTATACAGCTATACAATGTCGATAGCCAAGCTAGACATACCTTATATCACTCGCAGTGACCACCATTCCGTTCACAATGACGAGATCAAACTTGGGAGCCATTTCCGCGTCCGATGCACGTACCCAGACGACTCAGATTGGGTACCAACGGTCACCAACTGGAGTAGAGAAGATGCTAATGATCAAGAGGAAAGCAGAAGAAGATAGCAGAAGGTGTTCCCACCTTCTGCATCGCTCAACAGTCTGTTATCATCCTCGACGGGTCGGCGGAGTGCCGAACTAACTCTGTACAGCCAAGATACTTCAACTTCAAGTCCTCTGCAACAGTTTATCCAAGCCCTGAGGGAACATCGAGAGCGTGATGACTTTTTGCGACTGAGAATGTAGAGGCTGAGATGGAATATCCGAGTCTCGCATTCGATTCAACGTTGAGGAAAGGGAAATGTGGACGTGACAGCGCTGAGCAAGAACAGACTCGGAGGCCCGGCAACTACCGCTACTGTCGCCGGGAAGATGTGGCGGTGGCACGGAACTTCAGCAAACAAAAACCATGTTCTATCCGAGTTCAACCTATCAACCACATGTATCCACTGGTAAAGGTGTACAACATGTGTCCGTATTTGATTCTATTTTTAGTATTACACAGGATCAACATACAACAATGCCTTCAGTCCGAGTCCTAACGAATGCTAAAGTCTCCCAGTTCTTCACCTCCCAGGGCGCCAGCATCACGCTCTGCTGAGCAAGCTTCTTCGCTTCAATTATCTTTTGTTCTTCTTCTCTCTCCTCGCTGACGTTACCATGTCCCTTCAATGCGCGCGCTACAGCCTGTAGTGCGAGACCTTCGGCTGACCCTTCGGCTGACCCTTCATCTATGCCTGCACTCGCAGCAGAGAGCGCGGCAAGAGCAGCTTCTGGGTCTTCGTTTTGTAGTGCAAGCACAGCAAGAGTACGGCGTGCGGAACTCCTGGAAGGTTCAGCGAAGAGAGATTTCTGAGCATGTGAAAGTGCCTTTCCTTTTTCGCCCTATAAACAGGAAGGCATATGATTAGAACGTTGTTTTGGATATGGAGCGAGTATGGAACAAACCTGAGCAAGAGAGTGCTGCGTCAGAAGATAATCCACATCTCGTTCAGGGTCTCGTTCATGTCGTTTATCCAGAGGAAGGGATAAGATCTCGGATAATGCAGCGTCGATGAGGCCATCGTCCTCTGTTAAGATACCCATGCCAGCTAGAGCGTTTATAGCGGTGAGGTTTTCTGGGTCTTCTGTGATACTGTTGACACTGTCAGCATCATACTACTACCGCGACTGAAAGTTGAAATGGGGGGCATACCATTCTAGCAGCTGCGCCTTCGCGCTCTCCCTTCCCTCTTCCGTACCCAATGACCACAACACCTGTGACAACATCACCACAACATGTCCCCTCATCCTTATATCTCCACCCGCAGAGGCAAGCGCGCCCTCTAAGAACTCCAGAGCCTCTTGGAATTGGTCCATCTTATATGAAGCCATACCGGACCCAAACTGACATTGCGTCCTCAACACTGCGGTTTGCCCATCCTCATGCCCATTCTGTTCCACCCCTTCAACTTCGGGCTCGGGCTCAGGTAACAATCCGAATGCAGTCAGATATCCCTCCATCGCGCCTTCCCAATCACCCACCGCGAGCCTGGCCCTCGCTAAATTCACATGAGCAACAACAAATCTCCTCTCGATAACCGGATCCTCACTCTCCTCGTATGCCGCCTCTAGTATCGAGATGGTTTGACCAAGGAGTTCGACGGCACGAGAGAGATGACCCAGTCGTTCGCAAACGAGAGCATAGAGGTGAAGAGCCGAGGCATCGGAGGGACGTTGTTTGCAATAGCGAGAGAGGATGAAGAACGCTGGGAAGAGCTCGGAAGGGGTAGATGACGAGGCGCGTGAAAATTCTCGTTTGGCGAATTCGATGTCTGCTTCAGGCTGCATGAACGAAAAGTCAGAGATTAGTGACTGAGAAAGGGTGGTGCGAAGGGGGCAGAAAAGAGAGATACATACAACTCCTGAAGTTAAACTGACTGCATGCTCGAATAATGACGTCGAAGTAGCATGATGGCCATTTCTAGAGGCCAACAGCCCCTGTCCGACCCATGCCATCGTGAAATCGGGATCAAGAGTCTGAGCTTTGTACAGCGCTTCGTTGGCGAGCTCCAGATCGTCGTATTGCATGTACAACAGCCCAAGATTGGTCCATATCTCAGGATTCTGAACGAAAAGGATCATTTGAGTATTTTGTACATGGCAATCGAATATTGACACTGAAAGGTGGAACGCACCTTGTTGTTGATCTCCAACGCTTTGATATACGCATGCTGAGCGGTCTTTGGTTGCTTCACAAAATGGATATTACCCAATGCGATCCAATACGTCTCGTCGATCGGGTTCGCCTTGATAGCCTCCATCAAGCAAGCCGTTGTCTGTCTCTCTGCTTTCTCCTTCTTCTCCTCCACGATCACCTCCGTTGCGAACGACCTTAAGGCCGAGCCCAAATCATACCACGCACTTCCCACCGCCGTCGAATTTAGTAACCCAAGCGCAATGCGATGATTGTACGCCAGAATTGCCGCCATCAGAGTATTGATGCCCTTGAGCGATTCTTCCTCGCCTGGAATCTGCAACGGAAGGTCGACGATCCCCTCCAACCTTCCGCCCGTGTCCGTACCACCAACCAGAGTCGACACCTCTTCCAATAGCGGCCTCAATACCTCGTCCTCTCCAAACTCCGAAAACCTTGATAGATAGAACAACGCGTTGCCTAGGACTTTCCATCCCAAACTCTTGACCCCACTGGCGCCGGCTCCTTCGCCATCACCGAGGAACCTGAGGCCAACTTCCACAGCACTCCGAAAACTGGCTTCTGCCCTGCTCAAAAACCCGCCTGCTTTCTCCTCCAAGCCTAGTCCGATATACGTTTGCGCCAATGAAATGAGCACGCCCGGTTCATCAGGGCGAGACTTGAGTATGCTGAGGAATGAAGACGTGGCGAGGTCGAACTGGGACATTTGGCGATATGTGTCACCGATGAAGTAGGTCGTTATCCAGTCGTCTGTTGAAGATGGTGGCGAGAGTGACTGAGATCGCTCGAGGGCCTTGAGGGCCGCGACGTGACGGCCGGCTTTGAGGTATGCTTCACCGAGACGTAGCCAGGAGAGTTGGTCCTCTGGGTTTGCTCGAAGGGCGACTTGGAATGAGGTAATAGCTGGCCCATAGTTTTGACGACTCTGAATATAATGTAATCAATATCATAGGCCTTTACCGAGAGACAAGTAGCACGTACCAATTCTACCACACCAACGGCTTTCCAAGCCCATGCATTTGTGGGCAGATATCTCGCTGCAGCTGCACCTTCCGCCGCTGCACCTGAGCTCGAACTTGGATCTCCTCCCTCCAAACCGCCCTCGCCTTCGATGACTCTCCTCGCCACCACTTCGACTAAATCCCACTCCCTCTCCTCCGCAAAACCCTCTGCCAGTCTCCTCGCTGCTTCCGCCTCTCTCGCGTCCAACTCAAATGCCTTCTGGAAACACTTTGACGCGCGAATTGGGTCAAGAGGATTGGAAGCTTCGGAGTAGTAGATACCAAGAGAAGTGAAAGATGGCGCATAGGTGGGATGACATTTCAGGGACTTTATGAAGTAGGTGTAAGCGGTTTCGCGATTCGAGCCTACGCCACACAGACACCGGTTAGGAAGTAGGTCACAGATATCGGGCGGTCGAGGTACTCACCACCCATCTCCCAATGTGCCTTCCCTAGCCTCCACAGACACCTAGCCTTGTTCTCTTCTCTCCCCTCCACATCATCTCCAATCATCTCCATAACGGCTTGTAAACCCTCAGCCCCCTTCTCCAGCTCGTCTAGCTGCACATCACACCACGCATACTCTTCCCTTGCTCTCAGACCATCCTCGCTGATATCATCCCCGTCATCCCCACCCTCAGAAGCAGTGAGCTCCATGACCTTAAAGAAGACATCGCGTGCCTGCTCCCATTGGTTCGCATATTCATAGATGTAGCCGCGCGACATGAGGGTAGGGACATTGGATGAGTCAAGGTCGAGGACTTCGTCGATTACACGGAGGGCGCGTGCATGGTGTTTTGGCGGGAAGAAGTGAACTAGAGAGGTGGAAAGGACAATATTGAAGGCTTTGCGAACGCTGTACTCGCCGTAGAAAGAGAGTAGTCACATGCGACAATTGACAGCAACAGTCAATTACGAGCATGAGTCGAAAAAGAAACGTGAAACAACTCACAGAGGAAGGTCTTTCCCGACATTTTGATGCTGTCTACGAACGAGCTCTAAGCCGACCTCGGCAACTGAGATCGCATTCGGGTAGTCCATATCCCAAAGATAAACTTCCGATAGCATGCGGTGAGCGAGGATGGATGATTGAAGGCCCGTGAAAGCTTCCTGTGGGCCCACGAATAGCGTCAGCCCCAGTCGTAGTGATATTAACGGAAGGAAAGGAAACTCGCTAGCATCAAATCGAACGCAGCTGATTGATCTTCAATGACGGCAAGCTCAATCTCTTCGTCGATGTCTTTGTCTTTGGGGTCCGGGTCGAGAGTAGGTAGGTCCATGTACGCGATATAGCCACGGATCATATTCGTCAGTTGGGAGGTAGGAAAGAGACGTATGTACTCCTTCAGCGTCCCGAAGTCGTAGCCCTCTGCATAGTGTTTCCATCGAAACAACATGAACACGGTCAGCAGATAAGTTCGGTACAGCGGTATTTGGATACTAAATACGCACCGATCGTCTCAGAGTCCCTCCCCTCGACGACTAAACTCCAGGCTAGCTCATCCGGAATCTTCAACAAGACCATCCCTTCCGCCAACTCTTCGACCTCCTTGGCCAGTCTTTTCTTCTTTTCAACAAGCTCGGGGTTGACACTGACGTTCGGAACGGCAGAAACAGCCGAAGGCAGAGCGAAAAGGAGTTGCTGTTTCTGTCGGAGCAGCTTGGACTCCGTATCTCGGCGCAGTGAGTCAGGTGTGTTTGGGTGATTGAGGATCTCGTCGTAGTATTCGGGGAGCTAGTGAACATGAAACGTATTAGAAACTATGGGATATCGAGTCTTGCGCTGGTGCTCAGCTGCACACCTTCGAAGTCCCTAACACCTCCCTAGTTACTTCCTTTCTGATCTTTTCTGGCCCCGCGGCTCCCAATCTCGTTCTTCGTCCTGCTACCTCTTTCTCAATCTTCTGTGCCTCCTCCTTCTCGGTGATTGCGACTATTTCATCGATGATGGGCAGAGAGTTTTGTATAGCGCTCTGGGTGGCGAAAGTCGTGGTTGCAGTAGGATTGGTGGCATCCGGTGGTGGAAGGTTCGATAATGTTGAGTAGAGGGGGGATGAGGGGAGGAGGACTGTTAGGGTATCGACGAGCTGAGGGAGGACGTGAAGCGCAGTTTTAGTGAAGAACAGGAGTCAACGAGTATTTCGGATGTGTATACCTGCTGTGGTGAGCCTCGTTCACGACGAAGCTCAATCAATCGCTGTACAGCCTCTGCACATTTCGTGGCGTCGTTCCTATGCATCAACACCACACATGAGTGCCTGTTCAAGGGTTGCGCCCGGACCACGAGAAGGACGTACATGCTCGCTAACAATTTTGTGAGACTCATCAGCGTCTCCGCATATTCATCCCATCTTTCAGATTTCTCGTAAAGCTTTGACAAGCCCTGTATCGAGCCGATATCGTCAAGGGGTCCAAAGACATCCCAGTGTAATCATATATTTAAGGCCACATTGCTCTTGCGCGAAAGACTTAATGGGATGCGCACCTGCCAGGCTAGTGGTTGTTTCGGATTTGCTTTGATTGCTTCGCGGTATGTCTACGAAAACATGAGGAGTCGGATAAAAATATAATGGGCAAGGAGTGGTGACAATCGAGATCAGTGATTGCGCTCAAGGGTTATGCACATATGAAGGGACGTTACTTGCTCGCTCCTAGCCACCTCTCCAAGCTCTTCCAACGACTTTCCGAGAAACATTTTCCTACAAGCCCGAAGTGCCCATCGATATTGAGTTCGATGACATTCGAGGGTCAATTTATGTCAGCGCCAGAGTACTACAAGACTACCCGCTGGAGGGAGATGTACTGGCCTCGCTTCCTTCAAAGATTTTATGGATCAAATGGGGGTAATATTGACTCACGCATGGTAATTGTCCGGTTCATACTCGAGAACCTGAAGACTGGCATCTTGGGCGGCTTGCCAATCCTTCTTTCCTATGGCCTCCCGCGAAGCCTTCAACTTGGTCTTGATGAAGGCGGAGGACATAGAGCAGTATTGACCCGTTTAAACCAGATGAGTGGTACTATACTGCAATATATTGAACAGAACAAGTGTCAGTGAGTAGAGTGCCAGTGGTCACTGGTCAGCGTTGAATTGAAGCTAGACAAGACGCCACACAAATTGGTGGCGCTCTTGGTCGAGCCACGTGTGCGACATGCATCCACCCTTTCTCGGCCGAGACCGCTTCTGACCCGAACTGGCATGTCGTCGATCTTGCTCAAAACTATGCTCCTCTGCCACGCCTCAGGCTTCCGTCTCTCGCTATAATTCTTCTGAAAGGGTTTCGTGAGACTCATATTAGATCGGTTGCATAAATTTGAAGCCCTCAGCTATCGCAACAAATTGTACACCAGTAAGATCCGTCAGGCAACACTACCATCGAGAAATGTTTTGCCCCACGTACTTACCCTCCGAACGAGATACAGGTCTCCTAGACTCGATGGGGGAACATGAAAGGGCTGGTAATTTGTTGGTGGATTACGGGTTATTTGGACAGATTGGTATTCGAACCTGTAGAAGAGCCACAATTAGTGAGTTTTCCTTCTTGAGCCTTGGCTTAGATCGATCCAATAGACAGCTCATAAGTTCGAATCACGCCTCCAGTTTTGTATAAACGGCCTCAGCATAGAACTGTAGTAGGTTGTATACTGATATGACACATGCAAACATAACGGCAGCTCAGGCTTATCGCAACCGAAACCCATAAGACTCGAACGATCCCTCCAATCATAGTCAGGCGAGAACACCGAAACGAGATATCCAGACAAGGCGACATGCCACCCGGCGATTCAACTCAGTCCCCTCGAGCGCTTTATCCATCTATGATCTCTTCAAAACGAGCTGTCGCCACCTGCTTTGCCTTATTTATCGCCTCTTGTCCAATACTCTTCCGCTGTTCCGATACCCTCCATCCCTTCCACGCCGTCTCGTCTAAAGCTTCCCACCACTCTTCTGCGTATGGGTGTCCCGGTGCCCCCGCGTAACCCCACGGCTTCGCTACAAACGGCTGCACCCAAGGATGTAAGACCTCCTCCATTCTCGGGTGTAGCGGTCCTGTGAAATGTACAACGACCGGATCGTTGATCATTGCAGAGAGATCGAGTGACTGCCGCTCAGGTGAAGCGAAAGTGGCGTAGGTACCTAAACCTTGGGCGTTCCAGCGCAAGGAGAGCTCGAGGATCCCATCGCAGGAGGTGAAGAGATCATTGACGACGTCTTGGTCTTTGTAACGCCTCGTTGACCCCTCTCTGCATGCCCGTTCGACCTCTGATGACCGAGCTCGAATCTTGACTAGGTCCATAACGAGTACTCCAGCGTTGAAGTACCGCTTCTTCTTCTTTTCGTCGTAGCCCATGGGAAAGCCGACATCTGCGGTCGCAGCGACCGTGTTGTTCCCCAAGCCGGTGGCCCAGAGCGGTGTGATGTCGCCTCGGACGAGCGTGTCCGCGTCGAGGTACAGCACCCTCTCTGCAGGGATTATATCGGCTAACGCCAACTTTCCCCACAGTGGACCCATCCCCGTCTCCCTCACGAAACTCTCCTCCGATGGTTCCAAGAAGAGGATAGTGAGATCGTCACGCAGAGGGATCGAGTTTCGGATCGCTTCCTTGTCCGCCTCCGTGAGCCCAAAGGACACAATGTAGACCGTAATCCTCCCAGGCGTATTCTTGGCGAGACTGCGAATGGAGACTGCCGCAGGCATGGCATATGTAGGATCGACGCAGTACGCCACATACATCCCCCAGCCCAGGCCTTTCTCCAACTTCATACGCGCCCCTTCGTTCTCCGCCGTCTCCTGCTCTTCATCCTTCAGAAGGAATCCAATCCTCATTTCCGTAGGCTTCTGCAATATCATCTGGTACTGCCCTTCGCCCGACAAGAGCTTGTACTCGCCGGCGTGAAGTGCGAGGAAAGCGTCAATCCCTCGCTTCGGATGATGCCTACTCTCCTTCGGTTCCGCGTCCCAGTCGTAGTCATCGAAGATGAAGATAGCTCCCTTACGTGCGAGGCGCCAGGCGAGCTCTCCGTCCAGGAATGTATCGTCTGCTTCATGACTTCCGTCGACGTAGATCCAATCGAACCCTGGTTCCGTTAGGGAGATCTCGTCCCGAAGGACCTTCATCAGTCCTGGAACGCTGAACTCGTCGATGATCCGGAACTTCTTCCCGGTCAACGACAGGTTTCGATTGAGTGTCTGATAGCGCTCGCGCCCCGCGTCGGTGCGATGAAGATCAAAATGGTCTATGCAGACGATCTCGCCGAGGGATTTGCAGAGCTCGGTGAGGAGGAAGACGGCGGAACGGCCTTCCCAGGAGCCGATTTCGAGGACTCGAGGGGATTGGGTGGTTATGTATGGAAAAAGGGATTTCCAAGTGGTGGTGTTGAAGCTAAACCAATCTTGGGTCGGAGTAAAGTCGTAGGGGGGGTCGTTGGTGGATGTGTTTGAGGACATGATTCTGGTGAGGGTGGGTCAGCTTATTCTATGCCATTGGTGCACAGCGCAATAATGGTGGACTTACGACTAATACTCAGTCTCAGGACGCGAAGGGCTGGAGTGCGCGGGCCTCTGACCCTCTAATGGCCTTTTTGTACGTGGAAGATGGTGTACCACACGAGCGCCACAAGATCTCATTATAGACTGCACGATGGACGCATGACCCACCGAATCATTTTTCAAGTCCAAGCAGCGCCACTCTGGGTACACATATCTTCGAATTTGATCTACTAGGGTGTATTAGTGGTGGGCTATTGCGAGCGCAGCACACCCGGCATCACGCCACCGTTCCCGTACTGCTGTTACATTCCAGTGAGTGCTTTCCTCGTAAGGCTACAATGATGAGCGTTGTCCACGACTTTGGGTCCTGGGTTTTCGCACTGATGACTATCCAAAATATCACCGTGTACAGCATCAGTATTTAAACTCGTGTCGCCCAGACAAGCAGGAGGTCGGTATCAGAGTACCTCCGACGCAGAATGAAGGGTAAGCTATGTTCGTACGTTGACTGCAGCCTTCATCTGCCTCAAGAAGTTAACATCCAGCCATCCTTCGCCACCCATTATTTCCCCATTTACATGCATAATACGCCACTCTTTGTACCCCTCGCGTTTCATGGCGCAGCAAGCTGCGATCGAAACTCACTGAATATCTCCTCATTCCGCAGGACAAGGGCACCCAAAACAACCATTATTACATATCAAGCCACATCATTATGTAGAACTTAATGCCACTCAAATCTTCAGCGCTCATTTCATCGAGGGATAAAAGGATAGAACGGCCGAGCTTGACACCTCAGAAACGACTTCCTTCATTTTACATATCCTCCACCATGGCCATAGTTTCCCAAAGTACCGCAGACTCAGCCAAGCAAATCTACGTAGTGACCGGAGGTCACGGCTTCATCGTCAGTTGCTTTATCTGCTTTACCTACACCATCTAACTCTCAATTATAGGGTTCGCACGTCGCCCGTGATTTATACGACCAAGGACAGCATGTCCGCATCATCGACATAAATCCTCGGTCGTCCTTCGACACTGCGGAGCCCATTTGCACCGAAGCTTTTATCGGAAACCTCTGTGATCCCGCATTTTGCACACAAGCCGTGCGTGGCGCGACTGTCGTTCTACACTTTGCTGCTGTCATGGGCGGGATGGGCGCGATACACGGCGACAACGACAGCATCATATTTGAGGAGAACTCCACAATGACACGAAATATTTTGCTCGCCTCTATCGCCACAGGCGTCGGGAAATTTTTCTACGCCTCCTCGGCATGCGTCTATCCTGAGGACCTGCAGGCGGACCCGCTCGTAGATGTCTCGCTCAAGGAATCCGATGCTTGGAGTCAAATCCCTCCTCGCCCCCAGGGCCTCTATGGTCTCGAGAAGCTTCTCTCTGAAGCTTTGATCCAACAATACACTTCACAGATCGAAGTCCGCATCGCCCGATTTCACAATATCTACGGACGAAGAGGAGCATGGTCCAATGGCAGAGAGAAGGTTCCTGCTGCGTTCATCCGTAAAGCCCTTGCGGCAAAACTCCTCCTTCCGTCACCACCTACGATGGAGATCTGGGGAGACGGGACCCAGAGGCGCAGTTTCCTTTTCATCGATGATTGTGTTCAAGCTATCCTCTCTCTGCTCGACTCTACCTGTTCCAAGCCGATGAACATTGGATCTGAGGACTCGGTCTCCATGACCGGCCTCGCAGAGCTTGCCATACAGATCGCAGGCTTACAGGTCCAAGATGTGGACTTCCACCATATCCTTGACAGGCCTATAGGAGTGGCTTCTCGGAACTCGAACAATGCATTTGCTCGAAGGATCATTGGATGGGAGCCTCAAACGAGGCTTCTTGATGGCATACGCGCCACAATGCAGTGGATGCGTGCCGAGATGGAGCACGCCCTTGAAGGTCTGGACAATCCGCAGCGGACTGCTGTTCTTCAGCACTATCAGAGGAGCAAGGTTGTTCGAATGGACTCTGAATGGATCACATTCGCCATCCTGCTTCCGATTACATCCCGCGGGTCGGAAAATCCACAGACTTGTCTGGACAACCTGTCCAATTTCGCAAAGTCTCTTTCGCGGACGACGTGGAGGGAGACGCATGAGCTTGGAGGCACAAGATTCCGTGTCAAGATCTATCTCGCTATCGATCACGACGACGAGTTCTTGGTGGGTACCATCGAGGAAGCGTACAACAGGGCTGCTGAAGTCCTTCACGGTGAAGGACTCGCGGATATCACAACATTGCTTTTCGACTTCCCCCGTGGGCATGTGTGCAGTTTGTGGCGCGAGTGCGCTCGCAGGGCATTCGCAGATCATTGCGACTACTATGTGCTAATGGGGGACGACGTTGCCTTAGACGATGATGGATGGATGACAGCCATCGTGGCCGAATTCTCCAAGATGGCGAGCAAGGAGTCCGTCCCCGAAGGCTTTGGCTGCGTGTCCCTTACGGACACATCGTTTCCTGGGATGCCCACTTTCCCGACCGTCCATCGTACCCACATGGAGATCTTTGATGGGACCATAGTTCCCGAGGCTTTCGTGAACCAGGACGGTGACCCATTTCTATTTCAACTTTACCGAAGGTGGGGTTGTTCCTCGATGATCTCAGCCAGGATTCGGAACACTGTGGGTGGTAGTGATACGGCGAGATACATCAAACAGCATACCAAAGGCTGGACGTTCGATACTCTCGACGATGCTACCGCGACAATCGCAGAGTGGTTGCAAACTCGTGCTCCAGATGCACAGAAGAAGCTCACACTGGACATCGTTATCCCGTGCTATCGGGTCGATATACCCGTCCTAGAGGGTATCCTCTCTCTCCAATCGTCGACCACATCCAGCGTAATGTTCATAATAATAATCGACGACCCTTCCTCCCCCTCCATCTACGAGCTCGAGAACCGCTTCGGGAAGAACCCCTTGGTTCGCATCCGAGTGAACGCTGAGAACTTAGGCGCGTCCGCATCCCGAAATCGTGGTATGGCCGAAGCAGCGGGCGAGTGGATTTTCTTTTTGGATGATGACGTGTCTCCATCACCAGACCTCCTCATCAAGACCGAAGAGATCATCCGTTACAAGCCCAACGCCATTGGCTTCGTTGGCAAGACCATATTTCCTCTCGCCCAATCTGTATTCACCACTGCCGTCCACCTTGCCGGCGTCACGTACTTCTGGGACATCGCCGCCCCTCACAAAGCGGTCAGCATGGGAATGGAGGACGACATCCCTTGGGGAGTCACCGCTAGTCTCATCTCTCGTCGTATTAAGGACGACGTCGTCTACGACTTGCAGTTTCCAAAGACGGGTGGGGGCGAAGATATACATTTTTGCAGACAGAAGAGGGAAGTAGCCCTTGCGCGGGGAATGGATGCCTTCCAGGCCGCACCGGATGTGATCGTTACGCATCCGTGGTGGAAGGGAGGGAAGCGGTCGTATTGGCGCTTCTATATGTGGAGCAAAGGCGATGGCGGTCTTATCAAGCTGTACCCCGAACACACGTACTTCGACGCAGCCCCGAATAGTGCCGAGCTCTTCCTCATCAGTGGACTCCTCCTTGTCCTGGGATGCCTTGCGATGAGCATCTCCGTCACGCTGTACGGTGTTCGTCTCGCCGTCATGGTTGTGTTAGCCAATATCGTCCACGATGCATATCGCCATCTGTTTAGTCCAGAAGGGATCAAACGAGCGACCGCGATTCAGACCAACCTCACTGGATCTCGGTGGGTCATCGCTGTGTTGGAGAGTGCGTTGATACGCATGTTCAGCGAGTCAGGGAGGGCTGTTGGGATGATGGAGAGGGGCGAGGTGACTTTGCTTGGGAGACGTTTTGATTGGTTCACTGAGAAACTAGGTGACGGTCCGAGGCGCGAAGAGAGGTGGAACTCCGCCATTAGATTGGTAGTTGTTGGAGTGTTCATGGTGGCTTCGATGCTGATCTTGTGAGTGGCTGACCTCGATGTTCCGTGTGCTTCGACGTAGCTTTGTTAGACGGCCGCTATATTGGATCTTGTACAATATCATAGAATAGGATATGTGAAACCGTTTCGTTTGTCTTTTGTTGCAGCGAAAGATCGGGCACTTTCTTGGGTTTGGAAATCTACGATCTAAGTTGTCTCAGGGTACACCAAGGGATCGGACACTGAGAATCTAAACGGAAACCTCTCCGGGGAACCATCAAATTGGGCCATTTCGTCCACGTTATACTCTGAGATCCGCTCGTCGAAGAGACCGCAAATTAACCGATGTTCAGGCCAATCCCTGAGAGAACCAACGACCATGGACGAGTTAACTATCGACTTCTGAATCAAAGCAGGTTCAACTAACTCACTTCTCCTGGCAGTCCCACCCACAGTATTCCATCGTCCTGCAAGCCTTGCACCGCTTCTCGCGCAACTTTCTACATCCTCTTCTCATGCAATGGCGATCTAGTTGACACCTCGCCTCTAACGCTGCCAATATATACCAGCCACGACGAACAGTGTCGTTTTTCCCCTTCGGGTCATCGCGGGATCCCATTCTGCGCATCATCCGTCGCCACTCGTGATAATCCTGCATGTCAGGAGGATACCTGGTGTCGCCGGTGTTGTCTTCGTCTGGATATGAGATCCCGGCATTGCAGAATGAGGCGTTCAAGAGCGATCGCATTATTCGAGGTCGAGGAAAATGCTTGTGGAGGAGTGTAATGAGCGACGGGTGTATGTCGACGGCGTGGTGAAGAGAGAGAAACAATTGGACGCCTTCGAAGACTGATACCGATATATACACACAATGAAACAATCAGGTTGATCATGAGGCACCACAACGGAGGAGTACGAAGTGAAGGAACATACGGTGCTTTTCTGCAACCCTCTCGCTGCGGTGCATGGCCGCCTCCAGAGCAGAAAATATATCTGCGCGGACCCACGTTGTAACGACGTCTTCTAAGTTTTCGAGACGACCCGGCTCAAGACATTGTCTGATGCACATCGACGCAAAATTGGTCATCGACCACAATAGGGCCAAAACACCTGCGGTGGAGTCCGTCCCGAGCGATTTGTGCGATATGGGTCCTGGAGGCTTGACGCTACGCTCAGCTACCTTGCACCAATAGAGAACCTTCGCATAGAATCGTGGTGCTCGATACATAGCGCAGATGAACTCGGTATCAGGTTCTCTCCCCCATACCATGGTACGATAGAACGTTACTGTAAACTGGACCGCATCGGGATATATTGTGGGCCATGAATCTATATGAGACGCAAACCGGGACAAAAAGTTCACCGGAGACTTTTCCTTGACTCCTTCGAGGAATCGAGTATACAGGTCATCCGGGGCCGGATGCTCAGCTCGATGATCCTCGATACGTTGTCCCAGGTCCATGTCACTGAAGTCCTCCGGCATCGGATTGACCATCGACTGTACCAGCTTCAAAGCGAGTTCAACATCTTCCTTGGAGGTGGCTTGCATAAAGTTGCGGACGACGAGAGATATTGTCATATCTCCAGACTGATCTATAATGCTAAATACACGGGTTAGAACGGAGTAAATACCTGTCAGAAAACAAAAAGGGTACCCATAGAACGAATCTGGATCTATCTCGAGGATAGCTATAAGCAATTTGGAGAAATTGATTCTGTCCTTTTGTCCTTCTGATCCGGGGCGCGGAGTGTGCTTCCAGATCTAAATCGCAGTAACATTAATAAGCAGGTACATGAAGTTGGTCAGAATACGCTTTCTTACACTCTGCACCAGCTCTGTCCAACAGGAGTACATAGTGTCGGCCAGAGACTCGTCGCTGGGGTCATTCCGACGTTTTGTGCAAGCGCTAAGCAAAAGACTCAGACATACTGATCGAAGCTGAAAAACCATCATATAAGGTAACTTGAAGGTAAGATATAAACACAAACTAAAGGGCTCTACCTTGGCTCGTGCCCCTCTTCTTTCCTCCGGCCGACACGAGAACGGATACGATGGGTCATCACATTGCGTGAGGATGAATTTGCAGATGTTTTCTAAGACTCCGGCTCTGATTAATCGTTTCCATGCAGGATCTAGTGACAAGGCAAGGTCGTGAAGTCTCGGTATCATTACTATAGCATCCTGCAGAATGGTCCCAGGTCAGAAATCATGATGGTAGGGACGAGTGATTGCATATGCGAATGAATATACTCGGGCGGCCTGTGTGGAAAATACACATGTCTCGAGATTCCCCGACAGGTATCGAGACAATTTTTCTATACATTCTCATAGGCTATGGAAGGAATCGTACTTACAGCGTGTGTGTCACCCCAATGGTTTCGTTTGTGCTCGGTATCTAGAAGAAATATGGACATCACTCTGTCCGGAGATGAATTCAATATCACCCGCCATGGCTTTTGGGAAGGCGTGATCACAGGATGTCGAGGCATTCCCAGTTTGTGTGCTTTGTGGGAGGGGAGTGATGCTGCAGGCAGGTGGTTGAAGTCGAACAAGAGGCTTTCACCGCCGGATCACCGATCCATTGGCCAAGGCGTGGCTGTCGGCTAGAGACGAGACCAGAAACTTCTTTGAGTGGCACCGGCCCTTTCCTTCTCGTTCAAGCTTCCCTGCTGTGCGGCGACAATAAATTTGATCCAGATTATATTACAAAACGAAGTACGATGGTACAGAATAACGAGTAGTATTATTGTACAAGACGGGATACACAAATCCATATATTCGAGGCGCTCTGGCATAGGTTGGATGGATCCGGCGCATAGGCAGCAAACGCACGAGTACGAGGCACAGGTAATTCTACACGCACATGGGCAGCAGGGAATGGCTCGCAAAAATTGAACTCCAGACAAAAAAAGAAGACCAGGCAAAAGAAACGTAAAATTCTAAACAACGATGTCCTTCACTCCACGGCCTCCTCCTTTTCGTCGCCGGCCGGCATCACAACCTGGTAATCCAACACATAGACTCCATCCCGGTACTCTTTCAAACAAGGCATCATCACGAAATCTCCTCCCTTCAGTACCTCTTTGTGCCTGTAGCGCCCTGCATCACGCCCTATCGGCATCTCAAAAGTCGCGCTCTCCGTGGTCGACTGCACCGTGAAAATAGCGCTACAAAGTGCCTCACGGCAGTAACGGAGATGCCTATAAGTTCCGTCCTTCCACGATTTGGAGGTTGTTACAATGCGCCGCTCAACGTCTGCGGAAGCGAGGTCTGTGATGCGCCAGTCGTGAATGATGGGTTTGCGAAGAGCGTCCGCACAAGCTGCCATCGTGCGAGGGCAGATGGACGCGAAGGTGCACACATCATGTACGTCGGTGAGCATACCCGTGATTGACCATAGCATCTCTAGGGGTAGTTTTTCGAAGAGGCCACCGTCAGGAAAGAGAGGGAACGATGGTTTGGAAGAGGAAGTGAAGGGATTGCTGCCGTCCAAGGACATCATGGTTCGTTCAACGGCATTGGGGTCTGGGAGGTACGCAAGACGGGCGAGTGCTGTAATACCCTCTGTGGATGGAGACGTGGTGAAGGCGGATGGTAGGAAGGGGAATGCCCAAGTGTGTGTGAGCGAGCCGCCCGCTGTTCGATCTATGCGGACAATAGCGATGTGGCATCCGGAAAACAAAATGCCGTATACGATGCCAACATTTGGCCTCTCCCTCATGACCTCCTCTGAGACCTTCGTGGCACTCGCATGGAGTACGGATTCGTCGTCGAGATTCGTCGAAAGATAAAGATAGATATTGTCACGGAACCAATTGCCTTCCACTTCACTCTGGACAGGAAGGCCATAGGTAGCTGGCCATAGGGCACTGAGAATGATCGTGCGCAGACGTCGAATAACAGATCCACCGAGTTCAGATACGTCGGTGGCAAAAGGTAGTCTACGCATCTCAGCGCTGTCGTTGCTCATCTCGTGGCCAACGACGACCTCCAGAAGACGTATACGTATAGCTTCACGGCGACAAATCTCTGGTGAGATGCGAAGTAGCTCGTGAAGGTCCAAGACAGAAGCGGTGTTACTACCGGTTGTCAAGCGAAGGTACGTGTCCAAAAGATGCTGCTCGATCATGAAGACGGGTTTCTCGTACTTCAAAGTGTACTCCGCCGGGGTATCAGGCATGCACACGCGACGGCCATAATGGTCGGAGCCTATGGACGCGAGGAAGATATCGAGTGGCGGGATATCATGGAGGTGATAGAACGGTACATCTTCAATATAAAGAAGATTCTCGTCCAAGTCGATGTTGTACACTTCATGGGTCGGGTCAGCCTTGAATTCGTGCCAGACATTGTGAGTCTCAGAACATTTAACGATGGGCCGGTTATTAGGCTAGGATAGTCGGATGTCTTAGTACTATGAAATATGGGATAATATCAAGCAGCTTACGTTAGGCCCCATAAGGCAACATCGGGTGTTGCGCGCATCGTGCAGTATACCATCCATGGAGATCCATGGTGTTCCGCTGCGTGTTGAGCCACTCGCTGTATGCTGTTTCGTCCCCGGACGCAAAAAGCACGCCATGTATACGTTCCTGCAGCTGCTGTCGCGTATCTATACTCTCGGGCGACCTCTCCCATATAAATAGAGATTTGTATCTGTACAGCACGAGGATGGGGTAGCCACCCATGCTATGAGTACTCGAATTTGGAGAACAAAAGTCGTTTCGGTCGGGAAAGATCCCCAAAGGTAAGACGGGCAGAGGTCTAAGCAAAAAGTTACTGTAACAGAGCCAAAGCAGAGCACCGTTCAAGGAGGACAACAAAGTTGGTCTTGAGCGACGATTGAGCGACAGCGGTAAAGCATGTAACTCTGTGCGGTGCTTCCGTGCTTATATTCTGCCTAACGAGCGAAGCATGCAAACAATCCGACTGCTCAAAACCTATGAATGGACTGTCTGGTTCGATGGAATGCGCGTGGGTGATGGTGAAAGCAAGAAAAGAGCCAGAAACTTTTATTCCTGTTCCGTTAGGACAGGTCTTGAGACGAGCTTTGTCACAGCATCACGTCACGCCTCTTCGGTGGCGGTGGCGTCTTTTTGCTGGGAGCCGTCGCTCGAGATTTTTGTTACGGTCACTCGTCCTCCATCACTCTCGATTCCCGGTGTTTCCCGGTCATTCCGTCTCGTTCCGGCCTCTCTGCCTGTGTTGTGCAGTGCTCAAATACTGAAGTACTGACAAGTCTGAACAAACAAATGTGGGCTGAATACGGCCTACATTCTTCCACCCGTGTGAGGGATTTAATCTCGAGCCACGGACATGCCGTGCTCGTTCTTTCCTTGAACGCAGGTGAACGTGGTATGAGCTTTAAACAAGTTTTGTGGCGTTTTCGCCACAGCAAGGGTTGCCTGTTTTTTTTTCAGGGATGCTTGGACAAGAAAGCCGGTAAAAAGACGCATTATAATCAGTTGGCCAGCGCTGTTCGATCCGAAGGAACAGGTCTGGCCCGGAGGGCGTGGGAATGAGCAGCGGTCGGGAACCACGCACGCGCTCGGACTGCGCTCGGCCACGGTGTGACGCAGACATGCTCCCTGTGACACACCGTGATCCGGTGCACTTAATGCCGCTCTCGAGAGGTGCCGTACTCATTTCAATGGTCTTTACAATCATCATTCTCACAGGCTGTATAGGTCGTTTCCTGTCGGGAAACACAATTCGACATTGCTAGCTCTTAGGCATAGAAACGTCTCAGTGACGATCGAGACGTCGAATTTGACGTCGTCATCCAGATATGCATTCAGCACAAGCGCTCGTCTGCTCACGACTCCTCCCCCTTCCACCAAGTCGACATCTCCGACTGAGACCCCAATCCCCACGCCCCCTACATTGAAGCCTTCGAGTAAACCTAAAGTGGACTTGAGACCAGGGCCTATCAAATCTGGGACTTCCGCAAAGTCTAGTGCGTCAGCGTCGCCGCGTACAGTCACTCCTCCGTCAGCGCCGTCACCGTCATCATCGCATTCGGTCGAAGCAGGAGCTCAGAAGCTGGGAGAGAAGCTGGAGGAGAGCGTAGAAGTGAAGAAGCCGGAACCTGGAGTCATTGAGATTACGAAGGCGGATTATGAGCAGGCTATCCGACATGGCATCCTCGCACCACCACCCGCAAGTGCTGGAAGAATAGGGAAGCTGTATCATCAAGCTAAGGAGATTTTCGTGAGTCGGTTCTCATTTTTGTACATAATTCCTCTTGCGCTCTATCCTAATACTATGCATGTCTTTTCCTATCCGTTAGAAATTCTACTGGAATGGCATCAAACTCGTGAACACGAATAGGCAACGAGCTAACGAGATCAAAGAGCGCGTCAAGTCTGGTGGTTCTCCACTCACTCGTTGGGAAACGAAATTCATTGAAACCACCGATAGGGACATGTTCAAGTGAGTTTATTGCATTTCCTCATCGCATGTCGTTCTTCACTACGCCATCAAAAGCGACTGTCTTTGTACTCACACAGAGGACTCTTTTCATCATAGGCTTGTACCCTTCGTAGCAATCGTCGTCGTTCTCGAAGAAATTATCCCCCTTATCGTCATTTATGCACCTGGGATGCTCCCGTCGACATGTATCCTTCATTCCCAACGAGAGAGGATCGAGACCAAACGGAGACAGAAGCAACGCGTATTCGCAGAGGCTATGGAAGAAGAACTCACTGCTATCACAGAGAAGGAGGTCAGGAAGGATGGTGAGAAGGTTGGATTGGTGACGTTGGATCAGGTCAAGATTGAGACAATGGCCTTGTGCGGGTGAGTACTATCTCGGCGCCTATCTCCATGTTTCTTGGGCTGCTACCTAACTGTCTTTCTAGCATGCTGTCTCTGTCCACTTTCGGTCCTCCCTTTGCGCGCCGGTCTCGTCTGGAGCGACATCTAAAGAAACTCGTTCCGGACGACATACTATTGCAACAGGAAGGGCTGGGCGAACGCCTCACACGGCCTGAACTTCTCGATGCGCTCGAGGAACGTGGAATGTGCGTCGGACTTTCGTTTCTCTGATTGTACCGTCACTGACCTTGACACGAACAGTGTCGCCACTTCGTCTGAGACTCCCGCCCTGCAGAAGCAACTTCGCTGGTGGTTAGAGAATGTGGGAGGCCAGGACCTGAGTGAGGCCGATGCAGTGGCTAGGAGAATATCCTTAGTTGCTCGTAGTGGTCTTGGGAAATACTGAGCCCTCATGACTTTCTATGCTTTCATGCTACCTCGCCGTGGTAGGCCGTTTGATGATATTTATATATTACACGCGTTACTTTCACCCTCCGTTTGTGGGCGAAGTTGTTCGGTCTCTGGACCTTCACCTTCTCTGTTACATCGTTTTCGCATAGACTCATACTCACTCACACCATCCTCATCTCACTGTCATTATCATCGCTCTGTCGACCTATATATATCTAAAACATATTATTAATTCCAACGCTTTGCACGGATGACGCTTGCTCATTAGACTTGAATCTATGTGGTGTGGGCCCCATCCAGCCTAGAATATTTTGACAGCTGTGTACAGCGCTTGGGTCTAACAAAATGATCGCGAGTTGAGGCAAAGTCGAGGAAGGGCCCCGGGTATCACGCACTTTGCACTCTACACTAACGTCGATCTGTAGCTGTGTTGATTGAAAAGTAGAATTTCATGTGCCTGGCTGTAAATCCTTCTTGTGATTGAGGTCACTGATCGATAGTCTCTGCAACAAGGGGTATCCGCTACTGCAAGGGCATCCCGGCAGTGGCGAGTGTCACGATGGCGGCCGCTACACTACATTATTCTTTCACCTACCAGCAACACCTAGACAGAGGCCACCAAAGATACCTTGAGGGATCACCGTATTCACGGATACTAGGATAGTGCAGGTGGATGTGCGAGTAAGTTCTCGGGGTCAATTGTTGGTAAACGCCACTGAGCCACTGACGCTCGAGAACTCGCCGCAGACTCACTGGTTCCTCGTTTATTTTGTGAGCTCACATTTGATATTGTGCTGTAAAATTCTCTACATGAATCTGGTGCCCCCTGGTGGTTTGAAAAGTACAGACAATTACAAAAGAGGTTTGGATGAAAGCACTGCTTCGTGCAAGCGATCGCTGTTCAGAGCGTTCAGGACCCCGAGAACTCAACAAGGTGCCCGCCAGGTTGGCGGAGTCGGCGGTTGCGGTTGCGGACACCCCTTGCTCTGCAATCCTTTACTTACGCTCATGAGAGCCCCGTAAGGGGCCACAGGGGGTCACTACAGTCGTGCCCATTGTATCACGAACTCGTGGTTTCGTGTTCATGCTCCGCTCGCCGATCAAGCAGATATAAGGCTCTTGCTATCCTTATTGGTGTTTTTCGACGTCTCATCAACGTCTCATTCGCCCCCAACTGTTAGCACTGTACGCTGTTAGACCATGATCATGGATTGGAACATCCCTCCGGGCCCTAAGTTCCTATTCTCACACTACCATGTCTTCGTCTTTCCGCCTCTCGCCGCATATATACTACTATGGGTATTATCTTCTACTCTGTCATACAAGATCCACGGAGTGGTCAGAGTGATTCTTCCACTTCTGGCGATCCCTGTATTTTGTCTCGCACGCATACAGGCCAACGAATGGCACAGGAGTATCAAAGCGAGAAGAAGCGGCGGTAGACTTCCCAAGCTGATTCCTCACAAGTGGCCGGGTGGAATAGACCTCCTGCTGGATATGCAAAGGAAGCAGAAGACTATATATCCAGGTATTTTGATATCTTGACAACAATCCTGATGCTGTCACTCATACAATCGTCATTCAGGCGAGACGATGGCCCGGTTCTACGCGCAACATGGACAATGGACACTCTCCTCGAAGATGATGTTCAATACAATTGTATCCTATCTGTGCCTTACATGAGGTTGCATTCCAAGTCTGACCGCGTCTATAGATCAACACCGCCGAGCCCGAACATATCAAGGTCTGTCCATTTTTGTCTCTTGTGGGTGAGGCCTTTCTGACGGGAGCCTTTAGTCCATACTAGCTACCGACTTTGGGAACTTCGAGAAAGGTCCTGTCACTTTTGCGATCCTGCGGTCTATGCTCGGAAGTGGCGTGTTTAACTCTGATGGTAAGCCCTTTACATCGCCTTTCCGTTCGGTGTTCGTTTCTCATCGATACATATAGGCGATATGTGGAAGTGAGATAGCGCAGCGTATCTCTGTCAAGGACTTAAATAACCATGACCTGCTATAAAGATTCCATCGCACGATGACACGGCCCTTCTTTACGAAAGACCGTATATCTCACTTCGATATATTCAACCGTCATGCGGAGGATGCGATCTCGCAAATGAAGACACGCTTGAAGGAAGGATATGCTGTAGACTTACAGGTCAGTACTCTTCATCAACATAGGATGACATCCTTGATTGACTATTTTGATGTCGACTTCCGTCAGGATCTTGTTTCTCGCTTCACTCTTGACTCCGCTACCGATTTTCTCTTCGGAACAGACGTCTGCTCTCTTGCTTCTGGTTTGCCTTATCCTGCGGACAAGCAACCCATTACAGGTCTCTCGCTCACCTCATCCAACGCAGGCTCTGATTTCGCAGCTACCTTCACGGATGCTCAGACAACTACGTTGACGAGGCTTCGTTTCGGGCCTGTGTGGCCCCTATTTGAGTTCTGGAGAGACAAGCCAGCTCATCGTATGAAGTCCCTCGATCATGTCATAGATCCTATAGTTCGGTATGCTATCGAGAAGCAGAAGAGCACGGCAGGCCAGAAAGATAGTAAACCTGAAGAGGAGGAAACTTTACTCGAACATTTGGTCAAGACTACTGATGGTACGTGCTCCCGAACTGTATCTTGCGATACAAGACATCAACGACTAAGGTGGACTTCAGACTTCAAGCTCATCAAAGATGAGACAGTGCGATTCTTGGATTGCCTCTATGACTGCTACTGATGTATGTATATAGCTGAACATCCTGATTGCTGGGCGGGACACCGTAAGTATCTCTGCTGAACATCGCTCATATACTATGAGTTACACTCAATGACCTTATTAGACGGCGGCAACACTCACATTCGCAGTATACATGCTCGCTCAGCACCCGGACATTCTTTCTCGTCTGAGAGAAGAAATTTTTACGAAGCTCGGTGCTGGAGCAAACGGCCGAAGGCCGACCCATGAGGACTTGAGGGACATGAAGTACCTGAGAGCAGTTATCAACGGTACGCCTCCTCAGTTGCTATACCCTCGTTATTCTGTCCAGCACATGTTCACGAGATGCCATTTAGAGACACTCAGATTATATCCGGTGGTGTACGCGTTTTGTTCCCTGAGTGATATTGCCACCTGCTTAGTTTGTAACATAAATACAATAACTTAGGCCTTTCAACATTCGGTAAGTTCTTTTCGCTCGTAGACATGCACAACAGGAACAAATTACGAAGACTTCACACAGAACGGCAACCAAAGACACGCTGTGGCCCTCGAAAGAGCCTGGAGAGAAACCTTTCTTCATACCAGCAGGTTCTTCGTATGTTGATCTCCAAGTCTATGACCGATGTCATGACCTGACGGGGCGTTCACCCATGTCTCGACAGTGTGATCTATTCTGTCTTCTTGATGCACCGTCGCACAGGTATGCCACTTTCGTCTAGTTGAAGTCTTCCCATGGCCTAATCCCACCAACCACAGACCTTTGGGGCCCAGACGGTACGTCCCGTCCCGTCAGACCATGCTGTATCTGGGCTAATTTCGGTGCAGCTCTGGAGTTCGATCCAGATAGATTCTTGGACGAACGTCTGCACAAGTACTTGACACGTAACCCCTTCATATTTCTCCCGTTCAACGCTGGCCCTCGAATCTGTCTGGGTCAACAGGTGTGTTTGCTACTTTTTTTGTTCTATCGCCGCTGGCACCGTCCCTGCTCTGCATTCATCAGTGTCGTTGAACCTGTGTAAGCCTGTGACTGACATGCATCTGAACCGCGTCTAGTTCGCGTACAACGAGGCATCATTTTTCCTTGTCCGACTGCTCCAATCTTTTGCGTCCATCACTTTGACACCCGAGGCGCAACCATCATCTCATCCTCCCGCTCAATGGGCTCAGTTGCCTGGAAGGGCATCTAGGGAGAAGACATGGATAAAGTCGCACTTCACGTTGTTCGCTGCCGTAAGTTCTGTTCTCCTATCGGTACTGTTATTGGTGACTGACTCAATTGTATATTCTTCGGATAGGAGGGGCTTTGGTTGAAGATGGAGGAAGCGTCCGACGATGGTGGCGTTGAAGTGCTTTCGGCATAGACGGTCATGCCCCAGGTGCTTCTAGTGAGTGCGGGAGCTATCGTGCTCTATATCTGTTTTCACTCTCATACAACTAACACTTTCTGCCAAACTACTCCTCGCTAGGTCAGTGCACACTTCTTTTGCACCTACAAATGTCTCAACTTAGTGGGAGTGGATAGGCCTTCACGTTCTTTCACGCAAACCCGGAAGAGGTCCGGAGTTTTCGCAGCTACCGATTGAATCGACTCCATCTTGTAAGCTATGGGCGCTTGTCTGATGAACAGGATCTTGTGGGGTCAAACACATGTGGAGGGTAGCGTCGTCCAACTATTATTTATATCTATATACTGGTACTGTCTAGAGCTTCAAACCAAACAGCTTATGACTGTGCGAAAGTACGACCCGGGCTTGATGTATTACAGGAACGGTCGTTGGGTCCGACTGTAACTGCTTTACACGTATCTTGGCGCTCGTCGGTTGCTGTATCGAGTTTGGCCGGAACAGTCCTTGAAACGTGTTAGACGTTCAGATGAGACTTTACCTTTGGAGACTTCCACTTGCCTGGCCGTTCAAGAGCGTATTGGAGCGTCAATCGCTGTTCCGTCTTCTCATCATTGGCTCCAACGCTCGTGCCTCGTTGAGCTGATCATCCTGAGCCTAGTTAGGTTCTCACACCCGAAGCATTCCAGCCGCGATGCCGTTGGTGTAAACTTTTGCAAACGTTGATGGTGGCGTCTCCTTCAACCCCATATACATAAAGCTGGATAGCGCGTTCCCTTTGAAGCGCTTTCACAGGCTTTCACCTGTTCTTCCTTGTGTTGAACCTCAGGCTTGGGGCTCGCGCAGCACTCACTTTCGGCGATCTTCTCTGGAGCTGGCTGAGGAGTTATAGACAATATGGCACCATCATCTCTTCACTATGTCCGGACTGATCTTCTTGAGGTCGCCTTCTCATCACTCTTCTACGGTGAGTCCACCCACATGCCGATCCAATGCAATCAACGACGATTTACATGTGCCCTGGTCCTGATAGGTATTTTTTTGGTCGCAATGGGGCAATCATCGTACTTCTTGTGGTGCGTGTTCATGTTCTTACGCTATTTGAGCTCAACGACACTAACAATCTATCAATTACAGTCGACAAGGGCCATTCCAGACAAGAACGAGCGGTTTCCTCATGGTGGCAACCCTCATCATGTTCGTTGCAGCGACATGCTCATGGGTGGAGGAGATCGTGGACGTTTTACTCTATCTCCCATATGACCTCGATCTGAAAGCGAAAGTAAGCTTCATCGTCGATAACGAGAACCAACAAACAGGCTAATAATAAAATCAAGGTTCCTGCTGCCATCACCCACAAAGACAACTCATTGATCACGCTGAACGATGTTGCTGTGAGAATCGTCTATATTCTTTCGGATTGTATCGTGGTACAGCGTGCTTGGATCCTATGGCGACAGAACCTGAAGGTCAAAATCATTCTCTGTATGTGCATCCTAGCCACGGTTGGTGAGCAGTCTCATGCCTTGCCCTCATTCTCGACAATACATACTAAACGGATAATGAAGTGGGATCAGTTGTGGATGTTTCATTGGATCTCGAGGACCGATGGGACGGGGAAGGCATCAGTTTCAAAGGTCTATCAGCAATCCTCGGACGAGCGCTCATCATGGCGATCCCGACACTGTTTACCAACCTGTGCGCTACTACGTTGATCGCGGTGAAAGCTTGGTGCGTCTTCATCGGAAATGTTGATGACTGCTACCCGTAGTGACACACTGAACCACATACAGGAAACACCGCGTCTCGATTCGAAAAAACTTACGTGAGGGCAGCACCCGGACCAGCGTGGAGAAGATACTAGCCCTGCTAGTCGAGTCTGGGGTCTTCTATTGCTTCATCTGGGTACATCGAGCCCTTTCTTCTTTCTCGAGGACGTTCATCAATTCTCTCCCAGGTAATATATATTATTGCCGCCGCGGGTTTCTTCCCCAGTACTGCTGCGACAGTAATCAGGGAGGTCCTCATACAAGTAGCGGTAAGCTTTTCGCCCTACTCTCTAGGTCTTAATCGACAATATTGATGCGACTCCATTAGGCGACATATCCCTGTATCATTGTTTGCCTAGTGTGTCTGGCAAAGACTCATTGTGATCGCCACTTCACCTACATCGAAACCAGCCCCAAATTTGCTCCGGCTCCTCCAATGCGACGTGGTAGCGCTCCAGATAGCACCATAGACTCGACAGAGCTGGAAACCCATTACTACAGGTCGTCGTCCTTTCACTCAAACCACTCTATCCCAGCCTTTCACGCGAAACCGGAACACTCGATATACGTCGAGTCTGATGTCACTTCTCAGAACGTGAAGGCGGCCGATGTGGCCCACATAGTCTAAAACAGCTCGTGAATATTTGCCATATCCCCACTGCTTCCAACACGCTCACCTTCTTAACTTGTTTCCTGCTGCGTGGTCTCCCCTACCTTTACCCTAATTTATCCTCTGTATTGCGCGCCTTCACTTATACTAAGCTTCGGATTCCTAGCTAATTTCTCCTAATCATGCCACATCTCTCTGCTTTCTGACCTGGTGATATAATAGAAAATGTACATTATTCGAGGGAGTTGAAGGGGGATAATCCACTCCCGTCATCACTATGTATAACTGTACGATAGGTATATGGTTATTGGTTATTCACGAGTCGAAATGATTACTGCGTACACTTCAGTCGAAGTTCCAGAACATGTCTTTAACAACTGCAGGCCAGTGTCCCACTTGAGGCAGAACAAGCATGCATAATATTTCCAACAGCACAACAAGAAGTCCGCCACATTATAAAATCACTTAAGTCTACTATATCCTAGCCAAGAAGGCGATGGCGGGCTTGGGCGCACAGAACACCCTCGACGCCACACAAGTCCCACACATACGACGGCTACGGCAAACAATGCTAACAACACAAGTTGATTCGACCTCTGATCCATTATCTTTCGATTTGGAGCCGTAACAAGAAGATCTGGTCTTCTAGCCTGTTGTGGAGAAGGCCCAAACGCATCGCTCATCACCCGAAAGATAGGGTATTCATCGCCTTTGATGACAGGCATGAGGTTGAATGTCACGAAGCTGTCGGTGCTTTCGGGCTGATAACCGGTCTCATTAGTATCATGAACGGAAACGCAATCGACAGCTCTAAACTCACCTCGAGTGCGACGAAGGCGAGAGCAGCGTGCTTTTGGTCCGTTCGTACTACGAAGGATCCGTTTGGTGCGGGGAATACGCGATCGTAAGGCTCAGTGGTGACTGTGTACCGGAATGCCGTCTCGAAATAATGGGGAGCAGCTGAGGCACTAGTTATCCGCAAGGCCTCGACAAGTCCTGTCCAAGGTTCTGTCAGGGTTTCGACATGGAGACCAAGTGCTCTCAGGCGATCGGCGATGCCGCTGTAGGCTGCAGGAATGAGGTACGCGTGCGGGCGAGGGCGAGTGAGATTTGCCACCACAGGCGTTGTACTAAAATGGAAGTCCATGAATTCAGAGCTGACGCCTCTCGAAAGATTCGGACTTACAAGGCAAACTCGATATCGTGTTCCACTAGCTTCTGGTCAACAAGATCGATGAATGGGTAGGGGCGACGGCCAATCCTTGAATGGGAAGTGACAATGATATCATCATCCGTTTCTACCACTCTTTTCACTGCTTGGTCGATGGTCTCGAGGATCAAACCAGAGTTCTCCCAAGCTACATCGAGGATAGCATTGGCCGTGCACAAACAACTTGCAACTCGTCTCGCGAAGTGTTGATCTGCAAGGTTGATCCCTCGGGTCTCTGTGAGAAGTGAAATCGTCTGGGAGAGCCCCATGGAGTTGCGCCCAATCATGGCGTCGGGACCCGCTTCGTTGAAGCGTATATCCGAGGGATTTGATGCTTTTGCTGAGGTGACGTAGTCCGAGTGCCTGAAATTTGCTTTATCCAGATCGGAGCGGATACGAGCTACTACGAGATTCTCTGTGAGGTTTCGGATGGCTGCGTCAATGTTCAGATTCTGGAAGAATCGTGGTCAGCAATTTTCAATACAAAGCGGGAGGTTACATGCTCTACCTTAGCCCCAGCGAGCAACATGTCTGAAGAATGAGCGTATCGGCCATTCAACCAACGTCTCCCTGCGCTGAAATCATGCATATCGACCGCGATGTGTGGTTGGAAATGGTTGAGGAGGGTTTTGATGGCACGCGTCTGTGGGTGAGTGACCGTGATGTGATCTCTGTTGGGGTCGAGATTATCTGGGAGGAAGCGTTGGTAGTAGAACGCGCCGTCCGGATTGTAACGAGGGAGTACACTAATATCGAGCTTCTCCAGCAGGAGGGCAGTACGAGTTGAATTCGCGTCAAGTTGCCCGATCAAAGCAAGAAGGTTAGCTTCGCCTCCAGACTCGTTTCCGTGCGCTGTCATTCAAAATCAGCGTGCTTGTCACACCGTGCAAGTAAAAATATGCTTGATTACGCGTACCTCCTGGTATGGAACACAATGAGCTATCAACACCACAATGGAAGTGAATCTGTCACCATACCTCCTTGGAGCCACACACGCACTTTGGCTGTCGAGTGGTCACCATTTGACAGATACACGTATGGAATCACCCGCCCCTCTGGACTTCTCTGCTCGAGCTCGTGGTACTGTGCGTATGCAGGATACCTCCCTGCAAAATCCTGCAAAAAGCGCTCTGTTCCGCTGTATGAGACGTCGAGAAGTCCCTAAAGCACAGGAGTACTGACTCATGGTGGCGTCGGAGGTCGGAGAAGTTGTACCATTCGTCCATCCTTCAGGATCATCAGGACCGTCGGTAAACACAGGGGAGAGTAGTTGCCAGGCTTTGTCGACAAAGAAGAATTGTTGGTCCACCCAGTCAGGATCCTTCTGAACTGGAGCATGGTTGAAGCCATATTGAAGGTCCGCTAGAATAGAAACAGGGAAAAACAGTAGAGCAAGAGCACAGGCATACGTCCGCATGATGGAGATGTAGCAGAAGCCAGCCAGACGCTCTAATGCGTGACGGTTGTTCGTGGCAAGGGTGTGTTGGGTGTGCGGAAGGAAAAAAGAGCGTAAGCGCCGGCGCCACACAGTCTTGAATGATTCCGCCGTCCGGCGTGCCGAGTTTGGTTTTAGTCTCCGACTTTCCAGTCCGCTTCTGCTTCCGTTGCTCCAACCCCAACTCGAACTTGACCGTCACCCAACCTCTCACGGAAACACGACTCTGGTCCTATCACAAAATCATCATATCTCTAGACTCTATACGAGTGCTTCCTTGTGTTTATGTCTGGTCTACGGTATAAACCTGGCGATCCAAACAATCCCTATGATCCAGCAGCACTCACAGGAGACCGTGATGTAGACAATGCAGCTGCCGCTGCGCGAATGGCTGCTGATCCATCGAAGCTCGCTTTACTTGGCAAATTGAAAGATGATCCAGACAAGATGAATCAGTTCCTTGAGATGTTGAGAGCAGATGCAGCTGAAGGAATAGCCAGAGGCGAGACGCCCTTCGAGACCATGATGCGAGAGAAAGCGGAGTGGGCCAAGGCTGACGCCTTGAGCGCAAAGGTGAAAGAACGGGTAAGTTTGCAGCTGTCATCTAGACCTGCTTGCCCTGATACATATGCAATGCTTGTGCGAAGGGAAATGCTGCATTCAGAGCCGGTGATTTGAAAGAAGCGTATATCTGTTACACCGGTTGCATCACAGAGAGCGGTCATGAACCCACATACTCGCTCAATAGGGCCGCGGTGTGTTTGAAAGCTAAGGAGTGAGCATTCAACATCGTGCGCATATCTACATCTGCTGATTTGGCCTGATTTCTCACCAGTTATAAACGAGCTGAAAAGGATGCCACCGATGCTGAGGAGAGCGATCCAGGTTCAGTGAAAGCACTCTTCCGTCGCGCGCAGGCACGGCGCCACTTGGGGAAACTTGATGACGCCGAGGCAGGTGAGAAGCTACTCCAGCAATGTTCTACCCGGTCTATGCTCGTCTGTAGAATGAGCCGGGATTCTAACACCCTTCTATACCCCAGACCTAAAAGCCGCGTTGTCCGCAGCACCTAATGAGCTCCCCATCCAAGCAGAATGGGAGGAACTCAAAAAATTGAAGGCCATGCCGGAAGACGAACGCAAAACCTGGCTTGAGGAGAATCGTGGCATAGATTTGGCCACGACTTTCGATCTGACTTTTACTCGACTTCAAGAGCTCGCAAACAAGGTGCGCGCCGAGTGCGATACCGAAGATGCGTAGAGGGGAACAAGACTTGTGGGCTTTCGTGCTTTGCCATTTGCTGTGTATACTTTCTTGGATAGTTCGTAGTTAAAAATTGGCCGCATAGCATGTCTATGTGCTTTGAAGATGTATGTATACGGGTATTGTCCGTGCGCCTCATCTCTAAAGAATGCTTCACCACACAGGTTTACAGAGCTGTATGGTCCCAACTTCTGATCAATCATGGTTTGACGTGGCTACCGAAGGATTGCCTTCTAAATAACGCCACAATAGCGTTAGCACTTGCTAGGTATGGCTAGACCTGGGTCGGAAAGCGCACCAAAGAAGCTGGGTAAAACCGAGAGATACTGACCGTGGCAACTTTGAAGTCCGAGACGCCAATGAATAAATATGACCAGATATAGTCCGCCTCAAACGCTATAGAAGTCCATGCCCAACCCACTGAAAGACAAGTCCACCGCCACCCTCGCACGAAGAAAAGTCCACTGTGCACCCCTAGGCTGTCATCACAATCACATACAAATCTTCGCATTTCCCTCTGGCGTCCACACCTTCCCCAACGCCAAGCCTAGCGAAAGCACCATCACCACCACTCCGAACGTCACACACGCATAAGCCGGTAATCGTTTTCTCGAATGCCACGCGTATTTTGTGCGTTGGGGACCCAAACTCGGTGACGACGAGGACGACGGAGAGGAAGAGGATGTGAGTTTGAGGAAGCAGGCGGCGGGGAAGATGAATGCGAGGGCTGTGGCGGAGACGCCGCCTGTGATTTCGAGCATGACGCCGAGGTCGCAGGTTATGAGGGAAACTGAAGTGTATGGAGTGAACGTTAAGTACATTGAGGATGGAGGATGATTGACCAAGGAAATATATAGACGTACGGAGCATGGAGGCGAAGAGGATGGTGGTGGTGAAGAAGAGGTGGCGTTGCATGCTGAACGTCTCGTGGGAGAAGAAGTATTGTTCGATGACCTGCTCTGGGATCAGGGTATATTCCGATGCTTTCGAGCGAGACATATATCATACCTCTCTGCACACGAATAACTCCAACGGTAGTGTTGTGAACATATTCAGTCCAAAACAAAACCTCGCCACATTGATTAAGGTGTCATCCTGCGAAACTTCTCTTGAGATCTCATATTATAAACGTACAGAGGAGTGCACCTACCGCAGAGAAATTATTCAAGATGTTACCCTCCGTCTTATCCGTAAACACCCAATATCCCGAGATCGCCATCGTGAAACAGCAGACCAGCGAGATGAGCGTCGACACGTGCGTCACCATCGCAAACCGGTCCATTGTCGGCGTCCTCAAGCTCCCATAGATCAACAAACTATTATGATGGCAGACGAATGCAAAGCTAATGACACCAATCGCTTGAAAAATCCCTGGTTCGATGATGGAAAACCGCTTGGCCGGGTCGCCCTTGAGGAGGGGCGAAACGAGCGGGCCTTCGTAGATTACGGAGAAGACGATGATGAGCATGCCGCAGAGGGCGAGTGAGGAGGCAATGGAGAGTTTATGGATGTCGCGATAGAGGGAGAGAGGGTAGGAGATGCAGATTGTGCAGAATGCGATTACGAATTGGCGGTTTGTGAGGAGGTAGAGCACGGGCATTGTGCGAAGGGCAGGGAAGGAGGAGCGGATAACTTGAGGTATAGTATCGCCTAAAGAGACCATGGTAAGTACAGCGTTAATCATACGAGAGCTTGCAACGACGCACCGATGATGATCCCGAAAGCACACATGCCTTTCGAATACCTGTATTTCGTCAAGTACTCTTCACGTCACAGACAATATGACTGACCTCCAAAGGCAAAGGCAAACTGGAAGAACGAGACGGCCGCGCGACCACTGGAGCCAAAACAGTGGTTCATGATGCCAATGTAAGAATTGGTGCCGCTCAGTTTCGCATTCGTAATGATGAGACGGATGGTCCAATCGGTGACGCCACACAGGATGACGAGTAGGAACAGCCCAGTGAAGAAGCCTGCTCGACTAACGGCGTATGGCAGTCCTATATGAAACCATTAAGAAACTAGTCAAGAAAAGAATAGGCATCGTAAGTACCAATAATTCCTAAATTTATGCGAGTCATTCAGATTCTGTCAGTATGCATCCCTCGAGATAGAGTGCCGCCACAGTGGCTCACCTGCGCCGAGGATAGAGTTCGACATGTTCGCTATGGAGTTCATCATACCGCCCCCAGAATGTTGTTTCGCCGCAAGCTCATCCAAGTCAAGTTCTCCATTTCCATATCCATCTGAGAGAGGTATCGAATCATCCAGGCTCCTCTGTACAGCGGAAGAGTCTGCAAGCCCAACGAGAAGAGGCATAGACTGGTCTCGCCGCCGACTAGTCTGCTGTTCTGAATCAATATGCGCCAGTGAGGCATCATCCAGGTCGTCTGTGTCTAGCTCATACGCTACAGGAAGCAGATAGCGGTTCAGGTCGATGTGCACTCACACAGGCGGTTCAGACTACGCACCTGTCTCCCGACTCTGATAAGTAGACCGTAGTGGAGGTCCAACGACCTGTACGTCCTCATGAAATCTCACTGTCCTCTCTGCCTTTGATTCTCTAGTATCGAGTCCATCCAGAGCAGAGTCTTCGAAGTCATCTTCGTCGTGCGCCGAGAAAAGAACGTCTTCATGAGTCGTGGCGGCGGATAGGTCTTCCCTAGAGTCATTGAGCAACGGTTGACTCGCTTCGCCTAGACGTGAAGATGGGCGAGTACCGCGTCCAAGCATGGTGGGTATGCGGTGGTCTAAGCCAGAGGAAAAGAGCGACTAAAAAGAAATGTTTGTGGTTCACAAGCTGAAGCCCATTGCTGTGCGTCGAGCGCTGTGAGAAACCGGCGCGCCTGCGCGTCAAACGCGGTCCTTGATAATTCTGTCCTAGAATAGGTCTTAGTTACCTGCGCAACGTACTCCTTTGGCTCCGCTGTAAAAATGCCAAATAAATTGTTCAAACGTTTTCAGATGTAGCGGACGCGTTGAGAGCACAGAGTTGGGCGGAAGACGGGAAGAATTGTGCCAGAGCGCAATTCGAGATAAAATCGAATTGATGCGGCAATGGCCGTGCTAATCACAGATCCGGAAACGGTGAGCGCTTGAGGCAGCCCAGGACTTTATTCTGCTCGACGAGTCACTCGACCCCCACAGCGTGCCCTAGCACCAGCAGATCCCAGCGTAGCCTCTCTAGTCTTTCGGCCACTGGGATTATAGTACTAGAAAATCCCTTCCGATATCATGTCTTTTCCCCCACACGATCGTGCGTAGTAGTCTAATCACTAAAAGATCCAATAAACTCATCATTTTACTCTGCTCTTGCTGCTGGAAAACACATTGGTCACGATCTTACCTCAGTAACGACTCCCTTCAACTTTGCGCAGGAAGAGGAAAAGGTCATCAAGTTCTGGAGAGAGATCGATGCTTTTCAGACGAGTCTGAAGCTCTCCGAGGGTAGGCCTGAGTTTTCTTTCTATGATGGACCGCCCTTTGCCACCGGTCTTCCGCATTATGGACATTTGCTCGCTGGCACTATCAAGGTGAGTCACTGAAGCTAGGATATGAATACCCTTTCCCAATGAAATCATCTTATCATTTCAATTGACTTGTCGCCACACCTCCTAGGACATCGTAACTCGCCACGCTCATGTCTCAGGCCACCATGTCCCAAGACGCTTCGGCTGGGACACCCACGGTCTCCCTGTCGAACACGAGATCGACAAAAAACTAAACATCACGTCTCGGGAAGACGTTATGAAGATGGGCCTCGATAACTACAATGCCGAGTGCCGCGCCATCGTCATGCGTTACGCAGGAGAATGGCGCAACACCGTCGAGCGGATGGGACGATGGATCGATTTCGACAACGATTACAAGACCCTCAATCTGAGCTTCATGGAGAGCGTTTGGTGGGCGTTCAAGCAGCTGTTCGATAAGGGACTGGTGTACCGTGGATTGAGGGTCATGCCTTATTCGACGGGTCTGTTGACGCCCCTAAGTAACTTCGAGGCGGGGTTGGATTATCGGGATGTTAATGACCCTGCTGGTGCGTTTCGTTCTCTGTATCTCATGATGGGCTGGTCTCAAGAGCTTGTTTGAATAGTTACTGTGGCGTTCCCACTCGTCGACGATCTCTCCACATCGCTCTTGGCATGGACGACCACACCCTGGACTCTGCCGTCAAATCTCGGTCTCTGCGTCCACCCCGATTTCACCTACATCAAAATTCACGACCAGGAGCGGGATCAGAACTTCATCATCAACGAAAAGCTCCTACGGACACTATACAAGGATCCCAAGAAGGCCAAGTTCAAGAAGCTCGGAACCTTCAAGGGGTCCGACATGAAGGGTTGGCGATATGTTCCTCCGTTCGAGTACTTCACTGAGCGGGTTCGTCTTCTCCTCGTTCAGACTCTTTCTTGGCGCTGATGGTACCGTCTGGATTTAGTACGAGGACAAGGCCTTCCGTATCCTCAATGACACCTACGTCACGGACGAGAGCGGAACGGGCATCGTCCACCAAGCTCCCGCGTTTGGTGAAGACGATCACCGCATTGCCCTTGCGCATGGCGTCCTTCGCGCTGACGAGATGCCGCCATGCCCCATCGATGACTCTGGCAAGTTCACAAGTGAGGTGCCGGACTTTGTGGGGCAGCATGTCAAAGTACGTTGGTGTTATCGTCGAGATAAGATAACATTTGCCTATACTCACCCTTTGCCTGTTACTAGGTCGCGGACAAGGAGATTCAGAAGGTGCTAAAGGCAAAGGGACGGTTGATCGTCCAGTCAACATTGAACCACTCGTATCCTTACTGCTGGAGGTTCGTCGGACTCCTGCTTTCTGGGCTAAACTCCGTCATATTGACCGACATCTCCTGCGCGCAGGTCAGGTACTCCGCTACTCTACCGCGCCATCCCCGTCTGGTTCGTTCGCGTGCAGCCGATCACCGACCAACTCATGCAAAACAATGCCGAGACACACTGGTGAGCTATTTCCAGCACTACAGCCCCTTCTATATGGGCTCATGCTTTCTCCTTTCTCAAGGGTCCCACAACACGTCAAAGAGGGACGGTTCGGCAACTGGCTCGCTAATGCTCGAGACTGGAATATTTCGCGGAATCGCTTCTGGGGGACACCCATCCCGTTGTGGGTCTCGGACGATTACAAGGAGGTATGCCCACAAACTCCTTGGCGCCTCTGTATCTTCAGAATGCTCATCGAAGCGGATGATATGGTAGATTGTTCCCGTCGGATCCGTCGAGGAGCTGGAGAGGCTATCCGGTGTGAAGGGCATCACGGACATTCACCCCGACAAGATCAACCATATCACCATCCCTTCGCAGCAGGGCAAAGGTGATTTGAAGAGGATTGAGGAGGTGTTTGATTGTTGGTTCGAGTCCGGAAGGTCAGTCTCTGTCCTTGTCTCCCCTGCCGCCATTCCCAACCAGTGACCATCTGTACTGACCCCCGGTCTGAAAAATAGCATGCCCTATGCTCAGCTTCACTATCCCTTCGAAAACAAGGAACTCTTCGAGAAGACGTTCCCCGCGAACTTCATTTCCGAGGGTATTGACCAGACGAGAGGTTGGTTCTACACTCTGTTGGTGTTGTCGTCGCATCTGTTCGGAAAGGCACCATGGAAGAACTTGATCGTGACGGGTTTGGTCTTGGCCGCGTATGTCCCGCCATACTTCGTGTGGCGTGACCCTTTGAACTGACAATTTCTGGTCTTTCAGCGATGGAAAGAAGATGAGCAAGAGTCTGCGTAATTACCCGGACCCGAACTTGATCATCAACCAGTATGGTGCTGATGCTACCAGGTACGCCACATTCTTCTTTCTTGGGTGGGATTAGCGACTAACGTCGTAAACAGAATGTTCCTCGTCAACTCCCCCATCGTCCGAGGAGACAACCTCCGCTTCCGCGAAGAAGGCGTCCGCGAAGTCGTCTCCCGCGTTCTCCTACCCTGGCTCAACTCCTTCCGGTTCTTCCTCGGCCAAGTCGCACTGCTCAAAAAATCCACAGGCCACTCCTTCAAATACGACGCCCACGCGCCCGTATCGAACAATGTCATGGATCGCTGGATCCTTGCGCGGTGTCAGTCGCTCATCAAACTCGTGAAGGAGGAGATGGCGGCGTATAGGCTGTATACGATCATCCCGAGACTGTTGGATCTGGTGGACGAGTTGACGAATTGGTATATCAGGTTTAACAGGAGGAGGTTGAAGGGAGAGGATGGGAAGGAGGATACGGTTCAGGCCCTGAATACGCTGTTTGAGACGTTGTTCACGCTTTGTAGGACGATGGTCAGTCAATCCGTTCTTCTTACCTTGTTCACGGCCCTGTTACTAATTCGATTGTGGCGATCTAGTCATCATACACGCCGTTCTTGACTGAGAACATTTACCAGACGTTGCGGACGTTCATCCCCGAGGACCCAAAGGCTGGTGATACCCGGTCTATCCACTTCATCCTCTTCCCAGAAGTGAAGGAGGAGTACTTTGATCCGGCGATCGAGCGCCAAGTCAAGCGTATGCAGATTATCATCGAGCTCACCCGAACCGTGCGCGAGCGCCACAGTATCTCATTAAAGGTAAACATTTTTGCCACGCAAACTTCCTCCACATAGGAGCTCATCACGAACTCAATTACAGACACCTCTCAAAGAACTCCTTGTCTTCCACGCCGACCCGCAATACCTCGAAGACGTCCGCTCCCTCCAACGCTATATCGAATCCGAACTCAACGTCCGCGACGTCGTCCTTACCTCCGACGAGTCCAAATCCGGCGTCAAATACCGCGCCGTAGCCGACTGGTCCGTCCTCGGTCGCAAACTCCGCTCCAACCTCGGCATAGTCAAAACCGCGCTTCCCGCCCTGACCTCCGATGAAGTCAAATCGTACACCGATACGGGAAGGATCACCGTCGCCGGCATCGAGCTCGTCGAGGGCGATCTGACCGTGCAGCGGTATATCGAGGTTCCTGAGGGCGAGGGAGGCCAGTATGCCACTAATACGGATAATGATGCGGTTGTGAGGCTGGATGTGCAGGTCCATCCGGAGTTGGCGGGCGAGTGGTTGGCGAGGGAGTTGATTAATAGGGTGCAGAAGTTGAGGAAGAAGGCGGGGTTGCAGGCTACGGATGATGTTGATGTGTTTTATAGGTTTGAGGAGGGGGCGGGACAGGAGTTGGTGCAGGCGATGAAGGACCATGGAGAGGTTATTAGGAGGACGGTGAGGAATGTGCCGGTGGATGTGAAGGAGAAGAAGGGGGGTAAGGTGTTGATTGAGGAGGAGCAGGAGGTGGCGGAGGTGAAGTTCGCGCTGTTGTTGGTGAGGGCATGAGCATGCACGGTTTATTTGTGGGTTCATTCATGCTGGGCGTTATGACGGGTATGAAGATGAAGTAAAGAGCAGTTGTAATACAAGACATTGTTGTTCCATCTAGAATACAGAGTTGATCGCTCTCTTGAATACAGTACAGATAGTTACAGCGTGAAAGCAAAAAGCACGAACACGAACATAGACGCCAGAGAGGACGCAAGGTATATCACTTCTTCGTCGACCCGAACCCTCCAAAGCCCATCATATTCATCATATCCACGTCCGCACCACCAGACTCTGCAGCAGTCTGCTGAGCGAGCTCGAGCCTCGCCTTCTCTCGTTGGGCCTTCTTCTGGTTCTTCTTCTCCTCGCGAGCGGCCAATTCCTTAGCGCGAATTTCAGCGAGGCGTTGGTCAAAATCAAAGGCTTTGGCGTTGGACGCGTCTTTTGTCTTCTCGCGAAGGTAGGCAATTCGTGCACGGACTTGTTCGACGGTCGAACGCTCTATTCGCGTAGTCTGCCCAAGTGCACGTAGATCTGTGGGTCGAATGAGTGAGCTGCTATGTAGAGCCTCAAGGGAACGTCAACATACGTGCTCGACCATTGATGTGGTCCAAGTAGCCAGTACTATCCTTGTACGTCCGGTTACATGTTTCGCAGTAGAAACCAGGTTGCCCAGGGCCTCTACCACCAGGGTTCTGCACGACCATAGTTTTATTCAGGTTCTTGTCAAGCTCGAGATCATGGTCTCGTCGTTTCATGAGCTCTGTAGGTTTGGGCAGGTCTTGTTTCTTCGCCCGCAGAGGTTTCTTCCCTATCAAATACCGACGGACACATATTAGTATTATGGATTGTAGATACAAGTAGGAGAGACTCACCTTGCTTCATCCGCTCGTCATTCTCCTTCATACGGTCGCGCTCCTCCTCGTCTTTCTTCTTCGCTCGTTCAGCATACTCCTCCTTGTCCCATTTTCTACGAAAGTCTGTGTCCGCCGCCTTTGCACCATACGCGCCCTGTTTATCGGCCATAGCAGAAGAGAAAGGCAATAAAGCTGAACTGGAGGTGGTGGCGCAAGACAAAGTGGTTTAGCGCCCACGTGTGGCTGGCGCCTGCGGTGCGAAGTCGAGCGGAGTCGCACGCGACTTGGTCAAAACATTCAAAACCGCTCTGCTCTCTCTCCTTCTGTCTGCTTGCTTCTTGATTCCCACAGCTCCTTCCCCAGTGGCATGCACCGCTAGCCACCCATCACACTCTTCAGATATACGACACGAACACGACACGAATAATCGCATATTAATAAGATGAGCAATGAAGCGGATGACAGCCACTTCATAGCCATCTTCCCCCTCCCTTTCCGCGTTCTCTTCCTCGTAGGCCTCGGTATCTGGGGCTGGGGCGCAAATTTACACGGTCTCTACTTGCTCGGAATCGATGCAGCCAACGCTCTCGATCTTCGACCACGAGATTCACCGGACGGAACTCTTACGCCATTACCGATTTCGAGGAGTTCCAGTCAACGTGGCTTCAAGTTCGTTCAAGATCCTGCGTCGTACTATGCGCCCGTCTATCGCCTTGCAGGGTTTTATACCGTCTTTTGCACTATCTCGTGGATGCTCTATCGTTATGCGACTTTTGGCGACGTCGCGGAGGTCAACACCTACAAGTATATTCCGGCTCTGTGCGCCCTGGGCGTATGCATGGGTCTCATCTCCCCATTAAACACATTACAAAAACGTGAGCGTGATGTGTTTCTACTGTAAGGCAAACCCCATCATCTCACACTCCCAGGTCACCCTCTCCACTATCACTACCCATCATCGCCACCGAATCCACTAAATCATCATCACCTGCTCTAAAAAATCACCTCGCTCACGCCCAGCTCTGTCCAGCTCGATCCGAAGATGTCTGTTTCCGCCTTCGGGGAGGCCGATATATTTCTCGGATGTCGTGTTTGCGGATGTGTTCACTTCGTTCGCGAAGGTGTTGGGCGATGTGTGGCTTTCGGTGTGCATGTTGATGCCGGGAGGAAGTATTTTGGAGTTGCCACAACAGGAGGGGTGGACGAGGTGGGTCTTACCGGCTCTGATGAGGTGAGTCTTTTGCTCTATCTATTCTTACGACGTCATACTTTTCACATGCCGCATGGGAGGACCTTCTCGACGTCCCTGCTTCACGAGCTCAACGCCTGATCTCGTTTTGCTCCAACAGCTTGCCCTATCTCGTACGCTTCCGACAATGTATGATCGAATGGACCGCCCCCTCGAACGAGAGTAAACGGCCACTCTTCAACGCGATCAAATACGCGTCTTCCTTCCCCGTCATCTTCCTCTCCGCGGCTCAACGGATCGTGGTCTCCGACCTCGTCAAGGAGAAGGGTGATCACATCAAGAATGAGGCGTGGCACGGGGAACATACCCTCTTCCGGCTTTGGTACGTTCCTCCTTTCTCAAGGCCATGTTTTCTTGGTCACCGATGCTGATAACGGTTTCCAACCGCAGGCTGTTGACCGCTTTGGTAAACTCGCTGTATTCGTTCTGGTGGGACGTAACGAACGATTGGGGGTTCAGTCTCTTGCAGCCTTCCTGGCTCAACCCACCACCAAAACCGTCCAGACCCACTTCACTCCCACGACCGCTCGTCCTCGCCACACTGCATGAACGAGCCGAATCGCTCACCAGTGTCCGGACGTCCGTGTCAACGCCGACGACCTCGCCCTCTGGTCTTTCATCACAACAGCCTACCCTCGATTCTATCGATGGTGCCTTCAAGCCGCCATTATCGCACTTGCGCTCACATTCTCCACTGTTACCTCTGAACACGACTCGTCCCTCATCCACGAACCATAATCCCACCCAACATCAACATCAACATCATCAGCAACAGCACCCCCTCGGCCTCCGTCACCCCCTGCTCTTCCCCCTACCCGTCTACCCCTCCATAATCTTCCTCGATCTCATCCTCCGACTCACCTGGTCCATAAAACTGTCCACACATCTCCACGCACACGCACAGGGAGAGGGAAGCGCGTTGATATTTTGGGTCGAGGTGGCGGAGGTGCTGAGGAGGTGGGTGTGGGTATTTGTGAGGGTTGAGTGGGAGGTGGTGAAGAGGGGGTTGACGGGAGCTGCGCCTGGGACGGGGAGAGAGATCGTGGATTGGGATGAGAGAGATGAGGAGGAGGATGAGAGGGTGGAGGGTGAGCAAGAATATGAGTTGGACGAGGAGAGGGACAGGGACAGGGATGCGGGGGCAGGGTCAGTGGCGGGAAGAGGATATGGAATGAATGGCTATAGCGGAGGCGATCCCGAGGGTCCGTTTGATGTCGTGTTTGAGGCGGAAGCGGCTAGACAGGACGGGAAAGCGAGGGTCGTTTGAGCTTTTCGCATCGTATCTCGAAAAGCTTAAACCTCGAGCGAGGCTTGCGGATTCGTGCAATTGGGGTATCGCGCTTCGGACTTGCGGTGCGATCGCCCTCCTATTTTATAGTTGTCTCTTGTTTCCATTTCTTGAAACTTCCATTTCGAATGCTTTTCGCGCTTTGAAGTACAGTAAGTTATTATACCCCCGGGGCTGTAATCGACGGGGACTTGCAGGTGAGTAACTTTAGATACGGTGGCACTGCTACATAAGTACGAATGGATTTCCGCTGGCGTAATGAGATCGACCGTTTCCGTGCCCTTAGGCTTGTGTTCTCGTCGTGGCCGGTGAGGTCAGCATGAGTGGGGGTAAGGGTGAGGGCATGTCTTGTAAAATTTAGGTGGTGAGGGTGGCCGGTGAGTGGACGGTGGACGGTAGAGCGGTGAACGGTGATAGGTACTGTATACATGCTTGATCAGTACGTGGCTTCGGGCGATTTACGGTCTGCGGATGGGTTGGCGCTGTGCGCAAAACAGATGCGGATTCGGACAGCGGGCAGCGGGAGTAGCGCTATGTCGTTCTAATTCATTCATGACCGGTCGTATTTATTCATCCTGTTTCGTTTGAAGGGATAGTTCAACTAGATCCTCTCACTCTCGCCGAGGAACACCCAGTGAAACCGAGCCTTTCCTACTGCCGCGAACTAGATGGTGAAAGGTGGTGTTGAGCAAAGTGCCACTGTGGCCACGCCAGACACGTGCGCTGGGCGCCTATCCATGTGACGACATCGCGGTAGGCGCGCCTCCTACGTCGAACGCGCGCTGGCGAACGCGCTGCACGGCGGTAAATTGCATGCGATGGGCTGGACGGTATCAAGCAAGAAAAAGGACACATCGTACTTACGAAGGCGATCGCAAAGCGCGAACAAGGAATGAAACGATCAGGCCACAATGTGCACGAGACATGTCAGACACTGAAAGAAGAGGAGCCAGCAATGCTTTGTCAGCAAACGAGCAACTCCGGCGTCTTGACGTATAATAGCCACTGAGTCCTCTGCGCTCGCCCAGCCAGCGACCCCTTCGGCCGTCCCTCGCCTTCCCATCAGCTCTCCCTCATCCGTCCTCTGTCCTCTGCCGTCGTACGCTATGGCGACCGTCATCTCGTCCCCAGGAAAAGTTCTCATCGCTGGAGGCTACCTCGTCCTCGACCCAGCCTACTCTGGCGTCGTCGTATCCACTTCTTCTCGGTTCTACACCGTCGTCCGCGACCCTGCTTCTGTTACCGGCACTCACACGCCAAACCATATCGAGGTCAGATCGCCGCAGTTCCTCGACGCTACATGGACGTATTCCGTAAACTACGACGCAAGTGGGAGTAAAGTATCCGTCGAGACGTACGTCTTGTGCTTTTGTCTGCTTTTTTGATCGTGCTTTCATACTTTGTGGGCGGAAAGTGCGGAGGGACCGTCGAAGAACAAGTTTGTCCATTTGGCGATTCAAAATACGCTTGCGCTCGTTGTCGAGATCAAGGGTGCGACCGCGCTCAAGGAGCGCCTCTCCCGGGGGCTTCACATTGTTATCGTCGGGGACAATGATTTCTACTCGCAACAGGACCAGGTTCGTCGGTATCACTTTTATCATCGCGCCGTCTTCAGAGATTCAGAGTTCTCCGTTTTACTCTCGTATACTGACCGCCGGCAATGCGCTTCTCTCGGTTTACACAAAATCACAGCTTCAAGCACGCAACCTCCCCCCAACGCTATCTTCACTCGCGCAATTGCCCCCGTTCAGCCCCACCAACGTCCGTCTCTCTGATGTCGCCAAGACGGGACTCGGCTCCTCAGCCGCCCTCATCACCTCATTCTGCACCGCCCTCCTCGTGCACTTCTCAGTCATCCCTCCCTCCGTCCTCGCCACATCTTCTCCGTCCGGCGCAAGCACAGAGGCCAAAAGACTAGCCCACAATCTCGCTCAATTCGTACACTGTCTCGCACAGGGCAAAGTCGGCAGCGGCTTCGACGTGTCTGCGGCCGTGTTCGGGAGCCATCTCTACAGGAGATTCAGCCCGGAGGTTATTCAGCCATTGATGCAGGACGAGAAGGTATGTCAAAAACTCGCTTCATCAACGTTATGGGTATGAAATCCGATTGCGGCATGATACGATGCGAGACCGACACGATACGACACGACGCATTACTGTGCGGCCGTGCGGCCGTTCCCTCCTTCCATTTCATCTCCTCCACCCCACAAAAACCGACCGTCCCTTAACTCCTCTTGCTCCGCACTTTTCCGTAAATTACACGAATCGAGCAATCCCGTCCGAGAGCTGTGAGACGGAGACGCATGTCCTCTCGGCGAACGATCACGTTCTGAACATCGAGGCATCTCGTGTTTTGGTAGACGCCACACAGCGCATCTCCCACATGCCTACTGATGCCTACACACGCATCTTGACTTCCTCCGTATTTCGTTCCTCGTATCATCCCGTTACCACGTCTTCTCTCGTGCATTGCGCATAGCTGCACTGTATGGTGCGCTGTACGGTGAGCCTGAACGAGGACCCGGACGGGTCACCGATCATGACATGCATGAATTGCTTCCTTTGCCTCCCCCCACCCCGATCCTCCCGATTTACCCGATTTTCAATGTCGATGTCCCGATGTCCCGATTTCATCAAGAACTCAACGTGTTTTTAATTGATCTCATCTCTCTTTCCTCATCTCTTCCTCTCCTCTCCTCTTTTCTCATCTTCTCTTTGTCTTCCAATCCTTCGGTCTCGCGTTACGGTTTGGGGCTCACGGTCATGGGATTATATTACATAGCCGCCACACCTCCTCGCGGTGCTCTCGCCACAGAACCCGACCTGGGATTACGCCATCCAGCCGTTCAAGTTGCCACCCTACACGAGGATTTTGCTCGCGGACATTCACGCGGGGAGCAATACGCCGCATTTGGTGTCGAAGGTGCTCAGTTGGCGGAAGGAGAAGAAGGAGGAAGGTATGTCTCCGCGCATTCACCTCTTCCGTGTCGTCACTTGCTGTGTATGGGAGTTGATGGTTTTGCTTCCGCTGGGGTGGGATTGTGACTGTGATCGTGATTGTGATTTTGCGGCGTTGTGGCTCGTTTTGGATTGGGAACAGCTCTCGCACTGTGGACGAAACTCGACCAGCTCAACACGTCGCTCGCGAAATGCCTCACGCGTCTTTCGGAGTTGCATGAACGGGATCAGGGAATATATCTGCAGGCGATCAAGTGGATAGCGAGTATCCAATCCGTTCAGGTGAGTTTTCTGCCTTTGACCGTCTACCGCTTCGTGTCAGAGTTCGCGATGACTCCGAGTGCCCCGTGAGGGATGCCTATATCAGGCTCTGTCTGTCTCTCTTTGCGAAGTTGCCGACTTGCTTCGTTGGAGGTGTGCGGGTCGGGCGATGTTCGGGGTATGACCTCGCTCAAGAGTGCTTCTCATTGAGATCCACACAGATGGAAGCGCTCGTCGAGCCATTGAAGTCATATCCTGCATTCCTTGATTTAGGGGTTGATCCGCACCTATTACCCTGTCTTTTTGACTTTTGCATTTGGATTACATGGCACTGAATCTGGAACGATGACGTCTTTTGTCGCTGTGTTGACATGGTATTGTGGCGATAAACTAATGTTTTTTTTTGGATCCAATAGTGGCTTGCGATCCTCAATGCTCAACCTGAGTTGTCTGATTGTCTGGAAGCGTTCAACGAGGCGCATGTTTTGACTGAGGTATGTGGATCATCATTTTCGTCCTTGTTCTTCTCTGTGCGCCGCTGGGGTCGCATCAGATTGATCCTCATTATCTGCACCATGATATATAGGCAATTCGAGCCAAAATGCGCGAAATGGGAAGCCTGAGCGGTGTCGATATCGAGCCTCCGCAACAGACGAAGCTACTCGACGACTCGATCTCGCTCGCTGGCGTTATCGGTGGTGGAGTTCCTGGTGGTAAGCCCTCCGTATTCGGACCGGAATAACAGTACCTAATGCCCATGGCGGTCCTTCTGTTGAATTAGCTGGTGGATACGACGCCGTGTGGCTCCTGCTCTCCGACCCACCAGAACCGGTGCACGATATCCGGCCGCTCGTGCGCGTCGAGCGGCTCTGGGGCGCCCAGAAGAGCGTCACACCGCTTTTGGCGGAGGAGAGCGTGGCGGGGAGTGGGATCCGGTTGGAGGAGTTGGGGAGTGTGAAGGGGTTGGAGGCGGTCGTGTCGGCTTGAGCTTTCTCCTATTCGATCGTGCTTGAACAGGAGGGGGCTTATTTCGCGATGTGAAACATTGGTGGCAGGGCTATCGGAGTTCGCTATATCTTCTCGAGCGGAGCGAGACAAATGATTGTGGTGCATCGGTTTCGGTATACGACAAGGTCTGGTCTGGTCTGGTCTGGTCCATGGAAGCATCTGAACTCATGTCTGGGTCAATTGGGTTGGAAGTACACGACTTATATTTATTTCCGTAGACTCACGCTGCTTCTCTTTCTGATCTACTACTCTCTATTTCTTTCTGTGCTGTTTCTGCTGTCCGTCTGTCGCTCTGGTTTAATTTGGATTCACCTTGTAGGGCGGATTCGATTGCACTTCTGAGTGATCTTGACGGTATTCATGTTTTCTTTTGTTGATGCTTTTGTTGTTGTGTTGGTTCAACCTTTTTCGTTCGACCCGGATATCTTACTTACTCACCTTTGAATCGTTTGCATACATCGGATTCACTTTGTCTCGTTCGTTCTGGCTGAGTGTGGTGGAAGAGTGCTTGGAAGAAAGGCGACTGTTGGGCCACACCGATTTTGTCTTGCTGTCGATTTAGCGCCCGGCAAAGTCCGGTCCATTTCACCTGTCAGGTTGTGGCGCTCGGCAGCGGGCGGTTGATCAACTTCGACCTTTCTTGTGTCTGACCACGACAATCATGCATTGCCCAAGACAGCTTTTTGACTTAACAAAGAGACTGCGATCCCTAGACACTACTCTATTGTGACCTTAGCGGTGTGCTTGTTTATTTGCGACACGACGAGCCCGATCGAGGTGTGCAAATTTCCCACTGGCCGACTACTTTGAACTGAGCAAAGTGTGAGTGCACTACTGTACCGTTCAGCACGCACATTAATCTGAGCCATCCCGATAAGTCTTTAATATGCGTCCTCCGGACAGAAACATGCATCGGATCGGCCTTCTCGATCTACCAGAAGATGTCCTAGTCCAGCACATCCTGGGTCGACTAGATTTTCGTGATGTTCTCAGATGCTCGATGGTACGCTCTGGCGAATTCTTTGCACACTACTCGTTGACATCACTGAACGTTGTTTCAAGGCATGCAAGACCCTCTATATGGGATGAAAGAGACCTCATCAGCTCTCCAGCTAAAAATTGAGCTCGGTGCAGACGGTATTGCCGACACAACGGTTTCTCTCGACAATTCCGTATCGTCTGCTGAGCGACTCGAACGCCGTTATGCGTGGCGCTCCCTTGAATGGAAGAAGCTCGACACCATCACGCTTTCCAGGCCATGCGATATGTCCGAGTTCATAGGCGGTGTCTTCGTTCAAATTGAAAACGACAAAGACAAACCAAACTCCTCTATGACCGTTGTGCGGGCACCGTCTCCGAGTGGGGGTCGGCGAGAGTTAGCGTTCGAGGATATAGGTGTTTTGGCTGCGGAAATGACCTTCGATTCAAGCCAGGATCTACTCGCACTCATCGAGCATCGCGGGAATTTAGGATCTTACCCGAAAATCACACGCGACCTTGACGGGGAGCTTACCATCCATTTACGATCGCTGACATCAAACCAAGCCCATCCCCTAGCCACAGAATCCGTTCTTCGTGCCTTTTTCCATGAAGAGCAGTCAGAGGAAATTACTAGCGAGGATGTCAAAGAATTTGAGATCTTCGATGATATGCTCGCTCTCTTTTGTGCGTATAGTTATAACACAACCCACGCCTGCATTTGGAATTGGAAATCTGGGGAAGTTGTTTTTAAACGGAAACTTGTAAGTCCCAAATTTCTTGACTGATCTGCTGCGTAAAATCGAAATATGTTCATCTAAGTGTCGTATCTCCAGTTCAATGAATCAGAATTTGGACACACGGCGATAGATAGCCTTAGCAGCGGCATCTGTTTCCTCTCCTCACGAATGATCATCTCGAGTTCACGCTGCTCGGAGAAGAGTATACAACGTCAAATGCGCTTCAACATATTCTCGATTTCCGACCCCATTTCCATTGAAGAAACCTCGTCCTCAACTCCTTCGCGCTACGAGTTGACCCACATCTCCACTCTACTTCTTCCCTCCTACAGCTCTGATTACCATTGCACCGGCTTCTATAGCTTTACCTCTTCTTCCTCCCCTCAAACATCACTCGGTCTATTTTTTGCGACTTTGGGCTACAGTAATTACCACGGCGGTGGCCACTTCCATGTTGTCTCTTCTATTGGGAGTCTATTGAAATACGCTACCCGGCAACCGCAAGAAAGAAAACTTGGAGCTCGTAAGGTTCCGTGGCAGGACTGGGGCCCCCGCTCGTCAAGAATCCTTCTTCGGCATAAGGAACCAACAATTTCCTTAAGGTAAGTCATTATTGCCCTTATTTCGACGCGCAGTCCTGATCCCAAGTTCCGATGAATAGTTATATTAGGTCTGCGATCGGCAACAGAGCCGTCTTCGATGCTCGCCGGGCAGCTTCAGAGGACTGGGAATTTCTATCTGGCCACACTGTCTTCGTAGATTTTGGCTACCATCTCCTGCGCGACAAACAATTTCCTCGGCCGGAGACCGGCCGGAGACCGTCTATGACGGTATAGACGAGCGACTTCCGAGGGTGGCCACAGAACAATCAGATACCATTATTGCCGCAGGGGACGGCCCCTTCACCATCGATGTCGAGAGCCGACTTCCCGTTCGTAGTATCTCGCTGCCCGCTCATTTGCCTGGATCTGGAGATAGGTGCTGCGAGCTCGATGCAGAGCGCATAGTCGTGATACAGGTCGGTCAACTTGCGCATGTTCTCTGTTTACGATGTGCAAAGCTGACGAGATGTTTCTTGTGTAGGACGTCGGTTACAAGAGAAATGAGCTACGAGAGTATTTGTTTTGACTCAGGAAATGCAGATAACACCAAAGCCTGCGGTTTTGACCGAGTGACATCGACAGTTACGCATGATCCCTCTCTCGCTTCAACCATCCCAGTTCGATCTTCCGTGGTCCGGGCCTTGCTATGTTTCGTGCTCTTACAACCGCTTTCAGGATGATAGACACCCGTCTTCTTTTTTCGAGTTCACCAAATACCAATAAAATTGAACTGAATTTATATTCCACACTGAACGCTCTTGAATGCTTCCTTTTGGCAACGAACGGTGTTGCAAACGCTCAAGCGCTCAAGCCAGATCTCCCGCGGGGTGGGTGTTATTTAGCCATTTACATTGACGTTTGGTCGCCACAAACAAGAATGGTTGTTGTTGGTCTGAAAGCGGCTGTAAGGCACAGTAATAACGAGCAGAAAATGCACGACAATGAAGCGAGCAAGCTCATCCGAATAACGAGATCGTTTGCTAGTGCTGAACGACCAAGGGCCTGCGATCACACGTAGTCGACGAAAATCAAGGTGTTGAGATCCGACACTCCATTATCGAGAACGCCTCCCGCACAATCAACAGCAAGAGCCGAACTATTGCGCAAGTGGTTCATAATGCTTGTTGAAGAAGCATCATAATATATTGACTCGGAGCAGCTATCTGTAACGCACTTTATCATACACATTTTCTCCCCAATAATACACGCCGACAAGAGAGCAAGAAGCAGAGGCAGAAAGGGAAAAAAATCGAAGAGGAGAAAGAAGAATCCACAACCAAATATTCACGAGTTATGATACCCACGACGCGTTCGATCAAGCAGCGACAGCGATAGGCTGCGACGCCTCCCTCAACGTCGTATCGACGAATGACGAGCCCATAGGGTCCCGGGCATTGAGGTTGACCTCAAGCTTGACAGCACGACACTCAGCGACGAAGTCCGTGAACATCTGAACATCACATGAAAATCAGCATCACGACCCACAGGGAAAGCAGGGGTAGTGGAACAAATGAAGAGAAAGTAAACGAACCTCGATAGTATCAAGAGGACCACCAGCAGACTCCGGATGGAACTGCACACCCCAGACGCGCTTGCCAGACTCAGGTGTAGACTTGATACCCTCGACGGAAGAGTCGTTGCAATTGATGAAGAAGGGTTCCCAGCCTTGGGGGAAGGGGTCCTGCAACTTTAGTGCGTACTGGTGGTTTTGGCTGAAAATGGACGGAACAATTTCAGTCTTACGAAACTATGCGAGAGCAGGTCTAGAAAGAGATACGAACCTCGTAACGTAGACTCGTCCAGCCTTAATCGACCCCGAATTCGCGAGCGCAAGCACGGGCTGATTGTGCCCCCTATTCCCAAACGTCATCCTGTACGCGTCCATCCCGGCCGCCATTCCAATAATCTGATGTCCCATACAGATACCAAAGATGGGCTTCTTCCACTCGGCGATCGTCTTCCTCAGGATATAAGCCGCATCCCAGCACTGCTGCGGGTCACCGGGTCCATTGGACAGGAAAAGTCCATCGTACTGGTCACGGACGGCGTTGAAGTCAAAGTTCCAAGGGAGGACGGTAACGGCCGCATCCCTACGAACGAGAGAACGGAGAATGTTGGCCTTAGCGCCGAAATCGAGGACGGCGATCTTGACGGATCCGGAAGGGTTGAGCGTGTAGGGCTCCTTCGTCGAAATCTGATCCACAAGGTTCTCCGTGCTAGGATCCCAGTATTCTTCGTCCTTCGGGGCAGGACTAGACACGTCTGCACCAACAGCGAGCCTGCCGAGCGTCGTGCCCTGGTCACGGAGAAGAGTCGTGATAGCACGAGTATCGACGCCGGTGATACCTGGGACGTTGTACCGGCGGCACCAGGAGGAGATGGATTCGACGGCGGTGTAGTGAGAGAATTTTTCGGCGACGTCGGCGACGACGACGCCTGCGCATTGGATGCCAGAAGATTCGAGGAGAACTCCGACGTCACGGGAGTCGAGAGGGGCAGTGTTCTTGGGAACACCATAGTTGCCGATGAGAGGCGTAGTGAAGACAAGGATTTGACCGCGGTAGGAGGGATCAGTCATTGATTCGGTGTCTGTGCAAAATAAAATAAAAATAGATAGGTCAGGCTCACAGATGCGTGTGGAATGACACCGGATTAAAAATATGACGTGGTGGGAAACGTACAAGAGGTGATAGACGTGCTGAACACGGTTTCACCAAAGATGCTTCGCGGAGCACCGAAAGAGCGACCAGTGAAAGACTGGCCAGTCTTAAGATGGAGAACAGCAGGGAGGGCGGCGTTGGGTCCGGCATGGGTAGCGAAACCTCGGTTGAGGCGGGCGATACGGAAAAATGGTCGGGCGAACATGTTGATATGGTTGGTTTAGAGTGTATAATAAAATTTAATAGGCCGAAGAGTGCAAGGGTTATTTAATGGACTGGGAGAGAAAACACAAGGTCGCTGAGGTAGCTGTGGTTCAAGTTGAGTGAGTCATTGCTCGAACGAAAACGAAGAGTAAGAGAACGTACTCGTCGCGAGTGTTTTTGTCGAAAGTCATATACGATGGGTAGACAACCCTAAAGTAATGGAGCTGGCGAGGAACAGGCGAGGTGAGCAGCTGGTGTGGTGCAGGTCAAAGGTTGAGGGTATAAAAGCAAACAAGCAGCGCGCAAATTTTATGGCGGTAAACTGGCACGTGGCTCAAACGTAACGCGCCACGGTCCTGACTCACAACACCCACGGCTCGCCACATTGCACAATTGCCTAACATAATATTCCTTGTCAAGCGGACATGTTCGATGTGAAAGGGTGAGCAAACGAACAGCAGGGTATGTAGCGTGACGCATGCTCATTTGCGCCGGAGATCACGAGAGTACAAGGAAGCAGTTCGAATCATGTAACGGTTACCAAAACACCGCCACGACAATAAATACCCAAACCACCACAGGCGGCCACGCCACAGACCACAAATCGCACAAAAACCTCCCGAACAACCCACTCTGCCTCACACTCTCCTTCATACCACTGCATTTTCTAGCCAAACCACCCACAGAACCCCGTTGAGCCCCTCTTCCTGGACTTGACAGTGGGCTTCCTCTGGGAGAAGGCGACCACCTTCCCTCATCATCTGACCTTCTGTATCCTGTCGGAGATGACCGCTCATAGTCATACTTCGACCCCATCGCAATCCCACCCCTCCCTTTTCCATATCCACCTCTCGCCGGCACATAACTCGTGTCATACTCGCTCAACGCCGTCAGGTAAAAGATCAAGAGCAAAGTGAAGATGAACAACGGCGTATACATCGCCAGATACACATTCAGCTGGTTAGGCAATAAACACGGTCTATCGGCGATACTGATAGGTGCGTCGTACGTTGACAAGGGAGTTCCCGTGGAGGATGAGAAGTCGAGCGGAAGGAGCGATAGGAGGTGAAAGCCCGGCTGGCGAATGCCCATGGCCATGGAAAGCGATTTTACGGTGACTTCCCGGACGCGAGAGGGCGTGGGGTGGTGATTGTCGTGGTGCGAATCGCCCTTGTTCGGGAGATCGTGCATGAACTCGCAGTAATCGTGGTCATCTCCACTGGAGATGACGAATAGGATGAGTTTGGGCGCTATTCCTAGAGGAGGCGTGGAAGGAAGGAAGGAATGGATACATGGAGACTCACCTGAAGACAATGGAAGGCCTGAATGTGTCAAGCAATATGTCCGACATTGCCGGACTCAACTCGTTCTGATATCCCAATCCGTGGCCTTGTGTAATTCTTCCTTTTTCCCTCAGGGGGCCGCACGAAGAATGTTCAGGCCTTGATAGTGGAATGTGCGTGAACAGCACCAGCGGTTGTAGCGGCTTGCCTGCCATCATTGGTACAAACCAAAATTTAGCCAAAATTAAGCAGTTCATTCCTTCTTGGACCTGGAAGTGAGGAGCACATACCAGAAGCTACCGAAGGCCAGAATTTGGCCTCATCCAGCTCTTTCGGCAGGACGTCCCCATCCACCACCTTGACACCTCCTATACTCCTTTCCTTAGCGACAAGACTCATCGAATCGACGAACACGAGCGTGTGGTTCGCGATCGTGTGGTACTGATTAAGGGGTCCGAAGGAAGAAAGGTAGCGCGACTGAGCGTGCTGAGAGGTCAGCACACCGTCACCTAGGCTGTCAAATGACATAATGTTATGAGAACGAAGTCTTTAGGAGGTGTGACTAGGGACGAAGGACTTCGAAGAGGAAGGCTGATGTGATGGGGATGGAAAGTAGCGGCTGGCGTACCCTACGTCGTGGTTTCCGGGGAGGTAGTAAACTGGAGCATTCGGTATAGGATGGAAGATGCTCCGGAAGCGTTGCACGTAAGCCTGATACCTGGATAATTCAACGGTCAGTATGACGAAAAATCAGATATAATGACAAGTTTAGCCCCTGTCCAGCGGCAACCAGCAAAAAAAAAATACGGTCACCCCTGGTCGACAATGAGCATTCCATCTATGGCAAGATGACGCAGACCAGACTGCAAATAGCAATAGTCATGACTCATGCTGCCGGGTCATCGTGTCTTTACCCATACCACAACACATTATTTCTCCCTTCACCGGACTTGAGACAGTTAAGAACTAACTCACTCCTCATCGCTCATTTCCGCCCTCCCATTGTCCGTCATGTCTCCCAAGAAAATTACAACATCCGCCCTCGGTCTCAGATCCCTCGCCACCTTCCAAGCCTTTCTCAAGTTAAAATCCACCAAAAACTGTGTTAAGGACATGAGTAGGGGATTTCGACCCGGATATGAATTGTGGTCGAGTATTTGAGGATCGGCTATTAGGAGGATATGTGTTGGTTGTGTGTTTGGGTGCGTGGCTGCGGAGGATTGGGAGGAGGCATGGGAGGATATGTGGGAGTGGGGCGTTGCGTGGATACCCTGTTCATACGTTTAGGTTAGATGAATATCGACCGGCAATAGTACGGAGAGTGACATTGACGATGAGAGAGCAAGCAGACTCGGACATACGGGGGTAGGCCAGTGACAGTCCGCGACACTAAAATAAAATACGCCGATTTCGCACCAGATTACAATGAAGATCCATGCTAGACGTATTACTGCGAGCCTACGAGGAATTCCAGATGTAAGCAGCCTGAGAATTCGGAGTGGAAGGTTGAGCAACGACATCGGTCTTGGACGGTTTGACGGCGCTGAGAGGTCTACGACTGAGTAGCGGACGCTAGCAAAAGCTATAGAAGGGGGTATCCAGTAACTATGACTGCGGCTGCATATCAATAGCCGCGCTACGAATATAGGGGAACCACGGGTTGCTTTGCTGGTCAGCGTTTGCAGGAAAGAAACATGGAAAGCGGCGTTGACGTTGATGCTTGTCGCCACAGCGCTTGTGGGAGTTTGGAAACCTTGTCTTACGTCAGCGGTGTCCCGTTCTCTGGCGCTCTTCCACGACGTTGAAACGACGGCGACCCGGACCTGTTGATGACCTGTACTGAGACAGAATTGGAGAGCTTGAGTCCGCGGTCTGATTACACACTGTTCTCAAGAAAAACTGGAGGTTCTACCATGTAGTCTCTTCGCGGCACAGTAAGAGACACATGATCAAGTACTTGATGTATTGGGCTGACAGTCCAAAAACCTCTCGGTGAGTGTCAGTTCAATGTGCTCCAGTCCGATTCCGCTGACTGAACAGCTGGGTAACCTTCTATTATGCATTGGCCGCCTCTCGACTCGGAGCTTTCATGCTTCCGAGGATACTTAATGCATACAAGTGCGCTGCACTTTTCTAAGGATAGATCTCGGCTTTTCTTGATATCGGCGTGTTTCTAGACATGCCCTGGAACTTGAGTTGAGCTCATTGACATCACGACTTGCGACATAGTCTACCGCATCACTCAAGTGGGTCCTTACAGAGGGCTTCGTAGAATCTTATCAATGCAAGGCCTTTGGGTGGTATAAATACACCAGCATAATCGCTGTGCTTTCCTTCTCCCCCACAGATACACGTTCACTATGGTGCCAGTCATTAACGGCCGCACCCTTTTCAATGAGATACCCACCGGTAGTCTTTGATCACCCTGTAGCGATTCCTCACTACTGATGTACTCATGAAACATCTTGTCCTTCATATTAGGGTATCCCGTTCCAGGAAAGACCACCATTCACGATACATCCCAGACGATTGACTTGGACAATGTACCGCTGGAAGGCGGCATCCTCGTCAAAACACTTGTTTTGTCGATTGATCCTTATCTTCGAGGACTCATGATAGAGCCTGATCCGAAGAACTACGCGGTGAGCCCAGGCTAGTCCCCCTTCTTACTCAGTTAACGGAGTATGGTGTCACTCGTCTCAGGCGACCTTTCACATAGGAGAGCCGTGAGTACTTTGCAGTGATCACGAAGACACTCGCATCTGCGCTCATTAATAATGCGTGTAGGATCTCCAACTTTGGGGTCGGCGTCGTGCTTAGGTCCGAAGACTCTAGCTTCGAGAAGGGAGATCATGTGTATGGAATACTTAGTGAGTACATAGCTCTGGGTCGTCTGACTGATGGTACTCTGAGCTGTCACCTCGATATAGCTTTTGAAGAATATATCGTCAAGAAGGACCCCACCTCTCTCAGTAAGCTGCAGAACGCAGGTCTTCCATGGGAGCTTCACGTAGGCACGCTCGGGATGCCAGGTACGCGGAGGGATGAACCTAATAATAGAGACTCATACTAACGTTTGAGGAAACTAGGACAAACGGGTACGTTGCAGGCCTTTACTTGAGGTTACATTTTTTGCACGTAAACTCATCATCTTGCAGCGTACTTCGGGTGGAAGGAGTACTCCGCAGCCAAGAAGGTCGTCTGCCTCTGTATCCCTTTTTAACACTTGCTAACAGACCTCGATATATCAGGGAGACACGGTCTTTGTGACTTCTGCAGGTTAGCACCAGCATTTACACAACCCCTTATCACGCTCACAATCCCCCCATGTATACAGCTGGCCCGGTGGGAAGCCTTGTTCTCCAGCTCGCCAAGTTGGACGGTCTCAAAGTGATCGCATCGGCCGGCAGCGAAGATAAAGTTGACTTCGTTCGCAGTCTTGGTGCAGATGTCGCGTTCAATTACAAGACTTCAAGCACGAAGGAAATACTAGAGCGCGAGGGACCTATTGACGTGTAAGTTAACATATCCACAGCAAGGGTCCATCGGACTGAGGTTCGCTGAACTTGATCTAGATACTGGGTCGGTATTAGTCCTAGTGTGTTCTCCATGTCCATCTTCATCTGATTTTCTTGTGGCCCATGCTTCAGGATAACGTTGGCGGCGAGGTTCTTGATTTAGCGCTCGTGAACTCAAGTGTCGGCGCTCGTTTCATCGTAAGTCAACAGGTCGTCTTGGACAAAGGAATACTCTTGCTCATAACTATCTCTCCGGTGTGGCGTAGCAATGCGGCGCGATTGCTATGTACAATGACACCTCATTGCCCGGAATAAAGGTATGGCAGACGAATTTCGACGTCCATCCACGCACGATGACGGATTCATTCATCTTTTCCACATCATAAACTAACTCGCCGCAGAACTACGACTATATCATCAGGAAGCGACTCACCGTGCAAGGGCTCAACGTTGTGGCTCTCGCCCCAAAGTATTCAGAGGAGTTCTATCGCATTTTGACTCCATTGATCAAAGAGGGGAAGATAAAGCATCGGGAAGATGTTTCTAAAGGTCTGGACACTGCAGGGCAAGGCATTGCAGATGTTCAACGAGGGACCAACACCGCGAAGAAGGTTATCTTGGTTGCGGAAGAGTGAATTTGGTCAGGGTTTATAACCAGACGACATGCAATTTCTCAGCGGACTTTGAGTCGCTATAGCCTATTTCTGCGATTCAGTAGTTGTCTCACTCACCCTCCATAACTTTGAGCCTGGGACTTAAACTCGAAGTCATTACTCGGGAACCTACTGGGTGCCACGGGGTCCACAGATAAGTCCGGCATCGGCATTCGGCAAGGCTTTGCGGCCACCGGCTTCCGCTCAAGTTCCGCTGCTTCCCTCCCGCCCCTCCCACCAAGAAGTTATCTCTCTACCATGTCGACCCCGGAGGAATGGACCAAGGTCCACTGTAAATCTAGCTCACAATGGGCTGTTAAAGCCGATGAACCTGCTCGGCCTTTTTGATCTTTTAAGGGTACCGCCGAATGAGTCAGACGTACTTTATTTCGGTTCTGGAGGTGATGATGCTCACAGATGCACATCGACGATGAAACTGGCGACATAGATACCCAGTCAGACTTTATCCGGTTCCGGATCGGTCTTCTCACTGGACTTGCTCCAAAGCTTATTAGCAAGACACTTTGGTTGTTTTGTTCACGCAGTATATAAACCCGCCTACCGACCGTAGCACCCGACCTGCTTGCTTTCCTCAGGCTTTCGCAACTTATCCAACTCAACACACCATGGCACCAGTGACTAACGCCCGCACTCTCTTCAACGAGGTACCTACTGGTACGTGCATATCTAAGTATCTTGTTAAATGAACGTGTAGGTCATCACTCACTGCGCTTGGGCAATATGGAACAAATCGTCGAACAGGTTATCCTGTCCCCGGACGGACTACTGTACACGACACATCGCAGACGATCGACCTGGATAATGTCCCTCTCGAGGGTGGAATCCTTATAAAGACGCTCGTCCTGTCGATCGACCCATACATTCGGGGCAGAATGAGGGCCCCTGAGCCTAAGGCCAAAAGTTACTCAGTGAGTTCTCTTGTGCAGAAACATCGAATTATGTCCTCTTTCTGAAGAATTGAACAGCCACCGTTCGCAATTGGAGAACCGTAAGCTCCTTTGGTCACGCGAACATGTCGTGGGGACACTAATGGCTCGTCGACGTCATCTCGACAGAATCACCAATTATGGAATTGGTGTCGTTCTTAGGTCTGAGAAGTCCGGGTATGCAAAGGGTGATCATGTCTCTGGCATTCTTCGTAAGCAATTCCAGTTGACCATGCTAGGATTTCTGTGTTGATGCATCATATCTTGCTCGACTGCAGCCTTCCAGGAGTATACCGTCCAGAAGGATCCGTCTTCGCTGAAGAAACTTGTAAATGCCGGTCTTCCGTGGGAGGTCTACCTTGGTACCTTGGGGATGCCTGGTATGCACCATCTCTTTGATGAAGCGTCTATGCGCACTTACAAGTAAAACCTATATCGCTAGGTCAAACAGGTGCACATCTACTTCTGATATGGTTTCGAGAAACTTCCACACTCACAGATAGACAGCCTACTATGGATGGAAAGAATTCTCCGCAGCAAAGAGGGTGGGTAGCCCGAAAACTTTATCCTGTATATCCGCTGATTATTGACGACATGGCAGGGAGAGACGGTCTTCGTGACCACCGCAGGTATTATTTCAGCCACCTGAACATTCTCATTCTATGTTAGCACTGAATATCTATTTTTCACATTCGCAGGCGGACCTGTCGGTAGCCTCGTCGTGGAACTGGCCAAACTCGACGGTCTTAAAGTCATTGGCTCTGCCGGAAGCGAAGAGAAAGTCGAGTTCGTTCGCAGTCTCGGTGGCGATGTCGTCTTCAACTATAAGACCACGAGTACAAGGGAGGTGCTCGAGCGTGAGGGTCCAATCGATATGTATGTAACTCTCAATATATCCTCCTCTGTGCTGATCGAGTCTGACCGGGTTGGACAGATACTGGGTTAGTCACTGGAGCGATGTCTATGGCGCAGCAATTAGCTGACATTTTCATATTCGCCAGGACAATGTCGGTGGAGAGATTCTCGACCTGGCGCTTGAGTATGCCAATACCGATGGCCGATTCATCGTGAGTGCTTGCTACTGATTGTGCCCCTTTCCTTCGACTAACGATCCTGCTTCATGTGACATAGCAATGTGGCGCCATCTCCATGTACAACGACCCCTCGTTCCCTGGTATCAGAGTGAGACATTCGCATTTCTTTCCTCGTATATTTCTCTGACCATTGGTGACCTCTTGCTTTCACAATTCAGAACTATACGCAAATCTTCCGGAAGCAGCTCACGATGCACGGTCTGCTCGTGCCCAGACTCGCCCACAAATACGAAGAAGAATTCTACCGCGTCATAGTCCCACTCGTGAAAGAGGGGAAGATCAAGCACAAGGAGGATATCTCTAAGGGGCTGGAGACTGCCAGTCAGGGTATAGCGGACGTTCAGCAGGGGAAGAACAAGGCGAAGAAGGTGATTTTGGTCGCGGAAGAATGAACTCGAGTGGCAGAGAGCCTGGCTTCATGTAGGATGGTAGTATTACCCGTGCCGTGTACGATAGTCAGGTAATGTGTAGGACGTGAATAGTCCGTGACACGCATAGTCATAGCCGCACGAGATTGCAAAGAACCCATGATATCTTCACAGGCAAAATTTACTGTCCAAGTCCGTGCGCTACGATCGTCTTAGCAGCAGTTAACTTTCCAGATGGGTGCATGCTTAAGACTCAGGGTGTTGCATCATGAACGTTGTATGGGGGAAAGGATCTCAGGCAAATGTGGGACACAAATAATATGATAATCTGCTCGATGGCAAGTAGTTGAATACAAGCTCTTAGCTGCAGAGGGCGGTACAAACACAACAATCAAAAAAGGGAGGAGAAGGAAGGAGACGTTATTCAAAGGGTGGTCACCGATAAACCATATCGATCTTCACTCCAACAATTCGCGTTCGCGCACCGTCGGACGAATGCAGAGGGCGCTATCAGGGGGGAACGCAGCCAGTAGCGAATGTAGCCTTAAACTGCCAAAAAAAAACCCCCCGCGGTCAATATAACAGAAAGGAGGACCTATGGGTCTCAGCCGAAGCCAGAATTAAGCGTACAGGGGGAGTGCAGCATCGGCCCGTCGTAACAGGTGTCGCTGGACAATTGCCTGAAGGTAAGGGATGGACGCATCCTATACCGTATAGTGTTCCATTGGGGGGAGGTATCTACAGAGTCTCATATGTGAGTCAATGTAAGGCTATCAAGGCACTCTCAACTTACATGAACATAGCTAGCGCAACACTCAGCTACGCTGGGTGGGGGACAGGTGAATGCATTTACAGAAGTCACCTAGTAGAAAGGATAATTATCAGTATATCATCCAGGCGGAGGACGGCCGACAGAGGGAGACTGACAGAGACCAAGGCGGTCAAAGCAACGACAATATGGGTGTACGAGAAGGCGATCATGTTGTCGATGTTGTGCGATGCTAGAGAGACGAGTGGGTTGTTGTCTGTTGTCAAAAGACGTTTCCGACGTCCTCTTTATACCACTGGGGCGTAACCTCTCCGGCAAAGCGCATGCAGTTAGAACCAACGGAGAAGCAAATGAACGCCCCAATGGTCACTTCACACTCTACCTTACGAGCAGGCGTAGGCTCAAAGTCGAAAAACGGTTTGTATGGGAGGCATGATACTGCATGGACATATCTCGAGGTCCTAGCGAGAGGGCAAATGAATGTAACGGGCGGCCACTGGCAGGTTATAGTAGAATACAGCGAGACCCGTGAACAACGACCCCAGGCGCGATTGTGTACAGTGTCCACAAAGAAGTGGTAAGGTGGCAATCAACTCCAGCTAGCAAGCTCCATAACAAGGCTCTGTATAGAGGCAGAAGCGAAAACATGGTCATTTTTGGCATGCCAGTACACTAGAGAGGCCGGCGATGTCGAAATGGCGAGATGTCTGAAGTACTCAGGCTCAAGGCCAGTGGCAAAGCATACAGTGGACATCGCCAAATAGACCTAGTAATGCCAAAACAATATATGTTTGAGCATTGAGAGTAACTTCAAGTGAGGGATATACATATGTGAAATGCCTGTGGTTGGTTAGACAAATGTTATGCAAACGCCACGTTCAACTTGGTCACCGTCCGTGAAAAAGTCGTGGACGACCCTTCCCTATGGCGCACGCCAGCCTTCCGGAGCTCGGAGCCGGACGTGTCACCGTCATCTGCGTGATGTTCAGGTTGCCCCGCGAGTGTTCATCCCCCAACCCGCCTCCATCAATGCCACAATCATTCAGTACAGCAGGCGCCTTCAAAGAGACATAGGCTTCAACTTTCAACACAGTCATTGCGAGCGTAGTGTCGAAATGTTTCTGCGTACGTTCTCTTGACTTCCTCTTGTAATTTTGCGCATACTACTTATACAGTGAACGACCACGGTCAAACCTGTCTCTGATATTTATGTGGCGCAGCCTTATGCGCGTCCGCGTCCTGACGTGACAGAATTGTCTGATAGATTCTGTAGACCCAGATCGTGCCCAAATTTCCAAGTGGAAAAATTTAGCTTGGGCGCATAGTAAGAGCGAGGTCGGGGGAAGACCTAGGCCTATGGGGAATTATCTTGAAAGCTCCCACATCCCCATTATTAGTCTCTTTCGTTCATAATGGCCTGGATATGTCAGGCGTTGAATGTTTGGGTGACTATGACCATCTGGTCTACTCGAGGAACGCAGATGCCCCCCCATTCCTCTAGATGCGCCATCCCTTCTTTTCATATACGCCCACGCCTCGGGATTATCGGGGCAAAAGCTCGATGAAGATGCGGCCGTTGCAGCCGATGCAGGACGAGCCACAGTGAAACATTGGCCTAAACATGAAAGCAAACAGAAAAGATTCAAACCTCCTATCTAGGCCATTCTTTCATTGAGACCATGAACGATAGTCATCCATCCTGGCCATAGTAGACTGTGCGATGGACATCATTCTTTGTGCCGTCCGTCTCGAGACAGCTTGCTCCGGGACGCCAGGATGTACGTTCCTAGAAACTTATCAACCCACCTCCACCGAGATGTTGCGACTCACACTCATCGCAATGGCAGAGTCACCCATCTCGCTCCCAGAGTGTGGTATGGTGTTACACTTCATCGTCCGCTGAGACACACCTCGAGGGGAGTAACTCACCAAGTAAGACTGATACAGAGTTTTGAGGTGTATAAGCATGCTGCCTCGTTCATCCGCGCTGCGGACCCAGTACGACATTGTGGCTAGGAAAGAGCGTAGCTATAGTTATCACTGGCGCGGGCATCGTTGCTTGAGTCCCGGGAGCGTAGCGTGAAAAATCTACGAACGCGACAACGCAGCATTCCGATGACGGAAGGAGACAAGTTGAAACGGTTGCACAATAAAGGGCTCGTCGCCCAAAACGGACGGAGGATTGCGCCGCGTTTTCGGTGCCTGTATTTTAGACCGGGTGGCGTGTGGCGCTACATCACGACCTTGGTTTTTTTCAAGCATCGACGAACACGGACACCAAATGCAAAATATGGCAGTGCTATTCTTCCTCCCGTACGGTTTCTGTCGACAATTGACATACACTCACTTGAGGTATCTGAATCCTACGTGAACCGCTGCAGTGTCCAGCGGCGCAAGTTCACCTCAGGCCTCAAGCTTCAAGCTTCAAGCTTCAAGGTCAAGGTCAAGGTCACCTCCCCTACCCGGCGCAGTCGCAAACCATCTAAGCATAACTCTCAACCTCTATCAACCTTCCATCGACCCTGCCCATGTCATCGAGATTCGACATCGACGTCATCGAAACTTGCCGCCCTGTTCAAGTTTCAACATCGAACACATAGATACATTGCCCTTGATGGAACGTTGCACATCCTCCATCGAGGCGCCGAGGGGACTTTGCAATGATCATGACGGTGCATGACTCCACACATGTTCATGTACGGTGCGCTATTCTGGTCTGACCACTCACCAGAGCTGAGACTCAGAGCACGGTGACCGCGTTCCTGGTGGTCGGCTCAGTGCTCACACCGATGCCAATGCCCGAACAAAACGCGAAGGAGAGGATGGAGCAAAAATATAGGATTATACGTCTATTGGAGGATTCGACTTGGTTTGATCTCACGTTACGAGCACACGGTCAATAACTTACCCCGACTTCTACGCCATCATGATCCTTCATACATCCCTTCCCTCCCTCACCGCCCCAACCCACCCCAACCCATCCCCTCAACAACTCAAACCGCATCGTAACGCAAACTCAAACCCCAACCCCCCTCCCCTCCCTACTCTCCCTCCACCCCCCATCCAACCTATCCAACAACCCCTGCACGACCCTCACCGCCTCCTTCCTCTCCCTTCTCGCGTCCTCCCATCCGCCCTCGAAGCTTACGGCGTCGAGTTTGAGAAGGGCTTGGAGGAGGAGCTCGCCGAGGCGGGTGTGTTCAAATTCGAGGGTTTGTTTTGTTGGTTGTTGCGAGTTCGACGGATGCGAGGTTGAAGGGGGAGTTGAATGAGATGGTGTTGAGGTGGCGGATGGGTAGGAAGGATCTGAGGTGGGTGTAGCGCCCGGTGCAGGCGCAGCAACATCCTCGTACGTCTCCGTCCCACTCGGTATCGACCCATTCCCATTCCCATTCGCCCGTCCACCCGATACCCCGATATCGCCCAAAAACCTCTCCACGTCCGGTTCGAGCGTCTTCTGCACCTTCGCCAGTTCAGCTCTTATAGTCTCGATGGTGCTCGCTTCCGTACGGGGCGCGGGCGGGAGGGGTCGTTCGTTCTTCTGTGCATTTGAAGAGTTGGAGGAAGCAGAAGTGGAGGAGGGTTCTTGGAGGGGGGTGTGTTCGAGGAGGAGGAGATGCGAGCCGGGTTGGATTTGGTAGGCTGATACTAAGGGGATGAGAGGGCGTTAGTACGTGTGCGGAAGTTAAGAGGGCGGAGGAGAGACAAAGAGGAATAGAAGCGGGGAAAGGATCGGCACGGAACTATCGTGAACGTGGAGAGGCTGAGCGATGGGCAGCGGGACGAGTGTAAGCTTGTAACCTTAAATCAGACGGATCGGGGGATAGATGGATGGATAGAGGAACAAACGGCATCGGAGCTGTGCGATGGATTCAGATAGGATACGCGGTTGGGAGGACGATGACGAGGAGAGCGTCAAGCGATAATAGGTATCGCACAGTCATTTCGGGAGATAGAGATGAGGCGGATGAAAACGTCGTGTTTTTTCGAGCGTGAGGGGGTCAAATGACCATATCGCGCGCGTATCCTTGTGATTTGTGCACGTCCCGAGACAAGGATACACGAGTTTAGTTGGGTTGATCCGCGTAAGTTTAACGGCACGGAGGGATGCGATGGAGGGGATATAGCCTCCTCGTGCTCGCAGCATGCCCGACGCGTCAGTCCTGATTGTTCTCACTGGTGTTACGCGAGAGCGGAGCACGGGGGCAACAAAAGCAGGAGGAAGGACAAAAGGAGACTTACGAGGGGCATTGTCATCTTTCATTACTGCGCCGGAATGGATGAGCTTGAAGGAGGCGGGCGGCAGGTGTGTGTGATCCGCGAGGGATGCGCGCAGAGCACCGAGTTTTGTGTCTGGAGACGGAAAGGGAAACGAGAGCCTATTTTTTTTTCTGGAATGAGAACGGGATATGAGACGAGATAGATATGGAGAGTACGTACCGTTCGCGGCCCCATTTGACGTGTAATTCGCCAGAAGACTGTTTCTTGGGAGAAAAGAAGGAGCGCATGGCTGTAAGAAAGAGGACAAAGGCAAGAACGGCGGATGCGATGAGCGGCGAGGTTGGGTCGAGTGGAAAGAGGTGGTCGAACATGAGCTGCCTCTGCTGTGGCTCATCGTGGAGCGGCGCGGTGGGCGGAGGCAGCGCCGGACCCCGGGGAGCTGCTGCGTACGTAAGGGCACGTGGCGGACGGATGATCTCATCGGCGTCGTCTCCCTCTTCAAAACGCTACATAACGCTGCCGCCAACTCGCCCGTCCCCTCCATCCCCTTCGTCCTCGCCGCCATGTCTGACCCCGCACCACACGACGCACCAGCCCCAGCACCCGCGCGCAGGCCGCCACCTTTCCCCCAGGCCTCCAGGAATCCCCCAGTTCCCCCAGGCCGATCCGTCTCCAGTCTGCTCGCCAACAGAGGCTCCGGCGCGACCCCCATACCCCCATCTCTTCAGGCAAAAATGGCTGCCGTACGATTACTTTCTATTTCAGTTTTTTAATCATTCTAATCGCTTCACAGATGGCCAACCGTGCTTCCAAATCGCCCGCCCAACCCGTAGACCAAGCCACCGCAGCCTTCCAGCGCGCCACCCTCAACGATGGCCCAGCTCACCCCGTCCTCCGCCCACACAACGCTGCATCCGGCCACATGCAAAACGGTGCTCGCCCTCCCCCGCCATCTCTCGCTGCCAAGGCCGGCCCCGGCGGCATGAAGCGCAACAGACCGGGCTTCAAACTCAGTGACATCACTGGCGATCCCAACGGCCCTGGTCCCTCTGGCGGCGCTGCTGGTGCAGGCCTCGGAGCAGGCGCACCCTCACTCGCGGAGGACTCTCCCTCATGGCCCCCTCGACGACCACAGGACAGCTTCGGCACCCCATTTTCTAATTTTGGGAAGATCGTGTACGTTTTCCTTTCATGCCCTTTCGCACTGCTCTTTCGTATTTGTTGTTCATCCTTGGTATGTCGGATGTCGTAATCGCGCAATGCACACAGTGATCCGAGCGGCGCGTTGAATTTCGGAGGCAAAGCTGTCCTACACGCTTCCGGCGTCGACTTTTCGAACGGTTCTTCCTTCGCGATCAATATGACTCAGCTACAACTCGAGGACGAGCTCGGAAGAGGCGCGTACGGGACGGTAAAGAAGGTCCTCCATAAACCGACTAACGTCGCTATGGCCATGAAGGTGAGCCCTCACAAACTTCCGTTCATGCACACCGTGCCTCTCCGCGTTCACCTCGCCCATCTCGCTACATCATGCACACTGTACCCCGTTCCTTACCCCGCATGTGCTCCACTACCCCGCTTCTGGACTGCCAATCGAAATTAATACGTCCCGTATCTCAACCCTTCTTTCCTTGCACCTCATAATCACTATCTTCCCTGTGACGATATAATTTCTGACAACCTCCTCCCACCACGGCCCTTTATGCCCCTATCCCCCTCTTCGCATCGCTTCCCTGTCAACAGGAAATCCGACTAGAGCTCGATGAATCGAAGCTCAATGGCATCATCATGGAGCTCGATATTCTACATCGCGCTATGCACTCCTCCATCGTCGAGTTCTACGGTGCCTTCTTCATCGAGTCGTGCGTTTACTACTGCATGGAGTATATGGACGCCGGCAGTCTCGATAAGCTCTATGGGGCGGGCGTGCCAGAGGATGTGTTGGCGAGGATCGTGAGCAGTATGGTGAAGGGGCTCAAGTTTTTGAAGGACGATCTGCAGATCATCCATCGAGGTGCGTTTTTCCTTTTCGTCGACTTTCAAAATGGTTGAAGGGCTGACGTCGGTGGTAATACGCAGATGTGAAACCGACGAATGTGTTGGTCAATCGGAAAGGACAGATCAAGCTCTGTGATTTCGGTGTATCGGGTCAACTCGAAAAATCACTAGCAAAGACCAACATCGGCTGTCAATCCTACATGGCGGTACGCATCTTCTTCCCTCATTCCCTTCCCCATATCTAATCTCTGCCCCTCCCTATTTCCCCTCCTCCATCTTCCCCAAAATACAAAAAAACAGCCCGAACGAATCAAAGGCGAGTCCCAAAACTCACTCACGACCTACACCGTCTCCTCCGACGTCTGGTCCCTCGGGCTCGCCACGATCGAGATCGCGATCGCGAACTACCCGTACCCGCCCGAGACGTACTCGAACGTGTTCGCGCAGCTGACGGCGATCGTCCATGGCGATCCGCCCGAGTTGCCGGAGGAGAAGTATTCGAGGGTGGCGAGGGAGTGGGTCGCTTGGTGTCTTGTGAAGAGGCCGGAGGGGAGGGCGAGTTATACGGAGTTGATGGTGAGTTTTTTTTTTTCGTTTTCCCCCTCGTTTTGTTTGGCGCTCTTGGGCACTTCTTGGTGTGGCCGGGAGTGGATGGTTGAATGGTGCTAATTACTGTGATTTTGCGTTCCCAGAGCCATCGATGGATGAGAGAAGACGCGGAACGGGAAGTCGATATGCCAGGTTGGGTAGAGACGGCGCTTGCGTGGCGGGTGGCGAATAAAGAGAAGGTGGAGAAGGAGAAGGACCAAAAGGCGAGAGAGGCCGAGTCGGCTTCTTCGTAAAGCGACGGGTTGGAGGGCTCTGGGGGAAAGAGGAAAAGCTATGAATTTTGGCCATCGGGACTGGGGGAAGAGATACGGTCGTTCCGCCCTGGATGGTTGGTGAGGTCTTGATGGCTTGGTTTTGGTGATGTGTTGTGGGAGGCCCATCGTGGTTGGGGGAGGGGAAGGGAATCAATGTGGAGGGGAGGGGAGGTGGGTGTGGTAGGTGTGTAGGGCGTGAACGGAGTGGGGCGCTTGTTTTTTTTTCGCGCTCAGCGTCGCGCTGCGGCCGCCTGCGTCTATGGCCAGTCAAGAAATTCGCGAAGACTTGCCGTGGATGGTCGGTCGTCGATATCGTGGCACGATGACCTCGATTGACTCTCTCGCCTCTTACCTCTGGTTCCACGCGATCATCCCAACTTCAAACACCATTCTGTTTTGCTCATCTTGTCACCCGCTCACCCTGACCCACCCACCTGCCCATATGCAAGTCCCCGCCCTCTGGCTGGTCCGTCTCATCGCATCGTCTCTGCTATACACGCAATCTACATCTTCGCAGGTGATGTCTTTGGGATAGAGAATGGGAATGGCTAGGTAGATGGATGGATGGATGGATGGATGGTGCTTGGGGAGGTGTGGGGTGGAAGCGTGAACGCTCCTCGTTCGTCGAGACACTATATCTGGAGGAAAGTAGGAATAGGACGAGGCCGGCTGCGCGGGACGATACCGTCGGGGTTGACAAACTTGATTATCTGTGATGGATGGCGGATACGGGTTGTCGGTCTTGGATTATCTTTCTTTGGGGATCGGGAAGGGTATGGGAGATGATGGTGGGTGCGGTGGTGTGTGGGCTCTTTGTCGTCGTCGTTCTCGCTGTGCTCGACGGCCTTGATGGCTATCGGGTTTCGGGTTTATCATGATGATGTGGTGTATACGTACGGACGCTACGTTACGACCACTTTTCGATGCGATACTGACTTTCTGGGCGATGGTTTACTCAGTATTGGGGGTTTTATTTACACGTATTGATCATGGACTCGGACGGTTATATATTGTATTCCCTTTTTTACATACATTTTTCATCCACTTGTTTGTGTTTCTTCAATGTGTGTTTGTGTTTCTTCAATGTGTGTGTCTGTGTGTGTTGTTTGTGTGTCTTTGTTCACGTGTTCTTCTCATCCCATCCCATTTCGCCTCATCTCATTCTCATTCTCGTCTCAATCTCATTCTTGTCTCGTCTCATTCTCATTCCCATCCCTTCCCGTCTCATCTCCTCTCATCTCGTCACATCCGTGCAATCTAGTATCTTACCCGCTGCTTCCCTGCTATCGGTCATCTGTCACCTCTCAATCTCTGCTTCGCTTTGCATTGTTTGGAAGTATGTACTGTATCATATGATATTGATATGTTTGACTTTTTTTGTGCGTTCGGGTTTTTTGTGAGGCTGCGATTTGTTCTCAATTCGTTCTGAGGCTGCGGGTTGTTGTAGTACGGTATATACTGTCGTAATGAGTGTGTGTATAGAGGACTGTTCATTCACTTCCATGCTCTGGATTTTTTTTCTCTTTGGGGGAGACTCGGCGTCATTATTTATGGACCCAAACAAACTGGGTCCAGTCGCCCCTTGTACCGTGCGCCACACGCCACACGGAGGCAAAGGGAGTTCGGAGCCGAGAACGCGGCGCGATGGGTCGTCTTTTCTTGGGCTAAGATGTGAGTTTTCGCAAATCCAATTCGACCCCACAGCACGACACCTCCGCTCTGTCTCACCATTTCTCTGCCGCGTCGTCCGCGACCGCGATGAGTCCCCAGGGACGGGGCACACCGACTCGGCACCAGTCACTCGGATGAGTGTGGGACCCTGGTGTCAGTGGAGTGGCGACGCTTTGGCCTACGTTCTAGTACAAAGCGCCGGCACTTCACAAGCGGATCAGCGTGTCTTTCTGGTTGCTCCGGCATCTCGTGTTTCTTCCTTTACTGTACTTTTTCGACCAAAGGTTCGTCACGCGTTCTCCGCGTTGATGAACCGAACAAAATCCTGCGTGACCTCACGCATAACGCAGGGTGAGCACTGGGTGAGCGAGCAGTGACCTCGGCAGGCGCTTGCGCAAAATAATCATTTTCGCAAGCGCCTACGTTGTTTTCTGAACCATTTACGGGTCCCGTCACGCTCACGCACGGTTTCTGAACCGTGACCCGGGCGAAACTGATGGGTGACGTAAATTCTTGATGAACCTTTGGTCGAAAAAGTACAGTATTGTCGACTCCGCGCAGTCATCGGCTCGTGCCAACCTCACTTGGGCACTGACACCGTCTTTGTTCTCGCATAGCTATATAAACCTCGCGCCTCGTCGCCTGTCTCGTTACTTTTTGCTTCGCCTCGCCTCTTGCCATCTCGTCTCGTCTCGTCTCGTCTCAGCTCGCGTCCTCCTCGCTCCGTTTTTGCTATACACTTCGCATCTAAATCTCATTCAAATCTGGATCTTCCTGTTCACAACTCATGTCTGATCTCATCAACGGCAATGAAGAACCCAACGACCGACCCATCTCATTCGACGCCCAGACCACCTCTAGCTTTGAGGCTCTCGTCGACCAGTACCGCCGAAGCGAGATCTCGTTCTCCGACGCCAGCCACGAGCTTTCTCTCCGAATCTTTGTCGCTTGCAACACCATACAACGCCCCGGTGATGCCAAGAATATATTCGGCTCGTACTACGAAGAACTGGAGGCCATTCGGGAAACAAACAACGTTCGCACCCAGCCGGTTCAAGGACAAGGCCAACAGCGACCCGCTCCGCAGCCCGAAGCCTTCTCTGCTGAGCAGGATCAAGCCGAGTCTCGAGGAGCGACTCGGAAACGTCTTCGAGCCAGCGACTTCCTTGATGATGACGATATCGACGGCGACGACCGAGACGTTAGCAAGCGCGCCAGGCGAACTCCAGACGAGTCCAAGTTCGCCTTTACCAAACACAAGATTTCCTACCTCCTCCTCCATCCCTTACTGGTCGAGATCTCTGAGCTCAAGTCTGAGTACAGTGTCGACATCAACTTCGCCTACAACAAACTTCTCCTCTCTCCTAAGCTCCCCCAATTCCCTCGCCAGCTCTGGAAACCGGTTCTCCTTGGGCAGTCCGTCTGCTTTGACCGACTCTACTCGGCGTTGTGTGCTCCCAACGGGGACATCTCGGAATCTAAGCAGCTCGGCGAGTATGAGGTTATCTCCGACGCCCTCAAGATCACTCACAAGGTCACCAGAGCCGAAGAATGGCACAGGGTATTCCACCGGTACTCGAAGGCCGTCGAGTTCGTCTATCCTTGTCGGATCGACGAGCTGCGTGAATACTGCGACTATATCACGACCGTCTTCCAAACTACTGCCTCCGTCTACCACAACCGGGTTATCGGGTACGACAGACAGGTCCGTGAGCGAGTCGGCTCCACGAACGACACCCTCCTCACCGAAATTAGTCGTTTCTCGGACTTGCATCTCTTCTGGCTCTCTTCCCTCGGAGCCGGTTTCGCCTCGCTCGCATCGACCACAGCCGGCTCTTCTAGGAAAGCGACCCGCGTCTCCCACCTTACCGTGCCCGGCTCCGAAGTATGCAAGAGGTTCAATAGAGGCGAAGCCCACGGCGACCGATGCAAGTACGACCATGTTTGCCTCGAGTGCGGTCGCACAGGCCATGGTCGCCATTCCTGCCCCGATCTTAGGACCGGATCAACTGTCCGATATCAATCCTCCGCGTCACCTTCGCAACATGATATGGGACGATCCAAATAATCTTCTCACACCGTCGGCGGACATCACACTAACCCTTGATCCACTCCCCTCTCCTCCTGTTGACGATCCCTCACTCTCTCCTCTCTGGTCCACCATCCGCTCGAACCCCGATCTCTTTGACATCGTTACCCCCATCAAGGTTGACGTCTTCGAAGACCTACTGAAGACGCACCCGAACCGGCCGCTGGTGGATTCGGTGTTGAAGGGTCTTCGGGAAGGTTTTTGGCCGTTGGCCGAAGGCGATCTTAGCGGAACTAGGCCTTTCCCCGAGAAGGTGTCGGAAGGAAAGGAACTGGGCTTTTTGCTCGAACAGGCTCGGAAAGAGGAGCTCCTGGGACGGTTTTCGGCGCCATTTCTCACATCCACCGACACCCTCCTGCCAGGAATGTGCGACATCCCCGTCCACGCCGTCCCTAAGCAGGGGGAGGACGACTTTCGCATGGTCCTTGATAGCTCGATCGGTGATGATTCCCCAAACTCCCACATTCCTCGCGACACCGTTCATTTCAGCCCCGATAACATTCAGCATCTGGGCCACAATCTCCTCGCTTTGCGGCATCGTGGTCGCGTTGTCGCTTGGCTATGGAAGTCCGACGTCTCTGAGGCTTACCGGCTGATTCCTATGCATCCACTTTGGCAGGTGAAACAGATCGTCTCGGTTGGCGGAGTCCGTCGTGTGGATCGGTGTAACAATTTTGGGAACCGCGGTGCCGGTTTCCTTTTTTGTGTTTTTATGTCTCTGGTTATGTGGATCGCGGTGAATGTTGAAGGCCTGGATGGGTCTTTGGCGTACATTGACGATAATTTCGGTTTTGACGAGGAGGAAGGGCTCGACTTGTATGAACCTTATGATGCTTTCCTTCCTTCACGTCAGGCTTGTCTTCTGCGGCTTTGGGATCGGATCGGGGTTCCACACAAGGCTAAGAAGCAGGTATATGGTCGCTCCTTGAAGATCATTGGGTTTCAGGTCGACATCGACAAGATGACCGTTTCTATTCCTCCCGACTCTCGCAGAGCTCACGTCGCACACATCCGGGAGTTCCTTGCTCAGAGACGGCAGCCCTTGGTCGAGTGGCAACGTCTCTTGGGCTGGTGCAACTGGGCTCTCAATGTGGTTCCTCTCCTCCGGCCAGCACTGCAGTCATCATACGAAAAAACGCGAGGGAAACAAGTACGGAATGCACCCATCTTCCTCAACAACGAAGTTCGCCACGACTTGTCCTTTTTCGCTGACACTCTGGAGGCTTGGGACGGTGTTCATCTCCTTGAATCGGACAGCTGGGGTGTTGCGGATGCCGACGTTCGTTTCTGGACAGACGCTTCGGGCTTCGGCTTAGGATACTGGTCTCCAGATCTCAATATGGGTTTCCAGGCCGAGCGTTTTGAATTCGAGGCGGCGAAGGGTGGGATCTATTACTTCGAGGCTTTGACGGTTGTCTCAGCCCTCGAACGAGCCTGCTCACTGTCCCCTCGGCCTAAGCGTGTGGTTATTTTCTGTGATAACTCGAACTCAGTCGACGTTTTTAATTCCCTCTCAGCCGACGCCCCTTACAATGACATCCTTTACTATTCTATTCGCCTCCGACTCCTCTACGGTGTTCAGCTGCGGGTTGTTCATGTGGCGGGCAAGGAGAACGTTATCGCAGATGCTATCTCTCGGTTTGATTCCGCTACCATCCACCAACACCTCCCTTCTCTCCCAATTTACCCTTTTCAACCCCCTCGATTGCCGCTGGGGGCGCCGCGATGTTAGATATCTCTCCTTCATCACGCCAACCACCTCGGTTGGCGTGGACGCTGGAGCGCCTCCAGCACGAGCGAGCCATCGCTCTCTCTTTGGTCCTAGAAAAGTCGACTCGCTCCGGTTATGACTCCGCCGTCCAGTCCTATGTTACTTTCTGCAGACTTCACGACTTATCTACCACTCCAACAGAAGATACTCTTTCTCTATACGTTGCCTGGCAGTGCTCTCACATCAAGCCCGAGTCCGTGTCCACCTATTTGTCCGGCATTTGCACCACTCTCGAACCACTCTTCCCAAACATTCGCCAAATCCGCAACAGTTACCTCGTCACCAAGACACTCGCAGGTTGTCGCAAACGATTTTCGACCCCTATCAGGCGCAAAGAGCCCTTAACGATCGATGACATCGCCCGTGTGGCGTCTTCCCTCCCCTCCCCTTCCTACGACGATACACTTTTCCTCACCCTCCTCTCCTGCGGCTTCTTCGCCCTTCATCGACTTGGTGAACTCGTCGACCCTGATCAAGTCAAGATGAGGGAGCCTCGGAAGCGCATTCGGCGGCGAAGCGTCAAAATCCACGGCAACGATGCTTTTTCTTACGATCTTCCCATGCACAAGGCCGACCGGCTATTCGCGGGAAGTGAAGTTTGGATCACTACGCAGGAGGGTCCTACCAACCCGGTCGAGGTTTTCCGCCAATACGTCCGACTCAGGGACCGCAAATTTCCCCTTCACAGCCCACTTTTCCTCACAAGCTCCGGCACGGTCCCCATCCGGTCATGGTTCATGACCCGTTTCCATCGCTTCTTTGGCTCTTCGCATGGTGGTCACTCGATGCGCTCGGGCGGCGCAACATTTTTCGCTACCAAGGGCTTCACTGGGGAGGAAATCCAACGTCTCGGCCGTTGGACTTCAGAAGCCTTCCAAATGTATGTCCGCAAGAATCCTGTGCTCCTGCATTCATTCATCCACTCTACACATCGCAATCCCACTCCCGGCAACAATACACCCACATGACTTTCATCTTCCTCTCAACATCAACCTCTTCTCGACAGTAGCCTCTCTACTAGGTTGTCCGTCATGCGCAATAAAGCCCGGTTGGGATTTTTCAGGGCGCCCTTCGGGCGCCCCCCTCGGTATTCCCTCGTATACGCTCCAGTGGCGTTGGGTTGATTGGTTGGGCTAAGATGTGAGTTTTCGCAAATCCAATTCGACCCCACAGCACGACACCTCCGCTCTGTCTCACCATTTCTCTGCCGCGTCGTCCGCGACCGCGATGAGTCCCCAGGGACGGGGCACACCGACTCGGCACCAGTCACTCGGATGAGTGTGGGACCCTGGTGTCAGTGGAGTGGCGACGCTTTGGCCTACGTTCTAGTACAAAGCGCCGGCACTTCACAAGCGGATCAGCGTGTCTTTCTGGTTGCTCCGGCATCTCGTGTTTCTTCCTTTATTGTCGACTCCGCGCAGTCATCGGCTCGTGCCAACCTCACTTGGGCACTGACACCGTCTTTGTTCTCGCATAGCTATATAAACCTCGCGCCTCGTCGCCTGTCTCGTTACTTTTTGCTTCGCCTCGCCTCTTGCCATCTCGTCTCGTCTCGTCTCGTCTCAGCTCGCGTCCTCCTCGCTCCGTTTTTGCTACCCACCTTCCCTCCCTCTGCCTTCTTTTTCACTCGTAATCCTCTAGAAACTCGAATATCTATGTGCCACAACAACACACTTGCTTTCCGTCTCAGTTCTTTTCACTCTACTTTACTTTACCAGACTCAGAATGAATTTCTTGGCATCAACTTCTTTCTGCTTTACTTCGACTCGTACAGCCCGCGTGGTTGCGTGGGCTTAGGGTGCAGTTTTCTTACTTACTTCTACATCTTTGGTCTTTAATTTTCCGCAACGTACGTTACTCTGTAGGAAACCCACCCTCGTCCCGTCCGTCATGCGCAATAAAGCCCGGTTGGGATTTTTCAGGGCGCCCTTCGGGCGCCCCCCTCGGTATTCCCTCGTATACGCTCCAGTGGCGTTGGGTTGATTGGTTGGGCGTCTTTTGTTGTGTTTAGCTTGCCACCACGCTTGCACCACGCCATGGCGGTCGCTTTCCTCCCCTCCTATCTATGGACTCTGACAGCAATTTTCAGAATCGTAGTCGCTCCCACTTTTTCTCTCGATGGAGCGACCGGCGGTTCTTGACGCACCGCTTGCCATTTGAAGAAGCGAACGCCACCCTTGGCACACTTCAATGGCATGGCCACATTTGACCACCGAGTAGTATTCCACCTCAGAACATTGAACGAAACCTACTATCTGAGTAGCCCCTAACTCGCAGGGCCTCGCTGTACCAATGATATTCATAAAAAGCGCGAAATTCAGCTCAGTACTGTGCACTGAGGGCCTGCAAGAGCGATGTGGCCCAACTCGTGGCAGCCCCGTCGGGAGTGTCGGGTAAGGCGTCGTGTGGAGCAGAGCTTCTCTGCGTGAAATCGAGGTGCGACTACGATTCTGCAAACCGCTGGAACATCACAGCAATATTTTTTCTCGGAGGCAAAGGCTGTTGAACTCTTAGGATGAATCGCGGGTCTTGTCGTGGCCCGGAGTTCTGTATGTTCTTTTTCTGGACTTTACTGTGCTATGACGGTAACGCTGTGCACCAGGTGATTTTCTAACATATGCAGGATTCTGTTTCATCTTCTTGAATAGCTCACAATGGTAGTTTTTTGAGGTTGGACGCCAATTTACCTATGTTCATCACTATGCGCTGTTGTGTCTGAAGATCTGATGGCGCAGTTTGCTGAGCCGATTCTGTGCGACCTGCGCAGGAATATCTCCATAGCGGCGCTGTGACGAGTATCTTATCGTACTGGTGGCTGATCATGGTATTGCCCCGTGCTGTGGTCGACGGTTTTCATGCTTTTTTCTCTCGCCGATGAGAGGTGCCAATGATGTAGGATTATATGATATAAAGCCGCCTCGCGATACTTTACTTCGTCAAGTTGGAACGTGCGGTCTTCTAGAGCCTTTCCTTCTATTGTTCTCCGAATCCTATCTAAGGCCTCGTACAGCTCTGTATGTCGTTTACCATTACTTCAGAGACAGCACTTCGGGTATCCGAAGTCTTCAGGATTCAGTCGATTGTGATCATTGTGGAGACCGTGATATTCGGTACGTGCGCATCATCAATTATTGCTGAAGCGCCGACCGCTGACGATCATGATTTCGTAGGATTTTATATGGGGGTGTTCGGGTTATCGATATGGTTTACGTTGTCAGTCTGCCGACACCGTGCCCATCTACATCACTCATATGCGCCAGCCTAACAAGAGTCTCAGGCGCAAAGGATTTCAAAGAAAGAGAAACGTCTTCATGCTGAGCCTCACCACCGCCATGTTCTCTGTCTCCGCGAGCCACTGGGGTCTTTCCGTGGCGTTCACCATCATCGCCTCGCAATGTCAAGCACAACTTCTTTTGAGCCCCGGTGTACATTATCCCTCAGTCATGCTTCGCATTGTAGCGGTTCAAGCTCACCTCTCGATAATTAATGTAGGTTCTGTCTAATAGCTTTGTGTGTTCTGAATTTTAGATCTGAGCATTGACGGGCCCGCTTTGCAGTATATGCTGAACGACGTCGTTGTCATATGGAGGGCCTGGCTTCTTTGTGGCCCGAAGGCACGGAGGTGGATCTGGGCCATCAGCGTCCTCACGCTTGGTTTGTTCTATTCCTCCCTGTCTTTTCGTCTACGTCACGCGCTGACCTTTGAAGTCATTCGTTGTCTAGTGGCTGAATCTGTACTTGCGGTTTACAAGCCAGCTGTCGACCCGCACTATTGGACCCAGTTCTTCGCTGGGATCACGATCGAGGGAGCTACACAGGCAAATTCATTCACGGACGGAACATATCTTCGACCTCTCTATGCGGCTTACTGCCTCACGCTTTTGACCAACGTTTGGCCAACGATGATTATAGGGTACAAAGCTTGGTCAGTCTCTCCTTTGCATGCACGACAGCTCCTTGGATGAACCGCCCCTTATACTCGAGCGAACAGGACACACCAAAAGCTCATTGCGGGGACATCTGTCGAACACGGATCTAGGGCGCTACGAATACTTGTCCTACTCGTCGAGTCTGGGGCTATTTACTGCGTCATATGGGTACGAAGCTTGACTTTGAGGGTTATATGTTTTGTGTCACGAATGATGTGCTGATATAAATTCTGCTACTCACAGGCTATACATTTATGCTTCTTTTTCCTCAATGCATTTGGCTCCTCAGCCGTGCACGACCGAGCATCATGGATTGCGGTGACTTACTCCGCTATATACGTCTCAGCGAATGATTTGGCGGTGAGTAAGACTGACCTGAATTATTTCCGAAGCTAAAGATCATTATCCTTGTCGTTTAGGTGATCTATCCGACCGTTATCATCGTACTTGTCTGCTTGCAGAAGACCCTTCATGAGGCAAGGACGCTATCTCCGAGCGAGATGCTTACTACGCTACCACTTCGCGCCCCAGCATTCGACGTCGCGACTCATACCATCTCGCAATCTGTCTGCCCCCCGAATTTGCATTGCCCTCGTCTTCCGATCTGCCAGCGGACGATCGCTTTGACGTCGTGATAGGATCGGAATGCAGAAGTACCTTGGAGGAGGTCGGGGTCAACTTCCAGACCTCTGCTCAGAGCGCTGCAGCAGAGCGTGTATCCCACATGCCGGGTGGTCTGCCTGGGGAGAAGGGCGGACGCGGAGTATCATTGGTTTCCTGAGTCCTCTTATATCATACGCGATGCTGGGGGTGCGACGAGCCCCTTTATATCCAGAGAACCATGACATAGGGCAATGTGTCGCACATTCGCAGCGCGGTCTAATCATATGCACCTATTGAATGTGCTTCACTCGAACTGACGTTCGCTGAGTCACTCAGAATGACCCCTACCCCTCCCGCCCATTTCACATATTTCTCCTTCCAGGAAACCGCTGTCCCTAAGTATATGATCCTTGCCCTCTCAGCGGACCTCACATCAGTCGAGGTCTGCAACTTTTTCCCCGCCGAATCAGAGAAGTTAGGACGGTCCATGATCGCCGGGGTCAGCGGTCTCACTACGTTGGGTGACAAGTAGCTCAAACCCCGGTCGCCGTAATTACCCAAGGTCTGCGAACTTCCAGTCGTGTTGACGTGAAAGAGGAAACTGATACCACTGGGACGTCGAAGTGGCAGCGCTCAGCCCTCTTTAATCATTTTTAAATCCTTGTCTCGGAATGTTTCCTAACATAATCTTCATGGACTCTATTCGACATGATGCTAGAAGCTGAGAGTTGCGTACATATTGGGGCTCAGATTTCTCACAGATATACTAATTGTGGACAAGAAAGGTATTCAGTCAACCATGCATGCATTCAGGACGAGGCAGGGAACTAGTCACCTTTGTACACTCCATGGGACAATTGAGGGTTCCCAGTTTGAATTGTTAGGCTTATATCGGGGTTAAATACTACTAGAGGCCATCGTGAGTAAGTTAGTGGTCGCGGCTACGCTTGTCAGTGGTAGAGGAGTATGGCCCACCCGAATCTAAGAGAAGTTTTGTGGGCAAGGTACACTGAGGCAGGGTATATGCCACCACCATTCGGACACGAATAAACTGGGATGCTTTCAAGTTCGGACTGATCATGACCCTGAGGCGATTAGCAGGCTGTGAAGACAGGAAAAGTGAAGGGAGACCATGCGGGAAGAAATTAGCGGAAGGAAGGAAGGAACTTTGAAAGATGGAGATTCTGTTTCCTTGAAAGGATGGACTGCCGGAAGGAAGGAAGAAGGAAGATTAATTCAGGGTACAATACGAGCCCATCAGGACCAATACCCCATAGCACTCCGTACTCAATACATGCTGATGGCGCTGGCAGACTCGCACTGTGCAGTGTGCATTTGCGGGACGACACGCCCGGCCTCGCTCGGCTGACGCCAAAAGGTCGGCCTGCGCCACAGGGTCATGACTTGTCCACGACCGTGACCTGGTTGAACGTGGCGTTCAACGTTCGACTGACCAACCAGACTCGTTTTCCCGCAAACCCTGCATTGGAATTGTATTCATATCTCAGGCTTTCTATGTACTGAAAACACTAATCTATTCGGCGACAAGTCCTTTACGCTTCGCATCTGGAACTAGGGCTCGATACATTTCGGCGCTTTTCAGTTCACGCTTGTTTGATATCGTCGACCCCCACTGGTGAACTCAAATGCCGGAAATGGTAGCAACATCTTTCCGACCTCCACACACAAGTCATGCATCGGAGACCCTTAGCTGACGATGTGCCCCGTGGACCCTACGTTCTAGAAAGTCTCCATGCAGTCGTGCTTGACATCTACTGTATTCCTTTGCCACTAGCCTTGAGCCTGAGTACTTCGGACATCTCGGCGCCTCGATATCGTTGACCTCTCTGGTATACTCGAATCCATAATCTACCACGGTTTCCCTTCTAATTTCATACACGGTCTTGTTGTGGCAGAGCTCGCTAGCCGGAAATGTTTCTTGTCTTACTCCCACTTTGCGGACCATGACACTGTAGACGATCGCGCTTCAGGTCGTGACTCACGAGGCTCAATATATCCCACTGTGACCTCCTGGCGTCCACCTATCCACTCATTGACCTCGCACTAGGACCTCGAAACATGTCCATATGGCATAAGCGTTCCCATACACGGCATTCTTTTTGACTAATACATCTACTCGTAAGGTCGACTGTGAAGGGACCACTGGAATGTTTTCCATGCTGGCTTCTTACTGCATGGACTTTGCCGGAGATGGCACACCCCAGCAGTATAAAGAGGACGTCGGCGACGCCTTTTGACAACAGAGACCAACTTACTTGTATCTCTACCATCGCACGACATCGATAACATGTTCGCTCCCTCCTTTATCCGCGTTGCAGTGCCGTCTTGGTGGCCTTGGCCTCTGTCAGTCTTCTTAGTTGATCTATCCTCACATCGAGGACGTACTGACTATTGTCTTCCTTTTAGGTGACTTCTGCGACAAGCATCCAGGACAAACGTCAACTTTGATGTCTCACTCCTCCAAACACCGTACTTGTTTGCTGCTCTCCTGTAAGAATTAAGATCTTAATAACCCTTGCGTTGACTATTCATTGATGTTATCGAAGCTTGGCCTTGTCGAAGGAGTGTGCAACGTCCCGCCCAATGCTGATGGCGGCTGCTCGCTCGGTCTGGTGCTCGGCTGTTGCAACCCTTCGGTACGTCGATTTCAACCTTAGCTGGGAGATGATTAGATTCTCGCTCTTTGTGTTTACACCGATTTTCTCGCAGGGCGGCCCTTGCCTTCCATACCCTCTTTGATTGCGTAACCAGGCTACTACGTATATTCGCCGGCCGTCTTCAGAGTCACAGATTCATGGAACAAAGATAAATATAATTGATGGGTGGCCACCCTTCGAATAACGTCTCCGCTTCTCGTCCCTTGCTTGCTTGTTGTTTTTGTACCGCCTACTGCAGCTAAGAGCTTGTATTCAACTACTAGCCATCGAGCAGAATTATCACCTCTGTTGCGTACCACGTTTGCTCGCCTCTGTGTGACATACCTCTCTTGAGCCTTCGGAGCTCCGTCCAACACTCGGAGGTCCAAGGCGATAACGAGTGTCTTTCCACATGATTTCAACCACGCAACTTGACCTCAGCGGACAGAGAAAGCACGTCGCAAACGAGTAGCCACCTGATTATGATCAAAAGAATGGGCCAGAGCACTACCGGGACTCAGCTGGGTAGGGTGAGAGGCAATCTCCTTGCAGATCCTGTAGAGTAGCTGTATTATCCGCTTGATGGTAGGTTAATGACGCACCAGATCTGATAGCCACCATGATATAGGCCCTTTGTACGCGCCAGGTTCGTAGACAAGTTTGGCGAGAGGGTGTGGATGATCCTAGACGCTATTTCGAGCGGATCCTTGTGGCATGAGAGTCTCCACAGTCTCAATCTGGTGGGGAGAAAGTTGAACAAAGTGGGTAGAGTCGACGGTCATAGACTCATAGTGCTCAAGGGGCAGCCAGCGACCGAGGAAGAGAAAAGGCGGCCAGAAAGCATGCCACCAGCAAGAGCGAACCGAATAACCAGCGCGGAAAGTGCCGGCATCCGCCACAACGCCACCCGCGTCGAACAAGGACCCCTGCGTATGCTGACAGAGGTCCCATCCGAAAACCCCCAAAATCGGTCGTTTTCGTCGCACGATTTTGGGGGTGTTTTCGTCGCATCAGGGATGGGACATCGGATTTTTGGCCATTTCCGTCGCACGTCGGATGGAACATCGCTCCGCATAAGGCCTTCCCAAACCCTGGTCGTCAAAAAATTTCCCCAAATCATGTTTTTGGCCGTGTTTGCCAAGTTTTTACCCCATTTTTTGCGTCCCCGAGAGACATTTTCGTCGCATAGCGGGATGGAACATCAGCATCGAAAAGCCGTTTTCGTCGCACTACGGATCGGACGAAACGCGATTTTTCGCTCAAAATTCGTCGCATCAGGATGGGACCTGCGTCAGCATACGCAGGGGTCCTGTCGAACATTGTGCCCGCTGGCAACCTTGCAACCTTGCAATTGCGTAGTATGGCTAGCTTTGTATAGGCTTGGAACCTCATACAGGCCTGGAGTTAACGCACAAACGCTCCACCAGTAAGTCCACGATAAAGTCCACCGTTAACCCAGCAATCCTCCCCTGCTTCAAGGTTTCACGCTGCTGACTATGCAGTAGGCTACATGCGCCCTCGAACTGCCGAAAAATCTGGAGCGATCGGTATCTACGCTAACAAACGCCTACAAGCGCCTTTTCTTCCTTCCACCATCCTCGATGGCTGATAAATAGCAGATCTAGCTTGTACTGGAGGAGGAAGCAAGAGCTACTCATACTTTTGGCCAGAGAAGACATGGGAAGGAAGAGATTCACTACGTTTACCAGAGTAGCATCAAGTTCGCAAGATCATCCTTATGGCGCAGACTTAAGAGCACGGCACGTTCATCGAAGTTCTTGTCGAAGATCCTGGAGCATCACGCGTTGGCCCTAAATATCTCGCTGAGTTTCCCTTCTTTCGCCCTTGCTTTCCGTCACATTTAACTGTAATCGTTTTGTCTGTGTTGCTCCCTGTCTTGTCGCGCTCTCTCATATGTTCTGTACCACCATCTACCTTTGAATGACTGAATGGTAGAAGATACTGTCCCCTTCAGTGGTGATATACAGCATCCTATGCCATATTTGTTGTTATGATGAGTTGACATACACCAGGCGCTTCTCACCGGTTTGCGTGGATGATACAGACCACACCACCGTGTGCCGTGCTGCCCGATTTGATCTACAAGATTCCTCTCCCATTATTGATGCTTTAACCGCTGACCTGCGCATTCGACCTTGCCTCCTTTTCAGATCGATGTACTTGCTCCCTAGATGTCTGAACAGACCGGCCACATCGACTTTACCACGTACGACGAAACGCACAAAACCCAGTGGGTCAAAGTCGTCGGAGATCTCGACTTCAGTGTTAGACCCTTTGTCGTCCTCCACGGAGGCCCAGAGATAGCAGCACCCTACCTTGGCCCTCACCTCGAGCTTTACACGAAGCTTAGCATCCCATTATCCTCTATGAAGTCAGATGCGGACACTCTATCCACCCCCTCACAAAACCAAGGAATTTCGGTCCGTCGAGCTTTTCATGGACGAGTTCGACAACGTGCTTTTTCGAGATCGCAGACAACTTTGATCTATACGTCCATTCGTGGTGAAGCACAACTCTCGCTGCCGACTACGTCGCTACTTGCCATCCGAGGGGACTCAACCACCTAATTATCGCGGATCCGCCGGCGTCTGTGCTGCTCTGAGGCAAGAGCACGACGGTGTTATTAGAGGCGAGGTATCCGAAGTGGTTTGTGGAGATGTTGAGGAAGTATGAGAGGGTAGAGACGACGGATGAGGAGGAGTGTCAGGAAGGTCAAGGTCGTGTTAGTACTCACAGGTTTCTACGAGATTATATAGGTGGGGAACTTCTGAGTTTAATCTTACCGGGCTTCTGCATGTCCCTCACTCTTCTCTAATGGCATCGAGGATGAAGCGCAGGGCAAATATGTTCGTCCCGTCTCCGAGAATATACACAAAGTGAAGTGGCTATGATTTGATAAAAGTAGTTATATACCGTTCTGAGAGGAAAAAGAGAGCTAAGTACTTCGAGATGCTTGATAGGCGTTTGAAAGGGTAAAGTCTGAGTCGTACTGGGAGCCAAGACTCCGTACTGTAATGGATGCTAAAAGTAACTACATATCGAAGGCTCGTAGAAGAAGAAAGGTAGTAGTATGTGAAATTGAACCTCTTCGTCGCTAATACACAGAGATCTGTGCATGTGCATGATTACGGAGCCGAAGATACAAGTAAATGAGGAGGGAAAAGGCAAACAAAGAGAAAGATGGCAGTGCATAAAAAATAAACAACCTCCTCGTCGCTGATACACAGATGACTGTGTACGTACATGGATAGAAACTGAAGATACAAATCGACGAGGGGGCGAAAGTTAACGAGTCGAGCTGAGATATGTAAGAGAACTTTACGGACACAGACACGGGTGGCACCTGGTGGCACCAATAACCTTCGATCCTCAACCCTAGCCCCTCCACCTCGTTGACCGAAGTCACTTGGTGCCATCCCCAGTTCGAAGAGCCTCTGTAAAAAGACCGAAGTCCTCTGCTGGCTGACTGGCGGGTCACTCGGACGCCCAGCCGCCGCCGGGCTGACCATGGGGGAAGCTCTGGGTTAGAGCGTCGCCGACGCGCCCAAAGTCATCTGCTGGTCAACTAGCATTTGCTTGAAAGCTAGCTGCCGCTGATAGACATTTCGGGCTCGTCGCGCCTATGAGGACATCGAACACCCCAGCATACTCACATCTATCACCGATCACTATAGATGATGAAAGTGCGGTAGAGAAGGGAGGCTTGCCGGGCAGCGTGGTCTCGTGAGGAACAACCTACACGCGCTGACACATGTTCTCTCCTCCCAATGCAGGGTGTTCGACGTACCTCAAACTCGCAAGACGCCTCCCAGAACCGATCTTCATTGATCCCGCTGCACCAGAGCTCAAAACCATGCTCTCCATCAGTACTCCCAAGTCAAAATGTCGACATCAACGTCCATCGGGGTGTCATTCCTGCATAGCGCCAACTCCGCAGCCCGAATCTTTGCCTCCATCTTCCTGGCCTTTATAGAAATCTCAGTTGGGCGCATGACCATCTGTCGGGGAGAGCTCGAAAGGCGAATGGGTGTGGTGCGGGATTGGACTGGCTGGACTGATTGGGGAACACGGGGTTGGAGGTCGGCATGAGCAGCTATGGGCTGAGAGTATCCAGTTTGGCGACGGCCGTTGCTAGACTTTTTCGGGGGCGGTGGGCTACGATGGTAAGAAGAAAAACATGAGATGACGCTAGCCACAGTAATGCACAAAATAATAGCTTACAGGTTATTGAGCTCAATGAACGACAAGAATCTGTCATTAGACATATTGGGATATCTCCCATCGTTGAAACAGCTGCTCTCGTTGTAGCATGTTAGCCAATCTTTCCGCAGAAATGCCCGTGAGGATCAATGACGCTTACCCGACGGTTATTATCTGCTTTCTGGGTTCGCTATCGTTCCGCTTTCTGGGTTTGTTATCGTTCCGCTTTCTGGGTTCGCTATCGTTCGACTTTCTGGGCTGGCTATTGTTCAGGTAGAAGCATTTGGTCGGACCTTCATAGAAATAAATCACACCATAAGCCCACAGACGTTCATCAACAACAACAGATCGACAACGACGGATCGACAACGTACTGGATTTGTTGGTGCAGTGGTAACAGCGACACTTTGACCCTCCTGGAACATATGATGTGCTTCTCGCATCACTGAAAGCATGTTTCTTGCTCACAAACTCCTTTGAGTCTATTCATACTTCAATTAGAATAGCACTCGGAATGGGGACATAAGGGTGGCACGTACCGCAAGGCTTTGCTTTGTTGGGTGTGGCCTCCAATGCTTCGTGAATGGGTTCCATAGGCGTCGGGCGCATTTGACGGGCATGCAAATGTTCAGCTCGACGCTGCATGACACAGCGCATCTGCTCGGTAAGGTCTCTGCAGAGAGAATCAGCGAAACGGCCATTGAGGTAACCCGGGACCAGGCCTGCAATTGCGGTGGCGAACGGAATGGACAACACTGCTAGGGCGGGACTGTGTTCGGAGAGCCGGATTGCTGTCACGACACATGCACCAATTATGCCAACTGTCCACACAAACGGAATGAGCTGTATGGCGGATGACACCAGGCGCCATATGAGATGGTCGATTATGAGATCTTTGCGAGCCGACTGCATCGTGATCGACAAGAGGGGAGATCGTGGTTTGTATCAGATGTGAGCGACTGTGGGCGTTCGTGATAAGATGAGTGAGCACGAAAAGGCAACAAGCGATGGAATTTAAGGAGCTCATTGTTGAACGTGTTGTTGTTCCCACGGTGACACGTTCCCACGAGGACTGTAGGGCAAAGCAATGACGTAAGTGTCACAAAGAGGCGTCCCTAAGTAGAGCTGATGAAATTAAATTCCACATACCTGACCGATGGACCGTGCTTCGTGCAAAAAAACACAGGCATCATGTGCTCAATTTACCGGAACGCTGAACTACCAGTGCACCAGCTTAGGGCGCCGAAGTCGGGATTGTGCTCATGCTATCGCGTAAGTCCGTACTGCCCAGTGATGGCAGAATATACTCAACCATTATCGCTACGTGTATTCCCGTTCGTAACCTGAGGAACAGGACACCACACAGAACGACGCACCGTAAGCCATATACGGGCCTCGAACCTCTGTATATTCTACTTCACAGCTGCCTCTCAATCGTCTGCCACTATAATCACCCTCTTCGCAATATTCCTGCCTTTCAAGACATCCAAAAGACCCTGCTCTGCGGTCTCCAACCCTTCGCTCACATCTTCTCTGTACTGGATCAATCCTTCCTTGATGAGCGGTATCATGACGCGGTAGAACTCGACAGTGTACGCGGGAGCAAGGGCGGAAACAATGAAGCCGTGCATGGTGAGTTGCTTGCTGATTATGTCCGCGTAGTTCTGTATGTAACCGTTAGGAATACGCCTGCAGACGGGGTCACTCATAAGAAACAAACAGACAGAACCTTGATACCAGGGTATGATGGGCCATTGTACATCGAGATAACGCCACATTGCTAGTACGCCACATTAATTGTCAGACACAGGCATGCATTCGAAAGTTTTAGCGACTCACGATGAATCTACCGTGAGTGTTGGCGTATTGTAATGCGAGGTCGAGTACTTCACCACCAACATTGTCCTGCACCCCAAATAGAAAATATCGAGTCAGCTGGATAAAGGATCAAAGAAGAGTCGCAGACCCAATATCTGTTCAACACGATTGGTCAGAGCGGTTCGAGACTTGTATAGTGAGTGTGTGCGGGCTACATACATATCAATTGGACCCTCGAGCCCAAGTATGCTCTGAGTGCTTTCTTTCTTGTAGTTGAAGACAATGTCTGCGCCAAGGCTGCGAACGAAGTCGCATTTCTCGTCGCTACCGGCGGATGCGATCACTTTCAACCCATCACGTTTGGCCAATTGAACAACAAGGCTACCAACAGGACCACCTGAGAATCAGAGTGAGCGTCGAGCAACAAGGGTGTATGGCATATATCCCTACCTGCAGTGGTGACGAAGACTGTTTCGCCCTGGATACAGCGATTGTCAGTTAACGGCGAGCACTCATTCATTAGTGTGACTCGCCTTCTTCGCAGCAGAAAACTTTCTCCAGCCACAGTATGCTAAATATGGATGGTTAGTGAGCTTGAGATTGGTCACAGCCGGTTCAACCTACCCGTCTGACCTGCGACGATTGCGACTGTTACGTTGGAGTAAGAGGGGCCATCAGAACATGAACACTTGCCTGGCATCCCCAAGGTACCGACATATAGACTCCACGGCAGGCCAGCGTTCTCTAGATTTCTGAGCCCATTAGTCTGTCCATAAACAGCGTACTCCTCAAAAGCTGATACGAAGGGGCAATGTAAGTCACGGAATAGTCGGTCACAAGTACGATGTACTCACAAAGCATTCCATAAACATGGTCTCCCTTCTGGAAAGCAGTGGTTTCGCTTCTGAGGACAACGCCGATTCCATAGTTCGAAACACTGTGGTCTGATTGTGGGTAAAACGACTCTCAAGACCATGTAGAATAGACCTACGGGTTTCCGATGGAGAACGCGTACTGTGGAAGCACGCATGCAGAACGTAAGTTTAAGACTACGACCTCGAGATGCATAACTTGGATACTTACGGTGGAGGGTACCTTTGCCCCAGATCCACCCATCCTACCTCTGATGAGGACGTCGATGGAAAGCACTAGCGTCTTCACAAGAACGCCGCCATCGAGAACCACACTTTCTAGGTCGATCGTCTGGGTCGTATCATAGACGGTTGTTTGCCCTGGGACGGGGTCACCTGGACGCCAACGGAAAGAGAAATGCACGCTACACGTTAATGGTATGTAGGCAGAAGGAGTAAAAAGCATGTCGCACCGAAAGGGTGTTCGTTAAACAAAAGACGGGCGTTCACGATTGGCGCCATCTGTAAAACTGATGAGAAATACGTACTGTTCCTCAAGATATATACCTTCAGAAAATTGCGCTCGACTTGAGGCAAACCGAGAATGTTCATTGTGTCGCGAGCGCGGGGGTGAGTGGATACAACGATCCACTGATAAGCATAGATCACTCAACGGTATGGTAGTCATTAGCCTGGACAAAGGAAGAAACGATCGCTAGCCGACACAACAGGTAGCGCTGACCCTGCAATACCCTGGTCAGCGCCCAAGTGTAAAGATAGGTTGTGTCGAGTGCGATACGGGGCGAGACATTGTAGGCATCAACGAAGGATGATGGAGCTCCACACCGAATTTGATGCATCCTCCTCATCGCTCACTGAGGCGATACATCCTGGTGGGACCTTCGTGGATACAGAAACATATGAATAGCTCTTTCTGACCCACAGAGGGAACAATGTGGATGTCTCTGTGGGTCGCCAATAGAGTTTCTACCATCCACCATTCTGAACGGAGCAGCTCCTCCGATGACAGCCTCTGCGGAAGTCATTTACGCTGATACAGCCTCAAGGCAGAGGAGGGGAATGGCTGGAGGATCTCATTCAACTCAAGGATTGCGTATGCTCCTGAACCCCGTCAGAGAATCTGACTTCCGTGCTTATGACTGCTCCCAACAGATGTGCAACGTACTCTCCAAGATAATTCCTCCTAGTCTTCGCTGCGACCACAACTAAACGGCCAAAATGTATTCTCATCAGGGTATACGTCTTCGGCTAGATCAAGGTACTGCTTAAACCGTCAACGAGGACTACGGCGGCCGTGCGTTGTGGGTCGAAGGAGAATGTGACGTAGATGGGAACAGGTTTGACTTGTGCATCATTCGCAACGAGACTTGACGAGGATTGTACGAATGTGAGCCAAAAACTTCTTGGGAGTGGAGTATGCTTTTGATGGAATATACAAGGGACCAAACGAATTGAGACCAAAGCTGGTCGAAGCACAAAGCAAGAAGAGAAAATCGTGTACAGTACGTGGCTCATTCAAAGCGGCCCCAGGCCGGTATCCTCCGTGTCGCCACAATCCTACATGGAACTGGCCACATTGGGTAAGCTTCGACCTTAGCACCTATACTAGCTGTAGCACACCATGATACAGCCTTCACGTAATTCAACCAGAACATGAAGGTGTTACGGATATGATGCGCCACATCACGAAAGCTGGAACGACCGCGGTAAAGAAATATGGGAGTTTGACGGGAACCCCTAAATAGTAGTTTCCTTGCGCAAGGAACAGACGAGAAATGATTCGACGAAGCGCAAAGAGCGCGAGCCTGAGGAGAAATTGGATTGCACCACAAGACAGCAGTAGGTAATACAAGTACAAGCAGACAGCGCGACGACACGACGATGATGGAGCAGAAAATAGAATGATACAGGAGCAGATGATACATGAATGCGAACGACAAAATACATGAGTGTGAGCGACAAACAATACATGATACAAAAAGAAAGAGAAAAGGGAGATAGAGCTGGGTGGAAATTGCGAGAGCAAGTAGGATGAGATAGAGAATAGACACGAAGAATGAGGAATACAAAGACAATAAGTGAGGACATAAAAATGAGCAAGGACGGCAACGAGACAGCGATGATGCGTGAGACATCAGGGCGAGGGAAAACAATAAACGAGGCAACATGACGAGCAAGACAGACGACCGATAGAAACGAGGAGACAACGACACTGAGAACGATTGTCCGAGCGAGAAACAATTGACGAGACGAGATAGAACAGACGTATAACACGACGAACCTTTTTCGCGACCTCCCCAATCCGCCTTCCTCACCTTCTCCAAGGAAAAACACCCGTAAACGAATCGTACACCTCCTGCGACCAACCCGCAGCACCTTGGCTTGGGCTCATCATCCACGAGAATGGATCAAAAATGGATCCCTGAGACGTTTCAGCAGTTGGAATGGGCCAAGTGTCCGCTTGGGGAGCTACTGGGGAGTACCCAGGGTGGTGATGGTACATAGGTGCGTCCCCGTGGTCGTAAGCAGAGGTCGCAAATGCGTCTTCGTTGATGTACGGGCCGAAGACTCGGCCTGGATCAAGGTTCCGTTGGGAGACACGAGCGTCGGATTGCGAAGTCGCTGGTGGGTGCGACGATGTGCTTGGGAGCGGAGAGGGGGGAGGGAACGTCGAAAAAGGAGGCAGAGAGAATGGGACGTTGGGTGGTGACGAGTTAGGCTGCTGGGCAATCGGAGCATTGTCCCAGCTCGCCGACGGTGACGCATACGGGGAATAACTCCGACCACCCCCGCGTACATCATGATGTGGGCTATCAGCCTGTGGGGCGAGCGGTGGCGCGATGTACGAGATAGTGGGAAGGGAGGCGGGGGCAGAGGCGGCGCGATAGTAGGTGCGCGAGAATGGTTCACGGGCGGACGAACCGCCTTCGTGCGCCACGCGAGCGCCTGGGGTGGCATACAAAGGGGGAGTCGGGGAAGCTGGTGCGACGGCGACAGTGACAGCGGGGCGTGGTGAAGTGGTGGTATGCGGGAACGAGGTATGGGTGGCCGAGGTGGAAGCAATGACGGGCGCGGGTGCTGCTGAGGATGGGAAGGCTGATGATGACGCCGCGTCGTCGTACGAGCCCTGAAAGTGTGATCCGCCAGGGGCGGAAGTGGGAGGATGGGAAGTGACGGGATTGGGTTGGTGCGAATAATCCTGCCGCGTGCAATCGTCGGGGATATAGGACGAAAGTTGACATTCCCCGATTTCGACCGTTTTTCCTGGCGTTGGGCTTGAATATGGCGCCTTTTCCCTTCTGTCGTGAGACGTTTTCACCCGTCTCTGTGGTCCAGCAGAGCCTCTCCCGCCATCTGCCTCGTCAACTTCCGGACGCGTGTGAAGTTTCCTCTGTGGCCGAAAGACATAGAGAGGGAAAAAGTCGATATGTGTCTCCTTGATCTTCTGGGCCATTTCTTCTATGGGTCGTCTCTCTGCAGCTGAAAGGTGGCGCCAGATCGTTCCGGCAATCCTCCCCCAGCCTTCTTCGCTCGGCGCTTTAGCGCCTAACCGTGCCAAAGCAGCGAGAAAGACCATGAAGGAGTTGGGGTTTCGAGGTGGTTGTTTGTCTGGGGAATATTTTTCGTGGTTCTGGTACTTTTTGAGGCAGTTCTCGTAGACCTGTAAAAGCTACATATCAAATAGAGTTCGCGGCACAAAAAGAGCGGTAATGTGGCTTACTGCGTTAAGGTGTGTGATGGTGACGAGGTGGATGGCGTACCAGGCCATCCACTCAGTGATTTGCGCGGCGGAGGCCACGAATTCAGTCATGATGAGGTGTACTTACAAGTTTAGGGAGAAGAGGTAGGGTCAAGTGATTGTCTTGGAGTCGACGCAGAAAGAGAATCAGATGACGAGTATCGAGTGCAATATCAGAGGCTATCAGCTTGCGTACCCCAAGTTGGGAATCGAGTACGAAGAGGAGGAGGGGGTGCAGATTATGACTTGAACCGCCCATAAAGACACTCCATTTATGCTCCCGCAGCCACCCGGGCATCATAGCCAAAATCCCAAGCCCATCGAAAGAGACTCATGGCCGAAGTACATCTAGCACCAATGCCGTACCAGAGCACCTCGTATTTTCGAAGTTACCAAAAGCGATGGGTCAGAGCGAAGCGGGCGCTGGTGTAGGAGGAGGCCTAAAGCGGGAAGTCTTCGTTAAAAAGGAAATACGGCCGTGGGTAGCAATTTCGCCTCGAGGCTGGAGGCGGCGAAGCTGTGGTATGGGGAGTACGCGGAGGTGTGTGGCGGCCCTAGGATCCCCCAAGAAAGGGAACTTTCAACTTAGGACGAGAGGCGTTCCCATGCCAGTGCATCAAGCTGAGGTCCAAAAAGTTGCCAAAAGTGGTTGGGTCCTAGGCTCCCAGCTAGCCCTCACGCACAGAGTTTCCTTATTCAACCAGACAAGGTGAGCCGTGCAAAGCCGAGAGACGTGCCAGTGGTGGTGGTGGTGGTGGTGGTGGTGGTGGTGGTGGTGGTGGTTCGAATGCAAGTCGAACGGCGCCACAGAGCTGGCGGTACGGTTCGACGACCGGCCTTTTTCCGGGCCGGTCTGCAACCGAACCGTTTGTGCCACGAATGTGGCCCACGAGTTCTCTCGAGTTCAACCTCCATCCTCATCGATTCATCCTCGTTCTCCACAGTCAACCATCAACCTCTCTGCATCTTGACTGAAACCTAACAGAAACCTAACAAAGCGTCTCGGCTCCCCAAGTAATGAAATTTTTTCAACCTGTGCATTTATGCTCGCTTCAAGCTCGCTTGTTGCTTGTTCGCCGCATTCAGATGCACCGACATCGTACTGGAACTGAAGTAGGCAATTTCGCACAGTCCACTAGTAGCAGTGCCTCCCCTCGGCTTGACTTACGTGGCCCGTGAACTGCTTCTCCGTGATGCCTCTGAGAGATGAGCTGGGTCACGACTCGGATTTGCTTTGCTTGCTCGGGACCACGCAGTTCGAACCACCGGACCCCCCATCTGACCGCTCGGGAATATTTCTTTGTTCCTAACGAGTCTATCATCCTCCATCCACGCGTTTGGTGGCGCATATTACTATCAGTGTCCTACTCGTCGTCGTCTCTCCGCCAATATTCTGCACTGCCGACTTTGTGGCCCTGGAACACATCCCGCCGTGCCGTCGATGCGTTACTGCGCAGTTCAGGGGACTATCACAGTACTGCCCGTGATTTACACCCCTGATGGACCATATTTCATCTCATCGTGAAGTCCGCCACATAACCGATCCTCGGTTCTCGCCCAGGGGAAACTGGGCGCCATTGTATTGTGTGCGATCTTAGTTAAACCACTTTCCGAGTCGAAGCGCACAATCATCCATCATGTACGAGAGGGTTCATTACCAGCTCAAAAAACACGCCAACCAAGGTCCACGTCGGTACGCCACATAACACAACAATACGCCACACAACGCAACACTTGATTCTCGCTATACGAAATAATCGCACAAAGACAGATACGGACAGCCGCGAGCGATCATGATAATCCCGAACCGAACCAGACCTCCCCACTCAACTCGACCCAAACATCGCTCCTCCTATCAACGCACCCCAAACCCCCCTAACGAACCATCCCACAGCCTTTCCCGCCACTTCCCCTCCTCTAAGCCTTCGCACCTCCCTCTGGCTGAGACTGACCCTGGGGCTGAGGCTGACCCTGGGGCTGAGGCTGAGGCTCAGACTGCGCCTCACTCGCCGCAGGCGGCGTCGACCCCCCATTCTGGTTCTGATAATCCGCATTCTTGATGAACCTCTTCATCTTCATCTGCTTGCCATCCTTACTCTTAAGATCCTCGGGGACGTCAGCCTCGGGGCTGGGACCGACGGGGGTCGTAGGTGCAGGCGAGGGCTGAGCGCGTCTGACAGAGTCGGGTGTGGACATCGACGGGGAAGATGGGGCAGAGGGGAAGAAGCGACGAACGGCATCAGCGGCGGGGGCGGGAGGTTGCATGTTCATGCCTTGGTGGCCTTCACCTTGGGATTGAGGGGTGGCGAGGGCATTAGGAACGGGGAGAGAGGGAGCGGGAGGAGTGTTGTCGGATTGGCGACGACGGCCGGGGATGGTAGGGTCTGAACCGACGAAGGGGGCGGAGGGCGGGATCTTGTTCTTACGAACAGGAACCGTGGGGTCCGAACCAACGAACGGAGCAGCAGGAGGGAGGACCTTGCTCCTACGAACGGGGATCGTAGAGTCCGAGCCGATGAAAGGCATAGAGGGAGGAACGATCCTCGATCGCTCCTCATAGTCGTAGGTGGAGTGATCGTCGCTGTTGTCGGCGGAATCGGGCTGCATGGCGCCGGTAAGACTAGAATCGAACGCGCGGCGGAATTTCTTGAAGTCTTCTTCTGCGCTTCCGGGGAAACGAGTGGGCGGGAGCGGTGCACGTTTGGCGGGTTGGTTATTGGTGTTGTTTTGCGGGACAGCGGTGAAGTCGACGACGGGGGCGGCGAGGGCGGTGGCGCCCCAGTTCAGGACGAAGAGGGCGGCGGGGATAGTTATATAGTTGAAACGCATGGTTCGTCAACGGAGGGGGAGGGAGAGTAGGGGCTAGGCTGTGGACTCGGCGGGCGAGTTGGTCTTGAGGAGATGGTAGAATGAAGGCGGGCAGGAAGACCTGGGGACATTCGACCTGGACATATAGGGCTTATATATGTGTGACTTGACAGTCCAGAGAACTGAATGAAGCGTCACGAATTCAACATTTGTGACCGAGTGCAAGTCGAGAGGAGCGCGAGCAAGACACGATCAGTCTCCGAAGTTGTTGAACTTGATGGTCGGAGCCGCTGGCGAAGCCGGAAGCAGAATGCACATTAATAGCACCAGCTCAGAATCCCTGGAGAAATTAAATCCTCAGAATTTGTTGGCTAGAAGACACGGGGATCTTAACCTCAGAGCAAGTTCATTGTTCAAAGCACAGGGAGAGCTGAACAGAGAACAGCGAACACGAGGCGTCGAGGAAGGCAGGCGTGGGCGTGGGCGGTCATGTGACCGACGTTGAGACCCAAACCGTCCTCACCTTTGGGATTGCCTAAACCGAGCGGCTCTCAGGCTCTCTCTCCGTCCTCTGTTACGCCGTCTTCGCTTCTCTCTCCCTCCCACAACATCGTTCCCCTCCATGCTCGTCCCCATACCCAACAAATTCGACTCTACTCAAGGCTCAACAAGCCAGAAACGGACGCTAGATCAGGACATCGACGACGCCGACATGGTCACGGACGAACAGCCCCTTTCCAAGTATCGCCGGATCGACTACGGTTCTCAGACGTCCCCGCTTCCCATTTCGGATGAAAGCTCGGGCTCATACTTGTCTACGATGACGAGGGCTACTCTCGCCAACCTTCCAAACGACATCTTACTACTCATCTTCGCCAACGTCGACGTCAATGACATTCTCGCACTCCGCATGGTGAGCGAACCTCTCCATACCCTTTCTTTACCGGCGGCACATTCTTGAATTTCCCGCGACTGACCTTTGTTTCTCTTTTGGCTACATGGTTTGTTCTGTTCTTGTTGCTATGCTCTGTTCGCTGTTCGTGTGATTGTGACAGACGAACAAGCGCTTCGAGGCCGTCTCGAAAGAGAAATGGGTGTGGCTCGACGCACACCGGCGCCACGTCGTCGAACAAGGCATCCCCGGCCTCACCTCCTCCGACCTCAACTCCCTCTCGCCCGAACAGCTCGAAATCCGCGTGCTCCGAATAGCCCGCTTCCACCAGAACTGGACCTCCTCTCGCCCGCAACACCGTCGTTCCCTCGAATTCGACATCAATTGCCATCACAAACCCCTTCACCCCACCACCTCCTCCTCTGCCCCCGACAACGCTAATGGCAATAACCTACCTCAACGGTTCGATAGCCTCGATATGGATCAAGTCACCCAGGTCTTCTTCCCCCCAGGATGTAACGGCGAACTCATCATCACCGTCATCGCGCCGCAACCTCCCGCGAACCGCAATCCCTACTTAAACCCGAACAATCCATTCCGCCACCGCATCATATGTTGGGAGGTCCCGCTGGCGTCGACGGAGGTGTTCATGTTCGCGGAGAGGACGTTGCCTGATAATTGGTTGATCGAGGGCGTCACGATCAATGACGATGCGGAGAGCGACGCGACGTTGGCGGTCGTGTTCTCCCATGGAGATCCTAATACGTGAGTCCGTCCTTCCCATCCTTCCCTTTGTCCTATTGTTATGTCAAACGAACAAGCCAAAGCCACCACCCTTGCGAAACGAGAACGCTGACGATCATTCTCACTTGTGCGTGTTTTGGGCGTGGCCGTGCGTGTGTCTGTCTGTCGTCTCTGCGATATGAATATCCTGGTGTGGTGTGTCACATCCCTCGACGAACAGACGCATGATCGAGGCATGGAAGCTCGACAAGTTCCACGGCCGATTCGACGTCCTCCGTAGCGAACGCAGCCAACTCAGCCGTCTGCGCCCCCTCGTCCGTCTCTCGGGCGAATGGGTCATCCTCGGCGAGCCCGTCGCGATGTGGAGTTGGAGGGTGCCCGGGAGGTATTTTATCTTGTCGGCGCAGAATCCGAGTTTGGTGGTCAGTACCGTTCTTTCCTTGTCAATCTGTATCGTAAAGTAAGATAGACGCTTACCGCTCCTCGTTATGTTCCTCTCGCTCGTGTCCTTCATTTCATGTCCGTGCCCATGCATACGTTCCCATCCCGGTCCCCGTACGCCACTCCTCTTCCCACACACTCCACGCCACATCCCTCCCTCCTTCCCAACCAACCCCGAACGCCCCGAACCCACCCACCCACGCCAATCCAACCCACGCCCACCCAAACTTCCAACACACCACAGCCCAACGACATCCTAACCGCGAAGATAATCCGCCAACACATCCTCATAATCCGTCAATCCCACTTCCAACTCCTCCCCATCCCGCAATTCGATGCTCACGGACGTCAGATCCGTGTGCCTGGGGCGGTAGGAGCGTACCTCCATCTGAACGAACCGGCGAAGGAGGCGGTGGTTGTTGTTCATCGGAGTGCGGAGGGGTCGAAGTACCACCGTGCTCAGGAGGGGTCGAAATACCACGCTCAGGAGGAGGAGTCGGGGTCGAGGATGGGAGGGAAGGGGTGGGGAGGAGGGGGAGGGGGAGGGGGAGTGAAGGACCAGGATGAGGGCGAGGAAGAGAGGGATCCGTGGTTGTTCGAGCCCGTTACGGTTCTGTTACGGATGGCGAACAGCGACACGATGCAGAAATTCGATATTTATCCGCGTCGGGCGGGGCCTGAGGACTATCCACCCTCGTCTTCTTCTTCCTCCAATCCTTTCACTCCCTCCTCTGCTGGTGGTGGCGGTATGGGGGATGGAACGCCGCAAGGACAAGGACAAGGGCAAGGGATGAAACCGGCTGCACAACTGCCGTGTCATTTCGTGGGGCAGCCGACGAGGATGATTGGTGTTACGCCTAGTTGTTCGAATTTTGTTGTGACGCCGAATGGGAAGGGGTTTTGGTTCGAGACGAGGAATGTGACGGCGTGTTGTGGTTCTCCTTCTGCCTCCTCCTCATCCACCTCATCCACCTCTTCCACCTCCTGTGCATCTGCTCCGACCTCGAGCAACAACCCCCACGTCACCGCTTCGACTTCCTTCAACTCAAACTCATGTGCACACGCGAACACAGGCGGATGCGAAAGACATAGGACGGAGACGTACCCCGCGAGATGTCTTGTCGGGTTCGAGACGTGGTCGAGTTATGTGAGGCCGGATGCTTTGAGGGATGTTCTCTGCGGAGGTCACGGACATGGACGGGGCGGAGAGAAGAGAGGCAAGAACAAAGAGGATTTGGATTCGGATTCGGGGTGTGAGGTCGACGACGTACCTTGTTCTTCGTCTTGCTCTTCATTCCCTTTCAACCCCAACACCTCCACCTCCAACACCTCCACTAACTCCGCCTCCACCACCGCCGCCTCCTCTTCTGCTAACACATCCTTCGACCGCAGCCCCTCCTCACTCGACTCCACCCCGGGCCACTGGGAAAACGAGCTCGTGCTCCGACGGTCCAATCCTGTCTTCACGATGCGGGTGGGGATGGGAGAGGTGGGGAGTAAGAAGTATAGGTTTGGGTGTGCGGATTTGGAGGATGAGGTGGGGAGGGTGGTCCTTGCGGGACGGGGGGGTAGGGTTTGGGTTTTGGATTATGTGTAGAGAGGGGTGGGGTGGGGATGAGGTTTGGATTTGGATTTGGGTGTGGTTTTGGGTTTGGGTTTGGGTATCATTTGGATCTGGAATTGGATGGGTGGGTGGGTCGTGCGTGGCTGGATGTGGGTATGGGTGGTGGGATGGGAGGAAGGAGCGAGGCGGGCGATGGAGTAGTGGTGGGACGGGGACGAAGAGGAAAGGAGCTGGATGGATGGACGGGTGGGTTGATGGATGGACGTCGAGAGTGGGGAGGTGGGGGGATGTGTGCATGCGTAGGCGCGGTCGGTCAGACACAGTCGTGGCGACTTTGCAAGGCCCAGTCAGGTTGCCTCCATCCCGCGATGGTGCGACGACAGGCGACAGACGACGTGCGACGGGAATAGGAGCAAAGTCCTGGACCATTGTCCTCCAACACGAAAATCGTACTTTGCGCTCGCCCACACACACACACACACACACACCGATCATTCGTCAACTGCCGCCTCTTTGTTCGAAGGCTTCCATGCAGGCGCTCGCTCGGGATCAATCCTCCTTCGACCGGTTAAGTACATGCATATGGGATTTGATTCGCCGTATCCGAGATTCGAGATTTTGCACGCAGCACGAGGTAGGGACGGATTTAGATTTAGATTGGCGAGGCGCATTGTTCGCTTTGTTTGGGAATTTTTTGGTGCTGGTTCGTTGTTGGCGGGTTGAGTTGTTTCTTGATGAGGCTTCATATATGCGCTTTCTTTTGAAGCTTTTGAATCGTTATACCTATGCAAATACCTTCTTCATCTATGTTTTATGCATTTCATTTCTTCTTCATGTCTTTTCTTCTCCCGTCGTTTTCTTGGACAATTTTTTTTTCGCGTGTACACCCCGCGGCGACTTTTGATCATTCGACCTTCTTCGCACGACGCTTTCATGGACCATCAGACTTACTCGCTCTCGTTCGCTGATATCGTTATCTCTCTTTCTTGTTCTCTCTCTTGCTGCTTGCTTCCGGATATGGATGTGGATATGGATTTGTGTGTTTGATTTCTTGCTCATCGCTTGTTCTCGTTTGATTTCGTCTCACGTCTTCTTTTTTCGTTTCGTTTCGTTGGTGCTGTCGTAGGGCAGTCGTCATGCATTATGCAGCGTGCTGGGTACGATTCACGGCTTGTCGTAGGGCGGCCGTTGTCGCGTTCGTTGTTGGGTATACTCTGCGTTCGCGGTATCAGGGTTTTGGGAAGGTGGAAGTTCAAAGAAGTCGGAGTAGTCTGTATAATCGTGTATGTATGATCTTTGCAATTTATCTTGTGCAACTTGAAGTCGGTCGGAATGTGGATATCGATATGGATATGAGAATTTTCAACTTTTTACGGATGGATAGATGAGTGCGCGAGTGAGTGAGTGAGCGGGGTTGGACGTGAAGGTATGCGCTAATATGGGCGCTGTGCGTGGAGGAAAGGTGGTGTAATGAGATCGATGTATGCGTGTAGGAGGGTAGTTTGGATCGGAGGAAGGGGAGAGGGAGAAAAAGAGGAGAGAGGCAGAAGAGGAGGAGAAGTGAGTAGTCAGCGAGGTGCGAACCGTGAGCGAGGGTGGTGTGATTCGCCCTTTGGACCCTGAGATGTTGAAGCAGACGAAGACGAGCTAGAACGAGCGCAAAAGAGGAGGAGAGACAAAGCTTGCGAGCACGACGTCGACAGAAGGGGAGACGAGAGCGGCTACTACGCGCCAGTCAGAACGGCGTCAGGAGATGTGATGGGAGATAGGGTGTTTTCGTTGAAGGAGGGAGAACGTGGAGAGGGAGAGAAGAGACGAGTGACGGGCGAACGGAGAACAACAGGTTTGGGAGAAATGCCATGGTGGAGTGTGATATTTCTTCGGTCCTGGAGGAGACAGATCGGAAGACAGGTCGAGACAGAGGCGGGGGAAGACGAGCTGGGGCGAGCGTGAACGAGGAGAGAGAGGTTGGAAGCACTCGGGGGCGGACGACTGGAGTGGCTGCTACACGGTAGTCATGACCCAACGGCTACATTCGACACGAAACGCTTTGGAAATAGGAGTTTTATTCGCAGACGAGTCAGAGTTTTCACCAGAACAGACAAACTCTTCACCTAAACCAGCCACAGCGTTTCGAGCAAGAAATTTATAGCTGGCAGACCTCGGAGAAACCCGGTCTGCATCGCAGGTTGGGCGGCCACTCAGCGCCACTCTTTTCCTCGCAACATCGTCTTTCCTGGTGACTTTTTTATATCCTCAGTGAGCCTGGTTCCCCTGAAGGTATCTTCAGCTCATCGTCATCCACTAAATCCGGAGACGTATTGAGGATCACCAGGGTCTACTGATACGCATGAGGCCACGCGGTTCCCGACTCTATTTATGTGCCACCAAGTACCTACTCCCAGAACGCATTGCAACCTCTCGAACAACGATCTTCTTGCTGCACATGTCCCCTAATCCCGCGGAATGCGCGTGACTGCGATGGGCGGAAGTTGCTGCCAAGTACAGGCGTTATCGCCAGGCTCTCGCTCCTCTCGGAAGAATTCGAACGAGGGCGGTATAACCCATCAGTCTTCCCTCTCCCCTATGCATATGGGATGCCGATGGCTCCATCGTGCTATCGACCCACTTACCCGCTTTGTCACGCGTAATCTTTGTACGTTATGCGCTAGACAACACCGGCAGTCGAAGCGCGAGAATAGTAGCATCGAGTTTTTGGACGCGACGCGTATATAAAGAGGATCCTCGTCTTTTGTGGAGGCTCTTCGGTGCGCTGCCTTCCATCGCACACTGCTACACCCTATGATGGCTCGTTTCACTCTGGTCTGGGTGCTAGCTTCGATCGTTCAGGTGTTCGCTCAGCCATCCCCAGACGTGCAAAAAAGGATTTCGGCAGCCATCGCAGCTGCCGCTAACGCATCGACCATAGACTACACTGAGTTCGTCAACCCGTTCATTGGGACAGGTAGGCCTTTTCTTTCTTTGCATGCGTCCTTTTCCGCTCTTGCTCTGAGGGTTGTCTGACGCGAACGGTACGGTCCCACGTTACATAGACTTTAACTTCTATGGTGATGTCTGGTGAGTCTTCTCGAGACGGTCTCTTCTTTTCTATCAGAATATCAGAACCTCGGTTGACTCGGTCTGCGCGTGTGTCTATATAGTCCAGGCGCGTCGGTCCCATTTGGAATGGTAATTTCTCTTGGACAATCTGTACCCTTATAACGGAGAATAATAGCATGACTGAGCGGTGTCAATGTCATTCAGGTTAAGTTCACCACGGATTTCACCGGTTATGCTCCTGCTGGTGAGTGAGGCACTCGATCCGCTTCTCGTTGTCGTTTTAAAAGGATGATTGAACTGGATGTATGCATATATGACAGGCTATATCGCGGATCCCAGTCAATCCGTTCGCGGAATGTCCCCATTACACGACTCCGGGACGGGTTCATCACTCGGTACGCTACGTTCCTTTTTGGCGAAAAATATGGACCTGGCATCTTATGCTTGCATGCTTAGGCACATACGGGAACTTTGAGATCATGCCCCTCATGTGTCCCGATGGTTTCGACACATGCACTACTCGTCTGGATGACCGTGAACGGCTGAGGAAGAATAACACCGATGGTTCGTTCGAATTTCGAAATTTCTACACTCCTCTAATTCTCGATCTCCCTTCCTTCCTTTGTCTTTGTCAATGTCTGTGTATATGCGCCCACAGAGGCCTCACCCGGCTATTTCGCTCTCACGCTCGACAACGAAATCAAAATGGAAGCGACCTCGACGCGTCGCGCCGGCCTCGAACGGTTCACATTCCCGCACCAAACGACGCCCTATTTCGTTCTGGACCTCGCGAACGACCTCCCTGCGTCTTTTGCGGGGGGTTCGTTGGATATCGATCCGGAGATGGGTAGGATCACGATTGGTGGGCATTGGGGATCTAGGTGGGTTGATTTTGAACTTGGTTGTCTGCTATACAATTTACCATACTGACTGAGGATGTGCGTCCTAGCTTCGGGCCCGGAGCATTTCATTATCAGGCGTTTGCGTGTTATGATCTTCTTAATGGCGGGAATCAGACGTTGAAGGAGTATGGAGTCTGGGTGAGTGATCCTCCTTGGAATCTCGTTGACCTCGGACTATCCTCCCAGAAGTTCAAACGATCTATCTTCTATCTGTAGACAGGGGACGACTATGGATTAGACGCCAAAGGTATGCAAATCGCGGCTATGCTACGCTCTTTCCATTGACTTTCCCTCACGATTCCGGTACTAACAGGCCTCGGGATGACCCACCTAAACCTCTCCGTCAACCTCATCGGCGGAACGCCGTACGAATCCGGCGCCCTCTTCTCCTTCTCCAACTCACCCTCCACCATCCTCATCCGCGTCGGCGTCTCCTTCGTCTCCTCCGCCCAGGCCTGCGCGAACGCGGAATCCGAAATTGGAGATGCGACGTTCGAGGAGGTGTGGGATGCGAGTCGGAGTGCGTGGAATGAGAGGTTGAGGAAGATTGAGGTTGATTTTGAGTTGGGGGGGACGCCGGAGAATGTGACGGAGATGTTGTATTCGAGTTTGTATAGGGCTAGTTTGACGCCGGTGAGGAGTTTTGTGTCCCCTTTTTTTTTGAGACATCACTGGAAGGACGATACGGTACGGTGCTGAGTGAGTGAGTGACTGATTGGATATGTAGAATAACGCGACTGGAGAGACGCAGGGCGCGTTTGCGAATACGACTTCGATGTACTTCGATTCGTTCTATTGCAGGTAACCCGTCTCCTTCCTTCCACTGCCTTTCCTCAATTCACTCAAGTTGACCAAATCCCACTCCCTCCAGCTGGGATACCGTAAGCCAACCCCGGGTCATTTGTTCTATATTATCATTGATCTCATGGGGTGGTCTCGCGCCAGTTCCGAACCTTCTATCCCCTCATGGCACTCCACTCTCCGGACACATTCGCCGAGATCGTCGATAGCTATATTGATGGCTATAGGAAATTGGGGTGGATGCCGGAGTGTAGGGCTAATAATCTACCTGGGTGGACGCAAGGAGGTTCGTGCTCTCCCTCCCTCCTTCCTCTCTTGTTCAACCATTAAAAAAAATTGATTTGATTTGTGTGTGTGTGTGTGGGTACTTTAGGATCGAGCGCAGATCCCATCGTGGGCCATTTCGCGATCAGTTATCATAACGAGGCCGCAGCGCTCGGGATCGATCTCGATGAACTATTTGCCGCACAATTGCAGGATGGGGAGGTCACGCCTCCGGAGTGGAATATTGAGGGGAGGCAGATCGGGGTGTACAAGTGTGTCTCTTCCTCGCATTCGAACCCTTTCGGAGTAGGCACGGAAATACTGAGTCGGGTCTGGATACTTTGAAGGCAATACGGCTACGTACCATTCGCGGCGCTCGATACGTCTAGCACGGGCCGTCAGACGCGTGAGGGCAGTCGGACGCTCGAATATGCGTTTGAAGATTTTTCGATAAGACAGGTCGCGCTGTTGCTCAACCAGACCGATATCGAGGCCGAATACGCGAATCGTTCTCTCGTGCGTCCCCCTCTTCCCCCACCCCATCCCACCCTTCCCTGCTTACGTCGTGACGATCGCTGACCTTGGAACTCATGCCACTTGGAATTCACGGTGTGCTGCATTCGCCATTGACAGTTCTACCGCAACGTGTGGGACCCGGAAGTCCAGAGCGACGGCTTCGAGGGATTCATGCAGAAGAGGTTCATGAACGGTTCCTTCGCACATACGAATCCGGTCGACTGTTCGCCGAACGATAATGATACGTCGAGGGAGTGTTCGTTGCAGGAGGATAACGAGACGGGGTTTTACGAGGTATGTTAGGTTTCGCACCACACGCACGATACGGCATTGAGCTGATGGGTCATGGACGGAAATGCGAATGGGAATGAAGAGTTCGGCGTGGGAGTATAGCTGGTGGGTCGGATTCGGACGAGGATTTTCATTTTTTGACTTGACTGGTTGTTGAAGTACAGTGGTCCTGATGGGGTATATTTATTCGTAGGTTCGCTCCGCACGATACGGCATACCTGATGGAGTTGATGGGCGGGAATGTGAGTGCTTATCCTCTTCGCTCGCGGAACTTTGGTGGCACTGGTACTGATACTCATTCACCCGCTTGAATATATGTACACTATCTCAGGCGACTTTCGTCAAGCGTCTGAACCACTTCTTCGATGTGAGTCTACTCTCTCTCTCTTCCTTTCCCTTTCTCTTCATGCAAAGGTGTTTGGACTAACAGCGAATCTGATATGAACCAGGCTGGCTATTATCTCGCTGGCAACGAGCCTTCCTTCCAGGTACGCCGAACTGAAACATACCACATTTTTTTTGAAAGAAAGAAAGTCTGATGAAGGGGATGCGGATCAGACTCCGATAGGATATCACTACGCGAACCAGCCCTCCAAGTCGGTCGATCGTGTCCGCCAGATCGTGTTTGAGAACTTTGGGATCAGTTGAGTATCATCTCGCCTTTGACACCAGCGTAGGAGGCTCATCGAGGTCTATGTGGTTGATTCAGCTACGGAGGGGATACCAGGAAACGACGATCAAGGTGCTCCGTTATTTTTCGTGCTGGATCCACGGCCGACACAACTAACTATGAAGAAACTTGAATAGCTGCGATGGCCACGCTTCTTATTTGGCACCTCTTAGGTCTCTACCCAGGTACGCCTGCCGTCTCACACTCACCCTCAGGCCAGTCATCCTAATCTCCACAACGACCGTCATCTGAATCGGCAACCTACTAGTCCCCTCCACCTCCGAAATCCTCGTCCTCTCCTCCTTCATCCCCAAATACACAATCCACAACACCTACCTAAACACCTCCACCACCCTCACAACCCTCAACTACGACCCCACCTCCGTCCTCAACGCCTCCACGAACGGCACCGTGCCCCCCGGCGCGTCCGCGTACGTTAAATCTGTGACGATCAATGGTGTCACGCAGCCGGGAAGATGCGCGTTCGATTTTTATGATACGTTTAGGGTGGGGGGTGAGATTGTCGTGGAGTTGACGGGGGAGAAGGGGGAGGCGGAGGGGTGTGATGCTACGGGTGGAGGTGGAGGGACGGGGACGGGGAATGGGACGGGAGGGGGGGTGCCGCAGAGTTTGAGTGGGGGTGGGTTTGCGAGTGTGCGTTGAGTGGGATTTAGAGGGCTTTGGACGAGATTGTGTGACTGTATTTTACTCGACGTATAGTTCTCGGCAACCGAACATCCTCTGAATGTCGTTCGGGCTGGCAGTACTTAGTGTCCACTGAAATGAAACGGGGGCGTCCTTGAATTCGAGCACGTTCACGTTCTGAATCTACAACGTCGCGATGAGGCTTCACGCCCGTGTTGTGAATATGGATGGATGAAGACAATATGTACATCGATGTGCGTGTTCAGTGTCATCGCAGAAGTCAGAAAGTACCCGTTTTATGTCTTTCGTGTCCATTTGGAGAAAATACCCAATATGGCCCTTCAGCGTATTCTAAGCCAAGACAGCCAGTCTTCTCGAAGTAACCGGAGCAGCCTGAGCGAGGAACGGCCTTCCCCTGAAGGTGCTCCAAGTCCCTCGTAGATGAGATAAGTATACTGTAGTTTTTCGCGCACAAGTTCGTGTCCCGTGTCCCATGGGGGCCGCGAACGAACTTGTGCCGCGGGACAGTCCCACCCCATTGACGTGCACGGAACTTGTAAGTAGGACAAACCAAAATTTGACCCAAATTTGACGAAAATGTGAATATATTTTAGGCTCCTAAATTGACCTCAGGAAGGCCTCCGAGACACACTTTGGGCTAGATTTTGCTACTGGGTGAGCTCTTCCACCCAAATTCAGAGGTTAAATACCTGTTGAACGGTTACGAAAGGTCGTGTCCCTGCAAAAGCGTCGATGTTCACGAACATTGTCCCTTGTCCCGGTCTGCTTGCGAACCGGGACACGAATTGATTATGTCATCTCGGCAACGGCCGAGGGGCGGTGGCGTGAACTTGTGCGCGAAAAAGTACAGTACAGTGTAGGCCCACTCCTTGATCCGCCACTTTGAAGAAATTCATTTTCTGGCTCCCCTTCCCATATTCATCAAATCTGTTAGCTTAGGGGTTGAGAACATTCATAAAGGTACTCAGAATAAAATACACGCAGTGCCTAAAGTGAGTGTGCATTATCGGGAGACCAAGATGTGGTGTGGCACCCGAGCGCCACAAAATATGGGTCCTTGATCCAACCCCGCACTGCACGATTCCCCCTCATAAAAATAATACATGCTCATTAATAACCTCGATATAACCTTAAATGCACTATATTCACAGTTTTTAAGAGTGACATTGAGGCTGGAGGAGCTGTAGGCGGCAGATTTGCAGTGGATCAAGGACCGGGGTTGGATCAAGGAGTGGGCCTACACTGTACAACCTCGCAAACGACATGCTGCGAGCGTGCAAGAGTCTCAGAGAGTATATCGTAACGGTCGCTTGATTTCCCCGAACGTATACATATATCGCTAATGAAGAGCTCGACTTGGGAGTGAGGGTGTCGAGTTGAAGGAAGCGATCAAGAACCAAACAAAGAATTGATTTGTTTGGCGAGCGTTGCCCTCGTTCCGCACTCGGCATCATTTTCCCACACCCCTCCTCCCAAGCCCCTTTCGATTTCCCCACACAAGAAAAACGCCTGGAAAAGCAAAGTGGCGTCGGGGACGGCTTGGCTCGAAGATGCACGATGAAAGCATGTCGCTCTTCGGCATGGACAGCCTCTCCGCCATCGCCATCGGTCTCGCTCTTCGTCCGCTCATCCATTCCCTCGTCCACAACGACGTCCGCATCGGCGGCTCCCTCATCGGCCTCTGGGAAGGCGCCGTCCTCTACCACTTCCTCGACAAATGGCCCCGCTCATACGACCCCTACGTCGCCCTCGCCTTCCGCCTCTTCGTCGACTATCTCTTTACTGAAAGCGTCTCGCGCTTGACCATCACACTGCTCTGGGCCGGAATGGGGGTGCTCCTGGCCGACGTGACGCCTGCGTTCTGGTACGACCGCGGGCTGAGGAGGGTGTATAGAAGGAGTCGAAGGTGGTGGAGAAGGAATAGCTGGACTTCGTTGTTCGTCGTACCGCTCGAGATGTTCAAAGCGTTGCACTTGCCCTCGCCGGCCGAGGCTTACAGCCGTGTTCACTTCTACGAGATTCCTCCACCGAACGCTCCGTCTGTACCAGTGACGAATGCACCCTCCGTTACGACCGTCTCTCCGCCTAATAGTCCCCCTCGTCCTCGACGACGCTCCGTCCCTGGTGCATTCCCAGGCTACGCATCCGACTCCTCTTCCGCCACCGCCACTGTCCCCTCCCCCATCCTCTCCCCTTCAACACGAAGACAATACGGCCCCGTCGCAGCGTCCTCTCTCCCCCCTCCCTCCCTCCTCCTACGCTCCCTCCCCACCACCACCACCAACAACAACGGTGATGATACCGTGGAAATCATCCCACCCCTCTCCGCGAACCTACCCTCCATCGACGACGTCCTCGCGAACGACAGACACATCCCCGATCGCAATACGTTCACAGACGCTGGTTCCGATGGACTTCGCACGCCTGCTGACGCTCATCGGCCGCTTTCCTATGGGTCTGGCTCTGAACCGTTCTCGGAGAATCATTTCACTTATCCTCACATGGAGATGGAGAACGACCCGAGCTCGATGAATATCATGCCTAATCCACCGACGCCCCCACACGCCCCGCCTATGCCCATCCCCGACCTGCACTACGACAATTATGCCCAAGACCAAGGCCAAGACGTTAAATACGACCCGCATGTGAATGACATACCGACGCAGCCGTCGAACGACCCGCCTGTGTATACCTCCGTCGCGATGGACGATTTACCTGAGATTCCGAATCGGGAGAGCACCATTTCGTTGCTTCTTCCGCCTTCTCGGTCCCAGTCTCAGGGGCAGCATGGAGGAGGCTATGGATATGGATATGGGTATGGGAACGAACACGAGCCGACGTCTAGTACCAGCGTCCCGAGTTCTTCTGCGTATTCGTATCCTTACACTAATCCTGCTTATTCGTCGCCGTCTGCGAATGACGAGAAAGCGGGGTATAGTGGGAAAGATTATCCTCTCGACGTTAAGTCACCGCAATCACCCTCTCAACCACACCCCGCACCGCTAACCGTGCGCAACCCCGACCCGGACCCGGACCCGGACCTCCTCTTCCCCTCCCACCTCCTCCCCGACTCAACCCTCTCAACCTCACATTCCTCCCTCCTCTCCACCCACTCCTACACCACCACCCTCACCCGCGCCGCGCTCCTACGCACGCAAGCAAGCGCCGAAGAACGCCGGCGCGATGAGCTTGCAAAGGAGAGGAAGGAGGCGTTGGAGGGGAGGAGGTGGGGGAGGGCGTTGGCTTGTAAAGTTGAGTGGGAGGAGGCGGAGAGGAGGAGGGAGAGGTTGGAGAGGGGGGCGGGGAGGAGGGTGTTTAGAGGTGTGTGTCTTCTTCTTCTTCTTCTTCTCTCTCTCTCTCTCTCCACCGCCACCGCCACCGCCCCTTTGCCCCATTTCTCTTCGTTTTTTTTTGGAGGGGTCGGGTCGTTGTATTGAGTTTGTGTGCAGCTTACTGACGAGGAACCCGATGCGATACGAACCTATATAGCGCATAATTTAGCAGGAGAACCACAGACGATAGATGTGCATAGGCTGAAAGTACCGGAGGCCGTGCGAGAGACGGAAAAAGCGATCAGGGACCTGCTCGTCGAGGGGGGAGACACGCTTAGGGTCGTTACGGGGCGGGATATCGAGGACGTCCATGACGCACACCCGTATGATGGAGGACAGGGAGGGCGGGACTCGATGGGGAGTAATGGGCGGGTGAACCCGTCGGCGGGGACGGGGGCGCGGAGGGGAAGGATTCCGGTGTTGAAGTTGGCGTTGATAAGGACTATGGAGGGGTGAGTCCTTTTTCTATTCTGTGCTATTCTATCTTCCCTCTCCTCCCCTCATCAAAATAGACCCGTAATCCTTCTATCCTTTCTTTCTTCTAACATCTACGTCGGTCTATCCCCTCCCCCCTTTTCTATTCTCATTCGACGGTGTGTTGTCCAGAGTCATGTACTGACCATTGATCGTGGTGACCCGTTTGTCCTCTTAACTCTACAGGCATAAGATCGCGACGGAGGTCGATCCGTCGAATCCTGGTGTTTTGATCATTCATTTGCCGAACATGTGAGGCCTCGGGCTTCAGGCTTCAGGCTTCAGGTGACATCGACAGCGGCGACAGTTCGATTCTTTTTTTCTTTTTCTTTCTTCTTGCGTGTCATCGCGCCGTTTTCGCTTCTGGAGGCTGCGGTGCGCTGTACATACTAGACTCGAGACCCGAGCGCGAGGATTTCTTTTTTTTTCTGTGGGTGATATGCTTTGGTTTTTGTTTGCTTGTTTTCCTTTTTCTCCGGTTCCTTCTTGGATTCCTCTTCTCTCTCTTCTGTATCGGTTCCCCTGGCGTGCTTGCTCCCTCCCTTGTTCGTTCGTTTGTTTGACTATTTGACCTGATCTGTATCCGACTGACTGACTGACTGTGCTTTATTCCTATTCCCTCTTGTTGCTACGACTACGACTATGACTGTACTGCTGATGTATGTACGACTTAGACTTTGGCTCTGATCCTGACGAGCGGACAATTTACTACTCCTTTGTTATGTTCTATCTTGAGTGGTATCCAACGTTCAACCGTTCAGGGCTTGCTGGGCTTTAGGCCGACCACTGGCAGCAGGATTGATTGACTGACCGGGATCGAGTCATTGAGATTCAGAAGAATGATGCATTGCACCTTTTTTCGTGGAATTGTTTGTTTTGTACGCTAAGTCTCCGACACTTGATTATGTCACGGACACGGCCCGAGATCCGTCTTGGCGAAGCGTATTATCGAGTTCCTACTTGGGCGAACAAGGATGACATAGAATGGGAATAATGGCCAGATGATGCGAGAGAGAGCGAGACGTGATCAGAGCAAAAACTGAAAGGGCATGACAAGGACAGCGATAGCCATGCAGATATTGTACACTAACAAAAATGGAATGCAAAGCGTGCCCGTGAGACACGCGCTAAGGTCTCGACAGCAAAGACTACGCCGAGGGCATGACGGCTTTGTCGCTCGATCCCTCTCTTGCAGTATCAGGACCGTCACCCACCAGAGGATCTGAGCCGGTTTTGCAACCGGTGTTGACGCCGAGGTCCTCGTCCACTGGGTCCGGACTATCGTCCATAATGATCTCCGGCCAGTAGTATTGGCCATCTGGAGCCATGTCAGGTAACATAGAGACTGTTGCTATCCAAAAGAAACTCACCCTGGGGGACTTTGGCGTATTCCTCCGGCCAGTACTTCTTGGTGTAGCTCATCAGAGCCCGGTGCATCTCTTTGTATGCGACATCTTCGGGATAATTGCTTGGTCTTCTCGCCAGCAGCGCTTGTCGGTCGTTGAAAGCATTGATCGGAGTGGGATATCCATAGACCATGATTGAAGCTATCCGAGCGATAGGGAAGGGCAAATTGAGCATATCAGGATGATATTGTGGGTATTAAGTTAAAGGGAGTATACGCACATGGTTTCCATATTTCAAGCGCATAGCCTACGTCATATAGTTCTTGACAACCGAACACCTTCTCGTTTGGGCCAATGTCTCCTGGCGCAGGGGGGCTGTACGCACGCCGGCATCGCATCTTGATAGCGGTCTCGAAGTCGATGATTGAAACTCGACCTTCGTCGTTGATGAGAACATTCCGTTCTGCTACATCGCGGTGTTTCACGCCCGCGTCGTGAATCTTGACGAAAGCATCCATGATCTTCAGCCTGCGTCGGCATAATCGGTCAATATGCTGAGGTATCTTGTACGATCAGAGAGTCCGATAACACTCACTTGATATCGTCTGGTGCGTACTCAAAGCACGTACCCAATGGTTCGCCGGCGTACTCTAAGATGATACAGCCAGCTTCGCCTGGTTCCTCGAAGTATCCGAAGCAGGGAGGAATGACCTTTCCCTGAAGGTGCTTCAGAGCCTTGTAGACCACGAACTCCCGTTCGGTACCTTCTATTCCATCCGTAGTATACGCGATTTTGCAAACGACACGTTCGTGGCCCGTGGGTAGAACAAGAGAGCCAAGAAAGATGTCAAGCGATCGCTTGACTCGGACTGCATTAGACACATCTCATCGACCTCAAGGTCATCGTCGTTGTCATCCCTAGCGCGAATCAGCCAGAGATATTCTTCGTCATCATGCTCGTAGCCTAGTGGAAAGTTTAAAGTCACAGACATGGGTGTCGAGGTGAAGGAAACGATGAGTGTCGCACTTCTTTCGTGAGACTTTCTTTTGTTCGACAAATGATTATGTAACTGTGACACATCGTGTGGCGCGACCCGAGCGTTCTACGCCACAATTGGGGAGATCCCTTGTTACTTTGAGCTCTGGGATATGACTGTGTAGCAAAGCATACGAGCACCGAGTACTTACGCTCATCATGATGACTCAAGTAGACAAATATTGTCAAATATGATGGACAGAATGAAGCATCTGCGAGTGGGGAAGCGCGAGCAAGCACTCACGTAGTATAAGTTTCAACAACTTTCACGACAACCGTCTATACGGTCGGTGAACCACAGTAGTCATACGGCAAGTTTGACTCGAGGCTACATACCTGGCTCGTAGAAAAGTGATAGGAGCTGGTCCGAGTCGTCTGGACTCTGCAGACATCAGTCTAGCAAATATAGTAGCACAACCCAATCTGGTCTCCGAGAACTATGAGTCAGTTTTCCCTCAGGATTGATGCGTGAACAGAACGTACCAGAGCTCGAACGACATAAGATATCCATGATCCTACCGCTCAGTTTCCTCGATAATGTTCCATATGTGCCGAATATCATCGTACAGGCCATCACAAGACGTAGCAGAAACCAAGATAGGATGGGGGTACAGATTGAAAGGGTATGCCAAAGTCAGCGATTCCGGCGTTGGTGCAGATAGGTGGATAGAGTATACAAAACAAAGACGACATGCAAAACGTGAGTGCGAGATATGTAATACAACGACAGTGATGGCTATGGAGGAACAGCGACATCGCCGCTCGATTCACTATTTGCACTACTAGAGTCATCTTCGTCCAGGGGATCCAGAGGATCTGAGCCGGTTTTGCCTCGAGAGTTGACACCAAGGTCCTCGTCCGGGGTGTCGTCCATGATTATCCGGGGCCAATAACGTTTGCCATCTAGAATCATGTTAGGTAACATAGAGGATGCCGATATCCAGGAAAACTCACCCTTGGGGATTTGGGCGTAAACGTCCGGCCAGTATTCCTCGACGTAACTCATCAGAGCCTGGTGCATTTCATCGTATGCGATATCCTCAGGGTAATTGCTTGGTCTTTCCTGCAGCAGCGCATCTAGATCGTTGAAAGCATTGAGCGGAGTGGGATATCCCCAAACCATGATTGAAGCTATTTGAGCGATAGAGGGTCAGATCGATCCTATCAGACCCCGACAGTGTGGGCGGCAAGTGAGGGGAAACACGTACAGGGTTTCCATATCTCAAGCGCATAACCTACATCACATAATTCTCGACAACCCCACACCTTCTCGTTTGGGCCAATGTCTCCTGGCGCAGGAACGCTATATATGCGCCGGCATCCGACCTTGAGAGCCTTCTCGAAGTCGATGATCGAAACTCGACCTTCGTCGTTGATGACAATATTCCGTTCTGTTACAGAGCAGTGTTTTATGCCAGCGTCGTGAATCTGGACGTACGCATCCAGGATCTTCAACCTGCATCGATATGAGCGATTAATATACTCGGACACCTTGTACGATCACAGAGCCCGGAGACACTCACTTGATATCCTTTGGGGCCCGCTCAAAACACGTATACAATTCTTCTCCGGCGTACTCCAAGATGATACAACCAGCTTCGCCTGGCTCCTCGAAGTACCCGAAGCAGCGAGGAACGACCTTACCTTGGAGGTGCTTCAAAGCCTCGTAGATGATGAACTCCCGTTCGGTACCTTCTATTCCGTCCATAGTATACCCGATCTTGCAAACGACGCGCTCGGGGCCCGTGGGCAGAGTAAGGACACCGGAGAAGACGTCAAAGCGATCGCTGGAAGTTGGCAGTAGACACATCTCATGGACCGACACCTCATCTTCGTTGTCATCAGTAGCACGAACCAGCCAAAGAGGGTCTTCGCCATCATGCTCATATCCTAGTGGGAAGTTCAAAGTAACGGACATGGGTGTCGAGGTGAAAGAAACGACGTGTCGCGCTTCTTTCATAAGCTTTCTTTTGTTCAACATATGATTATGTAACTGTGACACATCGTGTGGCGCGCGAGTTCTACGCCACCGTGACGTGGTAAGTATACAGCCCATCAACCACGACAACCGTCTATACAAACAGTAAACCAGAGGAGCGATACGGTGTTCGATGACTGACAATATTCATCATTTACCGCCCAGTCTTGTCGATAATGTTCCATATGTGCCGAATAGCATCGTACAGGCAATCACAGGACGTAGCAGAAACCAAGATAAGTATGATGGGAGTAGAGATTGAAAAGGTATGACAAAGTCATCGATTCTGGCCCGCCATATATACAGTTCGGCGGATGGTGTACACAAAACGAAGACGACATGCAAAACGTGAGTGCGAGATATGTGATACTATGACAGTGAGGACTATGTCGGAACAACGACATTGCCGCTCGATCCACTACTTGCACTATCGGAGTCATCTTCGTTCACGGGGGACAGAAGACCTGAGCCGGTTTCGCCTCGAGTGTTGACCTCGAGATCCTCGTCCACTGGATCCGGGCTATCGTCCATAAGGATCTCAGGCCAGTAGCGTCGACCGTCTAGAAATATGTCAGGTAACATGGAGGACGTCGATATCCAGGAGAAACTCACCCTGGGGAATTTGAGCGTAAACCTCCGGCCAGTACTTCTTGACGTAGCTCATCAGAGTCTGGTGCATTTCTTTGTATGCGTGCTCCTCGGAATAACTGCTTGGTCTTCTCGCCAGCAGCGCTTCCCGATCGTTGAAAGCATTGATCGGAGTGGGATACCCATAGACCATGATTGAAGCTATTCAGGGAAGGGCACATTGAGCATATCAGGATGATATTGTGGGTATTAAGTTAAAGGGAGTATACGCACATGGTTTCCATATTTCAAGCGCATAACCTAGGTCATATAGTTCTTGACAACCGAACACCTTCTCGTTTGGGCCAATGTCTCCTGGCGCAGGGGGACTGTACGCACGCCGGCATCGCATCTTGATAGCGGTCTCGAAGTCGATGATTGAAACTCGACCTTCGTCGTTGATGAGAACATTCCGTTCTGCTACATCGCGGTGTTTCACGCCCGCGTCGTGAATCTTGACGAAAGCATCCATGATCTTCAGCCTGCGTCGGCATTATCGGTCAATATGCTGAGGTATCTTGTACGATCAAAGAGTCCGATAACACTCACTTGATATCGTCTGGTGCGTACTCAAAGTACGTACCCAATGGTTCGCCGGCGTACTCCAAGATGATACAGCCAGCTTCGCCTGGTTCCTCGAAGTATCCGAAGCAGCGAGGAATGACCTTTCCCTGAAGGTGCTTCAGAGTCTTGTAGACGACGAACTCCCGTTCGGTGCCTTCTATTCCATCCGGAGTATACGCGATTTTGCAAACGACACGTTGGGGCCCCGTGGGTAGAACAAGAGATCCAGAGAAGACGTCAAAGCGATCGCTGGACTTCAGTAGACACATCTGATCGACCTCGAGCTCATTTTCGTCGTCATCAGTAGCACGAATCAGATCGAGCCATTCTAGGTCATCATGGGTGTAGCCTAGCGGAAAGTTCAAAGTCACGGACATGGGTGTCGAGGTGAAGGAAACGATGTGTCGCGTTTCTTTCGTAAGCTTTCTTTTGTTCGACATATGATTATGTAACTGTGATATATCGTGTGGCGCGCCCTGAGCGTTCTACGCCACGATTGAGGGAGTCCCTTGTAACTTCGAGCTCTTGAATATCACTGCGTAGCAATGAGTATAAGCAACCCATAAGACGATCCGACTATCAATGAAAATGTGTATAAAACCTACCATTATACTAGACGATAGGAATATAAGCTGGTACAATTCGACCTCGAAAAGTTTCTCGCACCTCCGGTCATTCATCCAAAGTCTAACCACGGCGTTCAATCAAGGTCGTGTCCTCTCCAATGACAATGACTGTCGTGATCACCAAACTCCCACCATATGCCTCCGCCCTCGTCCTCACCTCCATCTCCGCGTCCTTCGTAGTCGAAACTCGTCCTCTCCCCCAGGCAGCGCCCTGGCCTCTCCCGTAATCTCATCCATAGGCGAGATCTACTCTGGTAAACACTCTTACTTTTCCCCTACTCCATTCGTCCCCGGAAAGAGCGCAATAGGTTGTGTGGCTGCCGCCAGTTCTGACGCGACGCACCTCGAATAGGGCAAGCTCAAGGCAAGCTGGCGTGTGTGGGCATGCGAGGAAGGGAGGACGGGAACGCGAGAATGTTGATGGGGTTGGATGAGGGTTTCGGGCAAGGGACAAAGAGGCTGATGAGGGAGAGTGGAGGGATGGGACATTAGCGAAGTATGTGAAGGTGCCGTTGGAGGTTGGTAAGGCGATGTTGACACGCGGTGAGAGGGAGGGAGGGATAGGGTACGGTCCGGAGAGGGTATAGTATCTTTCGACGTTGTTGGTACCGCACGGAGGGTCGAAGGACGTTGGACTACAGGCGGGAGGGACGATCATCGCGGCGCCGGCGACGAGAGCCTATGGAGGTGTGGCGGTACAAGTGGCACTGGCGATGGGCGCGGAGGAGGTGATTAGAGGTGATTGTGATGGGTAGGAACCAGGAAAAGCTGCTGAAAAATCAGGGCATCAACGAACGGGTTGCGGTCGTCGCGATCATAGGCGACACGGAGAAGGAGACGGAGGCACCCAAACAGTTTGGGCCATCGACGCATTCTTCGACATTTCGCCACCGGAGGCGAAGCTGTCGACGCAATGCGCAAAGTCAATTATAGTGGGATCAATGCACTTAGGCCATCAAAATGACTCAAGTAGACGGAAGTTGCCAAATGTGATGGACCACAAAGTAGAGCATCTGCGGATGGGGAAGCCGTAGCGCGAGCGAGCACTCACGCTGTCTACATTCCAACAAGCACGACGACCGTCTGTACGGGTAGTGATACGGAAAGACCGACCCGAGGCTACCTGGCTGGTAGAAAAGGGATATAGAGGCTGGTCCGAGTCGTCAATAAACATCAGTGCAGCAAACATAGTGGGTCTCCCAGAAGTATAAGTCAGTTTTCCCTCGCAGTCGATGCGTGGATAGAACGTACCAGAGTTCGAACGACCAACAATATCCATGATTCTACCGCCCAGTGTTCTCGATAAGGTTCCGTATGTGTCTAATAGCATCGTACACGCCATCACAAGTAAAGTAGATTACTGTCGATCAAGACGAAGGTGATCGCCCAACACACAAACCTTGACACCCGCTTCAACGTGTGATACCTACCCAGATGGGCTCGAAATCAAGCCTGGAGAGACTTCTAAAGGATGTATATTGGATGCAGCGTTGCTTGTGAAGTGAAATAGACGGCGGAGATATAGGTAGCAGAGACTGAGGTATGATGGAAGTACAGGATGAAGGGGCATGACAAGGTCAGCGATTCTGGCGTCGGTGCAGATAGGTGGATAGAGTACACAAAACAAAGACGACATGCAAAACGTGAGCGCGGGATATGTAACACAACGACAGTGAAGACTATGGTGGAACAACGTCATCGCCGCTCGATTCACTACTTGCACTACCAGAGTCATCTTCGTCTAGGGGGTCTAAAGGATCTGAGCCAGTTTTGCCTCGAGAGTTGACACCAAGGTCCTCGTCCGGGGTATCGTCCATGATGATCTTAGGCCAGTAGTATCGGCCATCTAGAAACATGTCAGGTAACATAGAGGATGTCAACATCGGAGAGTAACTCACCCTTGGGGATCTGGGCGTAAACGTCCGGCCAGTACTCCTCGACGTAACTCATCAGAGCCTCGTGCATTTCATCGTATGCGATATCCTCAGGGTAATTGCTTGGTCTTTTCTCCAGCAGCGCATCTAGATCGTTGAAAGCACTGAGCGGAGTGGGATACCCCCAAACCATGATTGAAGCTATTTGAACGATGGAGGGTCAGATCGATACTATCAGGAGAATAGTGTTAAGGGAGAGGGAAGCACGTACAGGGTTTCCATATTCCAAGCGCATAACCTACATCACATAATTCTTGACAACCCCACACCTTCCTGTTTGGGCCAATGTCTCCTGGCGCAGGAACGCTGTACGTGCGCCGGCATCGCATCTTGACAGCGGTCTCGAAGTCGATGATTGAAACTTGACCCTTATCGTTGACGAGAACGTTCCGTTCTGCTACATCGCGGTGCATCACGCCAGCATCGTGAATCTGGACATACGCATCCAGGATCTTCTGCCTGCATCGGCATGATCGGTCATTATACTGGGGCATCTTGTACGACCATAGAGTCCGAGAACACTCACTTTATGTCCTGTGGGGCCCGCTCAAAGCATGTATTTAACTGTTCTCCGGCGTACTCCAGTATGATGCAGCCAGCTTCGCCTGGTTCCTCGAAATACCCGAAGCAGCGAGGAACGACCTTTCCCTGAAGGCGCTTCAAAGCCTCGTAGATGATGAACTCCTGTTCGGTTCCTTCTATTCCGTCCGAGGTATACGCGATCTTGCAAACAACGCGTTGAGAGCCCGTAGGTAGGATAAGAGACCCAGAGAAGACGTCAAAGCGATCGCTAGACTGCAGCAGACGCATTCCATCGACCGAGAGCTCATTCTCGTCATCGTCGGTAGCGCGTATCAGAGTGATGCATTGCTGCCCATAGTGAGCGTGCTCTGGGGGGATGTGCAATGTCACAGACATAGTGAGGGTCGAGTTGAGGGAAATGGTGCGGCGCACTTCTTTCGTGAACCCGTCTGCTTTTGTACTCCAACACATGCTTACGTCACAGACATGTCATGTGCCACCCCGAGGACCGAGACACAGATTCGGTCACCGGTGGCACGGTTTGCTCGTCCGGACATCATCGATCATCATCGAGCTCTCGGACTTATGTACTCACGAACCAAGTAGGGCGGACTGGGTGGATGGATGGCACCAAGATGGCACTCATCGACCACGATACGTCCCGAGCACGCCTTTTCGTTTCGCTCTTGACCACGCCGAAATCCTTTTGTCTTCCTATTTCCGGACACTGGACGAACAATGGACAAAATGTGACATATGTAGCGATGTGGTTCACGGTCGGTGCTGTAATTACCCTTGCCGTATTGACAACACATGTTTAGAACACCGTATGGGGCTAGTGCTTCTGGACTTTGGTGCGCAATGAACGAGATCGATGAGATCGCTATCAAATGTAACTCGAGCCGACACGCCATCGATGTGTCAGGATCTGCGTTCTTGCTTTGCCGTTGACACACATTTATCTCACACCTTCGGGAATCATATAAAGCACTCGACCCTCTTGTTTCCCCTCGGTCGACATCCTCTCAGCTAGCCCTTCCATCCCACATGGCTCAGAGAAAGGTAGAATTTGCGGTCGCTCCAGGCTCCGAGCGCGTCAAACCCAAGCGCACCGTTGCTCGACCGCGGTCGCCTGCTGGTGAACCTCCGCCAAAAATTCCTATCACCGTTCTTCCGAAAGTGAACCTGCAGCAGGCCGCCACACGCAACCTATTCGAACACGCGACCACCGTGCTACCTGCTGGCCCTTACTGTGACCCAGTGTCTACGTCTCTCTCCACTCGCGGTCCCGCTGAAGCTGATCTAGACGTCCCCGTCGGACAGAAGCTTCAACGTGTAGTATATTGTCCCAATATGCCAGAGCAGCTCTATTCCGGAGGCAAGGAGCTTATGGAATCTGTGGACCTCTCAAAGATGACCTTTCCGGAGCGCATCGAAATGGCCACGCGCGCCTCCCCTTCATTCACTGGCACTGATCTCACTGGCATGATCAAATCCGAAAAGGATACGGAAGATTGGACGCGCGCGAAACTCTGTGGACCGAGTATGTACATCCTTAAACATTTGCTACGCGACCGTCCTTTGCCTCAGGGCGAACCACCGTTATCCGAGATCGAGAAGGAGGTTGGAGTACCTCACGTCTCTTCTGCACCTGGGAGTCACATAGATCCCGAGGGAGTGAGCCGCAAAATCGTTCCCGATGCTATCTTTGTCGATCGGTTGTACCCAGGAAAGCAAGGTCTAATCCCGAGGGTCTTCGTTGTTCACGAAGACAAGACACACCACATCCTTCCAGCTGACAGCGACAATAGCCCTTTGAACCCGTTCTATGTCCTACAGGATGACATCGAGGTCAAGTTCCGTGACGATGACAGTTTACCGGCGACAAGATTCGTGTCCCCTACGGAGGCACCAGTCGGTTCGATGACAAAAGGCTCCAAAATTCTCTTGCAGGTAAAATTCTCAGTTCCTCTTTCTCGTGTCTTCACATGTACGATATTGACTCGATGACAGGTTTTCACGCAGAGCTACGTTTACGATACCCCATTCGCTGTCATTTCCTCCTTATGGTCCACGACGTTCGCGTATCGTAAGGGTAACACCCTTTACATCTCGAAACCTTACGTCAAGGGCATGCCCACCTTGTTTGCCTATTCCTGTTGGATACTGGCCGCGAGTGGTAGGTTCAAGGACAAACTGCCGTACGATCTATATCTTCCCAAGGCGAATACGTCCTGGTGGAGCGAGGAAGTGAAGGCCCACACCGAGCCTGGATTGGTTCCGTACGTCTTGAATGACACTTTTTCGTACGTCAATGACACTTCCGTTCGTTGAGTCAGTCGTCGAGGCATCCTACTGATCCATCATGCCATCCTACTAGCTCTCAGTTGAGGAACGACGTTCCAGAGGCCGATGCGTCGGAGTCAGACCGCAGCTCGCTGAAAGACCGAGTCACCAAGAAGGTTCTCAAGAAGATGGGTGTCGCGAAATCTCAGAGTACCACTGATTCGAAGCCCAAGCCTGAGGACGCGAAGAAGCGGGCCAAAGAAGTCGGGAAATTGGCCAAAGAACGTGAGAAACGCACCAAAGACGTCGAGAGAAACAGGAGAGCGTGGGATAGGAAGAAGAAGCACATGGAGAAGGTTATCTCCCAATTCGAGAAATTGGGTGAGAAGGTGAGGAAGGGTGAAGAGTGGTTGAAGGAGAATGCAGTAGAGGGCGAAGGCCTAGTGGAAGGGTGAGACGCAAATTGTCTGTTTTCTCTGGTGCTCGATCCGAATTTTCTGGGCTGTTTGTGTACAATACTCTCGTCGCTAGTTTTATGAACGTTCTCACCTACTTCACCGAATGTGTCTCGAAAGCGATCGAACAGCGTCAGCGAGGCAATTGAATTCAAGAGGTTGAAGCAACGTTTCCGTCTCTGGAGAGGGCGCTGTCGCCGTGGAGTTTTTAAATTATCGAGTACCTAGGTGTCATTCGACCCGATCGTGCTATGCGGTGAGGACAGCAAACAGACATATATTCGAGCAGCCCCAAAAAGCATCGGCAAAGGTTAACATAACGGCCAATGGTATGGCGAGTATCCATGACTAGACCTGCGACAGCCTGCTCTACAGAATGTGCATCGTACACGCCATCGCAAGTGGCGTACTGCCCATCGAACGAAGGCAATCTCCCTAGCACATAATATCTAACACCCGCCTCCAGACGTCCTATACCTACCCGTGATCTATAAAACTGCTGCGACCCTAAGGCTGTAATGATATCCTATCCCGCTCTTGTGGTATCAGGACCGCTATCCTCCAAAGGATGTGAGCCGGTTTTGCCACTAGTTTCGATGCCCAGGGCCTCGTCCATTGGGTCCGGGCTATCGTCCATAATGATCTTAGGCCAGTATCGTCGGCCATCTAGATACACGTCAGGTAACATAGAGGATGTCGATATACAAGAGAAACTCACCCTTGGGGATTTGAGCGTAAACGTCCGGCCAATACTCCTTGACGTAGCTCATTAGAACCTGGTGCATTTCATCGAATGCGTCATCTTCGGAGTAATCGCTTGGTCTTCTCTCCAGTAGCGCTTCTAGATCGTTGAAGGCGCTGAGCGGAGTGATATACCCATAAACCATGATCACAGCTGTTCAAGCGATAAAGAGGGTCAGTTTGACACCATCTGGAGGACAAGGTGGGTGGAAAAGGAGGGGAGAATACGTACAGGGTTTCCATATTTCAAGCCCATAGCCTACATCACATAATTCCTGACAACCCCATACCCTTTTGTTTGGGCCAATATCTCCTGGTGCAGGGACGCTGTACGTGCGCCGGCATCGGATCTTGAGGGCCTTCTCGAAGTCAATGATTGAGACTCGACCTTCGTCATTAATGACAACATTCCGTTCTGCCACAGAGCGATGTTTCACGCCAGCATCGTGAATCTGGACATACGCATCCAGGATCTTCTGCCTACATCAGCATGATCGGTCATTATACTGAGGTATATTGTACGACCATAGAGACCTAGAACACTCACTTTATGTCCTGTGGTGCCCGCTCAAAGCACGTATTCAATTCTTCTCCGGCATACTCCAAGATAATGCAACCAGCTTCGCCTGGCTCCTCGAAGTACCCGAAGCAGCGAGGAATGACCTTACCCTGGAGATGTTTCAACGCCTCGTAGATGATGAACTCCTGTTCGGTGCCTTTTATTCCCTGAGATGTATACCCAATCTTGCAAACGACGCGTTGGGAGCCCGTAGGTAGAGTAAGGACACCGGAGAAGACGTCAAAGCGATCGCTAGACTTCAGCAGACACATCTCATCAACCTCGAGCTCATTTTCGTCGTCATCGGTAGCGCGAATCAGGTCGAGCCATTCTAGGTCATCATGGGTGTAGCCTAGTGGAAAGTTCAAAGTCACAGACATGGGTGTCGAGGTGAAGGAAACGATGTGTCGCGTTTCTTTCGTAAGCTTTCTTTTGTTCAACATATGATTATGTAACCGTGACACACATCGTGTGGCGAGCGTTCTACGCCACTATTGGGTAGATCCCTTGTTACTTCAATCGAGCTGTGGGATAGCACCACGTAGCAAAGCGTACGAGAACCCAGTATTTTCACCATGATGGCTCAATTATACAGCGCTCGTCGAATGTGATGGACCACAGAGTAAAGCGTCTGCAGAAGGGGAGGCCGTACCGCGAGCAAGCACTCGCGCAATGTAGATTATAACAACCACGACAACCGTCTGTACGGTCGGTAAACCGGAGTAGTGATACGGCAAGAACCCCGAGGATACCCAGCTGGTAGAAAATTAATATATGGGCCAGCTGCCGGCAGATGTCAGTCCAGCAACTATAACGAGAGAACTTGTGATACATTGTTTTTATCGATAATTATCAGTTGATTTTCTCTCAAAATTGATGCGTAGGCAGAACTTACCAGAGCTCAAATGACTAGCAATAACAAATGCTATCGTCCAGTTTTCTCGATAATAGTCCGTATATGCCGAAGCGCATCGTACACGCCATCGCCAGTAGCGTACTGTCGATCAAACGAAGATAACCGTCCCAGCACATAATCCTTGACACCCGCCTCCGGACGTCCTATACCTACCCGCAGCCTATAAAACTGCTGCGATCCTAATGCTGAAATGATACTCTTCACACCATTGTGACCATTGGGTGAGCCACCGGTTTTGGGCGAAATGTTGCCTGGGAGGTGGTCCAGCGAGTCGTGTATCACGATGAGGGAGTTCGGAGCGACCGAGGTTTTACGAAGGACGTTCACGATTGCAGGTCCACACACGTTCATGAGATCGCCTGCATGATGGGTGATAGGGAGAGGGAATAGGACACGAGGAGGAGGGGTGGAGACAGGTGGAAAAGGTCAGCATGTGGCGGGTGATAGACAGTGAAAATTGTGACTTGGGTTGTACGTGGTTTGTAGAGAGCTATGGGAACAGCATTTCCGCTGTCCATTTCGATCTGGGTTTCGGCGTAGTAGCCTTTCATTTCTGAGGCGAGAGGTGCACGAAGCTGAGACGATATGCCGTCGAGAATCAGATGACCGATGCTGCCAATCGAACGTTTGAAGTCTATCAGAGATTGAGAAGATATTGAGTTAGGTTTTCGGACATACCTGTGCCTTGTTTGGGGGTATGGAAGATTCCCAAGACCGACAACGAGGTACTTCACTGACCGCATAAGTCAGAGTTGGTCTCGGAACGTATGCCGGTGCAGGCGTATGAAAAGAACTGTAACGCCAAGCTGACTAGCCTGATTCAAGAAGCTCTGTAGAGGAAAGCAATGCGAAGAAAAGACAAACGTTTGCTGGCCGGTGGAGGAGAGGAAGGAAGGAGAACAAGCCGGGACAAGATTGTGGCGCCGGACTGAAAGCACGTTTTCAAGGGGAGAGAGGAGCGGGGCAGTTATCGGGCTCCACAACCTCGCTTGCTTTCATGCCATAAGTACCGTCGCTCTTTCCACTCTTTTCTTCGCGCATCAGCCATGGCATCCACCTCGACTTCGACAACGGCGACGACATCGACGACAACTGCCCCGACGACGCCAACACCAGCGTCCATCGCTCAAACCCGCCGTAAGCGACGCCAGTCCACCTACCATGCCGCCCGGTACGGTCCTCGAACGTCTTGCCATCAGCTCCCACTCTCCTTAGAAGCTCTTGATCTATCCCTATCGTCTCCGACGCCTAATCTTGCATCCCTTCGCATCCTTGTTCTCTCATACTTAGAGGAACTCGAGACCCGACTAGCGCAGCTCGAGTCTCCTTCATGCGACTTTGACCTCGGGATCGACTCGTTGAAGAGCAAGGGTGGACTCAAGGTCGAAGAGGCCCGAGCATGGGTCAGAGACGGTCTGAAGATGCTCGAACAGATCAAGGAGGACGTATGTTCGCATCTGCCTGACCTACCACTCGATTCGACCACCGTCGAGAACTATGTTTCTTCCCATCTCCCCGAGCTCCCGGACGTCCCAACCCTCAAGGAGGTCACCGCCCACCTCCCAGAGCTTGCGGAGCTTCGCTCGAGGATCGCTGCCCTTGATCTTTCAGATATGCGCACCCGGATAGAGAGCGTCTGTTCGCACTTTCCAGACCTAGACTTCCATCATCCATTGCATTACCTTCCCACTCTTTCTGAACATCTTAATACCCTTCATTCCCACCTATCGTCCATCCAACTTCCCTCCAGCATCGCACTGCCCCTCTCTGTATCTGCCACCGTTCTTCATGACCTGCATGATAAGCTTCGAGCCACCGAGTTCTCGCCACTTATTCACGGAAAGCGTTCTCTGCTCGAGAGAGCGGAGGATAAGATCGCTAAGATGGCGAGAGAAACCAGAGAGGCTCTGAAACTCTCATTGCACGGTAGTGCACTCATCACCTATGTGGACCTTCCCGAAGAGTGGCGTAATAACCCGTTCGTGACGCACGGCTACCGGTAGGTTTTGTGCAGTATTTTTGAAACGAATCATAGTCTAATCCTGTGGCTTCGAAAGCTTCATCCCTCTGAATAGATGGCCTCTCATCATCGCTTCCTTATTTACAGTACACAACGAGACTCGTGAGTATCCGCTCTTCTGCCCGTATCTTCGCCCCTCGCTTCAAAAATAGATCACTGACATCCGACATTCCACCTGCCATTCTGATTCCCGCATCATTCATTCATCAATGCATCCATCACCTTCACGAAGTCAACATTCATACGCACCTCATTCCATTCCTCCTCTGGACACTCACACTCATAATACCCACATCATACTTCTCCTCGACCATCCCGGCCTTCTCAAGCCTCGACATCGACGCCCCCCTCTTCATTTTCACCGTCTTTGCGCTAGTATGTCTGTTCAGCAGCGTCGTGTGGCACACCATGTCCGGATGTGCGCATTACCACGGCATGGATCTGTGTGCGAGGATCGATTATGTTGGGATCGGATGGTCAGTCCTTTCGTTCGTCTCCACTCATATAGAAGTAGTCTGTTTGGGCTAATCCCGAATGTAAATTCTTTTGTGATCGTGATTGTGGGAGAACAGGCTGATCAGTGCGAGCGTTGGCACCATCGTTTATTACGGCTTTGACTGTCAACCGTACCTCTGCAACCTCTTCCTATACTGTTGCTTTGCGTCCGGACTTGCGGGTAGCGTCCTGCCGTTCATGGACTGGTTCAACAAACCACAGAATAAAGTTAGCACCCGCTTCTCTTATCCTTACCTTTTCCTCTATTGTTTTCATAGTATCAGACTGGTCATCGGATGCTGATGATCGTGTGGTCGGCGAATGGCTGTTTTATTTGTTGTAGCACATTCGGATCATGTTCTTCCTCTCGCTCGCGTTCACGGCGCTCGCGCCGCTCGGAACACTTTCATACCTCCACTCGACTAGTCAAATGCTCACATTCATCGGTACGTCCTACTTATATCTTTCGGCATCATTCGTCCAGCCCGTTAACCACCATTCCTTCATCTTCACCCACATTAAACAGCCCCCGTCTCCCCGTCCCTCCTCTCCTACATCACCGGCCTCGCCTTCTACGCCACCAACTTCCCCGAACGTTCCCTTCCCCCCTCCTGGGCTCCCCATTTCGGGACCTACCTCGGTGGCGGGTCCCATGCGGTTTGGCATCTGTTCATCGTGTTGGCGATCAGTCAGCACAGGGCGGCGATGCCGGTTATGAGGGGGATGGCGGGGATGGGCGAGGTTTGTTGAGGTTGATGCGTTTCGGTTTTACGAGGAAGGGGAGGGCAGGTGGGGTTTGTTAGGTTGGGATGGCGTGGGTGAGTGAGGAGGCGGAGAGGCAAAGGAGGTGATTTGGGAGTTGGTGTCCATGTTGTTAGTTATTGTGTATTGTGCGCGCAGGAGGCGATGTGGCAGACTCGCTCATTTACTTTCGGGCCTCGGGTCAGGCAGTGACATTTTTACAGGGTAGAAACGTCCCATATAATCGTATCATATATAGCGTATTGGTGGTGGCGTTGGTGTCGGTGGTCGTGGTCGTGGTCGTGGTCGTGGTCGTCGATCGTCGTAGTTGTGGTGTTGGTGTCCATGTTAGGATGGTGGTGATTCTTGTGGATAATAGATGGCTTGGAAATTTATTTATTGCGTGGATCGTAGTCTGGAACTGGAACTACCTCGATGGCAGCGAAAGTAAATCGTTGCAAGATCAACATACTCTACTGACAACGCACGATATCAACCTAACCGCGAGACGCACGACAACCAATCGGAATAGGAGAGAACGCACTGGGCGGTCGTACATAGCAGCATCACGCACTCATGTTTCTCTACCTCCATGGCATTCTGATCATACAATCACGAACCGAAAGTCCAAAAATCTATCCCCGCCACCCCTCCCACCCTTGCCCACCGACCCTACATCAACTTCGCCTCCCTCTTCGCCTGCTGCACCTGCGCCAACCTATGACTCCTAACACTCATCTGCCCGCCCTGTCCCGCCTTCTTCGCACCACCGCCTGCACCTGCACCTGCACCTCCTATCCCTCCACCACCCCCGCCTCCGCTGGAGCCACCGCCGGTGAGAGCAGATGCTGCGGGGAGGGCGGAGGGGACTCCGGTTTGGGACATTGAGATTCTGGTTTCGTCGGATGAGAAGCCGGGTATGCGGATGTTGTGGTTACGTTCTGTGGTTGGTGGTGAGCATATGGTACGTCGGAAGAAGATGGGAGAAGAATGAAGGGAAAGGGAAAGGGGCCTACCGAGGTGAAGCTGCAGGTCTCTGACTTCCAGTGTGTCGCCTCCCCTATGTTTTGCGAGTCTGCACCCAAAGTTGGTCACGGACTCGATGAACTCGTCTGCAATGTCTAGGAGCAGCTGTACGTCACAAAAAATGACAATGTCAGTCAGTCAAGGGAATATAAAATCGGATGAAGAAAAGATAATGGATATGAATGAGAATAAAGTGAGATAAATGTAACAGGGGAGTGACGAGTGGAAAGAAAAGAATGCGAGATGGTCAAGAAAACGGCGAACGCACATCCTCGACCTCCGGCTCTATCTTCACGTTCGGGTCGACGCTCGACACCAGGTCCTGGATCGTCCTCCTCATACTCTGATCCCCCGGAGTCGACTTTCTTCTCGAACGTGTATCGTCCGGCGTATACGTCTCCTCGCTACTCGGCTTGACCTGGGCCGGCGTCCCTATAACAAATGAACCAGTGATTAGTTGTTAGTCTTTGCATCACACTACTCACCCACTCATCAAACAAACAAAGAGGCTGCGAGCCACACGACCAAAAGAAAGGGAAAGGAAACGAGATGAAAGACGAAATTTAGAGAGAAAAGGACATACCAGCGATCCTCCCAGCAGCCTGCCCACCAGTCAACGTTGGCCTCCCCATCTGCGTGGTCGACCACTGCACCGGCCCCGGATTATTCGTATTGAGGGTAGAGCTTATAGGATACGCGTCTGGGGTCGTGTTCGTGCCCAGTAGTGGTGCGGGAGAGTTCGATTTGAAGGCGGCGTGAGGGGCGGTGGTTGTGGTTAGGGGCGAGGGCTGTGGGCGCCATTTGGGTTTTCGGGTGGTGGTGGTGGGCATGATGATTATGGTTTGTTGAGTTGGGTGGGTGGGCGGTGGCGCGGTGGCGAGGTAAGTGGAGGTGAGGGTGGAGACGGAGGAACGGGAAGGGAGTGTTTCCGATGGATGATGATAGACGATCGAGAGGCGTGAGTGGTAGCCGAGAAGTCGAGCCGATGAAGTTGAGGGAAGGTGAAGGAGGATGCAGAGATGAATGTCGCGGTGGTCATTTATCCCGTTGTAATTGTGATCGTGTTTATGGTCGAGTGGAAGTGCGACGTGATGGTGAGATATTGTTGAGGATTATGTGGCGCTCGGAAAGAAGACGCACCTTTGAAGGACTAGGTAGCGACTGATTCTGTTGTTGTTGTTGCTGTTGCTGCTGCTGCTGCTGTTGCACATACTGTGTAGGTTGTTGCTGTGCAGGTGCAGGACTCGAATGTGCAGCCCCTGGTGCCGGTGTACCCGAGGACGAAGACGCGACCGAGTTCTTATGCTTGTCCGCATATTCCTTCAACTAAATGAAACAGGTTTCAAATGACACGGATTGTCAGCATCCATCAAGTTCGTACTGATGAAGAGACAGAAAACATGCAGAGGACAGGCAAAGGACGAGAGAAATATAACCCAAACCCACCCACCTGTATAATCTGCTGCTGATTCAACTTCCCCTGCTTCACCAAATCGCTTAACTGTCCCATATTCTGCAACAAAAGCTGAGCAATCCGGTCTCCAGGGAGCGGTTCTCCCGTCTGCGTCTTGAACGCATTGCCAAGCGCTGAGATGATGTTTCCCGTTGAGACTTGGTCGTTTCCATTTGGTCGTGGGACGTTTGGGTTCGGGGTCGGTGTCTGGTTTGCATTTGCAGGGGGGTTCGGGTTGGGATTTGGGTTGGGTGTGGACATGTTATGTTTCGAGTCGGTTCTGATACAATTTGGTACAACGGTGGATGTTTGTGATAGATTGGTGGAGAGGTGAAAGATGAAGGGGACGAAGGCACGGCGACGGAGTGCTTGTTCGTTGATCGACCCCGTTCCGTAAGCGGCACGGAACGTAGCACGTGTCGAACACGTTGTTCGGACTCCCGAGCACTGGTCCTTTT